TGTTTGCATACCTGGCCATGTAGCATGGAGTCTTCGGGTACCTTTGCATTTATTTACCCTGGGCTTTGGGTTCCAGCTTTCAAGCGGGGGGCGGGGTGGGCAAGCAAGCATCTTCACCCCAGGAAAACAACCTTGGCGCTCTGCCCAGGCTTCCGAGAATCAGTGAGAAAGGAGGGAAGATCAGAGCTCCTTCCTGCCGTGGGATCTGCCACCGCCATCCCTCCCTCGTTCCCACCCGCTCCTGCAGAAGACAAACATCAGGCGCACTAATTAGCCGCTGGCACACCAGCCAGAGGGGAGGTTTCTCTGGAAGCAGCCCCAGGAGACGACTCACATTTCCTCCACAATTAGCCCTAACCAGGAGGGCTGGCTTCATGTCACGACCAGCACTATACACAGCAACCAGCCACCCAAGTCTGAGTAGGCTTTGCCAAGCAGGTGCCCTCCAGATGTTCTGGACCACAGCACCAATCAGCCCCCAGAAGGGACCAGTTTAGTGAAGGATGCCATACAGTCTCTTACATTCTGCATCTCTCTCACCACCTCCCCATCCATCCGCTCCTGTGTTCGAATCCTGCTTGAGACATCTGGTCGGCCACTTGTGAGCACAGGATGCTAGGCTTGATGGACCGCTGGCTGGATCCAGGAGGCTCTTCTTTTGTTATTAACTATACATACTATAAAGGCTGCTACCTGCTGCCTTGTGGGACATCTTTTGGGGGAAGGAAAGGCTAAGGAGTAAACCCTACACAAATCCAGAGTCAGACTCAGTGACTATGCATTCACACCAAAAGAACTTCACTTCCTTTTGCGATTATTGGGTCAATATGCATGCACACTGAAAGAACACAAAATGAAGAGAAAGAAGCCCAATGAAAGGTTATTCATCTTCTTTCTATGCATATAGAACCAAAAAAACCCTGTTTTGCTTTGTCTGGGCTTCTTTCACTTCGCTTTGCCTTTTTTGGGTGAATATGCATTCACACGGAAAGAACTTCACTTCCTTTTGCTAATTTTTGGGTGAATATGCATGCACACCCAGAAAACACGAAACGAAGAGAAAGAAGCCCAAGCAAAGGTTATTGGTCTTCTTTCTATGCATATTGACCCACAAACAACGTGCTGTGCTTTTTCTTACTTCACTTCGTTTTGCAAAGTGTCCCTAAGGCGGTTGGATGACGCCTTGTACGCCTCCTTCCGGCAGGCAAGATGGTGCCAAACATCTCACTCTGCTTTCCTTTGGACCACGTCAGTGAGACTCATACTGGGGAGCGGGGGTCTTGTCACCTGGGCAGCCCTGGACCTCCATACACACTGCCCAGGTGAGTTGGATTGAAGGAACCTTGACCAAGCCTTATGAGGGAATTGGACAGGCTTGGCCTGGAACATAGAAGATTGCGAGAGGCAATGTGATAGCCAGCTTCAGATTTCTGAAGGGCTGTCACCTGGAAGAAGGAGCAATCTCATTTTGTGCTACTCCAGAGGCTAGGACCCACGAATCTTCATTAAGCGCAGAATTAATGGCCAAGGAAATTGGCTAGGCTATAAAAGGTTTTGAGGATTAGCCTTCTGGTTAGGGGTTCAAGTGGCCAGAGATCTGGAATCTGTAAGCGCAGAAGAAGGACCAGTTTTGCAACCTTCGCCTTTTCTCAGCGCTGGGGGGGGTGGGGGGAGTGCCTGCTTTTCCACCAGTATTTATGTAGGAAGATTCAGCGCTCCCTCCAAACAGGCGCCGGGTCTTGCCAAGAAGCCTGGAGCCCAAGAACAGTCAGGTTTGTTTTGCTGAAATGTAACTTCATCGACAATAAATCAAAAAGTTGGAAAAACATTTAGCAAAGGAAAACTGGGCGGCAGCAGTTTGGGGGGGGGGACGATTGCCAGTGCCCTAAAGCAAAGAGCAGGCGGTTATCCGAGCAGCAAGATGGATGGGGAGGCCCCCGGGCAGAATGGAAGAAAAAGTTTTTTGCCATTCTGGCGAAAAGGTGGTTACTGAAAGAAGGCCTGGGTCACAAAACGCCAGTGAGATGGTGAACCTGTCTGGGCTGGGCCACTTCAGGTTGCAGGAGGTGTTTCACACAATTCAGTTCATCCCCATTCTTATTTTTAAAGATAGAAAAGTAGCTCAACAACATGAAGGCTAGATAGAAACCTTCTCTCTTATTTTTAATATTTTTCGAACAGAGGCCCACCTGGCCTCGACCAGGTGGTGTGCATTTAATGTAATTTTCATCTGCTTTAGTATTTTAACTTCTATGTGTTTTAAATTATTGCTGTATTTTTCTTGATTTACCTTTCTGTAAACTGCTGGGGTTTTTTTTAACAAAAAACAATCAAGCAGCGTTTAAATTTTATGAAATGAAATAATTTACGTGAAGCTTCTTGATCCCGTAAGCCAGTGTGGCCTAGTGGTTAGAGGAAGGGTAGCCAACGAGGCACACTCCGAATTTGCTGTTAGCCTCCAGCTTATAGGTTATTAAGAGCAGGACGTGCGAGTCCCGAGTTCAAATTCTCCCTCAGCAGCAAAATTCACTGGATGTCCTGGGGCCAAACCACTATTTCTCAGCCTAACCTACTTTCCTGGGGTGCTTGGGAATGAAGGGCAGGATACAAACCAAGAAGGGAGGAATTATTAATGGGTGGCGTGGCAAAGAGCCCCAAAGTTACATATTTCCCAGACCCTGGAATTACACTAATTGTGGGTTTAAATTAACTCGTTTTTGTGCAAGAGAACCCTTTTAGGAAAGGCTTTACTGAGAAGAGCTTTCAAAATAAAAACTACTGAAGTATGAACCACGGACACTCCGATAACCAAACTTTTCATCCTGGTGCTGGGATCAGGCACAATAATAGTGCAATTCTACATGTGTCTACACAGAAACAAGTCCCACTGAGTTCAATGGGGATTACTCTTGAGTAGGTACAGGACTGCTCCTTTCATCTGACCTTCATATCAGTGAGTTATCTCAGACTGGCAAACTCTCCTGTTCAGTGTTAAGGGTTGCCAGAGTGAACTCTGAGCCAGGACTGAGACGAGTTCAAATCTCACCTTGGCCACAAAACATTCAAGGCAACGAAAGCTTCCAGAAAACCTTGTGACAGGGCAGGGCAGATAATTTTGGTTTAGATTACATGGCAGTTAAGGATTACGAGAAAATCTCTTTGAGAAGCTGAGATGCTCCAACACGAACATTGAATATTAGTTTTCCAAGTAGAGCTCCTGCGCCTTGGAACAGCTGCACAACAGGCAGAAATCCAACAGGTGAAGCAATCTCTTGCCACACTTCATGCAGGGAATGTGCTGGGTTTCTGTCTGTTTAAAGGCCCAGGGATCCCCCTGGAAATTCTCATTAATTTCCTCTCTCAGGGAGTGGCCTTCTTTACCTCCCCGCAGCATCGCTTGCAAAAGTTCACCACCGTCTTGCTGCTTCCCCAGAAAGCCTGCCCTAATCGACACCTCTCATGTCCCAATGATGCACACCTTCGGGAGAGGGGAAAGGGAGCAGGAAGGGGTTTCCCCCTTCAAATATTCATGCCATTTCCATTACACGTTGGAAGTAATGATAATGCACTGAAAACCTCGTCCCTTTATCTAGAATCTCCTGGAAAACAAGACACGGAAAAGAAAACCCAGATCCATCTCTGCTGTCAACTTTAGACCATGACTCTATTTTTCAGGCATCTCTAGGGTTGCTGTTGCTGGGACAACGGGACATTCCAGGAGACAACCGCCGTCTGAAGGTCGGACCCCAATTAGGAGGCAGGCGGGGAAGATGTGAAGAACTCTCTACAAAGCGGAATGACCACATCTGGAGAGCAAACCTATTCCAAGAAGATAAGAGGGGGAAAGAATGCAGAGTTTATGCTTCCTCCACCACCCAAACACCCTCTACATGCGGGCGGCAGTTTTCACACAAGATTCTCTTAATGCTGCCAAGACATCACTGTTATTAAAATGGCAGTTGCAAACAGCAGCTTTATAGCACTGCATGACCCAGTTGTGCCCTTCCTATGGCTTGGATACTCCTTGTTTATTTTTTAATTAATTGCATTTATATGCGACCTTTTCCTTCAGGGAGCTCAAGGTGGTGGACAGGGTTCTTCTCACCACTCTTCCTTTAATCCCCACAACCACCCTGTGAGGTAGGTTAGGATGAGAAGCAGTGACTGGTCTCCAGTGTCACCCAGCGAGCTTCCTGGCTGAGTGGAGATTTCAACCACAGAGTACCAGGTCCCAGTGTGGTACTCTAACCATTACGACACACCGGCTCTTACCAGCTGGTCCGATATAAGGCCCTTTCTAATGCTAAAGGCCTCTGAGAGCTGCCCAAGATGCAGGTATTCCACCAAGGGCTTCTTGAAGACACACATATACCTGTTAGAATTCCTGCTCCATGACTGCAGTCATAGGATTGTTGTCTATCACATGATGGTGTATGTTTTGACTCCACAGAATGGGAAGTGACGGAGACAGGATGTTTGTGTTACTGTGTTCCGTGAAGTGGGACTGTTGTCCTTTGTTCTTTCTCTCTTTGCTGCCTGATGCTAGAGAGAGAGGGAGCCATGTTGCAGTGCTCCATGTGTGTTTATATGTAAATAAAGTAGATTAGCCAAAATGCTGAGTTGCTGAGGTCTGTCACACAAGGTGCGCAAACTCTGCGGATCCCTAAGTGTGCCGAATGATCGACCAGGAGGGAGGGAACATGTCAGTCGGGCATGTGTCCCTGCCAGGGTCCTACTCAAGTGTAGGCTGAACTCCTGACAATACCATGCGCTTGAGCATTTACCCCGAGACCTCAGGCTGCATGGGTTGCCTTTCCACAGCCCAGACCCAGAGGACATCGGGTATGAAAGTATGTTTGAGGGAGTGTGTCAGAACCCAACAAAGGATGTTGCAGCAGCCAAAGTTACCCAGGGCAGGACGGAGAGTCTGTATCAACACATTGACAAAATGTATTCTTCAAGGCCGAATGTTTTCCCGGTGTAAAAAACACTATGGGGGTACAAAGGCAAGTGAGGCTGTGAAACTCATCTCACATCTTCCTGAAGTTGCAGGCGAGGAATAATGAAGAACAAAGCCACCGCTTGGGTTTTTTAATTTATTTATTTTGAAAACTGGTTTCTCGTGAAAGAGTACACTAAAGAGAGCATAGGTTTTTCCTTTTGTCACCCATAAAATGTGGACTGCCTGCTGCCGGTCAGCACAGAAGCGACAGAGCATGCACTGAGCTGCAGGCTGCAGCAAGAGCCTCCTCCGGGCCGTTTCCTCCATTTCAGACGTAATGCGCACCAAGCTTCCTTTAAGGGCCCTAGGAGGGGGAGAAAAATAAAGGACAGCGGAGACACAAAAAAAAGGCAAGGAGTTAGTGGCAACCACAGCTCTACCACCACACGGTGCATTCCTCCGATTCTGGGCCCAGATTCACTCAGCTGCAGAGGCGAAACGGTAAGGTCTCAGCCACCCTTCAAGGCTACTCTCTGAAATGTTTTACTGGGCGACCTATCCCAGCCGCCCCCCAAGCTGGCGCCCTCAAATGCTTTTGGACTGCAGTCCAGAACACCTGGGAGGTGCCAGAGGTTGAGGAAGGCCCAAGGAGCTTCCTGGAGCAAGCATCTTCTAAGCAACCCATTCCAGTTCTTCAGATTAACCTGCAATGCATGGACATCATTTCAGCGGTTCAGGAAAAACGACAACACTTCCAGAACATGGCTTGCTTTTTGGGAGGGGAAGCCGAACCGACTGATTTCTTCAGCCACGAACTTGCCCGCAAGGTCATCATTTGTGATTAAGGTGCTGTTAGCAGCTGGAGATATGGCAAACGGGCTTCTAACTCCCCTGCTCCAAAGACTGCAGCTGATTAACAGCTGACTCTACAAGAAACCTGAAGGTGAGGCTTGGGTTTCAGCAGACCCAGTCAAAGCAGAAATCGAAGCTGACCCTCTGAGCCATCCAGCCTGGCAAGAGCCCTCAACACCAGTCCAGGAATCCAGAGCTGATGTCCAGGACCTGCCACGCTGCAGAAGAGGCACAGCCCTGGCCAAGGCACAAGGCTGCCTGTGGGAATGAAATGGCACAGGGAACGATGGAGCCAAATGGTACAGGCAGAGCTGAGAATTCTGCACTCTGCCCAGCCTGGTTCAGTTCTCAACAGCTACTGAATTATTTGCCAGTTTTGTGTGCAGTTCTCTGTGCAGAAACCAGTTCAATCCACAGTCATACCTTGGGTTGCGAACGTGATCTGTGCAGGAGGCACATTCGCAACCCGCAGCACCGCGTCTGCACACGCGCATGACGTGATTTGGCGCTTCTGCACATGCGCGAGCACCAAAACCTGGAAGTAACCTGTTCCGGTACTTCCAGGTTTGGCGCGGTCCATAACCCGAAAACGTGCAACCTACAGTGTTCGCAACCCGAGGTACGACTGTACTGGATTTTAGAAAGCTAGTGAATGTCGTACTGCTCCTGTTGTTTTGAGAGCAGGTGGGTAAGAGCAAAGCCTGACTTTCCTCAACATGGGACTAACCACGGTGCTTGTTGCCACATAATGTCGAGGCCGGCCCTGTCATTGGGCGACTCTGTCAACTGGCTTCTTGTTGGCTATTGATCCTGAATGACAGTAATGGAGCTTCCACATCCAAAGGCAGCATACCTCTGAATATCAGAATACGGCAAGGTCCATCGTCCCCTGCACATGTGATTTCCTCAGGGGCGCTGTCTTGGGTTAGGATCAGCCCAGGCAGGGACGTCTCCCTCTTACGTACCCCCGTGTCTTAGTCATCAATGTACTCAAAAGGCTCCGGAGGCTCCGGTTCCTGCTCCTCCTCCTCAATCTTCGGCCCATGAGCAGCCACGGGCTCCACCAGCTCTTCTGTGTCCTCGCTGGTGTCTCTCAAGACAATGATGCCCCCAATGGAAAGCTGGAGAAAGAGGAGCACAACGTGAGTTCAAGGTTCCCTGAGGCTGCTGGGTCAGGGGCCAGAGAGTCAGGGTCATGCAAAAGCTGCATCACAAGCCAGCCAATCCAGAGCAGGGGGAGGGGGCAAGACCTGGCCCCACCCCCTTGTTTAATTGCGGCTGCAGCTAAATTTAGCCACCTGACAATCTCTGCCCCCTTTCTGGCACCCTGCCCAGCAAAGGGACATCTGCAGGAGGCGGCAAAGAAGTCCAGCCTCTCCAAGGTAATCCTGACTGGAAACGGCCCACTGGCCCTCACCTAGCAGAGAGAAAAGAATCTACCAGGAAGGTCTCTTGCATAAGCCATAATGCAATGAAGAGGAGACAGAGGTGGCCTAAGGCAGTGCTTCTCAAACTTTTTTTTACTGCACCACACTTTCAGAATTAAATTATTTATTATCATCATCATTACCCTACTCATCTGGCTGTGTTCCCCCAGCCACTCTGGGCAGCTTACAGCATATATAAAAGATTGTAAAACATCACACATTAAAAATTTCGATACAGGGCTGCCTGCAGGTGTCTCCTAAAAGTCAGATAGTTGTTTCATTTCCTTGGCAGCTTGTGCCACACCATTTTTAAATTTTTTTGCCTGGCACCTAAAAGTGTATAATGAAGGCATCAGGCACACCTCCCTGGGGAGCACATTTCATAAACGAGGAGCCACCGCAGAAAAGGCCCTGTTCTCGTGTTGCCACCCTCTGGACCTCTTGTGGAGGAGGCACATGAAGAAGGGCCTCTCATGATGATCGCAGGGTCTGGGGAGAGCAGGCATTGATAGCCCTCTCCTCCATGAATCTGACTATTCCTGTTTCAAAACCTTCTAGTGAAGGGTCCTATAGTTAAATATGATTTAACCTGCTCAAAGCCAATGACATGGTAAGTGGGAGGAATCTGTCGCCTTCCCCCTCCCCCAGATGCTGCTGGACTACAAATCCCATCGTTCCCCTGCCCAGGAGCCATGCTGGGTGGGGCTGATGGGTCGTCAAGTCCAACAACACCCAGAAAGTGCCACAGGTCCCCCACCCCCCGCTTTATGGTGTGAAGAGGGTCGTCAGAGGAGAGATATGCGCTCGACTCACGGTCTTGAAAGGCTGGTATCGGCAGCTTTCCGGCATGGTGAGGACCTTGAGCTGGGCGGGCATCACCCGGGCCGGATTGTCAAGGAGCTGGAAGGACGGCTCAGGCTCTTTTTTCTTCTCCTTCTCATCCTTCTTCTCGGTTTCGTCCTGTTTGGGGACGGGAGGAAGGAGGCGTTAAAAACACACACAGCCAAATACATACGAGAGGACAGGACCTGGAGCCACAGCAGAACCTGCCCATCGTCCAGCCTTCGTACCAGCACAGACGTGCCCCACGTCAATGAATAATAAAGCAAAACGAAGCCAAAATCCAGGCACGCCAGGCAGCCTTAATGGGTTGGCTGCAAATTTTAAAAAGAAGCAGAACTTTATCCTGTCCCGTCCGAAGCTCAACGATGGGTGTTTTTCTGAGCCATAAAGCTGTCTCCAAAGATGGCAGCAGTGAGAAATCGGCCGGGATTGATAGCTCTCTGGAGGCTACTTCAGGTACACTTTGCTCCCCTCGTGGGCTGGTGGAAGGAAGGCTTTCCTTCAGCCTTGTTAAAATGCCTCTGGGCCTGTGTCATGTTTTCCCCCCTTCACAGGTACGGCCGCATGTTTGGACAACACAGGAAGAGGGCTTTCAGTTCCCAGAGAGTTGGGAAGAAAAGTTGCCCGGACAATAGAAGACACCCCAGAGCCAAAAGGACACAAAGATGAAGGCGGCCGGAGCGGAAGACAGAGGAGAGTGGAAAGATCCAAACAGGCTTCAGCTTCAGTTTCTTGACTCGGCTATGAACTCAATGGGTGGTCCCCCTCGCTCAGTAATGTGGGGGTACTAAGAAAGAATGTCCTGTCCTTCAGATGGAAGGATAGCTGCGCATGAAAGCTCCTTCAAGTGCTCTCTCAGCCTTCCCCGGATGTTCAGGACTACAACTGGAGGGTGATGGCCGCACTTGCAGGGAATGATGGGAGTTGTAGTCCAAAACTACTAGGGAAGGTTGCAGCACATAAATGCCCAAACCAACTTCCCCAGTGCTTGCTTCCATTTTTTAGTTCTCCCCACTGCTCCTACTGCCCCCTTGACTGCTGGGCCTTCACATCTGCACCCAGTTCATGCCACCTCCACCCCCCACCCCCCAAAAGCAAAAGACAAGCCAGGGTGGGAGGGAACACAGCTTGCTGCTTACCCACCCTGGGCAGAAGAACAGGGAGGGACAGCAGGGAGCAGTGGGGCCAGGGGTTTCGGCTGGCGTGTGGGTCAGTCTCTCAACACTGGCCCTGCACCGACCAGAAAGAGAAAGGGGGTGGGAGGAAGAAACATGGGAGCACCACCCCAAGGCAACTTCTGAGCAAATGACTCAAGCAAGTGATCCAGGCCACATGCTACAAAGGAAGGTGAAGACCCCAAGAGGCTCCTGGGGTGGTGGCAACTGCAAGATTCTTCTCTGATTCCAAATATTAGGAGCTATAAAAAGGGAGCCTCATCTGGCGACATCTCAGCCTCTTAGGGAAAAATTAGTGCCCCGGGACAATCCAACCAGATACCCGGAGAACACTGAAAAATGGGAATATTTGATGTAGCTCAGCACTCAGTTTTGCATTTCCCCATGTCTGTTCTCCTCTTCTAAAGAACTCACTCCAAGTTAGCTTGGCCAGAGTAGAAGCAAGGCTGCCCTCCTCAGAAGCAGCCTCCTCATCCACTTCCGAAACTGGTCAGCTTGGATAAAACTGCCTCTGTCCCGCTTGCAGCAATCACGTCTTTGCCCCTCTTCGGCCTGCCTTCCGTTCCTTTGGGGCTTTCTCTGGGGCCCAACTGAAGGCCAGAGAGTGAGATGAGCAAATAAGGGCCAGGCAGAGGGAGCAGGGTCCCTCCCTGCCCCACGGCCCATAGCTAGGCTTCTGTCTCCCTCTCCATGCTTGACCAGCTCCAGACACCACAGTCTCTGCAAGCCAGAGAGTTTCCTGAAGGTTCGGCAAAACATGGTGGTTTTTCCAAATAAACTTGTTCAATTCAGGTACCACCGTAAGGTAACTGCAAACGCCACTTAACTATGGGATGAAACCACATTGACTGAATTCATTCAGGGTTTGCTGGATTTAGGGTATAGCCAAGATCTTACTAGTGCTTTGCAGCACAGGGATGTTAGACTAAGGTCACTGCTTCTCTCTCTTCCAACTGCAGTGTCAATTTAATGTTGACTCCCTCTTGACTGACAATGAATGGAGTTGGTGAGTCCTTACTGATGCCTAAGGAACCCACTGATAGAGAAGAGGAGAGTTTGACCACCATGAAGTGGCTCCAGAGGTCATGCTTCCTAGATCAATGCCCTGGAACAGCATTCCTGGACGATGATTCAGAGGATGGGAGATTATAGACTCACCACTTCCATTTTCTCCTCTTCCTTCTTCTCTTTCTCCTTCTCTTTCTCCTTCTTCTTAGCCTTTGCCGTGATGGACAGCACAGCAGTAGAAACCTGAGCGTGAGAACAACAAAAGGCTTTCAGGAGAACAAGCCAATAATGGTGCTCTGAGGGTCAGGCGCAGATATGGCAGGGGGGCAGGAGGCCCCAACTGGAGTGGGGGAAGTGTGTGTGTGAAGAGGGGTGGAAGAAGGAGGGTCAGCCCATGAAGCCCCCAAGATTAGAGGGCCCCAAAGTTGGAGGCCTAGTTCACTCTTGCTTCTCAAAAGGTTTGTTTTCAGAGGGTGAGAAAGCAGGAGCTCTTAATCTCCTGAGGAGCCTTCCAATGCTTCTCTGAAAGAGTCCCTGGAGCAGGGAGAGCCTCCCAGTTGGCCTCATATCCTTTCTGAGCACGCAGAGGCAGCATCCTTTGAGGGCTGCTTTTGGGGTTAATTCACACATTACATTTTGACAGATCCGTGTACACCCATTAATACTAATAGTGTACATCTGAAAATGCTGGGCCATTAGTGGAAGCTAGCGCAAGAGGGCTTTCCCCAAGAACACTGGGGGAGGAGAGGGAAGACCATCCCACTGGGCAAACAGAGATGCTCACACCAACTGACCAATCTCCTTAGCACTACACTGAATTCCACCCATAATCTATGACCAATAAAAGTGTATGTTTGAAATGAGGGAGGGAAGCACCAGGGATTCAGGACTGCCCCCTGCTCCCTGCCAGGCCCACCGTTTCAGGGCAAACTTAAGGTTTTCTACCACACATTGTTTGAAATCGCACAGAGGGGCAATTTCGGCTATGATCTCAGGGGCAGAGAAGCCTCGAGACACGTGAAGGGGTCCCAATGTAGCAGCAGCAGGGGCAACTGTTTGTTCTGTCTGCGCACAAAGCCAAGCAGCCCACATGGAAACAGGGAGGCCGTTCACCCACCTTTTCTTTCTCCTTCTCTTTCGGCACCTCCAGCGGGGCTGGGTAGGCAAACGTGGAGGGCTTGACGTTGGATCTGTACTGCACTTTTGGCATCTGCAAAAGGAAGAGAGAGAGAGCGTTTGGAGGGCAAAGCTGGACAGGCATGGCGGAAGGCCGGGGAGCAAAGCGGTAGCCTCGTGCGGTGCCCTCGTTGGGAGACGCACACAAGCCAGGTGAAGCACAAATGCTGCCTCTGCCACTCGCCGGAAGCTTCTGAGCCATCGGGGACTGAAACATCATTATTCCATTACCAGGCAATTTAGTCCCGGTGAGGCAGTTGAGCTCTTGCTGGCTCCCACACGGTACAGAGCACTGTTTGTGCTCTTGCGTTCTCTACCGGCTTTTCACATTTCGGCCATGACTGAAAAAGGGATGTTGAAGGCAGGGCTGGGCAAACAGAAAGTGTGGGGTTTGGTGGCAGGTTCAGAATTCAGCATCTTGAGAATCTCACATTCACACATGCCCAAGTTTCTAGCCCTTGTGAGGCTAGAGGAAAGACGGAAGGAGCGTCTTGCAAAGGCTACAGTGAAATAAAAAGGCCAGGGAGGATGGGGGGAGTGGAAAGACACACTCTTTATTCGACATAAGTCTTCTGAGGGATTTCACATGCAATTTCCTTCCCTGCTGTGACGCCTGTCAAAATCCTACAAACTTCATTGTGCGGATCCTGAATTAGGATCAAGCACAAGTACCTAAAGTAACACTGGCAAGACTGCCTTTGGTAAGTGTGGCCACTGGCCGCTGACTTCCAAGGCCAAATTATAACTGAGAGCAGATGAGCCTGTTTGTGGACTGTACCACATGGGGCCTTTGTGATTGGGTCCCCTCCGCCCTCAAAGGGTCTTAACGCAACCATATCTCACATAAGCTAGTCCCCTATGCGCAGGGACATATTTTTTTTACATATCGTGGAGAGTTCAATCTTGTACTTCACAGACTGAGACGAGACTGCAGAAAGCAGGTTTATCCGCTCATCTGTTTTTCTCTGAGAACCGATCTGCCGCCTGCGCCAATCGTTCAGCTCAAGGTGATCTTGCTGGATTTGCAGGGATAAAAGGGTAGCCTGAAGTATGCGAAATTCAGGCGGAGAGGTGGCATGTGCCCAGCCTGCAAAACACATTGCTGAATTCGGCTTGCTGTCGTTGCAGAATCCGAGTTACTTCTGAGACGGCATTTCCCTCAGGTTTGATTTCCCCAGGACACAACTGCTCTGAATCATGGCCATGGACACAGATGCAGTTGTGCAGACCCAAGAACAAGCAGCTTTGGGCAGCAAGCAGAGAGTAGTCAGGAAGAGGCTTCTCGTCTCACTGGGTATTTTCACATGGCAATTCTCTCTGCACCTCCCTCTTCGGGAAAGCTTGGAAAGTGCTTACCCCACAGCCTGGCCTGCTTGGGAACGTCTACAGTCCTTCACACCACAGATTCAATGGACTTAGTTGGGGGAGAGGGCCTCAGGTCCATGGTAGAGCACCTGACTTGCTTGCAGGAGGTCATCAGTTCAATCCCTGGGATTACTAGTTAAAAATTCTGGGAAACCTTCCATCTAGCACCTTGAAGGGATGCTGGCAGTCAAAGTAGGCGATATTGGGTTTCACTCCCCAACATCTCCAGATACAGGAAGCAAGGCTTGGGAATGGTCTCTCTTCCAGAGACTGCAGAAAGCCGCTGCCAGTCAGAGTAGACAATACTGGACTAGAAGGACCAATAATCTAACTCAGTAAAAAACAGCTCCATACGTTCACATAATAAAGTAATGCAATTGCTTTTCTGAGTCCTTCACCAACCTGGTGCCCTCCAGAGGTTTGGGACTAGAACTCTTATTAGCACCACCCTGCGCGGCTGAGTTTAAAACATCTGGAAGGCAAGAAGCTGGAGAAGGATGCAGAAAAGCAACCTGAAATCTGTACTGTAAATATAATATATTCTTCTCCTATTGGCAGAAGCCCCCAGGTTCCGACCAGGCACTTCTTGCACATTCTGAAACTTCTACTTGCAGCCTAGAAATGTCTCTTGAAAAATTATTCTCAGGATGCTGAAGGTGAGGGAGCTGCAAGTACAAGGACTGCCCGGAGCCCTGGTTCTGCCTGTTAAAAGGATAAAAGCAAAGACTGCATTTTGAGGATGGCGGTAAGAGGGCTGTGCAAATCGGCGGCGGCAGCAGAGTCCGAAATAAAATCATCTCTACTCTCCAAGCTGGCAAGTCATTTTTCCTAAGCCACCCCTGAGATAAAAGTCTCCAGCAGTGTTCAGGAAGTGGCAGAGGAGGAATGAGGCGGCTTCAGTTTGCTCTGCATTTTCCCTGCCCCCCTTAACCAGAGGGACGCCAACTTCAAAACCTGCCCTCCACCCTGAATCTTAAGCTACCTACCACGACCCTGGCGATTTACAATCACTTTCCTTAACGTTGCCAGGAAACGGCTCCCTTCTTCTCCTGCCTCCTGGCTGATGCAGATTCTCATCCTGCTTTCCATAGCTGGGGGCGCAATATCCTCTCAGAGGGGGAAGCTTGAAAGATTAACCTTTGAGAGCGCCGATGTGATGCTGTGCTCACTGCTGGCTCCCCTTTTCGCCCACAGGAATCAAACGGCGCCCGAACTTAACGAAAGGGAGTATAATTGCATCCCACAAATCTATTTGAAAGGGTGGTGCTGAAGAGGAGAGAGATCAGCAGTTCGGGCTTAAGGAGAAGCCGGAAACTGAGAATCTGAAGGCGGTTCCCCTGAAACTGTTAAAGGACCAAACCATCGCCTTGGTTTTGGGGACAGACTTGCGATGAGGTCAGACCACTGATCCACCTGGCCTAGGATGGGCTTCTCCAGGTAGCTGCTGCTCCCTAAAGTCCCAAGAGGGTATTTTTCCAGCTCTGCCACCCAGGGTCCCTTTCACAGGAGATGCTGGGGATTAAACCAGGTACCTTCTGCAGGCAAAACACCTGTTTGTCCATTATAAGGAAGCTGCTATGCAATGAGTAGGATTATTGGTCCTTCCAGGATGGTGTTTCCTGCTCTGATTAGCAGTTCCTCTCCAGGGTCTCAGGCAAGAGGGGGAAAGGCTTTTCAAATCACCCATTAATTAATTCCCTTTTTAAAGGAGATGATAAAATATTAGATCCAAGACCTTTGGCTCTACAGGCCTGCATGTGTACTACCATGCTCAGCTTGGAAATCACAATGCTCAACAGCTGAAAGCAAAAACCCCAGGGGCAAGACAAGGCCAAACCTATTTACACAACCAACAACAACAACAATTTATTATTTATACCCCACCCATCTGGCTGGGTTTCCCCAGCCACTCTGGGCAGCTCCCAACAGAATATTAAAAACACGATAAAACATCAAACATTAAAAACTTCCCTGAACAGGGCTGCCTTCAGATGTCTTCTAAAAGTCAGATAGTTGTTTATTTCCTTTCCACAGGGCGGGTGCCATTACCGAGAAGGCCCTCTGCCTGGTTCCCTATAACCTCGCTTCTCACAATCAGGGAACTGCCAGAAGGCCCTTGGAGCTGGACCTCAGTGTCTGGGCTGAATGATGGGGGTGGAGATGCTCCTTCAGGTATACTGGGCCAAGGCCGTTTAGGGCTTTAAAGGTCAGCACCAAACTCTTCTAAAACTCTTCTTCACTGGGTTGGGCAGGTAAGAGGCAACTCTGGAGCACGCAGAATGCCACCAGGCCATTCTGACCGACGCAACGCCATTTTGGCCCCTGGAAGGACGTACCTTGAGGTCCTTGTTAAGGCCGATGACGCAGGTCGGGGTGAAGGCCAGCGACAAGAAGTGAGAGAGAGGAAACCAGAACCAGAACTGGGTGAAGACCAGAACGCCGACCACCGAAGGCATGTGTGTGTGTCCAGTCCTCGACTGCAGAGAAATAGTCACGTTGTGGCCGCCTGGGGAGGTAGCACAAAAGAAACACGGGAGGTGAGGGTTGATTGGATTTACAAAGAAGAAGAAGAGAAGAAGAGTTTTGGATTTGATATCCCACTTTATCACTACCCTAAGGAGTCTCAAAGCAGCTAACATTCTCCTTCCCCTTCCTCCCCCACAACAAACACTCTGTGAGGTGAGTGGGGCTGAGAGACTTCAGAGAAGTGTGACTGGCCCAAGGTCACCCAGCAGCTGCATGTGGAGGAGCGGGGAATCGAACCCGGTTCCCCAGATTACAAGTCCACTGTTCTTAACCACTACACCACACTGGGCCCAGAAGAGCCACTGCAGTTCCATGAGGTTCGGGCGGGTCTCTTCTCCAAGAAGTGACTGTGATTAAATGGTATACCAAACATTGAAATAAAACAATAAGTAAAAGGAAATCAAACTGGGAAGAACAAGACAGTAGAAAGAGTCCCCCCCCCCACTCCCACCCGTGTCAATTCAACTGGGTATAAACCAGGCTTCCCCAATCTGGTGCCCAGTAGATGTTTTGGGCTACAATTCTGTGTCCCTGCAAGGTTGCTGAAGGCTGGCGCAGGGCTAACAAGCCAACCGCTTTTTGTTCACTTACTTAGAACAATTCTTGCAAATCCTCATTCAGAGTGAGCGGTAGCCATCATTTGCCTGTTGTGGCCGGTCATTCTTAGAAACACTGGGATAACTCAGGGGGCAGAGCATGAGGCTGTTAATTTCAGGGTCGTGGGTTTGAGCCCCTCAAAGGATTCCTGCATTGCAGGGGGTTGGACTAGATGACCCCCGTGGTCCCTTCCAACTCTACGATTCTACGATCCCTCTCTAGGAACCTACCACAGTGAGCACTTGGAAAGCGGCTAAGAATGCAAAAAAAGCTCTTCAGGATCAAAGCATCCGTTGCTCTAGCTTAGTGACGGGCTTTGCAAGCAGTGGTCAGCCAGATGTTTCTCAGAACTTAAGAATAACATGTCTCTTTTATTATTTCCCCTCCAACACCAGGAATTCTGAGGTAACATGCTCGGAATACAGAGCTTTGACTCAGCTGTCATGAAGGTATGTGGCAGAATGTCTGATATAATAGTCAGAGGTATAATCCACCTATGTAGGCTTTGCTGATTTCATCTTTGTATTGTTGCTAATTATTTTATATACTGTACACCACTTAAGAGATTTTTTCTAAGAGGTTTATATTTTTTTCCTAAATGAAAATAATAAATACAAATAAATTAGTATCTCTCTGCTCCATTCTCTCTCCTTCTCCCTTATTTCCACTTGCCTGGAAGCAAAATTACTTCTCCATCCTTTCCCCCCATCCAGAAACCTCCGATCTTCCTGTGCCTAATAACTAAACTAGGAAGAAGGGGAAAGTCTGCAAGAGATTACATTCCCCCTCTCGACCAGAAGCAGCTTCAGATTCTACTTCCTTCTTCCTACGGGTTATAAATCTCAGCAGCAGAATTAATCCTGCCAGATAACCAAACCCCTTAATTTCATCCTTGCAAAGCAGAGATCAGAGAGCTCATCAGGTTGACGCAACGCAGAAGCTCCCAGCCAAAGCCAAACAGAAAGGTTAGGCCCACAGAGGGAGTGGGAAGGTGTTAATCGGATTTTCAGGGCTTCCAACCAGTTAGGCAGATGGGAGCTGAAGAAGGCCACCGGCATATTCATTGCTGCTGATAAGGCAGAGGGCAGTGGGCCTAATCTATTTAAGATGCAATCAAACTTCAAGCCCTTTTACATGGGGGGGCGGGGGAGAGAGAGACTATGGAGGACCTCCTCAGCCATCAGACCTGTAGCAGACCTGCCTGGGAGTGCAGTTCTTAGGCTGACAATGGTCCAGATTTGGCCAGAAAGTAAACACCACGACCAGAGCAACCAGAAAGTTCTGAATTTGTAAGGTGTATTCTGAAAAGGGTGCAGTATAGTTGAGTTCTACAGGATCACTCTGGATTGCTTAAGTTGGGAAGGGGCTCCCTGCTAATGAGTAGTGAGATCTCTCTCTCTCTTACACACACACACACACACACACACACACACACACACAGTTGCTTCAGGCTGTGTTCACTTGCCAAGCACACCCTGCTGAAACCCATCATGACTTCGGTTTAAACAACTTTGGAATTTTATTTTTCAACATTTAGCCTCTTGACTTCGCCTGCCTAAAATCTTGTCATTTCTGGAGAAGGTGACCTCAGCCCTCAAGCATTGCATTCACACTCTCACGGTTTCTGTTCTCTTTGCATGACACCCAAACTTTCTCTTGGCTCCCTGTCCTCAGGGCCTGTCTGAGAGCAGGAAAGTTATGGGATCTTGCTCTGCTGCTCATCTCAGAAGCATCACCAGGGGTTGAAGGGACAAGCCCTTGAAACAGGGCTTAGAAGCAATTCAGAAAACAGGATTGCTAGGAATTCTTCCAACTCAAGATCAATTTGTGCCGAGCTGGTAAGGAGTGATTTTTCTGTAGCCACATTCTGCCACTTTCAAAGCCAATTTTTCGGCATTTTATTAAACTCGTGAAGAATGTGGGGTTGAACTACTTATTCACATAACTCATACAGCACTCTGCTCAGAAGCAGGAAACTGGTTTATTTGCTGTCTTTCTTTTGCTCTGCACATTCATTTTCAACTCTGGGCAATTTTGAAAATGAAACAAAACTGCCACCTTGCATTTTCCTCCCCATGACTGGTTCATGCACTGGTAGCATCCCAACTTATCCTTTCTGGCTTGCCCACCTTTCTCACCTTTAACCAAGGCTTAGCTGCCAAAATCGTGCTGGCTGGGACTGATGGGAATTGCAGTTCAAAACATCTGGAGGGCAGAAGCTTGGAAAAGGCTGAGTTACAGCCAGAGAGATTTATAGATGCCTTTCTCCCAGAAAGATCTGGAGTTCTGGAGATCAAGTCACATGGGACTCTGTGGCCTGGAAATTCTCTATGGGAGCTGAGAAATAAGGTCCCCAAGCCCCGAGATGTTATCACTCCATCCCTCAAACAGAGAACCACGTCTTCGCATCAGCAAGCAGCTGTAAATCTTCTGTGACAATGTAGGGACAACCTGAGATATGCATCCCTGAGAAGAAAGGTCAGCCCTGTTTGTGCAGACAACCAACAACCCGAGGCAGGTCCAATTTCAGGACGTGTCAGCCAAGTGATTCACGCAAGCAATAAAATCCAAAAGACAGAATCTCATTTGGCTCTTCGTGTTGCTGATGTGCTATTGGTGCTTTAACAACTCGGGGGAACTAGTGAGTTGTTTACGAATGCGATGAAGACATCCAAAGCAGGTTGGACAGCGACTGCAGATTGGGTGCAGGAGCTTAACGCTAGATAGAAACCGAGGAGCCTTCAGGACTGCTGCTGCCCCTTGCAGATGCATTTGACCGCTCAAAGCTCCCATGAATTCTGTGAGGCGGCCTCAGGCAAGCCAGTATCTCTCAGCTTCTGCAAAATGAGGGTGAACATCATCCTGGGTGGCCACCAACCAGGGCAGCTTTAAAAGGAGCTTGGACCAATCCATGCAAGGTAAGGCCATCCATAGCTACCAGCCACAATGACTATGCCCTGGTCCCCCAGTCGGAAGCAGCATGCCTCTGAGCACCACTTGCTGGAGAGTGCGCTGTTGCACTCAGGTCCTGCCTATGGGCTTCCCAGAGGGATCTAGTTGGTCACTGTGAGAACAGGAAGCTGCAATAGAGGCTCCTTTGGTGTGATCCAGAGGGATATTATCCTGCTTTTCAGCAGAGTCCCCCTTTGGGTCTGATCCAGCTACAGGGCTCAGCCTCTAACTTGCAGGGCTGCTGTAACAATTACTGAGACAATGCACATGAAGCACTGTGGACGTTATTCGCAAATTCTAAATATTAGGTATTAACAAATCTGCCAGCTTTTAGTCTCCACGCCAGGAGCATCCCTATGCGCATCAAAGGCCAGGATCCTTTAAAAAAAAATAAAAGCTGTCCCGTGAAACCTGGAAATGACACACATACGTAATGACTGCAGATGCTTCAAGGCAGAGTCTTGACTATCCAAGGACACAATGCCTCGCTTTGCTTTGCTACAGCAGACAAGATGGGCAATCTGTAAAGCCCTGTGCATACTGATAGGACTATACAAATAAACCCATTACCATAATTTCATAATCACTCAAAGTACTTAAAGGAAAACAAGGACGGCGGCAAGGTACACATTCTGTGGGGGAAGTGGAGAGATCAGCGTGGCTAGGAAAAACCTTACACTGGGCTTCGTGCAAGTCTGCATGTTCCAACCGATTTGTTCAGCGAACTGAACAATAAAATGAAAAGGAATTGACTGAACCCAACACCTCCTTGCAGCAGCAGAAATCACCTGCGTCCAATATGCCCTGAGCCAGGATTGCTCCAAACTTGGCCATCACATCGTCGTGTTTATCGTTGATGACTTTGGAATACAGCTGCCTGAACTGGCTGACCTGCAAGAGAGAAGGGGCAAGGTTTAAAACACAAGTATAAAACAAAACAAAACTGCAGAAGGGAAACCCATCAAGGTGCAGGGGATTCCAAACACAATTCTGTGATCCTTTAAACAAATTGGTTTATTCATTCACCGTTCCGTTTATATCCCACCTTTCCTCCAATGAGCTCAAAGTGGCATGCATACTTTCCCCTCACTTCATTTCATCCTCACAACAAGCCTGTGAGGTAGGTGAGGCTCAGAGAGGCAGTGACTGGCACCCAAGGTAACCCAGTGGGCTTTCTTGGCTGAGTGGGGATCTGAACCCTGGTTTCGCAGGTCCTCGTCTAGGTCCGAGACTCCAAGCACTAGATCACACTTATCTAGGAAGACTATGTTCAAAACACACCTGCCATTCTCCTTGCCCTTTAGTAGCAAACTGAATCCTGGGTTTAATCATCTGACCAAGTGCTAATCTGAACTGGATGGCATGAATCAGTAGCAACAACAACAACAACAATAATAATAACGGCGTAATATCTTCCTAGGCAGCAGGGGCTGCCATTCCTCTCTTGCCTTCCATAAGAAGGAAAATCCTAGCGCTGGAGTCAACAAAGCCAGCCTGTACATTTCTGGACAAGGGCAGAAAGAATGTTCCAAAGGCAGGATGCAATTCCTCCCCGTTACTCAATTTTCTCTAATAAATCAAACCAAATTATGGAAGCCGCTAATATGATTCCTTCCTATGCCAATTCCTCCGCATGCTTAGAATTGCTTTAGAGTAATGAATGGAGCGGCGTTTCCGTAAAAGCCCACGACGAAAGAAAACAAGGAAACTGCTTTACGTGCATTCGGCATTTATTTCACTGGATGGGTTTGAAGTCTCTGAACCAATTCGGGTTGGTGGGGGGGACGAAGTGACTAAAAGACTAATGAGGACTTTAAGTGCTCCCCCCCCATGGACATTTACACAAGGCTTAGCTCCACAAGCTTCTCTGTCTCAGAGAACAAGGACAGGGACAAGAAGGAATTCACCCCCGAGTTTTCTGCAAAGAGGATACCCTTCTGGCCTGTGTCACTCTGATTAATCAGGCTTTTGTGCCCTCTTAGTTATTCTGAGCTGCTGAGAGTGTCCCTGTTTTCTATTGTTTTCTGTTACTTTATAGTGCTTTCCAGATTTCCTTTAGGAAGGAGTCGGATGCAGTCTGAAATAAATCAAGTACAAAAGAAACAGGGCACCTGTATCATGTCCCGGAGGCAGGGAGGTGGAGTGGCTTGACGCAGAAGCGCAGGCTAGCCATCTGCACTCCTGGCACTTCTCTGGGGCTCAACTGCTCCCTCCCACTGTAACTTTGCCTATATAAATTGCCCATCAAGGTCCCATGACAAACATTGGTGTCTGATAGGCAGATATTTAACAACTATAGGCCTGAGGGTCCCACCCTTGGAGAAGCCTAGCACACATGCCAACGCCATTTTAAGAAGGCATCTGCAACACTGACTGTTACTGGTAACAGCAGTGGTGCAGCAATAAAACTGATAGCACATTTGCTAAGCTAAGAAGGGTCCAGTATGGTTTCAAATTGGATGGGGGATGGCGTGTTGAGATTCCTGCATTGCAGGGGGTTGGACTAGATGACCCAGGGGGTCCCTTTCCAACTGTACAGTTCTATGATTCTATATGAATCACAAGTTGTTGTTTATTCGTTTAGTCGTGTCCGACTCTTCGTGACCCCATGGACCAGAGCACGCCAGGCACTCCTGTCTTCCACTGCCTCCCGCAGTTTGGTCAGACTCATGTTTGTAGCTTCGAGAACACCGTCCAACCATCTCGTCCTCTGTCGTCCCCTTCTCCTTGTGCCCTCCATCTTTCCCAACATCAGGGCCTTTTCCAGGGAGTCTTCTCTTCTCATGAGGTGGCCAAAGTATTGGAGTCTCAGCTTCCAGGATCTGTCCTTCCAGTGAGCACTCAGGGCTGATTTCCTGAAGAATGGATACATTTGATCTTCTTGCAGTCCATGGGACTCTCAAGAGTCTCCTCCAGCACCATAATTCAAAAGCATCAATTCTTTGGCGATCAGCCTTCTTGATGGTCCAGCTCTCACTTCCATACATCACTACTGGGAAAACCATGGCTTTAACTATACGGACCTTTGTTGGCAAGGTGATGTCTCTATGAATCACAAGTAAATTTATCTAAAGTTATCTCTCCCCATTCTGAAGGAAATCAGCCCTAAGTGCTCACTGGAAGGACAGATTCTGAAGCTGAGGCTCCAAGACTTTGGCCACCTCATGAGAAGAGAAGACTCCCTGGAAAAGACCCTGATGTTGGGAAAGATGGAGGGCACAAGGAGAAGGGGACGACAGAGGACAAGATGGTGGGACAGTGTTCTCGAAGCTACCAGCATGAGTTTGACCAAACTGCGGGAGGCAGTGGAAGACAGAAGTGCCTGGCGTGCTCTGGTCCAGCGGGTCACAAAGAGGTGGACACCACTAAACAACAACAACAACATCTCTCCCCCCCCACCATATCTTCTTCTTCTTCGATCACTCGTAGCCGAGTAAGATTGTCTTCCATAAACACGGTTTTAACAATGAGTCCGTAAGTGACCATGGACGCCAATTCTGGATCCACACGTCCTTCCACAGTGGGGACATTGGTTTCTGGGTGAGAGTTGATCACGGTGTGGATTTGCCAAGTGTGCCTTCCTCTTAGCACGTTTCTACCATGTTTCTCCCACCATATACCACACACATGCATGACAACTTTTTTGTGGTTTAAAATTTACACAGTTCAATTCCTCCTGGGATAGCTCAGTCAGCAGAGCACAAAACTCTTGATCTCAAAAGTTGTGGGTTCGAGCTCCATATTGGGCAAAAGATTCCTGCACTGCAGGGGGTTGGACTAGATGACCGGTGTGGTCCCTTCCAACTCTATGGTTCTCTCTTCCATTTCTTCCTGGCGGCTCACAATGGGCAAACGATTCATTTTTTAAAAGACCACCACACCAGTGAAGTTAAAGTTACCCTCCTGCACACATGTCAGCTTAATCCAGATGTTGAATGCCAGCCCAACAAGGGAAAGTTTTACAGCTCTTCCCAACAACTGATGTTCTCAGGGTGCCAAATTCTTCCCCTGGTACGAGATTCTGCTTATGAGGGAGGGAACACATAAAAGCCTAAAATATTCCAGCAGAGCAGGGGATGTTGTGCTTGAGCTTCTTTCAACACTTTGTGCTTGGGGGGGGGGGGTTGTCAGCGGGGAGAGACAGAAACCAAAAGGCATTGCAGCACGTGGAAGACAGATTAAAACCAGGTTGCTTTTTGCCCAGGGTGCTGCCTCTTCATTCCTGTGGCTTCCAGAACATGTGGACTCATGTTGTTTATAAGACCTTGACAGTTACTATAAACTCTGAAAATGAAAAAAGATCAAGAAAAAAGTTGCTAGCCATACGGGCCATGATCTAGAATCCACACCGTAATCAAATCTTCAGAGAAACAGATCACGGCCGGAGCTGGGAGACATTCCGCAGATCTGCTAATGTTCACACTGGCGTCTGTAGTCTGACAGCAAAGGGCTCTGCATGCGACGGGAGGGCTGGCTGGACCCCTGCGACACGGCACTTGGGTATGGAAGCTATTCAGCGCCACCAGCGATGCTCTAGGATGCAGTCCAGGGACCGGCAAGCCACATCCGACAGGGGGGAGATTGATGGCAATGCCAGAGTCGGTTCTGAGAGCTTAAGCATGCCTGTCATCTGAACACAGAAGAATCACACACCATAGAGGAACCCATATCTCCCACCCCCTTTTTGTTGCCCAAGTCCCTGATCTAAAGGGCCTTCCAGAACAGCCACTCAGACAGAGATGCAGCAGGCAACCCCCTCTCAGGTATTGGGCAATTCTGCTTGCTTTCCTGCACCCAATCACATTCACTGCGCACGTCTGTCAGATCTCTACCTCTGTACCTGCAAGGGGAGACTGACTGAAAAGGGGAACGGCTAGAGCTGTGATGAATCGTACACATACCCAGCAAGCAGCCTTTTCGGAGGCCTTGGGATTCATCATCGCAGCGTTTATTCAATTTCTTGCTGCATGCAAACATCACCATGGCACGCAGTTGGGGAATTACTGACCTGAGTAAACTAGAGGCACGACTCATTTTTAACAATGAGGGCCCTACTAAATGTTCCACAGGACTACATTGATTCGTGCTTTTGCATTTCTGGGTGTATGTGCATTTTAAGTGAGAAAGTCTTAGAGTATGATGTGTGCCTGATACTGTCTAGATGTCCCTGGACTACAACTTCCATCATCCCTGACCAATGGCCACACTGGCTGGGCCTGATGGGAAGTGGAGTCTAACCATTATCCTGAGGCCCCCAGGTTCCCCACCACTATCCTAACCCTTTCCACAGAAAGAGGCTTTTCCTACATTAAAAATGGCCTGCCTGCTTTTGGCCTGGAAATCAAACCAAAAAAGAGGGAGAGAGGGGAATTTTTGCAAACTACCTTCGGCTGCTATACATGTTGCAAGTTCTACAAAGAACAAAAGCCAGAAAGGTGTGTGGCGGAAACTGTGTCTCAAAGATGGTACTTTGGTGGCCTGTTGACATGTAAAGCAGCCAGAGACTGCAAAAGAAGCTTTGCTGTTGTCTCTGCATTCTTTGGCATATTTCAGACCCGGGCTATTGATACAATTTCTCCAGCAAACAGTCGCGCAGCACCTGAAGGAAACTCCATGTTAAACCCACAAATTCCAGGGGAGCACAGAAAGCCCACAGAATACTGGATGCAGAATGTACCTTCCCAAAAAACTCCAAGCTTCGCATTTAACACCCCGCCCCCCCATCAGCATGTTTCAAGTCCTCATGGGACAGCAAAGATGTGCTGGGAAACGTATGGGGCAATGTCTGCTAAGACTCCGCAGAAACCAGAGGTGGCTTGGGCAAAACTCCTCCCCCTTCCCCTTTGACTAACAAAGCAAGACATATGCAAAATAGTAAAAACTGGAGAATAAATTCTGCCAAGTGAAATAATTTATATCTATTGCAGAACCCAGTGTTTCCTGGTGCAGAATTTCAAGTGCAGAATTTCAACTCCCTGCCACACCAAGGGCATAATGCACACAGCCATGTTCATAAAGCCTACATTTGCTAGCTTGTGAATCCTACAGTATAACCCTGGTTGGGGTGCCCAAAGAGAAAAATCTAAATGATTTAGTATCCCCTCTTCCTCTAATTAACAGCAGGGATTGCAGCCCACCGGGATGGTGGCTTGCGGACTGAAGTTCTCAGCCCCCCTGAAATGAATGGGGGGTGCACAAGAGCACTTCCCTTCACAGCAAGACTACCTCCAAATCCCTCCTTCCATCCACATCTATTCTAGACACCCTACCATTGTGGTTAACTGTCAGCTCTTTAGGTCTGCCAGGCCAGAAGACCAGAACTGGGAAGGATGTGCCACATGGCGATATTTTTAGAGCAAGGTATGAAACCTGTCTGTGGGTTGCGTGCCCTCCACCCTCTCGACAGAACTCCATGGCTCTTTGAAGTTTTACGGCCTTAGAAAAAGGCCCGCTGGGGTACATTTGGGTGGCGTCCAGGGCAACGTTGGAACACAGGCAGCAATTCACTCCACTTCATTTGCGGCAGGCCATTCACCATCTCAAATGGCTGACGAAAGCCAGAACAGCTCAGCTCCTGCGTTTAAAAACGGCTACCAACTGTGGTGTTAAAGCAAACCGCCAGGGCTATCTTGTTCACGGCACTGCAGAGCAAATGCCACAATCTCTTCCTCTAGAGTCCACTGGGCGCAAGGATCGTCTACAGCAAGCCTTCAAGTCAAAAGGAATTCCACTAGCCAGGCTTTACTGCTGAGGGGTCAAAATTAAACAGGCTGGTTGAGACCTGAACAGCAGCCCACTCAATGCCTTAGAGAAAGTAACCAAGCTAATTGCAAACTGTCCAATCCCAGAAAACCCTTCAAAAATCAAAATTGTGTTCTGTTCTGTGGCACTACCTATAAGTACGCACTGACATATTAAAAGCAGGATCCTACTGAACACACATAAACCAGCGTTGCTTATGTCAAAATTCCAAGCCAGTTTTGTGACGCAAACCCTGGTTTTATGCCTCCGCAACACAGACATACTCGGGAGAGAGGGCCCAGCGAACACCTGAAGCCCAGTGTTGTCCTATCTCCTCCCAACTGCTGGTGAAGTTCTGAGCTGGCTTTGTGGTACAAACTCCGGGAGCCCTCATGTCTGAGGATATGTTCTGAAAGCACAGGAGGCCGCAAGCTTGTTGAAGCTACGCAGGTCTAGTTCTGGTCAGTGCCTAGATGTGTGGACGGCCTGGGAATCCTTGGCTTCTGGGATGTAAGGAAGGTGAGATATAAATGCAGAAAATAAATACCCTCTAAGCACCTGGTTAACCACTGCTGCTTTAGGTAAAGGTAAAGGTATCCCTGACAGTTAAGTCCAGTTGCGAATGACTCTGGGGTTGCAGCGCTCATCTCACTCTACAGGCCAAGGGAGCCGGCATTTGTACGCTTCCGCAGATAGTTTTTCCGGGTCATGTGGCCAGCATGACTCAGCCGCTTCTGGCGAAGCCAGAGCAGAGCATGGAAATGCCATTTACCTTTCCGCCGGAGCGGTACCTATTTATCTACTTGCACTGCATGCTTTTGAACTGCTAGGTTGGCAGGAACTGGGACCGAACAACGGGAGCTCACCCTGTCATGGAGCCTTGAACCGCCAACCTTCCGATCGCCAAGCCCAAGGCTCAGTGGTTTGCACCACAGCGCCACCCGTGTCCCCCACTACTGCTTTAAGCTACCACAATAAGCAGCTGCAAGGGAGAAACCAGGGCACTATTTTCCCCAACACCATCAGCCATCATGGGGATTGGCTCCAGGCCCGGTTGAGATGCACTGCAGGTCAAAGGAGGTCTTCCCAACTGCTGCCTGAAAATGTCTTTAAAAGCCCCTGCTCTTGCTGGACTGACACATGGTGGAGCGTCCATCAGCGCCACTTTTCAAAACGAAGCTCATAAGAGGAAGCCAGAGGATGTGATCAAAAGCTGCCCACTGAATCTGCCACTCAGGTTATACTCAGCTAACTTGCAGTGGAGCCAGCGATGAAATACAGCCCCAGAAGGCTGCTCCCCAAACACGGCAGCTCAGTTTATAGCTCCAACTGTCAGGACGGCTCATAGCGGCTCCTGGAAATGAAGCACTTTTGCCATTCCATTGTGCAACTGACAGGCTTTACGGACTATGTGATGTTGCTCAGAAGCACCAGCTCCTGCATTTTCTGCATTCCGGCTGCCGACGTCCGCGTCAATCCTTTTGGCGAGGAACGCTGTGCTACCTGCCACAGGAGCGCAGGGATTCCAGGGAATGTCTGAGGGCGCATCAGCCAGACTTGCTTGCCCTCCTCACTGCCCTGAGTGAACCGAGGGCAAGCCCCACAACACCAGCCACCACAACAGCAACCACCAACACTGTGGCCACTCACTGCAGGGAAGGTTAATACTAAACTTATAGCCTGCCCCTTTATTAAAAGTAATCAAAGTGGCACACAACAAAACCAAGAAAGCACAGGATGGTATTTCAACTAACATGTCCGATCAGTGTAAGGATTTCTGCTTGCACAATGGAAGTGCCCCCCAATCCCTGGACGCCCCTTAAATCTGTTTTTGGGGTTCCCCCAAGCCCCTGAAGCAGATTTGGGGAAGGGTGCAGGGTGTGGGGGCCAGGAGAGGAAAGTTTAATTGAGCAAGCGTTGATCCTTATGCTGACAGGACACACTCGTTGGATACCACAGAATATTGGATATATTACTGATATAATATGATCAGTAAAATGCAAAGAAATGCAACCAAAAACTGAAAAACAAAACAAAAACACAAGCCTGGCAGCTGCAAGAGTCGGTTATGTTATACATTAAAATTAGCAAGAATATGACTTGGCTACTTTCACTCACAAAGAAACCCCCCATTGAAGTAAAGGTGTGTTCTGTTTCTGGTAGATGCCACATGAAGAGGGAGCTGGGTCAAGTCCAACTGGGAGGGCAATGCAGGGTCATGTTCACTTGCTGAGTCTCCTGAGATGGCGCTGAGAGCAAGGGACACTGATCTCAATTCCCAGGCAGCCCTACATGGGAGCAGGTAACTGGTCCTCTGAAGGCTAGAACCAGCACCATGAAAGGGGATCCAAAGCAAAAAAGAAGCCAAAGGAATAGCAGTTGTGGGAAGCCACAGGCAGAGAGTGTGTGCTTGAGCTCAGCGTACTATAAAAGCTTTGTGTTATCTCTTACATCTTGGGGTCTAGGTAGGTTTGCCCAGGTCCATTCACAGTGAGCTTCATGCATGTGCAGGGAGCCGGAGCCAGGTCTCCCCGATTCAGATCCAACACCCAATCCAACTTCTCAATTTACACAGCCAGTTGCAAAATAATGTGACTTGTGCGGCTAGATGCAGGTGTTTTAGTAATGCTATGCAGAGCGAAAGCAGCTTGGGTTTGAACCCCCCACGGCAGGCTGCATTTACTGCAGTGCCACAACCCTACCCGCACAACATTTAATCGGGGCCGGCCCACCCATGAGGTACAGCGTGGCAACTGCCTCAGGCGGCAGAATCCACTGGACCAGCAGATCTTGATGTTGATTTGCTTCCTCCCTTGTTCCCAATCATAGATGTAGATCCTCTCTTACCCTTTCTTCCCTGGCGGGCAGGGGGGAGCCATTTTGGGTCCACCTCAAGTGCTGAAATGTCTTGGGCTGGCCCTGCATTTAATTCTGTTTTTCCACCACCCCAAGGGAAAATTCATCATTCCTATTTTATGAATGGGGTACTGGTGCCAAGAATGTCTGGATCTGCCAGGGCCTTGAAGTGAGTCCAGCTTCACAGGTCTTCCATGTCCAAGTCCAACATTATGCTCCACTGCACTAAGACTAACTCTCCACTCGATCTAGTTCATCTTTTGAAAATCAAAGATGCTAATTGCTCCCATGTCTTCCGAGCTGTACAGATATCTGCTTTGGATCAACCAATAGCCACCCTCTTTCCTTCTTCTGCAGCAAGCCGGTAAGACAATAGCATCTAGCAGGAGGGCTTATTATCCTGCAGTTGACTCTACTTACTCTCTAGAGTAATCCATGAGCTCATCCAGATCAAGTTCCACTTTCCCCATCCTCAGCTGTATTCACAGATTATTAGGTAAAGCATTTACACCCTACTCCACTGCTGAAAAGGATCCCAAAGCGGCTTGCATAAAACCATTAGCAAACAAGACAGGCCTTGCTCTTCCGAGCTGATCATATTCAGTGAGCTTTCTTCACCTGATAAGAACTCTGCATTGCTTTACAAACCACGTGCCAGAAAGAGATAGCGCCTCATGAGCCCTCCTTTTGTTCAGAAATAGATAGGAATGATGCACATTGTGTTTGGCTGTGGTGCCTGTTGGTATGGTGGACCAAGGAGAATAATCTTGCCTGGTTCTTTGTACAGGTTGGCTTAAAAATTCAGACATATTTTCAATGAGGCTTCACCCCTGTTGCATCCAGTAAAACAAGTGGCAGGGCCAATCCTGCGGGTAAGTTTAAGGAACAAACACCAATATTGTCTGTATGACATGTGCACTTTAAAATATTGCATACTGGTTTAGAGACTACACTGCACTTACAACTGCCTTGCTTTCAATCTTGACCACACTTGTTCAGTGTTTTATTGGTCAATGAAATCTGAAGATGCTTTCTATCTCTGCCTAGGATTTCAAAACGCAGCATTTTACTTAATCGAGAACATATGTTGCTCCAACTTCACAGGAACCAAGGAAAGCTGAAGCATTAAAATGTTATACCTGGTTCAGCTTTCTGAGAAACTCTTGCTCCCCTCTTTTAAAAAATCAAGTTTTTAGTCCTTAAGGGTTTTTGTGGCAGGCTTGACACAGTGTGGGCAATGTCCCAGGTGCCAGAAAAGATGCAGGATAAAACTGCCCATGTTCAGAGTGCAGAGCTTCAGCTCCTTGCCACTCCCCCTGCCTGGAAAAACTCTGTGGTGGGTCAGAATAATGTAAAATAGGCAAAATCATGTAACTCGTCTTGATTTAAATAATTTATACAGTTTACACATTTATTTTTAAAAAGTCTGGACTACAGACAGCCCTAGAATCATAAAATTGAAAGGGACCCGATGGATCATCTGGTCCAACCCCCTGCAATGCAGGAATCCTGCCCACAGCTGCCCCTGGCTGGACTCAAACCACCAACCTTCTGGTTAACAGCCAGACGCACTACCCCAATGATGAAGGTAGCCTTCTTCATCAGCCTTTCCTGAACCACAGAAGCTCTTCCGCTATTCTCCCATATCTTAGCCCCAGTAATGATTACAAAGTACAGATCTCCAATGCCCAGCACCTTTCTTGCCCATCTTCTGTAGACTGCAGGAACTCTAGACAGGCAGCTTCTCCCTTCTGCGTCTTGCATATCACATAGCGCACCACTGGCACAATATGCGGGGAGAGCAGTAGCAGCAGGAAAGGGAGAGAGCTGTGCTCACGTTCAGTAGATGCCTCCCAATTTCCCAAGTCTAACATGCAAAGGAACAGGATGAGGCTTTTACATTGGATCTATTAACTAATGACATTACATGCATCAGAGAGTTGGAACAACCTAGTAGGATGCTTGCCAAGGCCTCTTGCTTAGCACTTTTGTACAAACAGGGAGGCTTTTACATGTGGATGTTCTCAGATGTCTTATGCTACAGGTGGGTTGTTTAAACTGAATCTACCCCAACCTACACTGAGAAAGAATATTACTTTTTAAACTGCCGTTTCGAGAAGGCATTTTACTTTTTTACATTGCTGCAACAACTTAAATCCAGGACGCCTTTCCCAGAAAGCCAAACATGTAGTTTCCCAGGACAAGGTGCTATTTTTAAAGAAGAGAGTTACACTTCAAAAATTTGAACAACAATTTAGAATGGTGGCCTGTTCCAGGAAATCCAGTATGGCTAGGTTACAAAACCTTTGTACCAGACACAAGATATGCTCACACATGCTATTTATTAGTATGGACCATGGGCCCACGTACAGCCCTGCTATACAGAAGTGAAAGAAACCTCCAAATTCAGTAAAAAAATGCAGGGCAATATCCCAGAGAGCAGCGCTTCCAAGGAAGTTTGAGAAAGCGACGTCCTGAAAAATGAGTCACCAACACAAGGCTCCGTCACGGCCTTCTCAGGCTGCGTGGTATGAACCAAAGCTTCATTTAGCCTGGGAAGGACTGTGGGCGGCCATCCCACGATCGAGACTGGGAGAGAAATGTGCTCCTGAGCCAAAATCAGAGGCCCAAGAGGCTGCCTGTTTGCCACTGGAGACTAGAAATGAACTTCGGCACATTCCTCTGCATGGACGACCCATTAAGAACTAAACATTTCTTGGATATGCTGATTGTCCCCATCAAATCAACACATTTGCACCCAAGGCCTCCAGAGCTCTGCTGTTTTCGTAACTGTGCAATGGATCAACCCAGTTGGTCATCTACCTGTGCTGGGCCTGTGGCTTTGGTCTCTGAAGAGTTTTTACTCTCCTGTTTAGCTTTTCCTTGCACTGAAGGCCAAGTCATAAACCAGGGAAAGGTGTAAAATCAAACATGCTACTGAACGCAAACTGAAAGACCAATAGTCCACTCAAACAGGCGGTAAAATGAAAACTGCTCCAAGTTTAAAACAGCGACCTCACCTGGGGAAAGAGGAGCGTTTCTGTGAGGTTTCTGTCCCCTGGACAGCGACAAAGGTAGCTCCTTGGAGATGGCACACTTTGATATAATGATAGTCACGCCCACGCATCTCTTGCAATTTACTGGACTCAAATATCGTTACAAAAATGAAGTTTTGTTCCTTGAAGAATGCCACTCGCTAAAGCAACTGCTATTGCAGGGCTGCAGAAGCTTCTGTCTCCTTCAGCCAAGGGCTTTTCTCTCTTGCATACCTCCCTGGCTGAAGATCCATTACTCACCTTTGGGCAGAGGATCTCTGTCTGCTGGATCATGATAAGGGCAGACGCAATCAAAGCGCCTTGACGCACATAGTTCACAGGATCATTTGTCATTGGCTCGAGCAAATTAATTGCTTCCTATTCGGAGAAGAAAAGAAGAGCACACATAATATTAACTGTATTACTTTTTAAACACCAGGCTTTCATCAGGATTATCAGATTAGGATCTTCAAGAAGGCCATGGAATAGAGCTTTGCTTATTTTTATTGAGATTGATATATTTGCCCACCACACGGATAACAGGGCAAAGGGTGTGAAAACAGTGATTACTGTTTTCTAAAAAGCATTTCCTCAATTTAAGCTCAAAAACAGAAGGAAGATTTAACACTTTCCTGAATGAAATCTGTTACAAGCTTAGGTGTAACAGGTAAGCAATTTATCTGATGCTATAAATGATGCCTATTTTAGGCAACGGGGAGTTTTGTTTTGTCTCGCCACTACCAGGCTTGATGAGCTCTTTGAACATCAATGCACTTTAGTTGACTCATTGATGTGCCTCAGGGCTCACACTGAGAAAATCCTATTCCCCAATTACACTTTCACTTCTCTCAAAGGAGCAGTCTCTGAATTGGACCTCTAAAAATTTAAGAACCTGGGTTGAGGGGAAGCATGTGAGGAAAAGGAGGGAACATCTAAAATGTATGGAAATACTTTATAGGAAGACAGGAGTGCCTGGCGTGCTCTGGTCCATGGGGTCACGAAGAGTCGGACACGACTAAACGACTAAACAACACTTTATAGTCCAAAACACACGGATGACTTCATCAATTATAGGGGTATCAAAATTGTGTACCTCCATGTGACTAAAAGCTGATGTGGTATTATGTAATTCAAACGCACTCAGATTGTTAGAAAAACTGGGTATCTGCACACTCCCCCTCCCAAAAAAAAACCCCCACCTCACACCACACAGAAACTTGGAATTTGGTGCAAACCTAGTTGAAGGCCTGGAAAGTAATTTTTCTACATCTGATGATCAAAACCCAGGACATGGTGGTGTGCATCAGAGGGCAATACTCTTAGCACAGAATGGGCTGTAGGAACCTCAGCCTCTTACACACCTGAATCAGCATTGTGGGGATTCCCAGGAGCAGCTGAGTACGCATACATTCCATGCCAAATTTACTCACTAACCCACTTTAGAGCTGGAAAATGGATCTGATGACCCACTTAGAATCAGAGAGGTGGAAGAGGCCTCAAAGGGCGTGCAGTCCAGTGCCCCCCACCTGCCAGGCTGACACAGGAAATCCAACTACTATAGCATCCTTGACAGAATCAGATTTAAAAATCACCTGAAGAAGCCATGTCTTAAATAAAAGACAGGCTGATGAAGTACAGGTTCAGTGTACAAGGGGTTATTATTCTGAACTTTTTGTTTCTTTCACAGCACAAGCTTTCCAAAACCTTTGCTCTAATTATATGGCCTTTTACAAGGCCGAGTTGTATTTTTGTGCATTTATTGGCCCAGGCCTAATCTGTGACATTGCGTGAGTTCATGCCTATTTATAGCGGATGCGTGAGGGAAGTGCCTCTTTGGCCTAACTAAAAGCTTAACTTCGTTTCCAATCTCCCCAGTTCTAAAATATTAACTTGGCCTTTAAAATAGGTTGATGTAGGCCCTGGAAGACACACTGATATAAACAGATGCTCAAGATCCTTTATTTTAGAAATAAACAATAAAGAAGTACAGAGCTGCAGCCAAGCAGGTTCTATTATCCTGCCCATACAAATTGAGAAATAAAACAGACTCCGACTGTGAATACCAAACGGCTGACCATTTTTGTCCACTACAGGCAGATGCTCGCACTACAAAGAGGGGGTAAAACTGGGGCTTACTCCACCCTTCCTGCAACATAGGTGCTTAGTCCACATCACTGTCTGGAGGAGAGAGCATGCCCTGACGCACGGAGGAGAGGAAGATCCAGATCTTTAAAAGGAAATGCCTCTTCAAGAGATGGGCCAAGGAGTCTGAAGAAGGGGGCATAATGGATTTGTGGGTTGGTGAATCAAAGTGAAATACCAGGGGCACTTCCCAGTCAAGAGAGTGAACTTGTTATTGTCAAAGAGCACTTACAGTTGCTCCTGCAGCTCTGGAGACCTATAAACACCAATCTAGCACTGAGGCAGCTATTCCCAGGTCCATCAGCAACAGGGGACCATTCCATTCTCTCTTCACCGTTTATGTACCTTCCCCCAAAGGACTGCGTGCACATTGCTTGAGACTACGCCTGCGTGAAAGGTGACTCTGCTCTTCCCTCTTTATTTCTCTCCTGGTTCTGGGAGACAGTGGTGCAAGCGAGGGTGAGGAAGCACCTGGCCCTTCACTTGCCTGGCCTGCCTCTTCCTCCGGCTCTGATGCTTCTCCTGCCTCTGATTCTTGCCTCCTGGCTGGTACAGGTCCCCACAGACCGCTGCCCCCCCCGAGTCAAGACTCCAGCCCCCCTTCGCCCGGTGCACACATGTCAGCGTGCTGCCAGTCGTTGACAGTAAATCAATTCCAGAAAGTTAATCCGGGTATATCAGGCTTCTGCAGAGCATGTGAGAGTGTGGCAAGGCGGAGGAGATCCTCAGAAGATGAAGTAAAACAGGAATACGAAAGGGCAAAAAGCACAGAGCAGAATCCGTGAGCTGAATGTAGCAGATGCTCTGTTATATGGGAGTCTGCAAATAGGAAGGGGTAGCTTACACAGAGACAGGAAACGCCAGTAATTGATCATGGTGGAAAGGCACAGAGAGATGAAGAGCTGGTCTGCAGGAAGCCTAACGGCAAAAGCCGCGGCCCATGAAGGCCCTCGGTTCAAGTCCATTTGAGATTATTGGCCTGGGAATAGGTGCCTAGACACTCAACTGGTGTCTGTCAGGATCCAGAGTTGTAGAAGCGACTGTAAGTGTTACCTTTGACAATAAAGAGTTCACTATCTGCTGTGTGCATTCCTTTGGCTGAGAAATGCCCCTGACAGGTACTTAGGAAAACCGCAGAGAGCATGCGCCTTTTTAGGAACCATTCCCTTTTATCTCCTAGGAAGGAAAAACTGGTCAGATGGTGTCTGTATCACCTAAAAACAAAGATAGGATGTATTTTTCTTCAAAAATGATACATTAAATTGACTTTAAATCGGATGATAGATCCACTTTTCTATTTTGAAGTCTTATGCTGCAATCCTAACACAAGGAATCACAGTTACATGCAGCACACTGTATGGTGCACTTATTGGGCAGCGTGGGCTTTCTGGAGTTCCTTCCAACCATGAATTCTTCAGGTATAGGTAGCAGCCTCGATGGAAGAGGAAGGGCAGCAAGCCTGGGCTCTGTTGTCCTTACCTTGTTCCCGGTGCCAGCACAGCAGATTCCTAGGGCCATGGCTGCTCCGTAGCGGACATGGGGGTTGTAACTTTCTGACAACAAGGAAACTACACTTGGACACTGTTCAGGAGTCCTGAAGGAGGAAGAAAAGAGAAAAGCAAAGAGAGCAATTACATTTCACTGAAGTGTAAAGAGCACCACACCTTTTTAAAAAAAATTAATCATTTTTTCAATACAAACAACAACCGCAAAAGACACATACAACAAAAACCATAATAACACTAATAACAATTTGACATTTCAGATTTGAATACACTGATATACCTATGACTACACCTTTTAAACAATGTTTTCCCACCTCTCTCTCTCTCTCCCCTACTTCCCACCACTATCCGCCTAGTCGCTTAAATATTCCTTCCATATTTCTTCATATTTATCCATTCTTAATTTGCGTTGACATGCAATTCGTTCATATGTAGCTAATCTGTCCATATTATCAATCCATCACACCTTTACAGCCGCAAAGTACTGAGCAAAGTCTTGCAACCAAAGGGAAAGGAAGCAACACTTACTTCTGCTAAACATAGCTTGGATTCTGCTGCCGCCTGCAAGAGGCAACTCTGACTAGTAATGTAAATAAGAAGGTGATGGGAACGGAGGTTCAGGGTTAAGGCAAGCTGTACCAGGCAATTCTTTCTAAAGCTAGAATAGGCCTGAGGACGATAAACTGCCTCACACATAAAGCTATTTGTCACTTTGTTCTCAAACAACAGCTCAAAGCTGGCATCAAACGAGCTGCTCTGAAGATAGGGAGTGACAAGGCTTTGAATAAATGAACCTAAACATTCACAGTAAAGGTTTTTAGGGCCCTGACACAAACTACATTTGCCTTTCGATTACTTCAGCAATTATTCAACCAAGTTCAACACACATAAAGAGATCAGAATTTATTATTTATTATAAATATTTGTAGACCACTTGTCATTAGAAACGTATTTCCGTGGTTTACAGCAGTAAAAAGAATGTAATGTACAAAAACAAAATGCGCACAGTACGGCATACACAGCAGCCCAAAAACTGAAAATTGTAACAGCTGAAGTCATGAGCCATCAAACAACAAAGCAAACAAGGTTTTCAGCAAGTGCCTAAACTGCAGCAGAGTCCATGTACAGTACAGTATGTAACCTCAAGTTACATACGCTTCAGGTTAGAGACTCCACTAACCCAGAAATAGTACCTCGGGTTAAGAACTTTGTTTCAGGATGAAAACAGAAATTGTGCTCTGGCGGGGTGGCAGCAGGAGGCGGCCCCATTAACTAAAGTGGTGCTTCAGGTTAAGAACAGTTTCAGGTTAAGTACGGACCTCTGGAACAAATTAAGTACTTAACCCGAGGTACCACTGTATCTGGGAGTCAGCTATTCCAGTGTATGAGCAGCAGCACCCTAGAATCAGTATCTGCTTGCATTAAAATACACACACACACATTTTTAAACAGTCAGGTCCTTTAATGAATGCGAGCATAGCTGTCAACTTTTCCCTTTTCTTGCGAGGAATCCTATTCGGAATAAGGGAATTTCCCTTTAAAAAAGGGAAACGTTTGACAGCTATGAATGGGAGTCTTCACGTAAAACCTCTTAACAGGAGGGGGGAAATGGAATGTAAAGTTTGGCATTATGAAAACAAACAAAAGGTGAACAATGAAGGCTACAGCAAGGAAGAAACATTAAAATCAGGAACTCTGTAAGACAGCTGCTTTGCAAAGTATAACATCCCCTCAACCACACTTTCCCAGTACCGTACACTAGCCATGAAATCAGCCATGCTAAGGTGTCAAAAGGGTTCTCAAAGGTCTTCTAGTTCAAACCTATGCGATGAAGAAGACTGGCTCTCCGACAGCATTCTTGAGAGGTGGTGACTTGACCTCTTTCTGAGGCAGCCTGATCCCTCCCGTCAATTTCATCTACACTGATTTCCTTGAAATTTGAACCCACTGGTCTGGGCCCTACCTTCCTTTTGGAGCAAATTATTGATCCATCATTTAAATCCAAACCTGAAGACAGCCATTGTATTATTTCATAGAATCATGGAATCACAGAGCTGGCAGGGATCTTGAGGGTCATCTAGTCTGACCCCCTGCGATGCAGGAATATGCAGCTGTCCCATATGGCAACTGAACCTGCAACCTTGGCGTTATCAGCACCAGGCTCTAGCCAACAGAAGCAGTCTCTTCTCCAAACCAAAGGCTTCCCATTCTTTCCTTACAGGGATTTGAGTCTCCAGGGACCTCACCATTTTTGTCACTCTTCTTTATCAACAAACGTGCCCATTCCTCTTAAACCATAATTGCTCAGAAGCGGGAAACAGCAATTCGAGTCCTGCCCTTTATAAATGAACGTCCTTCCCCACCCTCTGAGCTAACCTGCTTCATCATGAAACCGTTTGCGCATGACGTTTGTCGTTTTCCGGAGAATTATACTTTAATTCAAAGGAACACTTATTCTTGGAAAGTTGAGTGAGCATCCCCGTTCCAGAATGGAGTGATATTTCAAACATGTCCCGTGGGACTTCTCAAATCAAATCCTGTCACTTGCTACTCAGTCCCCCAGAACCCAGAGTCTTACAGCATTCAGCTAAGGCAGCCTTTCTCAACCTGTGGGTCCCCAGATGTTGTTGGACTACAACTCCCATCACCCCTAGCTAGAAAGGCCATAGCTCAGGGATGATGGGAGTTGTAGTCCAACAACATCTGGGGACCCACAGGTTGAGAACCGCTGAGCTAAGGCATTTATTATGGCATAAGCTTCTATGGACTCATTTGCCTTCTGAAAATATTGAAGGCACAAAGCTTTTCCTCTGTGAAAGAGTTAACACTTCGACAGGGGGCAGCAACAGCACATCCACACGCATCACAGTGGCAAAGAGCAGACCCCAACATGTAAGAGGCAACCGCAGACTTTCAAGCACGGTGCAAACATTTAATTTTCACTCCAGCCAGAAATCTAGCCCCCTGCACACGCTAAAAATAGCTGTTCTTCAGACGCACAGGACCGATAATGGAAATTTCCAAAACAAATGTACTTATTGAGAGCCACCTGCAGAATACCAAACTCCTCACAGGAGGAAGGATGAATTTCCTGTTGCCACAATTAGAAATGGAGTGATGCGAACCTATTTTGCAGTAGCCTCACGGCGTCTTAATGGCAGCTGTCTCAACAGTGGCACAACCTGGATCTTTACAAGGATGTCAGATAAAAAGGACAGCTTTAGCCCATAACACTCCAAATGTACAAAAGCAGTGTTATCTGTCAAGGACGGCATTATCGTTAAGTGTATCTGCTTCCAAGGCAGCTATTCTACATTCAATGTAAGAGACCATCCGTTCCTCAGGGACCCTTTCTACCTTCCTTTTTGTTGTATGCTGATGAACTCCTGTGCACCTGACAATTCCTGGCTTTCAGAGAAATAACGGCAGCAGGTGACGGGGAAGACTCTTGCTCTGCACGGGACCCTGGAGAGTCCCTGTCAGTCTGAGGAGTCGTATCTGAGCTAGATGGGCAGATGGCATGGCTGGGAACGAGGTTCCTTTAAATGCTCCTGATGAGCAGCCTGTCTGTGCCCCAGGTGTAACTCAGACAAAAGTGGTTTTCCTAAACAAGAAATCGCCACACGCTACCATTTTCTAGGCCAAGCAACAGGCCCTATGCAAAACACCCCCAAACTAGTTACCTTCTTAAGTTTTGTACTATAACCCCCGCCAGCCCTAGCCATCTGGAGGGCACCAGGCAGCAAGAAGGCTGTTCTCTGTGATTTAGAAATGTCAGTTTGCTGGTTGTTGTTCAGGGTGCACTAGATTGAAGTAATGGGCAGCTCTTCAGAGACAAAATGGCACCCCAAGAATGTAATCCCATTTGGAAGGCAGCCAAGTCAGTAACCAACCACCACATTTTGTTGCAGTGAGTTCCTTAAATTAAGCATTATGTCAAGGATCCTACTATTAATCCATTACAATGTACTAGGTCCCCCCCCCCATGTATTTCCATATACACCGTGCCAAATACGCACCACTTGTAGAGTAGCTACCCCAAACCAAAGTTTTTGTGACTCACAAAATCACAGCAAGAATTTCAGAATCTACTTGGTACTCCGTTCTCTAGAACAAAAAATGCCGCAACAACTGCACATGCTCACCAAACTAAATCCTAGTTGGTTGAGCCAGACTGCTTGACATATTAGCCACAACTTTATCTTTAATGCACAACATCTGTTGGGAAACAAAGTTTTACACCGTCAAAAACACTGATTAGTTCACCTACTTCCAGGTAATGCACGTAAGATTCATTTGCAAGCAATAGTACACAGGAAAGCCATAAACTCACCCAAGATTTTAGGCACCTCCCGGCCTCAGTTCCCTATTTGTAAAATTGAAGCCCAACTGACAGGGCTGCTGGGAAGATTATTAAAGCACAGCCTGTGATCGACTTGTGCACTTGAAGCACTATGCAGATTACTGATAAACTGTCGTACAGTGTCGTTTCCCCTGTATTTATGGAAGACTTAAAAAGCTCCTGCTAGCAGGGAGCACCTTTTGACTGCTGTGAGAAAGGGAACAGTGTATTTTTACATGCTCAAGTGAAAAGGGCCAACGTTGATTGGATCAACCCATTCAGAGTTGGGGATGAGAGTTGTGCGCTTCAGGTTTGGAAAGCTGGATGGTGGGGGTGGGAGGAAATAACCTTGCATGGCTCTTCTCCAGATGCAAAAGAAAAGAGGGAGGGGAAGAGAATATCTGCTCATTTGTTGCTTTGCGTTTTAAGCACTTGGAGCTGGTGCACTGGAATGAGTCAATCAACAGATGATACCAGCAGAGCATACACGTTCAGAGGAAGCTGCACAGAAGGCGAGAGGCAGAGAGGAAGGGCTGGTCAGCGCTCAAGGGACATATTAAGTATGTAAAAATTACCAAAAGAAAACGGCAGCATGACAGAGGAGGGAGGGAGCCATCGACTCGAGCCATTCTCCTCCTCCTCTGGGCTTGACAAGAGAAAGAAATCAGCGGCGTAATCGCAAAGTGAACCCGACTGCGGTGGGAAATTCAATCGCAAGTGTGCGTGGCTGGCTTGGAAGAAAGCAATGCAATTAGAGGGAGACGTTCTAAGCATCCAGTGTGCGGCAAATAAGGAACACACGTCCTCCGAGGAAACGGATCCAGCTCAAGTACTAGGGAAATTCCGCTAAAATCCAGGGAGTGGATAAATAAGGTAAGGCACCAGTCGTTTTAAAACTGTTAAAAGGCAAGAATGGTGATGTGCCCTTTGTATATCGAGAAACGCCATAGGAAAAAACTGAATGCAAATACAGAAATCCAAGAGGGCCACTTTCGTGTGCTTGTTTATTAGAGAGAAGGAATTGGTAAAGGTTCCTCTCAAAAGGGATTTAGAAGTCAAGTCTGTCTGGTCAAATAGTTCACGAACTGTAACTCCGGTAAGATTATTATTTGCTGTCTTCCCATTGAACAAGTAACCCCCCCCCCCTATAGTTCTAGCCTGCAATCACCTGCAATAAGTACCATTAACTCAATGCGAGTTTCTTCTGAGTAAAAATGAACAGGATTGCACTATTAGCTTAAAAATAAATAAATCCTAAATTGATTTTATCTGCCCTTCCACCTGATGAACAAGCGGGCAGGCACATAGTAAAGAAGCCTGCATCAGTTTACAAGCTGTAGTTCTCTAGGGAAATGGAATTTACGGAGAGAAAGAACTGGGAATTATTCTCATAGCTCAACTACCGAGAAGGGGAGCAAAGCAGTACCCAAACAGTATAAATAGTTATCTCCGGAGCTGTTTCCCCCCCCAATTTCGAGTTTTTTGCAACATCGCAACCTTTAAAACTCGAAACTCGGATGGTATAAATTTTCAGCATATGCCACCTTGCTACACCTCTAAGTTTGGTGTAACAATTCTAGCCCATCAACAAAAATAAAAACATGACATGTGTATGTTCTATTATGTAGGGCGAGCTCTTCAGCACAGGAGGAGAGGCACTGTGAGAGGACACAAGGATCTAATTCATTACCCAACTCTTCAACATTCATTTTTGAAGCTTTTCGCTTTAGGGAACAGTCTGACCATTGGGACCTATAATAAAGAGATGGATCCAAGCCAGCGTACTCATTTTTAAATACTCTTTGCGTGCATCCAAGGAAGGACCACGATATAAAATTGCACAAGAGAGAGAAGACCCTCATGTGGTAGCAGATGAATAGTTTACGATGCTGGTCTTTCATCAGGACCGCACTGGGCCGGAGAGGAAGACCAAGCTCCTAGAATCTACAGTATGTCCCAGTAACACATGCTCTCCGAACAATTCCTACCGGGTGCTGAAATGGCCTTGCCTGTGAACATGTCTGGATCCGGCAATGGATCTGCACAGCCAATCACAGCGGAGGGGACCATGTTGCGCTGGGCAGCTCTGCTCATTCTGATGGTCATCATCCCCACCATTGGGGGGAATATTCTCGTCATACTGGCCGTATCATTGGAGAAAAAGTTGCAATATGCCACCAACTACTTCCTCATGTCTCTGGCAGTGGCCGATTTGCTGGTTGGTTTGTTTGTGATGCCCATAGCCCTTCTTACCATCATGTTTGGTAAGTACTGGCCTCTGATCCTCTGAAGTTATGTTCTCTCTCTCTATATATATATGTATGTATGCATTTTAAAGCACTGACCAAATTAAGAGCTTTCTGGTGCCTTAAGCCCCTTTGCAAAATGCGGCAAACTACTCTACCTCTTTCATTCTTCCAGACCAATGCTCAGGGAAAATCGGAACTACTGAACACCACTCTGAAATAGCTCTTCTGCCAAGGGGGGAGCTATGTTATAACACACAGAAGTGATAGTTTCATAGTTTAAATGAAAATATACACAGTTCCTATAAAATCAGAAGAAGTTTTTTTAAAAAATTATATCAACTAGAAACATTCACCATGATCGCCACCAATGGGCATCGTTCCATCCATTTCAAGAAAGCCCTTTCCCTGTGTCTGTAGACACAGTGATTCATAACACAGACCATATGTGTGATATAAGATACTGACATCATTTAATCTCCAGCTTCAAGGAAATAAAAGTTCACTTGAGTGCAATCGGTTTGCCTTTTTTGCTTTCTATAACTATTTAAGACAGACTCTAAGACAGTATTCTAGTGATTTATGTGAAATTCATTTAAACAGTTCAATGGGGAATTTTCAGTAACGTCTTCCTTACCCTCAGATTCTGCTAGATTTTCAAAAATATTTTTTTCTGCGTCTCCTAAAAACAAAACAAAACATGGATCTACAAATGAAAGTCAGGGAAATGTTCAGTGGCATGGTTCAAAGCCGGTTGAGATGAGGTTGTGAAACCATGATCATACTTTGATGGCAGTTTGTCTGAATTCTCTGATATGTCACAACCAAGGGGTGAAGTGAAAGGCCTTCATCTCCTTGCCACGAGGTGGGATGTGGTCTGATTTCAACTCCTGGTCTTGGTGAATCAGCTCCCATGCAAGGTGTCTTCTTGCACATACTCTTGTGGTAGATAGGACTACTCTGTCACCAGCACAGCAGTTAAATCTCCTTAGTTCCAGTCCTCGTTTCACAGCCCATGTGATCACAAACAGAATTTGAAATTCTATTAGCAGCTTGGAATAATTGACAAGAGTCCATTTAACGCAGGGAACTGGTCAGAATGATCTAATGTACAATTACAAGCGTGCATTGGTATGGTACCCCACTCGTCCAGTGGAAATGCCCCTACATTCAATAGTCCTAACTGTACCCATGTACTACTGATTCGTAGCAAGAGTCAACAGGAAGACTAGAATGCAATGCTACATCAGTAAACAGTGCCAGGGGACAGGATACAGAAAGCTCAAATTGCGGAAAGCATGTATTGTCTCATTAGTTCAATTTTCTCTCCACATATGCACAAAAAGCCCTATGACAATTTGGCCTCTATGAATTATTATCCAGCAAAGAAAAGCGATAAAATCTACTGAGTGGATACAAAACCTACAAAACTATGGTTCAAAGGAAATGAACCAAGTGACATATTATGGCCGCAGTTTTCAAGCTGGAAATAAAAAATAAAGACAAAAACAGTCCTCATGCTTGGAAGGAAAAGCACAAATGTCCCTCCAGGTACAAGGAAGATAAAACCAAGATGGGTTAGTTGATTCTTGCCCCATGTCCTTGTCTGGGGAGATCAACTGAATTTAATTACGTAGTGTTCAAATAACACTTTATAGTGTTCAATGCCCTTCACATTTGACACCTTGTCATGATCCTTACAAATGACAAAGGCAGCCCAGTATTATTATCCCTTATCAATGGGGTGGGAAGGGGAGGTTCTGGGTGAAGCTGGTTAATGACTTCATGGCAGAAGGCAAGAATTAAATCGGGAACTTTTCTGTAACAGTCTCTTAAACTACTATACTACCCAAGGGAGTAATTGTGAGTGCAAATCATGAGGAGGAACCTTTGAAGAAGCAACGCAAATAAATCCTACATTAAATAGGAAGCTACTGCCATATTTTCTACTGCTACCCAGCATACTTAAATTACACTGGCTAAGATCATAGCAAATACATCACTCAAACTAAATATGCACAGAGGCAGGACTAACTCAGACAAGCAAGTCTTGGCCCTGGAGTCATTATAAATCAAGGTTTCCCGGACTTGGGTCTCCAGCTGTTTTTGGACTACAATTCCCATCATCCCTAGCTATCAGGACCAGTGGTCAGGGATGCTGGGAACTTCCAGCTCCATCGCCTTCAAGACTGCTTTCTTCTAATCCAGATACAAGAGTGGTAACATTTTGTTTTGAGAAAATGTGAGCATTCTGAGAGGTTCACTATGATCAGGTCTCTTGAGCTACAGAGATCTTCATAGCTTGCGGGATTTGCCATACTGCTGTGAATCTGATCAACATTAAGTGTAAGCACTAAGAGTTAGAAGAAGTAAAAGAGCAAGTGATTAGCGACCAGCAAAAAACTGCAAAAGGATTACAAACTCTCTCCTCTGAAGTTTACTCAGGGCCAAACGACACAAGATGCCATTCATACATTTAGCAATCGTGCGAGTGGCTAACTTGGCCTTAAGCTTCCTAACAATTTTGCTTTTCTGCTCTCGTCTTCTTTTATTATTGAAATTTAATCTTCCATTAATCCTGAGTGAAAACTACTAAAACCGAAGTTTAAAAAATGCAAGGAATCTTAATTTAGAAGCCAACAAAAAGGCAGCTCATGTTGCAGGGTGCTTAAAAGGGAGGGAAGCTAGGAATCGTAATTAAATAGGTGTGGCGACATTATTTGCAGGCACTCTGAAAACACAGCTGACCCTAAGCTGAATTCACATCCATAAGATGTCTACCTAGCCGCAAAAGTTGTGTATTTCTGCTTCCTCAGCAACTGCTAGAAGAGAAAATTCACACCAGAAGCAAAAAAAAGGCCCTGGGCTGGGTAGACTGAAGCAAGAACACAGCTGAGTCTCCTAGAAGGCTAGTAATCCCTTAAAAATCCATTAGCCAGATAACTGTTTAAATAGTGTCAGCTGTGCCCAAGTCGGCCAATAGGCCCACCCCTCCCTGCTTTTAAGACTTCTGTGCTTCCACAACTGTACAGAATCTCAACACATGAGACAAACACAATTCCTTTCATTTCTGACAGTTGATACGGAAGATCAAAGAGAGGAAATGTGTGTGCCTCTCGACTCTATTCACTCTTCTAGGCCAGTGGGCTTTAAAGTGCATTCAAGGAAACTTTGGGGTTCTTTATAAACTTATCAAGAATTCCTAAATGAGACTAGTAAATGGTAGACAGGCGTCTTTGAAAGAGAGTCTACCATCATTTCAATGAAGAGTGACGGTCCTTCTATCTGATTGGAAAATTTAGCCGACGCAATTTGTAACAAACATGATCAACAATGAGTAGGAGGATTTGCAGGCTGACATCTATAGCACCAAGGAGTTTGGCTTGCCTGGGCCAGAGAATAAGACATTCCCCTACTTAGCAGATGTCACTGGGGCAGTATAATCACTTAGCATTGATATAGTGCTTTAAAATGTTCAAAACCCATCATGTAAATTGTTGCAACCATCCTGTAAGGTAGATCAGTGTTAGCATATCACAAGGCGAGGTGCTGAAAGTAAAATAATGCAGTTTGTCAAAGACTGCCTACTGAATTCATGGCCAAGGTGAAATTTGCACCAGGGACTTCCCAGTTCACAGCTCAGAGGCTACACCGCTACCACTGTCTCCTGTAACTCCTCCTCTTCATTATTCTCATTTTACAGAGAGGAAAGAGTTAATATTACACATGGCCAAGAAGATCACTCAACAGCCATGATGTGATCTGGGCCGAAGGCAGTCCAATGCCTTATTCACTGGGCCACCAAACACGGAAACACCCACACTCAAATTGCAGCCAGCACTCTCAATATCAAGCATTTAAAGTCACTTTTCTTAAACACACAACACGCACACCACCTCTCTCAAAACTGGGCACAAAAGGAAGGAAAAGCAGAAGTTTAGCGGGAGAAAAATCCACATTCTCTGATGTAAGAGAGCGAGAGAGGCTATTTTGCTACAGCGCAAAAAATCTCTCCCTGCAGGAATGAGCAGAAAGGAGGTAACGTCTAAGCAGCACTGCACAAAAGAGAGAAAACATTGAAATCATTCATTGGAAATCTAGCGAGCCAGGAGCCATCATCCTCTTCACATGTAAAGCGAACACCTGCACACAAAAAGGCCATACATTACTTGGTCTCAACAACATTAGTTCAAGGCGCAGGAAAACGCTTGCCTTGCTAGATAGAATCTCAGGATTTCAAGCACACCAATTTAATTGGTTACTTGAAGCTTTTATTTCTTCTGGCATGACTGTGCTCTGGGAACGAGAGATTCTTTTTAAAAAGCTAATAAAAACTCAAAGGAAATCTTTAAAAAGGTTTGCTCAACATTTCACGGTCTATTCAACAAGGCATCCGCTTTCTACTTCATTTTAAATGTTATCAATTCTCTATTTAAACAAAACCAAAAAAAAGCGCTGCAGGGTTTTTCCCTCTGCTATTACTATTAATACCCCACAAACCACAGAGTGGACTTCTTTAAAAATAAGCCCTTGCTTTCGCGACTGTGGAGGGCTGGCTGCTGCAGGAAGAACCTTCTGCCACGTGGTTTGGGCTCCACAGCATCCCACCATATTCCAATAAAGAAACAGCCATTTAACACAGGTGCAGAGCCACTCACACAATGCTCTCCACAATGTCGGGACTGTATGGTTTCTGTGTAGGAATTGGATGGCTTGTGTAGGGAAGCTATAGACACACCGGAAGTCTCCCTCAAGGTAAACCAACTACCTGGGGAAAGGAGGAGGTGGGACAGTAGTTGTTGCTCATGGATCCAAAATGAAAAGGCAGCCGGGAAGGTGGGGAGAATTGCATTCAGATCTGGTTTTGCTGTATTCTGCTTAACAAAGCCGTAGGCAGCTTAACTAGGTTTCACCCAGTAGTAGTTGATTCATTATCCTTGTCAACCTTAGTATCTGAAGGAGCGTCTCCACCCCCATTGTTCTCCCCGGACACTGAGGTCCAGCTCTGAGGGCCTTCTGGTGGTTCCCTCGCTGCGAGAAGCCAAATTACAGGGAACCAGGCAGAGGGCCTTTTCGGTGGTGGCGCCTTCCCTGTGGAACGCCCTCCCACCAGATGTCAAAGAGAACAACAACTACCAGACTTTTAGAAGACATCTGAAGGCAGCCCTGTTTAGGAAAGCTTTTAATGTTTGATGTATTGCTGTATTTTAATATTTGATTGGAAGCCGCCCAGAGTGGCTGGGGTATAAATAATAAATTGTTATTATTATATTCTTATTATTAGTAAAGCTGAGAATCCTGACAACTTGTGTTGGCCCCACAGATTAAGAAAAGAGGGCACACACAATCAGCAAGGTCCAAAAACTCAAGGTTATGCCCAGAGTAAAAAAAACAAAAAACTTTATTTTTACCTTTGAACAGTTATGCCCCCCAAAATGTATCCGTTTTTATTGCAATTGATCCAAGAGATGTCATTACGCAATCCCCCAAAAGGCCACAGCTAATTCACAGCAAGGGCCTCTACAAAGAAATCTGGCTTAGAAACCAAACCTTGCACCGTTAAGTAAGGAACAGGAGCTGGCTACTAAAGGAACAGTGATGCTGAGGGATTTGAATATGACAAAATGAAGGGGGGACAATTTATTATTTGCAGGGGCACAGGGCTGAAGAAGCCCTATTTAGAAACCAGGATTCCGAATAATGAAAAGGAAAACCGTGTGTTGCAACAAGATGCAGTATTTTCACCTGATTCCCACCACCACAGCGAAGAAAAAGTCACCTAATTGCAAAGCAGCCTATGTTCCAGAATTGTGCCCCAAAACCAGAACACTACACCTCTAACACTTAACAGATCACCAGTTGCTGCTGCCCTTTTTTGCTTAATAAGCCCACAATCCACTGATTTTTAGGCCACTACCTCAAAGGCATTGAAGATAGTGCAATTGCCCTGTTCAAGAAGCCTTGATTAATCAATAGGTTAAATGTGCTTACATCTGCGATTGAGAAAGGCTTCTATAGAATAGCTCCTGCCCCACATCTACCGATGCAAACACTCATCTTAAAAGCAGCTCCTCCAGTGCAGGAGAGGTGGAAGAAGACCTCTTCCGAGGTGTCACCTGCAGTTTTTAAAATTGCTTGTACTAAAAATAACTTTTTTAAAACTCCTGCCTCATTAACTGGAGGGGGTTATAGTGTCGCGAATTCATTTACTGAATGTTGCACCCTCTTCCACAGGGTACACACCCCCAAAGAAGAATCCTAACCCTTTCCTACTCTTTTTCAGAGATTGCATGGCCTCTTCCGCGGGAGCTGTGCCCTGTCTGGCTGTTTCTGGATGTCCTCTTTTCCACAGCCTCCATCATGCATCTGTGCGCCATCTCACTGGACCGCTACATTGCCATAAAAAAGCCAATCCAAGCGAGTCAGTACAACTCACGGGCCACAACACTCATCAAAATCACAGTGGTCTGGCTGATCTCAATAGGTATGTGGCAAGCATCAAAGGGAGAGTGTGCTTTTCATTTGCTAACAGCTGGTGTGAATGAATGGGTGCCAGAGAAGTGGCACTGCGTGAATGGTGAGCAGCCTCTGATGAGGACATCAGCTAGCCTTGGTTCTCTTCCTCGAATGAAATCTCTAAAACTGAAGTGCAGCTGGGATCAAAAGCAAAACAGGCAAAATCAGAGTTGGAAGAGAACCTGAGGATCATCTAGTCCAACCCCTGCAATGCAGGAACATGCAGCAATCCCTTATGGGGATCGAACCTGCAACCATGGCATTATCAGCACCACGCTCTAACCAAAGGTGGCCATTCCCAGTGCCTGGCCAGAAATTTCATACTATCTACCTTTTAGATTTGTCAGCAGCCTTTGACATGGTCGATCATGATCTTCTGGACCACCGCCTCGCAGACGTGGGGATACAGGGCATAGCCCATAACTGGCTGTGCTCTTTTATCTCTGGTCGGGGACAGAGGGTGGCACTAGGGAGGGAAATGTCGTCGCGCCATTCCTTGGTGTGTGGAGTGCCGCAGGGCGCAATTCTCTCCCCGATGCTTTTTAACATCTTTATGCACCCCCTTGCCCAGATTATCCGGAGCTTTGGGCTGGGCTGCCACCAATATGCTGATGACACTCAGCTCTATCTGCTGATGGATGGCCACACCGACTCGGCCCCGAACACACTGACCAGATGCTTGGAAGCTGTGGCTGGATGGTTTCGTGGGAGCCGATTGAAACTAAATCCTTCAAAGACAGAGGTCCTATGGCTGGGTCGGGATGGCATGGGGATGAGGGACCAACTCCCTTCTCTTGCGGGGGCCCAATTAGTGCCATTGCCTTCCGTTAAGAGTTTGGGTGTAATCCTTGACGCCTCCCTTTCCATGGAGGCGCAAGTTACAGCAACAGCCAAGGCGACATTTTTCCACCTTCGCCGCATCAAGCAGTTGGTCCCTTACCTTTCCCGCCCCGACCTGGCCACAGTGATCCATGCGATGGTCATCTCCAGGCTTGACTACTGTAATTCGCTCTACGCAGGACTGCCCTTGAAGCTGTCCCAGAAACTCCAGCGGGTGCAGAATCTGCAGCGAGGCTCCTCACGGGGTCTCTGCCATGGGAGCATATTCACCCAGTGCTTTTCAAACTGCACTGGCTCCCGGGTAGAGTACAGGGTCAGATTTAAGGTGCTGCTTTTGACCTTTAAAGCCCTTCACGGCCTAGGACCCTCGTACCTACGGGACCGCCTCTCCCGGTATGCCCCACAGAGAGCCTCAAGGTCCATAAATAGCAACACCCTAGTGGTCCCGGGCCCTAAGGAAGTTAGATTGGCTTCAACCAGAGCCAGGGCCTTTTCAACTCTGGCTCCAGCCTGGTGGAATGCTCTGCCTCATGAGACCAGGGCCCTGCAGGATCTGATTTCTTTCCGCAGGGCCTGTAAGACAGAGTTGTTCCGCCTGGCCTTTGGCTTGGAGCCAATTTGATTACCTCCCTCTTTCTTTTTTTCTTTCCTTCTCCTCCTGCGTTGAGGCTACATTTTATTTTAATGTTGTAATATTTTAATGTTGTATTTTAATTTTGCTTTTAAGTTGTAATCATTGAACTTGTTTTTATTATTGCTTGTAAGCCGCTCTGAGCCCGGCCTTGGCTGGGGAGGGCGGGGTATAAATAAAAAAATATTATTATTATTATTACTACCTGTCTTGAGGGCAAATGTTCCTTCTGTACCAAAAGAAGGCTCAAAGCCCTAACACACCATTCAGATAGCATCTCTGAACTCAAACTCCTATACGTTAGGGATCAAAATACACAATACCATACTGTCCAACAGAGCAAAGCATGGAAATAATAATAATAATAATAATAATAATAATTTGTATACTGCCTTGATCTGAAGATCATAGGGCAGTTTGCAACATAAAAATAAGAACACAAAGTACATACAAAAATAACCCAAACCAATAATACCTCCCCTCCAACAAACACATTACCATTATTAGTTTGTTGGGAAATTGCTTAACATATTTCAGTTGCAAAAGTTGGATTAAAAGTAAAGTTAAAGGGACCCCTGACCATTAGGTCCAGTCGTGGCCAACTCTGGGGTAGCGGTACTCATCTCGCTTTATTGGCCGAGGGCGCCGGCGTACAGCTTCCAGGTCATGTGGCCAGCAGGACTAAGCCGCTTCTGGCAAACCAGAGCAGCACACGGAAACGCCGTTTACCTTCCCACCGGAGCGGTACCTATTTGTCTACTTGCACTCTGACGTGCTTTCGAACTGCTAGGTTGGCAGGAGCAGGGACCGAGCAACCGGAGCTTACCCCATTGCGGGGGTTCGAACCGCCAACCTTCTGATTGGCAAGTCCTAGGCTCTGTGGTTTAACCCACAGTGCCACCTGCGTCCCACAAAAGTTGGATTGCTACAACAGAAATCACAATGCCCCAGGCTCAGAGAAGCTTGAATTCAGTCACTACCACTAGCCCCAGTGAGGAGCAGTTCCTTGTGGGTGGGAAACTGACACCACCTCCAATTCTTTTGGATCTAAAAAGAAGTGAACTAGCTGGGTCAAATGCCCACTGACAGACACACTAAACGAAAAAAGATAAGGACAGAGGAACAGGAGGGTGGGGTGCAATTGGGAACTTAACTGTTCAGAGGTAAAGGAAGAGAGGAAACTATGACTGTGTTGTCAAAAGTACGCAAAGCAGAAAATAATAAATGAGGTGCAAATGAATAGTTTATATTATGCTTCTCCGTGTATTCTGAACTCTCTGAAGGCACACTGCCCGTTGTTAATGTCTCGTTGGTTTGTACACAAAATGTCAACTCCAGATGTAAGACAAATGAGGAGCGGGGGGGGGGGGGCAAGTGAATCAATGACTCCAAACTACTGGCGAGCAATGGCTCCAACGCACAGGAAGCAGACATCATAGATTAACTGTAAAACAAGTGATGCAAAATATGCCCAAAAGAGTGTCAAGAATAAGAATGATTTTAAAATCAGTTATGTTGCAAACAATTGAGAGGTGAAAAAAGACACCACCCACTTAATCAATGACTACACCCGTGGGGTTTTTTTTTAAAAGCACCACTTCCTACATTAGTAAATTTAAGAGCTTCCCGCAATCAAGGGAAACAATAGGCAACTTTTGAAGTCAAAAAAAGGAAACGGCTAATGAGGCAAAACTATTTGAACATGACCTTTTAGTGCCAGGTTTTAGCAGCATCAATCATACACAGCACTTATCCCATGTCTTATTACTCATTAAATGTACTCAGGCTCTGAACTGCATCTTCTCAATAATTTCAGGGGAGCTTAAAAACTGATTAGCAGATGTCTAGCTATGGACTCTCCAAGTTCAGAGGCAATAGGCTTCGTTGGGCTCCTTCAAGGCATCTAGATGCTCACTGCAGCAACCAAGATGTTGGACTGGATGGGCCCCACTGTCTATTGCTTTGGTTTGTTCTTGTTTTTATTATGTATTTTGTGTTTTCATCTTGCGTTTTTATGCTGTGAACCACCCTGAGATCCTCACCTGAAGGGTGGCGTATAAATTAAATAAGTGAACAATCCAGCAGGACTCTTTTCATTGCAATGCCTCTGCACTGCTATTAAACAAGAGAACAAAAGGAACTTAAGGATGCTTGTCATTTCTATAGCACATAAGACATGAAGCGATAGCCTAAGGTACAGCAAATCCCTAAACTTTATAAAGCCGTGGCGGCAGCACTAAAAAGTGAAAGCTTCATCGCTGACCCGATTACTTGAGTGCTGCAGGGCCGAAGGCACCAAGTTTTGCTTGGTAGCTAAGTCAGCTCTTAAGAAACCACAAATATGTTCAACAGCAGCAGTCGTTAGGAGGCAGGAAGATTCGCTAGGCCAGAGAACTCAAAGCATCCTGTGCTTGCAATTTCAGGTCAGAGAAGGAGAACGGAAAAATTAAAACCAATTGCCAGCATTTCCCATCTTTCCCGCCATCTTGAGACAATTGCTCTCAGCTGCATGTAGCTCCTGTCCTCCCTCCTGTGGAAAGAAGGCTTGTGGGAAGTGGGTCACCACTCCAAAAGCAACACGCGCTTTATGTCAAACACAAGTGATCCAAGAAAAATTGTTCTATTTGTTGCCCAAGAAAGGAGATGGGGCACAAAACAGCCAGTGTTGCTCCAAACATGGGCTAGAAGGAGTCAAGAGGCAGAATTGATCTCATGGGAGTCACCTCCCTCCACCTGATGCTCTCCTATTTTGAGGTACTATCTAGCTACTTGATCTGTTGTGCTTTGGAGACATCTCCAGTTCAACTGCTTTGAGGGCTTCTGTTCAATCAAGAGGCATATAAGTGTTATTAAATAAAGAGGTTCTCTCTAACGGTGGGCTTGCAAAGCTCCTGTAATTTCATTTGCTCCAATGTTCGGAAGCCAGTCTCAGAACATGCTCCTTATTATGCACTGTGGTGCTTTCAGTTCCACTTCCAGGTTGAAGCTTACTAGATTTCTGCTTCCCCTACAGGCATTGCGATCCCGATCCCGATCCGCGGCATAGAAGAAGGTGTTGAAAACTTCCCAAACTTCACCTGCGTGCTGACACCAGAACGTTTTGGAGACTTCATGCTCTACGGTTCGGTGGCTGCCTTCTTTGTCCCGCTGGCCATCATGGTGGTCACTTACTTCCTGACCATCAGAGTTTTGCGCAAGAAAGCCTACTTGATCAACAAACTGCCCCAGCGCTTTACCTGGAGCACGGTGTCCACGGTTTTCCAGCGGGATATGACGCCCGGATCATCACCGGAAAAAGTGGCCATGTTGGACAACTCCAAGAAGGACAGGCCTTTGCCTAACGGGAATGAAGAACTGCTAATGCGCAGGATGTCTACAGTCGGGAAGAAGTCGGAACAGACTATTACCAATGAACAGCGGGCTTCCAAGGTCTTGGGTATTGTATTCTTCCTCTTTTTGTTGATGTGGTGCCCGTTCTTCATAACCAACATCACTTCCGTTCTGTGCACGTCCTGCCGCAAGGAGTTTATCCAAACACTTATGGAGATATTTGTCTGGATAGGGTATGTTTCGTCAGGCGTGAACCCACTGGTCTATACCCTCTTCAACAGGACATTCAGGGAGGCATTTGGCAGATATATCACTTGCAATTACCAGACCTCAACGCCTGGATCCGCCATTCGGAAGTGCTCCAGCAGGCTCTCGTTCAGAAATTCTGTGGCAGAGAACTCAAAACTTTTCATGATGCACCACGGAATGCGGAATGGGATTAATCCAGTCATGTACCAAAGCCATCGGCTTCGCACCTCGCCCATCCAGTCTCCGTCGGCCATACTGCTGGATACACTGCTACTCACAGAGAATGAAGTTGGTAAAACAGAAGAACAAGTCAGCTATGTATAGCTGAAGAGAAAAGGCCATACCATACCCTAAACTCACTGATAAATGCCCAGTATGTATATGTGGTTCCCATCTGTTATTTATACAAGTCCAAATTATAGTTTTATCAACTGCTCTCCTCTAAGAGTAGAGGCTTCTCTCACTCAAAGGGCCACCTTCATTTATTCTTATTTATCAGCAATTTATCCTGCTACCAAAAAAAAAAAAAAGTATTTGAGCACAGTGGTTTACAAAACAGAGGTGTTCAAATAAATACAACTATGGCAACTATCATGTCTCAGACATTGGATTACCCATCCCGTCTCTTCAAAAGGCACATTACTGCTAGGATGTCTCTATATAAGGATTATATAGGACCACCCTATAGAGCGACATTTTACATTAAGAGGAAAAGGCCTGCACTTTCAAACTCAAGTTATGTACTTCCATGAAAGGGTGATTAAGCTTGGAAAGGAAGGGCACATCTCAAGACCATTTAGGAATCCTCCCCACCCAACTGAATACAGCTGTTTACATGGGGGCTAGTTAGAAAGGAGATGATCATAACCTTCTCTGCTATTATTGTCCCACTCCCCCACAAAAAGAATTCTATCCAATAAAGCTCAATGGTGCAATCTGAATAACATCAATGCATGGAACTGCCTTCCAGTCGTGGTCAGAGAGGTGCCCTCCCTACTGAAAACTTCTTTTTTAATCCCATCGGCATTTCCATTGGAATTTAATTTTATAGTTTTAACCATTTTTTTGTATTGTATCTTTGCAAACTGCTTAGAGACTATTGTAGTTAACAGGTATATAAATCGTTTAAATAATAATAATTATTAATATTAATAAATTAAGAAACCGCACATATTTGTTTAATTTTCATAATTCATTCTGCCTCCTTGTTCCCAATGACTCATTTCCAGCTAATAGCACTAAGAAATTTCACGCTGATCCCACGACTTCCACAATCAGTTATCGCGTGACAATAACACCTTGATCAGTCTAAAGAAAAGGCCCATCTAGATTGTTCTGTTTCAAACAGCACCCAGTCGGAAAAGTCACATCAAAGGGCCTTACATAAAGAGTCCAGTAGAAAAGGGTTCTGCTTTGCACTGCAGGGATTGGACTAGATGACCTTTGGGTCCCTCCCAGCTCTAAGATTCTATGAAATAATAGCGACCAACGGAGGCCAATAGTGAAATTCAAGGGCTGGGATTGAAAGAGTTGCTCAGACTCACACAAGAGGTTAATACTTCTTTGACACCTATAGCACAACCTGCTTTTGAAACTTTCCTCAATTTCAAAAGCAGTTTGTCGTGCAGTCCCTCTTTTGGAGGCGGGAAAGCTAAATGAGGAAAAACAAATCTAAATTCTCTCTCTCACACATCCACCCACCCACTTTGGCTCACTGAATTGAGCTTTTGTGGTTCTTCGAATCCTGCCTGTTGACTTATTGCAACAGCAGCAAAAAGAGCCAAAAAGCATTGTGACTCAGTCACTAGTTGTGGAAAATGATTATAATATTTGCACATGTTAACTGAAACGCTGCCATATACACCAACAGAGGTTGGTATGCCACATAAGAAATTATTCGCATCGGTGTTCTGTGAGTTTTCAAAGGACAAGTCAAGCGTAGTTGTAAAACTTCAAGTCCTTCCCCAGAAACCACTCCACGGCCGGTGGGCTGCTGCAGCCTCTTCTCAAACTAGGGCGGCTCTTCCTGATAAATTGAGGTGCAGGCTAAGCTATGGGGAGAGTTTGTTCCTGGTGGGCTGTGCTTCCCCCCATGCTCTCATCGTGTGAGCTATGTGTGGAATGCTGCAAAATAAGGCAGCCTAACATGTTTAAACCCATATTTTATTTCTCGTATAAATGTTTACTTCTCAGCATGGCCTTAAAACAAACAAAACCGGGATCTAGTAGGTGCTCAGTCATGTTCCCTGGCTCCTGATGACTTCGGTGCAGGACTCCCTTGGCTGGTGAGTCTGTATCAATGGTTCTCAAACTTCTTTCTCCCACGGTTCACTTTGATACTTCGAGACTATGTAGGAAACTATTTGTTCTACATTTTAGAACACACACCCGCTTCCGTTTATGGATTAAACATCATGGGTATGGGTGGGTACCAGCATCACTGTCAAAACCAGGGGACTTACTTGGAAAATCACAGTCTCACCCTCCATTGTAATGAGAGAATCAATAATGTGTCAGTTCAAGTACAGATATTCAAGACTTTCCACAAACCATCTGAATGGAGCCACAGGACCACCATGGTCCACAAACCAGAGTTTGAAAACCTCTGTGTTCTACATGGAAAACGCCACGAAAAAAGCATTCACACAAATGACACACAGAGGTTATTAAGAAATGTCCTGTTTACTAATCTGAAAAGTGTTATACCCCACCCTTAAGAAGCACTCAGCAGTGTTCATCCCTTCTTAAACTCCACCTTCAGTGAGTTGTTAAAAAGGGAGGCTGTCAACAGTGTGCAGTCTAGATTCTGAAACTTAGATCTGGGCCTCCATGAGAGATGTGTGGGTTCTAGACCGCCCCCGACTTGAGCTCTGGGCACAGACCCTGCAAAAGAAGCCGTTTCATTCATTTCCTTCGGAAGAAATGTCTGCCACTCAGCTGAGCATAAGAGGGCACAAGTAGTGCAGGAAAAAGGGAAGAGTCAATGCTGAAGTTATATTTAATACCCAACTACCCCAACCCACAGATGGCCATACGCAGCTGCAGGGAGTACCGCAGGAATCTCCACTCTTACCCTACAATAGAGACTATTATTGAAGGGTTTGCAAGGTCCTTGGACGTACAGTGAATTCAGAATGGGAACTAAAGTTCGAGGCATTTGAGAAATATTGGTTCAAGACTCTGTATGAGCCACATAAGGGGTTGATTACTCTCTTAAGGTGGGTCATACTACTGGTCCATGCAGCCCAGCCGTCTCCTCTGACTAGCAGTGGCCCTCCAAGATATCAGACTGGGGTCTCTCTCAACCTTGCCGCTACCTAACCCTTCTAAGTGGAGATACCAGGGCTTGATCCAGGGATCCTCTGCTTGCACAGCGCATACACACACACACACAACCACTGAGCTACGGGACCTGACTGGATTACAAAATCTTTCTGCCATCTTGAAGAAGGGTTCTCAAAGTTGAAAAAAAGTTGAAACCACTTGAATGACCTGACTGGCAGACCTGCAAACTTCAGAACAAATAAAAGTGGTTTCTATTTACACTATGTTGTAAATATGATTGCAACTGCAGACTTGTCAATCCTGTCTCGGTTGCTGTTTCCTGTACAGAATGACAAAAGTGTCCATTAGGGAGAATAATGACGGCCCCAGAGCATTAAAAAAATGGTTCGAAATTAGTGTGACATCCATCAGAACACTTAGCCTTTAAATGCCTTCATTATTTATGGAAGAGAACTGTAATAGCTTGAACACAATGCCTTTTAGACAAGGTTGGTTAAAACTTCACAAGAGGTTACATCATCCATATGTTAAGGGCGGGCAGCAGAGAGGTTGGAAGTATCAAAGAAAACTATTTATCCAGCAGCAGAGCTGGCTGGTCCAGGGCAAAGGGGAAAGAGAAAAGAAGCTTTGAATGGTGCTCATGTCTCCAGATAACTTGGCTTTACTGAATAAATGCCTAACCAGGGAACAGGGGGCTGAAACGGAGAGAGAACACTTGTGAAGTCATTCATGCTTTTATGAAATTTTATTTTCAAATTTTCATGAGCCAAAAATGAATTCTGAATCCCAGCTATCTCGGCACACCCACGGTAACAACAGATCCATCTATTTATTTATCTATCTACAGTATGATCACTTGTCTGAAAGAATGGTTCTTAACCATTACTGGAAGGATGAGAATCGGCATGTTAAAATCAGGAGTTTGGTAATCAAGTCATATAATCTGTCTTGTGAAGTTAAAATATTCTATTCACTATTAAAAGCAAACACACATTTAAAAAACAACAAAATAATAATACCAAACTACCCCTGGCATCACCCATTTCGTCTGATTTCCAGAAGTGTTTTTGCAATTCCCATCGCCTGGCTGCTAAAGTTACCGACATAAACCAAGAGGGAATTTACAAAGGTTAACACTGTGATCATTCATGAGTGTTAGCACTAACCCTTTTTTGGCCTCTGATGAATACCATAGAGAAAAGGACAATAAAAAGCACACCCAAGTTTTAAAAGAGACCAAAATTCAGCAATAGAAAGTAACAGGAGGGAATGATGCACTTATTGTAATCTATTCTGCACGTGCCTTTTTGACACAGGAGCTTCCTTTCTCCTACTGAAAGGGAGAGAGACAGGAAGCACATGCGCCTGCCTCCCTCTCGCGCCTTATACCAGACCTCTGGCTTTTGCACTTCTTTTCCCCATCCTCACCCAAAGAGGTGTGGACCATGACATCATGCAAAAATCATGATGGCCTGCTTGAGTGTGTTAAGAGGCAAGGAGGAGAAGGTGTCATCTCCTTCCTGCTGCACAACATAGAATTGCCTTGCATCAAGCCAGGACCAACGGCTTGCATTGCAAAAGTAACTCGCCCTAAGATGAAAACTGTATGCTATATCGCAAGGGTAGCTAAATTCTTTTGTGTGTGTGTGCGTGCGCCATATTCACCCTCCAAGAGCGATATATTAGTAGTGCATGTGGACGACCTACTTTTTCTTAAACAAAAATATTCCCAAATGTATAAAAAAATTGTCCAGTAGCACCTTAGAGACCAACTAAGTTTGTCCTGGGTGTATGAAGAAGTGTGCATGCACACGAAAGCTTATACCAAGAACAAACTTAGTAGTCTCTAAGGTGCTACTGGACAATTTTTTTTGTTTTTTAATATATTTCGACTGTGTCAGACCAACACAGCTACCTACCTGAATCTAAAAATATTTCCAGTCTCTGAAGGAGTAGACACAGAAGAACCAGGAGGCTGTTGTCTCATACTTGATGCCCATGTTGGATTGCCAACACTTGAGGTCCAATGTCTCCTCGTGATGCCCGCTGCTGCATGCTAGAAGCAAGCCCACCCTAGAAGCACCCCCCAAGCCACCCCAAGAACAAAGCAAGGAGTTATCAGAGTTGCTCCTACTACTCGACTTTTCTCCAAAACACTGTGTCCCCAGCACCCATGGCAAAACAAGACACCCCCTTCTCCAGCAATTCACCACCAGGTTCTCAACTGCTCACACAACTCAACCCCTCCGCCTGCTACAAGCAACACAGTTTTTAGCATTTAGAACAGTCAGTTTAGTTAACTGCGCATACCTTGTAAATGGGTTCTTCAAATTTACACGAAGAGCCATTTTATTCTACAAGAAGCACTTTGTGATGGAATAAATTATTCCAGAACACTTATTTCAGAGGGACTGCAATCAGAGCTAGTATGAAGTTCCCAAAACACATATGCGAAGGGAAACTTGCATTGGGCAAAATACCATAAACTCCGCAAATGTCCAACTCCCACAAAAATATGTTAATTAAGTTTTCAACTCAATTACGTTTTATGACTCAAGTAGCTCACCATTTTCCAGCTTCACTATAGAATCTCAGTTGCCAAACACATTCTGAAATGCTCCACAGGAGAGAAAAAATTAAACTAATAAGAGCCTGCTTTGTCCCAATACAATGCAGGCAGATCTATTTTTAATTTGGAAGGCAATCAAAATAAGGGGCTGCTGCACTGCTCACTTAAGATTCTACTAGTTAAAATTCTGCATCTTATTTTAACTTTAAGAAAGCATCATAAACTTTAAAAGCACAACTGCTATAAGGAGGGCTGCGTTAGTCGTGATTAAAAAATCTGAATTAGTAGACCAGCACTTTTAAGACCGAGAAGATGCCACGGGAAAAGCCTGAGCACCCTCCTTCACTGGGGGCTAGAAAGGCCTGCCAGAAAGAGCACTGGGCCAGTGGAACATTTACAGCCCAGCTTCCTCAGTCTACAAAGAGGGTTCTGCCCTGGAAAATCCACAGTACAAACCCCAGAGTTATCAAGCAGAGTCCTTTAAGCAGTACGTACTTGGCTGCAATTTACAAATGAGCTAAGCCACATTAATCGGCTTCCAGACTCATTTATTTAGAAGATCTATATCTCATTTTCCAGTATGTGTGCAATGTGGCTTGCAACAATAAACAATTAAACTAGAGAATCAACAGCTTTAATCATAAAAGAAAATGCCGGCCACTTAAGACAAATCAATTTTAGGGGGGGAAATCAAATGCCCCCAACGAAAAAGGTTTTGTACTCCTGGGAACAAGCAAAATGATTCTTCAGTTTAAGTGAGATTGTTCCATAGTCTTCAGTGTCATGTGCAAAAATCTGCTCCAGTTCCAGTACTCCAGCTACACACTTCCTGTATTCTGGAATTTCATATCCATCTTCACAATAAATCTTGCAAAGGCTTGGGCTTTCCAGGCCACGCCACCATATGTTCCTGGATATGTTTTAGAAAAAAACATCTGGGCAGTAATCATAGTGACACTATAATTTTGTTAACTAGATCCTGAAAATGTGACTTCCCTTTCCTGGAAGATCATCTGTGTTTAATCCTTATGTAAATACTCGCTGTTTAGCGGGGACTTCCGAAGAGCCAAGGAAAAAGGCTTCATCCACTGAGGTGGTTGATATAATGTCACCTTGACAGAAATTTTCCCCCTTGGTAGCAAGCAGGAGTCCATTCTGAAGCTGTTGCTCACTAGCCATCTCACAGACATAACTCGGAAACACCATCTCTGCCAAACCATATAAAACAAACAACTTTCCCGTGATTCCTAAGGTTCGGTGTCATATTCCATAAAGACTGTTCTAGGTGCCACAGAACTTTTTGCTGCGTTTGCTGCTATGGGCGAAGGAATGTATTATGGAAGGTGCTATCATAGACAAGATTCAATGTCAACAGATGCCCAAGAAGATTCCAGGTTATCATCTATACAGAATTGGAGAAGCAACCAGAATGTTACTTAAGTACTTGTTTTTATGTTCCAGAAGTAAAGGAAAAGGGACCCCTGACCATTAGGTCCAGACGCGGACGACTCTGGGGTTGTGGTGCTCATCTCGCTTTACTGGTCGAGGGAGCCGGCGTACAGCTTCCGGGTCATGTGGCCAGCATGACTAAGCCGCTTCTGGCGAACCAGAGCAGTGCACGGAAACGCCGTTTACCTTCCCGCCGGAGCGGTCCCTATTTATCTACTTGCACTTTGACGTGCTTTCGAACTGCTAGGTTGGCAGGAGCAGGGACTGAGCAACGGGAGCTCACCCCGTCGGGGATTCGAACCGCCAACCTTCTGATCGGCAAGCCCTAGGCTCTGTGGTTTAACCCACAGTGCCACCTGCGTCCCTGTTCCAGAAGTAATGGTGTGTAATTCTCTCTTTTAATGTTTGTTTCGTTTTAGCCTTGGATATCCAAGACTCTTGCCGCCTTCAATCTGGAGGTAAGCTGGAAGCTTACACAGAATGTCCAATTCGTAACCAATATGTTGCTCAGGCCCAAAGAGAGGCAGCAGCTTCCTAGCACCAAGTGGAACCCAACTAATAACCCCTTGGGCCACCTGATCCCTGCCAAGTTGACAGCTGTAATAGCACATCATGGCCACCTTTTGTGGTTGCAGCAGAGAGCCAGCCAGCCACTCCCTCATCTGGCCAGCTGTCAAGAGGTGGAGAGGGTGGGGGTTTGGGTGGGGGGTAGCTACACACAAAAAGACTGGCCTTGTTCCTCAACAATTTAGAAGTCATAAAAATATGAGAACGCTAAAATGTGTTCATTCATGAAAAACAAATATACACAAACCTATTGAATCTGGAAATTAATATTGTTAAGATTAATGTTTTCCCTAATGTAGACTATAGCTTGCTTAGGAAAGTAAGAGTACCTTGTAAGCCTTATTTGTGCCCATGCCCAGAAAGAATGTAGTATTTTATGAACCTCCCTTGACACTGGGAATTAAGTAGGCAGCCTGTCCCCTGCTGTTCTTCCATATTTGTGCATTTAATTCTTGAAAGCAGGCATTTTACTGATTTATTTATTTATCTATTTCAGTTGCTATGATTGCCTTCCAGCAAATAAGAATTAGGTATCGTAATCTCAAAACAACTGATTTAATTCTGTTACGCTGTATTTTACCTGGCTGGTAGTTACACCACTAATGTGTGTCTAAAAGGACTGAGGGCCCACTTTTGAAACTGAGTTACAAAGGAAACAAATATGTGCTTGCACGTTTTTTCACCATATTCTTCTGTATGTGGCCCCAAAAGGCTGCTGAAAGTCAGAGTCAGCAGCTGTGGTCTAGGATGACAGAATATTCTTATCTGGTGCAAAGCAGCTTCTGACATTACGGTACTTTGGATCCAAAATGACTGAATGTGGAGTTCTATTTGTACCATTTCCTGGCTGTCCTTTCCCTCCAAAAGTCAACCCTGAAGGTCAGGGGATACCCTCCCAAATTGGGAGTGATACAGCACAACTATATGGGAATATTGGGTTGTACCCCACCCCCCTTAAAGGCAGAAATTCCTTCTGCTCACCAAGGGCACTATTTAAACCCAAGGCAATGACACTTTTAAATACAATTTGCTTCAATAACAGTGCACTGTGCACTCACATCTTAATATCTACAGCTATGGATGCATTTTCTCGTTTCTTAATGAAGGCTGAAATTCTTCGATTACCAAACAGACGCCTTCAGAATACACATAAACGCTTTGGGGGCGAAGGATCTGCACTTTCCCATTTTTGCTTTGTATTCACATTGCAAATAATTTTTCTCTTCTGAATAATAATGTAAAAAGCCCACTGAAATGTTTGCCAAACATTAGAAGAAGGACGACCAAGCTGAGCTTCCTGAAGCAGAAACGCTAAACTGAAGACAGCAAATGAAAGAGACCTTTTGCTTTGAAACCTGACAACAAAGACTCTGGAAAGATAAAGACTCTTTCGGGCACAGTCTTTCCTTCCCCTGCAACTGACGTTTTAAAATTCAAAACACCAAGAAATCACAAGTCACTTAAATGGTGTTTTTCAAACAACTGAGATAAATATTGTATAAACTGCGCCAACGGGGTAGAAGAGAATTGCATAAACGTCGGCAGCCGAGCAAGATTTGTAGTCCACAGCTGTGAGCAGGAAAGGTGGCAGAAGGGAAAAGATGCAGAGAGCCGCTAAAAAATAAACACAGGACTCAAGATGCTCCCCACTTGGCTCTTCCACTCTGACTCTCCCAGTTCCCAGAACTTATGCAACTAGATGTATTCAGACTTTAAAAACCTTATTTTCCTCTGCAACCAGGGATGAAGGGGGCTGCAAGCTCAATTCTCCATGTATTACTCATATCATCTAGGACTGGGGTGTCGTAACTTGGACTGGTCCACAGACATGACATGACAAGGCAGAAGTACTATTTTGGGGGGGCCAGGGGGCAGACAGGAGTGGAGGACTCCCTGGTCCTGGTAACTGTGCCCCTGAAGGGCAAGGTGCGCAGCCTGGGAGTCATTTTGGACTCACAGCTGTCCATGGAGGCGCAGGTCAATTCTGTGTCCAGAGCAGCTGTCTACCAGCTACATCTGGTACGCAGGCTAAGACCCTCCCTGCCTGCGGACTGTCTCGCCAGAGTGGTGCATGCTCTGGTTATCTCCCACTTGGACTACTGCAATGCACTCTATGTGGGGCTACCTTTGAAGGTGAGCCGGAAACTACAACTAATCCAGAATGCGGCAGCTAGACTGGTGACTGGGAGCGGCCGTCGAGACCATATAACACCAGTCTGAAAGACCTACATTGGCTCCCAGTATGTTTCTGAGCACAATTCAAAGTGTTGGTGCTGACCTTGAAAGCCCTAAATGGCCTCGGCCCGGTAGACCTGAAGGAGCGTCTCCCCGCCCCCCATTGTGCAGCCTGGACACTGAGGTTACGGGGAACCCGGCAGAGGGCCTTCTCAGTAGTGGCACCCGCCCTGTGCAACGCCCTCCCATCAGATGTCAAGGAAATAAGCAACTCTCTTACTTTTAGAAGACATCTGAAGGCAAGCCTGTTTAGGGAAGTTTTCAATGTTTTATATTTTATCATGTTTTTAATATTCTGTTGGGAGCCACCCAGAGTGGGAGGGGAAACCCAGCCAGATGGGCGGGGTATAAATATATTGCTGTTTTGTTTTGTGGTGGCGGTGTACGGAACGCTTTAGTGTGTCTCCCTACAAAGATCTGTTGGATCATTTGTGGACAAGTCCTGAAAGGCTTCTCTGCCTGAAAGCAGTTTTTACCTGAAAGCAGAGGAAACTGAGCTGGAGGCGACTTACCAGCCAGATCCAACTCTGTGCTAAGAGCCTTTATCATGAAGGATAAAGTGGAGTAAACAGCTTTAAAAACTACTGTAGCCAAAAGCCCAGTCTGCAACACCTGACTTTTCTAGTTTCCCATGCCTTCAAAGGATGCCTCCAATTTGAACTTATTTCATTTTAAGATGTCTCTCACATGCACCAGTTTCCCCCCTAGACAAAATCGCAATGCCTGCCAAAGTACTGTTTACACAACACAAGCTTATTTACCCTTTTCTAAAAAGGGTGCTAGAAAGAATTCCTACAATTCACATGGTCCTGTTACATTTCATCTTTTAACTCTTTTCCAGCTTCTTGTCCCAGATTCAAAAGGGCTTATTAACCTGGATCCATAAAAATCAAGTTAACATCGGAGACAAGAGTTAACATCTTCTCATGCCTCGCTGGCCAGTTTTCAGAGGCATATAACTTGCCATCAGAACAGATGTGGTCCATGGTCTGATTCTGCGGTGATGGCCTTTCTGAGTACGGGTGAGCAAGCCAGGATGGAGCAACACATCTGAGAGACAGCTCAGCACATTAATTAGCAAAGAATGTCCACGGTGCGCCAAAAGCACCTTGCTTCAACTCTCATTATTACTATTCATTAAATTCATATTCCGCCCTTCATCGGAAGATGTCAGGGAGGTTCACAAGATAAAAAATACAGGATAAAAGCATGAATAAATAGTTACAACAGAAACAAAACAATAATGCCCCCCCTCCTACAAACACATTTAAAAGGCTGTGGAATATTAATCAGCCCAAGGTCTGGTTGAAGAGGAAAGTTTTCGCCTGGTGCCTAAAGATGTATAATGAAGGCGCCAACTTGACCTGGGGAGAGCACTGCACAAACAGGGAGCCACTGCAGAAAAGGCTCTTCTTGTGTTGCCACCCTCCAGACCTCTCGTGATGATCACAGAGTCTGGTCAGTTTATCTGGGCAGAGATAGCCCTTAAGGTATTGCAGTCCTGAGCCCAAATTTACCAGTTCCCCATTTTGGATACAGGATATATGGATCACAGCCGAGTGGAAAAGCGCATGGCCTGCCTACAGAATGTCCTGGATTCAAGGTCTGTCATCTCCAGTTAAACAGGATCACAGAGCAGATGATGGGAAAGGGACGTCTGCTTGAGGACCACTGCCTGTCGCCATAAGGAACTCTGAGCTAGGTGGATAAATGCAACCTTATCCAAGACAGCTCCCTTTGTTCCCAGCTAATACTACCTACCTTACAGGGCATCTTGAAGGGAACATTAAGATAATGAGCGATAAATGAGCAAAATGCCTGAAATATTTGGAAAGTGCTATATAAATGTCAAGCATTATCACCTTCTCCTGCAGCAAGTTTTAGAATGCAAAACAGCACAGATATGTTAGCAAGGACGTCGGCATGAGAATAAAGTTAGCCCATGCTTATTCTTGAATTAAAAAGGTAGAACTCATTGCAACAGCAGACCTGGTGCAACTTCAATAGGCTGCTGGGGGAAACCCCCAACCCAAAACTCTTGCCCTTTAAAAAAAACCAACAGATTAAAACCAGTATTGGCACCAAGTCCTTGAGATCAGTTTTCTAAGAATTGCTATGTTTACAGAGTTCTGTGGACAATCCAACTTTTCTGATCAACACCCACAGTGAAATTGCAACAGTTTATTTTAAAGGAAATGTGTTGAGGAATTCACACAACAAAGCTTAGGAAAGTCAACAAATAGATGGAACGCAACAATCAGAGGAGAAGGCATTGGCACAATCCTCTTGTGGGTTTCATTAAAACTTTTATTTACTCCAACGTTACTTGCCATGCAATCTCCTCTGAAGTGAGAGCTCAGAATCTGAACAGGAGACCTGCAGGGCAGACAGACACACATTCTCAAGCAGTTTAGCCCTCAGCAGAATGCAGGAGAGTTTGTTTGCAGAGATTTGCCGGCAGCCCCCCCCCCACCTACCCACCCAAAGGAAGATATCAAGATTTCATCACCTGAGGAGAACATGTGTGTGCAAATGCTGGCTTTTAAACCAGTATATTGATTGCCTATGGGGAGAGAGAAATGTAAGCTCCCAGCTTATCACCACAGCTTTGAATCATTTCCAGGGAAGATTTTCTCCACATGGAAGCACTGAACAAAGGCCAGCACTTAAGATGGAGCATACTTCAACTGCCTGTGAGAAACGGGATGCCTCATCAGTGGGAAAAGTCTCGGCCTGTGAAAGCATTTCCAGAGCAAGGGCCCAGATGTGAAAAATACGTAGCAATAGTCACCTTGTCTCTGAGCAATGGCAGAGTGCATTGCACTTGCCAATAAGCAACAACAGCCCAGCTCCTTATGACTGGTTTAAGGCAGCAATGGTGGGGCATAGAGAGGCAGATAGCTCTGCAATGCTGCATGTATTAATACTAATACTAATACTAATATTTTATTATTATTTTAATTATCAATAATAATCAAATATATGCATCACCCTTCACCCAAGGATCACAGGGTGCTTTACAGCATAAAAATACCAAAGTACATAGCATAACAACAAACAAAATAGCAACAGCCCACCCACCCACAGCTTAAAAGGCTATAAATTGTTTAATAAGCCAAAGGCCTGGGAGAAGAGGAATGTTTTCACCTGGTGCCTAAAGTTATGTAATGGCTCGCATATATACAATGAAATAAACAAACATCCAACTTGCAGAAGACTTTTAGTACTCTCCCCATTTTTCTTCCCAGTTTACGTATTTTATTTTGGTTTTGCTGTTATTTATTGCATTTATTAGCAACCCTTCATCAACGAGGATCCCAGGGCGGCATCATGTAGTAATTGAAAGGACATCATGGTCATATAGTACAAAACACAATCCATTAAAATAACTAAATTAGAATCACGTTGAAACTTTGCTATAAATTGCTATAATTTAGGAGGTTGTGCACAAGCAAATGCAGCAGGGACAAGTTATCGACAAACTGCCCCTTCTTTGCCCCTCACTTTTCAACCTCCTCACAGACCTCTCAGCCTGAGCTTCAAATCTGCAATATAGGGGCAATACCACATCACAAGGGTGTTGAAGATTGAGTTAAAATTAGGAATGCTTGAGGAATTCAGTCTTTGCAAATGCCAATAAGAAATGACCTGATCGCAGATCGGAAGTAGCTATTGCCTGATTTTGCACTTTCCTGAATTTTGCAACATAAGCTCTTGACAATTAAATACATTATGCTAGGGTTGCTGTTGTTGTTAAATGTATACAGTATATACTCAGATAAAAGTAGGAATGGAACGGAATTATGTAAAAACGATACAGATCAGAATAACACAGACTGGGCTATCTCTAGCTAATTCAGGCGACACAGTCTGGATAGCGGTGTTTCTCAGCACCACTGAAAGATTTAGTGGATGAATGGCACTCATCAGCTCCAGCACTCATGCCATGCCAAGAGAAGGCGCAACCAAATGGATAAACTCAGAAAAAAGATAACAGTACCTTTGGCAGGAAGCTCTCAATTCCAGATTATGTTTTATACTTGGCCGGGGGGAGGGGGGAAGCTGCAGTAAGATCAGAGAGCTAAAACTCTTTTATTAGAACCAGTTTGGAGCAGGGGAGGGAAATCACTGAAAAGTATGGAAGGAGTGTGTGGAATTTGCCTTCTGTATAAGCACACACACAGAGGTCAACTGAAGAGTACCAGTTCCCTTCCGGCAAAGGCTGTTCCACACTTGGCTTGTTGGGGAGGGCAGACGCACCGCTGTGCCACGCATTTAGCACAACGGCTCCACAGAGACACCTGCTGCCCACGCAGGGGAAGGGGAGGAGTGGCACGCAAAATTATACGTGGCACTTTCTGGAAAAGGGGTGGGCAAGACACATTTATGGCTGCAGGATGACACACAGCTACAAATGATGGCCCCGTCTCTCAGAACCGACCAGATGACAGATTTATTTAGGACTGCACTTATCTTGGCCCTCCTCTTCCTTTCCAAAGGAAATCCAGAAGGGGTTATCAGTAAAACATACAAAGGAAAAAATGAAGCCATACTGTTAAACCTCAATATTTCAAAAGAAGAACAGGGATCTGGTGGGCTTCTTCAGAGAGATCGTTCCTCAACTGGGGTGCTACTACCAAGGCAACCCTACTGCAGACACCAAAAAAATTTAGATCTTAGGTAGGTGGAATGGGGAGCAGGACTTCTCCCATTAAAGCGGGGTTTGGTGGAGTACAAGTTGCAGAAAAACTATAAGGAATGTGAGCTCCCCTTTTCAGCAGGAACTGGGACCGAGTCTCCAAAGCTGTGTGAGCTGCAAGCCCATGAAGGAATAAGGTGAAAACATCAGCCTTTAGGGTTGTCAGGTAGTATAAAGTCTAGGGGGCAGCTGCTTGCAGCCTCTGCTTGCTGAACTTACTTTTAAACCTTCTGCACAGATTCTGGATTAAATGCAAACGGAAGACAGAATTGGCTGTCGGTGTTCGCAGTACAGATGAACATTACCCAGACCCTGTCTAAGCAGCTGTTCTCAAACTTTTTTCTCTGGGCCACACTCTCAGAATAAAAATTTGCTCATGCCACACCAGTTTTTTTTTAATTGATTTATAACTTAGAGCTCAACCATTTCATAATATGATCAAGAGACATCCAGAAAATATAAAACATAAGAACAGGAAGCATTACCAAAATATAAAATTGATTGTCCTCGAATCTTCCTGCTGTACTTGCCATCGCCTCCTGCTACGTCAGTGTGACATGCCGTACTCTTTGAGAACCACTGGCCTAACTTGAAAGAGCTGTGGATTGGACTCTGAAAATTCCTACTGTCCAGTTTTATAATCTACCATTAGTACAAAAGAGGGGCGGGGGAGTTAAAATTTGTGAACTAATGAAAGCATTAAAACCGAATTCCATCTTCTGAACCCAAGAATCAAACAATTTATGCTAGGCCAGTATTCCCTACTCTGACTGGGAGCTGCTTCCCAGAGTCTCAGACAGAGGGCCTTCCCATCATCTGAGACTTGGCCCTTTTTTCAATCCCAGGAGCTGAACCTCGGGTCTTTATTTTATTTATAAAAGTATTTATATGCCACCATCTCATGAAATATCAGGGTGGTGCACAGCAATGCGTATATAATAAAACTTAAGATCTTCTGCACACAAATATATGTACTCTGCAACTAAACTAGGTTTCCTTCTTGATCCTACAAAGAATTGTTTAAATGCTGTTAGCCACCCCAGGTTGGTGGGAGTTATATAAATTCAAATTAAATAAAATGTACATTGCAGTTTAATTCAAGAATATTTGGAAACACTTCTCTTTCTTAAAACACTGAGTCATTGTACAAGAGTTACTTAGTAAGCCGACATCCACATCCTCAAGAATGACTGCAATTTATTTTTCTTAAACGTTAACTAACATTCCTGGCTTGAATATTATCCATCCTTGATCTGATACTTCCCAGACACTTCATTGATATTATGTCCTCTTAACAGGACTTCACGCACTTAATTCCACTTTTGGCAACTCCTAGTGGAAAGTTTCAACAAGAGTTATACTGAAAGTGCAGAGACAAGTCTCATATGCCTCTCAGAAAAGCACCTCCATCCAACCCTCTCCAGCGCCACTAAACAAAGGCTGAACTTAATATATTCATTCGTCTCTTCCGAGAGCTTCACACTTATCCATATGCCTTCTTTATTGGTCTGAAGGCAATCTGCTCTGGAAGCCCCAAGATATTTAATAAATTTCATTTGTTTATTCATTTAAAAGATTTTTAAAGCTCATCTCTCACAACACACTGGCCTCACAAGGTGACCTACAAGGCTCAAGCATGGGAAAATACTACTACAAAACACACACGGACAGTTGCACAATTCAGACAAACGCAGACTTGAATAAATTTGCCGTCAGAATTTTTGTTTAATAAAACCCAGCAGGGATGAGGGCATACATGTCTCCCTGGGAAGCGGATTCCAAAGGTGTGGGACGACCGGGGAGGACCTGCCAGCCTAAAAGCGTTCAGTGGCAAGGGCACTTATCTCAATGCTCAGACAGGATCAGGCAAGTGTAGGTGGTCCCAACCCATTTAGGACTTTAAAGACCCAAGTTGGCACCTTGAATTGGGCTCAGAAATGAACATGCAGCCAAATGAAAGTGACACAGTGTACATGAAGTGACTTGAACACCAGCTCTCACAAGCAACTGCGTTCTGTACCAGTTGCTGTTCCTGAACAGCCTTTTAGGGTGACCCCATGGAGAGCACACTGAAATAATCAAACCTGGACATAACCATGTCATGCACCACTGTGCCAGAGTCTTCCTTCTCTAGTTAGGGTCCCAGCTGTCAAACTGGCCCTCCTAGTAATGTCATCTGTGCCTCCACAGGCAGCAGAGAACCCAGCAGTGCTCCCAGACTGCGTATCTGGCCTTTCAGGGGAAGAGTGATCCCATCCAGACAGATCTAAACCTCCTTCCAGATTAGCAGGCCTTCCAAATGGAGTACAGTACTTCTGTTTTATCCAGATTAAGTTTCAGCTTGTTAGCCCTCAACTAGCAACTACCTTGATTTTTATTGAGGAGCAGCACTTTCTGCCACACGCATCCAGCAAACAAAGCCACCATCCACACCCAACGTTCTATGGCAGCTTCAAAGCCTCAGCCCATTAAGGAGATTCACAGGTTGCTTCTTTATCTCTCATTCTGACACAGCATTAAGCATTCCACAAATTGCTATTCTGCAAGCGCTCAGCTGAGACCAAGTTAGTGCGCAGCAAGTGGAGTATAAGGGAATTCCTAGAACTTCAGATAAATCCTACTGCAGACCGCAGAACGGATGGAAACAGAAACTGTACCTGAACAAAATGAAACCCAGTGATTCAACAGCTGCACGTCTCACATCATCATTGACATCACTCACCTAATAAAAAGGGGAAAAAACAGCAAAAAGTCAGGGCAAAATACCTAAAGCGTACAGAAATATACAGAAATATCTAGAAGGTACTAATGCATTTTTTTTTCAGAGATGTGCAGATGGATTTAAAATGGACCACAGCCATCAAATGACTGGTATCATTAGACCATGACATTCTTCTGCTGGAATAGGTAAAAGGTAAAGGACCCATGACAGGTTAAGTCCAGTCAAAGGCGACTATGGGTTGTGGCGCTCATCTCGCTTTCAGAACGAGGGAGATGGCGTTTATCCAGATAGCTTTTTGGGTCATGTGGCCAGCATGACTAAACTGCTGCTGGCGCAACGGAACACCGTGATGGAAGCCAGAGTGCACGGAAACACTGTTTACCTTCCCACCACAGCTGTACCTATTTATCTACTTGCACTGGCATGCTTTCAAACTGCTAGGTTGGCAGGAGCTGGGACAGAGCAACGGGAGCTCACCCTGTCACGAGGATTCAAACCACCGATCTTCTGGTCGGCAAGCCCAAGAGGCTCAGTTATTCTCAAAGTAGACCCATTCAAAGTACAGTCTACTCCAGAGCCAGCTATACTTACAGCAACATGCAACAGACGTCTGATTGCCTTGTTGTTTCCTGAGCCACAGTAAGCCATTGCAACAGTATACATCCCTGAACGGCGGAGGATCGGATCCTGGAAGAGGTAGAGCACTTTAACATTTAAACTGTTACATACCGGGGGGTGGGGTGGGGGGGTGGAATCAAAGGAGAAAGACTCTGAATTCCCGAGCTAGATGAACCACCAGACTGACAGCTTCCTATGAGCTCACTTTCCAACTCTATTTTTAAAAAGTTGTGGTGTGATCCATTACTGAGTTGGAAAGTGGCATCTTTTTAAAATACCAACACCAATTTTCCATTAAAACTGCTACCTAGGACTTAGAGGAAAAACCTAAATTCCAGTTGATATATGATGCATGACCAGCAAATCTTGAATTTATCAAAAGCTGACCAAACTACTACTAGAAAACTAATCAGCTGAAGACTCCAGTCAGTATTCAGAATCTTGAGCAAAGGAGCGCCCCCAAACAGTCCTTGCGGTCTTTTTATTTGCTTTTGGGTTCTGAGAATCTAGAACACACTTACGCTAAATAAATACTCAAGAACTATAGTATGAAGAGCATAAGGCTTTTATGCTAATCAAGGCTAAAAACTGCGTATTGTCTGTACTGCTCTGTGTGATGCTGCTGCAGATCAGAGGCAGGCAGAAGACCGGTGTCTGAGTAACTTCAAGCAGATCAGCAAGGATTTCTGACTCAGGTTTCTAGTAAAAACAAAGTAGATTTCAAAGTAGATTTCGCCCACCCCAGCTTAGAAGGCTGAAGAACACTACATGCTTTATGTCTCAATCAACAGCCAAAAGATCTTCCAAAATTAATCCATTCCATATTTAGCAGCTTTTTTCATTTAATTGTTGATAGAGTGAGCCAGAAAGCTTGCTGGTGGCTAATTAAGTCAGTAGATAAATTTTGGCAAGACACTATACTTCAACCTTAATCAAGCATCCTATAATAACATGGGGCTTTGAAGAACCTCTGCCATAAAAAATGGCATTTATTCCAGTTCATTATGTATTAATTTTTACCCGATTCCTGTCTTGGGAGGCAGGTTGTGGGTTAGAAGGTGGACTATTTTACACAGACACCCTAAAGTGCTAAAAGGCAAGTGTTATTAAGATACGCTGAAGAGAAAGGCTGAAGCGGAATGGGTGGTTTTGCAGGAAGAGCTACACTCACCTTATCTCTGCAGAGGCTCTCGATCAGGGCATCTGCCTCCTCCATTCTGCCATACATCACCAAGGCAATGCCAACTGCCAGGCCCCGCAAGATCTTCTCATGCTGGGTTTCTTGGGCATATCCCACCATGTCCTCAATCGCCTGCGCATTTTTAGACCCCAGCATCACCAGCCCAAGAGCCAGCCCAGCTGCTTCACCTTTAAGGGGGGAAAGGAAGAAACTAAAGACAGGAGCACAACAGAACTTCACCACTGCTTCCGCCTGCCGTCCTGAATAGAGTACACAGGATGATGGCTTGGCCTGCGGTGGGGGGAGTAGGTTTAAGACACACACTTGTGTCCACGGCAGTGGCTTACCTGTCACAGCATCATCTTGGTACAGGTTAGTTTTGAGAAGGTCATAGACATCCTGGCGGGCAGTCCCCATGGCAGCCAAACCAAGTCCCAGGCTGCCCCCATGTCGGACAATCTGCAACAAAAGTAAGAGAGATGTTTCCTTTCTCTCCGTGACTCTACTTAAAACTTATCAGGAGGGCTACAAAGATCAGAACACACTCTTGGAGTGAGACAGAGAACCCATGAACTCATTCCACATTCAACTCTTGGTAGTCATTTTTCTAGTCATTCTGCATTGCAGGGGGTTGGACTCGATGACCCGTGGGTCCCTTCCAACTCTACAATTCTACACAAAATTACATTTCCATTACAGTGGATGCTTAGGTTGCGAACATGATCCATGCGGGATGCACGTTCGCAACCCACAGCGTTCGCAACCCACGTCTGCGCGTGTTGCAATTTGGCACTTCTGCGCATGTGCGACCACCAAAACCCAGAAGTAACCCGTTCCGGTACTTCCGGGTTTTGGTGGTCCGCAACCCAAAAAAACCCAGCCTGAAGCGTCTGTAACCTGAGGTATGACTGTATCTTCCTTCCTTCACTGTGATGTAATTTTCAGCATTTGAAAAAGAAACACATTATTGATTCTTCATGAGCGCCAACCACATTTTACCTTGCACCTTTTTTATTTATTGCCTTTCTATCCTACACTTCAATAAAACTTCTGGGGCAGCTAACATAATCGTCAGCTAAGTGTTGAGAAGTCCAGCGACCCACATGCTATCCCTAAGGCACTCAATCACTTATGCAGGTGATTCGCAGGAGACAATACTTACATCATTGCTGGCATTCTTCAGCTGGTTCAGCAAATAGTCTATGATGTCACCACCATGATTGGCATGGATGAGTCCCAGGGCATAAAGCCCACCACCTTCCTGATAGGCAGACCCTGGGGACGTGTCTTTCGGCAGATACGTTGCCATTAACTGAAGAGCTTCCTTCTCATGACCCTGTAAATTCACAAGGAGAAAAGAGAGAACTATGAAGAGCTTTGATGCGTCAGCCCAAGGGGTGTGTGTCCATCTTCTGCAGCCATTTTCTCCCAATTGGAACTAAGCTGAACTAATTTAGTAAGGATTCAATACTATGAACTTAGCAGGCACGCGCATCTTGCATGCACCCTGTGATGGGCAAGCAGTTTGCATCATCCCTTTTTGAATGCACATGTAGTACACACACACACACACACACACACACACACACACACACAGTGAGGAACATGCACTGAGTCTATTTTGTGTCCACAGTAAAATATAGGCCAGTAAGAAAAGACTGCACTTGTAAATACAGTAGCTCAATGAAAGCAAAATTTAAAATTCTTATGTCTAAGAGTTTACTGATAGTTGTGTAACATAAACCAGCAACAGGAGGACACATGCCACCTCTGTCTAAAAGCTGGGTCAGAACCTGCAATGTAAACAGGACGGCCTCAAAATATCCTGAAGATGACAAGCCCACCAACACCTCAGATGTTATCAAAAACACTGTGATACATCTTAGTATTACCTTATGTATGACACCGAGGCTGGCTGTAGCAGTAAACTTTGCCCAGTTGGTAGCCCTGGCAAGCCACTCCAAATTATCTCTGCAGAGAGAAATATTGGGAATTGGTCTTAGTCTCAGAAGTGTTCAAACTTTCATATCACAGGAATTGAGAGTGTTTAGAAGTTGACTGCTTGTTTTACTTTTGTCTGCTCTGGTCTAGTTCGACTCAAAGCTAGCAATATCTGCAGCCAGAAATCTTTGTACAGTGGTACCTCGGGTTACATACGCTTCAGGTTACAGACTCCACTAACCCAGAAATAGTACCTTGGGTTAAGAACTTTGCTTCAGGATGAGAACAGAAATCGTGCTCCGGTGGCGTGGCAGCAGCAGCGGGAGGCCCCATTAGCTAAAGTGGTGCTTCAGGTTTAGAACAGTTTCAGGTTAAGAACGGACCTCCGGAAGGAACAAATTAAGTACTTAACCCGAGGTACCACTGTATTCCAAGACCAAAACTTTCATCATAAAGGAAACAAAATTGCTGGACACGAAGTAAATTGCACAGTTCGGAATATTATTCCAAGGTGCTCATTTTCAACCATTTGGTCAATCTGCACAAGACAGGAGCACTGTATTTCTTTCCGTTGTTTTCCTGCCCTAAACAAAGCGTCAGAGTTACACTGCATTAAAAAAAAATGCATATGAGATTGGCACGGCTCTAAGAGGGAGCTCTGGCTAGGGCAAAGGGTCCTTCCTAGCTCAACAAGGATCCATCTCTGACTCTCCAGTGGCTAAATCAATGCACACTGGAAGAGGAGATCATTATATGAGGGAATGACAATAAGCTGAACACCATACAAAAGTTCTCAGGCCTAAATATTAGAAGAAGAAGAAGAAGAAGAAGAAGAAGAAGAAGAAGAGGAGTAGTAGTTTGGATTTGATATCCCGCCTTTCACTCCCTTTAAGGAGTCTCAAAGCGGCTCACATTCTCCTTTCCCTTCCTCCCCCACAACAAACACTCTGTGAGGTGAGTGGGGCTGAGAGACTTCAGAGAAGTGTGACTGGCCCAAGGTCACCCAGCAGCTGCATGAGGAGGAGCGGAGACGCGAACCCGGTTCCCCAGATTACAAGTCCACCGCTCTTAACCACTACACCCTTTGATGGCGCTATTTGAACATTCTCAAACCTAGAAAATCTAAATGAATAAATAAATAAATAAACAAATCCCAGACTTTCAGAAATGGCACCTTATCTTGCATTTGTGAAATTGCACACAAACTTCCCTGAACAAAACCTAAATAGTGGGACAATAGAAGTAGTTATAAAATTCTTGCTGATGGCTCAGTGCACCAATATATGAACCCAAGAAATGGCCTGAGGTCAAGTCAGACCACTCTTCCAAGCTGCTGGAAAAGCCGGATCGACTCTTGACTTGCCACAGGCCTCTAAAAAATCTTCTGTCCCAGGCCTTCCAGCCAAGATCCTCCACATGCAAAAGCACACTCTCAACAGTATCATATCATAAGAAAAGGATAGAGAAAGACTGCTCTCCTGCAACCATAGCAGATTAATTTATGCCCCCAAGAGGTGTTACGCTGCTCCGCTAAAGGCTTTTACCTAAGGAACTGGTCACTGGTTGTTCCACAATGCATAAAGGAGTTTGCTATGACTGTTGCTGTGTGACAGACAGAGTTCCGCACGGCGTCCTGGAGGGGCAAAATAGAAAAGTCACCGCCAAGCAAAGAGGAACACGAGTATACTGTATAGAAAAACCTCATGCGTAGAAGTGCGCTCAGGTCCTAACATGGTAACTTTCCTTTTCCCTTTTCTGTTTCTGACTGTTCAGATCACAAAATCCATGTTGTAAAGCAAATATGATCTGTATTTCTTACAGTATGCTGCCAGAAATTTGTTGACTTGTCTGAAAACTTCTGAACTAAGCTTTTTAAAAAATAAATAAATACAAGACAAATCTCACGAGGAAAGGCTGAAGGATATACATGCAGAGACAGGCTAAAGGATAATAAGCGCAGTCTGAAGGGTATAAAACAGTACCTGCCCCATCTACTGATGGACAATAGGCCACTGCCTAAAACTTCAGAGAGGTTGATTCAAGGCTGAATATAATCTGCTAATGTCCATTGTTAAAAAATGCTGAACTTGGTTCCTTTGAAAACTGTCACATACTAGCCAAGCAGGAATAGTATAAATGGAGAGAATTTGTGTAAGAACTTAAAGATGTTATCCAACAAAGTACTGTATTTACGTTCGCAGAAGGACTTCGGGCTGCGCAGTAGAACTAGACATTCTGCTCCACATGCCCCCCACCCAAAAAAATAAAAATCTGTTATGGGTTTACTCCAACCTTTTACAGCAGAGTTGGGGAGGGTCTAAGAGGAGTGCGTAGGGACAGGGGAGGAAAAGAGACCCTTGCACTAAGGGAACGACTTCATTGGAGTCCTCAGTTCCCCCACTTGAACCCCCTTTACTCTTGGATCAAGAACCCTCCTTGTTGCTATTGCATCTTAGCTTCTTCTCTTCTCTGCTGGGACAGCTCATTTGGGGTAGAACTTTTTAAAGAAATCTCCTTTTGCATATTACAATTACCTCTTTTGTGTTTTTCTATATACTATGCTGTCATACCACATTTTGCTAATATGCAAATATTCTTTGAAATTCTGAAGTAAATTAGTTTTTAATGATAATAATAATAATATTTTATTTATATCCCACCCTCCCCAGGCTCAGAGCGGCTAACAACAGTAAAAATAACACAGTTTTCATAAAATCATAATCAACTAATTGGAATACATTCTAAAATCAATTCAGAGTCAAATTAATGGCAACCATTGGGCAAGAGTTCTGTGAGGATTACCAAAGGAGGGAGTCAGGCTGCGCCCTGACCAAAGGCCTGGTGGAACAGCTCTGTCTTGCAGGCCCTGCGGAAAGATGTCAAGTCCCGCAGGGCCCTAGTCTCTTGTGACAAAGCGTTCCACCAGATCGGGGCCACGGCCGAAAAAGCCCTGGTTCTGGTTGAGGCCAGCCTAACCTCCCTGTGGCCCGGGACCTCCAAGATGTTTTTATTTAGAGAATGTAAGGTCCTCCGTGGGACATACCAGGAGAGGCGGCAAAAGGCCTTTTGCTCAAGTCTTTATTAATTTAAATATTCTCAGCATCATTCTGCTCAAGAGCCCACAGTGCAGAACACAGAGGCACACTTCCTTCATGGGTTGTATTCCTTTACATTTTACTCAGAGTACATCTGTTGGAATTAACAGACCTAACTTTGCCATGTTCATTAATTTCATTGGGTCTACTCTAAGTAACACTGAGCTGGACACCACTCCTTATACCGTATTAAATAGCTAGCTGGTAACGTAATGCTATCGAAATGTTAAGATGAATTATTCAGCCTCAAATCCAAAATTATCTCCCAGCGCTTGATGAAGCAAGCCCACACAAATCATATATAGGCCTTACCTTTGTGTTTTTTAGAATCATGAGGTCTGTGTTGTTGTTTCGTATTAAGAACTGCAGGTGTAACTCAATGGCCATTTCACCACTTAATATTTTAATCATTTTTGGGATCTGATCTTTTGACTCTGGGTTCTTCATATATGCACATGCAGAAAAAGACAAAAAAGATTACTTTTCAAAATCTCAACAAGTATCTCAAAACACCAGTAAAACCTTATCAGCCATGGTCGCTTTGGCAAGTTTACATGCACCAAGTACAGCTAGATTTATTTTGCCATCTCCATCAGTATTCATGAGATTTCATCCTCTATATTCATTTATTGTAAAATAAATAAATAAATGTATATTTAAGTATATTTCTGTAGGAAACATTCCACTGAAGCGACTCATAAACTACAGCCATAACTAGGGGTGGGAAGACTTTGGGCTTGCCAGATCTACAGTACTTTGTTTTCACTAGAACCCCAAGACAGAGCTAGGTGCAAAACAGATACAGGTAGAATTAAGAGAATAGGATGTCTCTTGTGTGTGTTCTAAGGCGAAGAGTTTGCTTTCACTAACAGGACTCAACTAAGCTCACAGTACTTGCCTTCAGAATTCCATTCCTGTTAGCTTTTTTCATTTCACCAGCCAAATTTAGGTAGGAAAAGTAGTTTTGTTATTTCCATTGCTAAACAACCAGGAACAAGAAAACCTTCACCACCTTCTGCAAATCCTGCAGGGGGTCTACTAGTAGATCCCAATCTACTTTCTGACCAACCCTACCTTAAGCTAATCCCTCTCAATTCTGTCTTTTCAAATTGCATTCCAACATTAAGTTGAGGAATACCTCTGGGATAATTTCTGTATGCGTTCACCTTGGCAGCGCTTATTTTTCACAAAGGAAACAATTCGAGACACACTTCTTCCCAAATGCTCACTCAAACAGCATGGAATCTCCACTAACGCATGGGATCTCTACTTCTTCACTTTTTTTTTCTTTTTAAACATTTGTATATGCTTGAATTGGATGCGGGTGGCGCTGTGGGTTAAACCACAGAGCCTAGGACTTGCCGATCGGAAGGTCGGAGGTTCGAATCCCCTCGACAGGGTGAGCTCCCGTTGCTCGGTCCCTGCTCCTGCCAACCTAGCAGTGTTGATCTAAGTGCAAGTAGTGCACGTAGATAAATAGGTACTGCTCCGGCGGGAAGGTAAACGGCGTTTCCGTGCGCTGCTCTGGTTCGCCAGAAGTGGCTTAGTCATGCTGGCCACATGACACGGAAAAACTGTCTGTGGAAGTGGACAAACGCCGGCTCCCTCGGCCAGTAAAGCGAGATGAGCACCGCAACCCCAGAGTCGGTCACGACTGGACCTAACGGTCAGGGTTCCCTTTACCTTTACCTTTTACTATCTGCTTGAAGGTCATTTAATTTTCTTGCAACGTCCACACAAGCAACAAGAAAACCTCCACAATTTGGAGGAAATTTGCACTGTGCCCAGAAAATGGCCTGGGAGCACCACGGTTGTAGGAATTACGGTACTGAAGCCAAGTCAGCGCACACTTGAACACTGCCACGGATGGAGGCCAATGGAGAGCCCCATATAAGACTGACTCTTGTAAGAGGAAAGCGGCATAAAAAGCCCTACATTTAGGGTAATTTCTTTTCCTTTCTTACCCTACTGTATTTGGTGCTTTCTCCTCCAAGCGTCACAAGCAGCTGCAAAGTGCGACTTTTTCAACTTAAATATTTACAACTGCAATCAATGACCAAATAAGGCATTATTTTGTTTCCTACTTTCAAGGGCAAACCTTTATAACACACACTAATGCACTGAACAGTAAAACAGCAATAAATCTTTACGTGGGCTTCACAGGGCAGCTCTGATCTTTTATTGTTGGAAAAACACGCTGCATTAAGCAAGCATTCCATCCCTGAAAGATATGGAATTAGTAACTCTCTCATCCCTAGAAGTCACGGTTATCTGAGGGTGATCTGTTGTATAGGTTCTGAAAGTAGTAAAATCACTGCAGCCAAAGTCAAGTTGATCTAGGACTATAACCCTGTGATTGTGTGCTTTGGGGAAGAGAATATACACCGTGCTCCACAGCCTTTCAAGGCTGCAGTGAGACAACTGTGCAATGCCTCTGCTTGCTTTATAGTTGGGTCTCTGTTTCATAGCAAGATATGCAAGGATGTTGTGATTTTAATAATATTGTGCATTACCCTGAAGCCCACAGGATAAAATGGAGTCAAGAAATCTTATGAAATAAACAAACTATGCATCAAGGATGCTTTACACACAGCAACACTTACGGTTTGGACAGCCTTCACTGCAGCAACAGGACTATTTGTCTTTTCTTCTGTCTCCATGGTATCACTATAAGAAAAGAGAGAGAAAAACAGTCTAACTTGCGTTGTAACCTATGCCAAAACTACTGAGAAGGGCACAGGAATCAATAAGGTAATGAACATTTCATTTCACAGTCCTAACGCTTCTACAAGTCTCCACACCTCTTAAAGCAAGAGAGAAAAGGCAACGGTGTTTCTCATGTTCACAACTGAGGCCAGTCAATACAGTCAGCAGAATCAAATGCTGAAGCTTTTTCTGCACTTGACCACTGAAGATTGCAGTTGTGGGAATACATATTTGAATCCCCACCCCAATAGCAGGAGCATGCCTTTCCCTTTACGTACAACTTTGCAAGGCTGAATCCATCTCCCTTCTGTGCTCTTTTTTTCTATAGGGAGCCTTTAAAAAAAAGAGGTATATATAAACACCGACAAATGGGAAACACTGGCCTGCGAGCGCTCTGGAAGTTTATTTCTAAGAGACACATAAGCCACAGTCACAACTAGGGGTGGGGAGACTTTGGGCTTGTCAGATCTACAGTACTTTGCTTTTCAATAGAACTGTAGGAGGAATCTATGGCTATCGGGGGGGGGGGATGGGGATGGGACGACTCAGTATCTTAAACCAAACTACAAGTTCCAAGATTATTGCTGGAGAGGCGGCACAATTTTGTTGTATAGATACAGTGACTGAAGGACCTGTTGATGGCATTTTACCATTGCACTGTGGAGAGCGTATTAACTTATGGTCTGTGTGTGTGGTTTGGGAGCTGCACAGCCAGGGAGAAAACAATGCTGTCCAGGGTTGTAAAGACTGCAGAGAGAATAATAGGGTGCACTCTTCCCACCTTAGATCAAATCTATGCTGCCAGGTGCCATAAGAAAGCTGCAGAGATAGCGCAGGATAGTGCGCACCCCAGAAATGATCTCTTTCAGCTTCTGCCTTCTGGAAGAAGGTATAGGGTTATAAAGGCCAGGACTAGCCGCCTGAGAAACAGTTTCTACGCAAATGCAATTCTGGTTCTAAACGCAGCATAAGGGGTCTCTGTAGTATAGTGTATTTTAAAATGGGGTTTTAGAGTTTTTAGGGGTTTTTGAATGTTTTATGTAGTTTTTATGTAGTTTTGTGGTAGTTTTTATGTAGTTTTGTGGTAGTTTTTATGTAGTTTTGTGGTAGTTTTATGGTAGTTTTACAATTTCATTGTTCTGCATGGGACAATGACAATAAAGATATCGTATATCGTATACGGTATTTACATACACTCAAGGGAGAAGGTAAGTGCACAGGGTACAACTGCTTGGTCCCACCCTGTGATCTGGTTAAATCCCAAGGCTAGCTCTGCCATACACCACATTGGAGGGCAATTCACCTTGCAGCTCAGCACCTGACAGTATTTGTGTCTTCAAGCCACATGCCACCCATTTGGATGCCTCTCGCACAAGCTCCCTTACCCTTCCTTCTCTGACCCTGGGACAGTCCCTGTGTTGGTTGATCCAGGCACAGAATGAATAGGGGTGCCAACAGTGCGGAGGTTCTGGATAACGGAAGAGAGGAACTGCTGGCTGGCACTTTCATACAAGTCAAAGCAGATCTGGTAAGCCATGAGAAGGTTGTCCTCCTTGACCAGCTTCTCCAAGATGTCGCTCACAGCCTGCGGGTCATCCAAGAAGATGAGGCACTGCGGGAGAGAGAACAGAAGAAAAGTCAGAGGATGTCTCAGCACGGAAGTAGGAGTTTCATAAGGCCAATGATTTCTCACCCATTCATTATGTAAAATTTACTAGAAACATGTATCTGAACCCCATTCCCAATGAGCTCATGTTAATGTTTGGAGTGGGGGGTGTTTCCCATTTCTATGCTTTTACAGGCATTATTATAGTGCTTCCTGCATGCCATTGAAACCACTATAATATACCAAACAAGTCCCTGAAATAAATCTTCCTCCCTTCCTCTCTTCCCCTTTGTACACCTTCACAACAACTCTGAGGTAGGCTACACAGAGATAATAGTTTTGTTCCACCCTCTCAGCTTTTGGGTTGAGCAAAAATGTAGAGTCCAAGGGTTGAAGATGTTCCTATCATGCAACGGAACCCCCCTGAGATTCTCTTCTTCCACATCTTCCCTGAACCCTCCCAAATCTGCTCTGAGAGTTCCCCCAATCCTCCCGCGTCGTGGCAGAAGCGGAAGCCATTCCACTCATGCAGTGACTTCACTAATTCCACCCCAACCCTTTTCACTATCCCACTCCGGCTTCTTTCAAGCACTCATTCGTTAAGAGCATTAACGACCAAAAGGGGGGGAAAGTTTCACAACCAAAACAAGTTGCCAAAATACATCAAAACAGCTGATGCGTTTCTAAAGCACTCAACACAGTGGGTGCTTCAGCTGAGCCAAGCTACATCAGTTGTTGTGAGTTTCTCTTGAACCACAGGCCAAGGGGGCAGAAGAACATGGAAGAATTTTAGCAAGCAGGTCCCAGTATGTATCTCTGTTAATTTGAGTTAGCAACCACAATTTTCTTGGATGATGTGCGTCTTACATTCCCCCCCCCCGCCTCTTCCTCCAAAGGGTGAAGTACGCATGCCACCATCTGGCAGATACTACTACTCAGATACCCTCCTCTTCCCCTGCTCCCAAGGCAAACTAGCCTGTGGTCTGTAGCCATATGTACATACATAGCACATTACCTGGCACACATTGATGAAGTCAGGTTTTTCTAGGTTCATGTAGATTTTAACCAGAACTCTCAGTACCTGGTTGCGGAATTGCTTATTCTGCATCAAAGACATGCAGAGTTTTAAGCTGTATGCCAGCATTCCAGGAACATCATTCTGCCATGAAAGAAAATATTGCTGTAAAATTATTTTTCACAATTGTAAATTTTTTTTTAGCCATGTCTAACAGGCCTACCTCTTATCTTCTTGGAGGGTCGTGAGATGGAGAGAGACAACAAATAATGCAAATGTGACAAAAACTAATCTGGCTAATCAACCCAAGCAAGTCTCACCAAACTGGCTTCAGTAATATTGAATGCAAGACATGAACACAATCCAAATTACTGGAAAGTGTACCTTATTCTATATCTCACTGCTGAAATGCCTACATACAGATAGGCAACATTTTGAGAACTGGCGCAGCATAGTGCCCAAGACCATGAGCCAAGAAGTCTCATTTCAGCTAAAAGGCTGCTAGGTGACCTTAGATAATCCACTCCTAACTTCTAATTGGCACAATGCATTTGCCACTTTTGCCATGGCGAGTGTTTCTCCAAACTTTGGTGACACTGACAGGAAGAGCACCATCTTTTGCTCCAGCTTGGAGTTGGAGAAGAGACTAGAATTGTGCAACACAGGTTTTTTTTGAGTTTTGAAGGACACAGCACAACTATGGAAAAACTCTCTGACTTGTTCGCCAGCTTCAAGCTAGTGATGAAGACTGAGATTAGGACCTCTTGCACCATCCAGTGCTAAAGCAAGCCTCAGTCTGTTCTCTAGGAGTCAAAGGGGAAAGCTGGAGACGACCACCTCAGGAATTGGGTGGCCTTTTGAGTCCTAGGTGCAAAAGCATCCTGTGACATCCAGCACCAAGCCTGGAACTGCAGAAGCCAGGCAAGGGGTGCAGAAACCTTGTGTGGAACTACAGGGCCAATATGAGGAAGGGGATGAACAGCCCAGCCCTCTGTATGTCTGCTGAGGAGCAATTCCCACCAAAAGCTATTCTCAGGTAAGCATGCACAGGACTTCTGTTTTAGGGTGTGCCTGTGTCAAACATAACGTTCTGTTCTTTTACCCACCGATTCCAAAATGGTTTTCTCAAAGACATCCAGCCTGCGCGTCTCCAAAGCAATCCCAATGGCTTGCTTGTATTTGTGATCATCTAAACAGCGCTGGAACATCTTGTTGACAATTCCTTCCAGACGCGGATCCACTGCCTTCTTTGCTCCCTCGGCCAGGTCGGCATTTTCCACACATTGTTTGGTGTAATGGTCAATGCACTTTGCTGGGAAAAGAAACGCACATGCTCCCTGTTAAGCTTCTCCAACTGGCCCAGTGTCACAATGTCAATACAGTGGACGCTCGGGTTGCGAACGTGATCCGTGCGGGATGCATATTTGCAATCCGCAGCAAATCAAAATCAAATATCTTTAATACGGTCAATGACCAGCAAGCAATTTATAAAATAAAATATGACAATATAAGTACTATTGTACTACAGATAACAGTGGAGATATGGCCAAATCACAAAATTGGTACTTATGTTTATGATCAGGTTTCGACTTTTAAGGTTTTAAGGATTCAATTCAAATGTCACTACTGTTTATTATCGTTCCTTCGATGTTTGCAATTTGAACTCCGTTGCTGTCATCATTGCTCGTCTTATTCTTGTTGCAATGTAACAGTACTTCGCCACAGGCCTGTTGATTTCGGGGTCTTTGTCAGCTAAGAGGTGTCTGCGCACGCACAGGTTGCGATTCGGTGCTTCTGCGCATAGCGCGATTTAGCGCTTCTGCGCATGTGTGACTGCCGAAACCCGGAAGTAACCTGTTCCGGTCCTTCCGGGTTTCGGCAGTCCACAACCCGAAAAAACGCAACCTGAAGCGGTTGTAACCCAAGGTATGACTGTACATCCTCAGGATGAATAATAATAATAATAATAATAATAATACAGTAATAAGTATAATAATAATAATAATAATAATAGGGATGAAGTACTAACACCTGTCAAGTTAAAGCTGAAATTCAAAGAAACTTTCATCACAAAATCATTTATTAACTTAACAGCACTGTAGGACTAAGACATTTATTTTCCTCTGATTTAAAGAAAAAAACCAAAAATCCTGTGCTAAGCATTCATGGTTTCATCCCATGCAAGATTCTGCACGTGCTTCTTTGTACTGGGTCCAAAAGTTGTATTCTGTGCAATCTCAGCTTTCATTATTAAAAACAAAGTTTCTCATCTTGCAAGATTATTTGTAGGATAGCATAGCTACCTTTGAACATCTCATGCTCTTCAGAACAATGTTCTGCTATATGCAGAAATTCCTTCCACTCTACATGCAAAGAGTCCGTTACTCACAATATTCTGCCCCTTGCACCAACTGACATAACATCTAAAACTGGATTCCAAGTAAAAACTGCAGGTTTGTTTCACCACATTAAGCAAATTTACATTTAAATAAAGCAAACACTTCTCTTTCAAATCCTAGAAACCAGAACTTTGCCAAATCTGTATACTCCGTTTAGCACATTGCCAAACCAGGGTAGTCAGCTAGAATGTTTTCCGATTCAGAGCCCAGACTTACCAATGATCGTCTCCACATATTCTGAATTGTCATTGACATTGAAGAGGTTGCCTGCTCCCAGGGCATAGTTCAGTGATTCTTCAAAGGCTCCCAGGTGATAAAACACCTTTGAAGCCACCAAAGCAGCAAATTCACGACTCCGGAAGCCAACATCTTCATACAGGATTTCACTATAGCAAAAGCAAGGGAGAAACCATCAGCTGTCATGACTGACTCCTTTAAACAAAAACCAAATTTCACATATCAACTAACGTCCTGTGGATTATGGATATGCAATTCCTAAACCAAGAAATTCAGCTTATGGAATGTAGAATCTAATTTTTTTTCTATTAACCAAGAGATAAGACAGGTGCATTTCATCCTTGTGCTCTGAACAGAAAAACCACCCTAATGCCAGAAATAATTTTTTTCTTACATTTTGTCCACTGACTCAGAGATCTCTGCCCAGAAGTCATTGACAACAGCATTCAGTTTCTGAAGAGCAAATTCCTGCGAAAATCGAGAATTAAATTATTAGAGCTCTGCCCCCAGAATCCCACAAGTGCAGAGTTGTGTTACATAGATAGGTCTTAAAAGTATAGCCATCTCCACCATGTAGTTTCCCAAAATAACTCTTACATTTACCAGCTTACTCTGTAATATCTGTCTAGAAGGATGCAGAAACTAACTTCTGTGCACAGTGATAAGTTGGCCCCACTAAAGGAATGCAGGCAGGTGGCAGAGAATTATTTGACTACTTCCAGGCCACTTTTGCATGTCTTCGTCTGACTTAAAAGGCAGAGTGCCAAGCTACCTTCTCCCAAATAGTGAACTCAGTGTGGCTGAGTAAGTAGAGAGTATAAAGCTATGACTACTTTCCTTTTACTTAGACCAGCTTGCTCACCATGGACCGGGGTCAGCCCTGCTTTCTTCTCAGACTAGGGTTTTACTTAAAGCTTAAAAATACCCAATGCAGGCCAAACATCACTTGAATCCACCAACATCTGTTTCTTCTTGAGTGAGCGTTGTCTTTCCTGACATCATTATGTTTTGGCTAACCATGTTATGAGCTGCATGCTGTAAGAATGGCTGAGCTGTCAACTAAATCATTGCAATGTTTAACAGAATGGCAGTGTACTGCATATAATCTAAATTAACAGTGCTGCTTGGAACCTGACAATGAGGATACTAATGGCTGCTTCAGATGTTAACTTTAAAAAAACAGAATTTTAAGAACTATGTCAACCTTAATGACCAGCTATGCATCAATTATATGCCAAGTTTCAACTACAGTCGTACCTTGGAAGTCGAATGGAATCCATTCCGGAAGTCCATTCAACTTCCAAAACGTCCGAAAACCAAATTGCAGCTTCTGATTGGCTGCAGGAAGCTCCTGCAGCCAATCATAAGCTGCGGAAGCCCTGTTGGACATTCGCAAAGCGAACACTCACTTCCGGGTTTGCGGGGTTCAGGAGCCAAAACGTCTGAGTACCAAGACGTTTGGGATCCAAGGTATGACTGTATGTGCTCCTCCCATTCTCTGTTTTACCATCTCCAGAATGGAACGGATGCAAAAATGGCTCTTACCTAACACTTTCTCAATTGCTTTTCCTGAAAAACAGGATAAAAGGATAATCCTTGACCCAGATACCTGTATGAACAAGTGTGTAAAAACAAAACCTTACACACTTACCTTAAGTTCTGGCTCTTCCTCATCAAGCAGTGAAATAATTCCAGCTACAAAAGAAAGGTCATGTTAGTCATCACAGAAATCAATGCAGAACTGTCACTGCAGATTCTACATCACACAACCCATTTTGGTAAACACAAACACCTTTTAATAATTAAGGGCATTTGTGTCTTAAAAACTACTCCTGCATAAAGCACACTGGACTTATGACTGCCATCCTATGCACATTTAAATAAGAGTAAGCCACACTGAACCTAGTTTTAGGGTGTCAAAGAGGACATTTCAACGGCACTTGCATAAGAGGCAATCTGGCGGGGGGGCTGTATTTCCACTTCTATTTATTGCCATCTAACCACATGTCTTGCAACAATAATTTCCCAATGTGGAAAGTAAGCAAGAGCCTTGAGGCTGCTATGTGGGGCTGCTTCTCATGGGCAACACGAATGACTAAAGACATTTCAACTATTGGCAAAGTGTTGTAAATAGCTCCGCCCTGTGGCAAGAAAGAATTGCAACCAAGCAAAACAGCAGTACAAAACTTGCATGTTTTGCGTTTTCCTTCCTACACAAGCAGCTAGCATCAGGGCATATGAACAAGAGGGCTAGTAAGTTCTATGGGTGAAGTCTGAAAACCTGTTTGGCAGTCATTCACTGTACGGCTCCAAACAAATACAGTAAAATCAATAACAGGAGAGGGAAGCAAATACGGTTAAATGCAAACCCCTCTTCCTTTTCCCCCCAGAGCCTTACTGCATATTCCACAATGCACATCAAAAATATAGTCCCAAATAAGCTGAGTTCTGACCACTTAGAGTTCTAAGTGTTCCCTCAGAGAGCAACAGAGAAAAATTGGATAGTAGGATATGAAAATGTATGGCAAAAGCAGAAACTGATGGCCACCTCTCCCCATCCACTGTTCCTCTGTGGTTCATCATCTACAGAGATTTTCTTAAAAAACAAACAAAAATCCCCTTTAGCAATTAATTACCCCTTTCCCCCAATCCTTAGAGACAATTTAAAAAATAAGGGTGAGATTCAAAACAAGAGGGCCAGTGTCTCTACATTCCACTACCCATCTCTAGGAGCTCTTTCTGAACACAATCAGTGCCTGGCAGACACTACTCCAGTCATGGCTAACATTTAGAAAGTGTGAGAGAAGCCGCCTCATGTTGCCTTCTACACTTCTTTTTCAGAAATGTCTCTTTCCCCACACCCCTCTCCATATAAAATCATTCCTTAGAACTTTTCACAGTTGAAAACAGAGGCATTTTGACACCTGCAAGACCTGTTTTATGTCCACATGCATGTTTACGTGCACATGCACAGTCAAGACACAACGGTCCTGCACTCAACTACTCACAACTACAGCACACATACCAACAGCACAAATACCAATGTATTTGGACCCTCACTCACCTCTGGAAATTTACAGTGTGGAAATTAAGCACCTCACCCATTTTATCCTCACAACCACCCTACGAGGTAGGCTGAGCTGAATGATAGCAACCAAGCATCACCCAATGCACTTTGTGGCTGAGCCATTTTAAACACGGGTCTCCCACAGTCTAGCCTGACACGCCAACCACTGCCCCACTGCCCCAACAGCTGTTTTGCCCAGAGGCACCCACTGGAGTCTTGACTACACATATTACCACCTAGTGCATAGCCTAGAACTCAAAGACGTTTTAACTTCCAGGGTCCTGAAACACCTGAATAAGGCTGCCATGTGTGTCAACATGCCCAATTTCTGTTGTTGCTTAAAAATATACCATATTTTTTGCTCTATAAGACTCTGTTTTTCCCTCCTAAAAAGTAAGGGGAAATGTGTGTGCGTCTTATGGAGCGAATGCAGGCTGTGCGGCTATCCCAGAAGCCAGAACAGCAAGAGGGATCGCTGCTTTCACTGCGCAGTGATCCCTCTTGCTGTTCTGGCTTCTGGGATTCAGAATATTTTTTTTCTTGTTTTCCTCTTCCAAAAACTAGGTGCGTCTTGTGGTCTGGTGCGTCTTATAGAGCGAAAAATATGGTACATTTTGTAAGGCACCCAACATTCACCCCCAATAAAAGAACAGGGGCAGTGACTCTGGCACAACAGATATGCGATATACAATATCTTTATTGTCATTGTCCCATACAGAGCAATGAAATTGAAAATCTACAGAAAACATTCAAAACCCCCTAAAATCTCTGAAACCCCATTTTAAAATACAATATACCATAGAGACTCCTTATGCTGCATTTAGAACCAGAATTGCATTTGCGTAGACTCTGTTTCTCAGGCGGCTAGTCCTGGTCTTTATAACCCTATACCTTCTTCCAGAAGGCAGAAGCTGAAAGAGATCATTTCCGGGGTGCGCACTATCCTGCGCTATCTCTGCACCTGGAAGCATAGATTTGATCTAAGGTGGAAAGAGTGCACCCAATTATTCTCTCCGCAGTCTTTACAACCCTGGACAGCATTGTTTTCTCCCTGGCCTTGCAGCTCCCAAACCACACACACAGACCATAAGTTGTCCACATAGGAAGGGCCCTGCTGCAGGATCAGGCCCATGGCCCATTCAGTCCAGCGTCCCGCTCTCACAGCGGCAGACCAGATGCCCAGTGTGGGAAACCCGCAAGCAGGGCCTGAGCGAAAGAGCAACTCTCCACCGTTTCTGCTTTTGTCTGCGGAGGCAGAGCATAGCCATCCGACCCATTAGCCACGGACAGCTCTCTCCCCTCCCCCGTGAATCGCTGGCCGCCGCCGCCTCCTTCCTGCGGCGGTGAGTTCCCCCGGTCGACTACGCGCAGGAACCTCCCTCCGCCCTGAAGCTCCCGACGCTCAGCTTCACGAGAAGCCCGCGAGCGACAAGTCATGACAGGAAGGCGGCGAGGCAGAGGGGGACAGGCCGCTCCCAAAGGAGACTCCCGCGTGGCAGGGGGTCAGGCTAGATGACCTCCGGGGGTCCCTTCCGGGCCTGCGGTTCTAGGGTTCTAAGGGCAGCGGGCAAGAGGAAGAGGAGCGGGATGAGGAGCCGGGCAGTGGCCCCTCGGGCTGGGCCGGGGCTCCCGGGAAGCGGCTTCGGGCCCTGCCTGACTCAGCTGAAAAGAAGCGGCCGGGGCGGGGGGGGGGTTCTTGTTTCCTCCCGGCGCCGCGCATGCGCGCTCCCTCACCGGCCGAGGTGATCATGGCGTCGCGTGTCCCCCGCCGGCGTCTCCGCTGAGGGAACCGGGAAACGGCGGGCGAAAGGGGTGAGGGGGAAGACCTTCCGAGACCGGCGCTGCCTGCCCTGCTAGCCCGTGACCAAGCTCCTTCGCCGCTTCCGTCGCGTCCTCGAGCCGCCCCGGAAGTGACGTGATAACAGCGAGCCCGCGGGGCTCTTGCCCCGCCCCGCCGGGCTTCGAAGGCCCCGCTCTCCTCGGCAACCCGCGCACGGGGCTGCCCGCGCGGAATGCCTGCTTCGGGAGGAAAAGGCGGCGGCGAGGCCTTGTGGAACCGGGGGGGCGGCGCGGAATCTTCCCGAGGGCGATGGGGAAGGAGGGAAAAGGCGACCGCGGGAATCGGGGCGCTGTGGCAGGTCAGGCAGCGGCAGAGACACCCAAGCGCCTCCCCGAGGACCCCTCCTTCCTTATGCAGCACCTGCCTGTTCTGCTGCTCAGAACTGGAAGTCAGAGGGTCGTGGCCACGTGACCCGGCCAGGGCCTTTGGGTGCCCCCTCGCCTGCCCCTGCCAGGCAGGGAACCTAGAGCATGGCTGGTGGGGCAGCCGCCTTGGGGCAGCACCCGAGGGGCTGCAATGTGTTGCAGGGCTTTGTCAGTGGTGGCCCCTCAAGGATGGAACTCGCTTTCTCGGCAGATATTGTGATAGGAATTTTGAGGTCTTAGATATATGTTAAATGTTCATAAATGTACCAACCAAGCACATACAAAGATCAGCACAGGAAGACCGACCTGGAACCATTTTGATTTTCAAACTGTCCCAAACTGAGCAAATGTTTTCTCTGCCAGGTCACAGGAAAATGGAAAAGCCTCCCCATTGTCTTTTCCTTCACAAATCCTGTCTTAAGGGTATGTCTGTGTTTGAATAGGGTGTGAGCCTGTGACCTGGCCCAGGAACTAAGTATTTATCATTACAAAAGACTGGCCAGGCTACCCAGGCAATCCAATCAAGTAACCTGCCAGACAGGAGATAAACAACGACAGGAGAAAAACAACATTCAAATTTCTGTTTTAAGACCGCCTTTTCTGTGATGTAGGTGTGATGTATCTGAGGGGTAGTCTTAGGTTACACCCCTTCTGTGATGTATGTATGATGTTTCTGGGGGTGGTCTTGATCTACAGGGTGGCAATTTCAAAAGTATAAGGCCTCGCGTGCCATTGTTCTGAGTCCTCCTTCTTTCCTGCGTGTGAGGGGAGCACCCTGTTGCAACAGTTCAATAAAGATCAGGCTTACTAACTGCTTTGCTTCTCAATATTCTCTGGTTGGCCTCTCCTACCAATAGGAAACCTATGTAAGGACTCTATATGGGCTCTTGGATACCCCATAAGGGAAAAGGGCAATTTTTGTCTACAACAATATGCATTGCAAAATCATACAAAAATTAAAGGTAAAGAGTCAGGAGTGTGGACAAACAAATAAATCCCTCCTTACTCTGGAGTAGTTGCCTTTGGCGATATATTTTTGTATGGCTTTGTAGTGTGCCAGTATATCACTACCCTGTATATTGTTTGTGGATGTGCATGGCATGGCATTCATTTATTGCATTTATAGTGTATCTTTTCCTCCAAGGAGCTCGAGATGGTAAACGCCACCTCCCCATTTTATCCTTGCAGCTCGATTAGGATTTGGGGTTTTTTTGGGGGGGGGAGATGTGCATATAACCTTTATTCTGTAAACTGCCTTGTTATACAAAACATGGTCAAGATATGCTTTAATAAAATGAATCAATATCAATGAAATAATGAGCTTCCAGGAGACAGGATTTAAGATATCAAAAAATTTTATTACATCAATTATTCCTGCATATAAAACCCACACACCAAGTTAAATGTTACATAATACTCTGGCTGCAATGACAAACTAAAACAAAACAGAGAAACCTAGTGCCATCATTACATTATTAAAAAGGGGGGAGGGAGTGGGAGGCAGAACAGTCATATAGCCAACCTGAAGAGCTATACTTTAAACAAGCATGACTTGCCTCAAAAAGATCTGGGAGGTGTAGTTTGTTAAACATGCTGAGAGTTGCTAGGAGGCCCCTATTTCCTTCACAGAGCTACAGTTTCAGAAAACAGAGAATTGTAACTTGTGAAGGAAAGACAGATCTCCTCGCAATTCTCAGCACCCTTAACAAACAGCTCCCAGGAATCTTTGGGAGAAGCTACAGAAGTGGTATCGTAGTGCTTTAAATGTATGGTCTGAATGTAGCTTAGGAGTCTCTGCCTTTCTTACCTTAATCCACATTATTTTGTCTTATCGTGCAATTCATGCTTCAAAACCCTTTAAAGAACACAGTGCACCTTGCCTAGCATGAATAACTAGCAGATCAGAATTAAATAATTCTAGCACTCAAATCTATTTAGATTTGGAACATGCAAATTTATTCTGGCATAAACCTTTGTGTGCCAAACCCACTGGGCGAGAAACACAGCCGAATTCCCAAGCAGGGTCAAGCAGCCCAACTGATGGCAGTAAGTGTGTGTGCACACGCATGCGCACACCAGGACTTTGTTGATGAGCTCACTCCTGATTTGCAGGGAGTTTGAGTCAGCTTCTCCACATGGATCAATAGCTACAAGAATCTGTAGCGATTGTGAATTTTATTCAACGGATTAATGGCTGGAACAACTTAATTCATGGTTAGTGCAACTAAAACATTAGTTGCTTTCATCTGCTTTGTAATACACTTAAGTTTTGGGGTTTGACAAAAATAAAAATGGCACGACTCTTTTCGTACAGGCAGATGAAACCTTTGGAATGGACACTTGAGTTTGATGGCGGTTCAGTTACATTATGAAGCATAGCAGCAGCCCTTTCGAACGAGCTAGTTGTGTGGTTGCCATATTTTTTTGTTGGCAGGGCTCCTGTGCCTTTGACACCTGCAAGGACAGGCAGAAATAAAGCCGGGCTGGTTTTCCCTCACTACAGAAAGCAAGGAGAAGTTTTATCTGGTTGGTTTCTGTGTGTGCACACGCTTCGTGCAACTAGTAAGACAAACAGGAATCCTGTTAGTGGGGAGGTAGCAAGTGGAAGCACTCTCTGCTGGGCATGGCAGCCTTGTTCTAGATCTGTTTGCATGGCAGTTGGAGGCAGGAAGAGTCCTGCCAAATTCAGCCGTGACGCCCAAATCCTTACACATACAGGCACACTCAACATCTGGACCTATTGAGGTGTGCAGGAACAATGTAAAAAAACACCCTTCTACAAGAGGGGCCACACTGTTCAAATTCAATTCCTCAGGTATGCATTGGAGAGCTTTCTGGACTGGGTCCTCCTTAACCCACCTTCACCCTTCCACATTCCCTCATTTCAACTTGCACTGTCTTACTTGCGCTACTTACCCTCCTCTTGAGGTAGGCAAATGTTATCCTATTTCAGCACGTTAAAGACAACTGAGGTACAGAGGAAACCAAAGGGACAGACCTGCAATTCAGGGGCAGAAGAGGCTGTCTCAAAATCCTGACTTTCCTGAGCCATGCTGCTGTTCACTGGAGGACTGGGAGATATTCCAGCCTGGGAACTTCCAGATATTTTGAACTACAACCCCATCAACCACAGCCAACGTGAAGGTAAGTATTCAGGAATATTTGTAGTCACCCTGAGGGTCCTAGGGTCGACAGATAATACAGGGGTCGACAAAGTTTTTGTGGCTTGGGCCACTCCACGGTCCCACAGACGCCGCAGTTAGCCGGAGTGTGCACGCACGCATGCACAAACGCTATTTCCGGTGCTCCTTCTGGCGCGGAGAAGGCGTGCACAGCTTCCTGCAGCTAATGGGAAGCCGGGCAGTTGTCACAGAAGGCAGTTCCTGCTCTGCTCCATGCCGGAGCACATGGGAGCCGACCTAGCAGGCAGCGGGGGTCCATGGGCCGGTTAAACGACCCCCATGGACTGCTTGTGGCCCATGGGCCTTAGGTTGCCGACCCCTGACATAATACATTGAGACCGAAAATTAACAATTTAAAATGGACAGCCTAAGAACAGCAGACAAAACAAGCAGTTGTAGTCCAAAAAATCTGGAAGGCTGCAGGTTGGAGCTGGCTATCCCAAGGCATGCTTTGCAAATAAAAAGACCCAACAAAGCCAACAACTATGGACAGCAGCTTGGCCAACAAGTAGCAACAACCCTATCGCAAATTTTGTGATGTTTCTCTCCCTCTCAGAAGTCTCTAATGGAGGTCAGAGAAAGAACTCTGTTCTGCTGTCACCATCGGTTTAAAAATGGTTAACACGGGTGATGTTGGCTGCAAAGGAAGTTCCAAGGCTTTACTTTTCTGCAGAGTTTTTCCCCTCCTCGTTTTGTGCAGTTCATTAGCAGCAATGAATAGATGCCAGCTGAAAATACATCTAGCATTAGCCAAGCTTGGCGGTTTCAAAGCTTTTAGCTATGTTTACGAAATACAAGGAGACCAAACACGCTGAATTAGGTCACTCTCTCGTCTAGGGCATCGGGGGAAACGTTCCAATACAAACTGAAAATGTGCCAATGCATTAAGCCTAAGTTGCAAAAGAAAGCTTCCCCTGAAAGTTTTGTCAATTCTAGATTTCCCTGGAAGCCCCCCTTACAGGTTAATTAACATAAATCAATATAATCTCCAGCCCCATCAGAGTTTTATAGAGAACCCAGAGAGACAAAATAGCAATGAAGGCAAAACAGAAACAGTAACATTAGTCAAACGTGATATTTAGGCTGCAATGCACGCTTACTGCAGAGCAGGGCCCACTGAACTACTCCAGAGGGTTGCACTGTAAAACTTGCAGAACCCATCAGGTTAAAAGAATAAATTAACTGAGTTCTAATACTGAGGAACACACTTGCTGTGTCCTTTACTGAAACATACACATCACATATGATGGGATGCAGCTGTTTGGAATTTTAGTGTGTCTTGCTGCTGTTGCAATTTTACATTATGGACTATTCACAATATTATTTAAAAAAAACCACCCACATGTCTATAGTACAAACAGTTCACAGTGAATTTTGAAATGTTAGGCCAGGAGAAGAACTGCCTTTTGGAATAATGGTCTATCCAGGATCCCAAGTAAAGCACGTCAAGCAGCTACATTGCCAAAAATAATTATTTCCTCTCTCCTTCTGTGCTAGGCTTTCAGCTCTGGACCCCCCATGTCGGAAAAGGCACCTGTTACAGGAGCCTGCAGCAACAAGGCCTTTCTAGTCAGTGCTTGCAGTGCAAAAGAAAGTCCAGCAAAGCTTTCTAATGGAACTGTTTTGTTCTGAAGAGGGCGGCAATTTTCTTCCAGTAGAAACAAGATTTTCTGGCATTTAATGGGTGACAGGTTTTGGGGGCTCCATCACATTCTTGTGAATATTGGGGGGTTTTTTTGCCTAAGCTCTACTACTGTTTCCTGCCCCTGCAGGCCAGTCCCTAGAACACCATGGTCTGGGAGAATTGTAGGACAATTGCAGGACAGGAGGACAGATCCCAAAAGGAACCCTTCTAGGAACGCTCTCCCAGGATGAGAGTAGATGCAAAAATATATACGTTGGGCTCCGTTTACTGCAAACGTACTTTGGACTCCAACCGTACTAGATCCAGAATACAATACAACTGTTATCACAACCACAGAGAAGAGGCAAGCAACAGCTGCCCAGATTTCTACATATTCCACTAAGAATCTGGTCAGATCCTCTTTGCAATGGCAAGCACAGTTCAAGCTGGAAAACAGGGAGAAGTTTTTGGCTTTTTTAAAAAAATCAGCACCAGAGTCGTTCCTCTTTTTCCTCCCAAGCATAATAAATTCTCAGCCCATAAATACTTCCTCACCATACATTTCACATTTGAAGGTAGTTATTTCCCATAGAAGACAATTAAAACAGTTACCCAAAAACTGAGAAGCCACCGTCAGTAATAGCAATATGCTCCCCGACTAGAGGACAATGCCCGCCACTTTGCGTGAAAATGACACAGCCTTTTGAGTGGGGACCTCAAGGATTTGATGTAGTTCCCATGTAATTCTTCAGGCTGAAGAGGTCACCCATCTTCACTTGGCTGAGATTAAGCAGAGCTGCTTCTGGGCTTCTGCTGCGAAGTTTCTTGGGAACAAACAAAGGCGAAGTAGCTCCTTTAAAAGAGCTAACAGATGCTCCCCCCCCCAAAAAAAATGAGCCCTTGATGCTTTTCCTACAAGGCAAATAAAGGGCAGCTCCTTCAGTCCGATATAGCAGCAAAGAGAAGGTTCCTCCCGGACTTCTTAAGTGGCCGCAACTCCACAGGCCTCTTCACAGTTCCCGTTGGGCTCCATGTTGGTCAAAGATACACCTTCTTCTGGGTCTTGCAAGGCATCTACATTGGGGGGGAAAGGAAAACCGATTTAGAGCGTCTCAGTTACAAAGGGAAGACCATCACGGTTTCCAGTCAAAACGAAGCCAAGGAACTGAAAGCGAGAGTATTGTAACGTATTTAGGCTATTTGACAAATGTAGGTTGCAGTTATCTGCACTCTTGACCTTGAAGGGTAATTGAACGCAGAAAGCAGCAAGACGCAGAATTGCACGGTTTCATCGGCAGAATGTCCTCCCTCCGTGCATCCCCTAAATTTGTCTGGCAAGCAGAGCTGTCTTTCCCATAGGGCTTAGTGGTGCGTTGCGCCAGGGCGCCGGCCTCTCACGGGCGCCCTAGCGATTGGGGGAGCTGCGCGGCTTTGCCGGCGGCCTCCCCTTTCCCTGCACGCCCGCCAGCTGCGCCCCACCAACTATAGGGCTGGTGGGCATGCAGCTTCCTTCCCAAGCCTCCGCAGGAGGAGAACGATTCCCGCAGAGGTCATTGTTCTCCTGCTGCTTCCTGGCAAAAGGCAGCACACAGCCTTCCTGGGCTGCCTTCTTGGGCGCCATGACACCGGAAAGCATGTCCGTCAGCACGTTTTCCTGCTTCATCGCCATCACCCCGCCGGGGATCGGGGCAGTGGGGGAGGCAGAGGACATTTTCTACCACCCCCTCCCTTGTTTTGGAGTTGCCAGGGGGGGCACCGGAGGGATCTTTGCACCACAGAGCTGGATATGCTTAAGACGGCCCTGCTGGCAAAATCTCTCCCTCCCCCAAACTCTCTGTACACATTCCTGTTTGCAGATATCCTTCTTAAACCTCAGCACCTAAACTGGCACACAGTCCCACACACCATGGGGGCTAGGAACTTTAGTAAAGGTAAAGGGACCCCTGACCATTAGGTCCAGTTATGACCGAGTCTGGGGTTGCGGCGCTCATCTCGCTTTAATGGCTGAGGGAGCCGGCGTACAGCTTCCGGGTCATGTGGCCAGCATGACTAAGCCGCTTCTGGTGAACCAGAGCAGCGCATGAAAACGCCGTTTACCTTCCCGCTGGAGCGGTACCTATTTATCTACTTGCAATTTGATGTGCTTTCAAACTGCTAGGTTGCCAGGAGCAGGGACCGAGCAACGGGAACTCACTCCGTCGCGGGGATTCGAAGCAAAGCGTATAATCAGCCCAGGAAGCTTGGCTTGGTTTAATTGGTAAGGTAAAGGTAAAGGGACCCCTGACCATTAGGTCCAGTCGTGACCGACTCTGGGGTTGCAGCGCTCATCTTGCTTTATTGGCTGAGGGAGCCAGCGTGCAGCTTCTGGGTCATGTGGCCAGCATGACTAAGCCGCTTCTGGCGAACCAGAGCAGCGCACAGAAACGCCGTTTACCTTCCCACCAGAGTGGTACCTATTTATCTCCTTGCACTTTGATGTGCTTTCGAACTGCTAGGTTGCCAGGAGCAGGGACCGAGCAACGGGAGCTCACCCTGTCACAGGGATTCGAACCACCAACCTTCTGATTTGCAATCCCTAGGCTCAGTGGTTTAACCCACAGCACCACAGACTTTCAAACCAAAATCAGGAATCTAATTCTGGACTTCACATGGGATGACACACGTGTAACAAAAGTTGCGGTGGATCAGCCGTCGGATCCCACGAGCTGCCTCCCCTACTGCACGACAGAGCCCTCAAGTAGACCTGACCTTCGCTGGAGCTGCTGGGTGCTGCGTCCGAACGCCCTTCCTTCCGCCGACTCCTCCGAGCCCAAGGGATGCACTGCAGGAAGGCAGGGATCCTCTGCTTCTTGGCTTCCGCCCCGTCTTTGGAATAAAGAAGAGAGCAAGAGGTCAGGCCAGATGTACAAAGCTCAAACCTCCCAGCAGATAGAATAATCTGGCTCAGGAAGATCTGCTTTGCCAAATCTGGAGTAACACTCCAAAACCCCCAGGTGCAGTTAAGGTGTCCTGAAGCACAAGAAGAGTCCTGGGGGATGAAGAGTGGCTCATTCTGCTCTCAGATCAGCCAGTCAGATGCCCCTGGGGAGGGTGAAAGCAGGAACTGAGTGCTTTCCTTTCAAGCCCTAAACGGCCTCTGCCCTGTAGACCTGACGGAGCATCGCCACCCCCATCATCCAGCCCAGACACTGAGGTCCAGCTCTGAGGGCCTTCTGATGGTTCCCTCTCTGCTAGAAGTGAGATTGCAGGGAACCAGGCAGAGGGCCTTCTCGGTGGTGGCGCCCGCCCTGTGGAATGCCCTCCCAGCAGATGTCAAGGAAATAAACAACTACCTGACTTTTAGAAGACATCTGAAGGCAGCCCTGTTTAGGGAAGTTTTTAATGTCTGACACTGTATTGTTTTTAATATTCGGTTGGAAGCCACCCAGAGTGGCTGGGGAAACCCAGCCAGATGGGCGGGGTATAAATAATAAATTATTATTATTATTATTATTATTATTAGTATTATTATTAGTATTATTATTAGTATTATTATTATTATGCATGAGCACTCTGGCCATTTGTGATTCCAGGGACAGTGCCTCCAACAGCGGAGAGAGAACACAGCCATTGTAGCTGCATGGATTCGTGGGAGTAGTTGTTTGGGGGTGCGCTGAACAACTTAGGTGCATCTCCTAAAAAAAACAAACAGCTCAGAAATTTTGGGGGACCCCCTAAGAGAAGCTCAACAACTTTGTCTCCCTCCCTGCAAAAGGTCCTGTTGTCTGATCCTTTAAAGCCATCCAGGCTGGTGGCTATCTCTCCACAGCCCCAAATCACAGAATCATATAACTGTAGAGTCGGAAGGGACCCCTCGGGGTCATCTAGTCCAACCCCCTGCACTGCAGGAATCTCAGCTAAAGCGTCCCTGACAGATCCAACCTCTGCTTGAAAACCTCCAAGGAAGGAGAGTCCACAACGTCCATTCCACTTTGAAACAGCTCTCACCGTCACAATGTTTTTCCTGATGTTTAGTCGGAATCTTCTTTCTTGTGACTCGAAGCCACGGGTTCGAGTCCTACCCGCCAGAGCAGGAGAAAACAAGCTTCCTCCCTCCTCCATGTGACGGCCCTTTAGATATTTGGAGATGGCTATCATATCTCCTATTTCCCAGGCTAAACATACCCAGCTCCTTCAACCGTTCCTCATCAGGCTTGGTTTCCAGACCCTTGATCATCTTGGTCTGCACACCTTCCAGCTTGTCAACATCCTCCTTAAATGCTGTAACCTTTCCCCATAGGGGAGCTGCCCCAGTCCCTTGGATCATTTTGGGTGCCCTCTTCTGGGACCCAAAGCAAACCTGCCCAGAAAAGAGGCTGCCAGCTGTATCTCTGTGTACAATCCCCGGAAGAGGGAAGCAAGACTAGAAACATTGTAAAAAGGTAAAACCCTACTGGGAAATGATATACAATGAATTGAAGAAAACGTCGAAAATAACTTTTGTAAAAAAAAACACCCAGAAGCCTTTTCGTTAGGTATTTTAGGTCAAGACATACACCAAAAGAAATGAGGACTTTGTTTCTGTATGCCACTACAGCAGCAAGAATGTTGATTGCACAAAACTGGAAGACTGGAGAAATACCAACTAAAGAACAACGGCAAGAGAAGTTGATGAACTAGGCAGAACTGGCAAAAATGACAGAGAAGAGAAAAAGACAACAGAGACTTTGAAAAAGACTGGGAACCAATTATATTTGCAGAAACAAAGAAAGTCAATAGACTTGATGGCAGGATTTAAATAAATATTCACATTATCAGCATTAGAAAATGTTTAGAAGATACTGAAATATGATGGTGTATTTACTTTTATTTTTTATGTTTTTAGGCTTGATGTTATGCTATTAATAACTTTTTCTGTTGAGAGATAGCAAAGCGGGTGAAAACAGAAACAAACCAGAAGCGCAAGTTGGGGGAAGCCTTGGAGGGGAGGGAGGGAGGAATATATAGTAAACGTTAAGAATTTGAGATGTATGTAATGAACAAAAAAGAAAAGTGAATAAATTTTTTTTTTAAAGACTATAAACATCACCGGGGGGGGGGAGGAGGCAGGTGCATGCTTCTGCTTCTCTCAGAGTAAGTGCTACTGAACTCACTGGGAAAGTGAGTAAAGATGCGTGGGATTTGGGCCCAGCGGAAAGAAACAAGATACCTACCTTTCCTCTTTGCAGCCGAGGTGGCCTGGAATGACCCCAGGGTCACCTTTAAGAGGCTGGGAGATTACCAGCCTCAGTCCTGGAGGATTAGAGTAGTTTGGCAGCCAAGGATGTAGCTGGAGGGGCCGGAAGGCAGTTCGCGGAGCAAGGGAACTGCAAACCTGCCCGGAGAAGCGGAATCTCCAGGCACAGTCCTTCTTCACGCAACACATGATTAATCTATTGAACTCCCTGCCCCTGGAGGAGCCACCAACCAAGATGGCTTTAATAATAATAATAATAATAATTATTATTATTATTATTATTATTATTATTTATACCCCATCTGGCTGGGCTTCCCCAGCCACTCTGGGCGGCTTCCAAAAAATATTAAAATACTGTAATACATCAAACATTAAAAGCTTCCCTAAACAGGGCTGCCTTCAGATGTCTTCTAAAAGTCTGGTAGTTGTTGTTCTCTTTGACATCTGGTGGGAGGGCGTTCCACAGGGTGGGTGCCACCACCGAGAAGGCCCTCTGCCTGGTTCCCTGTAACCTCACTTTTCGCAGTGAGGGAAACACCAGAAGGCCCTCGGAGCTGGACCTCAGTGTCTGGGCAAAGCGATGGGGGTGGAGACGCTCCTTCAGGTCTACTGGACCGAGGCCGTTTAGGGCTTTAAAGGTCAGCACCAACACTTTGAATTGTGCTCAGAAACGTACTGGGAAACAATGAAGATCTCTCAGAACCAGTGTTATATGGTCTCGGCGGCCACTCCCAGTCACCAGTCTAGCTGCCGCATTCTGGATTAGTTGTAGTTTCCGGGTCATCTTCAAAGGTTGCCCCACGTAGAGCACATTGTAGTAGTCCAAGCGAGAGATAACCAGAGCATGCACCACTCTGGCAAGACAGTCCGAGGGCAGGTAGGGTCTCATCCTGCGTACCAGATGGAGCTGGTAGACAGCTGCCCTGGACACAGAATTGACCTGCGCCTCCATGGACAGCTGTGAGTCCAAAATGACTCCCAGACTGCACACCTGGTCCTTCAGGGGCACAGTTACCCCATTCAGGACCAGGGAGTCCCCCACACCTGCCCGCCTCCTGTCCCCCCAAAACAGTACTTCTGTCTTGTCAGGATTCAACCTCAGTCTGTTTAAAAGAGGATTAGACAAACTCAGCAAGGAGAGGTCTATTGATGGCTGTGCTCTGCGATCAAGAGGCAGCAACGCTTTTGAATCCCAGTTTCTAGAAATCTCAGCAGCCGGCTCCTGAGTTCGAATCCTGATTGCCGGTTTCCCACAGGCAGCTGGCTGACCACTGCGAGAGCAGGATGCTGGACTTGATGGGCCAAAGGGATATTCCTGCTAGATCAAGCCAATGCTCTTATGCTAGACCTTGCAGGGTTGTCGTGAGGAATGAATGGGGGGGCGGACCACGTGGGCCACCGTCAGGGCCGGATTTAGGTTTGATGAGGCCCTAAGCTACTGAAGGTAATGGGGCCCTTCATACCTCCAGCTGCCCTTTGAGAACGACAAATTGTCACTGTTTTTTGTGTTGAATATATGCTATACGGTGATTGATGGTCCTAATAGGTATCTCAAGCCATTTGCACATAACAAAATATGTACTTTATCAAAGTAATTGTTTTTTATCTTATATTTTGGAAATGTAAAGTAAAGGGACCCCTGACCATTAGGTCCAGTCGTGGCCGACTCTGGGGTTGCGGCGCTCATCTTGGTTTATTGGCTAAGGGAGCCGGCGTACAGCTTCCGGGTCATGTGGCCAGCATGACTAAGCTGCTTCTGGCGAACCAGAGCAGTGCACGGAAACGCCGTTTGCCTTCCTGCCAGAGTGGTACCTATTTATCTCCTTGCACCTTGACGTGCTTTCGAACTGCTAGGTTGGCAGGAGCAGGGACCGAGCAACAGGAGCTCACCCCGTCACAGGGATTCGAACTGCCGACCTTCTGATCGGCAAGTCCTAGGCTCTGTGGTTTAACCACAGCGCCACCCGCTGTGGTTGTTATTATTATTGTTATTATTATTGTCTTGAGAGTCCCATGGACTGCAAGAAGATCAAACCTCTCCATTCTGAAGGAAATCAGCCCTGAGTGCTCCCTGGAAGGACAGATCCTGAAGCTGAGGCTCCAATACGTTGGCCACCTCATGAGAAGAGAAGACTCCCTGGAAAAGACCCTGATGTTGGGAAAGATGGAGGGCACAAGGAGAAGGGGACACAGAGGACGAGATGGTTGGATAGTGTTCTCAAAGCTACTTTTGTTGTTGTTGTTTAGTGGTGTCCGCCTCTTCGTGACCCCCTGGACCAGAGCACGCCAGGCCCTCCCATCTTCCACTGCTTCCCACAGTTTGGTCAAACTCATGCTGGTAGCTTCGAGAAGACTGTCCCACCATCTCGTCCTCTGTCGTCCCCTTCTCCTTGTGCCCTCCATCTTTCCCAGCATCAGGGTCTTTTCCAGGGAGTCTTCTCTTCTCATGAGGTGGCCAAAGTCTTGGAGTCTAGTTTGACCAAACTGCGGGAGGCAGTGGAAGACAGGAGTGCCTGGCGTGCTCTGGTCCAGGGGGTCACGAAGAGTTGGACACAAAACAACTACAACATTATTGTTATTATTACTGTTACAGTGGTACCTCAGGTTAAGTACTTAATTCGTTCCGGAGGTCCATTCTTGACCTGAAACTGTTCTTAACCTGAAGCACCACTTTAGCTAATGCGGCCTCCAGCTCCCGCCGCACTGCAGGAGCCCAATTTCTGTTCTCATCCTGAAGCAAAGTTCTTAACCTGAAGCACTATTTCTGGGTTAGTGGAGTCTGTAACCTGAAGCGTATGTAACCCGAGGTATCACTGTATAGTTATTGTTTAGCTTATGCGTAAATCCGGCACGTCCACGTGGAGCTACCTGGGCCAAAGAGAGCTGGGTATAAATGCAAAAAATAAATAAATCGGGGCGATGGCTGCCTGCCCCGCTGCGCTCACCTGCTCGGAGCTTCAGGGCGGCTCTCAGCGCCCGGCAGGCGGCGGCGCGGGCTTCGGCGGCGCCCTGTCCGGCTCCGGGGCTGTAGGGGGCGGCTTGCAGGGTGTCCAGCTCCGCCGGGCGCCTCCTCCGGAAGACCTGGCGGAGCAAGGCGTCGAGCTGCAGCCGGGCGCCCTCGGCCTCGCCGCCGCCCAGCACCACCACGCCCACCACCCCGGGGCGCGCCGCCGAGGGCAGCCGGCTGCGCACGTCGCGGAGGATCTCGCGCAGGCGGAGCCGCTCCCGGCGAGCGCGCAAGGGAGGCAGAGGCGCAAGCGACGCCTGGCGGAAGAGCACGAAGAGCAGCGCGCACGAGGAGCGCGCCGCCGAGCCCCGGCCGCCCAGGCGCACGCGGACCTTGCGCGCCCCTCCGGCGGGAGGATCGGGCTGCGCCTCCGGCTCCTTGCGCGGCTCCGGCTCCGGCTCGGCGAAGAGGTCCCGGGCGAAGGTCTCCAGCAGCGCCCGCGGCGCAGGCTCGCCCTCGCGCGCCTCGCCCACCAGCAGCAGCCGCGCGCGCCCGCCCGCGCGATCCACCAGCGCCTGGAACTCGCGCAGATGCGGCGCCGGCGGAGGATCCATGGAGAGAGAGGCCGGCCGAGGACCAGGCGCCGCCCGCCCGCAAGCTCAGCCCCCGGCCGGGAAGGAGGGTCGCCTGGAGTCGCCGCAGGAACCGCCTCTCGGAGGAGGAGAAAGAGGACGCTGCCAGCCACGAGGAATTCACCTTTTTTTTTGCTTGCAGATACTGTCTCGCCTCCTGCCAACCTAGCAGTTCAAAAGCGCATCACGTGCAAGTAGATAAATAGGTACCGCTCCGGCGGGAAGGTAAATGGTGTTTCCATGCGCTGCTCTGGTTCACCAGAAGCGGCTTAGTCATGCTGGCCACATGACCCCATGAACTGTATGCTGGCTCCCTCGGCCAATAAAGCGAGATGAGCGCCGCAACGCCAGAGTCGGTCACAACTGGACCTAATGGTCAGGGGTCCTTTTACCTTTACCTTACTGTCTCGCCAGAGTGGTGCATGCTCTACTTATCTCCCGCTTGGACTACTGCAATTCGCTCTACGTGGGGCTACCTTTGAAGGTGACCTGGAAACTGCAATTAATCCAGAATGCGGCAGCTAGACTGGTGACTGCGAGCGGCCGCTGAGACCACAACACCGGTCCTGAGAGATCTACATTGGCTACCATTACGTCTCCGAGCACAATTCAAAATGTTGGTGCTGACCTTGAAAGCCCTAAACGGCCTCGGGCCAGTATATCTGAAGGAGCGTCTCCACCCCCATTGTTCAGCCCGGACACTGAGGTCCAGCTCCGACGCCTTCCCTCACTGTGAGAAGCCAAGTTACAGGGAACCAGGCAGAGGGCCTTCTCAGTGGTGGCGCCCGCCCTGTGGAACGCCCTCCCATCAGGCAAGGCAATAAACAACTATTTCACTTTTAAAACACAACTGAAGGCTGCCCTGTTTAGGGAAGATTTTTAATGTCTGATGCTGTATTGTTTTTAACACTTGATTAGAAGCCGCCCAGAGTGGCTGAGAAACCCAGCCAGATGGGTGGGATATAAATAGGTAAAGGTAAAGGTACCCCTGACCATTAGGTCCAGTTGTGACCGACTCTGGGGTTGCGGCGCTCATCTATCTTTATTGGCCGAGGGAGCCGGCGTACAGCTTCCGGGTCATGTGGCCAGCATGACTAAGCCGCTTCTGGTGAACCAGAGCAGCGCACGGAAACGCCGTTTACCTTCCCGCCAGAGCGGTACCTATTTATCTACTTGCACTTTGACGTGCTTTCGAACTGCTAGGTTGGCAGGAGCAGGGACTGAGCAATGGGAGCTCACCCCGTCACGGGGATTCAAACTGCCGACCTTCTGATCGGCAAGTCCTAGGCTCTGTGGTTTAACCCACAGCGCCACCCGCATTCATGTTTAGGGAAGCTTTTCATGTTTAATAGGTTATTGTATTTTAATGTTCTGTTGGAAGCCGCTCAGAGTGGCTGGGGAAACCCAGCCAGATGGGCGGGGTATAAATAATTATTATTATTAACTATTATTATTCTTATTATTCTTCTTCTTATTATTATTATGTACCTCAAATCCACCCTGACTCTCTTGCCGCCGTCCTGTCTGGGTCACAGGAGTATTTTTGCTCAGAGCTCTTCTCTACAGCGGAAACATGGCTGAGAGATTAAGGTTCTGCAATCCAATCCACATTTACTTCAGAGTAAATCCCATTGAATTTGTAAACTCACCCGGGAACAAAAGTGGCCACTCCTTTTACTCTTTGCCTTTTATTTCCTCAAATTCTGGACCAGGAGAATGGGCGTAGGCAGGATTTTTTTGGGGGGGGGCAGGACTTCATTGGGGGCAGAACCAATGCGACTGGGCAGTTAGTTAGGTATTTCTATTGTTTTACTTTATTGTTTAGCTGCCCCCATGCCTCCCCAGGCTATGCCCATGGCCAGGAACAGGTTTGGTTGGTTAAATGTGGTTCGTCTGCTAGGAATGAGCTGTTGAGGTTATGGAGCCAGATTGTGTAATCCGCTCTGAGTGGAACCTGGGACCCAGATCTTCTGGAAACAAAACAGGGAGTAACTGAGTGGCAGATCATATGCATAATCCTGGAACACATGTTCAAGCCAGCTGAGTTGCAGGACCTCCTGGTCAATCCCTTTCGTGTCTCCTTTGTTGTAAATCTCTGCCACTCCTTTAGTTTTCAAAGGCCTGAGGTTCCTTCCAGAAGAGCACAAAAGATATATATATATATTAACTTTTATTTTGCTTTAAACAGGTACATATAAATATAGACAACCAAAATTACAAAGGAAAATTCCTTAATAGTAATGGGGGGGGGACTAAAAAAAAAATTACAAAAAATATCAAAGTACATGACACAGAACATAAGCAACTATGGGAAAGATAAAAGAAAAGAAAAAAAAAATAGGAAAAAAAATAAAAAGGAAGATGAGCCAAAGCAGGAAAGCTCATGTATTGTACGCTTCCGTCAAAGATATTGTTATAGATCTATGGTGCTAAATGTTTAGGCTTAGTAAATCACAGGATTGGGTGGGCTCCAACCACCAGCCTATTAAGATTTAATTAGAACTTGTCTTGCCGTATAAAACAGTCTCAATGTTTATGCAATGGGTTTGAGGTGTTTCATTTGTGTGTAAAGAATGTGTATCAGACCTTGAGAATGTAATCAAGATCCATGTGGATTGAGATGTGTGTGGACCTACTTCTGAGCACCAGCAATTGGCATATGAAGAGTTAACAAACATCCTAAGTGTGTTCCAGCCTTTAATCCTAGTCAATCAACAAATGTTGATGATGCCTGGAGGGATTAATCATTAGTACTTCAAAGCATCAGAATAATGGGGTATTAGCATGCAAATGAATAAAGGGGGCTTAGTTTTTAGTAAGAACAGAACTGGGAGATGAGACCAGGAGGTGGAGAAGGAATCATGCTTGTATGTGCATTGGAGAGCCAGATAGGCTAATATATTTTCCCCTTCTCACCTGGACGGTAGAATAAGATGCATTTATAGAAGCCATTTATGCTGTTATGCCAACATTAATTTCAATGCTGCCTTCCCGAACTGGTGTGCTGCACCATGGGTTTTGGACTACAGTCACCATCAACCTTGATCACTGGATAGCTGTGGCTGATGGGCGTTGTAGTCCAAACAGGGGCAGAGGAAGGTGGGGGCAGAGGGGTGCCACTCGTGGGGGTGTGTGACAAGATGGTCCCTGCCTCCCCCCAGCTGTAGAGCAGTCAAGGGCGTGCACAGTCCATATGGGCACCGCTCGCAGACCATCCGTACGGGCTGCCTCTTGCACGGTGACCGTATGGGCTGCTGCGCATGCACACTCCGTACAGTCGCCGTGCAAGGAGCAGCCCAGACTACGCAAGTGCGGCATTCCGTACAGACCGTGCATGTGTGGCATCCCATACAGTTGCCGCACATTTGCAGTCCGTACGGGCTGCCCCGCCCCAGGTGCCAGAGAGGGTTCCTCCGCTGCTGAGTCCAAAACGTCTGGAATGGCATCATCTTGGTAGCCAGCATGGAGGATTCATTTGCTGGTGAGGAACTTTTCCGTGATGCCTGGCTTCCTGCCACTGACAACCTATGACCCTAACCTTCAAATTTCAAAGTTTGAAATGTGAGCATAAGAGACAGAGCACACATCAAACATGTTTACCTTTTCTTCATTGATTAACAGGAGGTCTTGATGGGTTCCAAGGTTTCCTTTTCCGGTTTGCTGATGAGAGGAGAATTTTGCCTGCAGCCCTAATGGGTGGATTTTTAAAAAACAGTGGCTAACTTTGTTGAGAATGGTGTGCCAAGACTTACTGGTTAGCATTAGCATTGCACAGAGGGGGTCAGAAGCCTTTTGAATGGCTTTTCCAAAACTGCCTCTCAGTTAAAGCTGCTCCGTCAGTTATGACTTGGGGCCAAGCAACACAGGGCAGAGAGCTCTTTGGATTACAGACCTTTTGTTTGTTTCGCTTTCAGCGGGACTTTGCCCCTCGAACCAAGACTAACTTAACCCAAGTCTAACCTGGGCCCTTAACCCAAAACTAACCTGGACCCAGGCCTGCCAGCTCTAACTTCATCAAAACAGAGCTGAGCATCTGCACATTGAAACGACAACTTAAAAATTAGAAGGCTGTGTGTGGAAGGGCCCTAGTCACAGATATATGTGGTAAGATGGGGGACCCCCCCCTCCATTTGAAGACAGTGCATTACATGTGGATGGAGTGTTCCTCATAATTGGCCATTCATCGGGCAGGGAAAGTAACAAGCAGAGAATATTCACATACTACTATTATCCAGTTAAATGTTTTCCAGTCATTTTGCCTCCAGTCTCTTTCCTTTCTCGCTCTTCCTTGAGCAAGTAGGATCCCACTTTTTGCCAGATGAAAGAGGGGAGACCATCGCAAAAGGCAAAGCGTTTCTTGTTGCCTGCTAAGGTTTATAGCAGCTTGAGTGCATCTGGTGACCTCCATAAGTTTTGGGCTACAATTCTCACCAGCCCTATACTGGCATCTGTACGGCATCAGGTGGGCAAAGTTTGGTGTAAGGAAGCAGGCAGGGTATCCAGGTTGCATCCTTGCTTCCCTAAACCCCACAGCTCTGCCCTCCTCCAATCTCCCATGCCAGCCTGCACAATTCACGTCTTCCAAGTCCCAAGAACGCTGAGCAGGTGGAATCTGACCACAGATCACACAAAGCAGCCAAGCTACATGCTGCAGGTAACTCCCCTCCGCTAACCCGCAGTCTTCCGGTCATTTCCGACTAGTAGAAGGACCTGCAAGAGCAGGGTTTGAATCCCCACTCAGCCATGAAGCTCACCATCTATCTTTCAGCCTAACCTACCTTGCAGGCTTCTTGTGGGGATGAAATGGGGACAACCATGTACCCCACCTTGGGATACTTGAGAGTTAAAGGCGGTATGTAGAGGTAATAAATAGCAGGACGATTTATTTTTTCTTTCCAAAGTCATGCATAGAGATTAGCTGGCTGCCAAACAAAGGAAATTGATTTGTGTGTGTGTACGTGCTCCATTTGTGTGTGAATAAGGGTGAATCATGCTTTAAAATAGGCTGTTACTGAGAGTGCTGCTTCAGTTGCTTATGCAGAATCACAGGCCACACAGTAACCAGCTCAGGACTTGCAGCTGACAACAATATTGTACCAGTCTGTGTGTGTGGTTTATTGATTTAGCTGATGTTTGCTGGGGCAATAGGGCAAGGTCTGCCTTCCCCTTTCACTTGGAGCTACAGCACATCCAAAGAGTGGCAGCTCTGCTCGTCTAGTAAAAAGCCCGAGGCTCAGCACCCTCCCAGCGTACACACCCCCAAGCAGCGGAAATGTAGCCGGGCAGATAAAAGTATAGGATTACTAGTTTCCTGTTCAGTGAAGGAAGATTGCCGAAGGAAGAAAGTGACGAGTTTGCAGCCGGGAAATCACACTGTACACACCGGTTTCTAGGACTGAGTAAATGCAAAGTATGAACATTATCCAAGCTTTGGTAATGCTCGTGTTAGATTAATGCCAACGAGCCGCAGGTGGAGCTGGCTTTGGAAAGTGGTCAGAAATTGCCAATGCCTGAAATCCTGAGTGCCGTTGCCATTCAATGAGGAAATACTGAGCTAGGTGAACAAATGGCCCGAGTCAGTTTATGGCAGCAGCTTTTCACCCCCAGGGTCAAGATAATAATATGAAAATGGGCTGTGAGGTGCAGGTTGAGGTTAAAGGTCAATGGTTGGTGCCAAGATTTGATTGCTGTGTAACTGACGTAGCAAAGGCAAGGCAGGAAACTGAATCAGTGCCCTCTGCTGGTGACATAGCCAAATGAAGAGTGCACTCTTTCAATTCCAAAGATGTGCGGCAACCTTTGGCAAATTTGAGTTTGGCTCACTGTAAAGATGGACTTGCCAACGAAGGTCCGTATAGTTAAAGCTATGGTTTTCCCAGTAGTGATGTATGGTAGTGGGAGCTGGACCATAAAGAAGGCTGATCGCCGAAGAATTGATGCTTTTGAATTCTGGTGCTGGAGGAGACTCTTGAGAGTCCCATGGACTGCAAGAAGATCAAACCTCTCTATTCTGAAGGAAATCAGCCCTGAGTGCTCACTGGAAGGACAGATCCTGAAGCTGAGGCTCCAAGACTTTGGCCACCTCCTGAGAAGAGAAGACTCCCTGGAAAAGACCCTGATGTTGGGAAAGATGGAGGGCACAAGGAGAAGGGGACGATAGAGGACGAGATGGTGGGACAGTGTTCTCGAAGCTACCAGCATGAGTTTGACTAAACTGCGGGAGGCAGTGGAAGACAGGAGTGCCTGGCGTGCTCTGGTCCAGGGGGTCACGAAGAGGTGGACACGACTAAACAACCAAGATGGACTGTGCACTGTACCTGGGCCGAACACACCACAACCATTTTCTCTGCTGCAGCTGCAGTCCCCACTGCGAGGCCCTTTCTGACTCAGCTTTGAAAGACAGGCAGCTGCGCTCGGTAGCCCAGAATTTGGGCTACTATGATAAGAGGTTCACATTTCTTTAGCTCAGATATTACTCTCACCTAGCAAGATTATTTCATTGGAAGGGTTAACTGTACACTTCCCTGAAATTCAGTACGCACAAAAGAGGACAAGATCAAGTTGAACTTCACATTATTAGAATCATAGAATTGCAGAGCTGGAAGGGACCTCCCCCCCCCCCCGGGCCATCTAGTCCAACCCCCTGCAATGCAGCAAAAACTTCACGCAGACTAGAGTGGGCCATTCTGCCTGCCACACTCAGTGGAATCCTATGTACATCCAGAACAGTCAACTGTCATTAAAAACCCTATTCCAACTGCTCCTTCACTTCCTTTCTGGGCAGTTAAGCCATCAAGCCTGTAACAAGGAGACGGAGAGCATAAGAAGGGCAGCCCTGCTGGGTCAGGCAAATAGCCCATCCATTCCAGCATCCTGTTCTCAGTTGCCAATCAAACGCCTGTGGGAAGCCCAAGCACAAGAGCACTCTCTCACACTGTGCTTTTCAGAAACATTACTGCCTTCAGACTGTGGAGACAGAGCATAGCCCTAATCACAAGCCAATAATTTCATTACATTTCACCATCACGTATGATTCTTGACTAGGGTTTACCAGGTTGCAACCTAGAGATCATGCCTACGGTACTTAATTTTTTTGCAAAAAGCCTGAGCCACATATTCATCCAATATGCCCCACCCCTCCCATATGCAGTTAAAGCATCATAACCAGAGTCCCACTTGCTTCAGTAGGTTCAGAGGATAGGTGAAGAGACTAGCAGCAGAGGCAGGTGGGCTAAGTAGCTGCTACAGAGAGAATCTTCCCAGCTGGGACCCAGCAATTCTGTTCTTGGCACAGTGCAAGGCTAAGGAGACTTGGGTGGCCAGGGACCCAATCAGATTAAGAGAGATGGACTACCAAGGGGCAAATATCATGAGGACAAGGAAACACATTTATGACTTCAGTTTTATATAAACTGACAGTTACATGTGAAGAAGGGCTGGTGAAGAAATCCACGTTTCAGTCTCCACTTGAGCTAAACAACTGAACGGTAAGGTCACAGCATTTTAGAAAACCTCACTACTATAAAAGAGGAGCAGGGATGTTGGGAATGAGTTGCTGCCAGGAACATGGACCACAGCTTTGTTTTTAAAATAATCTGTTGCTTCAATGCCTTAAAAACAACAAAGAATCTTCTGGTTGTAGAACAGTGTTTTCCTGCAACTGAGCCTCGAGGACAGGAAACAAAAAGGCAAGGCAAGACCAAATATACAAAAGTGGAATACAGTCTTAATTTTATTTTCACTCTAAATTTAGACTCTAGATGGATACAGCATCTGTAAAAAAAGAAAAGAAAAAGAGTTACACATTCGGAAGGGAAAAGAACAGAAATCATGCCCTATGAAGATCTCGCTAGGGAACAAAACCCACATCCAAAAATATTTTCTGTATATTATTTAAATCACACAAGAAGGATCCTCAAGAAGTGCAAAAAAAATGCACTGGGGATATCAAAGTTAAGTCATACTCAGAGTAGACTCACTGAAATAACTGAACTTATACTCAAATCCACTGATTTCAAGGAGTCTACTGAAAGCACGGCCAACGATTGATTTCACTCAATGTTCCCAGTGATTTCGACAAGACATTTACAAGCTCTACATTTATGTGGACACACTGGAAAGATTTGCAATTTTTTTCAAGCCCTAAGTGATAACCCTCCTATTTGCCCAAGAACAGAGAGTAGTGTTGGCCCAAACACTTCTGCTTACATTCCTAAGAGGCAACAAAACTTTGTCATACCAGGGAGCCTCTTACCACAGGGTCAATTTCTTAACAAGCCAATCTTACATGTAAGCAAATATAAACACTGTAGAAAATATGCTCTGGAACAGTGCTCATATGATTCTGTAGTCACTGTATCCTTCTCATATTAATTCTTACAAGTCTGGCTGATGAAGAATTGATCTACATTGGCTGATGAAACATTGAATGAAACAGATCTGGAAACACTGTTCCAGCGATATTTGGTGACAGATTATGTATATATCAAACTTTTGAATTATTCTACCACGACTGGTGAAGAAGATTTAGAGACTCTGGTTGTACGGTAATTTCTGATCATTTACATTAGTCTATAAATACTGTTTAGTGCCATTGTTATTGGCCATCGTGTTGTGTTATATGGTTCAACTTGTCTATATTGCAACACAGGGGCCTGTTTATGGATAACATATATGTGTCTGTTAGGCTACTGACACACAAAAATTTGCTCACGGTTAATTTTAGTTCAGAAATTTTCTTTTTAAAAAACCCTCAAGGTAGCTTATAGAAAAGATTTTCTCCGCCTCTGGCCTGTCAAGGGCACTCGCAATGCTCATCCTTACCACTCGGATCCTGTGTCCAATGGCTTTGGCAGGTAGGTTGGAGCGGAACTTTGCCCGCACCATGCCACTGCTTCCATGGGCACGGGTCACCTTTCCCCAGATCACTCTGGTCCGGTTGGGTTTGCCGCCGGGAGTCACGGTGTTGCTGACAAAGGGAAACAGATTAAACATTAAGTCCCACTACTGACCAAATGCAGGAGTGCTCTCCAAAATGTTCACATTCACACACACACACAGCTTGGAACATCTGAACATTCCCCACTGAAAAGCAGTGAGGATAGATAATGAGACAATATGAAAGTTTTCACTTCTTTCAGTGATGACTAATTCACACGTGAAGTCATCCCCTGATGCTATGCTCAATAAAGCGATGAACATATGAGTGAGCAGGTGGATCTCCTGAAATTATGAACTGTCCCATTAAGCTCCTCTTATCACGCGTGGTGCTGTGGTCTAAACCACTCAACCTCTTGGGCTTCTGCACGACGCGGTGAGTGCCCGTTGCTGTCCCAGCTTCTGCCAACCAAGCACCTTGCTGGATCATTCTGTTTCCTACAATGACCAGTAAGCAAGACATGAGGGAAATAGCTCTCTCCTGCTATTGTTCCCCAGTGAGGGATAGTCGGAAGCATGAAAGCCTTATCCTCTTCGATTAAAGTGCCTAATCCCCTTTTAGAGTCATCCAATATGGTGGCCACCACTACAGCCTGAGGTAGCGAATGCCATTACTGAACTCTACATTGTATGTGAGGAAGTACTTTCTTTTCCTCAATTATCATCAGTTTCAATGGATGTCGCTGGGTTCTAGTTCCAAGTCTGAGGTGCTGCTCATTCCTGTTTGTTCATGTCACACTAAACTATGGTTTTAGTACTGCTGCATGAGTACAGTCAGTTATTTGCCTATGGCTGAGCCGAAATCTGAGCAGGTCCAAGTCTTGGCTCTCCTGGTTCAATTATTCACACAGCAGTATCTGAGGCCACTTTGCCGCAAATTTGTGTAGTATGGCATAAAATGAAAACAATTTCAAAATGGTTTCAGTTCTTCAACACGCTCATGAGAATATACAAAAGATCCAAGTGTAAAGCACTAGTCCCCATTATCAACGACCACTCACTTTTTTGCTTTGTACACATAGGCGCATTTCTTGCCCAAATAGAATTCTGTCTCATTACGGGAATAAACTCCCTCAATTTTCAGAAGAGCTGTGTGCTCTCTCTGGTTTCGAAGACCTCGCTTGTAGCCAGCAAAAGTGGCCTTGGACCACAACCTAGGGAAGAAAGTGCACACAAAGTTAAATCTTAAGGCTTTACAGTGTACTGCATCACAAAACAAGACTGCATAGCATATCTACTTCAGTATTACAGAAAGTCTGCTACAGACATCAAATATGCAAGAAAACTATAGGTGCTTCTATGGGACCAGACTATTTAAGGCAATCCTTTTGATATTTTTAAGTAGAAGCACTAATCTGTGTGACAGAGTGAAAACTAGCATAATAAAGATAACACACACGTGAGAAGTTGTAAAGGCAGCAGAGGAACTGCAAGAATTGCCAAAGAACAGTTTCCTACCTGCCAGTCATGGTGTTGTCTTGAAGTCCTGTTCCCAGCAGGCCTAAGAAAGGAAAGGAACAGAAGGAGCAGTCAGCTGGGATATGCTAAACACCAGCCCAATCACAAACAGGTGTGGGGTGGGCAATTCTAGACTTCCTGAAGCAAGAACAGAGAAGAAAGAACATCCAAGATAACCCAGGTCTTCAACCATCAAGGTGAACTTTGCAGATGACTTCACTCCATCCAGCAAATGTCTGTGTTCTGGGGTCTAAATGCTTTGAGTTCATTGTTCCCTCCCTACTAAACACCATCATAAAAGATCTGTAAGACACCTTGCACACGTGTTCTAAGAATAATTAAGGCCACTAAAAACCTATGAGCAAACAAGCATTACAATTTCCACTACACCAACCCTGAGAGATCAGTGCAATGTGCACTTGGTCCAGCATCTTGTTTCCAACAGTGGCTAGCCAGATACTGCCATGAAAAAGCATTAGCTCCCTAGCACAGTACACACAGCTTAAGGCAAAGTTTAGTGATCATCGCTGCTAATAGCTCACTAACTGCTTTTTCAATATGCTAGATGGCTCTCCCTTTAAAGACACCTAAACTAACAGCCACTGTGGCCATGTGGCAAAGAATTCCATAAATTAACACCACACTGTGCCAAATCCGCAGAGGAGAGGTCTTTGCAAGACATGTGAAATGGGCGTCAAGGTTGGCAGGAATACATTGTGTGAACTGGTAATTATCATTTGTTCCGAAAAGCTACAGCATTGTCTACTCTTGAGCAGGCAGCAGCAGCAGTTCTCGAAGGTCCCAGAGGCAGGTCTCTTTCCTAGCCCTCCCACTCAATATCCATTTCGCTGGTGATGCTATGGATCAAATCCAAAGGGCCTCCTCTTTCCTACCTCCAAAGCATGTGCTACATCACTGGGCTACGCTGTTGGCCTGCAAAACATCTTTTCAGCTTCGAATACCATACTTGCCCTGAACAATGCTTCAAAGAGCTGGAGGATCTAGGCACCTGCAAGATTTAAGCTTAACCCACCTTGATGAGCCCAAAACAAAAGGAAGTCTTTTCTTAAAAGACACATCAACTGAAAACTCAGCTCAACGGAATTGCAAAAAACAACAACAGAGGATAGCGACTGATGAACCTATCAGGCACAGCAGCGAAATGCAGCCTCCATGATCAGGGACAGTGTACCCCCATAAAATGCTGCTAAGGAGAATCTGCGAGGGTCTCCCTGCCCTGTGCCCCCTCCCCCCGGGGTACGTGGCTGGGCAGGTGGCGGTTTGATCCTACACTGCAGGGCTCAACCTTAAGGCACCGCTTCACCTTAATAATAATAATAATAATAATAATTTATACCCCGCTCTCCCCAGCCAAGACCGGGCTCAGGGCGGCTAACAACCAATAATAAAAACTAGTTGATTAAAATAAAATTAAAATACAACATTAAAACATTAGGATGCAGCCTCTTCACAGGAGGAGAAAGGGAAAAGAAAGAGGGGGAGGGAATCAAAGGGATTCTAAGCCAAAGGCCAGCCCACCATTCCCCCCCGGAGACGCGCACTCGAGGCGCCTGGGGCTGCCTGGCCTCCGACTGAAGAGCTCCCCCCGAAGCAATGAAAGGGGCAGCGCTGGGGCCTTCTGAGAGTCCCTGTGGCGGCATCGGCCAAGGCCCGAACTCAGGGCCCCGGCGCCATCCATCCCGTATCCGAGCCATCCCGCCGCCGTACCCCGCTGCGCCCACCTAGGCCGGCCCGCCGGCCCTCGCGGCGCCTGCCCGCCCGCCTCTGGAGCCGCTTCTTCGCCGCCCTCCGCCGCCTCGCCCGCCCCCAGAGCCCCTTCCCCGCTCTCACCTCAGCAGCTCCCAGCCAAGATGGCGGCGAGAAAGAGCGAGCGGAGCCGCGGGGCGAGCTGGGATAGGGGAGCGCGAGGACCCCCCTGCCGGCGTCTGTTGAGGCGTCTACGCCGCTTGCCTGTCTGAAATCGCTCCAGGTCGGGCTTTTCGGCGAGTCTCTTGGGACAAAAAACTGATTGGTTCGCTTTGTTTGTGGGCTAGGCGTTTTTTCTGCTCCTGCGCCGCGCTACAAGCCCAAAATCTTTAAAAAAAACCCATCCTGGCAGGCGTCAACTAGGCCAGCCCTTCCCGGCGAGGACCTCTCCTGCCGCTTGAGGGGTAACCATGGCGACCACTCCGGGTCCCGCCATGGAGGCCGCCGGGTGAGTGTCTCGTGTGAAGGGAGGCCTGGCGGGGCGGAGCGCGGAGGCCGCGGGGGTGGGAGCCCCACGGAGCGCTTCCTCGGGGTGGGCGCCATGCCCAATGGGCAATTTGAAAAGTGAAGAGGTCGCTGGTTACTTATTAAGTAGGAAGGGACCCCCAAAGGTCATCTAGCCCAACCCCCTTTTCAGTACGGGGATCTCAGAATCGAAGAATCCTTCGTGTCAGCGATGCCGAATTGGGTTCAGCAGCACTTAATTCGCCATTGCCTAGGAAGTTCCCCCCGGGGATTTGGGGGGTGGGTGGCATCCGGGCTGCTGGAATGGCATCGTCTGCCACAGACAACTGCTTTTTCTTTTTCATACATTTTAATTAGTTTTTTTATACATATCATTTCCAACATTCATTTAACATAACTTCTTATACAATATTTTAGACTTCCGTCAACCACCTCTGATTATTTTCCGTTCTTTATTCTGCATTTCTTAATTTCTCTATTACTCTTAATTATCATTAACGAATAATTCTCTTCATAGTCTTTCTTGCAGTATTTCAGATAATCCTCCTTACAGAATTTCTTCTACTAGCGTAATCTGTTCATTATAATTGCTTTTCAAATAATTCATATACTTACTCCAATCTTCTAAGAATCTTTGGTCCCGCAGCTTTCGAATCCTTCCTGTTAATATTCTTCTTCACGAGGGGCATCTGAGACATGAACTTGGCAAAGGGCTCTTTCTGGCGTGTGTCTTGTTGCTGTTTTTAGACATTTTTGTGAGCCATCTCTTGTACTGGAACTGGGAGTGGGACACATGTATTTTAAATAAAATTATATTAATAATATATTATATCATATAATAATTGTATTTTATTAATATGCACACACGTCCTGCTCCCTGGTTTCCCACAGGGATCTGGTTAGCCCCTATGAGAACAGGATGCTGGACTAAATGGGATTTTGGTCTGATCCAGCAGGATTCTTCTCACAGTTCCATTTTATCCTGCTCAGCTAGGTGCTCCACGATATTTGTTTCGATAATAAAAGAAAGAAAATGTTTTGCTCTTTATCATTTTTAGTACATTCCCAACTGAATGTGTGCCTGCTATGTTCTATAAACTCACATATAGCCCCTTAAAACTTGTTAGTGAACTTGTGACCTATCCAGACATGTTGGAATGTTTTTAAACATTTTTTACTGATTGTTTTATTTTATAATTTCATAAACCGCTTAGAAGTGGTATATCAACTTTGAGACCCTGTTAATCTCTCTGTTTCCCCAAAGAGGGCACTGTGGGTTAAATTGAAGTGCTTCCAGTTTTTCTGGTCTTGGAATTAGTATCACTGGAACAAAAAAAACAAAGACATGATTTGCATGGCAGAAAGAAGACCCAAGTTTTGCCAGCAAAAGTCAGCAGAGCATCCCAAGTAGAGAGTTTCTTCGTTTAATCCCTATCCCCCTTTTCCAGAGGGCTCGGTGTGGATGGCAACCATTAAGCATAAAGCAAAACTTATGCATAATGAAAACAAAACACCCAGTTAAATTAAAACGACTTAATGCCTGTTTAATCTTGAACGCCAGCCAACCCCTCCAACATTCCAGAGACGAGAATAAGGATTCTCTTGTGTGGTTATAATACTTTCCCATATGAGCCTCCGCCTACCCAACGTTCTGCATTCCCAAAAGCTCTTCTCATCCTGATGTATATATAATCAGTTACTTTTAGATCGTCTTTGCAACGAGCTGCCAATTAGCTACCAGGCTAAGTGCAAGGTCCTGGTCTTGGCGTGCACACTAGGAATACGGTGTGCAGTTCTTCCTCAAAAAGGATATTGTAGAAAAAGTTCAAAAAGGTCCTCCAAAATGATCATGGGGATGGAGCGACTCCCCTATGAAGAAAGGCTGCAGCAATTGGGACTTTCTGGTTTATAGAAAATGCAAGAGAGGTGGCATGATAGAAGTACTGTATTTTTCGCTCCATAAGATGTACCTGACCATAAAACGCACCTAGTTTTTAAAGGGGGAAAGCAAAAAAATAAAAATAAGCTGCACAGAGCATGTAAGCGGCTTTCGCTTTTCTTGCTTTAAACCCTTCCGTCCCTCCTCCCGCTTCGCTGTGAAGCCAGCAGAGCAAGAGCGAGAGCTGCACAGCGCCTCTTCTGCTGGCTTCCCAGCAAAGCAGGATGAGGGACGAAAGGGAGCCCTTACAAGGGAGCGCTGAGCAGAGCCTGGCAGCGGCTCTTGCTGGCTTTTCTGGGAGGTGTGGGAAGGGACAGAGGGCAGCCCGTCAGTCCCTTCTCCCTCCTCAGGGAAAAACCAGTAAGAGAAAAACACACACTCTGCGCGGCTCTTTAAAGGGAGCACTGAGCAGAGCCTCCTGCCTGCATTCGCTCCATAAGACGCACACACATTTCCCCTTACTTTTTAGGAGGGGAAAAGTGTGTCATATGGAGCAAAAAATACGGTATATAAAAGTATGCACGGCCATCGCTCATAACTCTAGAACTTGTGAATCCTTTTAACGGAAGAGTCAGGGCAGGTAATTTATGCAGCACATAGTTCAACTGGAACTCACTCAGAGGGCAGTGACAGCTATTAACTGGGATAGCTTTAAAAGAGAATTAGATAACTTAATGAAGGTTATCAGGGTCTACCAGCCATGGCTGGAGGCAGGAGTGCTGAATACCAGTCGCTGGATGCCACAGGAGGAAGAAAGGGCTCATGTGCTCAGGTCCTGTTTGCAGGCTTCCCACAGGGGTCTGGTTGGCCACGGTGGGGACAGGATGTTGGGACTGGACAGCCACTGGCCTGATGCAGCAGGCTTGTTCTTCAAGTCTTGGGGAGAGGCTTTTCTAGCTGATGCTAGCAGTGGAACTTGAAGGTGCAACGTTCAGGGCCCACATGCACACAGCAGCAACCAGTTTGGGGGATGGTTGCATTCTAGTATTCTGTTTGCATTCTAAATGGCGAATACTGTCTTGTTTGGCTAGGGAATTGACCATCCAGACACCAAGGCTCCTGCCTCTGGATGCGGTGCGATTTTCTGCTCTACTGGAGGACTGCGTTGACCAGCTTGCCATTCTTGGCTTCATCATGCCAGTTTCCTATGAGGGCCGCAAAGATGTCAGCGATGTAAGTACATCACAGACTTGTGAGAGGGAAACTGAGGATGCATTCATACTCTTTCCCCTGCCCCCACTATTATCAGGATCAGCCTGATAATTTTTGCCCAGCCAGCATCCTACCGTTCTGGACTTGTCTCTATTATTTTTATTTATTCTTTTGTTCCTTCTCAGTCTTACGAAGTTAATCTCCCATGATAATCTCATCCTGCTCTTGGGCAGCCCAAAGCTTCATTCCGCCTTATCCTTTGCCCTTGCCATCTTTCTCAACTGCTAACTCACAAAAAATATGAAGCTCGCAATATTGACTCAGACCAATAATGCCTCTTGCTCTGTCCCATCTACTCCAGGGGTTGAGAACCTCAGGGTTGGGGGGCCAAATGCAGCCTTCCAGGGTTTTCTGTCTGGCCCTCAGAACTCTCACCAACCCTGATTTGCTTTGACTGGCAACAGTTCTCGAGGGCCTTTGAGGCAAGGTCTCACCAGCCTTGTCAGTCCTGCAAAGGATGTACTCTACTATGGAGTTTTCACCTCACCTCCAAACCAGTGACAGCTCCATTTCCCCATGCAAATCGGCGTGCTTCAGGTGTGCATTCATGCAAGGGCAGAATCACATGATTGCTGAATGTTACAGATGTTCTGGCTGTGTTCATCAGATTAAGCCCTGCTCCATATTTCCCTCATTATACGAGATCTTGGTGGAGTGTCAGGCCTAACAAGCACAGCAGCTCATCCCTGGTAGCTCTTTGTCCCATGGATCAGTTGCCAAGGCTGAAAGTCCCTTCCTCCCCACAGCTGTCTAAATCCCCAAGCAGGAGAAAAGGAGAAATATGTGCTCCAGAACACCTAGAAGAGTCTCGATTAGCAAAACCCAGGCTCCATCTGGGTAATTTCAATGGTGGCTTCTGGCAAGCCCAGAAAGAGGGCAGGAAGGCAAGATCTCCCCACAGTTTGCCTGCAGCAACTAGTCCAACAAGGAGAGGAAGCATGAGAACCACTTGGGCAACCCAGTCAGATGGGTGGCATATAAATAATACTATATTATTATTATTATTATTATTATTATTATTATTATTATTAGGCTTCCTCCTGATCACTTAACCACAGCTATGACTGCTTTCCTTCTTTCTCTTTTCTGCCCCTTATTTGCAAGGATCTCTTTTTGTTGCTCTTCAGCTTAACGATACAGAGATCCAGGGCGTTCTTGCAAACCAGAAGGAGCTGAGCACGAGGTACAAGAACCTGATGGACGCCCGGGCAGAGAGTCAGGCCAAGATCCCCAATGAGCTGGGCAAGATTGCAGAACTTGGGCGGCAGCTGAAGGACACAGGCAATGAGCTGAAGAGGGCCAACTACCTTTTCACCATTGCCACAAAACAGAGCGCATTGTCCCCAGAGAACCTCAAGAAGATTCAGGCGGACAGGTGAGACCCTTCGGTCAGGCAGTGGGACACAGGATGCTTATCTGCGCTGAATTCTTTCAAGTTCTGATTTCACGAGGAATTCTTACACTTTCTGTTTATTTGAGGGTTTACACTCCTACCCAGAGTGTCTTTTTGAAGGCTTTCCCCCATACCTTGCTCCCCCTTGTCCTTAGCATGAATTGGGGCTCCCTCCAGAAGTCAAGGCTATCCCCCCTGTACTCAGGGCAGCAGCTCCCTCAGGTCCACACCTGGGGTGTGGGTGCCATGGGAGACTTCCCCTCTGCAACTGGCCTGAGTGCACGGCCAGTGCTATGTCATAAAGGGTGTGAAATGCAATCTGGTTCCTTCCTTTCCTGCCAGGAAATACACGAGCGATGTGATTGAAGACGTGACAGAGGAAATGCTGGCACTGGGAACCTTTCACTCCCTCCAGTTAGCTGTGGACCTGGAAAATGAAAAGAAGTTGAACCTCCATAACCTTGTCCTCAGGTTGGAGTTTTATTTTAGAAGCTGCCTCTTTTGAACTTAGGCTGACTAGCGCAACATTGCCCACACTGACTGACAGTCACTCTCCAGGTGCTCAGGCAGGGCTTCTCAGCAGCCACTAGTGCCAATCCTTAATAAACGGAGAGAACAAGCCAAAGAGCTCCACCTTACAGCTGCTCCTCACACAATAAACGGGCGTTTGCTGTGGTTCCACCACTGTGTCCAGTGGAATCTCACAGAGCAGGACCTGCCACCCTAAGGGCTCAGCGCCCAGGGAAGGCCAACCAACTATCAGAGGAGTAAGGAACCACCAGAAGTGCCCCATCAGAGGCTGTCAGTGATCGAGGTGGAGCATAAGGGATCAGATGCTCCTTTAGGTTTTTTGGGATTTGTGAATTAACACAAGACCCTTGAACCTGACCTAGTAGTGAATTGGCAACCATCCACAGCTCTCTCAGCAGCAGAGGGTCATGCTGCCAGTAATTTCTATTTATTTCATTTAATCTGCTCCTGTGAGCTGTCTGGCCACTGCATTCTGCACTAGTTGTAGTTTCTGAATCAGATACACATAAAGGTAAAGGTAAAGGGACCCCTGACCATTAGGTCCAGTCGTGACCGACTCTGGGGTTGCGGCGCTCATCTCGCTTTATAGGCCGAGGGAGCCGGCGTACAGCTTCTGGGTCATGTGGCCAGCATGACTAAGCCGCTTCTGGCGAACCAGAGCAGCACACGGAAACGCCGTTTACCTTCCCGCCAGAGTGGTACCTATTTATCTACTTGCACTTTGACGTGCTTTCGAACTGCTAGGTTGGCAGGAGCAGGAACCGAGCAACAGGAGCTCACCCCGTTGCGGGGATTTGAACCGCCGACCTTCTGATCAGCAAGCCCTAGGCTCAGTGGTTTAGACCACAGCGCCACCCGCGTCCCCAGATACACATAAAGCACCTTAATAATAATTTTAATGTTTGGTGTTTTACTGTGTTTTTAATATTTTGTTGGGAGCCGCCCAGAGTGGCTGGGGCAACCCAGTCGGATTGGCAGCATATAAATAATAAAATCATCATCATCATCACATGGCCTGTTTCTTGAGTTTGATAAAGCATCTGCCAGTTTGCTGCCAACTGACCAGAGGGAACTCTGGGTGCATGCCCCAAAGTCCCCTTTCCGGCCTAAGTCTTGATGTGCCCCCAGGAAACCAGGGATTTCCTTTCCCTCCCCTCTCGCCTTCTAGGGAAGAGATGGGAAGGAAGAAGATAAAGAGTCTCCAGAAGCAGTTCAGTGATGTCAAGAAGGAAAAGGAGTTTGAGCTACAGGTGAGCTTTAGGCAGTCACGCCCTTTAACCCCCTTTGAAATGCAGTATGAAATTAATAAAATTAGCACCCAACAGGTGCAGCTCAGGCTGCAAAATGGGCTCTGCACAGCAGAAAGTTTCCAAATCTAGGGAATGCAGCAGAACACAGAACTAAATGCCAGCATTTATTTGTGGATTTGGGGCTTAGCTGGCTTTAAGAAAGGGTTAGATAAAACACCTGGAGGCTCAGCTCTATCAGTAGACATTGGTCATCACTAAAAAGTTTTTTTCTGATTTGTTGTTCTTTGGGACAGGCCCTCCTCTTGCCGTTTTTTAAAATAGCAAGGTATTGTTGGAGCTGTCTGACAAGGCCCTCGTCTCCTGCCAGGAGGCAGGGCTGGTCTGGAGGGCTGCCCAGGCCCTCCCCTTGGGGAAGGTGTTGCATGATGCTGGCCCTGCCCACAGACCCAAAGGGAGGTTTGGGCGTTGGGGTTACAGCAACCAATCAGAATGCCCCCTGAGAGGCTTAAGAGAACCTCCCTGTTCAGAATATTAGCCGTGTTATAGAGGAGAGACAGCAAACTGAGGAGGGAGGATGCCTGGTTGTTTCTCAGAGGCAACTGAGTCCGGCGCTGTTGGATACCCAGCACTGGGATCCGTGGGCCTTTAGTCTGATCTATTTTTTTACATCTCATTTGCATTTGCTAACATCAGAGTCCAAGTGTTTCTGGCACTAAATTCTAGGACCTTAATAAAAATCTACACTCCTCCTCCATGGGTCACAACTATCGTGGGGCTGGCACATACATGGACTCCTGTGCTGGCAGGACTGAGTTGCTAGCCCCCTATTTCCAAGATAGAAGTCCTTCCCATGTACTTTTAGCAGCTCCAGTCTCAGACCAAAGCCCTCCCCCAGCTCAACCCACGACATAGTGCTGAAGGCTTTGCCTGCTGAATGGAAAATGTGGTTATTCTGCAACAGTCTGTCCTGCACTAGCTTCAAACAGGCATGTTACAGTCAATGGATCCTGTTTGATCTTGAGTTTTCCTCTTTTAAAACTTACAACAGCCTAACAGGATGCTTATTTTTCAGCCCCAAATACAGTAGTCAGTGAGTCAGACCTTAGTGGCAAAACAGAAGTCATCCTTAAAGGCCTAGATATCCCCGAGATAGTCAACCTGTGTCTGGGTGGGCTCATTTTTTATAAAAGGAAAAATCCATGCATGTAGAAAAGTGGCACACCAGAGAAAAGGAATCTTTTGTACATTCAGGAGCATTCAGTGATGTAAACCCCCATCTGGAGTGGTACAGTCCAGATATGTTTTCTACTTCAGTGAGAAGAAGGTTGGAAAGTTCCATAGGACACACTGTTGAGTTGCAAGCCCATCCATACCCTGGCAAGGCAAGGCAAGGCAAGGCAAGGCAAGGCAAGGCAAGGCAAGGCAGAAGCCAGTTCAGTCTTAAGCAGCACCTCTGAGGATGACCACAGACCAGCACATCAAGTCTCCCTTGCTTGTAGTACTACCCACCCACCCGCCCACTCTCTCATTCCACAGAATCGGAACGAGATGATTGCATACCTCAAAGACCAGCTTCAAGAGATGAAGGCTAAAACAGACATGGAGAATCGTTACGTCAAGAAGGACACAGACCTCCAGGTGGCTCAGACAAAGAATAAATGCTTTGAGGCCGAGAATGATCTGCAGAATGAAATTGAAGTAAGCACTTTGCCTTGGGCCATATGCATTCGTAGGGAGGTGGTCTGCAGTAGAGTGTGGGGCATGCCTTAATGACATATGTGGCCTCAGCATAGAGGCAGCCACTGTTCAGCGTCCTGGTATAGACTTTTCTCAGCAGTGTAACCTGACTTTTGGTTGAGCATCCTCAACCCAAAGAGGACTGCTGTGTGGTTGCTCCAGAGGCAACCCAGGAATACTATTTTGGAGAGCTGAGTCCTCCTGGCGCCAGAAACAAGGCTTGTGCTGAATGAACCTTAGTTCAGATTAAGTGAGCAGCAGTTGATCTAACTCCCGATCGAGTCAAGGGCTAACCTTGGTATTAATAGAAAACTACATTATATCAGGTCAGACTGCTTCTCCATTCGGACTGGCAGAGGCCCTCTGAGGTCTTGGGCAGCGTCCTCCCCATCACCTGCTAGGTAAAGGTAAAGGGACCCCTGACCATTAGGTCCAGTCATGACCGACTCTGGGGTTGTGGCGCTCATCTCGCTTTATTGGCCGAGGGAGCCGGCGTACAGCTTCCAGGCCATGTGGCCAGCATGACTAAGCCGCTTCTGGCGAAACCAGAGCAGTGCATGGAAACACCGTTTACCTTCCCGCCGGAGCGGTACCTATTTATCTACTTGCACTTTGACGTGCTTTCGAACTGCTAGGTTGGCAGGAGCAGGGACCGAGCAACGGGAGCTCACCCTGTCGCAGGGATTCGAACTGCCGACCTTCTGATTGGCAAGCCCTAGGCTCTGTGGTTTATCCCACACCTGATCCTAAATGGCAAGGAGTGGGATTTTGGGCCTCTTGCATGCAAATTTAATGTTCTACCTGGCTCATATGCAGGATATTCTTCTTGGTTTTCACATTCAATTGACTTAACCTGGTTCAATTGCCCAGTGTTCTCAGTTTCTATTGGTCTTCTTTCAACCTTCAATCACTGTACGGCTAGCCAAGTAATGACATGGGGCTGTCAGCAGTGAAAATGAGGGCAGAATTTAGGGATGGCATCATTGACCATTTTTTGTGTGTACAACTATACTACGCCTGGACCATAAACTCACTCTGCAACATGGCATAGAGAGGGATGTGGTGCATGCACTCCCCAGGTCTTCAGAGGAACCCTCTTGGCATTTGCTTAGAACCAAATAAAGTCTGATGAAAAGTCTTTCTCCCATTACAGAAACTGAGAAATCAAACTGAGCAGGAGATAAGAGTCCACATGGACATTGAGAATTTCCTTAAGCAGCAGCAAAAGGTAGGTGGCCCAAAGCTTTCTGGTGCCCCATTGAGCTCAGAGATGTGGGACCTGTGGCACTCCAGCTGTTGTTGGATTACAGCTTCCATCTGTCCTAACCACTGTTCATGCTGGCTAGGCTGATGGAAGTTGGCGTCCAACATCTAGAGGCTACAGGTCTTCTTTTTGTGCTATAACATTTTGTAATGCCATCCACGCTCCAGCCAACTGCTAGATCTACTTCCTTGTTCTTCAGAGGTTTATGTGATCCCCACCCTTAATTCAAATCATTACTTTCTATTGACATACACTTCCTATGGGTTGAGCTAGCAAGTGGATCCAGACCCTATGGTATCTAAAGATCAGAGGCCTAGAACCCTGAGGCTGAGCTGTACCACTTTAAACTGCACATGGCAGGTGTGTGTGTGTGTGCATGCGGCTCATACGATTGCTCTTCCATTCAAAATACACCCTGCACAATAGATGCCTCTTTACTTTGTACCCCATCTTTTCGGGCAAGCAGAATAGAGCAGCCAGCACACAAGTTGACCACCTCAGGGGCCTCAGACAGAAGATATCTTGGGGATGGAATCCATAGGGAACTTCAGATTTAGAAAGCATCTAAGGTGCTGCACACAGCAGCCTATTGCCCATTCCAGTTCCCCGTGACTCTTGTTTCTTCCCCGTGTTGCTGCTCCTTACACACACAAGGGCACCGCCTTGCATGCACAGATCATCCCCGTTCCCTTCAGTTGCTTTGTGTACATACAAGAAATGACACAGAGCTTTGGCTCTGAAATAGTGTTCCAACAGCAACAGAGTTAGACAAGGTGATAAGCTGATCATCCCCAAATCCCCACCAAGCACCTCATTCTGCAAGTCCTCCAATATCATGTCATTGCATGAGGCGCTGGGCTCTAAGCCATGCCCCGGAATGGTCAGGAGACAAAGGCAGAGTGTTGTGAAGTGTCCACCTGTGTGTGTCGCAGAGCATAGAAGAGAAGCTGGAGTACTGGATGGACAAGTACGAGAGGGATACAGAAGCCAAGCAGCAAGAGCTCAATTCTCTGAAGGCCTCCAGAGCAGCTGACCAGGCAGCGCTACAGGAACTGGCCAAGCAGGTAGGGAACAAAGCTGATGGTCAGGCTCCTTGGTCCGTTGGTGATCCATGGCAGCTATATGTGGGGTCGCTCTATCCACACATCCTCACTGCTGCTCCAATTTGCTAGGAAGCTTAGAAAGCTAAGGAAGGAGTCCAGGGGTGAGAGGTGAGAGCGAAAGCCCACCTTCAAGCTCAAGTTAAAGGTGTCTTTGCATTCTACAGTGTCTTATATGCGAACAAGCTATAATTGAGGACCGGAAGGAAAAGGAGAATGCAAGGAAGAAAGTAGAACAGGACGCTCTGGAGTTGAAGAGTATCCTGAAGGTAAGATGAGTCAATATAGCCTTACCTTTGGAGTCCTGGGACTAAAAATTGGAAGCGGGGGTGGGGAGAAAACCTCTTCCTCCACCATGTCTTCTGCCCCTCTCCCAACATGTGGAGCAGATCATCTCCTTTGCTTTGTATAGCCCCCCCCCCCCGATGTTGCTGAATCACCCCTTGCTGGCCATGCTGACTGGGGCTGAGAGTTGCAGTGCAAATCGCTTGGGGGGCACCCGGTTGGGGAAGGCTGCTCTATCTCATGGCTTCCCCTTTCAGGGCTCCAGATCTCTAATCCTTTTACGTGCTTTAAAAATGTGCCAAGCGGGGGGCATGGTGGCAGAATCTTCTGCTTCTGTAGGGGTGCTTGGAGGTTCTCTCCAACCTCCTCCAGCGCACTTCTCCCTAACCTAACAGCCATTTCCTCAGATAAGTATCATCAGCTAAAGAAGAAGCAGGGTCTTCCCCGGACCATCCTTGTATGGCAAAACAGGCAGCCACAGATTGTGTCGCAAAGAACAGTCTTATCTAGCCAGAGACCAGCACTTTCAATTCCATCAGCTGCAGGACTGGCCTGGAAGAGGGAAAATTATGTATATAGGAAAACAATATTAAGTGAGGCCTGAAATACTGTGGGATTCATAGCCATTTCTGTAGCTCTTTCTAGCCAACAGTTAGCTAGGGTACAGCATGAAGTATAATTTGCTTATCAGTTGTTTACATGAATAGCAGACCTTGCCGTACCACATGAAGAAGCGTATTTGAATAAGCGCAGAAACTGCTCATCTAGGCATGACCATATTGCAGAAGTGAGCAGCAGCCTTGTGTTTGGCTTCACGGATAGCCAAAACCCAATCCTAGCCACCCATTTGCTCTCCTCAGTGCAGCAGCAGCAGCAGCGTGCCTTTGGATGTTGGCTGCCCAGGGACATTCTGCAACAGATGTCATTTATTTCCCACTCAGATGCTTTCTTGGAGCGTATCCAAGGCTGAGCCTTTCTGCAGCTTGAGCTGGCAGCGATGGGATAAATGTGGGCATTAGATGCTGTGGCTGACTTGGAGCAGACAGGCAGCAGATGGAATGCTGGACTCAAGCCAGGCCTGCTTCATTAGAGAGGTGGGGGGGCAGCCTAGGGGAATTGGGCTTGTTGCACAGCAGTCATTTCTGGGAGCCCATTTTTGGCAAAGCTTGAGCAGCAGCTGGAAGGTAGTGTGGGCACCCAGTGTCTCCTTCCTGCATGCACAACCCTTCTCCTCTTCCTTGCTTTCAGCTGCAGGCCTGGTGGAGAGGCATGATGGTCCGCAGATTCCTTGGCCCTTACAAGGCCCTCAAAAAACTCTGGGAAGAAGAGCAGCCGCCCAAAGAGAAGGGGAAGAAGGGCAAAGGGAAACCTGGAGCGAAGAAGAAAAAGTGATGGGAACAGAGCCCAGCTCCTGCGCCATCTCCACACTGGGCGTTTGGGCAACACGGTTTTGTGGGATGAAGGAACGGGACAATTGTATGTCTTTGCTGAAAGGATCAGAATTAATAAAAGCTTTTAGCACTCGGCTTGAGCCAGCGAGATCTTGCTATTTTGGTCCCAGTCAGCAGAAGAGCATTGAAGCTGCTGGTTCTATTTTTCTTGCTTTGAAAGTGAACAGGCCATACCAACATTTTGTGTTAATTACCCTGGACCATACGATGCAATCTTGTATCTTGTCTCCCCACCCTCTGCTCGAGCTCAGGAAAGCTGCAAAGAAAAATGGTCTGTCATCTCCACAGGATTGCTCGTGTAAATGAGCTTTTTAAGCTTTAACTGCATGGAGACATACCATGAAGAATGTCGCTGGTGATAATTGGACACCAAGGGTGCCAAACGGAATAAAATGTTGGAGGGGGTGCAGATATTGATGCCCCACATAATGAATCACAAGACCATCTAAATGGCAATGTCCATCAATTGGGGGGGCAGCTACCTCAATTTTTTTATTGGGGGTGGTGGTGGCTGAAGTAACCTTGGACCCTAGGAGTGGTTCCTATATATTGGACATGTACTTGAAGACCTTAGAAAACTAGCAAAACCAAGTAGTTATTAATATGACAACTACTCTAATAATCACACATGCTGCATACGCAGAATAGGATACCAACTTGATTCTACAGGAACTTGATGAGCCCTTGGGAGCAGCAACACATTTGATGTTGTGATGTTGAAGAAGCAAAGGAACAAGGCTGCTCAACCTCCCTCTCCCAGGAGAGAAGCAATCAAGGGCACGTGAGAGACTGGACAAACCCACTGCAGAATAAATGCTTCTGTTCACAAACACTCTGTTCACAAACACAGGTTTTAAAGCTTCAGCCTTTATTTCAAATCACCCAGGTTTGAAGTTTATAATATCATGTGCGCTAGAAATTGACTGGTAGCATACAGGCAATTTAAAATAAAGTACATGATATTATGATGTTTATATAGTCTTTGAAAACTATGGAATGTATTTACAGACATACAAATACAGGAAAGAACTTCTTAAAAAATCCTTTAGCTATACTACTAATTACACGTTTACAGTCTGGAGAAACAACAAGAGTGAAGTCTTTATCCTCTGGGCTTTCTGCCGAGTGCCAGCCTAGAGGAGAATGAATATGTGAGAGCTGGAGTGCATTGAAAATGGAGGCTTTCAAATCTTCTGCAAAACATGCTTAGGGAAAAAAAACCCCACCCAAATTTACAGGATATCCCTCCCACTGCCCAAAAATTAAAATTAAAAGAACCATTCCAAGACATAATAGCACCGGTCATTACTGAACAGTCATGGAAAGATTCCTTTAAATATTTTGTGGCAGAGATTCTCAGGAAAAGCTCCTGCACAAGCCCTCACAGAGGAGAGTTTGCAAGAAGCTGTTCTCTTGGGCACGTTTAATGAACTGCGCCAGAAGTCAGTGCATTTGCTTTTCCTGCGAGCCTGCCCTCTCTGATTAACCAGCAACGAAAAGGAAGACAAGATACTCTCCATCAACCCAGAGGTGAGACTGCAATGCATCCCTAGGACAGACGGAGGCTATTGGGCCTGCTCTAGCAAGAACTTGCAGGGGCTACTCAGAGCAACAAGATGAGTTTGCCTTCCATGGAGCAAATTAGTTTTGACCCCCATCTTAATGTCACTATGTGGTGGGAATCAGAAAGCTGGACAAGGTCTACTTAATACAGTGTGTTTTGGTGCCCATTGGGACTGGCAGGGTGGGAGGCAGACAGGCCAACTGTAGGGGGGGACAGATACAGTGAAATGCCCAGCCAATTCTTAGTGGATATACAAGAAAGCAGGGTGGTTGGGAGGGCACACTGAGGTTGGGGGGACAGTGCCCCACTTACCCTAACACAGGGTTTCCCAAACTTGGGTCTCCAGCTGTTTCTGGACTTTAAGTCCCATCATCCGTAGCTAGCAGGGCCAGTGGTTGGGGATGATGAGAGTTGTAGTCCAAAACTAGCTGGAGACCCAAATTTGGGAAACCCTGTGCAAAGGGATGAGCCAACACTGGATGAAGGATGGACTCCACAGCCAGTGTTCACAGGACAAACAGGAGAGATCTAGCTTGCCCACTGAGTGTGCTGCATAAATTATTGTTCACTGGGTCCTTTCAGACAACCAGCTTCATTTGGGATAATATGATTGTGCACGCAACATCTATAGTTCCCCAAATATCAAGGGGGGGGGGGTTATGTATAAAGCTTTCAAGCTTACTTTGCACTGTTGGAGGAAAATCGAGACCAAATTATGCAAACAGCACAATCCTTTGCTGGAGCAGCCTTGAATGAATGATACCCCTTGCAAGATGGAAATAAAAGTGTCAGTTCTGGAATGGAAAACCACCTGATTCTCAGAATAGTCACGTTTGCCTGGGACTGCTTGTGGACAGGTAACAAAAACAGGAGGATTTATAGGAACCCAACAGCAAACACCATCTCCGGAATGGGGGATCTCTTGCACTGATATTCCCCAGAAGAGGACAGCCATCTATTGTTGCTTCAACACACAAAATAGAATTCTATACACTTTTCTTAAAAAACAAAAACTTTTCCCACTGAATACAAGGAAAAAATTGCACATAAATATAACAAAACACAAAAATTCCCAAGCCATTTAAAACTAGCAACAGAAAACTCAAGTGGTTTTTCTTTTTGGTATAATACATAAAACATGCCATCGGCTGAAAGGACCTGGATTTCCTTCACGCTGTTAATGTCCATTCATGGAACTCTTGCCATCATGAGATTATAATAAAGTGAAGAGACAAAATGACGCAGCGACACAAAACAGAGCTTTTGTGTTTGTTTGTTTTTTAAAAAAAGCATGTCATATGCTTTAGCCCTGGTCATAGGTGGTGATTTGCATGGGAGGCAATACCACCGTATTGTGCTTAATTATTTCCTGGCAGTTATACCCCTGGGCATTACTGACTGCCCAGGCAGAAGAGCCCCCAGCTTACCAGCAGACCCACTGCAGCCCCACACAAGGGCAGCTGCATGTCTTTGGTAGGATGCCGTCCTTTCTGGGTCCTCTCGCAAAGCATGCTAAGAATTTCTGGCCCTTAAGGGCTTCGGCCAACCACTTGCATATGTCCTGCTGGAATGGGCTGGGAGCTTCAGCCGCACTACCAAACACTGCTGCTTTTCTACTGCAGTTAAAGATGACCTACACAACCGGGTTGCAGGTAATACCGTTTCTCAACCCACCGTAATATACAGACTGAGCTGCCTGGGTAAAGGATTGACCTTGACATGGTAGAAGATGTTTTTACAGTATATGGTGATGAACTTGCTAATTTTTGGTAACTGGGCTGAAGCCTCCAAACTGTTATATGTTTTAAAAAAAAAAAAAAGGTGTGGGAGTGAAAGACTAACCTTCATGAAATCTCTCCTCTCTTAACCACCTCGCTATGCTAAGTTTACTTCCCTCCACTCTGAGACGGTCCTGCTTGCATAAATAACAGAAAACCCAGAGACGTGTACGAAACAAGTGGCTGAGAATTGGTGAAGCAGGCACAACGGCAGAACTGGTGAAGCATCTGAATCAGAGGTCCGCGAGGTGGCAAACGGAAACGCAAAGGAAACCGGGAGAGGACTTTCAATGCTGCTATTGCATCTGATGTAGTTCCTCAAGAATTGCTTCTGGCCGGCAACGCCGCACCCACAAAACACGGCACACCCACCATCAGCAAAGAGGCAGGCAGGCAGGCAGTCGTGTGGCCCGTCCAGCACCTGCAGGACTTGAGGCCGTCCGAGCTAGAAGAAAACTGTTGCTTCAACCACATGCTACTGTTTTGCTAAAAACGTTCTTCATGTGCTTCAGAGGAGAGTTGGGAGCCAAGGGTCATGGAGCAAAAAGGAACTAAGCAGCCTGCAAGGACACGAGAGCCTAGCAAGGCAAAATTAACCAGGAAGGGCATCAAAATAGAAATGGAGTGATTGCAGAGGGCACGTGAGAATGGCCAAAAGGACGATGTCCACCTAAAGCCCAGGGAAACCAACAGGAAAATGACATTTGTGCTTTGTTTCAACACAGAGCCACTGAGACACTTGGGGAGAGGAGATGCATGTCAAAAGCAAAAACACAGCCAGCCTGAGGTTCTTTTCCAGATTCCTCAAAATCTACACATCTCAGCTGAACTATTCTATCACCTCCTCCTGCCATCCGTCATTACATTCAGTGTTTTCTGCTTTATTTTGTGAACCTCATGTACAGGCCACGAGGGCCTCTCTTCCCCAGGAATCACTACCGAGAGCAGTGCCTTGCATGGCGCCACAAGAGAACATGCTGCATGGAGGCAGCCAAAGATTTCGCTGCCCCCAAGTACACCCCCCCAATCCTCTGTGATACTGCAAGGGGCTATAGGGTGTGGCTCTGAAGCCAGCACACAGGCTTGCTCCCTGCTGCCCAAATATTGCTCACCTACATGATGACATGGTTTGCTTCTGCATTCTGATTACCCAGCTCCCTCCCTACGGTCCTTCTCCATCACAGAATCAGCATAATGCTTCAGTACATGACCACCAATTCCCACAGCTGGCTCCATCTGGAAATCTGTTAGCATCAGGGGGAGGAGATAAGTGTCTGAAAGGCATTCCAGTTGGAGAAACAAGACATGAACCTCAAATTGCCCATGATAAGGCAACATCTGGGGCAGGAGTGAAGACGCAGGAACTGCACAACTGCCAGTCTGCACTTCTCAGCTCTTTTTTACGGTGCTTGCTGGGCAGATCCAGTCTTCAGAAACTGCTAACATGGTTTTCATTTGCCCTTGCACACTTTCCAAAGCTACAGGTTTTGAACACATGAGAGAAGCAATGAATAAAGGGGAAGGGTAGATGGCAGAAGAACGCAGAAAAAGAAATGCTGGATTAACTTCATGAAAAGAATTACCCTTAAAAACTGTTCTTTCAAATCCACCAAAGAGCACTTTTTTCTCTTTCTGCAACAGAGCCACTGGTCTCCGTTTACTTCAATAATCCACTTTCCTACCCAGTTAACAGATCATTTTTGAAAAGCACAGGTCAAGGGCCCTGCTATTTTACCTCCAAACAGCAGTTTCTTTGTAGGATGATTTGACAATGAAAATTAAAAGTCGTACCAGGAATTGCTCTTTCAGGAAACCGCGAGTTACCAAGTTACGAGTAGATGGATGCTACAATTAATTTCTTGCGCTGTGCTGGGACACAGAATGCCAGAGGAAGAACCTGTGTGAAAAAGTATTCCTATACATACATCCAAAAGGAGTGATGTTGAAGCTAGAACATAACCTAACTCTTAGATGTACGCTTCCAAAGTCCTGGCTGAGGAGTATGTGTGTGTTCAGGTGGGTCTAATCCACAAGAAACGCCCTGTGTGCTGAAACGAATGAGAGCATTGCAAAAAAAACCAAAAGATATTTCCTATCTGAATACGACATACTAGCCACCCCAGAGTTTTTTAAACATATGGTGTTTTTCGGGGGGTGGGGGTAGTTTCAAAGGCTCCCACCCGCTGCCCCAATTCTACTGTGACCTTATTGAGAAATGAATCAGAGAGGAGGTGAAATCTGCCCCTGGTTCCCTCCCACGTGTGCAGGCAAAACTCACTTTACAAATAATTCTTTTCTCTTTAAGTTCAATGGAAACTTTTGTGACCTCCAAAAAAAGTGGAGAAATGAAGCAAAAATTATTCCCTTCAGGAATCCCGGATACAGATTTCCTCCTTCGAATGCAAGGTTGCCTGTGTCTGGACACGCTGCCCCAGCAGTCAAGTCCGGGCATTCTTCGGCTTGGCCAAGGACAAAGCAACAAGGTCTCGGGGGTCACTACACAGCAGCCAGCTGATTCTGCTGCTGCTGCTGCTGCTGCTGGTGGTGGTGCTGTTTTGGGGGGGCCCGTTCCAGAAGTGCCTGTACAGTCTCTGCCACTCGCGTCAACCCTCTCTCTTCTAATATGTGCAGAGGCAAACATAATCGCTCCTACATGGGAAAACACAAAAAAGACATAAAGGAAAAAAAAGGGATGAAAACTAAAACAACGCAAAAAAAAAGGAAACCAAATTAAAGCAAATGTGTGTGTGTGTACGTGTGCCAAAAATGGAATGTTATAAAATGAGAGGGTGGCGCGGCTCAGCAGTCTGCATGCAAAAAAGTCCCACGTCCAGCCCATTGCATTTCTGCTTCTTAAGGGGTCTCGTCTCTGCCACTCCGCCTAGGCAGAGCCGGCTTAACACGGACCAGTGCTCTGACTTGGAACCCAGGCAGCTTCCCATGTTCAAGCCTCTCAGCTGTGGCAGCAATTAAGAAGCTGGCTCTCAGTATGCCTTTTGGGGTGAGAACTGTGGGGTTTTATCAGAATCTTAACTTTCATTTTGGGACCTTCGAGGTTACACCTGAGAAACGCAACGGTCCCAAGCACTAAAGGATGAAAAATGAAATCACCGTGGTTTCTAATGCACACAATTTCTCAGCCAATATGACAATATTTGTCCACACCCCACCCTTGGCAATCAAATGGCTGGTTCTTTTTTAAAGCTGAAGGCAATCACTGGGCAGCAATACTATCCCGGCAGAAATGCAGTATGTAGTTTGGTACTCTATGAACATGGAAGTGACGTGCAAATGTGGCATGTGGCATGCATGCCAGCCTTCTTTTCAGGATGCATTCCTAAGGAAACACATCTCTGAGCTGCCCACCGCTGGATCAGACAAACAGCTGCATGTGTGACAGAGTGAACAACAAGCCAGCCAGACTCCAGGACAGGAACTTTATTTAATCAACATGTTAAAAAAGAAAGCAACCCACAATCAACGCCCCCCATCCCCAGCAAACAAGACACACACATATATAAAGGGAGAATTATAAAGGTGAACATGAAGGGGAAGAGGAAGGCTTTTTTTCTGAAGTCGGATGGTATTAGATGTACACTTTATATGCAAAACCTGGTACAAAGAGTACAAGCCAGAGAAGCGCTTTTCGTTTGCATAACATGTGAATGAGGAGCGATGGCAGGAATTTGGAAAAAATAACCCTTTCTCACACGCTAGTTAATACCTGTTTAAAGATGATGGCTAAACAAGCAAGAGAGACTGGAGGGGAGTCAATACAAGAGTTTGGAATGCTTTTCTTTACGCATTTCCAGCATGGCAACATCTCCCCACTCCCTTCAATCAATTCACAACTAAGAAAGTCGGTTTCATTGAGCAGCCCATTTATTTTAACAGGCACTCATTTCTTTTAAAATATTCCTAAAACTACCCCCAGTAGAAACAGCTTTTAAAAAATATACAAACTACAGCGTTCCAACACGCATTTATCCACGTAACTGAGGTGCTCTGTTTCCTTGACTAATTCAGGGTCGACTCCTGTACCCCCTACTCCTTGCTCGGCTGTGAAACTGCTATTTCAGAGCGGTCAAGAGGTAAGCTGTGGGACTCCTCTGAGAACACACTGCAGGTGTGCGGTCAAATACACACACAAACACACACACCCCAGAAGAGCAGGGGCATTAGTCTGTAGCAGCAGAAAGTGCATGAGCACCTTAGAGACTAACATTTACTGAGGTATCAGCTTTTGAAGGACACAATCTGCTTTATACCGTATTTTTCGCCCTATAGGGCGCACCGGCCCATAGGGTGCACCTAGTTTTTTTTGGGGGGGGGGAATAAAGAAAAAAAAATTTATTTCCCCCCCAGGCGCGGGGCTGGGGCAGGGGCAGGGGAAGTCCGAGCTTCCCCCGACCCCAGAACAGGCTGCTATCCGCAAGCCTTGGGAGCCCGCAGGAACTCCCACCGGGCTCCCCAGGCTTGCGGATATCTGCCCGAAGCCCAGGGTGTGCTCCGCTGCGCTCCCTGGGTTTCGGGCTGCAGGCTGCTGTCCGCAAGGCTTGGGAGCCCGGCGGGGACTCCCGCGGGCTCCCAAGGCTTGCGGATAGCTTCCTGAAGCCTGGAGAGCGAGAGGGGTCGGTACGCACCTACCCCTCTCGTTCTCCAGGCTTCAGCGAAAGCCTGCATTCGCCCCATAGGATGCACACACATTTCCCCTTCATTTTTGGAGGGGGAAAAGTGTGTCCTATAGGGTGAAAAATACGGTAACTGTCAGGTGTAAAACTCAAGCCACTCTTGAGTATCACATTCCCCAGCCTGACAGGTGAGGCGTTAGCCTCAGGGCCGAGGTGACAGTTGCTAAGCAGATGCCGCCCAGTCTAGGAAGGGGCAAAAGGAAGGCATTGTGGAGGGAAGTGGGCACCCAGGAAACTCTTAAAGGCGGCAGTGGAAGAGGCTTGATGGCTGTGCCACATAGGAGGCGACTGAGAGCAGAATTTGTGGGGAAGGACCCCAAGCGCTGGTGACATTTAGAGCCTCTAGCTCTGTGATTATTGCACAAAACGTAAGAGCTCATTGTGGGAAAATGCAGTGATTCAGCCGGCTAAAGCTCAAACACCAGCATCCTGGCTGATCGACGGTCAAGGGCACTATTTTAAAAGGTATGGGAGCACCACCATCCCTCTTAAAAAAGAAGATACAGTGCTCTACTGCAGCCTTCACCAAGCTGCTGCCCTTCAGCTGTGCTGGCTGGGACTGATGCGAGTTGTAATCCAAAACAACTGGAGGGCACCAGGTTGGCAAAGGCCGCATGGTGGCTTAAATGCAAAACTGTTCTGCGTGGGCTGGCCCACCTGTGAAAATCCTGACAACCCCTTTGGAATAGCAGGGATTATCTGAGCAATCAGGTGGTTTGCAAAAACTGGACGCATGCAATCACTGCATGTGTTGCAACTCCTGCAGGAGCAAAGAATACATCTGCTTGAGAAACTTGTCTTTTTATTTTTTAAAAAAAGATTGCTAGCCCTTATGGCTGTGAAGATATGCTTGATATACATTTTGGGAAATGACTGCTGCAAATCTCTGAAGGTGGCTGAGTAAGATTTCAGTCAGCAAGATATCAGTGCCATGTACAAATCACTGCCTTTCCCCATGGCTGGCAAAACCAGAATAAATTATGCAAGCCTCTCCAATCCGCACAATATTTTATATAGGTTGCAGAATTCTGGGTGCAGAATTTTCATTCTTTTCATCGCAGAAGACAGAAGTCACCTAATGCAGTGTTCCCCAACCCCCAGGCCGTGGCCCGGTGGCAGTCCGTGGATCAATTGGCACCGGGCCGCCCGAGGAACTTCAAATCATTTCACTGTGGCGGGCGGCTGAGGCGCAGAGCATTGCGCCCTCCCAAGCCCGCCCATTGTGTGACAATAGCGAATGAAAATTCGCTATTGTTACACTGATGCTCCTCCTGGCCAATCAGGGAGCGGGTCCTCCTGCTTCCTGATTGGCCGAAAGGCAAACCTCACGCCATTGGCCGAGGAGGAGGCGCCACGGGAGGACTGAGGACTCGAGGTCGGAGACGCGGGGACTGAAGAGAAGCTGCCGTGAGGTAAGTGCACGGAGGGTGGGGGACTCAGCTCAAAACAAGCGGGCCACAGAAAAATTATCAAACATTTACCGGTCCGCGGCGATAAAAAGGTTGGGGAGCACTGACCTAATGAACCCTGTCAGCCGAAGCCTGAGTCATGGGGTTTCTTCTCCTCCTCACTCCCCCCACCCGCCCCCTAAAATTGGCTTAAGGGGGGGTCAGAAGAACCCCAGAACATTGTGGAGGAGGGGAGGAGGCATAGTTCCATCTGACAAGCTGATAGGCTTGCACAGGTGGAACACCTGTAACCGAACCACACTGAATCCCACACACATTCCCGCTTTGGCACCTGCACTTTTAGTGGTCTGTCGGTGCACCTCGTGTGACTATGATAGCCTCCTCCACATACACAATGAGATGCAGAAAGCTTGGGATTTCTGGCAAGCAGAGCAGGCAAACCAGGCACTCAGCCCCAACGTTACCTGAATTCAGCAAAATGCCACTATAAACATGGACTAAAGGGGATCAGAAAAAGGTAAAAAAAAAAAAACCCCAGACCTAACTCAGGTTAGCCTAAAGTGAGGCAGAGGCCAGGTATAATCATAGCTACACCTGCAGTAATGGACCAAACATTTTGAGACAAGAGGATGAGCGCAAAAATAATACCCATTCATTCAAAGTGGAGAAAGGTCTTTTGGTAACACTGTCTTCTAGAATTCACAAAGGCAGGAGTTCTGCTTGCTAGGAGCCTTCCCATTTAGGAATCAACAGTCATAAAGCACTCATTATTTGACAGAAGAGGCCAATTCAAAAGCTATTCAAACACATGCAACAAGGTTAGAGAATGATGTGTCTGTTCATGAGCCTAACTGCATGTGTTCAACTTTCATATTCTCATTTTCACATATGGGGAGCAACTTGCTGCTCTGACACTCATTCTAGGCCTAAGATGTCCCCCTACTTTGTATTTGGTTACAGCAGTACTTAAATGTGCACATTCTTAAAAACATAACTGAATTTGTTCTTGCTTTGTGGAGCTTTTGGCTCCCAGCCAACCGGAGCAGGACAAATCCTAAAACGTGTGAACTGGTGACTGCCAGGGTGAGGCGATTCCAATGGTACACCTCCTCAAGGCAGAAGGGCAAACGCTTGTGCTTTGAGATCCACGTTAAGAGCAAAGGTCTCCCTGAGAAAGGCAGGAGCAGAGTGCATGGATAGGCAAGAAAGGCTGAAGCATCAACCTGGCTGGTACCTGAGCTACACAAAACGAGTCAAGAAGCCATTCTGTAAGGCTGGCTGAGGGTGGTGGAACGAAGCCTCGGTGCTCCATCCATGGGGAGAGGGAGCTGTTAAACTGGGGTTGGGGGGGGGTGGGAGCAGGCAACTGTCTGGCGAAATCTTAGAAGCCAGACGGCAGACTGAGCAGGGCTTCCAGGGGCTAGAGTTTCAGTGGGTTAACTTACTTTCTCCATCCCTGGTTTTATTACCCCACTAGACCCTTTCAAGGCTGAGCACCAGCAGAAATATTTGCACCCCAGTTCCACCAAACCACAACAAGGACAAATGCCATCAGCCCCAAATGGGAACTGTCCAGCTTGCTGAACACTGTTACACATTGTTCTGAGTATGTCTATAAACATGAAAGCACCTAATTAATCAATAACAGTGTGAACGGTATTTCAGATAAGGCGCTGCTCCTTAAAAGTGCTGTCACTATTTATTGGAAAGCTACAGGACTGGTATTAAAGCTGAGGATTTCAACAACTTGCTCGTGTGCATTTGCTAGAAAGTCGAATGCCTCTCACTCTTAAATTCTTTGTGACAGCAGAGATCAACTGAGAAATCCTAATGGTGAAATAAACAAGTCAATACATTTGTGACATTGGCACACATGTGTGCAAATATGAACGTGAGCCCAGAAGGAGGTGAGGAAACGCAAGGCAAAGGGTTGCATTTTCCCAGTGCTAGACATCACCAGTAGCTGAAGACAACACTAACAGCTGGTGCAGACAGGATTAAGGTAGCAGACTTGCTGGTACAGATATTTGCTCACACTAGCGGTCTGCTCAGACTGAGCAATGTAACAGCAAAGAGGAACTTGTGTAAGTATTCTAAATAAAGTAGAGATCACTAGAAAAAAATGGCATGCTGTGGATTTTCTGGTCTAAGAAGATGAGAAGCCATTTTTCATGAGCCCCTCCTGCATCGTAGACCATCAGTGCAAACTGCTATTTGGGTGGATAATGCCACTGTAATAAAACCTGCATTGGCTGTAAAAACCTGCAATCTCCACGTTCTGCTGTGTAACACAGCCTGCTCTGCAAATCTAGCAGTGCCTCAGAGACAGGAAGGAATATTGCCCATCTGCACTGCTTGAAAATAAGGCCTCTGATGCTTAGGCTTGAGGTTTCTGAGGAATCCTGAACAATCGCCACTTTTTGTTTTAAAAAGGATGGTGATATTCCTAGCACTTGGAGAAAAAGGTGTAGATGCATTTCATTGTTTGCTTAATCCTTAAGAAACCAAAGGAGGTCTAGATGGAAAAATCTTATGGTGAGGGAGTGTCTCCCTTCAACACTGTATCCCGGTTTTTCAAGTGTTCTGTGAGTTCCAAGAATCAAGTGTCCATCACTGTCTCTACCAACCCTCCCTCCCTCCCAAAGGAAGTGGGTGAACTTCCTGTTCTACAAAAATATCCACCGTTGTGCAATTAAAATAGATTTCTACAAAGTGTAACCCCCCTTCTGTTTTGCATAAAGTATTCCAGCCACATAATATAAGGGAGCTTTCACTTATCTAACAGCAAATTCTGCCTGACTAGGTCATTATCAGCAAGAGAGTTTTTCACATCACACAGAGCAGATTGCTGGTGGATCAGGAACAACGTACACATACAAAATTCTCGACTGAAACACAGACCGTTTACCAACCGCTTGGAAGAGCTGGAGTTAAGTCCATGGCACCCTTGAGCTTTAGCTAGAGGAAAAAGACCCAGCGATAGAACACACAGAGCATTAGCATCAGAGCACAGTAAAATGCTGCAAAGCCACACAGCTGGGTGGAAAGGGAGACAAGATTCGGTTCTTCTGAATCTGCCCCCAGAGAAAGAAGAGATTCTACTGTCCTTTTAATGCTGAGGTTTAGCTGGAGAATGTCAGAAGGGGAACAGAGTTTGTCCTGTCCAAAGTGTGAGCAGGAAGGGAAAACAGACAGAAAAAAATTAGCGTCAGTCATCAGTCATGCAAGAATCCATGAAGTAGACAAGAAAGCCCAGGGTCATCCATTTTTCACAAAAGGGTCCTTCAGTGTTCTTACCTCTATTCTTATATTGCTGTTCAATTGGAAGAAAACAGCCATAAAACATACTGGCACAATCAGGCCTTCATTTTTCAGGAAGGGGTGTTATTTAAACTGGGAGCGTGGTGCATGGAAAACACCCCAAAAGTGCACCCATTTTTGGTTGGGAATGCAAAGTTGGTCTCTGAGTGTAGTATCCTGCATAGGTAAACCAGTGTACCATCATGCAACACGTTTCATTTTCATTTTTTTAAAAAAAGTTTGCAATTTTTGGACTTTTCACTTTTCTCCCGGCAGAGGTGGTGGATGGTTGTGAGGGTGCAAAGCACATCAACCCCCAAATGTGTTTCTGTCGCACTGTGCCCACTAAACCACTTAGCTAAACATGGGCATGCGGGCACGGCAGAAGGGGAATGTGGCTCTATGCAAGATGCTACCTTTAGAGAACAGCTTTAAAAAGGGATCTCATCTGCCCTCTCAAAAGGTAAGTATTTCTACATAGGACCATGCGAACACCTTTCTCTTTATTACTGGTACAACACAAACCCAACGGGAGGCACCACATGCCTGTCCCGGGTCCAACACTGTGTGTGTGTGTGTGTGTGTGTGAGAGAGAGAGAGAGAGAGAGAGAGAGAGAGAGAGAGAGACCGAGACCAAGTGGTACTTGGTGCAGGCAGGATCTCTTATTGCCATCACTGCCTGACATGTTCCCCAACAGTGAAGAGTATAGACCAGATCCTGTTTTGCATAGAGCTCTACATGTGCTTCAGAGTCCCTATAAACTATAAGAAGCAGCAGTTTTTATTTTAAAAGGATAAAGGATCCCCATTTCTCTAGGTGTAGGATCTGAGTTATGTCAAATTTCCACAGATTACGGGTAGGATTCACCTCATGAGGCCCGTCATAGGAAATTGTGCACAGATGCTTCCACTTGTGCAACAAGGCATTTCCGCCCTAACACTGGGGCTGGGTGGTCAGGAAGAACCCCAGAACAGCGTGCGGACAGAGGGGAAGGCGATGTGATATTGTTCCATCGGGCAACCTGGAATGCTTGTGCTGATGGAAAGATTGGAAGGGTGCAGTGCTGAATCCCACCCCATGTGTATTCTTGGTTATAAGAAATATACTTAATTAAGCTTCCTCAAAATTGTTGGGGGATATATTCTCAAAACAGCCAGACTTCAGTTTCAGCATCCTTTGTTATGCTGAGTTGGGCAAAGTGCTGGATAGGTCACTGGTGTCAACCCACAAACTCCCAGACATCAGAGCAATGGCGTAAGTGGCTGGTCTCTGGCTCCCGGGTGTCTCCCACCCATCTCCCCAACCCCTGTCCTCACTCCTACTCAGGGTCTTGGGTCCATCAAGCATGACTCTTGCTCTTCCTTGTGATGGCTAGCACCAACAATGCCTTCAGGTCACCCACTGAGCCCCAGCAACATCCTTGGCTTGAACCTACTTGACACTTTCGGCTTCAACCTGGTCTACACAACCTTCTGCTTCTCTCTGGTCTACACCAAAGCTGAACAGAAGCGGATTCCCCCAAGCAAAGAAAATGGCTTCCAGCCTCATCAGCTCAGCCACCACCACGACTCATCTTGAATTGTCAGACTGCAGAGAGTGCTGCTGGGTGAGCTGAATAGCTCTTTCACTTGGCCTTTTGTTAACTCCAAGGGGCAGCCAACTCCAAGAGCTATTACTATGAAGATGAGAATGAAGGCCTTTCAGCTGGCAAAATGGGATATGGAAAAGAGGCACAGAAGGCGGCAGCAGAAGACAACTCATTTATTCCTGCTATGTTCCAAACTCAAAACACATGGGACTGGCAAACTGCAACCTGAGAGTTGCTTGCAGATCCTGGCTAGTTGAAGCACAGCTCCTGCTTCCACTCTTCCTTATCCTGCCCACAGGGAGTGGTCAGGTGATGGCTAGGGTCACGCAGTGGAAGCAAGAGGGGCAACAACAGGAAGGAGGAGAAAAAGAGTGCAAGCCAGCAAGGCAGGGGGACAAGGAAGGCTGGGGCTAGAGGTATGCATCTGGGCCTCTCTGAGGATAGCAGGTAAAGGGGACAGCAGGTAACACATGGGGTGGGGAGAGTTGAGAGGGGATTTCGGTGAGAGGTTTGTGCAGGAGGCTTTAAGTCCTTGGCTGGTAGTGGATTTTATATGCCGCTTATGGAGTGTGAGACTTTGGCATCTCGATTATACACCTGCCAAATGCTGGTTGTTCAAAACACACAGACAAGTAATAACCCGACACAGTCAATACTGCTCTTCGTGGTAAAGATCTAGGGATCTCTTGGAAAAGCAACTGCTTGTAGCAATTATGACTCGGCTATCATCAAGAGGTGGAGAGCGGACCATTGCCACCAGAAACAGTATTACAGCACTTAAAGACTTAATGTTTCACATGCAATATAATGAAACCAAACGACTGAAAAGTATCTGTGCTAAAAACCTGCAGCACACACGGTCAAGCCTCGTTTTTGCACCAACTGGGCTGCTCTCTGAAGGATGGTGAGCAGAATCCAGAAGCAAAAGGAGCTGACAATTGGACTAGGATGTGCTGAATGTCTGCAGCGCTGCCTTGGAAGAGTCTCTGCCTAAAGTCAGCACCTGCAGCAACTGGGAAGATGAAGTGTCAAGTCCAAAAATTGTTATTGCAGTGTCCAGATTAGGATGTCAACTGCTGAATATAGGAATATATTATTGGATACCTACCATCAGAGACCAGGTCAAATGTCACAGGATCTAGCTGCAAACATATCACTTTAAATAAGTGAAATACAGTCAGCTAGTCCTTCCACTTCTTCTCAAATACCATACATCACACTAGGTCAAGCTTGGGACTATGGTTTTCACTGGAGTGACCCCAAAGTTTCTCTCCAGACCAAAAAAACCCCCCAAACTACACAGTGCAGAAAAATTCTGCCTGTAGTAGCATCAAGTATGATATTCTGGAGCACTCCTGCGCTCTCTGGCATACCTACATCCAACTCCAAGCATATCTGAGGGCGTGGGAATGATTCAGAACACAGAACCCCATTTGAATAGCCAATGGTACAAATCTTTCATACAGCTGAATTTTCATACTGAGTACAGTCTCCAAGAACAAGTACCAGAAGGTATAAAATAGGTAGACTAATGAGATTAGTGACAAGACTTCTCAGACTTGTAAGATACAATTATATTTATTGTACCCAGTGTTCTGTTTGCCTCTGCCGTCCTTCTTCATAAACAGAAGCCAACAGCAGAACTAAACCTGATTTCTAACGCAAGACCTCACATCTTACTCAATGCACTGAGCAAGACTGGGCAAGCCCTGATAAGGCACTTAGATGAACTGGAATAAACAGGAGCATGATTTCACTTCCTGATTTGCTACATTTTCATTAACACACTTTCCGTTGAGCCTATTCTGAATGCAAGTCTGCATATAGGCATTATTGAAGGACAAAGGGTGCTTATTACTGGAGTGGCTTGATTGGCTGCAATATGGTAGGTTACATCTCTAGGCATTTATTTCCACTGTGGCCCCCAACCCCGTGCAGGAACTGGTGCTATGAAATGTCGGGCTCTCAATAATATAAAATGAGTACATGCAGTGCAAAATAAACACAGAAGGTTTTCTCTTTTACCTGAGGCACGCCAATCTTTCGGCAAGCTTCCAGGAAATTTTCCACATTCCGTCTACACTTGGCCATGGTTAACTTAGGCTGCAGAAGAAAGGAGGACCATGTCATTCTTAACTCAGCAGTGCCTTACAGATAAACCAGAATGCTAAAGATATTTTTGTGCTAGGAGTCAATAGTGTGGGTCCCTAGAAATTTCAGTTAGGAAGAAAAATAGTACATATGACAGCATGGCTGTTCCCACATATACTTCTCTGCCAGCTGTCCCTTAACCAGGCAGAGGGCCTTCACAGTAGTGGCGCCTGCCCTGTGGAACGCCCTCCCATCAGATGTCAAGGAAATAAGAAACTATCTGACTTTTGGAAGACATCTGAAGGCAGCACTGTTTAGGGAAGCTTTTAATGTTTGATGTTTTATTGTATTTTTAATATTTTGTTGGAAGCTGCCCAGAGTGGCTGGGGAAACCCAGCCATATGGGTGGGGTATTACTACTACTACTACTACTACTACTACTACTACTACTACTGTCTCTAGGTGTGCACCTCTTGCTCACTGAGGCCCAAACTCCTCTCTTACTCTCACCCCACTATCCTGGTCAGCCAGAAATTAAGTTAAAGCAGCTGCCTATAGAGCCAGACAAATTAGTGAAGGTCTGGATTTGCATGGAATATTTGCATGCCAAAAGCAGCTGACACAAGATTCGGGGGTTCTTACAATGCAAAACTGCAGTGTTTGCCACTGTAGCCATAGGTGCTTGCAGCTCTTGTTGAATATTATTGACACAGAGATCAAGGGTTGTTTGTAGCAACATTAAAGAGAAATTTGAAGAAACTAATATCTCTGTAGACTGAGATCTTTGGGACTGGGATGGGGCATGTTTCCTTATCAGAAGTCAGGCTGACCTCTTTGAGGTGCAGGGTCTTCCCTGCAGCAGACAACTTCTCTCCAGAATATGCTGGGAATTTTGTGCAGCTAATTTCCTTCTGGCTCCTATGTATTTGTGGGAGGGGGTTAATTGATTTGTTTTTGTTCTATTTTGTATTCTCATTCTGCATTTTTCTGTTGTGAACCACCCTGGGGATCTTCAGATGAAGGGTGCTATACAAAGTTAATAAAAAATAAAATAAATCAATAATAATTATTTTATCACCACTGCTCTGTAGTTCTGCTTTTGTCATTTTACACTATTGCTTATCTTTAGCAGTCATCTGCTGTTTCATTGCTTGAGGGCCTTTCAAGCCAGAAGACAGAATCAAATTTGAAAAACAGGTACAGATTCTATCAGGCAGCCACAGCGCTCTTAACGGGATACTTACAACAGCTGGCGACGGGACGTGAATACTAGGAACAGAACGAGGCCGCACATGATTGGCTAAATGGCAGAGCACCACGCCATCAGTCAGCGCTGCTCCAAGATCGCTGGGCAAAGACACTTTCAACCGTGATTCAATTTTCTGAAAAAAAGAGGGGAAAGAGGTGAGAAACTTTCAAGTTCATTGCCGCCGCCACAATACATGCTACCTAGAGACAAACTTTAAATAGGTTGCAAGAAATCTGTAAAGTACACCCTACAGACATCATTAGATGAGGATATGGCTGTGTTCGGATTATCTCAGCAAAATAACCAGCAAATCTCATGCTCTGCAAGCAGCCACTTTGCTCCTTACTCTGCATGAGCAAGCAAACTATAGTTTCCAGTTACATTAGAACTGGGAAACTGTGCTTAACAGCTTCGGAACAAGCCAGGATAAGAAGCCATAGTTTGAAGCTGGTTTCGTGTCCTGGCTTCCTCCTAAGTTACAAACCACAGTTTCCCAGTTCTAATGTAACGGACAACCATAGTTAACTGAAGACTCCCTGGCTTTTCTGCAAAACCGCTGCATACAGCAGTGCCATGGCTCATTCATACCTCAGCTTATTAAGCCAAGATGCAATTGTCCAAATGCAGCCAAGGGCAACATTCTGTACTCCCAAATGTTTTCCTCCTGCAATTAAACTAAGTTATCTGGGAACCTGATTTGCAACAAATCAGAAAGAAGTGTGCTGAGAAACTGGGAGTGGTTCTGCAGGAGTAGACATTTATAAATCCTTCTCACATTACTTTTTAGTCATGAGACTAATTGCAAGAACACTCTTGTGTACAAACACCACAACACAGGATGCAGCCCACAGTGCAGTAATGAAATGCAGCACATCTGCCAGATAAACAAGTTGTGACATGCAAGATTTTTTAAAATCCAGAATGCCACGGACATCTCTAGCATTCCTTAAGGATTCCATGCTGGCTAGAGCTCATGGGAGTTAAAGTCCAACAATATCTGGTGGTCATTTGGTTGGCTACCCCTGGAACAGATTTGCCTTGAACTTATTTAGCAAGCCCATCTTTCCAAAGCAACGGAGAAAACTTTGCCACATACTTTCCGCAGTTGCTCTATCAGCTCAACCTCTTCTTCCTGCAGCTTGGAACTGTGGTTTTCACTATGGTCTTCAGTGCTATTAGCAGGTGTCGATGCAGAAGAAGGCAGTGATGCAGCGGCTAGAAAAGACAAGAAAATAATAAAGGACCATATGCAGTGTGCGGGAGCCATCCTTCAGCCACATAAGCCCCACTGCCCCCTCCACTTTGCATTCCCAAGAGCGAAAGCCCAATCACAGGTTAATCACTTCATCTGCTGCTTGTTAGAGCATACCCTTCAGCCTAGTTAATGAAGCAACTGCTCTGTGCAACGCAACTTGGCTCCGATGTAGGGGAAGATCCACTGGTCAGTGGTAGAGCACATGCTCTAAATGGAAAAGGTCCTAAGTTCAATCCCTTGTCCTGCAATCAGAACCAGTGAAGGCGGTGAAGGTCCTGTGTGAGTGCCTGGAGGTGGTTGGAGGATGGATGGCGGCTAACAGATTGAGGTTGAATCCTGACAAGACTGAAGTACTGTTTTTGGGGGACAGGGGGCGGGCGGGTGTGGGGGCTCCCTGGTCCTGAATGGGGTAACTGTGCCCCTGAAGGACCAGGTGCGCAGCCTGGGAGTCATTTTGGACTCACAGCTGTCCATGGAGGCGCAGGTTAAGTCTGTGTCCAGGGAAGCTGTCTACCAGCTCCATCTGGTACGCAGGATGAGACCCTACCTGCCTGCAGACTGTCTTGCCAGAGTGGTGCATGCTCTAGCTATCTTCCGCAATGCGCTCTACGTGGGGCTACCTTTGAAGGTGACCCAGAAACTGCAATTAATCCAGAATGCGGCAGCTAGACTGGTGACTGGGAGCGGCCGCCGGGACCACATAACACCGGTCCTGAGAGATCTGCATTGGCTCCCAGTACGTTTCCGAGCACAATTCAAAGTGTTGGTGCTGACCTTTAAAGCCCTTAACAGCCTCGGTCCTGTATACCTGAAGGAGCATCTCCACCCCCATCGTTTTGCCCGGACACTGAGATCCAGCACCGAGGGTCTTCTGGCGGTTCCCTCATTGTGAGAAGTAAGGTTACAGGGAACCAGACAGAGGGCCTTCTCGGTAGTGGTGCCCGCCCTGTGGAACGCCCTCCCTTCAGATGTGAAGGAAATAAGCAGCTATCTTCTTTTTAAAAGACATCTGAAGGCAGCCCTGTTTAGGGAAGTTTTTAATATTTAATGCTGTATTGTTTTTAACTCTTGATTGGAAGCCGCCCAGAGTGGCTGGGGAAACTCAGCCAGATGGGCGGGGTATAAATAATAAATTATTATTATTATTATTATTATTGGCTGAAACCCAGGAGAGCTGCTACCGGTCAGGTTTGCAATACTGAGTTATATGGACCAATGGCCCGACTTGGTTTAAGTCAGCTCCCTATGTTCCAAAGGGCTAACAGAGACCACCAAGCCACACCCTCACAGGTCCAGTTTGTGTAGCCTACCTTTGCTCACTTCATCCCTGGCAACATTCCGAAAAAGGAAGCTCTCAGGACGCTGGGGAGGATTTCTGTAGGAAGGAGGAGCAGCAGCAACAGCTGGACCAGGATATGGAGCGGACAGGTGAACTGAATGTGGACATGCAAAAACATGCTGTCAGCTCAGCAGAACAATATTTGGAAGGACATGTTTTTAAACCGGCAAACTTATTGCTGAGTGTTATAAAGATGTGAGGGGAAGACCAGCCCATTCTAGATGTCTATGGACATTCCTCAGTACCCTCTGGAAAAAAGTCTTCTCTATTTTATCACAATTTCACAACCTGAGGAACATCCAAAGGAGCCTCAGTCCAGAAAAACAAAGCCAATGCAATGGAGCTCGGGCTACAACAGTCCTGCATTTAGGAACCCATACAAAATAGTTTTCTCCCAGTACAATGGATTTTCACAGCTGCAGCCTAATAGCCTGTTTTATCTCCAGCTGTGGTCATATTTTGGTTTGGCCCAACATCACAGGCAAGATGTATCAGTGGAAGAAAGGCTCATGTGCCATTACTTAACCATGACAATTGATTAGGGAGTTTTCTGGACCTAGCTTCATTTGGAGACAAACTTTTTTATTGCCTTACTTTACTTGTGTGGAAGTGAGCTGCGTCTCTCTGCTGAGTCAAAGAACTGAGAGAGAGCTAGCGTAGCATGGAGGTAAAACAAATGAGGTATGAATCAGGAAGGTACAGGGTCATGTTTTGCTTCTGCCATAAACTCACTAGGTGGCTGTAGGGAAGGCAATGCTATCTCAGCACCCACCGACCCCCTAATCTAGGAAAGGAGAAGAACGGTGCTGGCCAATCCTACAAATCAAGGGTCATTACAATGTGTGTGAAGTCCTCTGAACACTCGAAAGTATGACAATTATTACACCTATAAAACTACCTGGTGGAAAGGATTGCTTAAGGCACTTCTGTACCCACAACTGGCTTGCAGTGTTGGCGCAACCCTTGGTTGTGGTGCAACACTGGTCCACAGGTTATGGCCAAGACCCCGTCAGCTTAGCTTGCACGCTGATAACCTTTTCAGGATCTCAGTGATGCATCTGTTTCCCCCTTTGCTTTCTCACCCAAGTTTACCTGTTTGAGCTGTGGGTGAATTTGGCGAGATGGTGGATCTGTCATCACTCTGTGGATAAAGGAGAAAGATGAAGCAGTAGAACGCAGCAGAAATAAGCTTTATACACATCTAGGATATCATTCTAGGGGTAGGAAGATGGAGCATAAGATGGGGGGGGGAATTTACATGCCATAAAAAGGATCTCTTAGAAAATTAGCATAACACTTCTGGGACTATAATAATGGAGAATAGTACAGCCAGGATTAAATGTATTTGGGACAAGAGCCACAAAATAAGGAAGGCTGCCACTAAGCTAGCCAATGGGGGGCGGGGGAGATAAAACTGATTATATGTAAAGAAAAGATCTTTAATCAAAGGTAAATTAGTACGAAGTGAATATTCAACTGCATAAGTATCTCCGGTTCTTAGACATATTTTGCCATTTCTGTGAGGACTCTTTATTATCACTGATTACAATTTCCAGCATGTATGTACAAGATAATCAGACTAATCAAGAGAAGTGGACTTGTTAAGGAATGCAAGCACAAAAGGGTGACTTTTCAGTTCACGTTAAGGAGACGGCAGAACTTCGTTTTATACAACAAGGAAGCACCACTCAGCAAGTGTACTGGCCCATCTACCAATATTCCTCTATTCCTCTTTGTTCTGCTGTTGGAGGGAGGCGCAGTGGGCTCCAAACTCAGGACCAGGTTTTAGAAGAGTTGCATGGGTGGAAGCGAGTGACCCACAATCACCATCTTGTGTGAAGTGTCACCAAGAAGAAGCTAGTTACAGAGAACAGCCCACAAGCCTATTTGAGGGTCTCACTCTGGTACCTGAAGGATGTCAGCCATTGATTCTGCTTGTGCTCCACCACCCAGGCTCTCACCAAGAGGAGAAACCAGCAAGAGCAGCAATAGGAATTTAACAACAGCAGGCCAGAGGAAGTCAAATGATATCCCTGACCTCTCCAATGGCTTCTAGGTCAGGCCTGCTTGTTTGGGTGAACGGAAGACAGGCTGCCTTCATCTATGTCTCTGCCCTTTCTCCAGCTTGACAGATAACCAGGTCTTCTATAATAATAGAGTATGTTCATTTTTTGTTTTTTACTTTTGTCAGAAATGATTCGAATGAAATATTAAGCAAGCACAGGACCTGATCATTTTCACAATGAAAAATCATAATGGCCTCTGCAAAAAAGAAGTCTGCAAAGCACCAAAAACATCAGACGAAAAGTGACACACAGTGATGGGTGTGCATTTGCAGTTTATTTTAGTGGCCAGAAAGTACAGCCTTTATCTGCTGCTCAAGATTCTGCAAACAAGAAAAGTTTTACAGGCTAGTTATCAGCTTCTGCTGCAGACAGGTTAGACATCATGTCATGTCAGAATAAAACTGCTTTTCTTTGACAACTCGTTTACTTGGCAATCCTATTCTAGCCCATTCACATGGCAAACCAGAAAATTGCCCCAGGAGTGGTTCTTGGTGGTACAGATGGGATTTAATATGCAGAAACCAAAATTCTGTGGTCTTTGCAATGACTTAGGGCAACCAAAATGATTCAGGGGCTGGAGCTTATGAGGAAAAGCTAAAACATGTGTGGGTTTTTTAGTTAAGGGGGAGGAGACAAATAAGGGGAAATATGATGGAGGGTTGCATGCAATTATGGAGAAAGTGGAAAGAGCTCCCCCTTCTCCCTCTTTCAGAATACTTGAACTCAAGAGTCACCCAGTGATGGGTAGCAGATTCGGGACAGACTGGAGAAAGAACGTCCTCACACAACAGAGAGTTATCACATGGAATTTGCTGCCGCCAGATGTGATGATGGCCCCCTATTTAGACAGCCTTGAAATGGGACTAAACACATTCATGGAAGAGGGTCTGCGATAGCTAAATGGACCCTTCATATTTCTGAACTGCGAGGGAAGAACAACAGCAGAGGTCTTTCTTTTGTGTCCTCTTGCTTTGGGCCTCACAAAAGAAACTGGCTGCCAACTGGGAAGCTCAGTCGGTAGAGCATGAGACTTTTAATCTTAGGGTTGTGGGTTCGAGCCCCACCTTGGGTGAAAAATTCCTGCATTGAAGGGGGTTGGACTACATGACCCGTGTGGTCCCTTCCAACTTTGTGATTCTTTGATTAGATGGACCTTCTCAGTCTCATTCAGCAAGGCTGATCTTACATTTTTAGTTTATTGTATCTTGCGTGACCTCCCCCAGCTTAACTCGTCCAGACATGGTGCACATGGACCACCAACTCTCTGCAGAGTCATCCATTAAGCAAGGGTGGTTCTTGGCTCCATTAGCTGGACATGAAAACTCTCCCTCGGGCTCCGCTTTAAATCAGCTCATGACAGGACAGGCCAAGAGTAGGGATCAACGCTGCCCTCAGTATCAGGTAAGCAGGAAACGTAAATCCAGCCAAGACAGTCACACGCTGCATGCTCTTCACCTGGTTGAGTGTCCCCGGCCTCCTTTTAATGGTGTTGGTATTACTGTCAATCTCAAACACTAAGATAGGCTCAAAACCATTCTGTCAGGGAGGGCAGAGAAGAGAGAAGGGGGAGAAGAAAGGGAGGAAGACAGAAAATCACCTGAAGAAGGCAGAAGGTGCAAAGCAGAAGATTCCAACAGACTACCCTTGACAACAGTCTCAGAACAGCGTATCAACATATGGAGCTGCCTTACTCAGAGTGAGGCCGCTGATCCATCTAAGTCCAGCAACGGCTGTCCTTACTGGCACCAGCCCTCCAAGGTCCCAAGCGGAGGTCTCTTTCAGGCTCGCTAACTACAACCCCTCTAAATAGAGATAATCAAGGACTGAACATGGAACCAGCTTGCAAGGCATGTGCTGTACCACTGAGCTATGGCCTCTTCTCTTTACCTGAACCTAACGCTACAGTCTTTCTTGAATCAATTCCTGTTAAATTTCCCCATCAAGTCTGTTCTTAAGTGGAATAAACACCTGGCAAACTATGCACTCTCTTAGTCATGTGTGGCAAGATGTTGATCACTATAGAGTTCAAGGTGGTAGCCCTGCCACTGCCGAGGTTGTGATTATTACTGCACTGCAGGGGTTGGAAAATTTTCCTCCTATTATCAGCTTCCATATTGCATGTTGTGGTGATGTTACCACCTTTGGGGGATGCAGGGAACATTGGCAAAGGGCAGCCCCCATACAGTGAACTCTCTGGGGCTTAGCCACTGACTTATTTCCCCCTTGCTAGCTCTTACCGAGCAAGCAGTGTTTATGGGGATTGCGTGAAGATTTGGTCATCAAGGCTCAATTAGTAAACTCTTGGGAATGTAACGAACTAGGAACAACAGCATCATGTAAAATAACTCATTATAGTAAATTAAAATAAAATGCTGTCCACGAGAGTAAAGGATGCCAGAAATTATGCACAACAAAAACCAACCACGCTTGTTTGTATTCCAAGGCCACCCAGGGCTGCATTGGGTTGTATCTGACACTTGCATGCAAAATTAGAATTATCTCATGCCAAGGAGTTTGAAGTAAAAGATGAAAGAGGACAAGCAAACATAGGGACCAGAAGTGCAGAGAAACACAGGAGAAAGGTAACAGATAATAATAATACAGTGGTGCCCCGCAAGACGAATGCCTCGCAAGACGGAAAACTCGCTAGACGAAAGAGTTTTCCGTTTTGGAGGTGCCTCGCAAAACGAATCTGCTATGGGCTTGCTTCGCAAGACGAAAATGTCTTGCGAGTTCCTGGGTTTTTTTTCCCCTTTCCCCCTCTTTTTCTAAGTCGCTAAGCCGCTTATCTGCTTATCCGATAAGCTGATAAGCTGCTAAAAGCCGCTAAAAGCCGCTAAAAGCCGCTAATAGCGCTAATAGCGCTAATCCGCTAATCCCATCAATGGGCTTGCTTCGCAAGACGAAAAAACCGCTAGACGAAGAGACTCCCAGAACGGATTCTTTTCGTCTTGCGAGGCACCACTGTAATTTGTTTATACCCTTCCCACCTGGCTAGGTTCCCCAGCCACTCTGCTTACTGCAGACGAAGCAGCCATGTGAGAAGGTACACGGCGGTTGGTTGCTACGGTGAGCTTTAAAGGCAACTGGCACAGTGCCGATCCCAGAAGAGGGTCCAGTAACAAGTGTCACTTGTTTTATATCCTTAGTGAATTTTTCAGTCATGATGGGTGAGGATTATTTAGGATAAACCTCTTTCTCTAAATCCACGAAAGCCTTCCTTTTCTCTGGGGCCCATGACTTGACAAAGATTTCTTCCATCATTCCCCCACCCCACCTGAAACGAAGCCTAACTATGTATAACTGGTGAAATTTAGAGTACTAGATCCCTGGGTCCTGTCGTTTGTTATTGTGTAAAGTGTCATGCATGCTTGGCCCAGGGGCAGCCAACGTGGTGCTCTCCAGATGCTACGGGACTAGAACTCATCATCGTTGGCCACAGACGATGCTGCCTGGGCCTGATGGGAGTTCAGGTCTGCATTCTGGAGGGCACCATGTTGGTTATCATGTTGCAACAACACATTGGGTATTCTGCCAAAGGCCAATCCTCAGCAGAACCATCTACCGTCAGCTGTCCTATGAGAAGGATTCCAGAAGAGAGAGGGAGACAGGGAGGTGAGGACCACCTCAGAGCCTGCTCTAGTTGGGCTGTCACTTACTCACTACTGTCATTTCATCACCAAGTGCTTGGTGAGGAGTATCCTGAATTATTATTATTTTTTTGTATGTTGATATTGTTCACTGTAGTTTAAAAAATGTATTTCAGTTTCCCCTAAGACACCTAGGAGGGATTTACATCCTGAAAGTTAGGATATCAGTAACAGTAAATAAATACAAAGAGAAGTTAATGCTGGCTATGTTATGATTTCAAGTATCATTAAACTTATTTCCAAAGCCGTCCAGTGACTTTGAGGGGGTGGAGCTCATGAATTTAAGCCTTCATCAACACAGCAAATATTATTACTACTGAGTAATGCATAGCTGAATAATTACTACCGAGCTTGGATAGCTCAGCTGGTTAGAGCGTGGTGCTGATAATGCCAAGGATGCAAGTTCGATCCCTGTTTGGGACAGCTGCATATTCCTGCATCGCAGGGAGTTGGAATAAATGATTCTCAGGGTCCCTTCCAACTCTACAGTTCTGTGATTCTATGTTGTTTCCAAGATGCCCTTTTCAAGAGACTCACGGTGATCTACAAATAATATAAAATATGAGAAATCTAATCGGGGAATAAGCAGCCTACTTGTTCCTCTCAAAGCGAGTTGTGTCCACCTCCTGCACCTTGTTTGCGGGAGGCTCCTAACCTGTCAGCTTGCACTGAGATGGAAGGGCCTTGGCAGCGCTGCGTCGTGCCCGGCCTAGCCATGCCTGCAGACAGCCATGCCCGCTGTGCTCTGGAGCCAGTCCGGAGCCCGACTGCAGTGCCCCTCCCAAACCTACCTCCATTGCTCTCGCCTTCAACACATGCATTTGAAGGGAAAACACGCAAACTGTTAGTGTTGAATACACACTGGTGGTGGTGGCACCCTGCTTTCCAGAAATTGGGGGTGGCGAGCACTTAATCACACCTGGAAGCATACAGTGCTCCAGAAACAAAAAGTCAGACACTGCAGCAGGCAACTAGAAAGCCTGCTAAACAAAACACCGGGGTGGGGGGGCTGCAAGTCCACTTTTGTGCAAGCAACAAAAGTGTAAAAGGGCGAGGGGCACGGATAATTTCATACTGCCTGTTTGTCAGACCTTTTTCCATGCATTTTCCCTATACTGGAGTTAACATCATTGTTCAGCGAAAGAAAAAAAGCAGTCTTGGCTGAACAGGCACTATGATGTAATAAGGGAAGTGCCGAACAAAAGGCCTTCGTTAGAATTCTACACAATATTCTATTATGTTGTGGGAGAAACTGCCGCCATGTAAGCAAGTGCAGTTCAAGAGAGTCAGAAATAGATGCATAAACCATATGATGGAAATGGCTGGAATTGGCCAAATCCCATTCATCGCAGCAGTGATTTGTCAAAAAGAATTAAAATCGGATCGTGCCCTAAATCGACAGACAGGGAAGTATGCATGCCTGAGATAACAAGCTCACTCCAAGTCCTGGGACAGGGCAAGAAAGAAATCTAGACCAAGCAAGTCAATTACCCATCCACATCAATCCCACTTTCCGGGCGTTTATGGAAATTAGAACGAGAGGGACAGAAACAGTTTACATCCACAACAATAAGAATGCCTGAAACAGGGACACAAAACAGGGACACAAAACAACAACTTGTGTGCCACGCTTGCTGCCAACTTGCTAGCTTGGTTACTACTGAACAACAATTTTCAAGAGGCAGAGGTTTCTCTGAGCATTTGACCTTTTCTGACTAGAGAAACCTCTGTCTCTTGAAAATTGTTGTTCAGTAGTAACAAGCTAAGTTGGCAGCAGCTGGCACCTGTTGTTGTCCTGTCTATTTCTAATCACCAGTTGTCCTTACATGAACTGAGGAACAAGACAAGTTAAGGGACTGGGCTGCAGAACTGTGTGCCCCGTCTCTGCTCCAACACGAATTACTCCCACCATTTTAAAGGTTTAATTTGGCATCAATGTTAACCATAGTAAACATTAGGCAGAGTTCTCTCTCAACCACACTTTTGAACCCATTTTCTGGCCTCTGCCTTCCCTGTACTCTCATGTCACAAATAGGAAAATGCCTGAATGTAATGTCCAGGATGGGAGGGGGGCCGGGGGGGGTGTCCCTGCTTCACACCTAGGTGAAGTTTCAGTGCTCTTCAGCCAGCAACATGGCTGCACATATGAAACCTCAAGCACTTAACTGAAGAGAATATAAATGAGCAAATATACTGGAGGCATGCAAATCATGCAAAGGCAGGCAGAGCAAAGCAGGCCAGGAAAGAACATGAAAATGGATTTCAGTCGCTATTTTTGAGATACCAACAGAGGAAGGAAATAGCATAAAACATGGAAATGGTGTTACATGAAATGTTGACAACTTTTTTTTTAAATAGGCAATTCATACTTGAGAGATGTAAAAGTACCTCCACTGATTTAAACAGAGGGGCAAAAACAAAGCGTTTAGTCATGGTTAACTAAACATACTCAAATGGATCACCAGCAGCCATTCAGAGGGCCATGCGCCAAACAACTACAAAAGTAGTTCTTCAGGGGAAATCATGGATGAGTATCTGTGATGTATGATTTAGGCCACAGGGATCCTGCAGCTGGATAGACAAAGCTGGGTGACATCATGCCTCTTCGAAATCTATGATTCCATGTTATGATACTGAACTGGTTCAGCAAGGAAATGGAAATGCAAAATTTAAATACCATCTCTTGACATAACACCTGGTACTTATTGGAACACTTCTGGGCCTTGTGATGAATGTGTTATCTATATAGCTGATGTGTGGATGACTCCATGAGTAGGCCAGGCAGGAACCTAAGAACCTGCTTAGGTGCTTTCACCCCTTAAAGCTTATTCACACCTTTAATGTTTCCACGAATTGCACCAACCACTTATCTTATGAGTTCCAGGGACTAAATCAGAACAGGAAGTTCAGGAACACATAGCTGTGAACATCAGCTGCAATCCGTTCCAAGGCAGAAGGAAGGAGGGTAAAGTAACAATTTATACCAAAATTGCTATTATAATTAAGACAGCCATGTTTTATGCTATTTAGGAGTAGTACTAAACTGCCTAATCTCAGCAAACCATAGAAAACATGCTAACTATGATCTAGGAGGCTGACACATAAACAGGCCATTGCGTGCAGGATTCTTACCACCAGCAAGGCACTATCATCAGTGTGCTGAGACCTTCTGGACGGGAAGGGACACTGGGGATGCGGGAGAGATGGCAACATCAGAAACATGAGACCACCACAAAATATGCAGACAAACACAGACATCTGGAACTGACAAGGTTCTTAATGCAGAAGGCACATGGAGGTAATCAGTAAAGTATAACTGAAACAATGGGAAAGAAACCTATTAGTCTCTTAATGATCTCAGCATTAAAAACATCTGCAACTGATTCAGGAGCTATTTTGCTTTCAGCTGCCGAGTCCAAGAAAGAGCAGGATTTGGTATGTGCATCTTTCCAGTGGAGAACGCTGCAATATTAAGGAAAGAACACACACAGCCTGGGAGGAACTGAAACAAAGATCAAATAAAAAGAACAGAACTATTTGGAAGCAGTCCAGAGTCACAGAAAGCAGACTACTGGAAAACACTTTCCTATGTATTTGTGGTCTATTGTGTTGTGTCTTATGACAGGCTGATCATGAAGTAAAAACTATTTTCCGTTAGCTAAACAAGAAAATTGGCCCTGGTGGTGTATAAAACCTTCTTGTGGGGAAAGACAGATGCCAATGTGAGGGAGGCTGAGAACCAACCAAAATTCTGTTCCAAGGCACCAATATCATCAGCCTTGAGCGCTGGCTACCCTACAAGTATGAAGTTCAACTCTTGCCAACCTGGCGCCTCCAGATGTTTTGAACTACAACTCCCATCAGCCCCAGCCAGCATGGCTGGCTGGATCAGGCCAATGGCTCACCCAGTCCAGCATCCTGTTCTTACAATGACTTGCCAGATGTCCAAATGGGAAGCCCACAAGCAAGAACTGTGTGTCACAGCAGCCCTCTCCCCACTCACTTGGGAGTTCCAGCAACTGGCCATCAGAGGCAGACTGCCTCCAACAGTGGAGGAAGAACACAACCATCATGCCTAGCAGCCACGGATAGCTGTATTCTTCATGAATTTGCCTATTCCTCTTTTAAAGCCATCCAAGTTGGTAGCCATCACTACTTTTTATGGGAGTGAATGCCATAGTTTTAACTATGCGCTGGGTGAAAAAGGACTTCCCTTTGTCTGTCCTGAATCTTCCAACATTCAGTATCAATGGATGTCCACAAATTCTCGTGTTATGAGAGGGAGAGGGAATCCTTTCTCTACTCACTTTCTCGTCACCAGGTATAATTTTATTTACCTTTATCATGTTTTCCCCTTGCTCTACACTAGTAAAGGGACCCCTGATCATTAGATCCAGTCCTTGCCGACTCTGGGGCTGCGGCGCTCATCTCGCTTTATTGGCCGAGGGAGCCGGCGTACAGCTTCCGGGTCATGTGGCCAGCATGACTGGCGAACCAGAGCAGCGCACGGAAACGCCGTTTACCTTCCCGCCAGAGCGGTACCTATTTATCTACTTGCACTTTGACGTGCTTTCAAACTGCTAGGTGGACAGGAGCAGGGACCGAGCAACGGGAGCTCACCCCGTCGCGGGGATTCAAACCGCCAACATTCTGATCGGCAAGTCCTAGGCTCTGTGGTTTAACCCACAGCACCACCCGTGTCCCTAAGCGCCACCCGCGTCCCTTGCTCTAGACTAAAATGCACCAAATATTGTGACTCCCCCCCCCAATCCCTTTCATTATTTTGGTAGCCCTTTTCTAAATCTTTTCCAGATTTACAGTATCTTTTTAAGATGAGTTGATGGGAGCTGTAGTCTAAAACATATGGAGGGCGCCCAGCAAGCAAAGACTGGTGCAACTGCTAAAACTCAGCGAACAGAGCATGCCGTGAAGCCAACCTGTGCTCTGACGCCAGTGCACTTGCAGAGAAGAAGCAAGTGTGCAAAAGCAGAGCTTGACTGTTCAGTTAAGCAATGCAAAAAGCCTTGGATCTGGTGGCGAACCCAGAAGTTCAATGACAACTTGGAAGTTCAGGGTGGATTTAGTTCTGCTGAAGGACCAGCAGTTCCAAAAGTGCTTTTTAATATTCCCAATATATCTGCTCTCACGTCAGCTCTACTGTTTCAAGAAAGATCTTGGAACAGATATAAATAGGTCTATTTACATACATTTGCCACATTTACAAGACACAGACTACATGGACAAATCCACAGTCCAACCAACATCAAAACAGGGGTGGGGGTGGGGGGAAGGTTTAGAAGAGACATCTCTCTGCTGTGGCACAGTAGTGATCTTTAAACCCTACGCTTACGCTTCAGTCCTGAACAGATTTAAGTCAGATCCAGTGATTGTAGCCTCAGTAAAAGAGAGACCCCCCCCCATAAAGAGCTTAGGAAATGACAAGAAGGCGGTTTATAGCTTTAGTTCTTACCTCACTATCCAGAGGGCTTTGCTTCTGAGGGCTCTGGGATGCCTTTTGCTTGGAAGAATGAAAAGGAACAATTTACTAGGGAAAAGCACGCAGGCTCAGGTAAATAGGAAATAAGGTGGCAAGATGGGCAAGAACTGTTCCATGAACATAAGCAGTTCCTAAGCTGAACCATTTTATTGACCTGTGAACAGAACCCACCTGCCTAGGAGAAAGAGGTTAGAGTTGGCATTATGTTTCTTAGGTAACTCAATTTTGGAACCAAATACATCAGCATTCTCCTAAATCTGCTACTGTAAAGCTGGGTTGGTCTACAACTCCTACATTGCATCATAATGATAATAAATCCATTACAAAAGTATGAAGTTGGAAGACCCCTTTAAACAAACTATATCCCAAATCATTCCTGATCTTCACCACTTTCTGTGACATGTTTCTTTCACCTAATGTGCAGCCAGTCTGATGCAGCTGTGCTCTGGGTGACAGTCCTCTAAGCCCCCACTCAAAGAGCTCACTGTGTGGAGGGTGATGAAAACCCCAATGGTGACGAAAGCAATCCAATTTCCAGTAAAACAGAGCAAGCAGCAGGGCCTATCATTAAACAACCAGTCATGTAAAACCTTAAACCCTTTCAGAACTATTTGTTCCCCATCAAGTTTCAGAAGAAGTAGCCTGTATCTTATTACATGTCTGCTGCCAAACCATGTGACCAGATGCTAGACTTCTTAAAAACAAAAACTGGGCAAGATTCAGCTCCTGGGTAGGGGTGTGGCAAACCCTGTATGGATGAATGAATCAGGGGTGGGGCAGAACATGGTGCCAATACCACTTGTCTCCCACCCTCAGTATATGTGGACCTTAACAGCAATGCCAGACTCTGTGCAGCAATTAGAAGAGGATTATTCAGCATGCAGACTAATTCAGAGTGGGGAGGGTTCCTATCGCGCTCAGTGTACAGGTGTGTGCATGCACAGCTAGCCATGCTATGTTTGGAGCAGTGACCTCCTACAACTTTCTTCTGGGGTGGGAGAAGGTCTGGCCTTTAAATATACAGTCGCAAGAGAGGGAGCACTGAGGCCTCTGTATAACTGGAAAGCATGGGACCACCACCACCACCTCTCCCTGGAGAATTGTACACTAAACCTGAAAACCTAACTTGACCTACCTTGACAAAGTCGAGGACGGCCTCCCTTTGGATCTGTTTTGTCCTCATCTTCTCCTCCTCATATTGTAGCGCAGCAAGCTGGGCTTCCCTCCGGGTACGCTCCACTAAATGCTCGCGCCTTTTGTGTAGATCTGCATCCGAGTGAGAGACCTGGAAGAACGTTAATTTGGAATGTGCATCAGAAAGAAAGCAACCAGCTACACCAGGGGTCAGCAAACTTTTTCAGCAGGGGGCCGGTCCACCGTCCCTCAGACCTTGTGGGGGGCCAGACTATATTTTGAAAAAATATATGAACGAATTCCTATGCCCCACAAATAACCCAGAGATGCATTTTAAATAAAAGGACACATTCTACTCATGTAAAGACACGCTGATTCCCAGACCGTCCGCGGGCCAGATTTATAAGGCGATTGGGCCGGATCCGGCCCCCAGGCCATAGTTTGCCTACCCATGAGCTACACACTAAGCAGCACACTTCCCAATGTGCAACACGAATTACCTGATTATGGGTGCCGGACAGCAAAAGAAGGCAAGATGAGTCGCCAGAACCTCTGAGGGGGCAAAACAGAACATTGTTGGATACAAAATAAATATTTCCAATTCACTGTGCATAATGCTCTAAAAAGATGGTTAACATAATAAAGCTCCTCTTCCTAATTATCTAAACATTTTCCTTGGGGCAACATGCACAAAGTGATTAAGCCATAGGCAACAGTAAATGGTCTGTGCAGTCAATTTTACATAGGATGCCACGGCTGTAGCTTGCTTTTAAAGAAAGCTTATTTGCACAATGGGCCAGACCTGCACCTCATTTTAAATGAGGGGCACCACATATCACTCACAGCCTTACCTTTCTGCTCGGTCTAAGCAGTTCCTCAGAAGTTGCTGTCGGTCTCTGTCATGTGTCAAGCTCAGACTTTCAGGTCGTCTTAATTCATCTCCATCTCTGAAAACACAAATACACAGTGGGTGGTAGTGGTAATTGACCCAGAGAAAATGGAAAAAAGAAAATGGAAGAAATGTTACAGCATATGAGTAGACAGAGAAAAACCCTTTTAAGAAAATAGTAAAATTAAGATAACCAGGCCTAAAGTGTTCATGTTTTAGGGCTAAGCAGCAACTAAATTCAATATGGGTAGTAGAGTGCAGAATCAGCTGCCTTGGGCAATGGAATTTTGAAAAGATGAAGAAAGATAGGATTTCCTCAGAAATAAAAACATTCAAACTGAACAAAACCGATGTAGTTAATCACCCTTAACCACAATTATCAGGTTGGGTGAGAGAGAACATAAATGGCAAGATCAAGTTCAGCTCTAAAAGTTTATTTGCACTTTGAATGTATACCACAAAGCCTCAAATTTCATTTGGATATCTTGCTTTTAAATTTCTAGTGACATACTCTTTTTTGCTACTCTGAAGAAAATGAGATTCTCTTCTAGGCCTGCATACTAAGCTCCCACTCGAGGCAAAGTGGAGAAACAGATTTATCAAAGCTGACAGATCCTTCACTTTAGCTGCAGCTGATGACATTCTGATTAAATGAACTACATTGTCCTGCGCTCCCCCACTTCACTGAGCACCAGGAAGCGCCAGGGTCAGTCTTCCAAAGGGTTTTAGCTCTCTCATGGGGAGAGTGTGCTGGAGCCTTGCTGCACTTTGGTGATCTGTAATATCTGCTTATTTACAAAGGATGAGTTGAGCATGGGGGAACAGAGCAGGCAAACATCCAGGCGGACAATGGCAATTTGTAAAGCAGCATCAGTTCTCCCCAAAGTGAGCAGCATTCATTAGCAGCGTCCCCACCAGCAGCCAACGAACCGTTTCCTGCTCTCTATCCATGAATCTTAAGTCTGGTTTGGAATATCATGAATAAGGCAGTTTAAGTTGGCATGAATTTAACCAGATCTATATTTATCCTGATAACCAACAATAGAGATTTTGTTAGCACAAGCCAGTCTGAGGCACCATCCCACTCAGATGCCTTGTTCTAATTTAAGCTCCCAGGGTCCCAGGTCAGGTTCATCACCATCATGCCCATTTTTGGTTAGGTAATTAAAAGCTTATCTACCAAGCACACAAACTCTTCAAAAAACACATTTACTTTGTTTTAGCAGTCCCTGCTACATTTGGATCAGCTATGGAACCGGGAGCGGGGCAGGGGAAACCCTTTTAAAGACTCAGATTTCAAGGAGGATTATTCTGTAATACTGGTGAATAATAATCTAGCAGGTTCCTCTTTCTGTTCTGGAAAAAATGGTTCCTTACAAGCTGCAAAGCTTCATTTATGAAGCAACGCTGCTTATGCTTAACAAAAACTGGGAGCATTGTTGCCATAAATGGTGAACAGTGAAGACTTACTGCTGACACCGATCATGTATTACGTGGGACAAAATACTTCTGCATCCAACAACCCAATAAAAGGATTGTATTATAATGAGTAAAACACCATAACCTGGTGCAGACATGATGTTATCAGATTCTTAACCATGGCTATTTGCATATGCCTCTCCTTCTTCTCTTGCATGTACCCCCCTCCATTTCCCTTTTCAGACCTGGTAATATGTATACACTGAAAATTAATGGCAACCATTGTTATAACAGATTACTTTTCAACCCCCACTTCTAAGTATGGTGATTGCTAACATGGTGCAGATGCAACACTGCTATGGAAAGGGAATGGTGGAGGGGAATTACAGGTGTTAGGGGGCAAGGAGTATAAAAACCCTCACACTGAGGGGCTCCTGATCTCTCAACCATGGTTACAAGGACAGAAACATTATGTTTGCAATTGGCCCAGTAAGGCGATATATGCAAAGACTCTGGGACCCTGTGCTAAAAATGCAACACTTTGTGACCACAAAACTAAAGAAATGGCGCCCAATTTATCAGGTGACATGTTCCTCACACTGCAGCATGATTCACCTTGCTGATTCCTAAAGCTCTGAGCGTATGGAACAAAAGCTGTTGTTGTTCAGTCGTTTTGTCGTGTCTGACTCTTCTTACAGGCACTCCTGTCTTCCACTGCCTCCCGCAGCTTGTCAAAGTCATGTTCATAGCTTCGAGAACACTGTCCCACCATCTTGTCCTCTGTCCCCTTCTCCTTGTGCCCTCCATCTTTCCCAACATCAGGGTCTTCTCCAGGGAGTCTTCTTCTCATGAGGTGGCCAAAGTCTTGGCGCCTCAGCTTCAGGGTCTGTCCTTCCAATGAGCACTCAGGGCTGATTTCCTTCAGAATGGAGAGGTTTGATCTTCTTGCAGTCCATGGGACTCTCAAGAGTCTCCTCCAGCACCAGAATTCAAAAGCATCAATTCTTTGGCGATCGGCCTTCTTTATGGTTCAGCTCTCACTTCCATACATCACTACTGGGAAAACCACAGCTTTAACTATACGGACCTTTGTTGGCAAGGTGACGTCTCTGCTTTTTAAGATGCTGTCTAGGTTTGTCATTGCTTTTCTCTCAAGAAGCAAGCATCTTTTAATTTCATGGCTGCTGTCACCATCTGCAGTGATCAAGGAGCCCAAGAAAGTACTGCCTCCATTTCTTCCCCTTCTATTTGCCAGGAGGTGATGGGACCAGTGGCCATGATCTTAGGTTTTTTGATGTTGAGCTTCAGACCATATTTTGCGCTCTCCTCTTTCACCATCATTAAGAGGTTCTTTAATTCCTCCTCACTTTCTGCCATCAAGGTTGTGTCATCTGCAAATCTGAGGTTGTTGATATTTCTTCCGGCAATCTTAATTCCGGCTTGGGATTCATCCAATCAGTTGTTCCATATCCAGTTCTAACTGTAGCTTCTTGTCCCACATAGAGATTTCTCAGGAGACAGATGAGGTAATCAGGCACTCCCATTTCTTTAAGAATTTGCCATAGTTTGCTGTGGTCGACACAGTCAAAGGCTTTTGCATAGTCAATGAAGCTGAAGTAGATGTTTTTCTGGAACTCTCTAGCTTTCTCCATAATCCAGCACATGTTTGCAATTTGGTCTCTGGTTCCTCTGCCCCTTCGAAATCCAGCTTGCACTTCTGGAAGTTCTCGGTCCACATACTGCTTAAGCCTGCCTTGTAGAATTTTAAGCATAACCTTGCTAGCGTGTGAAATGAGTGCAAATAGTTGGAGCATTCTTTGGCACTGCCCTTCTTTGGGATTGGGATGTAGACTGATCTTCTCCAATCCTCTGGCCACTGCTGAGTTTTCCAAACATGCTGGCATTTTGCGTGTAGCACCTTAACAGCATCATCTTTTAAAATTTTAAATAGTTCAGCTGGAATACCATCACTTCCACTGGCATTGTTATTAGCAGTGCTCTCTAAGGTCCATTTGACTTCACTCTCCAGGATGTCTGGCTCAAGATCAGCAACCACACTACCTGGGGTGTACGAGACATCCATATCTTTCTGGTATAATTCCTCTGTGTATTCTTGCCACCTCATCTTGATGTCTTGATGTGTTGTTGGAAAAGAGTGTTTGTGATGGCCAGCTTGCTCTCTTGACAAAAGTACTCACCTATTATGATGCAAGTATCTTCTGGCATCTTCTGACCTGTGGAATTCCCGGGTGGGTGTTGGTTTTACTGGTGAACCCTTAGTGAAGGAAGAAATGAGATACAAAAATAATTATTTCTAGTGCATTGTGGATGGTTGCAAATGTCACCTCCCTTTGCCAGAGCAAGTCTGCCAATCACACCAAACTAGTTTGAGAATTAGTGGCCTTTTAAGTTGTCCAGATCGAAATTAATCAGTGTGAGAAAAATACTAGACAGGAGGAAGTGAAGCACTGTGCTATAAGAAAATGAGTTAATTTTTAGTATTTGGTTTTAGTATTTGGTCCTTGTCGGTTTTATAAACCTCAGTGTTGTCTTGTTTAGATTTTCAAATCTGCCAGCTTCAATTCACATGGGGATGAAAAAGAGCTATTTTTAAATGTATTACCCACTTTTCTAATGAGGTACACTACTTAAAAAGGACATGGAATTTCATATGCCGTCAAAATTTCAACAGGTTTGCTAATGCCCCACTGCAGACAAAACAATCAACCATGGCTTAATGTAATGTGTGAATACCTAAACAGCAGTTAAGCATTGTCCTAAAGCTAGGATTTGGGTTTGCAAATCATGGCTTGCCCTAAGTACTACATCTGCACAGATTAAATCGTGACCAAGACAGTTTTCCTGCCTCCCTATTTCAAGGCGACAAGTAGCTCAAGCTGTTCATTTCTTGAGCACACCCCTTCAAGGATGGGGATTACCTCAGCAAGGAAAACTACAGTTTTATTCTACTTTTAAACTCCTAACTGGGATTAAAGTAATAAACCACAGTTAGGTTTAGTTCAATGTTGAGCCTATGCTGAACCTAAAGGTGAGGAAATTCCATAATGGCAGTGCCACCACTGACCATTGTTAAACTGGTTGTTCGCATCCATCTGTCTCGAGAGACAATGGAAGAGTCAGCCATCGGAGGTAAAGTCAAACCGTTGGAGAATTACAGTGCCTGCTGTGGCTGAAAAGACCTGTTTTATTGCGGCAGGGGCAGATGAAGGCGTCCATTGAATGTAAATTAACCCATTTTCCTAAAGCAAAATCCTTAACTTCCTCCTGTCTAGTATTTTTCTCGCATGGATTAATTTTGATCTAGACATCTTAAAGGCCACTAATTCTCAAACTAACAATCTCGTTTACTGAAACAAAATCTATAAATGACCCATTTGTTCTTAGGTACTATTTTCCAAAATGCTGTTGTAATTTAAAGTGGTTTGAGTTCATACACATACACATTTATTTTTTACTAAGAGCTGGCGCCCCCTCGCTAACTCTGAAGAGAATTCTGGATTTTAGCAGCCTACGGGTCTCCTCCTGAATTATGCCTTGGGCAGCAACGTGATCCTTCTTGTCTCATTACTGGACTTGCGGAACTAATATACGGTCAGAAGAAATATGAGCCACTGCAATTTCAAGAATGGGACCTTTTTAGCCAACCACTGAACAAATAGCAATTAAGCTGGCCCACAGACATGGTGGTATTATCCCACAGTACACAAAAGCAGCATATTCAGCCCCCGGGGAAACCCCAGTGCACTCAATTGGAAGATCATCCCGGTAATTAAGGAACTGCAAGTCTCACTGCCGCTTAGCCTTAAGAGAATAATGGCGGTTATGTTGGGCCCCCAAGTACATATGCGTGGGATATGAAGTGGAAGAGATCACTGGGACAACAATCAGCCAAACAAAATGCGCTTCAACCCAGTTTCGCATTGTAACATGTATGTGAAGGCACAGATTGTAATCCGATTGCAGAATGGGCCACTTGTTAAGCAAAGTAGAAGATTATCCCGTGCAGGCTGCCTGCACACATGGGATGCAGCCCACTGTTTCAAGCCTCCCATTAGACTTATGCAGAAAAGGTTTAGATTAGAGGTCACGGAGGAGTAAATGTATTACTTTAACATTTCCTAGTGATTTTAGGCTTATTAAGAGCCCTTCCTTTCCTACAGTCCAGATGGTAACAGGAGGGGGTCCTTTGCCCCTCAATATGCCCACAGCAGTTAAAAGGCCAAAACCAAAGTGAATTCTACCCCCACCGCCCTTAGTTTTAAAGGAAACACTTAAGGCTGCAAAAAAGAGCCAATATTATATCACGCGCTGCCATTAAGTACCCTTCCAAAGGTTGCTAAGTTTACTTTGAACCAGTCAAGGATTTCAGCTTTAAACAAAGCACACACTCTAACGTTTGGAGAGCATTTTAACAGCTCTATTAATTTAAATATATCTCCAGATTAGAAACATGCATCCGAAAATACATTGGCATGTTCTTCCACATAGCGCTGAATCCATCAAAACCCCAAACTGCCCCTGTGCCAGCTTAGCTGCATCTATTAAAAAGCCAGTCTGAAGAGAAGGTCTTACAAGCATGTCTAGTTCGGAGGATTTGCACAGCTGCAGGAAGCCACAAAATATGTAATGTGTTGTACTTTTTCTTCACAGGTGGCACATGCAGAGCACAGTCAAGAGGGAAATCTTATAAAGTTTTCAGAATTGCAACGACGGATGCACTTTTTTGAGTTAAACACAAGGCAACTGGCCTCAGCATTTAACTGCCTATAAACTACAGCCATTTAGCTGCTTCCAACCAGAGGTGTTTGGTTTTCGTTTTTTTAAAGTGAAGTAGCCACTGCAGTGTTACTTTAATAGTGGCATAGAAGGGCACTTGCATACATTCCCTCAAAGACCTGTTTACACTGATTCAGGATTATTGCAGAGTATGACAGAATGAACAACCACGTAACTCTCAAAGTTGGTGTTTGTAATCAAACTGGCCCTATAAAAAGCATGCTCAAAAAGGTTCAAAAAACACACTGTTATCTCAAGGAGCATGCCGTCCCAAAATGGCTGAGCTCATTCATTCAAGAAGCTAGCTCCATTTTGTGGCATAAAAACTAAACTGGTCTAATTTTGAAAAACCAGAAGGCACAATATAACAGAACAATGGGGATTCAGTTCTGTTTTCTGGGCCTAATTTTTTTGTTACTGTAAAGCTATGCATCTAATTATGTGAAATGAAGAAAATATCTCCCTACTCTTCTCATTATGGGGAGGAGATGCTTCCTTTAGGCTGGCCCACAAAACAACTGGAGACTCTAAAGTGAGAATGCTGGTACAAGGAAATGAGCCTGGATTTCTTAATTGTAACCTTTCAGTTGAAATACCACGGGGCAGATTTAAAACAGCACAATGCTTAAGGACACAGGCTGTACATTGTTCAATCTTATGTTCCAAGAATAAATCCCAAAACTTGTTGAATGTCTTTATTTCTTAGGAAGCCAGAAAAGTCATACTTTACAGATGCTTGACCTTTATTTTTGCCTTCCCTTGGGGCATCAGAAATTGCCATGACAGTATACTGGGAGGGGCAGATTTGTGCTAACAGGCCAAGAGGCCTGCACCCCCCCTCTCCTGAGATTAGTGGATGGACTTGGATCCACACTCTGGCTGCTGATGAGACAATATCTGAGGTACACCCACCCAAGGAGGATGCAAATGCAGACGAGCTAAAAGAAAACTCTTAAAAGCAGATCAGGATGGATTTGATATATACAATGAAGTGGCATAAAACTGCCTACAATAAAAGGATAGCAAAGCACCATATAATTATTATTACATATCCAAGTACCTCTGAAAAAAGCCCTTGCTTGCCCCCCTTGCTTGCAACACCCTAATTTGGATTTAGGGGTGGGGGTGGTAATGGGAGGTGAGGCTATATAGCACTGGAAAACTGTCTGTGTGCAGGCAGAACGGGCTTCTGCTCATATAAATGGGATTCACCTTCCTCTCCTCCCTCCTGCAGACCCATGCAGCCTCAAAATCTGGAATAGATTTTTGGGCACATGAGGAGGGGGGAATGGAGAGAGGAGGAAAGTAAGGCAACGTCCCATTGGATACTTCTCAGATTCTGCACCCAGACTGTTGCACGGACCACCATGGACATAGCACAAGGGAGAGAAAGGCCAATTGAGCAGATATCAACTGAGACTCTATTGCAATCAAAACTAGCACCTTGAACACCCACAAGACCCCAGAGCACAGTGCTTTGAGCCAGGAGCTGAAAGCACAGCATTGGGACTGCTCCAAAATCTCTGAATCTCCAGATCTAAAAGTCAACCAATAATAGCCACTGTGGATGAGAAACAACACAAACAAAAGGGAATTTCACAGGGGCACATACACACAAATTAAAAGGAAGCACCACCTCGTGAGATATTCGCCGTTGTTCAATATATGCCATGAACTGTGAGCTGAGGCTGTCTGACTCCATGCACTTGGATTGCCTCACCTCTTCCTCCTCCTCTTCGGTGACACAACTGTCAATAAAGTCGATCTGATCCAGATCATGTTCCACTTGGCATATACAAAGAGAAGGACCGTAATTAGATAAGCAGCTGGGGGAAGGGGGAGGCACAGAGAGAGTTAACAGGAGTTGGACTGCAGCAGCTCCATCAGGTCTGACCATATTTATTCAAGAAATCTCTTGCTGCAGAGTGGCTCATACAATCAGCGAGCAAACTATAGATCAAGCTATTATAAAAACTGCTGATTGGGAGGAGATTTCCAACTAATATTAAACAAAGAGCCATTTCATACTTTAGAATGCATTATAGACAAAGAAAAATCCCACCATGCTAGGGTTTTATTGCTCACTAATGTAACCAGAAATGAATAGTTTACAGCAATTCACTTACGTAACACACATTAAATTGAAAAACTCTTTTCCACCTGCACTTTGGCTTACTTGCCAAGAATGATCTATTAGTGGTGAGTAGCAATATTAGTCTCTCAAGACTATAGAACCGTAGAATTGTAGAGTTGGAAGGAATGCAAAGGGTCAGCTAGTCCAACTCCCTACAATGCAGGAAACTCAACTAAAGCATTCACTAGAGATGGCCATCCAACCTTTGCTTAAAAACCTCAAAGGAAGGAGCGTCCACCACCTCTCAAGGGAGTCCGCCCCACTGCTGAAGATGCTCTTACCATCAGAAAGTTCTTCCTGATGTTTAGTTGGAATCTCCTTCATTGTAACTTGAATCCACTGGTTCGGGTCCCAGCTTCCTAGCTTGATTCCTATATCTCCTCTCAGTATCCTCTTTTAGGCTAAATACACCCAACTCCCTCAACCATTCCTCATAAGGTTTGGTTTCCAGACCCTTGATCATCTTGGTTGCCCTCCTCTGCACACCTTCCAGCTTGTCAACACCCTTCTTAAATTGTGGCACCCAGAACTAAACACAGTACTCCAGGTATGGTCTGACCAAGGCAGAATAGAGTGGTAGTATTACTTCCCTTTACCTGCACACTATACTTCTGTAGATGCAGCCTAGAACAGTGTTAGCTTTTTTTTGCTGCTGCATCACACTGTTGACTCATGTTAAGCTTGTGGTCTACTAAGACCCCTAAATCCTTTTCATATGTACTACTGGCAAACCAGGTGTCCCCCATCTTATATTTGTGCAGTTAGTTTTTCCTGCCTAAGTGCAGAACCTCACATTTGTCCCTGTTGAAATTCATTTTGCTAGTTTGGGCCAAGTTCTCCAATCTGTTAAGGTCATCTTGCATCCCAATTCTATCTAATGTTGTATTTTGCAAACACAAGTTGCTTAGACTTTTGATATCCATATCCAAAGAAGTGCTTTAAGTTACGGATATTTCTGGGTTCTAATCAATATGCGAACTCAGAAACCTCTGAAGCACCTTTGTGAATTGGTAAGTGAGACATGCACATTAACATGCAAAGCAATACTGTTCTGACCAACTTGAATCTGTAAAATGACATGTTAGAACAGCTTTTGGTTTGTTAGATTATTCTGCAAACACCAAAAATGATGCTTGCACTCAAGCCTGAAATTATATTTTATTTTGGCTACCTTCACATATAAAATGTGAAATTAAGAAAGCAGAAGGTTAAGAGGAAGGGATTGTAAAAGGAATAAAATGGGGGGAGGGACTCACACACATTCAGAAGTGTATGAAAGCTACAACAAGAGCATGACGCTCAGAAAGGTCTGCTCTCATTGATCCCTCCACTCATTATGTTAACTGGGGCATTTTTTATTCATCACTGCTTCTGTAAGCCCAATAAGGCTTTGCTATGTTGTTGTTGCAGCAGCAGCAAACCTTATGAAAATACTGCATAACCCAGCATCCAAAATCCCTCAAGGATTCTTGTTCCCAATGGCCTGTGGACTGAACTATTATCCTTTAGAATAGTGCAGATAAGAAGCAAATTACACAAGGAGCAAGTCAACAGGTTTTTAAATTATTTTTTAAAGGTGATATGCTGGAAGATAAATTCAAAGAGACCCAATTTCCCTCAGTTAAAGGTTACTGTTTCCTGGTCCTCAATCTTTTACAGCTTCTTGTGGTAGTGGAACTAAGTGTTATTTGGATTCTCTTCTCCTAGGAGCTACTGGAAGTCATTCCTTATCAGCATATGAAGGAGAAACTAAAATAAAAATTACTCCATCATCCTGGCTGCGTAAAAATGCCATTTGGCTCCTCCAGTTAAGCTGCATATAGAGCTTTTTAAGACAAAGGGGTAAAATAAAATAGGTCTGAAAAGATACTTCTTGGGCATAGATGATGCTCCACAAAGCGCACCAGAATCTTGCCATGCAACGTGGGAGCAACCAAATATGTACTGATGGCTTTTTTCTCAAATGAGTGCCATTTACCTCCACCGTTGGTGACAACCATGCTCCCTCGATGTTCCTGGTACTGACTCTCTCTTCTCAGTCTTTGTTCTTTTGTGATTTCTGCCACTCGCAGAGGAAGATCAGAAAATTCATCTGTAGGCTTCATTGAAAAAAGACACCGGACAATTAAGAAAACAGAGATTGTGAAATACGTCCACTTTTATCCAGCTTCCAAAAACAAGATCTGCAGCACTCCAATATAATGTTAGAAAGAGCTCCTCCTTCAAGTCACTCCAGTGATCTGAATCACATGTAGACAAAGTACACTTTTTGTGAGTTTGTATTGTTTTCAATTTAAAGAGTTTTGAAATGAAATGTGGAGCAAAGAGCAGTGCTTGCAAGTCCTTTCCTGCACCACCATTATCAGATTGAAAATAATCTCAGATGTGGAAATGGCACACTGGCCTCAATCCTTGGATGACTGCAGAATAAGCCATTGCAAAATTGCAGCCCTATGCATTTTAGCAATTGAGTCTTCCATGACTGTTCTGCCTGACTTTTTCCTTTTCACATATGCTACAATTATCCACCAAATAGAAACAAAACAAGTATACTTACTTCATTTCCTGACCACCTTTTGTCTCCGCTGTCCACACTATTGAAGCCAGAATCCAGTGCTCCATATGGTCGGCTGGAATATAGTTCTTCATGGCTGTCAAGCAGATAAAATGTTAGTTATTTTATTGCAAAAAGCAAACGAGATTTTTTGGGGGGGGAGAAGATTAGATACCAGACAGTACCGGGGGACATATTCAACCTGTTAGTCATACTGCATTTTTCCATACATAATGCGATCCAGCTAAAGAGGTCTTTTTCTTCCAGACTGAGAAATGTTCCTTTCTGCTAGCCAAATGTTTGGGCTGCTGATCAGTTGCCTTGGCCTGCAAAGCATTCAGCCACTACCAAAACAATTTTCAAGCACTGCAAAAGAGTACAACTTGCCATCTTGGCAAAAGTAGCTCCTCTAAAAACCAAGGTCTACCAGCCACTGGTGAACCTTTGCTGCTCCTTTACTGTGGCACATTTTCCCTGTCATCTTTGCCTAAACTTTAGTGTGCAGCCATGTTCTTCAGGCAGAAAACACAAGGGCCATGCCTATGGTCTGCACAGCACTCAGAACACAGGGGACAAAAAGATCAAAATAAGAGCAGCCCTTTAAAGGTCACTTTGGGCTTCATGGAAGACAAGAAAAAATGGGATTTAATTAAAATATATACATAGATACTAATTTGGGGTTAACTCTGGTGCTTCAGCTGAAAGGCTCCATCCAAGAAAAACAACTACATTTCAATGCACATTTCCCCCCCTCAAAAAAAAAATCTGTAACTCTGTAAGTGGTAAACTACAATGCCCAGAATTCTTTGAGGGGAAAATTGTGCTTCAATGTACAACATGTACACAGCCCTAGTTTGTGTTAGAGATGGGCTAGAATGTTGTATACCATCATTTTCAATAAATAATAAATAATATTTGTTTGTTTGTTTGTTTGTTTGTTTGTTTGTTTGTTTATACCCCGGCCATCTGGCTGTGCTTCCCCAGCCACTCCAGGTGGCTTCCAACAAAATATTAAAATACAGTAATGCATCAAACATTAAAAGTTTCCCTAAACAGGGCTGCCTTCAGATGTCTTCTAAAAGTCTGGTAGTTGTTGTTCTCTTTGACATTTGGTGGGAGGGCGTTCCACAGGGTGGGTGCCACTACCGAGAAGGCCCTCTGCCTGGTTCCCTGTAACTTGGCTTCTTGCAGTGAAGGAATCGCCTGAAGGCCCTCGGCACGTCAGTTTGAAAGCACGTCAAAGTGCAAGTAGATAAATAGGTACCACTCCGTAGGAAGGTAAACGGCGTTTCCGTGCGCTGCTCTGGTTCTCCAGAAGCGGCTTAGTCATACTGGCCACATGACCCGGAAGCTGTACGCCGGCTCCCTCAGCCAATAAAGCAAGATGAGCGCCGCAACCCCAGAGTCGTCCGCAACTGGACCTAACGGTCAGGGGTCCCTTTACCTTTAAGAGATGTCATTTACATAGTGAATAGTGGGGGGTTTGCCTAATGAGCCCCATCGGTGGAAACCCTCCACAAGGGCTCCTACCTGCAAAACAGGGCTTTCCCATGTCTCCTCCACCCATGTACCCTTGAAACTGACTGGGGGGGCTGTCAAATAGAACCCCCAGAACAGTGTGCAGAGAGGCAGGAAGATTATATCTGGCAGGCTGATATGCTTGTGCAGACAGAATGTCAGTAGTAGCGCAATACTGAATTATACCCAAAATGTCTGAACTCAATATGGTTTACAAAAACTGGAACATGGTTATACTCAAAATATTAAATAATGCATTTTTTAAAAGTTAACCATTATTAATTCATAAAATATTTTGAATGTGTTTCAAATCAGCCCCGAAGCAAGTTGAGGGAAGTTTTTATGCATTTAATTTATTGCCAGAAACAGGCATGACATCCATGGTACTAGGAACTCAGCAAGAGGATACAGAGCACAGAGTAAGCTATCTCTGCTCTAAATGTACATAGTGACCAGACAGTTCAATACTGCGGCCATCACAGACACAGTATATGGAAACTGCCACAGACAGCAGAGATGTAACAATGAGGCTTGCCTGGCCCACTGCAAATGGGCATTTAACAATGAATCAACTGTCCTACTGGCACTAGATGCCCCAGGGAAATCTGCAGCAAGACAGTAATAATGGGCAAATGGGAAGTTCAGCAAACGGACGGCTCCACCCAGGCATTGCTAATTGCTGATTAGGCTGCGGCTGGTTGTCACTTGCATTGAAAATCAGTTGCTTGGAATGCAACTTGTAATTATTAATTATGTGGCACCATGTGTGCAGAAGAGTCTCGGCTGTGAGAGAGCTGCAATCTAAGAGGGCAAAGCTCAACAACAGATGTTTACAGGAAGTGTGTTGCAAACATTAGGACTGCTGGCATTAAGTACGTCAAGCCAGACGGCAGCCAATGTGTCAGAAGCGGCAGGTTGCCATTAATACACCTACTGTGGCATGCCTCACTTCTTCTCTGCATGTATATGTAGTGTTAGAGAAGGTAGGCAACCTATGGCCTGGGGGCTGGATGTGGCCCAATTGCCTTCTCAATCCGGCCTGCTGCCTTTGCAAGCTCTGAGAACCAAAGAGCTGCTGCCCGTGCGGTCTGCGGTCCATGCTGCGCCCCCAAACGCAAGGCGAACTCTGCACGTGGCAATGCCGACCTGTTGCATCATGTGCATACAAATGTCAGGCCAGCAGCAAGTGGGGAAGAGCATGAAAAGTTTCTGGGCTAGGAAACTATGCCGTGGGATGGCTGTTGTCATAAATGTATTAAGAGCAGGAAGGTGGTAGAATCACTGGGGTTTTTAAAGTAGAGGTTGGATGACCATCTGTCATGGATGCTTTAGCTGAGATTCCTAATGCATTGCAGGGGGTTGGACTAGATCAGGGGTAGGCAACCTAAGGCCCGTGGGCCGGATCCGGCCCAATCGCCGTCTCAATCCGGCCCACGGACGGTCCGGGAATCAGCGTGTTTTTACATGGGTAGAATGTGTGCTTTTATTTAAAATGTATCTCTGGGTTATTGTGGGGCATAGGAATTCGTTCATTATTTTTTTCAAAATATAGTCCGGCCCACCACATGGTCTGAGGGATGGTGGACCGGCCCACAGCTGGAAAAGGTTGCTGACCCCTGTGTTAAGAGTATTCCTGATTAATGATGACAACAGAGCTGAGCCTCTGCAACTGTTACTAGTGTGATTATCCATGCAACTGTATTAAGTAGGATGTGGGTACTCTACAACTGCACCATGCAATTGCTGAAGAACATAGAATTCAACACTTGCATTTTAGAATACAGCAACTTCTGAGCAAAGGTCAGTCTGGGAGCAAGTGGGCAATACCAAGTCTCAAAAGCTGAAATTCTTGAGTGGGTGGACAGATGATGCACTGAACTAGATTTCAAGTAATCATGGGAGGTTATTCCGTGCCCTACATAATCCCTCCCCCTTTCCCAGGACTACCAAAAGAATAAAATATGCAAATATAAGCCAATTTGCTTAAGTGGCATAATGTATAGGGCCTTCTTGGTAGTTGTGCCCGCCCTGTGGAATGCCCTCCTGTCAGATGTCAAAGAGACAATCATATGACTTTTTGAAAACATCTGAAGGCAGCCCTGTTTTGGGAACCTTTTAATGTTTGATGTTTTGGTGTGTTCCTTTATATTTTGTTGGAAGCCACCCAGAGTAGCTGGGACAACCCAATCAGATGGGTGGGGTACAAGAAATAAATTAACAACAACAACAACAACAACAACAGAAAAACTCAACTACACTTTTATTGCCTTTTCAGCACAGGGAATTCATTGCTCTTCATATGTAGGCTAGACCATGGAGTTTTTTGGAGATTTTAATAAACAACTTGCTTAGACCTACTCCAGGTTTTTTTCATTGCTATTCTTTTTACTGCCCCGACATTGGATATCCTAATTGTTTTATGGGCAGGATTATTATTATTATTATTATTAATCCTAGCTGGGGCAGAGGGCAGCTTGTTCTCAGTCACAGGAAGCCTTGCACTAAAAACCAGAAACAGAGGCTGCCACAAGCACAGCTGCTGTAGGGCTGAGTTTCCTGCATTTTACTGTCTCGGGGCCAAGAAATTCACCTTAGGGGCAGCCAGAATTTTTGTAGCAGCCAGTGCTGCACACTCATCTTGCCACCATCTCCTGCTCCTCCCTTTGATTTATCTGCTGCTGCTCTGCCTGGCCTGACTAGCAAGGCTGCACCAGGCAGGAAGAGGAAGCACTACACAGATGTTGCCAAATACATCTGCCTGTCTCACTCACTCAGCTCTCCTGCTGAGATTGCCCTTTCTAGAGCGTAAGGTCACAGTTTCCACTTCCATGGCACAGGGCATTCTGCTGCCCCTTCTCCCTTTCACTGCTGCACCGTTCAGCAAGGGGTGGATAATTCCCCTGGGAAAACCTACTGGCAATTTTGATGTACAGTGGTACCTCGGGTTAAGTACTTAATTCATTCTGGAGGTCCGTTCTTAACCTGAAACTGTTCTTAATCTGAAGCACCGCTTTAGCTAATGGGGCCTCCTGCTGCTGCCGTGCCGCCAGAGCACGATTTCTGTTCTTATCCTGAAGCAAAGTTCTTAACCTGAAGCACTATTTCTGGATTAGTGGAGTCTGTAACCTGAAGCGTATGTAACCCGAGGTACCACTGTATATTAATATACTCACCCCCACCCCTTTTCTCTCTCTGTCTCTGTCTCTCTCTCACTCTCTCTCTGTGTCTCTCTCTCTCTCTCTCTCTCTCTCTGTCTCTGTCTCTCATTCACACACACACACACACACACACACACACACACACACAGGCTTTAACATTAAAAACCGAGACTCTGAAAAAACAAACGGAATACCCAAAAATGCCCACACTGGCTGTGTAATGAAACGTATTTTTGGATGCAGGGACCAGACTAGAGAAGGAACTCTCTGGCTGGCTGCTCAAGTTCCCCTTTTCACTGAGACCCGGCCACAGCCAGACTAGCCTGCTTCTTATTTATGCATTTATGGTTCTCCAACTTGTGTTTCATTGACTTCCGTGCCCTGCCTTAAACTGTCTGTGGTTCAGCGTGCTCACTGCTCTCTCTCCTTCCTCCAGGGCCTTGCTTCATCGACTTGCATTACTCAGTACTGCATGATATAAACACAAGCTGCATTCCTAGCCCCCATCACCTTAATTTAGCAACTCATGATGCGGCTGACCGCTCAGAGATGAATGTTGCCCGGCTAAGCCAAAAGGAGACTCTGCCAAGAGCAACACAGCTTTATCATGGGAAAGGAGATCAACACTTACACCTGTGGTTAGACCAGAGATCTTATACAACCATGCACAGAAGGTTAAACATACAGCACAATGAGATTTCTCTGCCCCCACAACAAAGCCAGCTAACATCTTAATACAGAAAAGTAAAAATTATCCACAAAGATTCTTTTAAGAAACAGTGAATCTGAAATCTGTGCGCACTTACCAAGAACCAAACCCCATTGGCCGCCTGTCGTAATCTGGAAGATCTGGCGCTACTTTGCATGCTTCCATATTCAGATACTTAAATATGTGGACTTTTCCTTTTATGCATATCTTTTTTAAAAAAGGGGGTGGGAAAACCATCATGAATATTTGGAAATGATACACAAACAATTGCTATCTATTGCAACTAATGTATTATATATTAGATTTCTTTATATTAAAAAAAAAATTTAAACACCGAACAAATTGCCAGTCCAAAAGATTGTTTACAAACCACAATTAAGCTGAGTACTCTAGAGGAAAAACAGGGTAACAGTATAATAGATATTGTAGCCAGCCATACTCAGAGTAAACCCTTTGAAGTTTATGCACACAATAACCTCAAGTGCTCATGTGAAAAGATCTGCATTGGCCAGATCATAAGAGCTTTGAAAAGCGGCATAGGAGAGAAAACACAGTGGGTCATTGAGATGATCCATCAGCATGATGTCAGGTTGTTCTTAAAGAGGGAGCTGTATTGGATCCTTGCCCTGCGCAGACAAATCCCAAAAGGGCTCAATGAGAAAATGGATTTCCTCTCTTTGATGTGAATGCACTCGCAGGAGTTCCCTTTCGTTGTTCTCTGTTTTGTTTCGCCATCTGTTTCCAGATTCTTTATTCTACCTCTTCATGTATGTTCAGGATCTTTTATGCTAGCAAGGGGTTAAAGTTCTCTTTCCATTTCATTTGACTAGGCTTTAACAGTTCATCTGGTGAAAGATGATTTCCCCCTTCCAATTCTGCTCTATTTGGCAGCACATGTCTCCACAGGCAATTGGTTCAAGTGGATATAAAAAGTTTCATTTTGGATCCTTCGTGCAACAGGAGTTAATATCCCCCGAGTGAAAGAATTTCTGCTTAAAATGGTCATTTTATCTATGTTGGTTATCATGATAATTCTGAATTCTTACAGAGAACTTTAGGTTATATATTTTTTATCATTGCTATTTATTATTATTCAGGCTTTGAAAGGGTGTATTTGGGGGGGATTATCTTTTATTTAGGAATATATTTTTAATCTGGTTGTTAGATTAACATACATGCCATTATATTTTAATGTTTGCGGTAAACATTACCAAAAGAAAATTGTTCATTTTTATTTGGCTACCGTGAGCTTATGATGATACATTCTCTAATAGTCTACATTCATTATTTGTATTTTATTATAATTTTTAGAAAATTCTGTATCTGTTATTCCTTATTCTATTTATGCTGTGTCCTTGAATGAATTTTCCAAAATGCCTATTGCCCTTATAATCAAACTACATTTTTGCACCTCGAGTTCTTCTTCCTATTTATTAGATCGCTCAACAAACCACGAGCAATAAGCCAAGAACAAAGCCTGGCTGTAGCTCGTGGCTTGTTTGAAGAGCAGCAAACCACCGGTGCTGGTTTGCATGTAATAGAAAGCCAGCCCTTGGTTTGTTTCCTACCTGGCATTGCCACAAGAGCCAGGGAAGGGTGAAACTGGGAACGTCTGTGCAATGTACGCCAACATGCTCACTCAATTCACATTAAACCAGATATAAAAATTAATTTTGGTTGAATGTTGCATATGAGCTAGGTCAATGTTGGTTTTAACAACAAGACTTTCCCTCCTTCAGATGACTGCAGCATCAAGCTCCGGCAGGCTTCTCTTGGGGAGGTGTTTTGGGGAAGTTTTTTTTTTTTAATTCTGTTCTTGCAATTAAGAGTTGGGGCAGGATTTGACTGCCTTCACTATGAGAACTAAAATAATCAGCTGTTACCACTGTTGCCCAAGGATTTGAAATGCCGCCCTCAGTGAGTGAGGTAAGGAACTGTAAAGGTCTTCTGGAAATTATGCAAGAACCTTTTAGTACACACACAGCACACACGCTAGGGTGCCGAGGTCTGTGGCTCACAATGTAATGATGTTCCCAGGCCATTTATGGCTCCACACAATAAAACCAACACCTTTAAATACTTCCTGGAAGTTCATGGGCAGGCAGTGCAGCTGTTCTGGCATTGATTTTATAGCCTTCTTGTGACTTGCCTGCCTCCCCCATCCGAAGTTGGGCTAAACCATTCTGCAGTTATGAAGCTGTCTGCTTAGTATTTCTCCTCCAGCAAATGAATACAGTGGTACCTCAGGTTAAGTGCTTAATTCATTCCGGAGGTCCATTCTTAACCTGAAACTGTTCCTAACCTGAAGCACCACTTTAGCTAATGGGGCCTCCTGCTGCTGCCGCGCCGCCGGAGTACAATTTCTGTTCTCATCCTGAAGCAAAGTTCTTAACCCGAGGTACTATTTCTCGGTTAGCGGAGTCTGTAACCTGAAGCGTATGTAACCTAAGGTACCACTGTATATGAACACACGTCATATGAATTATATGTCCTCTCCTATGCAACTTAGTCCTATCTTTCCTAAGATCGCTAACTTTTTTGGCGTAAGCAATCATTTCTGGCCATCATTCTTACACTGAGGGTGCAGTGTGTATATACACATAAGCAGCTGTTTTTTTGTAGTGGTTTGCACACACTATCTACTGCACCATTATTTGCTTGTGCACTGTGCATCAGTCAGCACAGAGACAGCAAAATCTCAAGCAATGCATGCGAATGTCAGCTTCCCAACGCTAAGGTTTAAACAGCATGTGTAATTTGTTTCCAAGAATTTTTCATTTGCCAGAGTGAATTGTATCCTAAGACAAAGAGCACATCAAGGGCGGTCTTCTAGCAATCCTGACGCAAAAAGTAAAAGATTTCCTCCCATGGACTTCTTTGCTACTCTTAGAGAAAGTGTATTCTGGTTGAGAATAGTGTTCTAACATTAGATGATACATTACCTGTGCAGGGGGTGACTGCAGTGGGTTGTTATCTAGGGTGATTGTCTGTAAGTGCCTGAGGTTACGGTAACAAACCGGGATTGTTGTGATTTTATTGCAGGAGAAATCTAACCGAATCAAAGGCAACTCGGCAAGCTCTGTAGGAGAAAAGACACACACATGAAAAAACCTGCAGTCAATTAACTGCAGAAGAAGATGAGACATTCACGTGTAGCAAACAATTTGATTTTGGAAATAAGAGCGGTTGTAGACAACTTCTCCCCTGCATTTCTCACCTTCAGGTAAATGCACCAGGTGATTTCTTCTGAGGTTCAGGTCCCGTAGAGAATATAAACTGCCGATCTGTGATGGAACTGTCTGTATTTCATTACAGCTTACATCCTAGAAAATCATGAAGAGGAGTGAGCTGTGGTTTAATGATTTTAATGATGTGCACCATGATATAAACACCATTTCTGTAGTTCAAAGCTTTGTCTTGTAAATGAAAAGTCACGAGATTTAAGCCCATTGTACACATGCAGAATACCTCCTCTTTGGAGAGGATCAATAACTCATGATATACACAGCATCCTTTGAATGTACAATAGTTCAGTACCCAGCCTCTGAGCATCTAAGGTGCTGCTACCAGTTGGAAAAACAAGCCAGGTGACATAATAATAATAATATTTTTTACCCTGCCCATCCAGCTGTGCTTCCCCAGCCACTCTGGGCGGCTTCCAACAAAATATTAAAATACAGCAATGCATCAAACATTAAAAGCTTCCCTAAACAGGGCTGCCTTCCGATGTCATATCCAAATTACAGACGTCAGGAATGCATACATGTGTATTAAAAACAGCAAGAAGGAGGCTACCAAAATATGCTAATCATTTACTAGAGACATACTTCGGAAACAACAGAACGTACAGCCCAGAAATGCAAATCAGGAATATAGAAATAAATGCATAGTCCTGTAATATTAAAACATCAAAGCTAATAAGGAGTTTTGTAAAAATGCATTCCAAAACACCTGCCAATACAAAACTGTGAAAGATTAAATAATAAATGTCACTCAGATAGCTTGGTGAAATGGATGAGGAGAACCAAGCTGAGCTTGAAGCCTGGCAAGATGGAGGCACTGTGGGCAAGTAGCTCCCGTGTCAGTTGCCTACCCTGGGTGGGGTTGCACTCCCCCTGAAGGAGCAAGTTCGCAGTTTGGGGTGCTTCTGAATCCAGCTGTGCCATTGGAGGCTCGGGCAGCCTCAGCGGCTAGAAGTGCCTTTGACCAACTCCAGATGGTTTGACAGCTGTGGCCATTCTAGGGCCAGGAAAGCCTGGCTGTAGCAGTTCATGTGTTGGTCCCGTCAAGAATGGATTGCTGCAATGCGCTCTACGTGGGGCTTCCCTCACACAGCGCAGAATGCTGCAACACAACTGCTGACACGAGTGAGGCCTTGTCAGCATGTAACACCAGACCTCAGAGGTCTGCACTGGTTGCCGATTTGCCACCAGGCTAAGTTCAAGGTGTTACTCCTAGTATACAACTTGGAATTGTATACTCCTAGTATACTCCTACTAGTATACTCCTAGTATACAACTAGTATACAACTCCCTTAACAACTTGGAACCAGTTTATCTGTTTATCTACAAGATTGCCTTTCCCTACATGTGCCCACTCGTCCGCTTCCATCGGCATAACTGGCCCTGCTACAGGTGCCACATAATACCCATTTGTAAGAACTCAATTGTTCAGTGTGGCAGCACCTGCACTTTGGAACTCCCTGCCTATTGAGATCAAGCAAGCACCTTCACTGTACTCTTTTCGGTGCCTGCTAAAAACATCATTGTTTAGACAACCTACCCGGATGCTTAGAAAATTGAGTTAATTTTAATCTGTTTCAGTAGTTCAACTTTTAATTGTGAATTTTTCTCAAATTTATTGTTTTAATATTTTTGTAAACCGCTTTTAGGATTTTTACAATCAAGCGGTGTATAAAAATCACTTGTGGCTCTCAATGTGTCAACATCTCATTGTTTAAACAAATTCAACACTCTTTAGCAGCTCACCATAAAGCTAAACGAAAACCACAAGAATTTGGCACCTATCCTACTCATTTCTAGGAAGGTTGAAGAAAGCATGTCAAGCTTTAAAAACAGAGCACAAAAATAGCATTCACCCTGCTCCGTTTGCAGTCATGACTATCATGTTAAAATGTGTGTTTGGATAACCTTCAAGATGTATCAGGATGTTTATACTGGAATTCTTATCCTGATTACTCAACATATGTTTAGTAGAGTGTGGCAATCCCTGGATATCCCTGATTCACACCTAACAATCAGTTTGGGGGGAAAGCTGATGTTTCCTCGATAAAAGATTGACAATTAAGGATTTAAATAAACTTACAAGCTCCATCAGGTGTCTTAGCTGCCCAATTTCTTCAGGTAGTGAGACGAGCTTATTATTGCTTGCTATCAAAACTTTCAAAGGCAGGCTGCACAAGTGAACTGGCAACGTTGAAAGCTGATTCCGGCTTTTCAACAAGACGAGGAAAAACACACACACACACAGAAACAAACACAAAAAGGCAAGTAGAACATTAGATGAAACATATAACCAGTTCATGGGCAGCGTGAGAAAATCAAAATGCACTGTTATCAGAATATAAGAACAAGGCAGTTTGGGCACATTAATCAACAGCTGGGATCTCCTGCTATATCCACAGGGTCAAATGACTATGAAGAAAAATCATGGCTGTACAGGATCCAATTCTGACAAGCTGAGCTTAATTCTGGGGTTGAAATTAAAAGGAAATACTAGAAGAACTTCCAGTGTATGCACCAAGCTGTGATTCAGAGAATTGCAGAGTCCTGTTTTATATGCATTAAACAGTTTATTGCTTTTCACATTTGCTTGCTATGCCAGAAGACAGAAACACCCACAAGCTGTTTGAAGTCCCATACTTATGGGACCAAGTTGTCGAAACTAGCCTCCCTGAATAAAGAAAACCACCATCACATCACCTGAGACTTATTTCACCATCGGCTCTTCTTCCTTGACAGACCCCTGCTAACCAAGAATCAATCCCAATTCCATACAGCTCAGTTATCACGATAAAAACAGCTATCATACAGTTAAAATGCTTCAGTCTTCTGTCAATGCCATTCAACGAAAGATTAAGAGGAACAAAAGCATTGGAAAAAGCCTAGAGCAATACTTGTTTCCTTTGCTGATTTCCATCTGATGTCCAGACTACCTTATGGCAGAGGTTAGGGAATGGGAAAAGGTAGTTTGTGTGAAAGTAAAAAGGGGGGGAAGTTAAGTCCTAGCCATATTTTCTGGGTAACTTTTCCTGAAATGTATGGAGGGAATCTGATTGGCCTCCATGCAGAGAAAAAAGTTAGTGATGTTCCTTAATTCCTTGATTTTAGAAAGGAAAAATGGAAAGCTTTATATTGGAAAGAGGCTCAGATGGCCAGAAAGGCAGTCACCTGCATCTTCTTGTTCAAGCTGTGGTATGTGAATCTGCTTTGAATATTAATGACCATCTCTTCATGTTACATAGTTAACCTTAAGAAATAACTTTAGACTGGCATAACCAGTTTATAATGGTTGGTGCTTTACTGTGCTTTTAAATACTTTGTTCAGAGCTGCCCAGAGTGGCTGGGACAACCTAGTCGATAAAATTATTATTATGACTTTAAAAGTCAGGGAAAACCAGCAGCTGACAGGAATCGAGGAATCCACAGTTTAGAAATCTGAAGTCTGGAATCAATGGCTCTCCATCCATAGGTTGCAATATTGCCTCGGGTCATCCACGGATCAGAAGACAGCTGTTACACATTTTATTAATTATGAAGAAAAAGCTTATGTAGCATGGGGAAAGGATTTATATGGCGTTGCTGGATGTAAATTGGTGGGAACTGGCTAATATTTGCCTCATCTTCCTCCTTTGAGATAAGTCATCTGGGTAACCAAGTGCATCTGTACTATCTAAGATCTCAGTCTTTATGCCTGTCTGGGTAAAGGAGGGAACCATGTGGTTAAAACTGGCAGCCTGAGGATCTTATACAGTGAAGCATCTAAAAAGGAAACCACAGTCAACTGCAGCTGGACTTTCTAGCATTAATTTAACTTGACCCTAAATCCCACATAAAGGAGCACGCCCAACAGTGAAACAGAAGAAAACACAAGTACAAAGCAAACTATAAACAGTTCAAGAGAGATGTACAACCCACATGTAAACTCTGCAATGGAGCAACGGAATGGCTTGTACCGGAAAACTGTGTTCAAATTCAGGTACGTTGTCATGAAAGGAAAAATAGTAACCAAGTGAATCAGGCACGATGAAGTAGGTTAACCATACTGTGTTTGCAAACAGTAATTACAATGAGCAGATGCAAGTGGAAGGCTGGTGATTACAGCTCTCGATCTCAAGTGCTGGAAAAAGAAACACTGGCCTTGAAGGTTTGTTCTTTTCAACAGAAGAAGATAGTCCTGCAGTGGGTTGCTCCTCCCGGCTGCTGAAGGCAAAGCAGTACAAATGGCGTTTGTGCCTTCTGGTGGGAGAAGATTCCTCAGTTTTGGAATGTTCGGCAGCAAAGAATTCTAATATGCTACAAACCTCAAATCTCATGAGGAGTGCAATGCTAAACAGCACTACAATGTGGAGACTTCCATGAAACACAAGTGCCTCACAGAATCAGGAAAAATGGACAATATAGAGGGCCACTCCAAGGGCTTCAACTATCACTGATTAAAACTATTGTTCTTTTTTGAAGAAGAGGAAAAAGAAGAAGATTTTTATTAGTTAGTTTACAAAAATACGTGCATTGTCTCTTTTTCAGGTTGTGTTTTCTACAGATCAGTTTAATTTGTCGTGAGACATTAGTGTTGCATGCAGTATAAGGTTGGGAAGAAAAGAGGGGGGAAGAGGGGAAGGGCGGGGAGGGAGCCTGGGGTGGGGTGGTAATCTTCTATTCTTCTAATTAGTGTATGTGTGGTGTTTTGTGTCAGCGTCACTTGCGTGGGTTCTCTTTCTATTTTTTTTTTTTAATGATATTTATTGAGGTTTCAAAGAAGAAAAAATACATAAATAAAAAGAAAAGAAAAAAACCAGAAATAAGAATAAAAGAAAAATACAAAATACAAAAAAAGATAAAAAACACTTAATAAAAAATACATCAATCTTTCCACCTTACATTCATTTCCTTGCTTCCCTGACCTCCTCACACCTCCCTTTTTTGTATTCCAATTCAGTTAGTTAATTCAGCAATTTCTTTCCCTCTTTGTTTTTATCTTAATCCTTTAACTTAATACATTATAAGTTTGGATTCTCAACTGTTAATAATCCATTTTTACATACACCTTTATAACATTGCTGCTTAAACCACTTAACTTCATTCTGACATCATTCTAACATTCATTAATTTTGCAATATTTCTGTAAATAATCTTTAAATTTCTTCCAATCTTCTTCCACCGACTCTTCTCCCTGGTCTCGGATTCTGCCAGTCATTTCCGCCGCGTGGGTTCTCTTTCTATTCGCTTGTTGTATTTCCTTGGTGAGAGAGGTTGGGGCTGGTCTGGTTGGTTGTCTTTGTCATTTGTCTTAAGATTTAAGTAAGACCCCAAAACTCCAAAGTTGTTGAGCTTTCTTTTACAAAAACACCAAAAAACCCACAATTTTTCAATCGCCTAAGATCCAAAACAAAGCACCGCCTTTCAGAAATTCCCCCCAGACGTATGGCAATCTTAAGGTTAGACAGATTGATTCGTATGCTGTTGGTGGGTTCTTGTTGGATTTTGGGACATTCCCACTACATGGGAGGTATGTGCCTGTGGATTTTGGTCAGGCTCCTGGGCGAATCAGTGCTAGTTTCTGTGATGTTATGTACCATCTGTGAGTTTCAGGGTGAGTTCTTTTCTTCTAGCTGAGATGGATTTAAAGGGAGGTTTAGACCACATTCTAGTCCATTGGATAGGGTTAATTTCATGGCTTATGTCGTCCTCCCATTGTTTTTTGATTATGTCGAGGGGGCTTGTGGGATTTTGGAGTAGTACAGTGGTACCTCGTGTTGCATAACCTCCAGGTTACAGAATCTTTGGGTTATGGCCGCAGCAAACCCAGAAGTGTATACTTCTGGGTTTCGCTGCTCGCACATGCGCAGAAGCACTCTGTGCACCGTGCGCATGCACAGAAGCGCTCTATCGCACCACGTGCGTGCGCATAAGTGGCGCCGAATTAAATCCGTAACCAGAGGTACCGCTGTATCTCCTCTTCTTCTTTAAACAGTAAGGACTTAGAAGCAGGATGGGTGGGGCAGGATACCTTCCTTCCAAAAGAAAATCAACCCTCAGTTCAATGTTTCTTTCCTTTCAGTGGATCACACTGTTGACAAGCAGTTGCTCCACTCTGTGTGGCTTCTAAATACTTTAGTTTGCCTAGAGAGAAGGGTGGTTATTTTTAATGCATGGAGCCTAAGCTTTGTACTGAAAAATCCTCTCCTCAAGCAGCATAGACTGTCCAACATAAATTGGCAGCACATAATAAATATTTTAAAATGCACAACAATGGGAAGTTATCCTCTGACTCACATCCTTTGAATAAAAAAAAGACTCACTGTAAAAAAATTAAGGAAACTAGGCAAAACTGAATTGGCTAGAGGATAGTGCCAAAGCAAACTCTATTACTTATTTTTACACTCTTTTATTTATTTACTAGTTCAATCTGTATCCTGCCTTTCCAAACAGTGCTCAAAGCAGCTAACAGTGGTCCGAGAGAGAATAAAATATACAAGGTAACAACAGAATATATCACTGCCTATCAATAAATCCAATAAAAACAACAATCAACCAGAATGCAACTTATTTACAAAGGGTACAAGGTCAGCTTATAAAACCTAAAGTGTGCCTGAATAAAAATATCTCTATCTCTGTACAAACATCTTAAAGCACTTTTCTTGATTTAACACAAAGGACACAATGAATAAGATAGCCTATTACTATCAAGTCAGCAGAAATTCAAGTTTTTACTACCATACGCTTGAATATTTCATGCTAAGCAGCTTTTACTACAAATAATGTGGCCTTAAAAATCAGAGGACCCTCCGGTAAAAGGTAAAGGACCCCTGGACGGTTAAGTCCAGTCAAAGGCAACTATGGGGTTGCGGTGCTCATCTCGCTTTCAGGCCGAGGGAGCCAGTGTTTGTCCATAGACAGCTTTCTGGGTCATGTGGCCAGCAGGACTAAACTGCTTCTGGGGCAACGGAACACCGTGACGGAAACCAGAGCACATAGAAACACCATTTACCTTCCCGCCACAGCGGTACCTATTTATCTACTTGCAGTGGCACGCTTTCGAACTGAGTACAAGGAGATGCTGTCAGAACAGGAAACCCAGAGACTCCCAACATGCACGCAGAATTCTTTGAATCACAGCCAGTGTTTTTATTCAAGTCTGGCCCCAGCACTGAATGGTAGAAATGTGAAGAATAGCTTGCTTTCCCCACAGACGCTTTCCCCTGCACTGCGTCCCTTTGGCTTGAGCTTTTCAAGAGTTGCATAATGTTGGGCGCTGCTACTTTTACATCACGGTTACCTGATATTCAGGAACGTTAAGGACTGCAGGTTCAGAATGGCTTCTGGAATATAGCGAATGCAATTCTGGTACAAATTAAGGCTCTCAAGGGAAACAAAGAGACAAGTTTCTGCTGGCAGCTCCGAGAGTCTGTTCCGAGATAAATCTGAAACAGAAACAATACATAACATGAGACTGAATGAATCAGGGAAAAAAGCAGGTGACCATTATCTGTAAATGTAGGACATGTGGATATAGGATGATAATAATAATAAATTTTATTTATACCCCACCCTCCCCAGCCAAGGCCGGGCTCAGGGCAGCTAACAACCAATAATAAAAACGAGTTGAATGAATACAACTTGAAAACAAGATTAAAATACAACATTAAAACATTAAAACAATTAAAATGCAGGATATGGATTCTAGTCCACGAAAGCTTACGTCCTAATAAATTTGCTATACTTTTATGGTGCCATCAGGCTCATGGTTTTGATGCAATAGACTGCCACTGATTGACAGACTAACACGGCCAACCCTTCTGGAAATTATTAGCTATGTGTGGCTCAAAATAAGTTATTCTGTAAATAGCAGCTAAAAGGGACAATAAAAGGAAAAGGTTTCTCTAGCGGTGCCACTTGCCAAGCTCTTTTGAAGTCAAGCAAGCTCAACTCCTTTCCCCAGAACTATCAGATTTTGCAATCGCAGTGACCAGTTTTAAAAAAACAATTGCCAAGCCAAAACAATTACAAATGAAATCTGTTTTTGTGAATGGGGGTTTAGGAAGAGGAATCTGAGAGCAGTAGTGGAAAACAACAAAAAACAACAGTGCAGCACCTTGTGCATGTACAGCCTCCACACACACCTTTTGCAGCTGCCCATTTTCTTCCCTGAAGTCTCTACCTTCAATAAAGTGAGCTCAGAGATGGAAATTCCCTGCCTTCCCGGGAAGTTTGGTGGGAGGAGGAGACTGTGCAGGTCTCTGTGCAGGTTCTTCACCGTGCCTCAAACATTTGGGATGTTTTAACGTAAAAAAAAAAAAAAATCAACGACCAAGTTTTACGCAGCATATAATTTTCTATAAAATGAAAGAAGGGCGCTCAAATGAAAATCACACTGGTGCTGATTTGGGAATGAGTGTAACTGCTCTTCTGGACTGGCATTCAGGAATCAGAATTACCGTATTTTTCGCCCCATGGGGTGCACCGGCCCATAGGGCACACCCCAGGCTTCAGGATGCAGGCAGCTCTCCGCAAGCCGTGGGAGAGCTGCGCAACTTCGCGCCGGGCTCCCACGGCTTGCGGATAGCTTCCTGAAGCCTGGAGAGCAAGAGCGGTCGGTGTGCACCGACCCCTCTCGCTCTCCAGGCTTCAGCGAAAGCCTGCATTCGCCCCATAGGACGCACACACATTTCCCCTTCATTTTTGGAGGGGAAAAGGTGCGTCCTATAGGGCAAAAAATACGGTACTTGTTTCCACAAGTCTACAGGAAAACTTAAGCCTTACTGGGGAAAAATGGGGCGGCAGTATCCATGGAGGGAATATCATATGGGTAAAAGAAAAGAAGAAAATGTCTCTAGCCAACTGTCTGTGTTAAAAAAACAACAACCCCAAAAACCTTTAATATACTATATATACACAAATATTTAATGAATTAATCCCAAACTAGACTGATTTGATGCAGTCACCTTTAAAAAACAATTCAACTGCATTTGCTGCATTTCTACAAAAACATCCTAATTTTATGAGGAAATCTGTGAAGTACATGCATTAGATTTGTGGAGCTCAATTCCTCTTTCGTCCCTTGCTACCTCCGCCCCCACCTTTTTGCTATGCTACCTACCCATTTTCTTGTTTTAAATTATAACCCTTTTGCAGACATGGACCTGCCCTCCCCCCCCCCCCACTTCTGAAACTCTTTAAAGCACTGTGGATCCTTATTCTTGTGGTATTAAATAATTAAACCTGCCCGATGCTTCAGCCCTTGTCCCTCATCCATGTCCCAGATCTGTTCACCAGGTTAATGTGTCCAAGGGTGCGCTGAATTCCTTTCTCCCTAACATCAGCCTTAAATACTGCATGGGGAAATCATTTTAAAAAGTAGAGCAATGGCAAAGGTGTTTGAAGTATGTTACAGAGTTTTTTAAAAAACCAACACTGGAGGAGTAAGAGAAGGCTTCCTCAAACTCAGCTCTCCAGATATTTTGAGACTACAATTCCCATCATCCTTGACCACTGGTCCTGCTAGATAGGGATCATGGGAGCTGTAGGCCAAAAAATATCTGGGGGGCCGAGTTTGAGGAAGCCTGCTCTTACTCCTCCAGTAAGCCTACAAAGCAGCTTTTGCTTGGATTCTGCAACAAAAACCCAATCACACCGGCCACTGATCTTGGGAACTTGATATGGCAGGCCAGTGAAACGGAATTAAATATTTTCCCCACTCTGTGTCTCTGTGTGTATCTATATCTATAATAGAAGGGGACGACAGAGGACGAGATGGTTGGACAGTGTTCTCGAAGCTATGAACATGAGTTTGACCAAACTGCGGGAGGCAGTGGAAGACAGGAGTGCCTGGCGGGCTCTGGTCCAGGGGGTCACGAAGAATCGGACACGACTAAACAACAACATATCTGAAAGATTGCTATACTGTCCATCAGAAACGGTTTATGTAACTTACGGTAATTGTTTTAATGCTTCAGTTTATTATGTTTTTCCATTACCTTGTTTTTGCATGTAACATAATTAACAACATCATAAAATCCCTTAAACCATCAGCCTCTTAACAAATCTCAGGCTCAATCAGGGAAGCATTTGATGTGACTGCATGTTTTCCTCTTCAAGCACTTAAATAAGGTTTGTAATAAATACTGCTAGTTCCATGCTTGGAGGATTTCCTGAAACAGGAGGGCAGGATGATCTCATGCCTTCCTCCTTGCAGACTACGGCAGGAGCATTTTTTGAACTTGGTTTATTTTAAAATTGCAACAACAACCCCTGTGAAACAATACCATCTCTCCTGCCCACAAGGCATGGCTTAAGAAGGAGTTTTCAACTCTCTTCATTCCTAGCTTGTCTGCATTCACAGTTGTAGGGCAAGTGCTGAGGGCAAAACAAAGAACCAAAGGGCAGAAAATAAATTAACATTGGGGCTGAATATTATAAATATAACACCATGCCAGTAGTGTATTAATATTGTGCAACTTTTAAATTACTGGTACTCTTATCACGAAATGAAGGCAGTCACTGGGAGAACTGGATGGAATGTTTTTGTTATTTATCATTTATTTTTCAAAACAAAGAATGGAAGATTATTTTAAATCAAATAACCATCGTAGCCTACATTTTTTGTTCTTATAATGGTATGGCTGGCTTTGATCAATTGATCTGAAATGCGTTACTACTTGTTATCACAGCTGTGATTCAGTTGCAGCGGGAAAATATTGTATTCAGAATGGCAGCTAACAAATTAATTAAATAAATAAATATCTTGGGAACTCTTTTAGATTCAAGAAGCAGTATAGAAATGTATTGTATTATATTATTATATTATTATTATATTATATTATATTATATTATATTATATTATATTATGAATAATCAACGGCCAGTTGTCATAGCAGACATATAAGTGCATATATCTAGCACCGTTACCCTGCTCTGTGAAATGAAATTCTCAGCAAGAACTCCCAGCACACAGATGGACTTCAGAAACATAAAGTGCAAAAATTAAGATGCTTTTACCAAAATCCTATTTGTGACAAGTTTGCAAACTCAAGAAGAAATCTGCCGACAGGCCATAAACTGGGAAACCTGAGTACAAAAACCACACTTCCAGTGTAAGACCAACTCATAATGTTTCCATGTGGCAAATATATTAAGGAAGCCAAAAGGTCCAGTTTCACCTAGCCCACTTCTGACCAATGCCTGAAAAATCAAGTGGACCTGAAGGCCTGACTAAGCAGTCATGACTATTTATTCCTTAGACCTGTACACAAGTCACACACTGCATGGGGCAATCTGAAGCAAAGCAGTAGCTTAACTTTGCAATGTTGTTTTAGACTAACATGCCAGACCACCTATATTAATACAACATATTAGAAAGGGCAAACTTCCCAAAAGAACTCTGGAAATGCTATTCCTTTTTATAGAATAAAAGTATCCCTGCTGGTTAAAATAAGCAAAAAGAGGGACTCTGCGGAGCTGTACGGTTGTTCTGTCTGCTATCACGAGAGCAGGCAAGCATGAACAGTGGTCCTTATATGGAAAAGACTATTTTTAATAGGCTTCCAATTTTTACTGCTACAGCAGAAAGCAAGTCATGTGTCGCTGAATTCATAGCAACTCCACTCGCAAAATTCCTCCTGTATAGCAACACAATTATTTCTTCATTAACAGTATGTGCTTAATCTCAAAGATTTTCCTCAAGAATGTTTTAAAGTGAATTATGGATGAATATCAAGTGAAAGTCTCCTTCTTTGTGAGAGTCTCCTTCTTTGGAGGTCTTTAAGCAGAGGCTTGACAACCATATGTCAGGAGTGCTCTTTTTTTTTTTTTTTTTTATCAGTTGATGATGTATTTATTGAGTTATTACGTTTATACATATCCCACCTTTTTCTTCCAGGAGGGTGGCATATACAGTTCTTCCCCCTCCACATTATCTCCTCACAACAGCCCTGCGAGGTAAGTTATACGTTAGCGAGACAGCGGCTGACCAAAATTTGGGAAACCAGCAGCCACACCTAACAAATGCATGTTCTTGCTAGTTGTCAGGAGTGCTCTGATGGTGTTTCCTGCTTGGCAGGGGGTTGGACTCAATGGCCCTTGTGGTCTCTTCCAACTCTATGATTCTATGATTCTATGAAATAAAAGGACTTAACCTGCAACCCAGCAGAGAGCTACCTGCATCCAATTCCTATTGATTTAAAAAGAGGTAAAGGTAATACTGGCATGGGGGGGGGGAGGCCAAGCCCTTTGAACCTGATGTTTCCTTTAGTTATCTTGGTTAATAACCACTAATTGACCCACATCTTCCAGCCCACACCTAATTTCAGGCTGATTTAATGACAAAGGAAGGGGCGTGGCCCAAAGTTTTAAAGCCTAATTTAGGAAGAAGGCCGGAAGTGATGTTCTACCCCCAGGTGATTCCATGTTGAATAATGTAACACAGGCATAGGCAAACTCCAGCCCTCCAGATGTTTGGGACTACAATTCCCATAATCCCTAGTTAACAGGACCAGTAGTCAGGGATGGTGGGAATTGTAGTCCCAAACATCTGGAGGGCTGGAGTTTGCCTATGCCTGATGTAACATTTGTAAGTTTCTTTAAATCATATATTGTGTTTTAGTTAAAATTATTTAACTGAAATTAATATGAAATTATTTGTTGACTGCCTTCATCTTCCATACAAAAATAATCAAGAAGTATGCAACAGATTGTTTAAGTGCTTTATTTTTATTGTGCTTTAAAATATGTGACTAATTTAACAGGTTTTCAGCCTCAAGTATCTGTAACTTGGCTATGCATTTTCTCTATAGGAATGGATTTCTAAAATCAATCTGCAGCAAAATACATAAAAACCAAATGTTTCATGGGTAAATATCAAACAGTAGTGTTTATTAGAAATGGTGGAGCAAAGGTTTTCTGGCAAATGATCTGTGACCAATGTAACATGATCAATATAACATCTGACAATTCACTGCCAGGTCGACAATTCTATGAGACTATGAGTCTATGAGAGAGATCCACATTTATTTTACTCATATGTAAAATGCCATTTTGGAAAACTGTTCCCAGATAATGAAACTTTGGGAAATTATCTTTTAAATGATGAGGAACATGTTAACTATATATGCAAATTAGAAATGAGCCTGTAAGTTGATATTTTCATGGAACTACCCCCACCCCAAAAACACATAAATGCCACAAGAGAAACAGTTACAGGAAAGAAAGCCTGTGTGGTCTATACTAGAACTGGTCTTGGGTCCTAGTACTTTCCAGGATTCTCTCTCTCCCTCCCGTTCTTTGCAAAATTCCAGCAAACCCCTCTCCCTTACAACAGTTGAATCATCCTTCATTTTTCCCCTTTAGTACAGGCTCCCTGTCAACAGCTTAAGTAAGTTTCTTTTTCAAGCAAGGGGAAAGTACTGAGCCAAGCTGGCTAAAATAAGCTGAACTAAATAAATAAATGTTGCGAGACAGTTATGCCGAGGAGTGAATTAGACGTCTCAGCTGGCTTACAAGATTTGGTAAAACTGAGTGCGCTCATGATTTTAGGGAACAGGCTTAAAGTCAGTCTCTGCTACTGCTAAGAATTCTACAGAAAAGGAATTGTTACACCATGAAAATAACCCAGGACCTCAATGTGTGTGCAAGTGCAACAGGATTTTTTTAAGCATATGGATGGACTTGAATCACCCACTGCTATGTCCAATCTACTTAGAAGTGACTCATGAGATCAACTGTATTCATAAATGAATGAGGCAAACTTTTCGGAGAACAAAGATTCTAAGAGAGGAAGTTCAGGGTATCTATGTAAACATGCAGGGCAGTATTTCATAATCAAATTGTTGGGTAGGTTATGTCCAACCAATGATAACCCTTGAGACGTCAGCTGCACCAAATTTCTGCTGCTTCCAGTAACTGCTAGCAATCCAGTCCTGATTACCATATCATCTTCCGCTTTGCTCATGACTGTACGTGTGCACTGTTAAAAACCAGTCATATGAAATTAATATGGCATTTCCATGTGAGCTGTGTCATATGGCAGCCAATGTTACACATGGATAAATGTGAGGGCTCATTAGCAAAGATGCATGAGTTATTCACAGTAGCAACAGGAACGGCAGGGGAAGAGCCAAGAGCCTTAGCCAGCTAACCAAAAAACTCATAGACTTTTGACATATTCTTAGCCGCTACTCATGAAGTATAGCAGTTTAATGAGGATCTCTTCAATACATTAAACATCTCTAAGTTGAAGGTCTGTTCACATGTTGAAGAGGGCAATTCTATACAGACAGAATAAAAGGTAAAGGTAAAGGGACCCCTGACCATTAGGTCCAGTCGTGACCGACTCTGGAGTTGCAGCGCTCATCTCGCTTTATTGGCTGAGGGAGCCGGCGTACAGCTTCCGGGTCATGAGGCCAGCATGACTAAGCCGCTTCTGGCAAACCGGAGCAGCGCACGGAAACGCCGTTTACCTTCCTGCCAGAGCGGTACCTATTTATCTACTTGCACTCTGACGTGCTTTTAAACTGCTAGGTTGGCAGGAGCTGGGACCGAGCAACGGGAGCTCACCCCGTCATGGGGATTCGAACCGCTGACCTTCTGATTGGCAAGTCCTAGGCTCTGTGGTTTAACTCACAGTGCCACCCGCATCCCTCTAGACAGAATACAAGCCACCAATTGCAGATGTGACCACATATATACTGTATATACATTTTCACTAAATGTCATGATGCTGAAATCCACATGGTTAGACAGAAGGCATCGTGATCTACAGCATGACAAGAGGTGGTGGATGGGCAGGCCAAGTGAGCCAGAACAGGCTGCAGCAGGCCCCCAGCCCCTGCTCTGCTGCTATGACTCCTCGGCCCCTAGGATCTAGTTGCCATGGCCGGCACCACGATTGGCTGCCTTCCTCCTACCTGGCTAGCCTGGGGAGCTACTGCTGCAGCAGCTGCAGTCAATTAGGATGAAAAGTTGACCCAGGTAAGGTGCTGGCAGGTAGAGCAGCAAGAGGAAGGGGGAAGGCAGCCAGAAGCAATGGCTGCCTGGTTTGAAGGTGTGCTGTTGCTGCCACTGCCAATTCAAAATGAAGAATCGGTCTGGGTAATGCAGGAGCAACAGGACCCCATGTCGGCTGGCCATTGCTTTTGGCTGCCTTCCTCCTCCCTGTGCTGCCTTATATTGCGCCAGTCCAAATGTCACAACAGACTATGGTTCATTATGAAAGGAACTTGTTTCAGACTCCTCACTGCTTTGTGGGCACAGCTGCAAGATCAGAAGCTTTCTCATGGGTCACAAAGGTGACTTGTTCAATCAAACATAGTTAAAACAAGCCACTGTTTAGGGTTCAGATGCAACACTGAACTGTGGTTAATAAAAACAATGGAAACAAAAGCTGCACTGGAGGAAAGAAGAGTGTATGAGTCTGAGGCTAAATGTGGTTTACTCCCAAGATGATAAATCATGGCTTTTTTTGGGTGAAAGTTGAATGTATGTCATGGACGGTTTGCATGTATTCAGGAACTTGTTAATATTCAGTCCCAGCGTTATTTCCACCTGCTTTGAGAGAGATAATTTCTTACCCATCCTACACCATAAGGTCCCAGGGCGGGTACAGCCTATTAAAAAGTTTAAAGCAAATTACATCACAAGAATAGGACAGGTTCTAAAAATATGCATCTCAAGTGGCAAATGACAGGGTAAAGGAAGTGTGTCTTCAGCACATGATGGGAACACTATAATGAAGGTGCCAGGTATACTTGTGTGGGGCAGCAGTTCCATGACTTAGGGGCTGCCACAGAGAATGCCCTCTCCCAGGCAACCCCCTTCTTACACTCAAGCACAACCTCACCCGCAAATCTCTTTATTTAAAGAATCACAACCTCATTTAAAATCATTTCCCCATTTTATTAACCTTTTGGTTACTACCCCATTATTCAATTCCCTTTCCATCCTGAAGAGTGCATCTTCACACACACACACACACACACATTTCATGTCTACTTGAAAACTATATTTAATTCCAAGGAAGCAAATATATACATCTGCACATATATCATAATTTAGAATGTAAAATGTAGAGTATGTATTGATTTGCCCTTGCAATCACCTTGAAAGATAAGAACACAGTCATTCGGTAATGCTAAATAACATGTATCTAGGTTTGAGGAGCAACTTGAACTATCTAGAAACATATAATTATAGCTGGAAAAATGTTGTGTGTTGTGGCTAAGAAGTTACAATGGGAGCAGCCCAATCAAAATCTTTCATAGCACTCTGCCAGCGTTGTTACTTTACAGGAGGACTGACCTGTGCAGTGGCTTCTGGATGCAGGGGCACAATTGTGTGCTTTTTAGTGGGGCTTAAGTGTGTCTTTGGGACGCAGGTGGCGCTGTGGGTTAAACCACAGAGCCTAGGGCTTGCCGGTCGGAAGGTCGGTGGTTCGAAATCCCCGCGACGGGGTGAGCTCCCGTTGCTCGGTCCCTGCTCCTGCCAACCTAGCAGTTGGAAAGCACGCCAAAGTGCAAGTAGATAAATGGGTACTGCTCTGCCGGGAAGGTAAACGGCGTTTCCGTGCGCTGCTCTGGTTCGCCAGAAGCGGCTTAGTCATGCTGGCCACATGACCCAGAAGTTGTACGCCGGATCCCTTGGCCAATAAAGCGAGATGAGCGCCGCAACCCCAGAGTCGGTCACGACTGGACCTAATGCTCAGGGGTCCCTTTACCTTTACTTTAAGTGTGTCTTTAAAAACGAAGCAAAACTATGCTTTAAACAAATTAGCCGTGTTCAGTTTCCAGCTTTCCCCATCAAAACATAAGAATTAACACTATCCCAATGCAAGGAGTAAGGATGCACTAGAAGTCTCTGATGCAGTCCACGATACAGTTGACAGGTAAGCAGGAATCCAAGAAGCATTGCTTTTACCCTCAAAACAGGATCCCATCCCTGAGCTATGGAAGGAAATCAACTGTGCTATACCACAGCTGCAAGGGTGATGCCTTGCCTATTGTGCTGGGGAGCTGAGCGTGCCTCCAAATTTAATCTAGACACGACCACCATTAAAAAAAAGAGTATGCTTCAGGTATCAAAAACTAAAGAAACTTGCTTTATAGTCCTACATTTCCTCAAACATGTAGATGCATAAAACTGTAAATGATCAGACAGGCTGCAGATGACACTGGAATTTTATTGCCTAACATTATACAATGGTTCTATACAGCAATATATGGTGACACAGCAAGGTCATCAAATTGCCTTGCTGCACTGTAGACCCTACGTAATGTCTTTAAGAGAACAGTATCCATTGAAAAGAAGCATTGGTGGACTGAAGTCTAATGTTCTTTTAAGAACTCCATCCTTCTTGCTGGTATCATTCTTAACAAATAGATTTCATTAAAGACAACCCTCCCTCCCTCCCATGTTCAATTTCTGATACGACAATTAGTAGGCTTCTACCAAAAAAACTGGACTGGTGCCAGCTTACTGGTTCAGTACAAGATAAATCAATGTTGAGACATGAATTAACAATGCAGCGCAAGCTTTCAGAAAACCAAGTCTAAGAGACCATCCAAAGAATAAAGTACTAGATAGTTTCCCCAAAGTTTAAATTTAGACACGGCAAGTCAAAAAGGTCACCTTCATACTGAAGAATACACGGTAAATTTAAGCTGGAACTAAAGGAGCATGGCTAGCTACAAGTATCTTGGCTTGATTCAAAACTGTATCTGCTTTTCAAATGCTACAACTGAGACAAACATTTTCCAGTGCCTAAAAAACAGCTGTATGCAAGTAATGTTTTGACATTAATCTTAATCATCTATAAATAAAAATCCATTCGGTATAAACTGTTGTGAGTCTTAAATTACTGGTAATCGAGAATCCCAAGTATTTTGGGTCATCTAGTGGAAGGTCTGGAAAGAAACTAGAAACCTCCTCACTAAATTCATCTTTCTGATTAGACAGGAACCCTACATGAACCTTTCCCAACACAGTAATGTGCAATAAAAAAGTTTTCATACTGGAATTTTTTCTGATACTCTGTATTTGGGGGGGGGGCGCACACACACAAATAACTATTCCTAAAAATATGTTGTTTCATAAAATTAATCAACAACATAATGAATGGATATAATACCAGTCAAATCCAGAGATGTGTAAGTCTGTACCCCGCTCCCACTTTTCCATTCCCCTCCAGGTCTTCACATTTCTAGTCAAATCCAGCAGTTTCAACGTTGTAATTAGTTCCATTTCAGATAAACTAAACCTAGGAAATGTTCACATGCTTAATGCATAGTTCACTGGAGCTTGCAAAAGTGAGTACTGTACCTTCCTTTCTCCCCTTAAAATGTAAATAATACAAAAGAAGTGCATCCTATAAATTGTCATATTTTACAAATATTCCAATAAAATTATTTCCAACTAAAGCTTTGAGTATATTTGACCATAACATTCAAACCGTATTAAGTGTACTTTATTGATGGTTCCCCCCTTTAAAAAATGCAAATCTGTAAACAAAACACTACTTTTTCAACTTTATGATCAGATGTGCAACTATATAAGAATATATTGTTTATGTCACCATCGCAGTCAAGCTCTGAGGCCTATTATCTCTCCACCTGATGCTTCCCCATCATATCAAGGCACATATGTGAAATTGGGGATGCCAAGTTTCCAACTAACATATTTATGTTTTAAAAATACATTATAGTTTATAACACCAACAAAACGGATTATGTGCCCATTTTCACTGATGTGGCATTGGGGGGAGGGATAGTTTTGTTATGAAGAAATCTCTCCTTTCTTTTGCACACATCCTGCACAGTGGGAAGCTCCATGTGGATAGAAATTAAGCTCAGAACATTTAAAGGAAGCTGCTCTCAGACCCATAAAAAGTATTATTAGCCTGACAGGTCTGTGAGTTGACAAGGGAGGCTGCTTTAGCTCCTAAAGAGAAAACGAAAGAGTCACGACACAACCAGGTCAGATATAAAGGAACTAATGTAAGCACACACCGAAAATCATCTGTGAACTAGACACCTTCTCTATAAGACGAGCACCAATTGTTGTATCAAGATCAGCCCAGATGTGAGTGACTTTGCCCTTGAAGTCACAGCAAGTTTGGGGAAGTTCCCACCAGCCTCGTCTCTGCTTAGAAAAATCTGATGAATGGCTAGGTAAGAACGCAAGGGTGGCTGAGCTTTCTGAAGGTATCTGAAGAAGTGTGCATGCACACGAAAGCTTATATCCAGAACAAACTTAGTTGGTCTCTAAGGTGCTACCGGACAATATTTTTATTTATTTCGACTGCGTCAGACCAACACAACTACCTACTACCTACCTAAGCTTTCTTTGTTAGTATCACCACAATTCACACAGCATGTATCAAAACCAGAGGGCCAGTTTAAATCTAGCCTTACAGCAGAATAAAATAATAAAGCAGACATCACTGCAAACTGCCAGCAAGGGCTCACAATGCTTCTCTGCACAACAAAAAATCTTTAGTGCACATAAAAATCAGCATATTAGGGAGACTAGGCTCAGCAGTTTCTCCCTTACACCCTGATTTTCTACATAGTTGCAATGAATCATATAAGCTCACACCTGAAGACTGAGAAGGTACAGCCCAGAAACAAGTTTGAGGCCACATATACTACGTGCCAAAGCGAGGCCCGAGTACCAAAACAAGTACTTGACCAAGCTGCAAAACAAACAGAGGTGTAACCATCTGCTGGACAACTTTTCGTATAAGGAACTTCAACTGAAATGTTTCTGTACAAACACTGCACTCTCTTCCCCCTTCCTTTTACTGCAATCATATGCAGGTTGAAAGCAACTTTTTGAAAACAGCACAGAAGCATTTTGAAACATCTGTTGAACAGGAAGTGATGAACACTGCATCCCACTACTTTGAGGCTGGTGGTGCCCAACAGGGAGAAAGTCATAATCCGAGCTGGGATTAGTCAGAACCAGGTTTTTGTGTCTGTGTGATAAGCACAGCAGATAGCTGTTTAAAAGAACTGTTCACTCACAAGAGCCAAGTGGCAAGACTTATTTGGTAAATTAATCTCAGCAACAAAGACGAGCACAAGGAAAAGTGGCAAATTTTCTTTGATAAAAAGGCCCTCTTCCCAAAAGCCGAAAACAGACATCACATTTTTGTCTCTGCTGCTTTTCATCTCTTGCAAGTCATACAAGCAACATTAGCTTAAGCTTGAAAGTAGTTACGTCAATTTTTTTTTACTTATAACCAAAAATGGTTTTGGTAGTAGAGAAGGCAGCACTTTGAATCAAGAAACCTCTACTTCATTCCTAAATCTATTCTAGAATTGCAAGTGACCTACAATAAAATGTGCATATATAATTTCTTCCCTAACTGAAAATACATACTCTCACTTTCTTACAGTCTTGTGCTCATAGCAGCAGTGAAGAACACAAGTCGCAGCACCTAATAATTTCACAAAGGCTGTGTCTTACAACACTTTGGCTGTCATCTCATCCAAACATTAGTCAGCTTTTAATCTGTTTATCCAAAGCTAGGTCACACTGTACATTAAGGTGAGACAGCTATTATTATATTTATATATGCGAGAAACTAGCAAAAAGTAGTCAAGCATTATTTATTTACAACCCACTTTTCCACAAAACATGCTCAAAACAGCTCATCAACTAGAGCAGAACAAACTGGTAAAAGGAAATATAAAGGTCTTGCCTGGTGCCTGAATGTAACGAAGGCACTAATTAGACCTCTGTGGGGACCATGTTTCTTTGCTCTGAGATGGGGGTACCCCAGAAAAGAAACAGTCCAACAATTATCTGAATGAAAAGGCTGGTCAATTTGGGAGAAGGGGGTCTTCAAACACTCTTGGTCCAGACCCACTATATTTTACCATATGGTGAGGAAAACTGCAGGACACATGAACCCAAAATAATTGGATATCCTCTTGATAAGCCGTTAATTACATTAATCTTTCTCTAACTGCAGAAACTGAAGATGACAAATCTAAAGAAGCTTCTGTTTCAAAAGAAAAATAGTGCCTGTAGTCCCTTCTCGCTCTTGAACGTTTAACACATGGGCCAGTTGTCAGAGCATCAGCAAACAGGAAGCAGGATGTACCTATCAACACCAAAACGGAAGAATGTATCAAGAAACAGGAAAAGTAGTAGCAGCAGCACACAAACACACACACCTTTAAGAAGGTGGGGGTGTGAGAAAGTACCAGAAATGGAAATAATCTGATTTAGTTGTGACTGCGAGGGAATAGTATGTGGGAAATGAGGAAGTTACAGCAATTTCAGTATTCTGACATTTTATTATTCTGGCAGAGGTGACAAACAATAGTTTGCAGAGTTCTTTTAAATTTTAAGCAGCTGTTATGTATTTGAATATTTTTATCTTTTCTCAATCTGATTATGAGGTGTTTGATTACTGATGCAGGCAAGTTTCCCAAACTACAATGCTATGTAATAGCTTCATTCACACACACACACACACACACACACACACACACAAATTCACTTTGTACAGTAATCAAACTATCAAGAGACAGACACTGAGCTAACATTACTGCTGTTTAGACTTTTAAGAACAGAAAAGATATTATTTAGTGTTGTCTTTTAAGAGAGGTGATGATGCTTTCATATATTTAAGAGCTAGATCACTGCCTGAAGATGTGTTTAGCTTCAGTAGACTTCTTTTTAAATTGGACAGATAGTTAAGAGGTTTCATCCCTTTGGTAGCAGCACTTTGGGGGGGGGGTGAAACGAGGGCGTGGGACAGCCCCCTTGTGTGAAAATTACTGTTTTAACAGAGATAGGGTTTTAACTTTGGTGGGTGCTGTTTTATCTGGAGGCTGGGGTTGTTTTAAAGTGTTGTTAAATTATATCTGTTAATTTGGATTTTTGTATTTGTGAGCTGGAGTATTCTTTAGGAGCACTTGTTGGGGAGTGTATTGTTTATTAGTGTGTATACATTTATATTGTTAATTGTATTGATTTTTTATGTTTTGATTATTTTTCTTACGTGTTTTGTGCTTTAATTATTTTTATTATATATTATGTGCTTTGTATATTGTATACAAATTTAACAAATAATAATAATTACTTCACAAAATATATATGAAGGTTGGCCCAAGACATTTGCCGCCGCAGCCAAAATGCCCCCTCTATGCCCTCCCCCTGCAAATCCAGGTCCCCACCATGCCCCCATACTGCCGCCTGCCCCATCACCACAACTGTACCCTCACCTGCCACTACACCAGCACTACTGCCACAATGCAGCAGCAGTGGCTGTGCTGGCGGTGCGGGCAAGGCCCTGGCGGGATTGGCAGCAAAGCAATGTGGGAGCACCTGAAACAATTGGCTCCACCTTGCTTAAATGACAGGCCACACCGGGCTAGGATGTACAATGTCATCACTCTCTGCCTCCATCAGAAGACCAGTGTCTTTGGTTAAAATAAGTGAGCGATTCCATTTGCCCACTTTCATCCTGAGTTCTGTTTGTGCTGCATGACATCATGGCAGCAGGATATACCGTATTTTTCGCCCTATAGGACGCACTTTTTTCCCTCCAAAAATGAAGGGGAAATGTGTGTGCGTCCTATGGGGCAAATGCAGGCTTTCGCTGAAGCCTGGAGAGCGAGAGGGGTTGGTGCGCACCAACCCCTCTCGCTCTCCAGGCTTCGCGCAGCTCTCCGCAAGCCGCGGGAGCCCGCACCGGGCTCCCACGGCTTGCGGAGAGTTGCCTGCATGCTAAAGCCTGGGCATGCTGAACTCAGTGCGCCCAGGCTTCGCGCAGCTCTCCGCAAGGCGCGGGAGCCCGGCGCCAGACTCCCATGGCTTGTGAAGAGTTGCCTGTTCTGGGGGCTGGGGTCGGGGGAAGCTCGGGCTTCCCCTGCCCCAGCCCCGCGCCAGGGGGGGAAATAATTTTTTTCCCTTTATTTCCCCCCCAAAAAACTAGGTGCGCCTTATGGGACGGTACGTCCTATAGGGCGAAAAATACAGTATTATGGCCTCAGTTAAGATTCTCTGCTGCATCCTGCATGCCTCCTCAAAGAGTCCCTTTCTCTCCTTGCACAGTGGAGCAGAAAGGCTTGCTTCAACTTGATTTGTATACTAAATCAGTAACACCATAAAACCCTGAGACTGCAGGTGAGAGCTCACATGCCTGAAAGCTCGTCCAAAGAAGAGATTCCTTGTATGTAAAGCAAAATCAGGTACTTCAGAGACAAGTGTTCTGATTTAGCCAGTTTTCTATGTGTGGGGGATGGGGAGTATGGAGGAGAACTGAGATTCCAGTTGGGACTCATGTAACTAGAAGTGGTATGGTTCAGGTACAGCTTTACTACCTCATCTGAGAATTTGAGTCAAAGGTATTTCTATCCAAGATGCCCTAACAACTGGTGCTGACTGAGACTAAGTCTCTCACTCATCCAGAACATGCATTATATACCCACAAGAGAAAAAAAGACAATATACACACACACACATACCCTACAGGTGAACGTTGTTATTTAGATCAGGAATCCCAAACTGAAGAGGGAGCTGAAGAGAAAGAAAGTTGTAACTGAAGGCTTCCAAAAATGTGAGCTTACAAGAACAACTCCGGATGTTAAACTAATGTGGGATTAACATCATTGGGTTAAGATCACACTTTAATCTAGTCCCATGATAGATTATATTATTGAAGCTCTTGCAGAAAATAGGGGTTAAATTAACCCGTCTTCAAAACTATAGTTTGCAAGAACAAACCACTAAAGAATTACTGAAGACATGCCCTACCTCTAAGGCTGCAAAATTAAAGAGGGAGGAGACAGCATGGCTGAAACTTCTAAGGATACTTTTCTACAAAATGAGTCTTTCTAGCAGTTCCCCATGCTTTTATTTGCTTCTCTGCCATAACTTGAAAATACTTTGTAATAAAATACTTCTATGGACGCATCACTAGATCTCCAACTAGGCTCCATGGGTGTTACAAAATTGACTCCTTAATCATTTCTTTGGTTAGTAATTATGAAAGGTCAGCATAAAATATAATCATTAAGCATATTCATGATTATACATTTTTCATTGTTAATGCTACCATACACCTATTTCTTCGTTTTAAATCTCAACAATCATAATTGTCTTACTAGTGCTATACTGTCACTGACAGTAGCATCCCACTAAAATAAAAAAAGCCAAGTAGAAAGGATTAGTCTTGGTTTGTTTGGCTCACTGGCTTCTCTCAGTTAGAACCATCCATTTTTCTTACATTTATACCTCACCATTCTTATCTTAGACCAGACCCGACCAGACCAGACCCAAGCCTTCTTAGCTTCAGCTTCAGACCATCACACAGAATCAAGGCTCAATCAGATTTTCAAAATTGTTTACTGACTTAAGATACCTGTTGTCTAAAAAACTTTAACAGATAAACTGCAGAACAGCAATGGAATTTTCTTAATGAACCAAGTTACATAATTTTTTGACAATACCCTGCTCCCACTTTACCAGGTGCAGTCACTTGAAGTTTGAAAGCAATGACTGTCTTTTCATTCAAGTAAAAATGCCTTAAACAATCTTACATTATGCATTAATATATGAAAATTATGATAATAAGGCTGCAAAATGGTAGTAGAGATCAAATAAGCTCATTATGACATTCCCATCAAATGGTCTCCATAAGGACAGGGTAATTGTTCACCCACTTCGAAAACTCCTGCAGGATTCAGAAACCTCTTTCAATTTATTTAGAGTTGTCAGACCCACTTTTTTGTTGACTACACATGGCTGCCCTGTCTATTGCACTGCATTTCTTCAAAGGGATCACAAAGACACTAGGGACCACATAAAATGTGGCTTCAAAGTTCTGAACAGGGTGTCCTACTTTGGTGTGAAATAATGCTGATTACAATGCTTAAAATGCAGCCCGCCATATGCCAAAACCTTTGCTTTTCCAAATCTCTTTTCCAAATCCACTTTGTCCAACCTTCTATTACTAAATTGATTACAGCTTTAGCTACTGCTGCCCTTCCTCCTCACCCTTTAACCATCTGTGCAGATTCTGCCCAATTTAAGAAAACATCTACTGAGGAACAGGCTAAACACATCAGTGCTCTAGCTCTTAAAGATATGAAAGCACCACTGCCTCTCTAAAAAGACAACACCAAATGATATCTTAAAAGTCATGCATGTCACTTCAGACAAAAAGTACCCTTTCACAAGCAGAAAAAAAGAGAACCAGTTTTCAGTATTTTATTACTTGGAAATCCCACAACCTACCAGTGAGCAAACATGAAAATACTGAAACATTAAAAGAAGTCAAGGGTCATCTAGCCTGTAACACAACCTGAAACATTTTACTACCATTTTAACCATTCAAAAATGAAGTAAAGAACTATTTGAAGTAATCATCACAGCCCTCTGCTTTTTATTCTGGGACAATTAATGAACAAGAATTCACAAAGAGTCAATCAACTCCTTGCAGAGATTTATCACGGATTACAAACCGATTTGATTAGTTAAGCCTAGCTCTTTCAGAAGATGGGCTGAGCAGCAATGTAAATATTTGACAACATGTACAGTAGCTGCCTTTGCTACTAGTTCTGTTTATTTCTGTTTGCCTCTTGCTATCACAACTCAGGTGATTAAAATTTGATCTCACTAAAAACACTGTGTTCAAATCATTGCTCAGTCATAAACAAGTTGGCAAGTTCTTCAATCTTCCAAGCCATGACTTGGAGAATTGGGAGTAAGTCCTGTGCTCTTGCACTTGGGGTGAACAGAATATTTCCTGGTTTGATGAAGACACAATTTGCCGCCAAATTAACAAATTGTAGTTTGAGTGAGTCCTCTAAACTAGGATCAAACTGAGGTTTGCAGACCATAGTCTGCCAATTTGGAATTAAACAGCAAAGTGTGATTTAATCAAAGCAGAAAATATTACATTAAGCCTAGAAATGCAGATGATGGCTATTTCCCCATGTCTCACTGTAAACGCTTTAAAAGCAGCAGTTGGAACACAATATATTTTTCAATTACCTTAGCCTTTTTACTTTAAAATAAAAATATCCTAGCGTGTTTTAAATTCTCTTTTACTGTAAGCTTCCTTGGAGACTGTTAAGAAGAATATAAATATTTTAAATAAGCCAAACTTTTCCTGCTTCCAATATGTTGTTCAATTCTTGAACAATTAGAATGGATGGGAACTGGGTGACAGCTAGTATTCCCACAAACTACTGTAAAAGTACAATGAGCCTCAATGAAGACAATAGAGAACAAATGGACTATTGTTTATCATTCTAACCAGCTAATCATTCATTGCAATTAGGATTTTATACAGATGCTTTCTATCATGTGCCTATGAGAAGTGTTCTCTCAGAATTGCTTCTAGTTGCTATACTGTTTTAAATGCCTGTTAAAAACTTTATACCCAGAAATGTAATTTAGTTGCACAAGCTTGATTTAAAATTCTGGCTGACTTTACTGATGTATGTTTTACAATCGTTTTATATTATTTTATGTGTGATCACTTAAGAGCTCTTCCAAAGCATGGTATAGGTGATTCTAAAAATAAAATAAAGGCTAGAAACATTTCCCAAAGAGAGTAGCCTTGTTTGATATGAAGATAAATTTCAGAGCCGGTATGAAGGGTAAAGGAGTTGGATGTGGAACAAATACCTGCCAAGTTATCAACCTGCGATGTATGAAAACAGGGACATTTCTAGTAAATCATGATGGAAGACACAGATCCACCAGGACCGCCTCTTTCCATATGAGCCTAACTGGAACCTTATTTTATCTTCTGAGGTCCAGAGGATGGCAACACAAGAACAGGCCTTCTCTGCAGTGGCTCCCTGTCTGTGGAATGCTCTCCCCAGGGAAGTTTGCCTGGGACCTTCATTATACACCTTTAGGTGCCAAGCAAAAACGTTCCTTTTTTTTAACCAGGCCTTTGGTTGAGCCGATTTACATCCTATGCTTCTTTAAAATGTGTGTTGTTTTTGGCGGGGGAGGGGGACTATTGGGTTGTTCTTTTTATTTTTATTAGGTATTTTGTCGTTTTACATCTTGATTTTATTCTAATAATAACCTTAGTCTTCTTATTTTCAACTACATGGTTAGGATAAGAAAGGTTAAGCTATCTGTGACACAGCAGCTGAGACAAAAAGGGATATCCTCAAGTTAATTGCTAAGTATTTAACCTGACAGGGCTATGTTATGACATATTTTGAAAACAATCATGCTTACCAAGTGGTAAAAGGAGTGTAACCACAGTTTAATTTATCTTATGGTAAGGCAGCACAGGGTCTTGACTCCCTGAACCTGCAATACACAGGTTAACAGCACTGTGTGGCTGTCTAGCCACAACCTTGTTTTGAATCCACTCATCCATGGGTCAGTGAAGGCTATATTTGCCTTGGAAATACAGAGAACAACACTGAACACATGGTTCTGATGAACTAAGATCTTTTTACTTTTAGAACATTACTATGATTATTTATTTTCTTTATTTATCATCCAACTTTCCTCCAACAAGCTCAAGGCAGCATCCGTAGCTCTTGCCACTTCCTTTCATCCTCCCAATAAGCCTGTGAAATAGGTTAGGCTGAAAGGACAGTGACTGGAGGGTGGAGGAAAAACTAAGTCAAATAACCTGATATGAGAAATCAGCAAAGAGCCTACGAGGGGGAAGAGACATTGGAGGTCACCTAGTTCAACCTTCCTGCACAAAGTAGATACCATCCAGCCTCTGCTTTAATATCTCCGGAGAAGGTAAAGAGGAATGGTAAAGGACTCCTGGGCAGCTAATTCGACTATGGGGTGAGGCGCTCATCTCTGCTTAGTTTCAGGCCAAAGGGAGATGGCATTTGTCTGTGGACACCTTTTCTAGGACATGTGGCCAGAATGACTAAACCACTTCTGGCACAAAGGGACACTGCGACGAGTGCCAGAGCGCACAGAAATGCCATTTATCTTCCCATCATAGTGGTACCTATTTATCTACTCGCGCTGGTATGCTTTTGAACTGCTATGCTGGCAGGAGCTGGGACAGAGCAGCAGGAGGACAGCCCACCAGCTCTGAAGAAGTCTGCTCCTTTACTGAGCTGCTCTTGCTGTTAGGATGTTTCTCCTAATGTTGAGCTAAAATCTGCTTCCCTGCAAATACCATCTTATCACAACCAGATGATCATAAACAATGATTAAAAGCTTAGAAAATAAAGCTGTGCATACAGCTGCTTTCTTGCAGTCAGGAAAACTGTAGAACAGGGTCGTTCCAGGACCTTGGTACTATCCACTTTTACAACCTTACAGTGGCAGCAGCAATAAACAGCCATCGTGAAGCTGAGGCTCCACTACTTTGGCCACCTCATGAGAAGAGAAGACTCCCTGGAAAAGACCCTGATGTTGGGAAAGATGGAGGGCGCAAAGAGAAGGGGACGACAGAGGACGAGATGATGGGACAGTGTTCTTGAAGCTACTAACATGAGTTTGACCAAACTGCGGGAGGCAGTGGAAGACAGGAGTGCCTGGCGTGCTCTGGTCCAGGGGGCCACGAAGAGTCGGACACAACTAAACAACAATAGAGTCCATGAAAGGTCCATGTATGCCACATACTTTGTTCCCCATTTGTTAACTCGCAATGCAGCTGAATAGCTTCACACTGTAACAGCCCTACTGGGCTTGATCTATGTACTATCCAACAATAACCTTGCAAACAAGTCCACTAAAATAACATGCCTAGATTTCATTAGAGCACACATACCTATTTGTTAAGACATTTGTGGCCTAGAAAAGGCCAACGTGGCAAGCACACTGGGGCTAGAAATTCTAATTTCACATATGGGGTCTGAACCAGCTGTGACTGACCAGGAAGACCACCTTGGTCACCTCTCTTCAAAAATGACATTGCAGAGCTGGAAAAGGTTCAGAAAACAGAGTAACTCTCCTATGAGAAACAACATTTGGAGCGTATTAGTTTAAAAAGAAAGGGCAAGGAAGGCAGGGGGCATGACTGAGGTGTACAGGATTATGCATGATGCAGAGGAAGTGGATAGGGAAAAGTTTCTGTCCCTCTCTCATAAAACTAAAGCTCAGGGTCATCCAATGAAGCTAAATGTTGGGAGACTCAGGATAGACAAAAAGAGGGACCTCTTCACAGAGGGCATAGATAAAACTATGGGATTCACTCCCACAAGAGGCAGTCAAGGCCCCCAATATGGGTGGCTTTAAAGGGGGATTAGATAATTTATGGAGCACAAGGCTATCAATGGCTACCAGACTGGCCACAATGGCTATATTCTACCTCCACTGCCAGATGCAGTATGACATGGAGCATCAGTTGTTGGGAACCATGGTGGGGAGACTGCTGTTGCACTCGGGTCCTAGAATAAAATGCTGGGCAAGATGGGACTTGGACCTGATCCAGCAAGGCTCTTCTTATGTTCTTAGAGCTTCTCTGCCTGAAGGCAATTCTTCCTTCACATAAGTGGCCACATGAACAACCATTTTACAAAGATGATCTATAGCGCAGTCTAACTGCTTTGAGCTGCCTAAAGGGTTTCAAAGCAGATACATGTTTTAAGTAAAGCCTGCATTCTGGCTTCATCCAAAGGAGGCAACTATGCAACACTTCATTCACTACAATATGTTGAATCCTGCCATTTCTGCTACTGCATGCAGTGTACTATACAGAACCAACAAGGTTTCAATCTACATTGGGAACTTTCTTTTTAAAGATTGAGGCTAGGGATTGACAAGGAAGTAGTAAAAATAAGGGTAAGAGGCTTAAATGTAAACTGACAGGGAATAGAATTAAGAGGTGTTTTTGCACGGAAAGGCATTAGATTAACAGTTGTTTTAGGTAAGTGTCTGATGACATTCGGACCATCTATTTATTCATTTAAATCTAACTAAACATCTCTCAACTCTATCTCCAAATAAACTTTTTAAAAGGAGCAGATGCCACAGCTAACTATTGTTCCTTATATTTTACTGCATCTTAAGGGCTTGTTTACATTTTATATTTCTGCTCAGGAAAGTTTCATTTCATTAAATGTGCCCCCTTAGTTTTATCCCACTGTCAGAATTTATTTATTTATGTATGTATTGCAGTCTCCAATATTACAAAACCCTCAAAAATAAAAAAGTTGGAACTAGATCTTGTAAGCAAACAATTCCTACTCCAGCAGCTAATTTTCTTCATGCAGAATAACATTCTGCTTTATACTTCAGATCTATACAGTATAAGCACCTGACATACAATGTTATCAGTGCATCACTTTGTGTGGCACCTCACAGCTCTGGTTTTCTAACAGAAGAGTGCAAGGGGCAAAAGCTGGTGAAAGGACTAGATGCCACCGATCTTCTCAAAGGTGCTAAATAAAAGCTGTTTCCAGCCTTACTTCACAATTGGCAGCACTAATGACAGCTGACGTTTTAAATATGGAGAAGGGATTGGGGTGAGTATGCAACATTATTGCCTGTCCCAAACAGCATGGAGAATGGAAAAACGTAAGCAATTATTGATTATGAAGGGATGAGAACAGACAGGAATGGATTTTAAACTGTACTGCATTGTGCTGTGAACCACAAGTGCTAAACCACAGCCGAGCTTCTTAAGAAAGCAGAATAACTGAAGTCAGACAATCTACATCTCCAGCCTAAATACAGCAAGTTTACTTTTAAGCAAGCATGCTCAGGGCTTACAGCTGTAGGCTCATTTAATTTGTTTCTAAGCTTCTGAGGCCATGTGCCATATTCCCATTTTGAAACTGCGGTAGTCATTAAGAGCATGAGCTATGAACCGGAAAGTCCCCCGATCAAATCACAGCTCAGCCAGCTCAACTCACTAGGTGGCCTTAGGCAAGCCACTCTCTCTCAGCTTCACCCCTCATCAGTAATAGGGGAATAATACTTCTAGCCCAACTTACAGGGTTGATGGCCTTACTGAGAATGTATCTGAGCACTTGGAGGAAAGAAGGACTGTTGGCTTTTATCCAAAGAAATATGATTTGTAGTACTTGAAAAATAGTATTACATTTCTCAAATATTATTTTTAGCCAGGTTTTTAAAAATCCCTTAAAAATCAAGTATACCACAACAAATATATGATTGGTTCTACTATCTTCACAATGTCCGCAGTATTCTTAACATGGAAAGATGCAGTACAGCATTCCAGCTGAGGAAATCTGGTCTGTACACCCTATTATTCACAGCTTACACCCTACTATTCACAACTTAATGCTGACCCATCCCAAGATCACTCTGCAGGTCCACAGGCAGACGTTTGAACCCAGGCCCCACATCCAGAAATCTTTCAACTTAATCTTTTTCTGCTAGCAAACCTGTTTCAAACCACACAAATTTTGCGAAAAGTTGTATCAGAATCAAGTTTGCAGCCACAGATGGTAACATCTGAATTCATCTAACAATGGAGATTAAGACGTTTCACAATGATGACTCATAGTATTTGTATTTATAATAAACACTTCTAGACACAGTCACATGTCAAATGATACAAAATAAACACTGTACTTCCATTCACTGAATTCCACCCCCCCCTTTCTTGGCTATTTGACTATTCATCTGGGTTCATCTGCATTCTGTTTATCCCACATAGTCCAGTTTGACAGCTTGTTCTCATTTAGACAGACCTGTAAATACTTAATCTACTTTGAATTATTCTACCCATCCTAAATACAGGCTGCCACAATTGGGCTCCATTTGCTTGTGTAAGCGTACTATGAAATTGGCAGTTACCAGGCCGTCAAGCCCATATTTAGAGTGGAATTTTCAACCGTACAACGAACAAATACACATTCATGCGACAGCATTTTTTGCAGAGTGAAAGAAGTCCTACCCAGTCCCCAGGCTCCAAGTCTTCACTATCCCACAATAAAAAAGTGTCCTGCTTTTTCAATTCCTCACAGATCCCTGGGTGCAGCTCTACCGGTGCCCACCCTAGATGCCACCATCTATTCTCCAGCAGGTTCTCCCAGCCTACAGGGGCTCATGAAATACCCTCTTAAGTCGGGGTAGGGGGAGAACAGGGAAGCGTTCCAGATGGTGGACTATTCCACTGTGGGGGATTTCCTATTCCTCGGGGACTCCCTAATTCTCCAGGGATCAAGACCATTATTCACCACCACCCATTATGCTTTCAAAATTATTTTGAATCATTTCGATTTGTGGAGGAGGGAGTGGCAGTTGTACACCACATTTCACACTCATACGGTAGAAAAGAAGGAAACTTTACAGTCCTCAGCTGAACCAAAGCCTTCGTGTGTGCAACTGCTCATATTAATCATTTGTCGGCTAAAGCTCTCCTTCTCCCCTCAATCAAGTTTAGATTGTAAGGCTCCTTGGGGCAGGGACCTGCCTTTTGCTCCTCTCTCTCTGGACATACAACCAAACTGATGGTGCTATGTTGCCATCTTGGGGGTCCCTTTGAACAGAAAGGCAGGTTAGAACAGCTGTCACATGGAAGAAGGAACAAACTTGTTTTTTCCTGCCCTGCTGGAGGGTAGGATTCGAACAAATGGCTTCAGGTTACCAGAAAGGAGATTCTGATCCAACATCAGGAAAAACTTTCCGACAGTAAAAGCTATTTGACAGTGGAACGGTCCCCGTCAGGAGGTTGTGGACTCTCTTTCCTTGCAGATTTTTAAGCAGAGGTTGGATGGCCACATGTCATATATGATCTAGCTGAGATTCCTGAATTGCAGGGGGTTGGACTAGATGACCCTTGGTGTTCCGTCCAACTCTACAATTCTATGATTCTAAGTGTTTTTAATAAATCTAATATCTAAGCTACACAAACATTTTTCCCCATTCTACTTTTGCAGGATCATTTTCTCATTTTCTGTGATCCCAGAAGTATAATATTTCATAAATAACACCACATAATACATTCAACACCACTTTGGCATCCAGTGCAGGTGGTTTGTAATATACAAATGCTTGTATTACAGATACAAAATCCACACATAAGCGGCCCACAACTTATGCTTATTTACTCAGAGATCAGTCTACTGACTTCAAATGAGGCTTACTTCCCAGTAAGTGTTTTGAAGACTGCAATCATAACACCACCTATCTGAAATTAACCTCAATACTGGTAACTGCATTTATTTGCAAACATCCCAATTCATGCAAACTGGCATGAAACAATTCACTAATCCACACAATTTTTGTGGAATAGCAGGGCAATGTTTACTTAGAATCAAGTCCCAGGGAGATCAATTGGGCATACTCCCCAGTAAATGTGGATAGGGTTCTAGCAGCCTTACTAGGGTGGTCTACAGGTATGGCTGTGCATTTTGACCAGCACTGCGAAGCATCCTTGGCTCTTGGCTCACCAACACAGACACACCACACAACCCAACTAGGAAGGAAGGAAGGCAGCCTTCGCCTTGCTCTGGTTAGAGTTACAAAGCAGCCTTTCTGGCATCGTGGTTAAGGGTGTCGGATGAAGACCTGGGAGGCCAGGGTACAAATCCCTACCCAGTGATGCTCAATGAGTGACCTTAGGTGCCAGTCACTCTCAGTCCGACCCCCCTCACAGGATTGTTCTGAGGATAAAATTGGGAAGGGGAGAACTCTATGCACCACACTGAGCTCCTAAGAGGAATCATAGAATTGTAGGATTGGAAAGGACCTCAAGGGGCATCTAGTCCAACCCGATGCAATACCGCTAAATAATCCCTGGCAAATGACCATCCAACCTCTGCTTAAAAACCTCCAGGGAAACAGAACCCAGCACCTTCTAAGAGAGTCCATTCTACTGTCAAACAGCTCTTACCATCAGAAAGTCCTTCCTAATGTTTTTGCTCCATGTGACCCCTTCAGATACTTGAAGATGGCTATCATATGTCCTCTCTGTCTACTCTCCCTCAGGCTAAACATACTCAACTCCCTTAACCGTTCTTACAAGGCTTGGTTTCCAGACCCTTGATCATCTCGGTCACCTTCCTTTGCACATGTTGCAGCTTGTCAACAACCTTCTTAAATTGTGGTGGCCAGAACTGGACATGTTACTCCAGGTGGGGTCTGACCGAGGTTGAATAGAGAAGGACTATAACTTCCCTTGATCTGGACACTGTAACTTCTGTTGATGCAGCCTAGAATCGCATTAGCTTTTTTGGCTGCTGCATCCCACTGGAAAGAAAGGATAGAAAAACTGACAGAGCCAGTGGGTTGCAGTAGTTAAAGAGTGTCAGACTAGGACCTGGGAGAAAGCAGGGTTCAAATCCCCACTCGGCCATGAAGTTCACTGGGTGGCCTTGGATGCCAGCCAGCCACTGCCTCTCTCTGCCCAACCCACCCCCCACTGGGTTGTTTTGGGGGTTAACTGAAGAGGCAGAGAGGGGAAAAACAATACACACTGCCCTTGAGTCATAGAATCATAGACTTCCAGACAAAGCTGGAAGGGGTCCCGAGGATCATCTAGTCCAACCCCCTGCAACGCAGGAATCTTTTGCCCAATGTGGGACTCAAACCCGCAATCCAGAGATTAAGAATAATAGAACTATAGAGTTGAAAGGGACGCAAGGGCCATCTAGTCCAACCCCCCCTGCAATGCAGGAATCTTTTGCCCAGCATGGGACTCAAACCAATGACCCTGACCCCCAACTGACCTATCATGAAACCCACGGAGGAAAAATACGGGATATATTTGTAACAACGGATCCTAATCTGTGGCGCAGAGAACAGGTGGAGCCAAATCCAGAATAACCAACGACGCATGGGACGAAGACCTGGGTTCGAGTCCCGTCCCCCCACTCAGCTCACTGAGTGTCACGGGGGGGGGGGAGGCGCAACCACTGCCTCTCTCAGCCTAGCGCACCTCACAGTGTTGTGGAGATGGCAGGAGGAGGGCGGGGAGAGGAAACCATGTATGCCCACCGTCGGATTAAAAGGCGGGCTATGAATGCGACCAACGAAGCAGTCCAGCCAATAAAATAAATAAGTGGAGGGGCGCAGAGAGGGCCATTTGGGCCAGCGCCCCTGGAGGCGACCCTCTTGCCCTCCCCCCAAACACTGAGGGGTAGGGGAGCACCCCTTGCTCCCCCAAACACTGAGGGGTAGGGGAGCACCCCTTGCTCCCCCAAACACTGAGGGGTAGGGGAGCACCCCTTGCTCCCCCAAACACTGAGGGGTAGGGGAGCACCCTTTGCCACCCCCAAACACTGAGGGGTAGGGGAGCACCCTTTGCCACCCCCAAACACTGAGGGGTGGAGGAGCACCCCTTGCCCCCAAACACTGAGGGGTGGGGGAGCACCCCTTGCCCCCCCAAACACTGAGGGGTGGGGGGAGCACCCCTTGCCCCCCCCAAACACTGAGGGGTGGGGGGAGCACCCTTTGCCCCCCCAAACACTGAGGGGTGGGGGGCGCACCCCTTGCCCCCCAAACACTGAGGGGTGGGGGAGCACCCCTTGCCCCCCAAACACTGAGGGGTGGGGGAGCACCCCTCCCCCGAAACACCGAGGGGTGGAGGAGCACCCTTTGCCACCCCCAAACACTGTGGGGTGGGGGAGCACCCCTCCCCCCAAACACCGAGGGGTGGAGGAGCACCCCTTGTCCCGCAAACACTGAGGGGTGGGGGGCGCACCCCTTGCCCCCCAAACACTGAGGGGTGGAGGGAGCACCCCTTGCCCCCAAACACTGAGGGGTGGGGGGAGCACCCCTTGCCCCCAAACACTGAGGGGTGGAGGGAGCACCCCTCGCCCCCCCAAACACTGAGGGGTGGAGGGAGCACCCCTCGCCCCCCCCAAACACTGAGGGGTGGAGGGAGCACTCCTTGCCCCCCAAACACTGAGGGGTGGGGGGCGCACCCCTTGCCCCCCTCCCGCCCCTAGAGGCTCTTGGGGGCTCCTCCTCCCATCTATTCGGGGGCGCAGCCCTCCCTCCCCCCCCCCGCCCCGGTTCCCCTCTCCTCACCGGCCTGCGTGGTGTCGCTGAGGTCGTGGCTGGCGGCGCTGCCCCGCGGGTAGTCCCTCAGCTTCCTGCCGCTCAGGCTGAGGGCGCCGCTGGCCGCCGCCTCCTCCAGCGCCCGCTCCAACGAGCGCGTCCACGACGACGGGCCCGCCGAAGAGGCAGCAGCGCCTCCGCCGCCCCCCGAACCCAGGCCCCCTCCTCCTCCTCCTCCTCCCCCCGGCATGAGCGCCCCGGAGACCCCGCCGGAGCAGCCGCTGCTTCCTCCGCCCGCGCCGCCGCCGCCGCCCTCCGACGCCGCCGCCGCCGCCAGCACCGCGGCCGCCATTTCCCCCACCCCCCGCGCTCTCCTCCCTCAGGAGCCCCGCCAAGCTGCGCATGCTCCGCGGAAGCCGCCGGCCGGGGAAAGGGAGGGGAGGCGGGCCGGGCGGAGAGGGCGGAAGCGCGCACTGAGGGCGACACGGAAGGGGAACGCGCCTGCGCGGAGGAAGGAACTGGGCGGGGCAAGGGCTGAGTTAGACCCGAACCTGGAAGGTTTTTCTTTCTGCTGAACTACAACTCCCGTCATGCTGCGCTGGGGCTGATGGGAGTTGGAGTCCCACAAGCTCATTTTTCTGGCTTTTAAGTTATTTTTTAAAGCAGTTTTTGTACTGAGTTTCCATGCTGTAAACCTACCCAGTGATGGGCGGGAAGCAAATAAATAAATAATTTTTTTAAAAATTAAATAAAATTAAATAAAATTAAATAAAATTAAATAGCCGAAGGCCATGGCAATTCCATGCAATCATAAAATAAGTAAATAAAAAGATATACAGGTTGCCCACTTCTGACGCACCTTTTCGCCCCAATGAATGAAGTGGTGTATTATTTTGAATAGTACAAATAGTTGTGTCATTTGTGGGGGTTTTGTGTTTGCGTCTATCCTTCATTTATTGCAATGCATAAAATATTGTTTATTTTTGTAAACCATCTTTCCGCCCTTTGGAGCTCAAAGCAATGTACAACAAAAAATAAAAACATAGTCATAACAACCAATAATTAAAATAACCGACCAATGCCTAAAACAAAAAATCTGAATGCAGCAGGCAATAATATTGGAACTTTAAAGAATTCCTTATTTCCAGTTATGTCCCAGGGCAAACAAGTGCATCTTTGATCAGTTACGGAACCTGATCAATGGGGGAGTCCAACCCAACTTTCCGAGTGAGGGAATTACAAAATGGGGCACCAAGAAAGCCCTACTTTGCATGAACTATGCCCATCAGTGGCACTACAAAGAGGACCTCCCCACTGACCTCAAAGCGCGGGCCGGCAGTTGAGGGGAATATATTAAAAAGCTGCAGCTATTCCAACCCTGACACCCTTATCCAGAAAACTGTATCCACAGTTACTGTGAATAAAAAGCCTCGTAATCATAAGGCTTATACCACTTAACCCGAGTGGTGTAAAATGTGACAAGAATGGCACAGCTGCATCCCCTTGCATTACTAGGTCAGCAGGATTTCATAGAATCATAGAGTTGGAAGAGACCACAAGGGCCATCGAGTCCAACCCCCTGCCAAGCCGGAAACACCATCAGAGCACTCCTGACATATGGTTGTCAAGCCTCTGCTTAAAGACCTCCAAAGAAGGAGACTCCACCACACTCCTTGGCAGCAAATTCCACTGTCAAACAGCTCTTACTGTCAGGAAGTTCTTCCTAATGTTTAGGTGGAAACATGCCCAGCTCCCTTAGCCGTTCCTCATAAGGCATCGTTTCCAGGCCTTTGACCATTTTGGTTGCCCTCCTCTGGACACGTTCCAGTTTGTCAGTGTTCTTCTTGAACTGTGGTGCCCAGAACTGGACACAGTACTCCAGGTGAGGTCTGACCAATTGAATAAGGGGGCAAACCAATGGCAAGATCTGCCAGGATGCAGATCTCTGGCTCAGCCTGCATTAAGCCCCCAACCTTCACTCTGCTGAAAATACTTTTGCATACTGTAACTTGCTCAGCTGACTGGGACGAGGTCCGAGTGGTCAGACCAGAGAGAATCCCTAAACCCATTCATCTTCGTCAAGTGACTTATGGACGCCACTCTTTTCAAGGCTTGCTTTCCCTCTGCCAAGGTCAGGCAGCAGCAGCAGCAGCCTACCTTCTTGCGTTTGAATGTCACCCTCCAACTGGGATACAACTCTGCATTAGCTTTGATAAAGCAATAACTGTATGATTTCCCCCCCACCCCCACCCAAAGGCCTAAACCTGTAAGCTAACCCCTGCACAACCTTGCCCCTTAGCCTTTTCTCACGATGATCCTCCTTGGTTAGCTGTTCATTTGGGGAATTTGCAAGCGGTTAAAACATCAAAGGGCTTTTCACACTGCCCAGGTTTAAAATGTGCTGCCTTCTCAATTGCTTTGGGTAGAGATGCTGGTATTCCTCTCTCCATGAAGGTTTGTCTTTGCAATAATCAGGAGGTGGGAACATGTTATTTTGCAGATTATTGCCCCTTTAAAGACCCAACCACCAGTAAGGTACCTCCACTTTCTGAGGCAGCAGTGCTTTTGACTTTCACTTGCTGGGAACTGCTGAAGGGGAGAGTACTGTTGCACTTGAGTTCTGCTTGGGGGCTTTTTACAGGTTTCTGGTTTGGCTACTGTGAGTACGTACAGGATGTGGGGCTAGATGAGCTGTGGGGCTAGATGGGCTGTTGGCCTAACCCAGCAGGACTTTCCTTGATCTTAAGGTCTCAGCTTTATGTTAAAATCCCAAAGGTGTCATTGGTAGTGCCATGAATTTTATCAGTCGCTATGAGAATAAGGGGACAGTTGAAAGCAGTAATGCTTATGGTATACCAGTCATTAGAACATTATTTGCATTTTTCTGGCACAGATCATGAGTTAAGATCATTGTGAAGAGTGGAGCGTTAAACATGTATTCCTGATTTAAGTACTAAGTTGGCCTTTGTTGAAGAATATGGAGCTGCAAAATTCATATCTAAGTACACACAAATGCAAACTTGTAACACTTTTATTTTTAAAAAGTCCAACAGCTTTAGAATAGATCCAAATGTATTAACTTCTCCAAAAAAAAAAAAATACCCAAAGGTAGAGTTTAAAGCATATTCTCCTTAAATACAAACTAGCTCTCTTGAGATGCATTGCATCAATGTTTTGCATCCATCTTGATGCAAAAGGTTTTTTTTTTTAAGTACATCCTGGTAGAAACCAAACACAGGATGATCATAAGCATATTTATCTACTTCATTTCTAATGGACTTCAACAGAATCCCTACTAACCGAGTAAAAAACAACAACACAAAAGGAGGAGCTTTAATATTCCAGTTTTTCCCATTGCAAAGGTATAGAAGGTATTTCAAATAATTAAAAACAGAAGATGATGAACATTAAATTGTCATGGAGGCATGACTACATAAAAACTGCTCTAAAGGCAGCCTTGCTACTGCCAAATATTTGTTTTGATCTCCACAATAAACTATTTTTTAAAAGAAATGTCAAAGAAAAACAAAGATCAAGTTACATATATCAGGTTTCTGAGACTAAGCAAACCTGGCCTCCTTTTACCTAGGTGTGCCTCCCAACACACCCACTATGGACATTTTAAATCCAGGAAGTAGGAGCTGTCCTCACAGGCAATTATGTTGAAATCAAAATCCAGCGCACATGAAGTTTGTGTGTGTGTGTGTGTGTATGGCGACACCACCACTTTTGATCCCTTGAAGCAACAGGAAGGTGCCTTGAACCTCACAATGCTCACCTGGTGGGTCTGCCACTAGGTATACGAGTCACAAAAGTGCCACATTTGTACAACACAACAGAGCGACAACCCAAATAACTGATCCGGTAACATTGAATGGTCATCAAAGCATCGTTTCAGCCGATGAATATCTGAAGCAAACTCACAGCTTTAAAAAAAAGAGAGGGGGAAATAGCTTGTATGCACCCTGTATGGTCCTTTCTCGAGGATGTGGACTAGGTTCTTGCTGTGGCCTCATGTGAGGCCCTTGTTCTATCACTTAAGGGGACGAGAATGACCGCTACGCCTTTTCATCGCCAAGAAAAGCTGGATTCTTACTTGCTGCCTCGGATGCCAAACAATTTAGCTTCTAGTGCCAGATGAACTGCAGAGCTTGAGTGAAAGAAAGATCTGTGAGCCAAAGTAACGGAAAGGCCAGCAGCAGCAGCAGCAGCAGTCAAGTGCTGTCCGCTGCAAACGTTTTAAGCAAATTTCGGCAGCCAGGGGCACAAAATGAAATGACACAGCTTTGCAAGAGCGGGTAGAGCAAAGACTGACCTCTCACCACCTCTGTCGGCTGCTTAAGAAACCAAAATAAGAACAACTGGCTTTGCCCCCCCTCATTCAGGAGCTTATGTGGACCCTTGCAGTCCAGCCAACAGGATGCTGTTTTCCAAGCAACACTGAATTTTCTCTTTTTATGGTCCACTATCATGTGAGGGTGTTCTCTTTTTAACTATTCAGAGTAGAAGCCGTTTAAAAACAAAATTCAGTTTATCAGTATCTTGACACAAAGTCCAACTTATTTTTCGGCCCACTGCTAGTTCAGTTCCTTAGAAAAGATAGGGTTCCCCTGAACAGGCCCTCTAGCCCACAGTCACGAAACGGCTGCCTTTGTTCTGGGAGAGAGCCGTTCTCTGCTCCTTCAGGATCCCAAAGCGTTCGTTGAGGGTCATGTTTGTCTGTGAACAAAGGAGGACGTAAATCAGTACAGCAGTCACCCATCAAGCAGGCCAAAATTATGGTGCCTGGTTAATATTTCAACCAGTTCCCCTAGCACATTTAACACACGTGCTAAGCTTCAACTACAGTGGGGGACCTTGGAGAAGATACGGGTTGGTGGGTTAGGTGAGAAAACAGAAATTAAAGAGTAGTGTTCTAATTGTGTGGAGAGTCTGAAGGTGTTCGGAGCACTCGCAAGCAGGGTTCGAAATTAGCAGGGCGCCAGGCACATTTTGCACCTAAAGATTCTCCGTTTGCGAGCACCTCCCAAAGTCTGGGTGCCGTTTTTTGCGCCTGGCTGACACCCAAGGATTACTGAAATGTATGTGCTTTGAAACCTCGAAATTTATGTTAAGGATAGACAATATGTTAAGGAGTTTAACATTAAAGAGAAGAGTGTTTTGAAAACTGAAGTATGGTACCAATATTTTTATAGTGAACACTAAACTAAACATGTATTAACCGTTTCTGCTAAAAATGTGATATTAACAATGTGTCACTTATGTGAACTGCATATGTATTAGTTCATGCTTATCAAAATAATAAAAAGTGTTGCCAACGCCCCCAACCCCCAGTAGCGACTAGATGTTCTGCTTTCGCGCCCACAACCCAGGTCCTAGAAGCCATTTGGCCTCTAGCTCTTCCATCCCAGTTTTTAACACTGCTTGCAAGAAAGCGCAAAGAAGAACCCAGCAAGCAGCAGAGGAGACACCGCATTCCTATGCTTCGGGTCACTATCTGGAAGAACCAAACAGGCCCAATGGTCTCCTCCTCTTGACCCTGCAGGGCCTGACTGGCAGTTTGTTCAGCCTCTCTCCAACCAGGGGCTCCCAAGTGAGTGAACAGTGTTTTTTACTCCAATCCAGCTCCATGGATGGTGCTTCCCACCAGTTCTCTGCATCCAGCCAGTCCAAGACAGGAACTCGGCTGCTCTGCAATTCCACGGCAAGATCCAAAGTCCAATAAAGAACCCATGGAGCCCGTTTTACTGTCAACAATGAACACCCATTTTATCTGGAAGCAACCAACCTGCTTTCCGACACTGTTGATATCAAACTGCAGCGGGACCCCTTTGGGAATCTTCTTCTCTTCCGACTGGTCCTTCTTCAAGAGGAAGGGAGGCACGGGAGTGCTGGTCAGCCTTGGCTTCAAAGAACTGTGGGAAAAACACATGGCACACTGAACAGGGTCAAAGGAAATGTCGATTTTCACCAAACTGTAAAAGCAGAGGAGACAAACACTACCTATTGCTTCAAGCAAGGGGGTGGAACTGGGTGATGAACACAGTTTGTCACCAGCCATGTACTTTTCCTTAGCTCCCACCACTATTCCCATCAACCAGGAGATTCCAGCGCAAGATGAAGCTAATTTTACTCACATGGGGGATGGGACTGCGCCAGGATTGTCAATGGATACAGTCAAAATCCCTCCATTTGTAGTGGATGTTCGCCATCTGTTTGGGAAAGCACAAGACCCAGTTGACCCAGTAAATCCTCTTCTAATATTACATAGTTTTTCTATCCTGCCTTTCATCCAACACAGGAACACAGTGTGTCTCATAACATAAACTACACGAAATTGAATATACACATACTATAAGCACAAATCGGAGCCATAAAATAATAATCTCCAGAATCAGCATCAACTTTAAAGACCCAAAGGCTTGGAGGAACAACTAGTTTTAAACTTGTACCTGGATAGTCCTAATGTGGAAGATGGTCAAAAATCATTCAAAACAGTTTCCATAAGCTATATAAGCACTCATTTCTCACTAGCTGATGTTTTAACTATGGGTCATAACGTAAACTTTATGATCCCAGGTAAAGCAGGATGAGGAAATCTGTGGCCCTCCAATGTTGCTGGACTCCCATCAGCCCCAACCAGCATGGCCAATGAGCAGGGCATGATGGGAGTTGTAGTTCAGCAACACCTGGAGGGCCAAAGGTTCCCAAGGACTGAGCTAAAGGGTGTTCTGAAAAGACCAGCTGTACAGGAAGTTTGCTTCAAATTCCCACTTTAGATAAATTCATTGATAGTGCAAAAGGTCAGACTTAGACAAGCAACAGCCTTTTTTAATAGGCTACTTGCATTCCTGGTTGCCTCAACCAATCCACCCTGGGCTCAGATGCGGGCACCCTTTTCAGGAGCTCAGCAGTTTCCCTTTGCTCGAGGCTGCTCCTCGAGACAACATTTGACAACAGCTGGCCTAGCATGTAGGGCTTTCCTTACCCAACAGCCAGACCACCAATGCTAGGACACCAGTTTCTAAAAGCAGAGTGATTTTCAAAAGAATGGGTTTTAAAAAGGATTAGACAAATTCAATAAGGCTGCATAGCTGTCAACCGTCCCTTATTTGGCGAGAAACTCCCTTATCCCAGCGCCGTGTCCCACTGCTGTCCCTTACTGATGATGTCCCTTAAATTTCCCAGGTTTCAAAGGAAGCAGCTCCTCTCCCTCCCTCCCTGCCGGCCAGGGAGGAGGGAGGCTCCAACTGTGTTGCTTGGCTGCCCGGCCCGCCCCCCTCTGGCCTCCTCTCACCAGCTTCGGCCCCCGGGAGCCCCTCCCCGCTGGGACTGAGGAGCCTTGAGAGGAGAGCGAGGGCAACCATAGAGAAAGCAGTCCAGACAGAGGAGGAGGAGGAGGCGGAGGCGCAGGCAGGTGTTCCAAGGGCTAACCATAGAGGGGGAAAGCGGAGGAAGGACCACAAGCGCTTCTCCCATAGATTTGTAGTGGTAGACTAGCATAGATGGTCTGATCTGCGGGTTTACTTTGGGCGCTATTCCCCCCCCCCTTCCTCCCAATGGAACTGAGAGCTGCAGATGGAGCACGAGAGAAAAGATACAGAACTGCAGCAGCATCTTCGTAGCTTAGACTTCGTTTTGCGTGAAAAGTGGTTGCTGCTTGTAGTTATTTAATTGCAGTGTTTCATCAGCTGGTGTCTTGAGCAGCAACCTCTGGAAACGAAGGGCTAAAAACTGGCGCTGCTCTCCAAAATTATCTGGTCCCTTTTAACTTCGCATTTCAGCTGGTTGACTAAAATCCCTTATTTTGGCTGCTGATCCCTTATTTTCAAGGCTGCTGGTCCCTTATTTTCAAATCTAGAAGTTGACAGCTATGAGGCTGATGATGGCGACTAGCCATGATGACTATGTTCTCCCTTCTCTGTTGGAGGCCCCCTGCGTCTGAATGCCAGCTGCTGTGAATCACAAGCCGGGGTGTGTACTCAGATCCTACTTGCATGCTTCCCATTGGGGCATCTGCTTGGCCACTGTGAGAACAGGATGCTGGACTAGATGGGCCACTGGCCTGGTCCAGCGAGCTCTTACACTTCTTTCAAAAAGGTTGCAATTCTGCACAGTCTGTTCCTGTGTGGGAGGCCGCTGTCCCTAAACACACGCATGTGCACATCCTTCAGAGCACTTGGGGACTCTCCTTTTCTGGAAGAAGCTCCTGTTTCCTCTTAGCAAACAAGTCCAATAAGGAAGGTAGCTTCATCCAGAATGCAGAAGTAGCCACAGCAAAAAGTCCCCTGTTTTATAAGAAAACAAATTAGACTGCAATTTTAAGCTACCAACCATTTGAGTGAAAGAGGCTGGTTGGTAGTCAAGATCAGCAGGAGTTCAGAAACCTTCAGGCTGAGTTTGGTGGCACCGCTCAGCTTATGGTAAGGCTTTCAACAGTGGAATGGGGTAGAAAGCAATTTTTTTTGTGATTTCCCCCCTAACTCTTGCAGCTTCCCACCCCCCATAAATCTGCTCTACGGGTTTGGGGGATCTTCCAGAGCAGATGGTGCATCACTGAAATTACTTCCCTCCCTTTTCTTCTTCTGCCATCAGAAGAAACACTGTTTGATACAACCCCTTCCACGTTCTCTACCTACTGACAACTGCCTCCTGCTTCCTTCCCCTTCTTCTTCTGGTGCCTGTCCTGTGGCAAGTGATAGATTGTAAGCTCCTAGGGACAGGGACCTGCTCACTTGTACACCACAAAGCACAATGAAACTACTGATTTCAAAATGGCATTGATTTTTTTATTTCTTAACATTACTCCACAAGGATGCATATGAGGCATCTAGTTAACAGATACATACCAGTTACTGAGCAAAAAACTGCCCATTAAACACTGGACTGCTGGTATTCTTATTCTTATTCCCCACCCATCTAGCTGGTTCTCTCCAGCTGCTGTGGGCTGCTTACAGCACATATTCTACAGATCCGAGAGCAGTCAGAGAAGAAAACAGGGCATTAAAGACCTCTGCTTTCTACAATGCCCAACCAACCAAGTTTCCTCCTTACAAACGCTCTGTTTCTCACTGCCAGCAGCCCGGTCCCAACCTTCATTCAACATTTGGGGATGAGTAGCATACTGTCTGGGCGGGACACGGGTGGCACTGTGGTGTAAACCACAGAGCCTAGGGCTTGCCGATCAGAAGGTCGGTGGTTCAAATCCCCGCGACAGAATGAGCTCCCGTTGCTCGGTCCCTGCTCCTGCCAACCTAGCAGTTCGAAAGCACGTCAAAGTGCAAGTAGATAAATAGGTACCGCTCCGGCGGGAAGGTAAACGGTGTTTCCGTGCGCTGCTCTGGTTTTGCCAGAAGCAGCTTAGTCATGCTAGCCACATGACCCGGAAAAACTGTCTGCGGACAAACGTCGGCTCCCTCGGCCAGTAAAGCAAGATGAGCGCCGCAACCCTAGAGTCGTTCGCGACTGGACTTGACTGTCAGGGGTCCTTTACCTTTTTTTAGCATACTGTCTGATCTTATGCATGCTTCAGAAATTCAGTGGGGCTGCTCCCAAGTAAAAGTGTACGGAGGACATCTACAAAACCTTCCCCACTTGGAAAGCAAGTGGCAGGCATACAACAGTTTCATTTTCAGAACTGGTGACATACCATATTATGACAGCGTGTTCAGAATATGAGACCATCCCTGATTTACACTGGAAGCCCACCCTTTCTGAAGCTCCCTGCCACCATTGCAGCAGGCCACTGCTCCTGCCTCCCAGCTCAGCAACACCCCAAAGCCACCTCCCAAATCAGACAGACATCCAGTGCCCTCGATACGCCCCATGAATATTTGGTTGCAGGGGCCAACGGTGGTCTAAAAAGCCACAGTCTCAACACACATGCATTACTGCCTCCACAACTGCTCTGCCAAATAAACTGGAACACTTACGGGCGAGTTCTGTTTGTGACCTGGGCGCTTAGGTCATCTTCTGGATGGACTTGGGCCTGCACCTGCCGGAGGAGGAAAGAAAATACCGGTAGAGAAAATGAGAAAGCTGAAGATGTTTTTTGGTGGGGAGGGAAGACTTATTCAGGAGACAACTATAGACTTAGTCTAGGTCACTGGAATCTGACCAACACATTCCAACAGGGTTGGGGTTTCTGGGTGTGAGTGTTTCTACAGAGATTCATAAAGGGATTTGCATGACAAACAGGCATTTACGAAGCTTGTTGGCACTGTGACATGACGGGTTACGTCTCTTTTTTGTGATTTTGAATTTTATTGTTATTCACATTTTTATACTGTATTTTATGCTACTTTTATAAATAAGTGTTTTAAATTTGTTGTTAGCCGCCCTGGGCCTGGTTTTTGAACCGGGAAGGGCAGGGTATAAATAAAAATTTATATTTATTATTATTATTATTTATTAATTATTATTATTATTATTGGGATTTAACCAATTTGTTAGCCATTTTGAATACAAATAGCAAAAGGTGCAATATAAAGATTTCAAAATAAAACGACACGCAAAACATACAGATACAGAACGAACACTCAAAGAGGCTTAGTGGACCCCAAAAGTCAGTCAACTGGTGGGAGATCCCTTCCCCTCCACTCCATCCCATTCTGAAATGCTGCTTCTTCAAGTGTCATCTACACTCTGCCCCCAAACCTGGCTAGTAGGGCATGTCATTTTAGGGGGTGAAACTTAATTTTTGCTAATTTCTTCGGTGAGCGATCTTAAAAATACGTTTTTGTTTGTGAGGAATTCAAATTTGCTATTATTTTGTGATTGGACAACATTTAGCTTGGTAAATCTATGTTTGATTAAAAAGTACAAGAAACTGCTCTTGGAAAAAACAAATAAATTTAAATTTACCTTCTGAAAATATCAGATAACGCTTAAATACTACTACTACTGCATAAAATAACTGCAAGTACCGTACTTGGCAATAATTTTTATTTATTTCTATGCAATTTCACACACATTTTACTTACCACACAAGACTATATACTGATTTAACCAAAATATTTTTTAAATTTCCAAGTCACGTTACAACTTTTTAGCACCCCTCAGTTTTGGAATTTGAAAGCTGGAAAAAATCAACATGCCCAACTGGCCAGCATCAGCCACTGTGGGTCCCACCTTCTGCAAGCCAGCAGGACTGGCTTCCTCCCTGCCTCTTGCTCTTTCCAGCCATGTATATGTAGCATGGGGACACGGGTGGCGCTGTGAGTTAAACCACAGAACCTAGGACTTGCCAATCAGAAGGTCGGTGGTTCGAATCCCCGTGACGGGGTGAGCTCCCGTTGCTCAGTCCCTGCTCCTGCCAACCTAGCAGTTCGAAAGCACATCAAAGTGCAAGTAGATAAATAGGTACCAGTCCAGTGGGAAGGTAAACGGCGTTTCTATGCACTGTTCTGGTTCGCCAGAAGCAGCTTAGTCATGCTGGCCACATGACCCGGAAGCTGTACGCCGGCTCCCTCGGCCAGTAAAGCGAGATGAGCGCCGCAACCCCAGAGTCGGCCACGACTGGACCTAATGGTCAGGGGTCCCTTTACCTTTATCTATATGTAGCTAAGCTGTGTGTCTGGTAACTCACTGCCTAAGATGCTCTCCCGCCCCAAAACTGTTTTGAGCCTCCCCACCTTCGTTCTCCCTGCCTGAACTGCCTCTTCAAACCACTCACGTTCCCCTGCATGTGACCCCCTGCCTCACTTTACAATTCTCCAGCTTTGTTCCAAGTGGGCAGGCTGAGAACCACTTGTGCTCCCTTCAACAGCCACTCCGGTTGCAAACTTATCTGGCGTTCCAGAGAACTCTGAGTCTTTCGCCGACTGCAGAAACGAGACGTACTCCAATTTGTACCCCTTTTTTTGGCTCAGAACTTTTGTTAAACTGCCAGCCGTGTCTATGCACGCCCTGCGCTCTCCAAGTTTGCATCCACAAAGAGTGTGAAAGTTTGGTCCTGGTACTGCATCTCTGGCATTCCATCACGCCTTTAGGCTGAAGAAGGCTCTGGGATGGATTTCTTCAATAAACACACCTCTGTGATGTTGGGAGACAGCTTTACTCGGTCAGAACAACAGCGGCTGCTGGGGAACCCACAAAAGTAGAGTCTGCAGGCCTATAAATTACACAGGCTTCTACAGAGGCATTTCCTAGCCTGGCTTCACACAAGCATAGAAATCAAGTCACGATCTCTGGGGAGAAGTATGTCTGCATTATCATCAGAGCTGGATGCCTGATTCAGTGAGAACAGGGCCTCTGCTCTCTATCAAACTAGCTCATGGCCGAGTTTTTCCTGCACCGATGCTTTTAATACAGCCGTCGGAAGGCTCAGTCACGACAAATAGCACACAGGCATGTATGCAACTCTTTTAGTGCCAATGACCGAAACCTTATGATCTAATGAAAAGTAGCATCTGAAGGAGAACATGGCTATATATAAAACACACAACTTTAGCCAAGTTTTCTTCAAACTCTATCCAGATGGTCAGATTATGTCGAAGAGAGAGGTGCAGGGGAAGAGAACACCACTCTCGCTCTGCCTCCTACAGTACCTTCAGGCCCCTCTTAAAAAGGAAAGTGGCTTGGCGTGCGTCTTTCTGCTGGTAGAGCTTATTCCCGATCCGGGCAGAAGGGGACTGTACGTTGGTTCTGTAAAACATCCACAAAGAATCGTCAGCACCATCGATGTTACAGGGTGACGCAACCAGGACAGGCAAGTGCCGTGCCCCAAGGAGATCACAATCTAAATCAGGGATGGGATGCGTTATGTTCCAGGAAACCTTCCAAGGGCTGTATGCCAGCGGTGGGAGGATCAGGAACAAAAGCAGATGGAGCAAGCAATGCTCCTTTCCCCACATGCCACTCGCCAGCCTCCATTTTTCTAGGCAAGGAAGCAGCACGGTCAGAGTTTGTGGCAAAGGCAGGCAAAGCACTCAAGGCACATGCAGAGCAAACCACAAGACCTTTGCAAACGGCATATGGCTCTCACCTTCTGTTTAACAAAGTAGGCCTCCTGAGAATGGCTCCTTGCTTTCTCTGCAACTCAGATTGTCTTTGGACGGTGGTCTTCCTTTTCAAAACCGAGTAGTCCCGCTGTATGTTCTTCAGGAAGAGAGACGTTAAAAAATTAGGTACACACATTTCCAGCAGTGTTAGTCTGTTGCAGCAAAAAACCCAAGACGTTCAGAAGCTGCTTAACTAATAGCACAATCCTAACCATGTCCACTCAGAAGCAAGCACTGTATAAATTAATGGTGCTTCCTCCCAGGTGTGCAGGATTAGGACTGCAGCCTCTGTGTGATACCCAACTAGGGTAGAGCAATTACGTTCACTGACTGCAACGGGTCTACTCGGAGTATGGACAAATGCTAACTCTCATCCAAAAACTGTCTCTGCCACCTGATGCACTACAGATTGTTTCAAACTCTATCTGCCATGCTGGCTGGGGCTGTAATCCAACATCTGAAAGGTACCAGGTTCTCTGTTTCATTAATATATTTATACCCTACCTTTCTTTGAGATGGCTCACAACGCAAACACAATTAAATTTAAAAACCCTGCAATATCCAAACAGAGCAGCTGAACGAGGGGTAACTTAAAACAGGAGCAATAAAGTTAGCGTAAAAATGCCACCTTCTTCCCTGCCAGCCTACCCCTGCCCCAATATCTGAGAGGAGGGTCTTTCTCTGTGTCCCAAGTATGGTGGATGTTAAGCAGATCGGGGCCAGAGAAAGAGCCTTCTCTGTGGTGGCGCCTGAACTGCTTATGCCCCACACATACCTATGGCCCTTCATGTGTATATACACATTTCATAAGGCCTGCTAGAAGTTTTCTCCAGTTGCATTTAGGACATCTCGGCTCTCCATCTGGGCCACTGAAACCTCATTATTTTGAGCAAGGCACCTTTCATAGATAACAAATGGGCATCTGGATATAGGACTTCTCAAAAAGTCTCTTCTGTTTTGGATGGGGTGAAGTGCAGTCGATGCATCTTTGTGCCTTTATGTTTAGCCACTTAATGTGCTGTTTCTCTATACTGGGGTGAAGTACGGAAGTTTGTTTCATCTGACTTTCGAAAATCTGCTTCTGGCCAGCAGAGCTGCTTTAGCATCTCAATCTGCAGATCATCTGCTACTAATCTGCTGCCAGGCATGTTGGTTTGGCTGCGACTTTTTACTATTTGTAAACTTCATAAGCTTCCTTGACAAGTGCGGGACGGGATGGTCAAAGTCCAAAAATAAAAGTGTCGCGTGACACATACTATGTGAACGATTCTCCAACAGCTCACAAAAGCCGAGGAAAGTGAAAGTAATGCTTAAGTCACCCTTGTAAGTTAGTCCAAAAGAATTGCTAGGGCACAATATTGCTTTTTCTAGCCCATCTATTCATGCTTGCCATATTACTCATTGGTTGCCTACAACTTAGAGAACACAGAAATGTCCTGCCTCCCCAACTCCACCTGCCAGGGCAAGGGTCAGAACAACTCTAGCCCACCAGAGGTGAAATTAGTGGGGACAAAACACAGGGCCTTTCTGACCACACAGCAGCCTGGGTTGTTTTATTTGGGGGGGGGTGTCCTGCTTTTGCTTTGCATTTTTCATTTCTTCCTTCTTTCTATTGGATTTTTAACGTTATTTGTTTTGCTGTTTGGCATATGATTGTTTTAAGCCACCTTGGGGGTCCCCTACAGTGCCACGTGTGGCTGGGAACCCCTCTGGTTTCCTGCAGTCTAATCAGGAAGTGAATCTGGGGAGAAGTGCCCCACTCGGATAGCCCCTTCCCAATTACAACTTACTGCCAGCAGAGCAAGTGGACCACCCAATGCGTGGATCCCCTCCCCCCTCCAGGCAAGGAAACTGGCTCTCACCTTTGCCCCTCTGGATTTCCTTTGGCTCAGAAAAAACCTCCATCATAGTTTGGTGCAAACCACACACTTTCAGTTGGAAAGAGTAGTCACTTGCCTCAGAGTGTTACTGGAGGTGAGAGCACCTCTGCCCATAGAAAGAGAGCGGAATACATGGAATGGGACCCAATGCAGCTGCTCCATTCATGGATGAAGCCTTGCACTCTCGGAAAAGGGGGTGCTGAGAGGGGAGGAACTCCACCAGATCCCACCTCAAGGAAGAGGCATTCTTACACTGCTGCCCAGAAAAAAGATGGGTACGTTTTCGCCCCAAAGCCCCCACACATACCTTTTCACTGAGAGGCGATCTGTTGAGGGGGCTGATGCCTTTGTGAGAGCCCAAGGCTTTCCTTGCCGCTAGCCCGGTTTTGACTCCATAGGGAGGCCTCTTTCCAGCCACCCGTTTTCTGCGTCCTAAACGGTTCTTTCCAAAACCTGAAATGGCATAAATAGGAGACAAAAAGTGAGCCAGTGGCACAGAAGCAAGTAAGCATGCCTCGGTCAAGACTAGCGAAGGAACACCGGCAGAGATTTTAAAAATATATTTGGGGGAGGGATTCCCTTTCCATATTTATTTTAGAAAAAAATCTGGGAGGAAATTAATAAAAACCCTTGTTTTCTTAGCAGATCTAAACTTGTGTGCATCACAGGCACATATCCTGGAGCAAGTCAGCATATGGAAATCGTTGCCACAGAGGTCTGTGGCTCCCTAGCAAAGATACTTGAAGAGGATAAATTGGCACACAGGGGAACAGCTCCATCCACATCTCATAGCAACACCACCAAAAAACACAGCTTTCATTATCAAAGGGATTCCATTCCCCAATACCAGATGCTGGGGCTTAACACCAAAGGAGGATTATGTCTCAAGTCTTGCCGGTAAACCTTTGTAAAACATCTGGCTGGCTGCTGCAAGTATCAAAAATATTGAAAAAAATAACTTGGGTTGACAGTGCATCGCAATTCTTATACGGGGACAGGAGGCAGAGCCGTTTCGAAAGTTCAGCAACAGGACAAACTCCATCGGGGTCCTCCTGATCCCACACTGTTTCTAATCCAGTTCATCATTTTAATAACTTCTATTTAACTTGAAAAACTGGTGCGTGGGTCTGCTTTTTTCCTCCTCCCTAACCATCCCTTTTTTGTTTTGTGTTGTGTCGGGCAGATTGTAAGCCCGCAGGCAAGAGACTGTCTTGCTTTAACTGATGGTGCGTAAGTCACTCTAGAAGGCTCTTTGGCTGAGGGGCAGGGTAAAAATGTTCCAAAAAGTACTTTACTCTTTTAAAAGGGCAAAATGCATTATGTAATACTTAGCACATAAACCTGTACAGGCTGTTCTACTTTTGAGTATATATTAAGGAAAATGTTATTTATCACCTGCCTTTAAAAAAAGGCAGGTCTCAAACAACCTTGACATTTTACTGTCCCGATACAAAATATGTCCCCGGTGTTTCAGAAAAAAAGCAAGCAAAACTACCTACCTGTGTACTCCTGAATTCCCCATTTGGTTCTCCTCATCCGGAATTGCCGCTTACCAGCCTGTTGAAGCCCCCTCTTCATTCTGGGAGAATACTGCTTCCTCTCTTCTTTCTTATTCAGTTTAATTATATCATCTGCGAAACACATAGCAAGAATTTAAGTACTGAACACTTCTCACTGTGGGGGACAAAAACAGCAACCCATGCATGATTTGTTATTTTTAAAAAGCCTCAGGTTTTCACTTAAGTAAACTCTCAAATTTGTTAAGTAAACTCCCGGAATAGATTTGTAAACCTTTAGAAACTTTTCTGGAATTGAGAACCTTTCTGGAATTGTGTACAGTGGTGCCTCGCAAGACGAAATTAATCCGTTCCGCGAGAGTCTTCGTCTAGCGGTTTTTTCGTCTTGCGAAGCAAGCCCATTGACGGATTAGCGCTATTAGCGCTATTAGTGGTTTAGCGGCTATTAAAGGCTTAAAGGCTTAGGGGATTAGCTGCTAAAAGGCTATTAAAGGCTATTAAAGGCTTAGCAGATTAGATAAAGGGGGGGAAAAGCGAAAAAAAAATCTCAAGACTCGCAAGATATTTTCGTCTTGCGAAGCAAGCCCATAGGGGAATTCGTCCTGCGAAGCAACTTCAAAACGGAAAACCCTTTCGTCTAGCGGTTTTTCCGTCTTGCGAGGCATTCGTCTTGCGGGGCACCACTGTAATGGGATTAATTGAGTCCTTGTCTTCAGCCAGCCTCCCTCCCTTGTTTCAATAGGGGCCTGGGTCTGCCACCCTTCTCTGTAGAGCCATGTGCATAGATGGTGCTATATACATACATTAACCCTGCCAAATAGCTCAGTCGGTAGAGCGTGAGGCTAGATGACTCTCGTGGTCCCTTCCAACTCTACTATTCTATGATTCTATACATACAAAATTAGGTTTAGCTGCAATGCAGCGTCCACTGCCATGTATGATGCTTGTGGGAAAGCCCAATCTCTCCATCTGAGGAGTGGCCACAGACGGCACACGCTCCTTGCATGCAGAAATTCCCAGGTTCAACCTCTGGCATCTCACAGGTAGAGGAAGATGCTCTTCTGAGGACCTGAGAGCTGTTGCCAGTCAAGTGTGGTCCAGACAGTCAGCAACCTGACAATGAAAGGCTGCTTCATATGTCTTGTAATCCCTGCTCTTCACACCTGCTCTTTTTAAAATGGGGTTAGGTGAGTTTAGCCCAGTGTATCGCCCAGAGTGCTACACAGCCAGATAGCACTCTGAAAATTGCATTTATCACATATTTGTGATAAACTGAACTCCTTTTAGAAGGCTGCTTCAATCCCATGAGATTTACACATGGCGTACACTGCAGAATCTATAGGGTGACACAATAGAATCTTATATTTCTTCCATTTGAGGCCGTTCTGAATCCTCATTTGCCTTGAAAGTGCTGAAGGTTGCAGGACAGCAATCTAACAGCAAATAAATAAAAATCTTTGCAAAAGCATGGCCATTAAAATTTAAACCAAGAGCCCTTCCACATCTCTGAACATATATTGCACCTACAAGCACTAAGATAATGAATTCTGTCAGTAATTCAGAATGCCCCAGTTTTCTTTTCGCAAGAGTTGCTATAATTCATTCAGCACCATTACTTCATCCCTAAACACATTGTTAGCCTGCATTTGATTCAACTTCAAAATTAGAAACTGACTCCCAAAGTTCAGGCAGCGGCATCATCATTGCAATCACTTCTACAGTGAAACTGCTGTGTAACAGCATCATTCTTACAAGAATCCTGCAAAGAGGAACAGAGTCTAGCGAACATGTCCGAGGGGATTCAGCAAATTTGCATCTAAGTCAAATTTGAAGCTAGCAAGCACACATAACCTGACTGCTCCCAAAGCCAATACTTTCCTTGCCCCATAAATATCCTCCCGCAAAAAAAATCATATTCAGGGAGACTAGCTCCACCCTCAGCCCCCAAGACAAATACACATCTCCCAAGAGAACTCATTGGCTCTCTCACTAAGGTCATTTTGCACTACCGCACATGCTCTCTAAACTGTAGACCAGCTGAACATATCACACCGCAGGAGGAAGCCTCTGACTGGTATACTATCAGCACAAAGTTTGTTTCAGAAGGTACGGAGGATTCCAGCGGATGTTGCTACACACAGCAACCCAAGTAACAAGGGCAGAATTTCAGATTAACTCGTCTTGAGGAGTAAGGAATCAAACACAGCAATGACACTTCTTACGATGCGTTTGCTGCTAGCCTGCAGTTTGTGTTTGGTGGTCAACCTAAGATGGGTGTGACTAAAGTGAAGGACCATTGGAAATGACCTTTCTGCCTTGGCCTTCTCTAACAAAATGATTTACTGTATCTATGCAAATCCTTCTTGCCAGCGAGATCATGAGGATCCAGAAAGTTCAGAGTGATGAACCAAGAAGCCTGGATGCAATAATAGGTAAATGAGAAGGCCAGAAGGCTGGCTTTTTGCACATAAAAGCCTCTACATGTAGCTCAGGGGCAAGCTTCCTCCATCAACTAGAAATTCTATAGAAATGTAAAGGTAAAAAAGGTAAAGGACCCCTGGTGATGCACACAAGACATCTGCAGGCAAGACAGAATCACTCATCAGGAATCTGTTGCCATAGTCATTGTCCTTGATGGGTAAATCCATTCAGGAAGACCATCCACAAAGAAAACCTTCCAGATGAGTCATCCTTGTTTACATGTCCCAACCCACCTTTTATCAGAACCTTCCCTATTACATTACTGAGGTCTTCTTCTCTGGAAACTCCTCCCCTATGACCAAGCACACCTACCTGAATTTTACCCTATCCACTCTCATTCCCTCATTTTGACCCCTTCTCATTGGTCACCATGCCAACTCACCTAAACAAACTTATTAAAGTTCAGGCTCCCTGAGCACCTTCTGCAATGCTGTCTGAAGTTTCCCCTCTGCTCTCTCTTCCTCTGAGCAACCATTCTGCGCACACCAGGAACATCTTTAAACTTCAGAACCAAGGCTTGGTGAAGGGTCTATGCCCGTGATCCTATTTTACTCATAAAGATCTGAACTCACTGCATAGACTGCTGAGCTCAATGCCTGGGTCCCATCTCTTCTATCACCTACAAACACAACATTTCAGCAGCAACTATCTCCACTTTCAGAGCTATTCCCCCTTTAGAATAGAACTCTCTATTTCTTTAACTGAGAAGTGTGGTTGTGTTAGAACTATAAATGTATGCTGCTGCACTTTATTACAAAAATCGCATTTAATGCTTTATAAGAAATTCTTTTGTGTAATTTTTGTGAAGGCACTCAGAAACTTCAGAGGGTTTGGATACACATGTAAGGCAGTGCTTGGTTCTACGTCAGCTAAAAGTCCCCACTGGTGCAAGTGTCACAAGTCCATGTGTCTTTCAGCATCCCCACCCCCACCCTGCACCTCCTGTTAACACACTTTACAGTATGAAACACATCCTGAAAAACCAGGATATGGACATTAGCAAAGTAATCCTATGAAGTGAGAGGGACACTGGTCTGACCCTGCACAGCTTCTTGCTGCAGAACAGGAGATTGTGCCGTGATGGAATATAATCACACGTCAGCAACTTGTTGAACAGGACACTACAGCCAGCGATGATGCCGTATTTTAAAGGCATCTTCTGCTTTTAGTTCTAGGTCAACAGAGGTGGAACATCAACTCAATGCACTTATGCAGCTCCCCTAATATATAATAATAAAATCACAGCAACAAATCTGCAGATTTGCATGCATCATTAAAAGATTTACCGTTAGGATGGTCAATGGAGATATCTCATTATATACAAAAATATACAGTTGTATCATACATACATACATACATACATACATAGTATATCACAGATCGCCTTCCCTGGCACCCACAGGGTTTCCTGTTCCCGCTGGAATTACTCTTGTAAGAAGAATTCTACTGCAGCCAAAGGAGCATGTTGTGGGTTCTGTGTGCTTGGTTACAATGTGTATGTGTGTTTGTGCCCATGTGGTACCTGTGACAGTTTCTCCAGTTTGCCAATATGCTCACAGGAAAAGCTTGATAATCCCTTATGTATTAGTTACAGTAAGCGAGTCTATGAAGGCGAAGGAGTCATCAGTTTGGAGGTACTTGGTCAGGAGACTTGCAACCCAAGGTCAGGCATCATGTTGTTGATACTGTTCCTTGAAGAAGCAGATATACAGTGTTGGATATCCAGGCGGTTTATAGCAAGGAATGCTTTTAATCAGACTTGGCTGATGTCCCAGCAGCAGCCTTAACTGGAGAACTCAAACCTGACCTCAGTTATCCATGCCCTGGTTCTTCCAGGCTGGACTGCTATAATGCTCTTTATGTGGGTCTGCCTTTAAGGACAATCCAGGAAGTTCAATTGCTTCCTGATTACTATCAGCAATTTAAGAGACTCCGTCGTTTTCATTGGCTGCTTCTTTCTATCCAGGCCCAGTTTTGACTTTACATTTTAAAGTGCAGGCTACAAGCTTCAAGCAGGTGTTTCCAGGAAGCCTATAAATCTATAATTATTAATCATACAAATGGGGCATTTAAGGTGCCAGCCTTCACCCAGTTCCTCCCTCCAGCAAATGTCACTCAGATTTTATTATTCTTATTTATTATGTTTAAAGGGCTGCCCATCAATAAGTAATTACTGGGCAAGAAACAAACAAATCTATATTAAAAAATACAATATATGTGCCACAAAGCCTTTGGCACACACCCTTAAGCACACAGCTACAAAATAAGCACATTCTCTTCTTACACGCAGCACCATCTCCTCCTCCTCTTGTCTGTGTTGATTTACAGATTTTAAGTGCCTGATGATAGAGATCTGTCTTATACTTTCAACAGCGGCACGTACGTAGAAAGCCAGTGTGGAGCAGTGGTTAGCTTGTTGGCCTAGGACCTGGGAGACCAAGATTCAAATGCTTGCTTGGCCATCAAGCTCAGTGGGTGACTTCTCAGCCCAACCTACCTCTCATGGCGGTTGTTGTGGGGATTAGGAGAGGTGGGGGGGAGAGAGCCATGTACACCACTTTGAGCTTCTTGGAGGAAAAGGTAGGATATACATGCAATTAATAGTACTAATGATAGCAATAGATGGCACTTTCTAATCTACCTCCTCCTCCTCATAGCAGCAGCAGCAGAAACCTATTCGAAAGCATATTACAGTATTCTAAATATTAGATTTCTGCATTACAAAAGGGTTGGACTAGATGACCCTTGGGGGTCATCAATTCTATGAAAGTGCATTTCCTCATACGAAAGTCCCCAGGCTCTGAGATCTTTGGGGGAGGTCGTTCTCTCCATCCTGCCACCCCCACAGGCACTCTTGGTGGGGACTTGGGAGAGGGGTGGCTGCTCCCAAACAACTTTGGAACTCCCTGCCTAGAGAAGCTAGACTGGCTCCCTCCCAGCAGGTGAAGACCTTCTGGTTTCAACAGGCTTTGGGGAACCGACTGCTTTTCATGAAAGTGCTGGTGCTGTGCTGTTTTTATTGTAACCATCCATTGTGTTTTTAATAGATCTCATTTATTACACAGAGGTACATACATACAGTGGTACCTCTGGATGCGAACAGGATACGTTCCGGAGCCCCGTTTGCATCCTGAAGCGAATGCAACCCGCATCTGCGCAGGTTGCGATTCGCCGCGTCTGTGCAAGCGCTTGATGTCATACTGAGTGCGCAAGCGGCAAAACCCGGAAGTAATGCATTCTGTTACTTCCAGGTCGCTGCTCAACCCAAAAACGCTCAACCCGAAGCTACTTTAACCAGATATATGAGTGTATATTGTTTGGACTACTGCAATGCGCTCTATGTGGGGCTACCTTTGAAGGTGAACCGGAAACTACAATTAATCCAGAATACGGCAGCTAGACTGGTGACTGGGAGCGGCTGCGAAGACCATATAACACCGGTCTTGAAAGACCTACACTGGCTCCCAGTATGTTTCTGAGCACAATTCAAAGTGTTTGTGCTGACCTATAAAGCCCTAAACGGCCTCGGTCCTGCATACCTGAAGGAGCGTCTCCACCCCCATCGCTCTCCCCGGACACTGAGGTCCAGCTCCGAGGGCCTTCTGGCAGTTCCCTCATTGCGAGAAGTGAGGTTACAGGGAACCAGACAGAGGGCCTTCTTGGTAGTGGTGTCTGCCCTGTGGAACTCCCTCCCTTCAGATGTGAAGGAAATAAGCGGCTATCTTTTCTTTAAAAGACATCTAAAGGCAGCCCTGTTTAGGGAAGCTTTTAACGTTTAATAGGTTATTGTATTTTAGTGTTTTGTTGGAAGCCGCCCAGAGTGGCTGGGGGGGGACCCAGCCAGATGGGCGGGGCATAAATAATAAATTATTATTATTATTATTATTCAATTAACGTTCAATCGTTTTTCTCAACTCGCTTTTCTGGTTTTTAAGCTGCTTATATTTTTACCGGAGTCCCTGCCAGGAGGAAAAGGCAGGGTACCAATAAATACCAATGCTACCGGTTCTGCTCCTGCAGCAGGAGGTTCCCCCGATCTTCCCCGGCGCTGCCTCTCAGCCCCGCCCACGTCACCTGCCGCGGCCCCCAAGGTTCGGTCCCTAACTCCTTAGGCTCTCCCAACTGCCTCCCCCCTTCTTTGCTCGCTTTGGTTCGGCCCCCTCTTCTCCTCCTCCTCCCCCCTCCCAAGAGAGCACACATGGTTCGGTCCGAGCATCCCTCGCTCGGCTCCCCGCTCTCAAGCCCCGCCCCCATTTTGTCCCCCCCCCGTCCCGCCGCCGCCGCCGCCCACTTGACCGGCCTCCCTCACCCAGCGACATGTCGATTTTCTCCAGCGTCTCGCTGCTGACGCTCCTCAGCGGGGCTCCGCCAGCGCCGAAGCCGCTCATGGCCGCCGCTCCCAAAACACAAGACCGAGAGCGAGGAAAGCAGCACCACAGAAGCTCCTCGCTCGCTCCCCTTTCTGGGCATGCGCCGGGCGCGCTGGACGCATGCGCCGCGCTCGCGCTCTCCTCCCGCGTGACGGAACCCAACGCCTCGTCCGGGCGCGAGAGCCGATTATGGGGCGGGGTCCGCCTTCGCCCGTTGCTGCGCTTGCGCGAGCCGAGCGACTTCGGCGACGCTCGGGGGAGTACCGTAGATCGCCGAGCTGAGCGCATAGGAGGAGGTACCGTAACGCGCTAGCAAGCCACGAGATCCTATAGAGATAAGAACAAGTTAAAAGCAAAAGATCAAAATATAAAATAAGATATAAATGAAGCTGATTAGGAAAAATCCTAGGATGCGGATTTACTCTGCTGTCCAGCTTGTCGGGCTGCCACTCCCCGCGGGTCTCTCTGGTCAGCAAAAGGAGGAGTCTCCAGCCAAGTTAAAGAAGCAAACAGCGGTCAGTAGACCTGGTCTTTATTTGTTGCAACAAGGTTCAAACGCACAAAGAGTAGCAACCCCAAGCATGGGATTGTGTGACCTTTTAAGACCTCTCCTCATTTCCCATAATACATTTTTCAACAGCATCATTGATACATCACAAATATGTCACAGTGTAGGAGTGTTTGGCATGTAGAAGGTAAAGGGACCCCTGACCATTAGGTCCAGTCACAGACGACTCTCGGGTTGTGGTGCTCATCTCGCTTTATTGGCCGAGGGAACCGGCGTACAGCTTCCGGGTCATGTGGCCAGCATGACTAAGCCGCTTCTGGTGAACCAGAGCAGCGCACGGAAACGCCGTTTACCTTCCCGCCGGAGTGGTACCTATTTATCTACTTGCACTTTGACGTGTTTTTGAACTGCTAGGTTGGCAGGAGCAGGGACTAAGAAACGGGCGCTCACCCTGTCACAGGGATTTGAACTGCCAACCTTCTGATTGGCAAGTCATAGGCTCTGTGGTTTAACCCTTGCCCTAAAAAATGTATAGGTAGCTAGATACCAATTCATCATGGCTCATCTTATTTCGAAGCAGCATCTTATGCTTGAATAACAAATAAAATTCTGGTGCCTCATGTATTGTGATGGTTTTTAAAACCTGATTCCTGCACTAATATGGGGAAATGCTGATGTTTGGAGCCCCGGTTTATATTGTCAGCATACTGACATAAAGGTTAAAATGCTTTTGCTTAATCCCTCAACCAATTTAACAAAATGAAAGATGGCAGATGCTCTGTGTCCAGACAGCAGGTGCAAAGCAGACCAAACACAGACAGATGGTGGTGGAGGAGGAGACAGCATCAACTTTTATTATCCAAGCCAAGAAAGCAGATGCCTGCAACTGGACATCTGCAAAGGAAAATGTAACAAATGCCAGCATCTAAAAGAACTATTTAAGCATCACCCTTTTGGTGTCTCCCATATGGCAAAAGTCACTTGAGGGTCAATGATGAAATAAAGCAACAATCAGCATAACCTTTTCCCCCAGCTGACACATTTGCAAAAAATAGAAAACTGATAGAAAGAAAGGGCTGCTGTTGTGATAATAATACAGATTGCAGTGTGCTAATATTGGAACAGTTTAATAGGTTCACTAACATGTTAGTAAGGGACGTGGGTGGTGCTGTGGGTTAAACCACAGAGCCTAGGACATGCCGATCAGAAGGTCGGCGGATCAAATCCCCACGACGGGGTGAGCTCCCGTTGCTCAGTCCAAGCTCCTGCCCACCTAGCAGTTCGAAAGCACGTCAAAGTGCAAGTAGATAAATAGGTACCGCTCCGGTGGGAAGGTAAACAGTGTTTCTTTTTTTTTTTTTAAAGCAATTTATTGGGTTTTACAATAAAAATAAACATATTAAACAATATGACCTTTGTCTTGACATAATTTCACATTTTCTTTGGACTTCCTCACATCTCCCGCTCCCACTTTCATCGTTATAACATTTTGTCAGCAATTTATCATCTTATTTAAATTCTTATATCGCTTCTATATTTCATAATCTTATAATTTTCAAAGGGAATTAAATTTTCACAGTCTTACTTATTTTCATAGAAAACTTCTAAATTTAGTGGTGCTCAGTTATTTTGGTCTAGCATCTTATTTAGCATTCACTCAAATTGCAATATTTTTGTAAATAGTTCTTGAATTTCTTCCAATCCTCCTCAATCCTTTCTTCTCCCAGGTCACGGATTCTGCCGGTCATTTCAGCCAGTTCCATGTAGTCTATCAGTTGCATCTGCCATTCTTCCAGTGTGGGTAGATCTTGAGTTTTCCAATGTTTTGCAAGAAGTATCCTTGCTGCTGTTGTTGCATACATAAAATGTCTGATCCTTCCTTGCCACCCCTTGGCCGACAATACCCAAAAGGAAAGCCTCTGGTTTCTTAGTGAAGGTATATTTAAATACCTTTTTCAATTCGTTATAAATCATCTCCCAGAACGCCTTCACTTTAGGGCAAGTCCACCAGAGGTGGAAGAACGTTCCCTCAGACTCTTTACATTTCCAACACTTATTATCAGACAGGTGGTAAATTTTTGCAAGTTTGACTGGGGTCATATACCATCTATAAATCATTTTCATTACATTTTCTTTCAGAGCGTTACATGCAGTAAACTTCAATCCATTACTCCACAACCTTTCCCAGTCCTCAAACATAATATTATACCCAATATCCTGTGCCCACCTTATCATAGCCGATTTAACCGTTTCATCTTGTGTATTCCATTCCAGCAGCAAGTTATACATCCTTGAAAGTACCTTAATCTTTGGTTCTAACAATTCTGTTTCTAGTTTCGATTTCTCCACCTGGAACCCTAATTTCTTATCATTTTTAAAAACTTCTTTAATCTGAGCGTAATGTAACCAATCTCGCACTTTATCTTTCATTTTCTCCAAACTCTGCAATTTCCAATTGTCTCCATCCTTTTCTAATATTTCCCAATATTTTGGCCATTTAGCCTCCATATTGGGTCTTTTCGGCCTTAGCTTCCAAAGGTGAAAGCCACCTTGGTGTTTTATTTTCCAGCAAGTCTTTATATTTTGTCCAGACATTAAACAGTGATTTTCTGACAATATGGTTCTTGAAGGCCTTATTTGCTTTAACTTTGTCATACCATAAATATGCATGCCATCCAAAAACATTGTTAAACCCTTCCAGATCTAACACATCAGTGTCTTCAAGAAGTAGCCAGTCTTTTAGCCAGCAGAACGCTGCGGCTTCATAATACAACTTTAAGTCTGGCAGGGCAAAGCCCCTCTTTGTTTTGCATCAGTTAATATCTTAAACTTAATTCTGGGCTTTTTGCCCTGCCAGACAAACTTAGAAATGTCTCTCTGCCACTTCTGAAAGCACTCCATTTTGTCCAAAACCTGAAGTGTCTGAAATAAAAACAACATCCTTGGCAATACATTCATCTTAATAGCAGCAATTCGGCCTAACAAAGAAAGTTTCAATTTTGACCAACTATCTAAGTCTCTTTTAATTTCTGTCCAGCATTTTTCATAATTGTCCTTAAATAGACTTAGATTTTTTGCTGTTATGTTTACCCCTAGGTATTTTACTTTTTTAACCACATTGAGTTCCGTCTCATTCTGAAACCGTTCTGACTCTGTATCAGTCAAATTTTTCCCCAAAACCTTAGTTTTCTGTTTATTTAATTTAAATCCAGCCACCCGACCAAAATCATTAATCAATTGTAATACTCTTTTCGTACTGGGCTCTGGCTTCTGCAGGGTCAAAACCAGGTCATCTGCAAAAGCTTTTAGTTTATATTGTTTCTGACCGACCTGAATTCCTTCCACCAACCGATCCCCTCTAATCATGTTCAATAGCACTTCCAGAACCGAAATGAATAACAAAGGGGAGATAGGGCAACCTTGTCGTGTCCCTTTTTCAATTTTGAACTCTTCTGTGACCACATTATTAACTATCAGTTTAGCTTTCTGTTCTGAATATATCGCCTCAATCCCATTCTCAAAACCCCGTCCCACTCCCATCTCTTTTAAATTTCCCATCATAAATTTCCAGGAGATATTGTCAAAGGCCTTCTCCGCATCTATGAAAATTAAAACTGCTTTTGTATTTATATCTGTTTGCAGAAGTTCCAAAATGTCAATAATGTTCCTTGTATTGGCAAACAGATGTCTACCTGGGAGAAAACCGGCCTGGTCCTTATGAATTACTTCATTTAAGACTTTTTTTAAATCTACTTGCCAAAATATCTGCAAATATTTTGTAATCCACATTTAAAAGGGAGATGGGGCGGTAGTTCTTAAGTTGTGTCTTTTCAGCTTCCGACTTTGGTATTAATGTGATAAACGCTTCCTTCCACGAATCCGGTGCCCTCTTCCCTCCATAATTTCATTGCTGACCTCCATCAAAGGTTGTATCAAATAGTCTTTTAATGTCTTATAATACTTGGAGGTCAGCCCATCTGGCCCTGGAGATTTGCCAAGTTGCATGTTCTGAATGGCTTGTTCAATCTCCTGTCGTGTTATTTTAGAATTCAGAATTGTCCTATTTTCTTGTGACAATTTAGATAGTCCATTTTTGCCAAAAATTGTTTAATCTCCACTTCGTCTTGCGGCCCTTGGGTGTATAATTTTTTGAAATATCTCTGGAAACACTTTCTAATATCCACTGGATTCTGAATGTTTTTTCCATCAACCTCTAAGTTTGTAACCGTGTTTAATCTTTGTCTTCTCTTCAACTGCCAAGCTAGCAGTTTTCCACATTTATTCGCCGACTCAAACGTTTTTGTTTCATTAATTTAACCTTCAATTCAATTTCCTGATTTATCAATTTAGAATATTGTGTTTGATAAAGCTTAATTTCTCTCAGAGTTGGCTGTGACTTTGGATTCACTCTTAATTTCTTCTCTAATTCTTTTATTTTGTCCAAGATCTTATCTTTTTCTCATTTTGTGTTCTTTTCTTTACTACATTCTGTTGTATCAAGAATCCCCTCATTACAGCTTTGCTTGCGTCCCAGACGATTCTTTTTCCACCGAATTGTTCATGTTTATCTCAAAATAGTCCTTCAAAACTTTTTGGGCCTTCTTGGTAATTTCCTGATCTCTAAACAAATTGTCATTCATCTTCCATCTAAAGGATCCAGTTGGTAGTAGTGTCATATCCATCTTTACTGCATTATGGTCAGAGCAGGTCTTTGGGCAGATTTCCACTTTTCTGACCTTAGGTGCCAGGCCTCTAGAAATCCATATTTGGTCGATTCTTGTCCAGGTCAGTTGGGCTTCAGAAAAGAATGTTCCTTCTCTACCTAGTGGGTTCTTTGTCCTCCAAATGTCAATCAAATCCATATTGTCAGTCATTTCAAAAAAGGTTTTAGGTAGTCTGCCATCTTTTGTAACATTTTGACTTTGTGACTTGTCCATGTTAGTTGACACGACCCCGTTCATATCTCCCATCATTATGATGTTGTTGTAATCCAGATAGTCCAGCATTGTCCCCTGCAGCTTCTTGTAAAATTCCGATTTCCCTTCATTAGGTGCATAGATTCCTAATATCAACAGTTTCTCTCCTTGATATTGTATCTCAATGGCCAAAATTCTTCCATGTTCATCTTTAAATAAGAATTTAGGTGACAGGCTCTCTTTTGCATATATCACCACGCCTCTCTTCTTAACTTTGTCCGACGAAACAAATTCCTGGCCCAATCTTTTATTTATTAACACTTTTCTGTGGAGCCTCGTCACATGTGTTTCTTGTAAACAGATAATGTCCAATTGTTCTTTTTTTAATATATGAAATATTTTCTTCCTTTTTTCCGGAATGTTACAACCATTAATGTTCCAACTCAGCAATTGCAGAGACATCCTGGATCTATCTGGTTATTTCTCCAGGGGTGGTATCTTCTCTGGATCTTCAGGTTCCCCAGGTGCTGGTGTTAATGCTGGCGTTGCCCCAGGCCCAGAAGGTAATTCAATTCCTTTTTGAAGGTCCTCTCCGTATGTAGCCAAAAATTTGTCTCTCTCTTCCAATGTTCTAACTTTGACCTTTCTCCCTTTAAAGGTAAAAGATATTCCTTGGGGAAATTCCCACCTGAATGGAATTGCGTTGCTCCTTAGTAGTTTAGCAAGTTCAGAATAGGCGGCTCTAAGATCCAGCAGTTGTCTTGGAATATCTTTATAAATTTCAATTCTTCTGTCCAAAACCTCCAGTGACTTTCCGTAATGTAGGCCCAATATCTTATCCCTTTCCTCCTTTGATCTCAATGTAATCAAACAGTCTCTGGGCCTCTCCTTCTTTGTGAATCTTCCAAGTCTGAAAGCCGACACAATTTTAAAATCCTTTTCTTCCAAATTCCAGAACTTGGAAAATTCTTTAGTCAAAAACTCAGTTAAATTTCCTTCTTCTGCCTCTTGTAATGATCTAATCCTCAAATTATTCTCACGATTTCGCAGTTCTATCATGGAAAGATAAGTCTGATGTTCCCCAACTTGTTTAGTGAGTGGTCTTACCTCTTGCTCTAAATTTTCCAATTTTTGTCTGGTATCCTCAGCCAATTTCCGATTTTCTGCTGAGGCCTCCGTTAACTGTCCAATTGCTTGTGTATTCTGTACCACTTGTATGGTTAATTTATTTAGACATTCTGTATTTTTGTCAATCTTTGCTGATTGCGCATCTACTTTCTTGTCCAAAGCTTCCAATTTTTCAAAGATTTTGTCTAGAACAGAAACAAATGCTCCTGAGGCCATATCTTCCAATTGTAACTGCTCTGCTTCACCCTCTCCCTCTTTTGCCTGTGACAAGGCAACTTCTTCAAGTTCTACTTCTGAGGGCAAAGTAGGTACAGATGATCTACGTGTCTGCGAGGCTGAGGTTAGAGTTGTTAAAGTTGTTTGTCTAACTCTCCCTCTTTTCCTTGTGCCACTCATTCCAACGTTATCTATCAGTCAAGGTCACACTGAGTTTTTCCCATGGGAATAGAAAGGCCCAGAGCAAGCAAACAACAAGGGAATCGAAAGTAAATGTAGATGTAAAGTCACTGTTTTAATCCAATCCTCTAGAGGGAGCTTAAAATGTCTTTCAGAGTCTAATTTAATGTCCAAGAACCTTCAGATATAAGTATTTAGCAGAGTTTATAAGTAGTCACTTTGTTACAGACAGTGCTTATTTATCTCCAAAAAGAATGTTTCAAATTTAAAAAGTCTCAATACCCTCAGATTGTTGCAAGTTCCAATATACAGTATCCAAATCTGCAATACTGACAGCTCAATCTCTCAATGCTCAGGCAGCTCCTGACTCTGGGTTTCACCTTCTAATTTGTAATCCAATAAAAGGAGGAAAGTCAAGTGCGAATTAAAATTCCGAATCTTTAGCTTAAAGTCTTTACTTTAAATTGCAAGTTCAATAGATGCTTAGATCTGTAAAGTTTAAAATCTCTTTCTTTCAGCCTCCACTCCTCCAACTTAGTTGCTTTTTTCAAGTTCAATGGCTGCGGAAGACGGACTTCCTGTTTCCACGTCTCTCCGCTTTCAGCCAAGTTCAAGCCAGTTTAAGGTTTCTCATTTAAAGTCTCTAATTTCAAGTGATTCAGTCTTTACTCACGAGTAAGTTGCTTTTCGTCCGAATCCGTATTTTAACAGGAAAAAGGATCAGCGCTCACCGGCAGCAGCAGCGCGGCTTCACTCCGCAGACTGTGAAACAGCTCTCAGCGCCGCAACCCCCCTCCACGCTCCGGAGCCCCTTACGAGGTTCCTTTCGCGTTTGGAGGGTCACTTAAGGCGCCCACCGAGCCTCAAGACCCCAAGCTCTTGCTGCCTGGGGTTTTCCGGAGTGGGTCTCCGCTTCGCCGTAGCGGACGACCCGTTGTCTGCGGAGCCTCCTCTCCCGTTCAGAAGAGGACCGCCATTGCCGTTCGCGCCGCCCCTCGGAAGTCGGTAAACAGTGTTTCTGTGCGCTGCTCTGGTTTCGCCAGAAGCGGCTTAGTCATGCTGGCCACATGACCCGGAAGCTGTATGCCGGCTCCCTCGGCCAGTAAAGCGAGATGAGCGCTGCAACCCCAGAGTCGGTCACGACTGGACCTAATGGCCAGAGGTCCCTTTACCTTTACCATGTAGTGTTTTGTATACAGATCCCCCCACCCTACAGAAGTTGATACATGCAAGCCACATAAGAAGAGCCTGCTGGACTGCCCATTTAGTCCAGCATCCTGTTCTTACAGTGGCCAACCAGATGTCCTTTGGAAACCAGCAAGCAGAATTCAAGCACAACAGCACTCTCCCTTCCTGTCGTTTCCAGCAAGTGGTATTTGGAAGCATTGCTTCCTCCAGCTGTGGAGGGCACAGCATAGCCATTCTGGCTAGCAGCATTGATAGCCTCCATGACCCTCTTTTAAAGCCATCAAGCTTGGTGGGCCATCACTGCCTCATGAAGACGTACTCTATCATACCTATCTGCAACCTGTTGTAGCACAGTTCAGGAAAGGCATTCCCTGTTGATTCTGCTCATTGTGCAAACTGGCTAATCACAAAAAGGTTTTGCTTGCAAACAAAAAGAGGGTATCATTAATCGAGAGAGCAAAAGCAAAGCCAGCAGGAACAGGTATAGCTCACAGCACAGCCCAACCATGTCTTCTCATGGTCCTGTAGAATTGAACAGGGTTCACCTGCAGGTAAGTGAGATCAGGGCTGCAGCTTTGTTTCTTGAGTAAACCTGATCAGCATCACGCTTGCTCATTATATATAACCTATCAGCAGAGTTTTTCTCTTTTTAAAAATATATTTTTATTAATTTTTACGTAAAGTTTCCAAAAAACATACAACATTCTTATCTTATACAATGTTTTGGACTTCCATCAACCACGTCTGAAGATTTTTCAGTCTTTATCAATCTGCATTTCATTAATTTCACTATTACTTTTAATAGTCCTTCACTAATAATTCTCTTCATGCTTTTCTCTGCAATATTTCACATAGTTCTCTTTACAACACTTCTTGTAGTCCTACTAGCGTAATCTGTTGATTACAATTGCTTTTCAAATAATTCACATATTTAATCCAGTCCTCTGAGAATCTCTGATCTCGCAGGTTTCGAATCCTTCCTGTCGTTTTATCTAATTCTGCGTAGTCCATTAATTTCGTCTGCCATTCTTCTTTCGTCGGTAGTTCTTCTGGTTTCCATTTCTGTGGCAATAGTACTCTTGCTGCCGTTATATATCGGCAGAGTTTTTATAATCACCGGAGCCATTAAGTGCATGCACGCCCAATTGCCGCGCAGATAATTCCAACATTATCAAGGCATATTATTGCCTGCCCTCTTTAGCCCCGTTTCCCCCCGGAAAAAAAAGTCTACATTCAAAATTGCCCTCATTCAAGGAGAGGGAGAACAGGATTGGGAGCAGCTGTTCAGCGCGGGGCACGCTGGGACTCGTAGTTCCCGAAGGATTCCGGGGGTGGGTGGGCGGGGCTTCCGGAGGCGTGCCTGGCTATGCGGCGCTGCCGGGAACGTAGCGCGCCGGAAGTTGCGTTGTCGAGGCGCGCGCGGGGGCCGCTGGGACTCGTAGTTCCCCGCCTCTGAGGGCGAGAGAAGGCGGCGCTGTCCCGGGCGAGATGGCCGGAGGAGACGGGGCTGCGCTCAGAGTGGGCGTCGCCGTCCAGGCTTGGCGTGAGGCCGCCGGGCTCTGACCGCCGCCTCGCCCTCCGAGGGATGGAGGTTGCGGGGCAGGAGGAGAGCAGGTCAGAAGGCGAAGGGGGGCAGCAGGGCCGGGAAGGGGGGCGCTGAGGTAACCGGGGGTGGGGCTGGTTGGGGGGCGGGAGGGAGGCGAGGCAATGGGGGGGGAGCTAATTAACTGAAGAGGGGTGTGAGCGCTGAGGGAAATGAAATGACATGCAGTGGGGGGGGGGGAGTCAGAGCTGAGGGGAGATATTTTGGGGGCGGGGAGTTAATGGGGGGCGCTGTGGGTGGAGTGGGGTGTGCGTTGTTATAGGGGGAGCTGAGGCAATGGGGTGGCGGGAGGGGAGTTTGCTGAGGCATTGCGGGCGGGGAGTGAGTTGTGGGGCCGGGAAAGAGCCGATGATGATGGGGTGGGGGTGGGGCCATTTGTGGGGAGAGGGGAGTTTGCTGGGGCGGGGAGGGCTGAGGGAATGCGGGAGTTACAGGCTGGAGAGGGTGGCCATGGAAAGTAGCCCGTTTTGGGATGGGACCTTGGGTGACACTGGGGCATGAGCTGTAAGCCTCAAGTGATTAGGAGGTGAAAACGCGTAACGCCTCTATGGACGTCTTGAAGAGGTTGTGTATAGTCTGGGATCTCCCTACCAGATATAGTGGTACCTCGGGTTAAGTACTTAATTCGTTCCGGAGGTCCGTTCTTAGCCTGAAACTGTTCTTAACCTGAAGCACCACTTTAGCTAATGGGGCCTCCCGCCACCGCTACACAATTTCTCTTCTCATCCTGAAGCAAAGTTCTTAACCCGAAGTACTATATCTGGGTTAGCGGAGTCTGTAACCTGAAGCATATGTAACCTGAGGTACCACTGTATAAGAATTACCTCAAGAGTAAAGGTGGAGATGGTGTGATCCAAGAGTCACATCACCAATGGTATAAAGATAAACTAAGCTAAAAAGGACAATTTGTCCTTCCAAATTCAAAATGTAAACAGCTGACCATGGCTACAAGCCGTATCTCTTTATCATGCTAATCTCCGAACACTTATTTGGAAAAGGGCAAAGAATTCGATGACATGTCTTGATGTTACATTGTATTGAAGCAATACTGTATTACAGTACAGTGGTACCTTGGGTTACATACGCTTCAGGTTACAGACTCCACTAACCCAGAAATAGTACCTTGGGTTAAGAACTTTGCTTCAGGATAAGAACAGAAATCGTGCTCCGGCGGCACGGCAACATCAGGAAGCCCCATTAGCTAAAGTGGTGCTTCAGGTTAAGAACAGTTTCAGGTTAAGAATGGACCTCTGGAATGAATTAAGTTCTTAACCCGAGGTACCACTGTATATTGTATGGGGTGGTGGAGGAGGAGGAGGTGTGGGAGGAGGAGGATGGAGAAGGGAGTTCGGTTGTGTCACTAGGAGGTGTGTGCCGGAGTCTCTTCAGCAGGGCTTTTAATGTTTGAACAACGGAAAGGTTGTGTAGGACTGACCCAGATTCACTTACTGAGGCGAGAATTTCCTTGCAAGCTCACAAGTTTAAAGAAAAGGAAAATGAAAGAGGGCGGGCGAGCATTACAGAGAGGTGTAAAATTATGCATGGTGTGAAGAAAGTGCGAAGAGAGGTTTTTCTCCTTTCGTAATACTAGAACACTAGTATGTCAAGGAGATAAAGAACTATACAACTTTTAGAAGACATCTGAAGGCAGCCCTGTATCAGGAAGCTTTTAATGTTTGATGCTTTATATATTCTGTAAGTTGCCCAGAATGGCTGCGGAAACCCAGCCAAATGGGCAGGGTATAAATAATAAAATAATAATAATAATTACTAGAAGCTGAATGTTGGAAGATTCAGGACAGATAAAAGAAACTACTCGTTCGCATGGCGCCTGGTTAAAACTGTGGAACTCACTGCCACAGGAGGCAGTGATGGCCAGCAACTTGGATGGCTTCAAAAGAGTATTAGACAAATTAATGGAGGATAAGATAATCAATGATTGCTAACCCTGGTGACTATGTTCTATTTGCTAGGAATTTTAATTGGGGAGTGTGCTGTCATGCTCCCATTCTGCTTCCAGGCCATCCTTGAATATCTCACTGGCCGCTTATGAGGACAGTCCTGGACTAGATGGGCCATTGATCTAATTGAGTAGGGCTTCTTACACACAACTCTTTGTCAGACTGCATGTTTTAATTTTTTGTAAAGGAGGAGGGAAACACTTTGTTGGGGCCAAACAAGATTCATGCTCGTAAGTAAAAAACAAAGCAAAGATGATTGTTGGAATCTAGCTTGAAGAAAAGTTCTGTAGAACTTTAAAACTCCCACATGTCTCCCACATGATGTGAAGTTCACTGGGTATTTAGATGACAGGGCAGCCACTGAGGCCCATTGCAAAAGGACATCAGTCACATAAATATTTAGTTTATTTGCATCTCTTTTTTGGGGCAGAAATGATGTTGCTTATTTACTGTTGTACATTTTAACATCTATATAATGTCCAATATGTGTTTGGTGCTTGCTGTGCAGTATGCAGAAATTCCATTATTTTCATGTGGAAATCTCATGCCGTTAACAATAAATTGTGCAGACCAGAATATTTTGCTTCTGGTAGCTGAGTTGTCAAAGAACTTGACTTTCATGGGGAGGGGTGAAGTCACTAAGGAAGTATGCAAAAGATACTTTGAACATATATTTCTGCCCTACATAGAGTCAGATAATTTATTCATTAGTCCAGCACTGTCTGTTCTGATTGGCATCAGGTTTCCCAGATCTCAAGCTGGGGTTATTTCAAGCCCTGCAGGCTGAGATTGTTTAACTGGAGATAATAGCAATTGCAAAGCATGTGCCTAACCCCTGAATTGTGGGGTCTTGCAATTTGGATCAGTGGGATTTAGGACCAGGGATTAGGACCAGGCAATAATAAATATAAGAGGAACTAGAAAAGGGTTTGTGTGTACGTGGGTGGGAAGTAACATCAAAGGGTATTCTTTTGCTGCTCAGTGGAAATTCAGTCTCATCATCTGACTTTTACTAGATAATTTTCTTTTCAAGCTTTTCTGCATCCTTAAGAACTAGAAACTTGCTATCTTAGTCATGCAATGGAACACACGAAGACACAGGAGGGTAGAAATTTGGTGGCTGTTAGTTTCAAATATAGTGGTACCTCGGGTTAAGTACTTAATTTGTTCCGGAGGTCCGTACTTAACCTGAAACTGTTCTTATCCTGATGCACCACTTTAGCTACTGGGGCCTCCTGCTGCTGCTGCGCCGCCAGAGCACGATTTCTGTTCTCATCCTGAAGCAAAGTTCTTAACCTGAAGCACTATTTCTGGGTTAGTGGAGTCTGTAACCTGAAGCGTATGTAACCTGAAGCGTATGTAACCAGAGGGACCACTGTAGTTGTACTCTGACTTGGGCAACTTGTTGGAAAGGCCCCATTAAAAAAGCCTTTATGGACAACCTCAGGGTAGTCTATCAGGATCTCCTGCGTTAAACAAGGTTGGTGATCAGTAGAATAATATGTGTGTGGAATATTTCTGAGAGATAGAAGATTGATTTGGGAAGGAGCAGACTTAAGTTGCAAGGTATGAATATAGCTTTTAGTGAAAACTGTCTTCTCAGAATATAAGAGGGAAAAAGCAGGCCAATAGGGTGTCAGCTTTTGAGTAATACAAAACACTGTGAAGCACTTTCAATGGCTGTGATTGTTTCTTTCCCCGCCCTGACACCTGCGTGTCAAAGGTATACACTAAAATGTGAAGCGCTCCTAAATCTTGATAAAAGGCATAAGGGCTTAGTCATTTTCAACAGTTTCCTAATTAAAACTGTGCTCTAGAGTTATGTGTAACTCAAAATTTTGCACAGGGCTACAGGCCAACAGAAGGCAGGCCCATCAAAGGCTGCTGTTGTTTCTACCTAGTTTGGGTGGTCATTCGTGCATTTCAGGGACAAGGGGGTGGGGGAGAGCTGGACCTAGCTTGGATCTGCCTATTAAGAGACTGTTTGCAGTGCTTCCTCCCTTGAAACCCACCTGCTTTGCATTGCTAAGCTTGATGACTTTTATATCTACCCTCCATGACACCAATGCTGTCAAGCTCTGGCATAATCTGTGCAGGTGAAGACAGACGTCAGAACTTGTTTGTACAGAGACCTTTTGCATCTATGTTAGCTCAATTTAGACAATTTACAATGACATATTCATTGTTTACATAGAATTATGCCCTGTTGAGTTCAGTGACGCTTACTCCTGGATCAGTTAAGTGTGAAAAGAATTGCAGCTTTAGTGACTAGTTTGGATTTTTTCCTAGGTGTATAATATATCTAAATCATAAACCTAGCCAATTTATAGATAAACCTAATGCATGCCTCTTGCGTACTTCGGGTGTGTGAAATATTTTAATTGTTTTAAGATAATTTGTATCCTTCCTTACCATTTTTTTTAAACGGGGGAACCATGGCATGCTCTCCTCCCTGAACTGCAGCTGGCACCGACATCATTCGTTGTTGTTGTTTAGTCGTTCAGTTGTGTCCGACTCTTCATGACCCCATGGACCAGAGCACGCCAGGCACTCCTGTCTTCCACTGCCTCCCGCAGTTTGGTCAAACTCATGCTGGTAGCTTCGAGAACACTGTCCAACCATCTCGTCCTCTGTCATCCCCTTCTCCTTGTGCTTTCCCAACATCAGGGTCTTTTCCAGGGAGTCTTCTCTTCTCATGAGGTGGCCAAAGTATTGGAGCCTCAGCTTCAGGATCTGTCCTTCCAGTGAGCACTCAGGACTGATTTCCTTAAGAATGGATAGGTTTGATCTTCTTGTAGTCCATGGGACTCTCAAGAGCTTCTCATAGCTTCTCTGAGTTATTCAAGCCCCTTCGCCACGGCAAGGCAGTGATCCATGAAGGGGCTGACATCCTTCAGTACTAACTAAATACCTATCTCTTCATCTGGGCCAATTAGTGGCAATAGGAGTGAGATATTGAGGACAGCAGGATATAAAATAAATTTTAAAAGCCTAGGAGGTGCTGAATAACTCTTTCATTAAAACAAGTAAAAACAAAACAAAACAAGTGAAAGCAAAAAAGGTGTAAAAGGCAGCATGTCAGACTAAAAAACAGTCAGCATAATAGCTAGCATATAGGTGAGTGGAAAACTTACTTAAATAGTCTAAACTAGGCAGGACAAAGTACAAAAGAAGGTGGTCAGACAAACCACCTGTAGAAAGGAATTCCACTTGTGCATACTTTTTGCATTGAATCCACTCCCACAAGACATAATGATGGTCACCAACTTGAATGGCTTTAAAAGAGTAGCTGTCAATGGCTACCAGTCAGAATGGTTTGCGTTCTTCTGCCTCCAGGGTTGGAGTCATTATTTCTCTGAATACTGGTTGCTGGGAATCACAAGGGGGGCGAATGCTGCTGCACTCACATCCTGCTTTGCAGGCTTCCCTAATTGTCCACTGCTTGCTGGGCTAGAAGGCACTGTATCCTGACCCAGCAACTAGACTCTGATGGTTTTCTTAACTGTGGCATGGCCACAGAAAAGGCCCTGTTGAACATCCCCAGGAATTTTACCTCGGCCTGTGTTGGAACACAGAGAAGAGCCTCTCCTTTGGAGCGTAGGAAAGATGTTACGGAAGGTGGCCGTCTTTCATAAAACAGGGGTAACAATTCCCTACATTTCATAGACTCGTAGAGTTGGAAGGGACCATGAGGGTCATCTAGTCCAACCCCCTACAATGCAGTAAGCATCGCCCAACATGGGGCATGATTCTGGACCTTTCCCAGTTCTTCATCATGAGGATGATGCTATCGATGACTGATATGTGAACTTTTGCCCTGCATCTTTTCATGCCCATGACGGAGAGAAGCCCTAGGGGAATGTGAAAACTGTCCTACTCTAGTAATGTTCTTCCAAACCAACATTTTTGAAATAGTGGCATGACAATGGCTGCTATTAATGATGGCAAAATGCATCCTCCAGGTTCAGATGCTGCATACATTCAAATTCCAGCTGCTGGAGAACAAGAGCAAGAGATAGCTGTGGCCAGCATGTCCCTGCTCAAGGGCTTCCTGTAGGCATCTGGTTGGCCAATGTGGGAAATGGGATGCTGGGCTAGATAACTAGGTCTGATAAGTTGCCCATCTCATAAGGAAAGGACCCTGTTCACCCACTCCCTCCTTGCTTCAGCTCCTGCCCTGTTCCAAAGACTGTGCTAGTTAATAACTTCAGGGTTTTATTAAGGTGAAAGTTGCCCTAATATGTGACTGTGGCCACAGCCATTGTGCATGCTGGTTTACAGTTTGTTTTCTCCCAGTCTGTCAGCTCTCTTTCCCCACGCCAACTTGGTTGGAGGGAAAGTGAGCTGATTGTGAGTCATCTGTCAACTTAGATCATTGCCTTAAGATTTAGTTTCCATTTCCCAGGAGAACCAGCTTTATGGGAGGAATAGGCTTGATGGCATAAGCCAATTTGCTGCTCGTTGTCTTGGAAACCAAACTCTTGCATTCAAAAAGGTTTGTGTTTAAGTCTCCGCTTTTCAGGCAACCTTTTCAAGTTGGGAGACAAGCAGGAATGGCCCTTTCAGAGTTCCTGGTGGGTGTCCCTCAATAGCAACTTTTGGATGAGAGTCCTTTTCAGAAACAATTAAGTGAACCAAAAAGGATAATGTTATTTTTCACTGCAAAAATAGCTGTAGGCCTTGGGAAGTTCTGGATGTGGACTTGGTCTGTATGTCCTGACTTTGTGTATCCCACACATTGCAGACATTAAGAACATAAGATTCCTGCTGGATCAGACCAAAGGCCCATCTCTTCAGCATCCAGTTCTCACGGTTGCCAGCCAGATGGCTGTGGGCTCCCTGCAAGCAGAACCCTAGACCAACAGGGCTGTCCCCTCCAGCCATTTCCAGGCTCTTCTTGTCCTTCTTGCTCTGAAATGCAGCTTATAGGGGCACATGATTGTGTTTTCTCATCTGCAGCAGCCAGACGTTGGCACAGTGAATTCCAAGGACTTTGGTGCTCTTCATACATGAACACATTTGGACAGCAAGTGACAACTGTTTTGCTTGAACACACATTTTGTGTGCCACCCTGCCATTTCTGTGTGTATTGTTGTTTTGCTGCTGAGGCTGCTTAGTTGATATTATTATTATTATTATTATTATTATTATTATTATGCTTTTCCTGGTTTGTAAGTCATTCTGGGAACTCAATTTGGGTGGAAGAGGCAGGGTAGAAATGGTTTACAGGGTAGAAATGGAATACAGAGAACATTAAATACAATTTTGGCTCAGTGAGCCATTGGATGCCTTCTTGAAAAAGCAAAAAATAAATTTAAAAAATGGCACTCCAGTGTAGTAGAGTGACTCATTTGTAGGGATGTGGCAGATCTGTTGCTCTTCTTTAAGCCAGCTTTGCAAGGACTTGCTGAGGAAGCGATTCTCTTCCCCACCCCCTGCCGCTCTTCTCCCTTCTCTTGCTGCCCTACCCTGATTCGTCACCATTTGTCCTGGGCTCTCGGACTGATAATTGCCAGCTCAGTATTTGAACACATATTGGTAGCAGTAATTGGAACACAGCAGCTCTCTTGTAAGGAAGTTCAGGTGTTCTGGGGTGGAGTTGCGGGATCCAAGGGAGAGTGGCTGAGATCATTCTGCATAAAAGCTCGTGTATGGCAGAAAATGTGCACAGCTAGCCCAAAACTGTGGTTGTGAGCATTTGGACCACAAACTTACCTCCTGTTCCTACAGTTTCTCCCTGTTGTGGCCATGTGTGGTTTTTTTTTGGGGGGGGGAGAGAACACTGTTAAGGAAGTCATAAGAGTATGGCATTTGTAGATAAGAGACTGATTCAAAAGCAATTCCTATCCGCCATAAGAAAGTAGCAAATTACCACAGTGCTTCATTCATGTCATTCAGGATGTGGTAGAGTCTGCATCAGCTTTTACTAAACATGCTCTTGCAATTTTTAAATTGCTCTGCAGGGAAGACATGATATCTTCCCTGTGGTTGAGATTTTACTCTGATTTTCATGAGCCTGAGACTTGACAATCCTTGGACTTTATGACAATAATACGTATAGAAGGTTAATAGTAATATGATATGTAATTGCCATCAGGAATTACAGTTTTATTACATATAATGTTATGTTATTTTACAGTCTTTTACATGTGTGCTGTGGTGTTATGAGCATTCATAAAAGCAATGAACAAATGCAGCTCCTGTCCTAGGGCAGCCTTCTGGGGTTTTTTTGGGCTTTGGTTGGGTTTTTTGTGTGTGTCCAGGGGTGTCCACTTCTATTCTTAATATGCAAGGCAGGTTCTCTGGTGCAGACAAAAACAGGAGGAGGCTTCTAAATATAATCCTGGCTCAGAGCCTGCCAGTCCTCTTTTTCTGTTCTCTGGCTTACAAAGCTCTTGACCCTAAACTCCACCATCCTCAGTTGCCCCAAAGCTCCCTGCTTCGTTTAAACACTTTTGGCCCCCTGTCTGGGGACACCCTCCCAGAACACCATACATGGCATGAGGTCTCACTCTTGTACCCCGCCCCCAGTTTCCATTACTGAATTTGCTCCACTCCTCACCCCAATTTAATGTAATGGTGTTCATGTATTTGAAATGCTGGCCTTCTACCCAACAGCGGTATCTACACACGTAAGACTAAAAAACAATTAAAACACAAAGAGCGCAGTGCAAACCAAGCAGTGGAAGAAGAAAACACACGTTCATTTCATGTTACTTTTGCTGCTTCCCCTCCCCTTTCTGCTCTGCTGTCATAGAATATAAGCTGCTTGGACAAATGATTCACCACCATTCTTGCTTATCTTCCGTTGTAAGATAGCTGTGGCCGTTCTTGGACCAAAATAATAATAATTTATTTATTTAAGGGTGTTTATTAACTGCTTTTTAGGCACACTTCACTAAGTGGTTTACATAATATTCCTATCACAATCAGCAGATTTTTGCAAAAAGTTATCGGTAAAAGGCAGTTACCGGTACTGCAGTTTATTTTAGTAGATGCTACTGCTTCTCACCCTGCCCCCCACCCAAGGCAAACATGGTCCTTGAGACGCTCCTGTTGTGGGAAGCCACTAGGGGAGCTGGATGGTGGTACATTCCCAAGCTTTCCCCCACTCCCCATTGCTTGGCCACTGTGGTCCTGGCACTGGTAACCTCTGGAATGAATTACTACAGTGTGTTCTATGTGGGGCTTCCCTTGGGCTTAGTCCACAAGCTGGTGCAGACTGCAGCAGGTAGGTTGTTGCTTGGCCCACCCTGTTGACGCCACTCCTGCTGAGGGAACTGAAATGGCAGCCAGTATGTTACTGGGCACAGTTCAGTGCTCTGCTTTTAGCATTTAAAGCCATAAATAACTTGGTGCCAGCTTGCTTGAGGGACTGTCTCACCCTGTATTTCAGCAAGTGCACTTCTCAGATGGGCACTGCTGAGAGTATCTCCTGCCACAGAGGTATACTTAGTAAGTATTGGAAAGAGGGCTTTTAGTGTTGCAGCTCCAGCCTTCTAGAATTGGTTGCCTACTGTGTTTAAGCAAGCATCTAGCACCATGAGATTTAGGCATTTATTGAAGACCTTTTTTAAAAAAAATCTTTCCTTGAAGTGGGAGCCTGTCATTTTATGGAATCTTAACAGTACAAATAAGGAACTGGTTTTATTGTGTTCATTGAGTCTGTGTTAGTATTTTAATCTCTTTGTTATCTTGCTGTACACCACTTTTGTAGCTTTTGGCTATGAATCAGTTTATAGATCTGCAAATAAAATAAAAATCATCCTTTGTAAAGCACCATGTACACAGATGGTTATACGTAACCAGTAAATAATATAATAATCAAGTTCTTAAATGGCCTCTCTGTATTGCAGCTCTTGTATTATTATTTAGAAGTAAGATCCTCATCAGTTTTAGGATGCACTCAGTGAAATTTTCTCCCATGGTGGTTCTAAAGTTCTGTTGAATGGGAACGAAAGATCCATCTTGCATTTCATCCTGTTCTAACAATGGTCTGTTGGATGTCTCCATGAAATACAGAAACAGGTCATGAAGGCTTGGGCCTCCCTGCACAGCAGCAAGGATTCAGAGGTAGACTTTCTCTGAACCTGAAGGTTCTGTTTAGCTATTACAGTGGTGCCTCGCAAGACGAAATTAATCCGTTCCGCGAGTCTCTTCGTCTAGCGGTTTTTTCGTCTTGCGAAGCAACCCTATTAGCGGTTTAGCGGCTATTAAAGGCTTAGCGGCTTAGCGGCTAAAAGGCTATTAGCGGCTTAGAAAAAGGGGGGGGGAGCGAAAAAAATCGCAAGACTCGCAAGACTTTTTTGCTTTGCGAAGCAAGCCCATAGGGAAATTCATCCTGCGATGCGCATCGAAAAACGGAAAACCCTTTCGTCTAGCGGGTTTTTCGTCTTGCGAGGCATTCGTCTTGCGGGGCACCACTGTACGGCTATTAGCCGTTGACAGCCCTAAGCTCTGTGAATCTGGCTACTTCCTCTTTAAAGCTACTTGCCACTGCCACATCTTGTGGGAGCGAATTCTGTAAGTTAATTATGTGCTGTGTGAAGAAGTGCTTGTTTCTGACTTTCCTGAATCTCTTACCTGTCAATGGGTATGGGGATAGCTCAGTTGGTAGAGCATCTTTCGCCCAATGTGGGGCTCGAATCTCAGGGCTGTGGGTTTGAGCCCCACATTGGGTGAAAGATTCCTGCATTGCAGGGAATTGGACTAGATGATCCTCGTGGCCCCTTCGAGCTCTATGAATCTGTGTGAGAGACGTTGATGATTCTATCCTGCCCTACCTCCCAAAGGAATTTGTGTCTGCTTTTCTCCAGACCACGATGAGTTTATAATTTATAATTTACCCTTTTAAGCGTTCTTTCTTTAAAAAAGAAGAAGAAATGCTGTTAAAGTGTGGCTGTCACAAGGGAAAATGCTTGGGAGGAAGCTCTCCAACCAGGACTGCAGCAGAGGAGCTGTCGCGCCATCTGTACTGGCACAAGTAGTTGCATTGGAACAGCATGGATGGGGTTTCTGTTGAACTTGAACTGGTGACACCACATCCTGCTTATGTTACTGTTTTTCCACAATGATGACATTGTAAAGGGTCACAAAGCAGCGAGGAAATTTTGCCTGCGCAACAGAACTGATGGTCTGCATTTTTCAGGAAGGAGCACTGGAAGTTGCTGGGCAACCTGAAGACGACAGTGGAAGGTTTGGTGTCTATAAACAATCCCAACGTCTGGTCTAAGTATGGTGGCTTGGAGCGACTCTGCAGGGACATGCACAGCATTCTGCATCATGGGCTCATTCCAGACAAGGTAGGCTTTCTCGGCTTTCTCTGGAGTTTATACTCTTACTTCTGCTTTAGCAGGTGGGTATCTTGACCGGTGTTCACCTGGGACAGCCATAAAATGGATCCCTTAACCATCTTGTCTAAAATCTGACCTAGATGTCATGTCTTGGACGAGAATAGATAGGAATGTTAGTAGTCGGGTTGCATCCACAGAACAAGATGCTAAGGAAGAAGTGAGGCAAGACTGAGACCTGGGCCAACTAGTGTTTGTTTTTGTAAAAAAGAAAAAAAAGGGGGGGAGCAGGTATAGTAGAGCTGTGATCCAAGAATTAGTTAGATCATATTTCCTTTCCAAGGTGACCTTAGGCAAGCCCTTTTGTCTCCCCATCTGCAGTCATTTTCAGCTTCAGTCCTTCCTGTCTCCAGGGTGATGGCTCCTGCTTTCCCTGTAGAGCAGTGTTTCCCAACCTTGGGCCTCCAGCTGTTTTTGGACTACAACTCCCATCATCCCTAGCTAGCAAGACCAGTGGTCAGGGATGATGGGAATTGTAGTTCAAAAACAGCTGGAGGCCCAAGGTTGGGAAACACTGCTGTAGAGGATCACCTGGGAAATAGGTTCTCTCTGAACTGGAAGGTTTTGTTCTCTTCACACTGTTCATGATTTTACGAAGCTTCATCATGCCTCCCCTGCACATTCATACACATTTTTTAGAGTAGTGGTACTTCTGAGCATGCACATAAGAGCACCAGGCCAATGGCCCACCTAGTCCGGCATCCTGTTCTCACAGTGGCTGACCAGATGCCTGTGGGAAGCCTGCAAGCAGGACATGAGCACATCGGCACTCTGCCCACCTGTGATTCCCAGCAGCTGCTATTCAAGGCATGTTGCCTCTCATGGTGGAGGTGGAATATAGCCATTGTGGCATTGATAGCCTTGTCCTCTATGAATTGGTTTAGTCCTCTAGTCTAGACATCCAGTTCCCTAGCTGTGCTGCCATTAAATGTCGAACAGCATTAATACCTTCCCTCCTGCAACAACCAACAGTTTCTTTTGCCACTGTAGTTGCAAGAATAAATCATTAACTTGCCTTTATCATCTTGTGGAATGGAATATTGTACTTTTGAGATAATAATTAGTAATAATCTGTTCTGTAGGGCTTTTGCAGTCCTCCAGAGATAAAATCAGGCTGTTGGTTGCAGTACAGGCAACTACCCCCATTTTGTGCGGGGTTTGCATTCCTGACCCTTGCACACATTGGTGGAGCTTGTGTAAGTGCTCTCCTCCCTGTTACGCCCCTGCCCTGTTATGCCCCTGACCCACCCCTTTTTCCGGGCACTTCTAGGTTGTGGCAATGCGTGTGTGCACAGTCGCACATATTTTGAACATGCAAGAAACAATCATTGCTTGTAGTGGATAAGCTGTAACCAAAGTTACTAGTGATCAGTGCATTTTCTCCATAGAGAGAAGAAATCAGCATCTTGGGAATTTGGGCACAGTTAAATAAGAGCATGAATGCACACACCTTAAGGTTCCTACATCCATGAAAAATCTGGTATCTTGAAAGCCTTGGTATTGTTGCTTCAAAAATACACTGATTCTTATTTGGTTCAGTGTTATATTAATGTTGGCTGCTCTAGAAAACGTTTTCATGTTTATAAAACTGTAGCTGTCAGGATGTGTAGTGTGGTGTTTGCTTTGGCCTTCCTGTCTAACCTAATTTAGTTCCATTTGTATTTGCACCATTCATTGTCTGCTCCATCCATACAGCTGCTCTTAATGTATATTAGCCCCCTTGATAATTTTAATCAGAAAGACAGGATATAACTGTTCCCGCTTTAAAAATATATAATTTGTTGCTTGGGAAAGGTTGAGCCATAACAATGTAATTAAGATGTTATATTCTTGGGCAAGGTTCTTGAGCAGGTAGTCACAGACCAGATCCAGACGCTGTTGGAGGAAGTGGGTATTTTTAGATCCATTTCAATCGGGTTTTAGGCCCAGTTTGGGCACAGAAACTGCTTTGGTCACCCTGTATGACTTCTGTTAAGAGGAAGACAGGGGAAATGTGTACCCATTAGTTCGCCTCAACCTCTCTGCAGCTTTTCATCATTGTATCCTTCTGGAGTGACTGTCCAAGTTAGGGGTAGGTGGCACCACTTTTTGGTATTTCTGGTCCTATTTGGATGGTCATTTCCAGAGGGCGATAACTGGGGAGTGCTCTTCAGCCTTGTGGAGCTTTCAGTGTGGGGTTCCTCAGGGTTCAGTTTTATCCCATATGCTCAGTGAGGTCATCCAGAGTTTCTGAGTACATTGTCAGCAATATGCTGATGGCACAACAGTTACTCTTGCCTCAAGCCTTTGTAGTTTTGTGAGTGTTGGTGTGTGTGTTTTCAAACAAACCATGGGTAAGGAAAACTATTGAATTTACACGTAATGTTAAGCCATGTTTAAAACAAGCCAAGTTTCATAAGCCATCAAAAACCCATGACTTCAAATCGTCGGTTTTTGGCAATAAATAATAGGTAAGCTGCTGGGCAGGGTACACACATAACACTAAAGCATAGTTTGATAAACTATGATTTAGCATTATGTACCAACCAGGTGATTGATTTGCTTAACCTGAATGCAGCATGTTCCAGACACCAGGAAGGCATTGAATTCTTGACTCTGTTCTTGTCTGACTTTTTGCAACTGCTTGAGAGAAGGAAGATGCAAATTAAGCTGTAACAGAGGTTATTTCAGAAGTAGCACTTCAGACCACCTGACATGTTTTGGTCCGTAGTTCATAATTGACAGCGGTAAAGGAGTTAATTTCCTTCCTCTTTCTAAGCCTGCCTCTTAATGAATCTGGTCTCTGATCACATATTGAGCTGGCACTGCCAGGGGAATTTTTAACTCTCTGTATTTCCTGGGCAGGTGTGTTGCAGGCAGAGGGATTATTGGCAGTTTGTGAAGGACCTCCGTTGGCTGAGCCCACATGCTGCCCATCACATTGAAAAGGTGAGCTCATGTTTTGGGGAAAGAAGATCTTGGTTTTGCCAGGGGGTGGGGGACATGTTTGTCGAGGTGAGCAGAAGTCACTTGCCTCTTTGTTGTTTTTAATCTTTACGGAAGGTCTGAAAGGCAAATCTTGCTGGGATTGTTTGCAGGAAGCCAGTAACTCAAATAAAAAGTGCTGACGGCAGGTGGGAGGGAGCTGATGGGAAACTCTTACCTGCAGCCCAAGGTTGGTGAGGAAATGCAAGCAGCTTCAGACCTGAGGAAAGTTTAATAATAATAATAATAATAATAATAATAAATAACAACAACTGATTTATAACTGAACTATAACTGAATTCCCATCAAGCTCCCTTTGCCTGCTGCAGCTCAAGTTCTGACACTGGACCAATGGCGAGAGTTGTGATATAAAACGGGAAAATTGGCGTGATTGTCGTGGAAAGCATATGTAGGTGTGTTGTATTGGGGCTGCGGCTACAGTCTCCATTTAGAGAACAATCAGGCAAGAAAATGGGGTCTGCTAAGGGCAGACAGCTTCCTCCTTCTCCAAGGGTTATAACACATCTCAGGCTTGCAAAGTGAGGCCATTATTTTCCCTGTTGTGCGAATGGGGAACTGATGCTGATACAGAGTGGCTTTCCGGCAGCCTAGGCTATGCTGCCTCTCATTTGTCTGCTGGTGCCTCAAGCAGCAGTCCCTCATACCCTTCCAGGGACAGTGGCAAATTGAGAGAGATGCTAAGAGGAGTATGTAATCAGGGCTCTTCTGGGACGCTGCTGTCCATTACCTGCTAGTCTCTGCCAGCTTTTCAGAGGAAGTAGCATCTGTCTTCCAGTTTATCAACCTGTACGAGAACGGACAGCGGAACACCGACGGCGTCAGTGATCGAGCCATTGCAGAGGCGTGGCTCCAGCACAGCCTGCAGTTCCATTGCCTGTCAGCTCAGCTGAAGCCTCTGCTTGGGAACAAACAGTACACCAGGAAGTTCTATGCAGGTAAGATGAAACCCGTGCTCTTCCTCTTCTTTCTCGTGCCATTCGTCTTCTTTCTTGTACCCTGTGGTCTGCACTTGGCAGCCTGCAAACAAAAGGCAGCTTTCAGACAGACACAGGTGGCTTCTCTCTTCCTCCCCCTTCCCCAAAATTGAGGTTAAAGTCCCAGGCTGGCCATGCTGGCAAATGTTGTTTAAAGGATGTGGAAGGGTCATGGCTCAGTGGTAGGTTGTCTGCTTTGCATGTGGAAGATCGCAATTTCAATCCCCAGCATTTCCACATAGGCCTGAAACCCTGTAGAGCATGGGTAGGCAAACTAAGGCCCGGGGGCCAGATCCAGCCCAATCGCATTCTAAATCCAGCCCATGGGCGGTCTGGGAATCAGCGTGTTTTTTCATGAGTAGAATGTGTCCTTTTATTTAAAATGCATCTCTGGGTTATTTGTGGGGCATAGGAATTCATTCATTCATCCCCCCTCCGCAAAATAGTCCATCCCCCCAGAAGGTCTGAGGGACAGTGGACCGGCCCCCTGCTGAAAAAGTTTGCTGACCTCTGCTGTAGAGCCACTGCTGGGCATTGTAGACAATACTACAATACTGCCCGGGGATCTTTGGATAAAAGGGCAAAGGAAAAAGTCACGTCTGTTGCTCCTCAGAGTTTTTCATGTGCTCCTCTGGAGGTTTCCCAGGAAGGAATGTGCCTCTTAGGCTGAAAAAGGTTTCTCATCCCTGGGGGGGGGGGGGGACACAAAGCAATGAGCTGTGCTGCCTCATCTATTGTTTCACATCATGTCTTTTGTAGCTGTTCTGTTGTACTGCTTTCACTTTATTAAAGCTGCTTCCTTATTTATCTGGCAGTTCATCAATTTTCATATCCTCTTTTTGTGTTTCATATTCATGTTCTTTTAAACATGGATGACCTGGCTAAATTTGTTTTACTGAAGTGCAAATCCTCCGCCTAATATTTTTGTTTGATGTCTCATTTCGCTCTGTACGTTATATATGTGCACATACAAATGCAAACTAATAAATATGTCTGGAAAAGTAAGCAATAAAAAATGGGAAAATGCCAAAATACTATAACTGGCCTATATATATTAAGAGCTTAACCAGTGACTCAAAAGGTAGTAAAAGAGGATTAGGCAATTCATGGGTGGCAAGGCTGTGTTCTATCTCCCTTCTCATAATCAATATGTTCTTAAAACCAGTTACTAGGCTTCCCCAGTGGAAAGAGTGCTGTTGTGCTCATATCCTTTCTTGCAGTCTTCCCAAGAAGTATCAGGTTGGCCACTGTGAGAACAGAACGTTGGACTAGATGTGTTGCTAGCCTGATCTTGCCGGCTCTTCTTAGCTTCTCTGGCAGCCCATGGTATATCTGAATGACATGTATGAACACACTGCGTGAACAATCCTGTAGTGACCTCTCATGATAGACACTTACGTGTCATTCACCACTCTTGGGTACTTTGGTTGGTCTGATCCTGTGGCCTGCAGGGAGGTTGAAACAGATTCTCTTTCCTCACTGTCTGGGGTGTGCTGAGGTTCCTGGGGCGAGAGGAAAGGCAAGCAGTTTCCCAAGCCGTGGGGACAGTGCATTGTCTTGTTCTTTCAGCTGTTGAGCATGATAGCAGTCAAGATGCCTAAAAAGAGCCAGTGTACAGAGCACGTAATATGGATAACACTGAAAGTCAAGTACAGGATAGACATGGAAACCTCAAACTCCTGCACTAGAGATAAACACTTTTAGGTAACTAAATTTCTTTAGAAAAAGGCTTGCATCTCAGTCAAGAAGGAAGTCTTCTCTGTTGGCCTTCTCTTGGGAGACCCAGGCTTAATTCTTGCTGAGCCGTAACCATTTGATACCAAAAAACGAACAAAAATTCGCATAGAATACTACAGCATCAAAGACAAGGGTTCTAGTCTAGCCTTCTCCTGACATGCTGGTTTTCAGTGTGCAAGGGATATTTCCATTGCATGAGCCCTCATCTGCAGCCTGAAGTGAAGCAGGCTTACCACTTAAGTGAGAACTAGGCCTATGGGACCCTGCTTTTATGGCAAAGAGTAGAAAGAATAAATGCCCAGGAACAAAGGAAGCTGCCCTTATACCACATCAGACTATTAATCCAGCTAGGCTAGAGTTAGCTGCTCTGGCTGGGAGCGGCTCTTGCAAGGCCATCTGGAAAAGTCTTTCCCAGCCCTACTATCTGAAATCCTTTTAACTGGGACTGAGCCTGGGACCTTCTGCATTCAAAGCATGTGATCTACTACTAAGTACAGTGGTACCTCGGCTTAAGTACTTAATTTGTTTCGGAGGTCCGTTCTTAACCTGAAACTGTTCTTAACCTGAAGCAGCACTTTAGCTAATGGGGCCTCTTGCTCCTGCCATGCCACTGGAGCACGATTTCTGTTCTCATCCTGAAGCAAAGTTCTTAACCCGAGGTACTATTTCTGGGTTAGCGCAGTCTGTAACCTGAAGTGTCAGTAACCCGAGGTACCACTGTAATGGGCTCTTTCCTTTGGGCCTACTTCCTTAACTCCCAAACCCTTGCTTGTGCTTTTTTGTATCCTCAGCCCCCGCATGCTTATGATCACAGCCTGTTGATACAAAGCCTTAAGTGTGTAGAGCTTGTACCATGAAGGCTGGGGAGGAGGGGGGTCCCTTGTCCTAATTGGCATGCCATGAAGGGAGACATTCAAGAGGCCTTTGTTGTTGTAACACAGCTGCAGAGTCCGTTTCTGCAATTCTTCTGTTGAGATGGCGTGTCCATGGGTGAGGCAACTGTCGAGGAACATACTAGGGGACTGTTCCTGCAAAGGTAGCTTCTTCCATGGCTGTGTCTAATTGTAGGAACTCTGGTGACAGATGCGGCACGAGAACCCATCCCTGCTGCACTGCAGTGCAAACTACTAAGTTGTGGAGAAGGCAAGGCTAGAATTCTCCTGCTTGACACGATAGGTTTCCAGTGTGCAGGGAAGCTGCATCAGCAGGGATTTGACTCTATGACACCTGACCTGGCCAACTCCCTGATTGTATGTCAACTGGGAAGTGCTAAGTGAGTGAAAAGCAGAGGATACTTGTCCCAACACCTTCATTTAGGTGGCTGTCTGATTTATAACTTGCAAGAGGTTTCTGAAGACTGCTGCGCAACCATAGAAATCTTTTCCCTGTGAATTCATTGGGCATTGAATGCTTTCTGAGAAGGATTGTAAGACAGACAAGTTTGAGTTTTAGTAGTTCAGGGCTACTTTTTCTTTTTTATAAAAGTCTTCAGTATTTTTGCTGGGGATCCTTTTATTTTTGGTTTTTATTTGACTTTTTTTTTTTAATTGCTCAGCACCCTTGGGGAAGAATAGAAAGCTAAGTAACACATAGCTTGTAGGAAGTCTTTTCCCTCCTTCCTTCTGAAAGTCCCTTGGGTACTTCCTCTCCCCTCTCTTCTGTAGCATGAAGCCCAGAGGACTGGACATTAGGAATGCAAATACTGTATGCTTCACCATGTAAAGGAACAATAAGCCAATACTATTGTATTTTAATATTCTGTTGGAAGCTGCCCAGAATGGCTGGGGAAACCCAGCCAGATGGGCGTGGTATAAATAAATTATTATTATTATTATTATTATTATTACAGTGGTACCTCAGGTTACATACGCTTCAGGTTACATACGCTTCAGGTTACAGACTTCGCTAACCCAGAAATAGTGCTTCAGGTTAAGAACTTTGCTTCAGGATGACAACAGAAATCGTGCTCCGGTGACGCGGCACAGCAGGAGGCCATATTAGCTAAAGTGGTGCTTCAGGTTAAGAACAGTTTCAGGTTAAGTACGGACCTCCAGGACGAATTAAGTATTTAACATGAGGTACCACTGTAGTATTATTATTATTATTATTATTATTATTATTATTATATCAACCTGACTTTTCCTTTTTTCTTTTTTTTTTCTTTTTGCAGACTCGGCGTTCCTGCTCAGTGATGCTCATGTGACAGCCATGTTACAGTGCTTGGAGGCTGTCGAACAGAACAACCCCCGGCTGCTAGCTCAGATAGATGCATCTATGGTGAGAAGGGTCCTCACTGCTTCTTGTTTGTGCCCCCTCCCCTTTTGCTCATTGCTTCCCTCCTCCCAGGTGCTGCTCTGCTGTTGTCCTGCACACAATATCTCATTCAGGAGCAAGCAGGGGACTCTTGAAGAAGTGCCTTGACTGCTTGACCCCAGAGGTTAAATGCCCCAGAGCATTTGCTGTAGCTCTGTAAAATGGCTGGTCAGGAGGAAATTGCTCAGCCAGCTATATCTTTGAGAAGGCAGATTGCAGTGCTGGTTCAGAAGCATCTGTCAGGTAGACTGGACCCTGGGGGATTTTCTCCATTGCTTCAGGGTTTGTTATTAGTTGCTCCACTTAGCTTCCAGGCCTGCTTTCAGAAAGAGCCACAGTGGATAAGACATGAGGAAATTACTGGGCTACTTCTAAAGACTAGCTGTTAGTGAAATAGCTGCTGGGGAAGTTGTGGGTGACTCTTCTTTCTTGGAGGTTTGAAAAGAAGCTTGGCCAGGGATCAGTGAATGTGCTTTAGCTATGTCACCTTGGAGCAGATGTTGGATTTAATGAGTGGCTTTCCATGGTGCCAGAAGTCAAGTGGGAGTTCCTCAATAAGATGATCAGCAACGGTTCACAAACTTCTCTGAAACGCTGCTTGCCCACCTTTCCCTGCAACACAGAGTTTTCTTAGGGCAACACTTAACATGGGACAACAGTGTTGATGAGGCACAGCTGACATGTTAGTGTCCCTAGAATGTGCCCTCTGCAACACCCAGGGATTCCACGGCAGCTGATCTGGGGTTCACAGGCTAAATCAATCAATCAATCAATCAATCAATCAATAAATAAATGTGGACCCTGTTCCTTGAATATGGATTGATTCAGATAATCCACTGGATTCCTTCCATTTCTGGTTCTATAGCTCTACTTCCTTGTGTATTCCTTGTGCATTAACTAGGTCCTTCTTTCAGTTTGCCAGGAAGAGCGAGTCCTCTGTGCCTGTGACCAAGAGCCAAAGTCTCACAGCGCTTCCTGGATCCATATGTACCCCTCCAGCTGAATGCACGACCCACCGGTATTTTGGCTCCTTCTCAGGTCTTTACTCCGCCTCTGCCAGCATTCAAGGTGAAAGCTCCAGCACCTCAAAGTGCAGTAGTTTAGGTTGTGCTTTTCTGTTGCCATTTCTGTTTCTTAAAATACTCAAGTCCATGCTTCCCCTTCTTTCCCCACCTCTTTACAGACAGGAGACCATCAAACACTTGGGTTTGCAGCGGCACCAGCCAGCCTCAGGAAAACTCCCAGTGTGCCTCATCTCATTGGCAGCCGGAGGGCAGGTCCCCCCAGTGGCAAGCCGCTCCTCTCCCTCACCTCACCGTCTGTCCCCCGAAAGATGCCTCCCTTCCTGGTGAGATGAGTGCCAGCACCTCGGCCAACGATGACTCGTGGGCAGCCAGCCAGGATGACACAGACGGGCCAGAATACCTGGCGATTGGGAACCTGGGCCGGCAGAGTCGGGCTTGCGGTAGCCCAGCCCAGTCTGGCACGTCCACTAGCAACAGTGCTGAGAGCAGCACCTCCAACCTGTTTTCGTCCAGCAGCTCCCAAAAGCAGTCCGTTTCCTCCTTGGGAGATCAGGGAGCAAGTGGTGGCAGCAGCAGCAGCCGAGGGATGAGCCTCTTCCGTAGGTCCAGCTTCTCAGAGGGTCAGACGGCAGCTTCCTATGGGGCGCTCAAGAGGAGCCATGTACGCTCCCATTCAGACACCAATGTGGCCTCTGGGAAAACTCACGGTAAGGTGTGGGCAAAAGAGTTGGATATTTTACGACTGCTGCTGTTGAGCACAGACTCAGCTGCCTCTGGAAAAACTTTCAACTTCTGTAATGGTCCCTGCCCACTTAATAGAAAAGACAGGATTTGCATGAAAGGTGTTACAATGAATGAATAGCAGAAATGATGTACAAGGCAGCCAAGCCCTACCCTCCCACCCATACTTGCTATAGCTCAGGCTTTTGCAGCGGTGGGGGGGATCTTTTTGGTTGGTTCCATGGGCCAGGTCCTTATCAGAATTGGCTTTGTGGGCCAAATTTGACGGGTGTTCAGAACCACCCACCTGTCAAAATCCCTAGCAGGAGCAATGTCAAAATGGAGGTGAGGGCAGGTGTTTCACAAAGCGTTTTTGTAAACCACTCTGAAGTGCCTCATACCCACCTTTTCAACCTTGCTCCAGCTCTGAAGAGCAAAAGTCAACCTGGTTCACCTTTCCCTTTGATTTGTGACATACTTCATAGATGGTCTTAGGGGAGCAGGTAGAAGGAGATCAAGCTGGGAAGATGAGCTGTTATAATTATCTGTCAGAGAAAAGCAGACAGGGAGCTCCCAAAGCAAGTGGTCAAAATTCATGGCCGAATAATCCATATTTCATGAACCCACTGTTGCCCATGTCTGCCAGTCACCCTCATCTCCTGTGATGCCCCTTCTCAAATGCTTTCCTTGGCTGCCTTCCCATCCCCTTTCATTTCCAGCAGAAATTCCTTGGCTCTCCTGCCTCTAAAGCTGGCCACAGCCTTGCTATTCCTTTGGTTTCCTTTACAGAGCTGTCTGTGACTTTGGTCTTCTAACCACAGCTGTGTGATGATCTTCCAACACAACTTTGCCTGTTCTCCTTTCCCGCCCTTCAGTTAGAATAATAGAATCATAGAATTGTAGAGCTGGAATGGACCCTGAGGATCATCTAGTCCAACCCCCTGCAATGCAGGAATATGCAGCTGTCCCATGCATGGATCGAACCTGCAACCTTGGCATTATCAGCACCATGCTCTAACCAACTGAGCTATCCAGTTGTGGAAGTCCCTCTCTGGACAAGTACAAGAGGCCATCTCCCTTCTTTCACATCCCCCCTCAAACCCTTCCTTTCCCCCCTGTGCAACATTTCTTTTAATCCCTGCCCTCAGTTGCATCCGCACCTGAGTACAGGTAATGCACTTGGTCACATTTGCTTGCTTCTCTTCTCTCTCTCCTTCTCTTGGCTTTCTGGCCGGCATTTGGATTGTAGGCTCCTTGGAGACAGAGCCCCTCTCACTCGCTCAAGAAATCCTGCAAAGTGCTATGTACACTTAGGCTGCAAAAATGACAAATTGTATGTCAAACTTCCTTCTCTGCACAGTATTCATATAGTTGCTGATGTAGCCATGAAGATGCAGAGTCACATTGGTAGCCTTTTGTTGAGCTGCTGACCCCTTCCCAGAAATCTATCATGCTACACAAAACACAATTATTCTTTTCCCCACTCAGCCAGTAGTATTTTAACTTTGCCCACATCTAGAAATGCACTTCTCGAGACAGTGAATATCATGCTGAGAAAGGGATTGTAAAGATTCCTGCTACAAGTAGCAAGGCGCATTCATAGGCATGGTACCCTCAGTTAATTTACACACACGATAGCAGGCCCAATTCCTTGACCCCTGCTCTGTGACCGCTGGAAATAAATAAAATCATACCAGCAAATAGCAGAAGAGAGCTGGAGAGTCCTTGTGGCTTGTGAGGGGACCCTCCCCAAAGCCTGAAGAGGATGTCAATGAGGGCAGAGGAAGCCCTGAAGAGACCTGAGGTACAGCAGGGCTTTGTTTAGGCTGCTCAGCTTCCCCACTTAATAGCTGACGTGGGGTAGCGCAGCAGCAGCAGCAGCAGCTGCTTCTGTTTTCTTGCGCATCCTCAGTCCAGCCCCAGAGCTTTAATTCTAGATATTTTGGTCTGGATTGGAGAAAGAGCAGTAGACCAGGGGGAAATAGGCATTTAGAAGCTTTTTAGACAGGGGGACGCCTGTACTATGCTTAACATAGGTGTTAATCCCACACTAGTTAGCTGCTCCTATGCTCAAAATTTTGCAAGATGGACCCACAGAGCCTGACCTGCCACCCTAGAGGCCACCACCAGTGTCATGCACTTGATTCCTGCAGTGGCTGCAACGTCGCTAGTCTTGGTCACCGTGCTTCTTTATAATAATCTGCATGAGCATATGTTGATTTAAAACAGAGTCTGTCGTGCCCAGCGGAAGGATGAGGAGTACGTGCTACATTCTCTATATTGCTTTATTTACAGTTCAAAGCTGGTATATTACAGAAAGACATCTTGCCTCTGCCGGAGCAGAGAAATGCATCCACTCTCCTCAACAGCTCGGAGAGAATCACACAGTGAAAAAACAGGAAACCAGTGTACGTCACATCCAGTCTCCCTTTCCCGTGAGAAACTCCAACAGTACAGACTGTGGAATGTAAACACCTGTCTCGTGACAAGCAGAGCTGCACAGTGAAGGAAAGCAGAAACCAACATCCTCCCCTTTCTGTGAACATCACTGGGCAGCGTGTTTGTACAATATCAGTACAAACCCAACTTCTGCACATAGGTACAGTGTTGATCCTCGATACAATCTTGGACAATACATCAGCAGGAATTTCATTACCTGGCATATAGGACACCGTTACGAGTCCCTTCTGAATACATTCCCTAGCATGCTGCAACTTTAATTGCAAGTGCTTTGTGCTTTGCTTACAACCTTCAGACTTCAGCAAAGCCAAACATGCTTTGTTGTCCTGGTAAACCTGGATTGGACATTTGACAGGAATTTTCATATCTTTGCACAATTGTACTAACCATTCACAATCTTTAAGTGAATAAGACAGTGCATTCAGTTCAGCTTCACAAGTACTTAAGCTAACTGTTGTTTGCTTCTTGCATGACCAATCAAACAGACTCTGATTGTACATGTAGCAAACTCCAGACGTACTTTTCCTGTCTGTAGCGTCACTTCCAAAACTTGCATCTGCAAATATCTCAAGACCACCAGACTTCTGATTGTTAAATCTCAGTCTGTAATGCATAGTGCCTTTCAAATACCGCGCTATGCGTTTCAGAGCTTTCAATCCTTGACACTAGGATTGTTGACTTGTCTGCTTAGCAAATTACAGCTAACAGCAATGTCTGGTCTTGAACATCTGGCAATGAAGTTTAGCTTGCCTAGCACACTCCTGTACAGTGTAGTGTCAGAAAATGCTTCTTCAGTGTCATCTACCTGATAACCTGTTGTCATCGGTGTGTCTACAGGGTTAGCATCCATCAGATTTAGTTTGCTTAACACATCAGCAATTTTCCGTGACTGGTGTACTAGAATGTTACCATCTTGATCTCTCTCTATTTCCAGAGATAGGTAGTTGTTTACCTCACCAAGATCTTTCATGTCAAAGTGCTCTTTCAGTTGAGCTAGGGCGCTATTGTACATTGCAACATCTTTCCAAAAGAATAATAAATCATCAACATAAAACAAACAGTACAGTTTCTTTTGCCCCTCCTCTTTGACAAATACACATGGATCAGCTTTCCCTTGCTGAAAACCTAGAAAACAATACTTCAGTGAGTTTTGTGTGCCAACACCGTGCACTTTGTTTGAGACCATAAAGGGATTTCTTCAGAGCACAAACAAATCCCTGTTTTACCTGTACGCCATCAGGTGGAAGCATATAAAGTGATTCATCTAGAGATCCGTACAGAAAAGCTGTATTAATATCATGGTGACTAATGTGTAGATTTTCCTCTGCAGCTAGCTTGAGCATAAGCCTAATGCTTTCATATCTCACTGTGGGTGAATAGGTCTCGTGATAGTCTTCACCTGGTACCTGTGCAAAACCTCTGGCTACCAATCTGGCTTTGTGTCTGACTATCTTGCCATTTTGATCTGTCTTCGCTTTGAAGACCCATTTGCTTCAAGCAGTTTCATTCCTGGAACTACTGGAACTAGCTCCCATGTTTTGTTCCTTTCTAAGGAATCAAGCTCAGCCTTCATGGCATTTAACCATGGCTCAGCTTCCTTTGAATCCAAACCCTGGATTTCTTGGAAACTTGAAGGTTCAAATACCTTCTTGGAGCTTTTAACAGCTGTTACTGCTATCTTAGCAAACTCATCAGCAAATCTCTTTGGAGGTTTGCCTTTTGTGGCTCTCTGTGACCTACGAATTAGCCTTAAGTCTTCAACACTCTCCTCTTCCTTCTTAGGAGAAAAACGACCTATTGTGAACAATGGTTCCTCCAATTCTTGATCAGAGCTTTCAGAGGGTCGCATAGAGGCTTTCGCACTCTCGAAATCCTCTGAATCACCCGATTCAGTTTCAGATTCAGACTCAGAACCTTCATCAGTGGGTGTGGGTTGTTGTGGTTGCTTTTGACTATCCTCAGTCTCATCACCGTCATCAGGATAACATTGGAAAATTCCCACAGTCTCCCCCCCACTTTGCATTGTACTCAACACTTCTCGTGAGCGTAATTGTCTTAGAGTCAGTCATCATTATTCTGTAAGACCCTTTCTGATAACCTAGAAAGATACCATGCAATCCACGCTTGTCTAACTTGGAGTTTTGTGGTGAGCGAACCCACATGTCAGAACCAAAAATCTTCATGTGTTTGATGTATGGCTTCTTGCCAAACATCTTCTCATAGAAGTACAACCAATCGCTGAAGATAACCTGCGATTGTAACTGTAAACAAAACACGAGAGAGATTCGGCCCAATAACTCTCTGGAAGATTGGCATCATGCAGCAAGGTTTTTAACCCTTGAAGCAATGTCTGATTTGCCCGTTCCATAAGTCCATTCTGCCATGGCGAGCGAGGACTAGACAAATCGTGTTGAATTCCTTTCTCAGTCAGAAAAGCTTCAAACTGCTGAGAAGTGAATTCCCCCGCGATCACTGAAAAGAGTCTTTATCTTCTTACCATGCACATTTTCCAACCAAGCACAGAATTCCTTGAACCTAGGAAAAGCCTCCGATTTCTGCTTGAGATTGTACACAAAAATATATCTAGAAAATGCATCAATGAGAACCATGAAGTATCTATTTCCACCCAAAGAGGGCGCTAGTGGTCCAACCAAATCAGCATGAACAACCTGGTATGGTTCTGTAGCTTTCCTACTAGACACCTTACCTTTCGCAGCCATTTTCACCTTGTTTGCTGCGCATGCTTTGCACTTCATGTGGTACCTGCAGGGTTTAATAGTCATACCTTCAACCAAGGCAGGCATTTTAGATACTGCCTCAAAATGCAAATGACCAAATTTTCGATGAAAATCGTGAATACATTCTGCATGCAAACTTTTGTTAGAACCTGCAATGCAACAAGTGTCATCCTGCACCACATCATCATAATACAAAACAAACAAATGATCAACATATTCTGCATGCAATACATAATCATTTTTCTTTGTGATGATGCACTTCTTGTTCTTGAAGGAAACGTCAATGTTCCGCTCATTCAGCTGTCCAACGCTGAGCAGATTATGTTTGGCGTCTGGCACGTAAAGCACATTCTGTATCGATAAGTCCAAACTGTGAAGAACAACAGTTCCGTAGCCTTTACTGGGAATAGTGTGGTCATCCGCCTGGTGAATCGCACCTTCCTGCGGTGTAAAAGACACAAACAGTTTCTTATCGTTGCACATGTGGTGGGTGGCCGCTGAATCAACAACGAAGAAAGATCTAGACGTCTTCTGGACCTCTGCAACCTTTGGAGTGAAGCGTGAAACCATAGCCTTGTGCTGCGTTGTCCTAGACACCGGACCTTTGCCTTTGCCTCGGCCTTTTCCGCGCGATGAGCTTTCGCTGCGCTGCTCTGTCTTGGCCCTGGGATGTCTGCATTCCCTCTTCATATGGCCTAGACGTCCACACGAGTAGCATTTCACTGCCTTCAAAGCTTTGGCGCCATCTGGTGGTTCCACTGCACTATGGGATGACGTCTGTGAAGACTCCCCTTGCCCATGCAGCTAGCACCCGGCGATCTGCTTCATTTAAAATCACGGCAGTAATAAAGTCCACTGTCAGCTGAGCAGTTGGTTGCACAGCAATCTGGGTTGCAACAGACTCCCAACCTGAACCCAAAGATTGTAGTATCATGAAAGAATACACAGCCTCTGGAAAGTTGAGTCCTCTCTGTTGCAGCTCATGTCTCAGATTTTGCATCTCCATCAGATGTAAACGCACATCTCCACCTTCAGCAAGAGCCATATTATGCAGCTTGTTAAAGTAAAACATAGTGGATCCAGCTTCTGTCCTTAAGTGAGCCTCTCTCAAAGCGTCCCAAATTTCTCTGGCTGAGGTCTTATCACGCAATAGACAGAGCTCTTCTGGGGATACTATCAATGTAAGAGTTCCCCTTGCTTTGGAATCCTTAGCTTCCCATGCATCTGTAACTGGAACTGGGGGTTTCTGTAATCACCTCAAACAAACCCTCTTTCCGCAGAATTGCCTCTGCATACTGAACCCAGTCGCTGTAATTTTTCTTGTTGAGCTTAGGAATCCCACAAGCATCCTGAAGGGCCATCATGACTCTGGCATTAGCCTTCAGCGTCATATATATGCTGCTTTAAATCTTGCTGCGTCACTGCTGCAGCTGCCTTATTACAAAGGCACACTTAAAAGTTACTTTCGATTTCCCCAGCATAGTGACTTGTGCCTGGGAGCCTTTTGCCTATTCCCGGCAAAACCGGCTTTAAAAGTTCAAAGTCCAGCCATAAAGCCATTAACTTGAAGCTGGCAGGCTGCCCGGAGCAGTAGCACATACCTCATCAATCACTTCTACGCGCAGAGCAGATTCCTTTCCGATCCGTCCCTCTGCATTCCGATCCTTTGCCGGCACTCCGATTCGACCTCTGGAGCCCATAACCACGTGTTGATTTAAAACAGAGTCTGTCGTGCCCAGCGGAAGGATGAGGAGTACGTGCTACATACTCTATATTGCTTTATTTACAGTTCAAAGCTGGTATATTACAGAAAGACATCTTGCCTCTGCCGGAGCAGAGAAATGCATCCACTCTCCTCAACAGCTCGGAGAGAATCACACAGTGAAAAACAGGAAACCAGTGTACGTCACATCCAGTCTCCCTTTCCCGTGAGAAACTCCAACAGTACAGACTGTGGAATGTAAACACCTGTCTCGTGACAAGCAGAGCTGCACAGTGAAGGAAAGCAGAAACCAACAGCATATTGGTGAGATTGTGTGGGGCTGCTGGAAAAAGGATAATGCTGAGGCCAACAGCAGCCACAGCAAGCGGCAAAGAAAAAGGGAATTACAATTGGGCAGAAGAACTTGGTGGACCTGAAATGACTGATAGGCTCCTTTTTTTTTTTTAAAGAAAATGACTCTAAAGTTGGGGTCCCAAACATGGCACTCATTAGCATCATGGTTCCTTGGATTTAATTGTTGTTTTTGCTTTTTGTTTTAAATGGTGCTTTGGACAGTTGCCTTTTTTGCAGGGGTGGGGGTGAGGGAGGTTGCTTTTGGGGGGTATAGGTGTTTTGCCTGGTTTTGGTGGAGGAGGGATTCAGGTACCTACAACAGTTTCTTAGATTCTCAAGTGTGCCCCTGGGCCCCCCAAATTTGGGGCCTTGTTTTGGGATCTCTACTCTGTTGTGTTGTTCATGGTATGGGCAATGGCAGAACCCTTTGGAGGTCTTTAAAGGGAGAACAAATACAACGTCTCCAAAATGTGGCAGACAGGATTCTGCCTTGGTAAGTAACTTTCCTCTCTCTTTTTCTCTCTCTTCCTTCACGCTCCCTTTTCTGCTTTGCTGCCTGTCCTTAGGGGGGCACAGAGATATCAGCATTATAATAGAAGATCCTGTTGCAGGTTTGGGAGCCAGCACATTGCAAACCCCTTCATCAGCATCTTCTGCACTGACTGCAAGGTCTTTGTAAAATAGAAGCCCTCTGGTGTCAACCTCAAGAAGCCTCCAACAACTGGAGCATTTTGATTTGTAACATTTCTTTTCACCCCATAATGAAGGTTCTCTGGGCGACAAAAGAGTTGTTTTTTTAAACTATTCTTGTTGGCCCATTGTTGGTTACTGGGCTTTCTTCTGCAAGGTGAGCAAGCTCAGAGGTCTACCTGCCTAGTTTTTAAGGTGTGGTGGGAAGGAGATTCATTCCTGGTGGCTTTTGGCCTGAATTCAGGGCACTATGTACATACGGGCCTTCCTTACTTGAAGCTACTCGGTGCTACTCAATGTGTGGGTTCTTCTGAAAGGGTCTTGGGGGAGTGTTTTGTGTCCTGCAGAGTTTGCAGTTAACCATTTTGACCCAAGAAGCCACCATTGCTCAGTTTTTTGGCATGCTCTGAGATGTCCAAGTGCAAAGATCATGGCTTTCCTCTTCTTGGTGCAACCCATATGGCAAAGCTTTTTGATAAAGAGATTTTGGTCTGCGTGCAGAGCTTTGTCAAAATTGGTTATGATGCCAAAAGTGTCAATTTATAGAGTGGTTCTACCCAGTCTAAACAGCTCTGCAAGGACTGCCTCATTTGTTGTATTTTTCCTAGATGAGGAAGACTTCCCTGTAGCTTATATTGGACAGTGATATTTCACATTGCATAGCTGTCACATGCGGGTTCTGCATTGCTTCCTACATGGAAGTGCATTTCATATTGGGGGCGGGGCGGGCAGGAATATAACCTATGAAGTGGCTCTAAATTGGGCCTGACCTTCTGAGCTATTGAAGTTGACACCAGTGTCTCCTTTGCCTTGTTCAACCCTCTCCTTTGCCATTGCATGTTCTGGATGTACACGCTCTCAAATGTTGATTTCCCTCCATCACCTTCTTTCCATGCCATTATCAGCTGGGATAAAGCACTAAAACCAGCTGCCGTCCTGTTCAGCCTTCGCTGCCCCTGGAACTTCAGTTGTTCGGGGAGGTCAAGCCCACGCTCTGGCCCAAGTGATGCAAGCCTTTCCCTATAGTAGCTGTTTCTCAGAGGTTGCCTTGTTCCTAAACTTGAAATCTAGGTCAGGACAGACTTCTGTGTGTGGTCAGGAAGCTGGAGAACGGCCACTGTGGACAAGGCCTTGTGACCTGGTCCAGAGTTTCAGCAGTGACTTCATAGGAATGTTTCAAGAAGGGATAACCACCATAGTATGCATGTAAGTTGATTTTATAGTGGTGCAACAGTCTAAGAAACAAGGATAGTTACGTTAAAAACCCCCCCAAAACTGAATTATCCAGGTGAAATGTAACTGATGGTCACACTTCTCTTTCTGTATTGGCATAACCCTCCTCCTCAATGCCAAGGCTAGATAAAAAGATCTTGAGCTTTTGAGCTGTGCTTTGCCTTTGAGTCTCAAAGGGTAGCAAGAGGCGGGAGTTACTGGTAGGCACTGGTGATCCCCAGGAACATTTAGTTTCAGAAATGGTAACGTGACGTGGCCATGTGGGTGAAGGTGGTCCCTGGTATGTTGAGCCCAAACCATTCGGCACTTTATAGATGTAAAACAGCATAGTTTAATTGTGTGCCAAAGGTTCAGTGCATATTTTGGAGCGGCCTTCATAGTAAGTAGCTGAAGCTTCTGGAGAATCATCAAGCCAAGCTTTTCAACAGAGTGCTTTACGGTGGTCTCATAGGAAAGCTTTTATTATGGCACTCAATAGACAAAAACTTGCCTATGTTTGCCTAGGGACGGGATGGGGAACCTGTCAGGTGCTGCTGAACACTCAACATCCCTAATCATGGATCAGGCTATAAGAGGCTGATGGAAGCTGGTCTCCTATACTGGACGGCCACAAGTTAAATTGGAATACTGAACCTGACTCTCTCTAAGATCCAATCCTGACATCTATTGGCACCAGTTGTGAAGGCAGATCTAGACTAGCTTGTTAGAATACCCCCCTGCTTGAAAACATGCATGATTTCTGCTCCTGTCCATGAAAGTTCACCCCACAGCCTGCCTGCCTTCAATGGTTCCTTCTGGGCTCCTGTTTGCCCAAATGTTCCCGCACCTTCCATCTTGTTGACTTTATTTTTTTCATATATTTCACGATGTATCACTTTGTCCCATTCAATTCTGTTCATGCCCCGCCCTGTGGCTCGTTCTGATCATGGCGATTGACTCCATCTTTCTTTATATTATCCCTAGAGTCCAGTGGAGTCATTTCCGGGTTCCAAGGCAGCATGTCCTGCTCAATGCAGAGCAGCCAGATGAGCACCCCTGGATCTGTTTACATGGAATACGGTGAGCAATGTAGGGCTTTTGTTGGGGTTTTTTTTGCCTGTTTCTCAGCTCTCCTTTGGAGTTGGGCATCAGCATGGTGTGTGAGCCTTTTCCAGTTTTTGATGCAGGTTTTTGCTAAGAGCTGTGCCCCTCCAGCTTCAAATGGCCTTCAGCAGGGGTAGCCAATGTGGTGCACCCCCCATTTGTCATTAGACTACAACTCCCATCACCCCTGGCCATATGCCATGCTGGCTGGAGCTGATGGAAGTTGGAGTCCAACAAAATCTGGAAGGTACCATATTGGCTACCCAAGGCCTATTGACGACAGAGAAGCAGGAGCTAGAGCCAGCACAGACCTTGCGAGGTTTTCCAAATGACTTTGCATCTTCCACCGTTCCCAAAGGATTCTGACTGTCCTAGTCCTGCGTGAGCCACCCCTTGACAAAGTTCATAGGAATGGAACAGTAATTTTCCTTTAACTTTTCTTTCTCCATCAGATACCGGGCAGTATCTAAGCTCTGGGGAAGGGATGTTCCGGAGGCCCTCAGAAGGCCAGTCCCTGATAAGTTACTTGTCAGAGCAAGATTTTGGCAGCTGTGCAGACTTGGAAAAGGTAGGCAATAGGAGAAGTGAAATGTGAGATTAGCAGGGAGCTTGCATGAAATAGTGAGAGAAAAACACAGAGAGCAGTGACTCCCAGGTTATATGGCCAGTGCCTGGGCGGGTGTGTAGCTGCCTGGGAACCATATATATGCTTGGGGTCTCTTGCTTGTCTAAGATGACAGGAATGTCTTTGGCACTCAATTATTTCAGGCAGTATCAATTCCTTACACCTCATAAGATTCCTGATAGGGTGAGGAAGGGCTGCAGACCATCTTGGTCATCTGATCCCCAAGGCCTTTCTATTCCTGTTAGGTCGATAAGCTGGCTGAAGTCCAGCAGTATTGAAATGTAAGCTGGAGAGAGGATAGTGATCACTTTCTTTGTGGTCCAAAGTATCTATTTATGTGATACAGACAATTAAGGGAAGGGCTGACAGTAAAATAATCAACACTAGCCCCCAAGTTAGCAGTGTTTTAAACATGTCCTCTTTTTAAGGATCCTCGTGAAAAATAATTCTCAGAGTTTAATGTCGGGAATAATTTTATTTCTGTTGGTTTATTTTCTGAGAACTATGTGATCTGTGTGTTTCCTTATTTGCATAGGCTGACAGGAAACTTAACTTTGTGGCTCACTTTTAAATGTTCCATTTGTTTTTGTTATGACTTTGAGCTAAACAGTAAATTATTACTAATGCGGTTGATAGACAAGTTCTGGCCGTGGCAATTTTTTTTAATGCAACATTTAAAAACTCGCTCCCCCAACCATACATAAGCACTAGAAAAATATTTGGGGGTGGGTTGGTGGAAATGAAGCAAGCCAAAGATTTCTGTGCACGTCCATATTCTACAACAGTGTAGATTTTGCACAGGGCTGCCAAAGTTTTTGGTTTTGGTTTTTTTACCGGGCTTGAGTATTGAAAGATATTTAGACTGTCATGCTACCTGTCCCCCACGCAAACCCATTGTCTCTTTCTCTGGAGAACTCCCTCCTTTTGAGACTTGTGGAAAACTTAACTCTGCTTCTCCTCTTTCCTTCACCCCAGGAAAATGCTCACTTCAGCATCTGCGAGTCGCTCATTGCTGCCATTGAGCTGATGAAGTGCAACATGACGAACAGGCAGCTGGAAGAGGAGGAGGAGGACAGTGACAAGGAGATCCAGGAGCTCAAACAGAAAATCCGCATCCGCCGACAACAGATCAGGACGCGGCACCTGCACCCAGCGTACCCGGAGATCAGCTCAGACAGTGGGTGCTTCCTTCCAGCTCTTCCTTTTGCTGTGTTGAAGGCTTCTTTGGGGATTTAAGTGACTGTGGATCCCTGAGGCTATTTCTGAGGGTGCAGATCCCGGATAGTGCCACAGCTTGATAGCCTCTTGCCAAAGAAACCTTTATTCTTGTGCCAATTCAGCAAGATTAATGGATGGCCTTCTGCTTCTTATCATGTCAGAGCATGAATGAGTTGCAGTGAAGCTTTCCTTCCTGACCCCTGGAAGTGCGGTTCAATCCGGGTGTTGTTTTTCAGGATCTATCCTTGGTAGAAGCTAGCAACGAAAAAGAGATAGAAATGAGACTCCTGGGGCGAGGGGGCGCGCGCGACTAATGTCTATGTTCCATACCAAATTCCACCCTAGTGTAGTGCAGATTACAGCTTTGTTTGTGTGTGAAATCTAGAATCTAGAAATCTAACTCTCCCCCACTCAGGGCATCCTTGCTTCCTTCATCTCCTTTTTAAAGAAGTCAGCAGGGAGGCTCATGGTAACAGATTCATGTGAATGAGGACGAAAGGAGGCAGTCTGATAAGATGGAAAAGGCTTTATGTGCATTTCAGGCAGAAAAAGAAACTTTTTTTCTCTGGGACTTACTCAGAAGGGACTGGTCAATCCAAGCAGGCAAAAAGACCTATACATGGACCATGCTGATCTCATACTCTGCAGGTTTAACCCTACACTCTTCTCAGCTGGCACTTAAGTTGAGCTCTGTCCTGTTGCAATAGAAATAAACATTGGGTCCCTCCTGGATGCTGGACTTGAAAATAGTTTCCTTAGTTCTGTGGTTTATTTAAAAGGTGGTTTCGCACTTGGGTAACAAACAAAGTGGTGTAGAAGTGAATTCCTACCACATGTGTATCCTGGATTACCCCAAGATGGAGCTGTTTTGGATGATGATGATAATGATAATGATAATGATAATGATAATGATAATGATAATGATAATGATAATATATTATTTATACCCCACCCATCTGGCTGAGATTCTCCAGCCACTCTGGGCGGCTTCCAATCGAGTGTTAAAAACAATGCAGCATAAAATATAAAAAACTTCCCTAAACAGGGCTGCCTTCAGATGTCGTTTAAAGAGAAGATAGCTGCTTATTTCCTTCACATATGAAGGGAGGGAGTTCCACAGGGCGGGCGCCACTACCGAGAAGGCCCTCTGTCTGGTTCCCTGTAACCTCACTTCTTGCAATGAGGGAACCGCCAGAAGGCCCTGGATCTCAGTGTCCGGGCTGAACAATGGGGGTGGAGACACTCCTTCAGGTATACAGGACCGAGATATACAGGATCCAAACCAATAGAGCTTATGCGGTTGTCTAAGGGTGTGTGTGTATTTAGTTTGGCTTATTGTCTTGAGGGCTGCCTGATTATTAGGATGTGTATCAATTGTGAAATGGGCAAGTGTCTAATCATTTGCATACTTCATTAACATGCAAGTATTTATTAAAAAGATGGCCCTAAGTTTTTGTGCTTCTGATTTATCTGTATTTATAGTCTCAGCATAAGAGGTTCTGTGAATTATCTGAGAGTCCCTAGTTATCCACAGGCACTTCCTTTCCCCTTGTTTCATCACTGGGTTAAACTTTTGATCATGCAAAACTCATCAATGAGGTGACTTGAGTGAAGAGCGAGAACTTTCTCCTGCAACTTCTATGATTCCTTTTTAAAACACCTAAACCTTTACTGAGCATTGTGCACAGATTTTAAAAGAAGGCAGTCCTTGCCCACAGGAACTAATAGACATGGTACAAGAGGCGAAAGGGATGGAGAAGGAAATAAGTGAAGTCATGTGCTGCTTCTTATTGTGCTTACAATTGCCAGCTTGAATTAATGTACTGGCCGAGGGTGATGGGAACTGTAGTCCATAGCATGGAGGGTGCCAGGCTGGCCAAGGCTGAACCAGACAGATTCTGACGTGCACTGCAGTCTTTCTTTTTCTACCACTGTTCTCCCAGGTCTTATGGCAACAGACAGTGGATCCCACTTCAGCTCCCGGGACTCAACACACTTGTCTGACTCAGGTTCAGCAGAAGAGGTTGACGAGTATGAGATTAGAGGTAAGATGTAATTGGTATAATGAGCCTCATGCATACGAAGCTCCCTTATACTGGGACAGTTGGTCCATCTGACCCAAGATTGTTTGCCCAGGTTGACAGTAGCTTTCCAAGGTCCTTGGCAAAAGTGCTTCCAGGCACAAGTCCGCCATCCTTTTTAACTGCAGATTTCAGGGACCGAACCTGGGACCTTCTCAGCAGGACTCTGTGTGCGACTCTGAAGACAATAGTCTTTGCCTGCATTGTCCAGCTCTTAAAATGGGAGTGACAAGTTCTCTAGTATCAGAACAGTAGGCACAACAGGAATGGAAAAGCACAGACTTGGGAGGATAATCATGATTATCATTTGCTAGTCTGTAGGCTTGACAGTGTCCTTGCTGATCGGTCCTTCCAGTGAAGATGCAAATTTGAAGGCTGTTACAATGGGAGGAGGCTTGCCCATGCTTCCTTATTCCAACATGAAGCTTACTGTTTGAATCTTCTCCAAAGGCCTGTTCACATGGCAGAATCGGACCGGCTTTTGAAAGGAAAGATCAGTTCTGAATTTTAAAAATGGGAAGGAGGAGGAGGTACTTGCACTTGGAACAGCCAAAGCTAGTTGTGCAGAATGCAGGATCAGTCCCAGTGCACATATTACCAGGGCTGGAGACCACAGTGTGTATAGTTTGGCCATTAGGGAAGTGAGGCAATCCTTATTCTGCCTGTACATGATTACCCTGCTCCTCCCAAAGAAGAGCATGGCAGAGAAACCAGCGCAGCAAACAGTCTTACAAAAGTAGACTAGAGTCGCCTGGGTGATGCTCCCTAACCCCTGTGGAAGCTTCCTAATCAAGTTTGTTCCCTGTCAAACTTTTTAAGAGAGATCGGAGAAACAAAAGTAAATATTCTACCTTTTTTTTGGCATCGGCCACGAAACACTGCTGGTTTGAAACTTGGAAACTCACTTTGAAGCAAGGAATAGCTAAGCAGCCAAGACTCGGAGGAGCAGTTGTGCGGGTGGCCTGGCTGTGCTTGGAATACTGTGTGTTGGGGAGAGGGAGGAGGGGAAAGGATCAAGAGCTCAGAGTTGGTGGGATCTTCTGAACCCCATAATTCAGTGGTTTTCAAACTCTATCCTGTGGAATTCTGGGACTCCCAGAAGCCTCTCAGAGGCTCCCCAATGAATTCAGCTTGCACCTGCAAGGAGGCGGTGTCAATTGCATTATCAGCTGCATTTTGGATTACAGTGGGGGCCTGGCCAGTACCCTATGTGTGTGTGCGCGCGCACGGCTATGCTCCAGAATAATTTGTGATGTGCAAGGGTTACTTGGCAGACAAATTTGACATGGAAAGAATTCCCTCAGGGTAGAAAATCTGAAAGCCACTGGTCTGGTTTGAAGGGCCCTGTGCTATTGGGAGTCTCTCCTATCTTTGCTCTGGTTGTGCTTACACCCTCTCCCCCCCCCCCTTCTTCTGCTGACATGCAATATTTTGTCATCACCGTATCATGCAGATGGTAACGATGGATCTAACCTGACTCAAATATCCAAGAATGGCCTGTCTGTCTCAATGGCTTCCTTATTTTCAGGTAGTAACCTCGCTCTGCGTGTCGGTCGGTCTGTGTCACGTGGGCACAACTAGTTAGATCGCCCTTGGGGTGTATTGCATGTCATGCCTTAGGTGCTTACCTGTAGTGTTTGCGTGTTATAGAATTCCCTCCACCTTTTGGTGCTGAGAATATAAACAGAGGTGAGAGCAAAACAAAGCAAAAACCGTATGGGCCAAAGTCTGGTCTAAACCAGGCGGTTTTGACAAAGCAGCAAAAATCTATCAGTTGTACAACATACATGGCCCCACTGTGGGAGGGACATTTCTGTTACAATCTATCTGGGACTTCCTGATCCCTTTCTTTTGCAGTCCACTGACGGCTACAAAAGCAGGGATATCAAATGCAAACTGTCATATTTTGACTGGCATAGTGACCAGTTTGAACTGCGTTCTCTCTCTCTCTCTCTCTCTCTCTCTCACACACACACACACACACACACACACACACACGCTTGAGTAAGTCTCTCTACTAACACCTCGTAACTAATTTCCCTGTGTGTGTGTTTCTTCGGGTGAGCTAAACAGCTAGCAGCCACTTCCCTGCATGGCTTATAAGCTTTCCACCTTACCCCACGGTAGTCTTGTTCACTTCCTATGGTTCTCGCTCTCTTAGCTGCTTGCTGGTGTTGATAGAAGGATTAGACCAGTGTGAGCAACTGTGGCTAGCAAAACTTTTGAGGACCTTTTAAGAATTGGCAGACCAGGTCAGATTGATGGCCTTTCTGCCAATGGAGGACAACTAGGTGCCCTGTGGAAGTTTACAAGCAGGGCCTGATGTGATCTTCCACATCATAGATAAATAGCCCACAATATCTAGCAGTCTGTAACTCCTCCTCTCTGAAATGGGGGTCATCAATAGCCACTGGGCAACTAATCTGCCATTTAGTTATATAGAGTGTAGTTGCTTTTTAAAGCCATTTGTTATAACAGCCCCCCACAGAATTCTGGCAAAATGGGGTGGTAGATGATGTTAGGTGAGGGAATATGTGGCTTAAACTGGGGAGCAACCTACTCATTTTCTGATGGGAGAACCACCTATCAAGCCATGCCTTGGGAGCAGCAATACTTGGGTGAACAAAGCATCTCTTCCCTCCTGGTATGTGCCAACATGCTCAGGAACTGAGGCCACCTTGGAGGTCTCTGTAGCCGTCTCTCTTCCTAATGGGAAGGATGCCTCATGTTTCCAGCAGGCACAAATTGGGGTGTAGAGGATCAGATAAAATTGGGTTAGATGCCAGATGTGGCTTGTGTTTACTTTAGTCTTAGAAACCTCGAATGCAGGCTCTGACACCCTTCTTGAGGCGCTCTCTGTGGATGGTGCAGAAAGTGGGCAGACTTTGAGGTGGTCCATTGTGAGAAGGCCTCGGCCCATAGGCGAATTTGCCCATCTCTGCTGTAGATCAGTTCCTTGTTGTAAAGTTGTGATATGTGTTAATCCATCCAGAATCTTTGCCATGTCTAACCTTCCCCCGCTTCATTTGTGCTGTGATTTAGATGCAGACATCAAGAGGAGTGCAGCTCCCAGCAAGAAGTCCTTCCCCTCCTCAGGCTCCATGTATGTATCTCTGATGTAGCATAAGAACACCATGATGGCTCATTCCTCCCCCGGCTCCATTTCATTTGGGGTGAAACACTGGGAAGATTTAGGCTGAAAGGTTGAAGAAGGGACAATTGGGGGACAAATTTAAGAAAGGTCTAAACAGGCTTCTTCTCTCAGTAATATATCTGAAGGGTGTTGGTGGTCCAAATGTAAGTAGGATCTCGGCTGTTTGGGAGCCATTTCTGGTAGTATCAGGGCCAAGAAATGACAAGGATTTAAAGCTCTGCATCTGGGTTGGCTTCCCAGTGTGAAGGAATGGGTGAGGACCAGATTGCAGGTCGCTGAGGTTCTGGCTAGGCTGAGTCTCGCGGATGGTGGCAGCATACTGCCTCCAGGGGCAGGTTCCAAGTAGATAAAAGCAACTAGGTTCGAGCCAGAAATGGTGGTTTATTGCTTCTATGCCAAGAGAGGTGTCAAAGGTGTCAGCTTGGGTCTTCAGTGGAGACTAACCAAGAGGCTGCTTCCACAGGCAGAGGCACGACTGATAGGAGCATCTGTTTTAGCTCCTCCAACTGGCCGTGTCTATATTTTGGTTGGGACGGGCAGAAATAACAAATGAGGGCTAGATGTGAGAAAGTGCAGTAAAGTGTCCTTAGGACACTTTTAAGTGAGGCAGAAACAGGGGGAGCCAGATCTTCACTCTGCAGACGTTGCTGGATGACAATTCCCACTGCTCCTGGGCCAGTTGGGCATGCTGACTGGGGCTGAAGGGATTGGGGAGTTGAGCAATTTCTGGAGGGCCACGGGTTTCCTGTCCCTGCAGTAAGAGACGAAGAGTGAGGAATTAAGCACAAGGCTTTGTGGGACCTGTAGGGTTTCAAGATGAACGTTAAGGGGATGTACAGGAGAGACCTCCTTTCCTGCCGCTTTGTATCTGTGCTAATCTCCGCTGCTTTGGCCCACAGCTTCCACTCTTTCCTCAACTCCAACTCGGCGGAGGCTGTGGCCATGGGTCTGCTGAAGCAGTTTGAAGGGATGCAGCTCCCTGCTGCCTCCGAACTGGAATGGCTTGTGCCGGAGCAAGATGCCCCGCAGAAGGTAGGGTTCCTGAGTTCAGCACCTGCCAGAACAGCACAGTCATTTTGTGCTCTGCACCCCCCTTTACCCTCTCTAGCGGTGGTTTAAACTTAGCCACTTTACAGCGGGGGGCAGCAAACACTTAATGTGCTGGATGTGGTGGCTTTTAAGCATGGTCGTAACCACTCTAGATTAAAAGGGCAAAGGGCAGCAGTCCCAGTACTTCAGGTAGGCTAGGTGATGTGGCCAGCCCATCCAGCGGCTCAGGTGGCAAGGGCAACAAGACCTACGTCTGCACAGCACAGTGGGAGATACTACTGACACTGGGATTGGTAGGGAGCAGGAACCAACGTGGCCAAGGGACTGATGGGAGTTGTAGTCCAAAACTTTGGATGAAGGAGTCTGGGAATTGGTGTTTTGCCCTTTCTGTCATGTGCATTGACCACTGACCAGGGCTGTGGCTGATAAAAGTGAGCTATGTGATCTGTGAAATTTAGCTGTGGTGTTGGGACAGGTTGCTCCGCACCCAACACAGAGATAAGAAGCAAAAGATCAGATGTTTCAATAGGAGGAGCGTGGCAATCTGAAGTGCCTCCAAAAGCTTTCACCAGGCCCACCTCTGTTCCTGCTTCTCTTCCCAGGAGCAGGGAAGACTTGTTCAGGGAGCCACCTTGATAGATCATTTGCTGTTGGTTTTCAGGGCCCGAGACTGTCTCTTAAAAGGCTTCTTAAGCGGCCCAAGTGGTATAAGAAAAGACAGCTTTGCAAAAAGTTGCTGCTGGTATGTCCCGAATGGGAAGTGTGCCCAGGGAGTGTTGTGTTTACTGCGTGCTCTAACAGCCTTTATGAATGGCCCATCTGAAGGGGCCCAGGGTGTATGAGTGCTGTGGCTGCGCTCTCTGCATGGAAGGCCTTGGTTTAGAGTGGTTTGTTGTGGCTGCTCAGTAGAAAATCGGGTTTATAACCAGGGCTGGCCACACCTGAAGCCAAAAGACTGCAAATACAAGCCAGCTCAGTGTGACTTGCACCAATCAGTAGCCACCTAAACGTGTGAGTCCAGGCTGCATGCCTCGGCCTCCACCCCAGCTGCATTTTTGCTGACATTTGACAGCTTCTTGATTTGCGGGAAGTCAATGGCCGGAGGAAGAAAGGTGTCTTAGGCATGCTTACAGTCCTATAGCACTGGGGCACAGCAGGGCATTTTGATGCAGAATTCAGCACCCTGAGAATTTTGGTATGTTTTAAAAGCAAAAAGCCTCTAGCCCTTAAAGCTGCCATAAGGAACTTGAGTAGACATGGGCTGTGCTGGTTGAAATCCCAGAATCTAAACCAAGGCTGTGCAGGAGTGTGTGGTCAGGGTGTGGAACGTCAGAGCTCTGCATCGCTCCTTAAGCAAGTTCTGTGTGTTCTTCTAATTTTGTCTATTTCAAACCACAGGCTTTGCTTGTATGTGAGAGCGTGAGGCCTTTTAGGGAGGCAGCAGTCATGCAGGTCACACAGGGAGGAATTGCAGCAAGCATAATGGCCCTGTTTATATACTTCAGTGGGGTGTAAGGGCCCACCCAACGCTGATACTCTGTGCTGGAGACAGTGAAGCATTTCAGCACTGCTGGAGGTGACTAACAAGCACCGGTGTGAGCCCCAACTGTGGCTGTTCTCCCAGTCCTTGGTCGCCTTGCAGATCAGTTCTGCGTTGGCTTTACAAAGGCGCTTCAGTGGTGACCTGCGGTTCTGCTCCGGAGTTGCTCTGCAAGATGCTGCTTTGTTCCGTTTGCCATAGTTTTGGGGCTGTTGTTGCTCTCCACCCACTCCCCACTTCACACTCTCAGTTTGACAGTGGGCTCTATTCACAAGGGATCACTGATTGTCGACTTCCTCTTGGTTAATGGCAAAAGGAAGCTCCTCTTTCAGCAGTCAGGAATTCCTAAGTGCCCTCTTGTTAAGGTCGTGTGCACTCTGGGATTACAAAGTTTCACGTGCGTGTGAAATTTGAAAAGCGAGGGTGGTGGGCAGGGAGGGGACTGCAACGTGAGATTCTGTACTTGTGCAACAGAAATAACATGGAGGACGCAGTCACACGTAGCAGTTTACCACTGGATTGTGGAATAGCCACGGGATTGCTATAGCAGCACTGACTTAGCAGCATTGATTTAGTGCTTAAATTATTTCCAGAAGATTCTGCAGTAACCAGATCTTGCCTACTTGCTTGTTGGCTAACCATGGAAGTTCTGTGCCCGGACCCAGGTGCATGTTTACATTGTGCGTCTTGTTCTCCTCCTGCAGCTCTTGCCAATTCCCGATTCTGTGCCCATCTCTCCCGACGATGGGGAACACGCGGACATCTATAAACTCCGTATCCGGGTCCGAGGGAACTTGGAGTGGGCGCCTCCCCGACCACAGATAATCTTCAACATCCATCCAGCACCAACGTAAGGAGACAGGTGGTTTTCAAGCCTGCAGTGTCCTCTGTCTTTCCCTTCCTCTTTCCAAATATGCCCATTCATGCCCTTGCTAGAATCTGCCAACAGCAGCAAGAGGATTTTTCCCCTCTTCACAAAAACTTAGAAGTTGTCTTTAAGAATGGAAGCCTTACTCACAAAGGAAGCTGCCTTATGCTGAGTCAGACTGTTGCACCATCTACCAGAGGATGAGAAAGTGGCTGGGAGGTGGCTTTCTCATGATTTGCTTGATGACCAGCCAAAGTACAGTGACTGGTGAAAGTGTCCTCTCCATGGCCTCTTCCCTAGCTCGTGTCTGGTGGGTGGTGACATTCTGCAAGCACGGGCCTTTTCTCAGAAAGCTAGTGGTCCTTGTGGTTTAAGAACAGGCTTGGAAACGGACAAGTGTCTTCTGTCCTTTACAATAACATTGCATGCCCATGTAGAGGGGTTTTTTTATTGCATATTCAAATGCTGCATGTTAAATCCTCATAACATTTTCCTTAGCAGCCCACTCCGTGCCCCCCAAGGTAGGAGGTTCAGATCTATCTATCCTCTGTCTGCACACATACATAGCACATGTTTTGTGTGTCTGCAGGAGGAAGGTGGCAGTGGCCAAGCAGAACTATCGCTGTGCCGGATGTGGCATCAGGACAGACCCAGGTGAGTGATGGATTTGGCAGAGTTCTTGAGGCCCTGTTTATGTTATTTTATGTTACTTTGTTTTTAAAACTTTGTTTATAGACAGTTTAATGTTTTAAAAATCTCTTAAGCATCATACAAGATTTTCAAAGACCCTATTTTAAAAATTAAAAATACAGTGTAAAACCAATAAAACAACTATATGGGGGAATATAAAACAGGAATTGTAGGATTCAAAGCATTGCATGCAGGGTATGAACTTACAGGCTGGGGAAAGCCCAGGTGAAAGGTACGTCTTCACAAGACATCTGAAGCACCTGATAGCTGCTGTTTCACATATGACAGAGGGAAGGGCATTCCAAAATAAGAGACAATAGCAAAAAATGCTTATTTTCAGGTCAGCACCCTCGGATATTCTGCAGGGTGCAATGGCATGTGTAGAATTTTCCCAGATGGCCTGAATTGATCTTCTAACTGAATGCAGGGGGAGGCAGTCTTTCACATAATAAGAAGTCATTGGACATAGCCCAGTAGCTGTTTGGCAACTAGTGCAGTTTCTTCAACACTGCCTGAACCTTCAAAGATTTTGTCTTAGAAGGTGGTGGGTGGTATTAATCTGATTTGACTGGGTTGTTTGTGTATTAATTACTGTTGGCCACTTTGTTCTGAACAGAAAAGCAGAATATAACCAACCAACTAAGTAACTGATGTGGTTCAAATCATGAACTGGTAGGGACGAAATTCACATTCCATATACTTATGTACACATGCACTACACTGGGGGTGTTGAAACTGGCACCTTGGGCAGGATACCTTCCTTTTGTTTTCGGGATGACTTGTGGATAGGCTCAGCCCCCGTTCCCCAGGAGGAGTCTGAACACATTCATTCATTCATTCATTCATTCTCTCTCTCTGTCCCCCCAACCCCCGTCCCTTCAGACTACATCAAGCGCATGCGCTACTGTGAGTACCTGGGTAAATACTTCTGCCAGTGTTGCCATGAAAACGCTCAGATGCTCATCCCCAGCCGCATCCTGCGCAAGTGGGACTTCAGCAAATATTGCATCAGCAATTTCTCCAAGGACCTGCTAAGCAAGATCTGGAGCGATCCCCTCTTCAATGTACAGGACATCAACACTGCCCTCTACCGCAAGGTCAAGCCGCTCAACCAAGTCAGGGTAAGGCAGACTGAGTGTGAGATGCCCCGGAGGCCATCCCTACCCTGCAAGTGTAGCTTTTATACCTGCTTTAAGTGTCAGGGCTTCTGCCAAAGCTGTCTCGGGAACTGTAGATTTGTGAGAAAGCTTGGGGATTCTGTAACAAAGAACAAGTAGAGCAACATTCTGTAACCTGGCGGGACTTTATAGCTTATGTTTCAAATGAGGACCTGCAAAGTTCCTTGCCTGCACCTAAGAAAGAAACATAGTTCTTCTAAATAATTTAATATGCATACGTTGAATTGTATTTGCCATTATTGCCTAAGCATCTTTTCGCTTTCTGTGCCTGTGTGCAGTGGGAAAGAATTCTGTTACATATCCCTATTCAGAACCGCAAATCCCACAGTTCCCTGGGTTCCAATATGTGTGGGAGAGGAGCAGATACATGCTCTTAGGGTACGTCCCACTCCCCACCACCCTGGAAATATTGTTCTACATGCAGGGGCCAATTTGCGCGCGCGCACACACACACACACACACACACACACACACACCTTTTTTGAGAGAGAGAAAATTACTGTTTGAATCTGAGCCAAGCGTGCAAACCTCCAGGTCCATCTTTTCCATTTTTTTGAGCCAAGCCTGCGCCTCTGCCACTCACGTCGACCTTATGCATAGAAATCCTGCCCCAAGCACATTTGCAGAGGCCCTTCATTTTCATTTTATTTCTTTAAACCTCTGCTCAAAACCTTCCATTGATGTCAATTGCTTTTTTATAGTAGCTTTTCCCACCCCTAGAATCGTGTGTGCAGCAACTGTTACTGAGCACAGGATTCAGCATCCTCAGAATCTCAGCGCTTTTTTGTATTTATATAAAGTTTCTAACCCTTAAGGCTGTGCAGATCACCTTGAAAGTGTGTGGTTGAAGCCTGGTGAAATCTCAGAGCAACAGAAAGGACAGGATTTCTGGGGCGTGGAGCTACAGCGCCCTGCAGAATACTCTGCTCCACCCCAGAACTACAGAAATGAGTAACCTAAGCCAAAACTGTCAGATGCAGCGAATTTGCATGCCACTTACACAGACTGGCGTTTCTAAAGCAACAAAGCATACCCAAACCTGCCTGGGGCAGTCCAATTGTTATTTCTTCTAGCTTTTGCACCTGGTTGTTGTTTTTTAGTTTCCCTTTTTCATTTCCCCCTTCCTTTTTAACCATGCATCCCACTGGGTTGGGGAAACGCCAAAGTCCCTTTTGAGGCAGGGCCAAGAGCTGGGCCTGGGTTTCTGCTCAACTCCTTGCTGTGACACACATACCTAATACTTCTGAAACGAAAGAAGCCTTCCAACCTGAGGTTTTCCCTTCCACTTGGTCTTTTCCAGCTGCTGAGAATCCAGCTGTACCACATGAAGAACATGTTCAAGACCTGCCGCCTAGCAAAAGCGTAAGTGCTGTGGGATGCAGGCAAAACGACAGAAGCCCAGCAATGGGGCTGGAGGGGGGGGGCGCAGAAAGGGTAGTGGACTCCTCCCAGTGCACTCCTCCCAGATAGCTGCATCTCCTCCTACAGAACGTCTATAGGACATGCTCTTAAACCACAAGGAACCTGGGCCGCCACCACCAGCATATGAACTTCTGTACCTCACTTTTAGTCTTTCAGGCACCTCCACCCTCCCTTTGTTGAGCAGAAGACGCATTCTTCTGCTCCTTGCTAACTTCTAGGCCTGGGCTTAAGCAATAGAAGATGTCTGTTGCAACTGTCCCCCGACTCCACCTGGTCAGTGGGGCTGTGGGATCATTTCCTCTGCTTCTGTGCATAGGGGTGCGCACTGTGTACCAGTGCCTGCTTGTCACGTGTGAAGATTGCACAGCTGTCTATATTTGCCAGTTGGAAAGCTGCGAGTGGCAGCAGATTCCCTGCAAGTGTTCAGCTGCCCAAACTGTCATGCGTGACATTCACACAAGGGTCTAACTATGTGAATGTACACCCCCCCCACACACACACACTGCATCAGAGATGCATAGACCTTGCTGGGTTGTTGGAACGAACCTTAGCAACAACCACTCTGACCTTAGCCACTCTGAGCGGCTCCTGACAAAATATTAAAAGCAATACAACTTGCAGATGGAAAATAACCATTGCAAGGGAAAGGAGCAGTAGGGTAGTGAGATGATAGGTGGGAAATGTGTAGCCTTGAGCTATTAAAGAGCTCTGCCAGCAGCCTTCACTTGCATCAGCTGGTCTGGCTGCAATATTCGCTAAGTGAGGGCAAGGAGCATTCAGAACAGAACAAGGCTGCTTTGTCAAGGTGCTGATTTCTGACTTGGTCCTGCAGGCTCCTGGATGCCTTTGACGCCGTGCCAGGTCATTTGACAGAGGACCTCCACCTCTATTCCTTGAATGACCTGAGTGCCATCAAGAAGGGGGAGCTCGTTCCTTGCTTGACAGAGCTCCTCAAGGCAGGTACCCAGCACGTTGAGAAATGCATGGTGGGTAACCTTTTTACTTTCCCCCCCTTTCAGCCCCTTCCCGTCCTCCCAATTTGTATTGTATTTGTTTCTCCACTGGGTCAAGTTTCGCACAAAAGCCATGCAGGGAGACCTGGATTTTCCCAGGCAGTGCTCTGGCTGCATGTCTGGGTGCCAGGGAGGCTGATCTTAACCCTTCCTAGTGAGACAGCTTGAGCTGCAATCTCTATGGGAACATCGGTGGAGGAACTTAGGATCGCTCTTGCACACAGCGGAGAGGGTAACTTTGGTAGACTTCTTGTAATAGAGAACCACATGCACTGCTAAATTGAAGCTGCAGAACAGTATGGTGTGGAGGACTGCAATAGGTAATGGGGGGGGGTGGCCCAGGAAAAGTCATTCTCCATGGCATTGGAATTCCCTTCCCACAGAGGTGTGTTAGGCACCTTCGTTCTATGGTTTCTGTGGCATTCTGAAGGTGCTCCTCTTTATCCTAGCTCTTGACACATGGGAAGTATTTTCAGGATCCACCTTGTTCCTGGGACTGGAATTTGTTTCAGCTGTTGTAAATACTGAATTATAAATTGTTGTGACCAGCCTTGGACCCTGGGTAGTAAATTGAAATTATAATTTAATTGATTGATTGCAACAACAGCAAATGCTAGTGCAGTGCCATTGTTGGATACAACAGTATGTAATCACATACACAGTCTTGCTGTAATGCAACCTTCACAACCTGTAACCCATATATAAGGGCACACACAACAACAGCTGGTTAAGATGTGGCAGAATTATTTCTGTGCTGCAGATTGGGTGTCCAGAGTTGCTTGCCTAAAGCCCTCAATGGCTGAGGCAAGATTTTCACAGGGGAGTTTGTGATTCCTTGGCGATGGTAGTTAATGAGATGTCAGGTAGCCTTTTTAGAGATCACTTGCCACTTTTGTGGAGCTACAGTGCCCAGCGCTAAACAGATGCCCATGGAGGTTGCTTGAGGGTGAGGCAAGGACTCCTTGGCAGGGCGTTTGTGTCTCTCTGTGTGTGCACATGCTACAGATCCAGGGCTTCTCTGTCCCTTCAGAAGTGGGGATGCAGCTTCTGCTGGGCTGTTCTCCTTCACTCCCCTCCGCTTCTTCCTTTTCTCCCCCTCAGCTGTGCCAGGCCAAGGGCTTCATCTGCGAGTTCTGCCAGAACGAGGAGGACATCCTCTTCCCCTTTGAGCTGAACAAGTGCAGGACGTGCGAAGGTGAGAACGGGAGCCACATCCCCTGTGGCTGGGTGTTTGAGACGCTGATTTTGCTAGTTGCTCATTTCCCTCTCCCCTTGCAGAATGCAGAGCCTGCTACCACAAGGTGTGTTTCCGCTCAGGACCCTGCCCCAAATGCGAGCGGCTGCAAGCGCGGAGGGAACTGCTGGCCAAGCAGAGCATGGAGGCTGACGTCTCGGACTATGAGGAGGAGCAGGAGGAGGAGGCAGCCGTTGAAGGAGCAGCCACGTGACAGATGAGAGACTGTGGCTTGGTGCGTGGCCTCTTCCTCCAGGGACTGAACTGGCAGAGAACTCAGACTGACTCTTCCACAGCTAATAAGCCAACGTGATGGGAGCCTTTGGGGGGGGGGAGTCCCCCAAAGGGTTATTTTGCACTTGCCTCGGGAGGTTTTGGTGCTTCCCTTCTGTCTGAGCCACAGGACGAGGGAGAGAGAGACTTGCTTGCTGTTTCCGCCACCAACTTCGATGCACTGCGGAGCCCAGCTTTGCTGCCACCGCAAAGAAAGTACCTCAAGGCTTTACCTTGAGCGCCTGAACTTCTCTCCACATACCACTTGGGAGAAGCCGGTGGGTGGTGCTGGTGGGCTTATGTGGCTGAGCTCCTGGCCGAGTTCCAAAACACTCCTAAAGGGAAAACGGCCCACGTGGAAACTTGTTATTTTCTGTATTGGCTGCTGTGTGCCAGAAGAGGCAGCTTTTGTTTTTCTTTTGCCAAAACCACTGCCTATAACTCTGTATACTTTTGCTGCTGAATGTCATTTATCTGGCCCTAATTTTTTGTGCCTGAAGGAAGCCAGAGAACCGAAAGGGGCATTCAGCCTGCCCTTTTATTCTGTCGGGAGCTGCCTAGCTACAATAAATACTGGGGGGTGTAGAAAATCTGCTGGTACCTAGCGGGGTAAGCTGAGGAGGGTGGGGCGATAGTTGGCAAACCCAAGGTTCCCACAACTCTTCTCAGAATAATCTGCCCACACACCCCAACACCCTATTAGAGAGGACCTAGCTCTTGCTTCCTTACCTACCACCGTTTCTTCCAATTTGCCTAAAAAGTCTTTTTCCTTGCAAGGGAAATGTGGGTTGGTAGCTTGCAGAAATAAATGTACCCTTCCAGGATGCTGGATTTGGGAGGGATTCCAGTTTAAAGCCTACATAGGGCAGCGTCTGGGGCTTTCCTATTGTGGGAGTTAACCTCTGGGCTCTTCCTTAGATCAGAGAAGATTTCTGACACTTTTGCAGCAATGCATTTGCTTCTCCTGCTGATATTTCTGCTGTGTTTCTGTGTTGACACCTAACCTCTAGTACTTACCTGGCTTTGATGGTAAATTGGTAGGTGCCTTTTGTTGTTTTAGGGTACAGAAGATTTCCTATTACTGGTCATGTTTCATGATCAAGCAGACCATGAGGCTGGAAAGGGGCAACTATTTAGTAGGATGAGGGGCAGAAAACAGTGCTGAAGATTGCAGTTCATTTCCTCCTTCTTGCAGAAGCATGGCAGGGTCCCTAGGAGCAGAGCTTAAAGCAGCCTTCATCCTCCTGAAGTTTAGGCTCAGTGGGAGCTGCAGTCCTGGAAGGGGTGCTAAACTGGAGAAGACGGGCTTCTAGCATGCTGGTGAGGTGGTGCTCTCTTGTTAACCACCAGCCATTCTACTAGAATTAGGGCTTAGCTGACCTGTTGCACTGAATATGGCTTGGGTTCATTCAGAAACAAACAAAACTTCCTTTCCTCATATTAATAGGTGAGCCTCTTTGTCAGATTCCTTTAATTTGGTACTTGAAATGTGGCTGTGCTTTATAATCAAGTAGGGTTCTTCCACACCAACTAGTCTTTATAGTCTCTTCCCTGCTCCTGTTTTGCAACGCTTTTTCCTGGCACCTTCTTGCCCACCTCTTCTTCCTGTACCTTGTTCCTCAGCAGAGAGGTGTTCATCAGCCCTGCTTAATCTCCAAGAGTCTACCTTGTCTCTTAATCTCCAGGCTTTTTCATCGGGGAATCTCTGGCCTGTGGGGCTTGCTGGCAGCACTGGCAGCAAGTCTTGCAGGATCCAGAACTCTGCGGTGCAGCCCTGCTTTTGGCATAGATCTTCCCTTTGCAGTCTGGCTTTGATATAAAGCCAGGCTGCAGAGGAAGAAACAATTGAGAGCACTTAAAAGAACCCTTTCAACATTGGGTCGTCTTGTCAAAATGGCCTGCAGGGGTGGAGAAACTTGGGATCTGGCCTGTGCTGTGTGATTGGCAGGATTATTTTACGCTACTTCATCCCCCCGCTGATGCTGGTATTCCTCTTATGGTGAAAGCACTTCACACCCTTATCAACTAGGTGTGTGCTCATAAACTTCTCCCAGACTCCTCTATGTGGCAGTTCCTGTGCAGGGGGAGAATAAAATGGGAGGGCCTCTGATGGCTGTGAGAGCAGCCTTCTCCTATCCTATGCTACTGTATGGCAGTATACCCAATTCTGTATACGGTGCTGTTCTGTAACAACCTCTTAGCAGAGCACATTGTGTGGTGTGGTCCTTCAGAGTACTCTCCTGTGTTGCTGGCTAGAAGCTGGAGATTGTATTCCTTGCAATATGACCAGACTTTCAAAGTCAGCTGGTTCTTGGACGTTTGAAGTGGCCCAGTCTGAAAGGACAGTTGGTTTGTGGATGTAAGTGAGGGTCAGTGTAGTCTGTAGGTAGAAATGGCATGATGTCTTGAGGAAGGAGGTGGCGGCATTTTTGGCATAGGTCACTCAGCTAGCACACAGCAGAATCTCCTGCAGGAGGCAGCATATGTCCTTTTGTGCTGGCCTAGACTGCAAGACCCATTTTCTAAAGATGGATAGCAGTGTCATTTTAGCTACTGTATTTTTTTAACTATACATAATACACTAGAAAAACCCTGACTGAGATAAACAGGACATACAGTTGACATGCGTGCAAAATGACACGGTGATGCTGTGAAGATTTACTTAAAGAATGCTATATAAAGGTAGACTTCCTTCTATTTGCTTTTTCTAAGAACAAGATTTGAGTGTTAGCAGTGTCAGGAACTTGCCCACTTCTGCTCAGACACGGCCTTGGAAGGTGTTGCTCTGTGGCTTCCACTTGCTTAATTCAGTGGCACCCTTTTTATGCCCTCTGGCTTAGAGCCTCAGCCTTTTGCTGCTGCTTTTGGTAAGGCTGAAATATCTCTGTGTAATTTTTTTAGCTCCACGTGTAGTTTGCTCAGAGTATGCCCACATCCAGAATTTATAAAGGAAATGTTGAAATAATTGACTTGGGGTATGTTCAGAAACAGTTGGTGGTCTGGTGAACTAGCAGTCTGGAATATGGGCAATTGAACCAGCTGAAGTGAAGGAGCCAGGAGCCGGGAACACAGGTTAACTCAGCAGGGTGGATGCTTGCAAGATGGAGATGGGGGCAGTCCACAAGCACCCTGTTAACTGAACGCCTTGGGTGTTTGTGGTTGGGTATTATCGTGAGAGGGTTCTTGGTGTTTGATGGCAGTGGGGCAATCCATCCACCTCACCCCACCCCACCCCCAAAGACAGGATTTGCTGTGTTTCAAAGAGAACTGTGGGACCACTCCTCCCATTTCCTGTGCCTTCACAATTCCTACAGTAGCCTGTTACTATTCTCTACTTGAGATCAGAACTCTACAGAAAGTGCTTCCCAAATAATTCCTGATCTAAGGTTTTAAAAACACAATAGCGACAGGTTTGCAGCAGCATGGAGTATTTCATGCATTCTGAAGCCCTCACTTGCTTCAATTAAGAGCCTCTCTCATAGATAACTGTTGAAGAACAACATCTTTTATCTTGATTACACACATCAGTTCCCTTGACTGCAAAAAAACATTACATGGCTCTGTTTTATGGATTGGAGCTCCCCCTTGCTATCCCCCCTGCCTTTCAAAAATTGTTTTTACTTATTCCAGGGCCCAACTACACTTGCTGCTAATCATGTGCTTAAAGAAGCATGCTTAACTTGCCCGTTTTTAGGGCTCCAGTCTGAAATACACGTCCAATCCAGATCAGTGCCCACCCAGCTCCTGGGCATTTGTCTTCTCTATTGAATATCACCCCCCCCCCCCGGTTATTTGCCCCCAAATGTGCCGTGAACAGAAAAGTCATATGGAATCCTGGTGATTTTTTTCTCTCTCAAACGGTGGCAGCCTGGCTTAAGTATCTTTTTCTTGTTTTAAATGTGACCATCGTCAAACGAAGGTGAGCGAGCCCTCAACCTTGTGTCACAAACAGTCTCAAAAGATTGTAAATCCACACTGCAATCCTTTACAGTTAAGAAGAAATTTGGTGGGGTTTATATATATATATATATATATATATATAATTGTCAGCACTTCTGTTGATGACATTTCTTGTGTTTGTCAGTAAGGCCCTCTTTAAGAAAGCTATTTTCCAGGACAGACTTCTGCCAGCCTGGTGCTCTCCATCTAGCTATGGGGCTACAATTGCCATCAGCCACAGGCGGTACAGTTCTGCTGCCTGGGGGCTGATGAGGAAAGAAAAGCTCAAACATCTTGAAGGCACCAGGTTGGCAAAAGCTGTTCTAGATGCACTGATCTAAGTTCCAAAAGGGGGGTGGTAGGTTGTGGAGTTTTTTTTCCCTTTTACGTGATAATTGTGCAGTCTCCTTTCTGCAATGCCTGGAAAGCACACAAAGGGAGAATGTAATGCACAGCGGAATGGTTAGGAAGCCAAATGGCCAAGCCTGATGAAGCTGTGATCGATTTCTGGTATGCCCACGGTTTTGCAGAATGACTGCTGTCCATATTGTAAATGGTATGTGAAAGTTCTTTATAAAGAGTTAACGGTGGAGTTGAAACCAGATATCCACCTGCTGTTAACCACAGAAATGCCGTCCATAATAAACTACACTAATAAGCATGCTGCTTTTGCGGTCTCTGTTTTCGTCAAACGTGAAACGCCTCCTCGTTTGTAGGTTCCAGGCTCTGTGGCTTTGCTGGGCTGCCATCTCCTCCTGCCACTGCCCACCATTCTGCCACGCAGAAGCATTGTAAAAACCTGTCTGCTGTGTGGCACGCGGCTTTGGGATTGCATAGCAGGTAGAGAGCGAGGCTTCAGGAACGCAGCTTGACCTACAGTTGCTTCTTGTTCCACATCTTAAAAGGGTGGGCAAAACCTGCCTTTTTGCACTACGTAAAACGTGTGTAATGTTAAGTTGGCCTCAGCCGCTGTGAAAAAGGCGACGTCAAGCCTTGCCCTTTAGCCACTTGAAGATTACTTGCAGAACTTTTGAGGGCTGTACTTGCGCTCAAACTGGTCCACGTCAAACTTCCTCTTGCAGCCAGCATAGTTCATGTAGCGGATCTTGCCAAACACTGCCCGCTCTGGCCAGCCTTGGTCGTGGATCCCACAGATAGACCACATGCAGCCTGATGGGAGGAAAAAAAGAACAAACGGATCTCTGCTTTTGCATTCTTCCTCCCACCTTTCTCTGCAGATACAGACACAGGTCTGGTGATTCCTGCTCTGCAGGGGGTTGGACTAGATTGGCTCTTGTGGCCCATTGCAACCCTATGACTCTATGATACAACCACCCAGCCTCTTCCCATGACTGACCTACATATCCATTGGGGTCCCGGCCATCCAGTTCATAGCGGTCATTAAGGTAGATGGAGAATTTCAGGGCCTCTTCTGGCGAAGTGGTCCACTCCAATATTTTCTTGGCCCAATACATCCTCAGGAAGCCGTGCATCTTCCCTTCATGAACCATCTGGAGCTGAAGCAGAGGGATGGAAAGGTGGATGAGCTACGGATGAGGCCTTCTTGGGAAGTGCCACCCGCCCTGCGGAATGCCATCCCATCAGATGTCAAAGAGCTAAACCATCATAGGACTTCCTGTATCAGGAAGCTACTGATGTTTTGGTGTGTTCTTGGAAGCCACCCAGAGTGGCTGGGGATGTGCTTATGGAACCAAAGGGGTGGTGGCCCCCAAAACTGGGGCGCACTGGTTTAGATAAAAGGCAAGTAAAGGGGGGACTTTATGGGTGTCCCATAGGGGCAGCTGGTTGGCCGCGGGGAGAAGGAAGTTCTCCATCACCTCTTCCTGCTCCATCGCTATTGTTCACACGCCCTTCAAAAGCAGTTCCCCGAGTGGGTTACAACAGTTTTAAATTCAGAATGAAAATAGTTAAAACTAATGACGGTCACAGGGATGAAGTGGGGCCCTCTGCTCTTAACCCCACAAGCAGGAAATAAAAGCAACTGTACACATTCAGAAACGGCCCTTCAGAAGGTAGCCTGCCACTGACCGTGGAGGTTCCCCATTTAGTTAGTATGGCTAAACATTTTTACTTTTGTGTATATAATTTTTTATTTAATTTTCTGTTTCAGAATTTAAAATACTCATTTAAACATCCTCAAAATACCAACGACTTCCCTTCTTCTCTTTCCATGGTTCATTTTCCATATCATAAAACCCTGCTTATTTTACAAAAACTAAGCCATTCAGTATTCCATTATTACATCCATCAAAACTTATTTACACTGCTGAATTTATTTTAATGCTGCCAACGTTTTCAAGTCTACACAATTATTTCCCATATATTCAATAAACGTTTTCCAATCTTCTTTAAACGTATGTTCTTCTTGTTCTCTTATTCTGTGTGTAAAATCTGCAAGCTGCGCATATTCTGCCAACTTTAGTTGCCATTCTTCGTTAGTTGGGACCTTGCTCGTTTTCCATTTTGGGGCTAACGAAACATGGGCCACAGTAACGGCACACATAAATAACCTTTTTGACACCTGGGAATTTCCATCCCTAATCCCCCTTTAAAGCCATCTAATCCAGCGGCCATCACAACATCCAGTAGCAGAGATTTGTACCACTTAACAAGGTAGCATGTAACTTTTCCATTCCGATCGATCTGCTGCTGCAAAGAGTTTTAGCATTATTGGAGAGGGAGAAGCAGATTTCCAAGCACATGACAGACATGTGCTCAGAAGCCAGCACATGCCCATCCAAAGACAGGTCCTCACACACCTTTGGAGCTTAGGTTTACCTGTGCAGCGTTCCAGAGAGGGTCGTGCGTCTTTCCTGCCTCCAGCTGTTCCAGTTTGTACAGGTGAGATCGCTTGTCTTTGGCGTGCAGCTTCAGCGTAGTTTTGGCCCAGTCATAAGCCCCTTTGAATGGTATAAGGCATAAAAGTTTATGGTTAAAAAGTATAGAATCATAGAATCCTAGAGTTGGAAGAGACCACAAGGGCCATCGAGTCCAACCCCCTGCCAAGCAGGAAACACCATCAGAGCACTCCTGACATATGGTTGTCAAGCCTCTGCTTAAAGACCTCCAAAGAAGGAGACTCCACCACACTCCTTGGCAGCAAATTCCACTGTCGAACAGCTCTTACCGTCAGGAAGTTCTTCCTAATGTTTAGGTGGACTCTTCTTTCTTGTAGTTTGGATCCATTGCTCCGTGTCCGCTTCTCTGGAGCAGCAGAAAACAACCTTTCTCCCTCCTCTATGTGACATCCTTTTATATATTTGAACATGGCTATCATATCACCCCTTAACCTCCTCTTCTCCAGGCTAAACATGCCCAGCTCCCTTAGCCGTTCCTCATAAGGCATCGTTTCCAGGCCTTTGACCATTTTGGTTGCCCTCCTCTGGACACGTTCCAGTTTGTCAGTGTCCTTCTTGAACTGTGGTGCCCAGAACTGGACACAGTACTCCAGGTGAGGTCTGACCAGAGCAGAATACAGTGGCACTATTACTTCCCTTGATCTAGATGCTATACTCCTATTGATGCAGCCCAGTAATTGAGGCCTATTAAAATGCAGCATTATCATAAAGGTAAAAAAGTAAAGGACCCCTGGACAGTTAAGTCCAGTCAAAGGCGACTATGGGGTTGCAGCTCTCATCTTGCTTTCAGGCCAAGGGAGCCGGCGTTTGTCCACAGACAGCTTTCCGGTTCATGTGGCTAGCAGGACTAAACCGTTTCTGGTGCAATGGGACACCATGATGGAAGCCAGAGCACATGGACACGTCATTTACCTTCCCACTGCAGTGGTACCTATTTATCTACTTGCACTGATGTGCTTTCAAACTGGCAAGTTGGCAGAAGCTGGGACAGAGCAACAGGAGCTCACCTCGTTGCGGGGATTCAAACCGCCAACCTTCTGATCGGCAAGCCCAAGAGACTCAGTGGTTTAGACCACAGTGCCACCTGCGTCCCTGCATTATTATATCACATGATATAATAGTCACATGATATAAAATGTCGCAGAAGAGGTGTCCTTGCGGAGCAGAGAAAGGCAAAACAGGTGAGCCCATTTACCTTCCACCTTGTCATAATTTGGGTTGTAGTAGCAGAAATTGTCCGCCAGCTCCCTCCGCACCACGGCCTCTTCAATGAAGGCTTCCGCAGATTCCTTGTACCGGCTACGGAGCTTGCGAACCTCCAGGATTGCTCTCTGTACAGAGATCTGACCTGTGGGAGGGCAGTTACTGTTCAGTGGGCTTCTGAGATCTTTGGAACTTGCAAGAGAGACTCTCCTGCAGGCCACAGCAATCTTCTGGGGGTTCCCTCCCTGCGAGAAGTGAGGTTTCAGGGAACCAGGCAGAGGGCCTTCTCGGTAGTGGTGCTGCCCTGTGAAATGCCCTCCTATCAGATGTCAAGGAAATAAACAACTATCTGACTTTTAGAAGACATCTGAAGGCAGCCCTTAGGGAAGTTTTTAATGCTTGATGTTTTATAGTGTTTTTAATATTCTGTTGGGAGCCACCCAGAGTGGCTGGAGAAACCCAGCCGGATGGGTGGGGTATAAATAAATTTATTATTATTATTATTATATTTATTATCTACTAGGTGCCTAAGGGGTCTCTCTCAAGTAACCTGGTCTTGAGCTGTACAATTGCCATCTTCGTAGTCAATGTAACGCCACTATTAATTGACAGTTGTAACAACGAGCTCATATATGCTTATATTCATGTGCATTGATATAAGCTAATTGGCTTGCTTTTAAAGTTCTCCTTATCTGTGGAGTTTGGGGTCCTGGGCTGAGCCTAGAAAGGAGAATTATCTCTAAGATTTGGGTACCTGCCACCTATGCCCTCATGTGGGCAGATGAAGTGATGGGAAGGCCTGGCCAAAGGGAATTATGCTGCTAGGTGTATAAAGAATGGACGAAGGTTTCCTTGGGTACGGACAAACCATCTCCTTGCTTCAGTGTCCACCCCGTGTCTGCAAAGGCTGGGAGAACGGGCAGGCTGGCTTACTCTAACGCAGGGGTGAGCAAACTTTTTCAGCAGGGGGCCGGTCCACTGTCCCACAGACCTTGTGAGGGGGCCGGACTATATTTTGGAGGGGGGGGGGGAATGAACGAATTCCTATGCCCCACAAATAATCCAGAGATGCATTTTAAATAAAAGGACACATTCTACTCATGGACAAACACGCTGATTCCTGGAACGTCCGCGGGCCAGAGTTAGAAGGCGATAGGGCCGGATCAGGCCGCCGGGCCTTAGTTTGCCTACCCATGCTCTAATGGATCACTCTGGCATCTTTGACATCCTTCTTTGGTACCCCTGCCCCAAATACTCCCATAATACTCCCTCCTCTGGGGCTGTAGATCAGGGCCACAATGTTGGTACTAAAACCTTGAATTTGCCCTGTAGCAAACTGGTAGCCAGAGCAGATCTAGCAAGCAAGGTGTTATATGCTGGCGCTGGTTTGTCCCACAGCCAACCTAGCAGCCTCCGTATCATACCCCAAGGGTAGCCCCACATGGAGCGCACTGCAGTAATCAAAACATCTAGAAGGCCACAACCCTAAATAGTTTTGGAGTCCTCCTCTGTTCCTCCCGTCACAGCACAATTTCTAATACCAACGGAGATCTCTTTCAGATGCCACTGCTTCTTCTAAAGGCTACTACCAACCCTAAACTTTTTGGGCAGAGCGGTCAGCTGATCTGCAACCCACCCAGGGTTTGGCCACCCCTGTACCCCCCAAGGGTTTACCCAGGCCTTGCAGAGGACCAGCTCCCCACTCACCAAAGTGGAACCAGGGCGAGAGGTTGCTCAGAGCCGCCCGGTTGGGATTGTTCCTGTCTGTGCCAAAGAACTTCAGGCGGTCCTTGATGAACTCTTCCAGCACCGCCAGGCCGGCAGCCGTCCCTGGCTGCGCCCAGGTCACCTCCTTCACGGAGCGGTCAACCTGCAGGCTGGCATAGCAGGCGTCCCAGTCAACAGGCTGCGGAGTCAGAAGAGGAACAGGGGTAAAAGCCAGCAGCAAGGACGTTCTCCAGGCCAAGGATGTTCCAGCAATCCTTAATAACCCAGAGCTCACGGGAGCGTGGGCATCATTCGGCTTTTCATTTATCTTATTTTTATTTCATTTCTTAAATTCATGCACCGCTTTAATTTCATAGACCTTGAAGCAGTCTACAAAGAATAAAATAATAAGAATGACCAGACAGGCTTACCCAGACACATAGAGTTTACTGCTGATTTTAATCCTTTGAATGTTTTAAATAGTTTTTAACTGTTGTTCCCTATAATTTTACTGTTCTTTTGTAAACTGCTTTGAGGATTGATTGATTGATTTTTAACAATCAAGCAGCGCGTAAATTTTATGGAATAAAAATAATACATACTATTATTCAGGGCTTTTTTTGCTATTCTAAGAGAACAAGGGAGAAGTCCATTGATGAGTTCTGGCACGTCTTTTTTCCCAGGACTCCAGGCAGCTTACAAAAATGCAAGAAAGCTAAACATATATACAAGGCAATAGTTAGTACGCAATTAAACCTCAACAGGGTTAAAACAAGATAAAAGCAAATCTATTAAAATACAGATGGTAAAAAATAAATGCGCATTTGTGGGGTGAGTATTGCATACCTGTGGCCTTCTGTAAATGTCAAAGGAGCATAGAAGAAGAAGAAGAAGAAGAAGAAGAAGAGGAGGAGGAGGAGGAGGAGTTTGGACTAGATATCCCACCTTTCACTCCCCTTAAGGAGTCTCAAAGCGGCTCACAATCTCCTTTCCCTTCCTCCCCCACAACAAACACTCTGTGAGGTGAGTGGGGCTGAGAGATTTCAGAGAAGTGTGACTAGCCCAAGGTCACCCAGCAGCTGCATGTGGAGGAGCAGGGAAGCGAACCCGGTTCACCAGATTACGAGTCCCCCGCTCTGAACCACTACACCACACTGGCTCCCTTACACCATAGGATGCTCCCTTACCCCGAGTCAGACCATTGGTCCATATAGCTCACTACTGTCCACACTGACTACCAGCAGCTCTCCAGGATTTCAGACAGGGTGTCTCTCTCAGTGCTTCCTGGAGATGTCTGGATTTGAACCTGGCACCCTCTGCATGCAAAACAGATGCTCTACTGCTGAGCTACAGACTTTCCACAGCTTTTCTGTCCCAGCTGCAGTGAAGGGCTAAGGGAGACCTGCTGGAATGTCTGCAGCAGTTTGCCAATAATTACAAATGTCAAAAAAAACCCCACAAAAACCAGCCCAGATCCCTGCTCCCAATATCGACTGCTACCTCTGCCTGGAACTCCGTGGGATAAGGGTGCCTGACGACAGGTGGGAATTCGGTGAGAAACTCAGCCAGCCGGTCATGGATTTTCCGTCGGATAGTTCTGGCCCCGTACTCCTGCTTGTCGGAGGCCACCCAGCAGGGCACAATGTTGTGAGCATCGACCTGGAGAAGCAAAGCAAGAGAAACGGCAATTGCACACAGCTCCCACTATCCTAACACTCGCTATACAAAAATTCACTTATCCAAACCCAAGGAATTAATACCCAAGCCTCCTAGAATTGCTATGTACACCGCAGATTCAGATATCCAAACAGCCAGACCTGCATGTAGTGCTGTAAACGAATCAGCAGCCTTGAACAAACCTTACTTTTTGTGTTTTCCTGCTGCATGGCAGCCATTTTGCCAAAAACCATGATGGGAGGGAGGGAGCTGGAGAGATCTGACAAATAAGATAGCGTTTTCCTTCTTTATTTGCCTTTTGCAAGGTTTCAGAGGGTTTTCCTGGGTTTTCTCGTCATTTGGGGGTAAAATTCCGTGGTTGGGAACGCATTAGAAATTTCCCCATAGGAATCAATGGAAAGCATTGACTCGTTATGCAAACATTTGCCTAACACATGATTTCCTGAGAATGCATTGTATTTGAATAGCAGGACCTTTGTGTTAACGTGTAGAGAGAGGGGAAAGAAGGATCCTAGGAACTTCTACAGCAGCCCTTGCCCATCTGGTGCCCTCTAGATGCTGTTGGTCCATAACTTCTCTTAACAGCCACCAATTAATTGTGGCATCAGCTTTTCTGGGATGAAGCTGCTGCTTCTTCTACCATCTGTGACTGGATTAAAGACTTTTTGAGGGATCAGACACAAACAGTGAGGATTGGGACTGTTACATCTACCTTCCTGAAGCTCAGCACCGGCACCCCACAGGGATGTGTGCTGAGTCCCTACCTGTACTCATTGTACACATATGACTGTATATCATCTGATCCATCCACAGTAATTATTAAGTTTGCAGATGATACTACCATAATGGGTCTAATTGCAGGCGGAGATGAAACAGTGTACAGGGGGGAGGTTCAAAAAGTATCTACATAGTGCTTAGAGAATAACTTGCACCTAAATATTAGTAAGACAAAGGAGATGGTGTTGGACTTCCAGAGGAAGAGAGGGGAACCTGCCCTGTTATATATCGGGGGGGGGGGCTGTGTGGAGAGTCTCCTCCTTTAAATTCCTGGGAGTTTACCTTAGTGAGGACCTCACTTGGAAAATCAACAAAACTCAGGTGATCAGAAAGTCCCAACAAAGACACTATTTCCTCAGGGTCTTACAAAAGAATAATGTTAAACAACAACTGATGAACTCCTTTTACCGGTCCACAGTAGAAAGTGTCCTTTCATATTGTATCACAGTGTGGCATGCTGACCTGACAGCCACGGACAGAAAGTCTCTACAGAGGGTGGTGAATACAGCACATGATATCATGGGCTGTCCCTTGAGTCCGCTAGATGACATCGCAAGGGATCGTTGCCTTAGGAGAGCAAGAAAAATTCTCAGGGATGACTCACACCCCGGCCATCACCTTTTTAATCTTCTACCCTCGGGCAGGAGATACAGAAGTATAATCAGCCGTACCAACAGGCTAAAAAATAGCTTCTATCCGTGGGCTGTTAGGCTGTTGAACGGAAAATAACATAGCGCAACTGACTTGTGAGGTGGTGTGCTGTGCGATAAGCACAGAGTGCAATGAAATTGAATGTTTGGGTGGGCTGGGAGGCAGGCTCGGTTAATTTCATTGTACACAGGTTGTACATTGACAATAAAGGTATTATTATTACAGTGGATGCTCAGGTTGCGAATGTAATCCATGCGGGATGCACATTTGCAACCCGCAGCGTTCGCAAACTGCAGTGGCGCATCTGCGTACGCATGGGTCGCGATTCGGCGTTTCTGCGCATGTGCAAAGAGTGATGTAGTGCTTCTGCGCATGCGCAACCGCTGAAACCCAGAAGTAACCCGTTCTGATACTCCTGCGTTTTGACAGTCGATAACCCGAAAAAATGCAACCTGAAGCGTCTGTAACCCAAGGTATGACTGCATTAAGCTTCCTTTGTCAGATTCAGTGAACGTGATGGAAGTTATGAACTCAGGAATCCAGGCAAGGTGGTGAAATGCTCCTTGGAATCACAACATCTGTGTCACCATGGAGACACCCCCCAGTGCCCCGCAGCTCTGCCCAGATCACACCCCAGCGGCCAGACTCCAGGCCTCCCTACCTGGACAAAGGGCACATCAGGTGGCAGCCTCGCCTGGACATCTTGCACCCACTGCATGGGGACGCGGAGGGGGGCGAAGTCCGTCACCACCCCGCCAATGCCGTGGGTCGTCACAAAGGGGGGCAGCACGTCCTTTGCGAAGCCGATGAGCAGGTGAAACGGGATGCTTAGCTCCTTGCACTCCTGGGAGACGGGAAAAGGAAGCAGAGAATATTTGGTCACACAGGAAGCTCATGATATCGACTCATAGACTACCAGTTAGTCTAACTCAGTATTTACCACACTGGCTGGCAGCAGCTCTCCAAGGTTTCAGGCAGGGGACACCTCCCGGGCCTACCTGGAGAGGCCAGGGGCTGAACCTGGAACCTTCTGCATGCAACGCATGTGCTCCCCCACTGAGTATCTAAAAGATACAAGTTTCCAGTCCTCATTGTTTTGAACGAAGGGTGAATTTGAATAGGAAGCCGGTTACATTATAAGCTGCCTTATACTAGACCAGTGGTCTCTCTCATCGATTATTGTCAACACTGACTGGCAGTGACTCTCCAGGTTTTCAAACAGGGGTCATTCCCAACCCTACCTGGAGACACCAGGGTTTGAATCTGGGACCTTCTGCATCCCAAGCACATGCTCTTCCACTGAGCTATGGTGTCCATCAAAAAGGAACAAAGCTCTCACAGGTACAGATTTTTAGTTGCACGCATAAATACAAGCCTGTGTCATGACTATCTTGGCTACGAGTGCAACTATTCAGGGACCAACTGTTTCTTTTAAGTCTGTCGCACTGCCGCAGTCATGCACCGGCCCGGCAACGCAAGTAAAGGTAAAGGAAAAGGGACCCCTGACCATTAGGTCCAGTCGTGGCCGACTCTGAGGTTGCAGCGCTCATTTTGCTTTATTGGTCAAGGGAGCTGGCGTACAGCTTCCAGGTCATGTGGCCAGCATGACTAATCTGCTTTTGGCGAACCAGAGCAGCGCACGGAAATGCCGTTTACCTTCCCGCCAGAGTGGTACCTATTTATCTACTTGCACTTTGACTTGCTTTCGAACTGCTAGGTTGGCAGGAGCAGGGACTGAGGAACGGGAGCTCACCCCGTCACAGGGATTCGAACCGCCGACCTTCTGATCGGCAAGTCCTAGGCTCTGTGGTTTAACCCACGTCCCCCGAGCGCTACCCACGTCCCCCGAATAAAATCCCAGCTTTTCCAAAGCTCTCCTAGGTTTCCCAGACAGAAAGTGTACCGTATTTTTTGCACCATAACACTCACTTTTTTGCTCCTAGAAAGTAAGGGGAAATGTCTGTGCGTGTTATGGAGGAAATGCCTACGGGTGGCATGCCTACGGATTTTCCTCTTCTAAAAACGATGTGCGTGTTATGGTCGGGTGCGTGTTATAGAGCGAAAAATACGGGTAAGTCATCCCCCCTGCCCCATCAAAAAAGCGAAGTTGGCACACTTCACCAACACCCACCGAAAGGCTGACTTAGCGTGCAAAAGAATAAGAGCACAGAAATATTTCTGCTGCAAGAGGAGTCCCACCCTTGAGCTTCTGCACAAGTCTCTGTTCTGAGCACTCCCCTGGACCGGAAAGAGGAAAGCCTCTTTCATTGACCCCAAAATCAATTTTCTTTGGAGAATGGGTTGCTCTGCCGGGTAAGTGAACGATCCAGCCACACTTGACGCAGAGACCCAAGAGAAAAGGCCAGAGCAGTTAATCAGGCAGAGCTGCTGTGGGAGACTCCTCTGCCTACAGCTGCTTTGGGCTCGCAGGCTATTTACAGCTTCCAGTAATATCCAAGGCAACACGATGACCAAGTACAACAATGCAATATCAATATAAACTCTTCATATAATCTATACGGAACATTGAACAATATGAAAAACCAAATAAACAGAAATCTTATAAATCTCTGAAAGTCACAAAATGTGCACTCTTGATGGATTCTCCTGAAAACATAGAACCAAATAAACGTAAGTCTTATAAGTCTCTGGAAGTCTTTGTAGACTATGCAAGTCTCTGAAAGAAGCAATGGGTCAGATTCTTATCTGCTGAAAACAAGCCGTAAAGTTTTGTTTTATGACGTCCAATGCTGCCAGAGTGGTCCGCAAACAGACGTAGTGAACAGTGATGTACCCACTGTTTCATACAATTCTTCTTCAGCGCAGCAGAAGGATACAGAAATGCTTCATAAACCCATCTATATGGTGAATGTAAAGCTATGGTTTTCCCAGTAGTGATGTATGGAAGTGAGAGCTGGACCATAAAGAAGGCTGATCGCCGAAGAACTGATGCTTTTGAATTATGATGCTGGAGGAGACTTTTGAGAGTCCCATGGACTGCAAGAAGATCAAACCTCTCCATTCTGAAGGAAATCAGCCCTGAGTGCTCACTGGAAGGACAGATCCTGAAGCTGAGGCTCCAAGACTTTGGCCACCTCATGAGAAGAGAAGACTCCCTGGAAAGTCTTCCCAACTGGAAAGTTGGGAAAGATGGAGGGCACAAGGAGAAGGGGACGACAGAGGACGAGATGGTTGGACAGTGTTCTCGAAGCTACCAGCATGAGTTCAACCAAATTGCGGGAGGCAGTGGAAGACACGGGGTCACGAAGAGTTGGACACAACTAAATGACTAAACAACAATATGGTGAATGGAATTGTATACAGTGGTACCTCGGGCTAAGTACTTAATTTGTTCCGGAGGTCTGTTCTTAACCTGAAACTGTTCTTAACCTGAAGCACCACTTTAGCTAATGGGGCCTCCTGCTGCTGCCGCGCCGCCAGAGCACGATTTCTGTTCTCATCCTGAAGCAAAGTTCTTAACCTGAAGCACTATTCCTGGGTTAGCGGAGTCTGTAACCTGAAGCGTATGTAACCCGAGGTACCACTGTAACAACAATAACTATGGAGCAGTGGTCATAAAGTTATGATATTGCATTGTTGTACTTGGTCATCGTGTTGCCTTGGATATTACTGATAATTGTTTGCAACACAGGGGTTTAATTGTTTGGTTACTATTTACAGCTTCCGGCGCGCAGCTGCGAATGACTTATCTATGACAGCTGGCCGCAGCCTAGTGCCCTCAGGTGATTTGGACAAAGACTCCCATCAACCTTGCCCACAGGGCATGCTGTCTGCAGTTGATGGGCATTTGGGAAGAAGCTGATACGGCAAGGCTGCTGTGCCCAAATTCATGCTGCAGGCGGCTTGCCCACTAGAACCTCTCCCCAGTGCACAACCACTTCTGACACCGATGCGCCACCTTCCCGACACAACGGCGGTACCTCGGCCACTTCCTTGAGGCCTCTGATCAGGAAACCGAAATGGCGGATGGTAGCCTCCAGGAACTTGGGCACCAGGCAGAAGCAGACATGCAGCGGCAACTTCTGTTTCAGGGCCAGTCGCTGGGCATAGAGAAAGGCCCAGTTATCTGGAGAGAGAAAGAGAAGGGAAAAACTTAAAGGAACGGCTCTGCAACAGATGGTCAGCGGCTGGGAGTGTAGGGAGTGCAATAGACATGCGGAGTTTGGGCTTCTCCAAACCTCTGTGCCAGCTTGATGGGAGCAAGTGCCCCGGTTCTGAAGGCAAGGCAGGGCATACCTGGTGGCATACAGTGTGGCTCAGGACCGCAATACCTCAAGGAGCGCCTCTTTCCATATGAACCTACCCGGACCCTGAGAACATCTTCTGAGGCCCTCCTTCGTGTGCCTCCTCCTCAAGAGGTCCGGAGGGTGGCAACACGAGAACGGGGCCTTCTCTGCAGTGGCTCCCTGTCTGTGGAATGCTCTCCCCAGGGAAGTTCGCCTGGCGCCTTCATTATACATCTTTAGGTGCCAGGCAAAAACGTTCTGTTTAACCAGGCCTGTGGCAGACCTGATCAACACGCTATACCCTTTTAAAATGTGGCTCTTTGAGGTGTTATTACTGGGTTATTGTTTTTATTTTTATTTTATGTACTGTGATCTTTTTTGTGAACTGCCCTGAGATCTCCAGGTATAGGGCGGTATATAAATTCAACCAGTAAATAAATAAAAATAGAGATTCTCTTCCTCCCCAGGGGGCTGGAGACCTGTTGCTGTTTCTGAAGCAGGGTCTCAGAGGGTCCCTATCTCCAGCATCCTAGGGCTGCCCAATCAGCATGAATGGGGGATACTTTCAGTCACCATACAATACGATATCTTTATTGTCATTGTCCCATACAGAACAACGAAATTGAAAAAATCTACATCGGACATTCAAAAACCGACAAGCCTGCTATCTCAGCTATCCCAGCCTGGTTAGCCCCCTAAAAACTCTGATACCCCATAATTAAATACAATATACTCCCACAGAGACTACCTTACCCTGTGTTTAAAACCAAAGTCGCTTTTGGATAGAAACTGTTTCTCAGGCGGCTAGTCCTAGTCTTTATAACCCTGTCCCTTCTTCCAGAAGGCAGAAGCTGAAAGAGATCATTTCTGGGGTGCGCACTATCCTGCGCTATCTCTGCAGCTTTCTTGTGACACCTGGAAGCGTAGATTTGATCCAAGGTGGGAAGAGTGCACCCAATTATTCTCTCCGCAGTCTTTACAACCCTGGACAGCATTGTTTTCTCCCTGACCGTGCAGCTTCCAAACCACACACACAGACCATAAGTTATGCTCCCAATCTAAACACTGAAAGTGAAAGGTGCTTCAGCTTCAAGGGAATTGTGTGCAACGTCCGCTCCATACAAGGGAACTTCACAGGAAAGTCACCCAGAAAGCAAATACTGCAGCGCTCCCTTGAATCAGCTGCCCCTGATAATCTGATACTTGCGACTTGGTCCTTTTAACCCACATGCCTATTTTATAGTCCTAAATTTTTTTTTATTTTCATCCAGTGTTAGAATCATAGAATTGCAGAGTTGGAAGGGACCCCTAGAGTCATCTAGTCCAACCCCTGGCAAATCAGGAATCTCAGCTAAAGCATCCATGACAGATGGCCATCCAAACTCTGCTGAAAAACCTCCAAGGAAGGAGAGTCTGTTGTTCTGTTGTGATTCATACACATTATAAAATGAAATAAATAAATAAATAAATAAACTCTACCAAAAAAGACCCTGTTTGCACAAAAAATATTAGATCTAGCCGAAAGTCAACACAGAAAGACCTGCATTAATTATTGCAATGCACCCCTATAGTTGTTAATACTGTATGATTGCATAAGTATAAAATTATTGTGTAACTTGGGAAGGTTGTATAATCTTAGAAGGGGCGTGGCTGTATCAGGAAGGGAGGCGGCACTTCTGAATTTGCCACAATGCAATTGCTTTATACATGGCAAGGATGCTTTTCCCCAGTGTTTTGCCAGCCATCACCCCCAGCCACTCCATCCCACCAAATACACAGAGGGGAAGAGGAGGCTGGGGCTCGGGCTGGGGTAAAGGTAAAGGGACCCCTGACCATTAGATCCAGTAGTGACTGACTAGTTGTGGCGCTCATCTCGCTTTATTGGCCGAGGGAGCCGGCGTACAGCTTCCGGGTCATGTGGCCAGCAGGACTAAGCCGCTTCTGGCAAACCAGAGCAGCGCACGGAAACGCTGTTTACCTTCCCGCTGGAGCGGTACCTATTTATCTACTTGCACTTTGACGCGCTTTCGAACTGCTAGGTTGGCAGGAGCAGGGACCGAGCAACGGGAGCTCACCCCGTTGTGGGGATTCGAACCACCGACTTTCTGATCGGCAAGTTCTAGGCTCTGCATCATCATCATCATCATCATCATCATCATCATAATTTGTTATTTGTACCCCGCCCTTCTGGCCGGGTTTCCCCAGCCACTCTGGGTGGCTTCCAACAAAATATTAAAAATACACTAAAGCATCAAACATTAAAAACTTCCCTAAACAGGGCTGCCTTCGGATGCCTTCTAAAAGTCAGATAGTTGTTTATTTCCTTGACATCTGATGGGAGGGCGTTTCACAGGGCAGGCGCCACCACCAAGAAGGCCCTCTGCCTGGTTCACTGTAACTTTGCTTCTTGCAGGGAGGGAACCGCCAGAAGGCCTTCGGAGACCCACCCACCCAAAAATAAGCCAGGGCAGATTGCAGATCCCAAGCTCTCACCTTGCACTCTCTGATCTCGCGACATCCAGTAGAGGATGCCCCGAGCATCTTCCTTGAGATCGGGATCTTGCGAGATGAGACGGACGCGCTTCTTGTTGTACTTGAACTCTGCGACGGAGGGCGCCGCGTCTAGGCGGGCTTGCTTGACGGCCTCAGCCAGGGCGGCAGAGCCTCTGCTTCCCACATCCCCTTCCCCAGCCGCCTTCTTAGCGGCAGGCGGTGCCCCGGATGCCAACCTCCCGTTGCTCTCCAACCCATCAGGGAATAACGCTCCCTCTTCTGCCCCTTCCTGCATAGACTCGGCTGGCTTCCGCTTTCTCCTCTTCTGGGACATGGCTGGCCTTGCCCCGGGGACCGCAGAGAGGTTGCGCACCAACCACGAGACCCAGGCAGGGCCGGAATGGTGAGAGACGCAAGCGATGACCCTTCCGGGGAGCAGATTGGAAGGAAGAAGCAGCCTGCAAGCAAGCACATAAGAACATCATTGGTGGATCAGGCTATGGGGGCCTCCATTCCAGCCGTCTCCGACTAGAGCCCATGTTGGTGTGGCGGTTAGAGTGCCGACTACGACCTGGGAGAGACCAGGGTTCAAATCCCCACTCGGCCACGAAGATCGTTTCCTCTCAGCCTGACCCACCTCAGAGAGATTTGAAAAAGAAAACTCAGAACCCCGTGGAGCACCTGCAGCTCCTAGGGAGAAAATGTGGGACACAAATGCAGCAATAAAATAAATAAATACCTGGCCCTTCAGGTATTTTTCGCTCCATAGGACGCACCTGACCATAGGACGCACCTTGTTTTAGAGGGGGAGAGAAAAAAATTCTCCCCCTCTCTGCTCAGCGCCCCTTCAGCGAAGCGGCAGGAGAAATGGAGCCCCTTTCATTTCTCCTCCCGCTTGCTTGAAGGGGCGCTGCGCAGCTCTCCCTCTCTGCTGAAGCCGGGAGAGTCTTGCTGTCCCGGCTTCAGCGAAAGCAACGTGAAGCCTCCGGAGCGTGGAGGGAGCGCTCCCTCTGCGCTTTCGAGGCTTCGCGTTGCTATCGCTGAAGCCAAGGAGCCTGCATTCGCTCCATAGGATGGACACACATTTCCCCTTAATTTTTGGAGGGGAAAAAGTGCGTCCTATAGAGAGAAAAATACGGTATTCTAGACAACAACTCCAGAACATCTGGAGGGTACCAGGCAGCTCTAATCCCACTTACTCTCCCCCCCTGCAGTGAACGATTAGATACCTTTGGGGAATCAGGATGTGAAGTCAACAGCCCTCCCCTGTGGTTTGCCCCCAATATCTGCTATACAGAGGTACACTGTCTCTGGGCATGGGGGGTCTCCATTTAGCATCCAAGGCTACTGGCCTTTTCCTCCTGGAGGCAAGAATCAGCTGGTTTCGTCCAGCATGCGGCCTCCCAGCTTCTGCCTACAACTCCCATCAGCCCCTGCCAGCATGGCCAAAGGGTAGGGATCATGGGAGTTGTAGTTCTGGAAGGCCAGAAGTTCTACAAGCCGAAGTGAACTTTGGAAAGATGGTGCCTTGAGTGGGGAGAAGATTTGGCACCCCCCTTCCTCAATATTCCTTATTTTCACAATCATTCTTTTTGGTACAGTTGCTTTTAATAGATCTTCTTAACAGGCGCACTGAAACTTCGCATTATTACAAAAAACAGAAATGTTATTGTTTAGTGTCCTTTCAGCTTGGCATCCTGTGTTTGAGAACCACATAACCCTAAATCCAGCCCTGTCTAAGCTCTTTGGTGGCTGGTAGCTAGCTATGTGGTCATGTATGTTTTGCACACAGAATCCTGGCTTAAAAAAGAGAGAGAGAAGCACAGGTAGTGGGCAATACTGGGCCACTAGTTGAACTCAGCACTTAAGGCAGCTTCTGCGTTCAAACCTTAGAGCACCAGTTTGGTGAAGGTTGCTCTAGAGCAGAGTGCAAAAACACGGCACTCAGCCACTTCACGGGACTGCTGTGCTCAGGCTCGTTCCAGAGCAGAGATAGTCCAAGTCTGTGCAGTGAATTAGAGGGAGAGAGAACAGGGCAACCCGAATGATTTGTGCAGTCCGGCCCATGGACCAGACTAAGGAACTGCTTCTGAAAAAGGAGAAGAAACAATGGATGGATAACCTTTGTATCATCCCATCCTTTGCAAGGCGCCTCCGTTTTCCTCCTGTCTTTTTCTCTCTCCTGATCCCTGCCTCTTTCCCCTTCAATTCATAGTTGTCAACCTTCCCTTTTTTTGTGGGAAATTCCCTTTTTCCAGCTGCTTCCCGCTGCTATCCCGGATTGTTAGATATCCCGTAGACTGTCCCCGGGACAGGTGAGGCTGCTGGTCCCTTATTTTCAAGGCTGCTGATCCCTTATTTTCAGATCTGAAAGTTGACAGCTATGCTTCAATTCCTCCTTTGCTCTGTTATTTTCCCTCAATTTATTATTATTATTATGGCCTGTAAGATTTGACGGGGGTGGGGGGAGTTCCCTGGATTTGAGGCTGGGGGAGAAAGGGGAGAATGCTAAGCCCCTTATTATCCTGGCCACACTTTTTTGGGGGGGGGGTGTAACAGAACATGCCTTCCTTGCCCCCTTCATTCGCACAACGGCCCTGCAAAGTACAGTCACAACAGGACACGTTATGCTGTGCAGCCACGGAACGGGGGGGGGGGGGCCTGCGGCGGCAAGACCCGCCCTGGAAGGGGGCACGGTCAGGGGCTGCGAGCGGCCCCCCTCGCCGGCACTCACCGGGCGCCGAGCTCTCCGCGTGGGCTTCCTCCGCTGGCGCGCCAGGCCCCGCTTACACAACGCGGAGGCGGCGGAGGAGGAGGCTGGGCGGGGACAGAGGCGGGCTGGGCTCCGGGAAGCCCCTCCCGCGGCCGCTTCTCCTCCTCCTCCTCCCAGCATCGGGGAAGCGGAACCCCGCCAGGGGCCGCCGCAGCCTCGCTTTCCCGGCTCGGGGCGGCAGACTCACTTTTGTGAATGAATCGCCGCCCAGCGGATGGAACGTTGCAACATTTGTACGCTCGCGGGCCTCTGACGTCACGCGCTGTTGCCTGAAGCACGTGGCGGGGAGGGAGGGCGCCAGAATCTCGCTTGCTTTTCCTTCAAGCGACGGGTGCATCTCGCAGGAGGGGGCGCCACTCCAGCTCCCCCCCAAAAAGAAAGAGGGTATCCTTGTAGTTAGTCTGCAGCAGGTTGATGGTCCTTGGCCGCCGGGGCTTGTCGCCACTGTGACAGTGAAGGAACAGGTTACAATAGGAAAGGCTACAATAGGAATCTTATGGTCTTAGATATATGGTAATGTTCATAAGCGTGCCAACCAAGCACATACATAGATCAGCACAGGAAGACCGACCTGGAACCATTTTGATTCCTAAACTGAGCAAATGTTTTCTCTGCAGGGTCAAAGTGGGAAACCTCCCATTGTCTCTTTCCTCACAAATCCTGTCTTAAGGGCGCATTTAAGATATGAATAGGTTGTGAGCCTGTGACCTGGCCTAAGTATTTATCATTACAAAAGACTGGCCAGGCTACCCAGGCAATCCAATCAAGTAACAGGAGATAAACAACAACAGGAGAAAAACAACATTCAATTTTCTGTTTTAGACCGCCTTTTCTGTGATGTAGGTATGATGTATCTGAGGGGTGGTCTTGATCTACAGGGTGGCAATTTCAAAAGTCTTTATAAGGCCTTGCGCGCCATTTTGCGGGGTTCCTCCTCCTCTCCTGCGTGTGAGGGGAACACCCTGTTGCAACAGATCAATAAAGATCAAGCTTACTAGCTGCTTTGCTTCTCAATATTCTCTGGTTGGGCTCTCCTACCAATAGGGAACCTATGTAAGGACTCTATATGGGCTCTTGGATACCCCATAAGGGAAAAGGGCAATTTTTGTTTACAACACCACCACCCTCCATTCATCCCCTCCCCCGGCATGGGCGGGGGCAGGGGGGCAGCTGTCCCCCCAACCAAGTAAATAAATAAAAATACTTAAGTAAAATTAAAAATGGTAGAAAGATTTTGACAGGTTTTTCTGAGCACTTGGGGTCAAAAGAAAGTAATTTAAAACCGCTGTTGTTGAGAAATTTCATTCTGAATCTGCTGCACAGAGCAAGACAGAGGATGGCATCAGGTGGGTGTCCTGCCAACCCCCCCCCCGAACATAAATCGCCCATGCCCCCGGGCAGTAGGCCTGTGGCTACCGGTAGCAGTGAGGGGCAAATGGGGCTTGTCCACCTGGGAAGGTAGCCCAGATAGAAGAAGGAAAACTCGCAGGGCATCTTCAGGAAGAAAAGGCTAAGGGGTAGATTCTACACCAGTGCTTCTCAACCGGGGGCCATGTGGCCCCCTGCTCCCCCAGATATTCCAAGGGGGCCACAGATAAAATTATATAATTTATATTGTAATAAACAAAATCTGCCCTTATTCCCTTAGCGTCCTTTGCAGGTTCTCCATTGGTCGGAGAAAAGAACAGAGGCCAACCAGAGAATATTGAGAAGCAAAGCAGCTAGTAAGCCTGATCTTTATTGATTCTGTTGCAACAGGGTTCCCCCTTCACACGCAGGAAAGGAGGAGGACCCAGAACCAAGGTGTGCCTGCCCTTATATAGACATTTTAAATTCCCTGGAGCTCCAGACCACCCCTCCATACATCATACATACATCACCGAAGGGGTGTAAGCCAAGACCACCCCCCACAAACATCATACCTACATCACAGAAAAGGTGGTCTACAACAGAAATTTGAATGTTGTTGTTTTTCCTGTCTGCCAAGTTATCTGAAAATGCCTTATCTGATTGCCTTTCCTGGTAGTCTGGCCATTCCTTTGAGATGGTGATTACCCAATTCCTGAGACAATGGGAAGGTTCCCTCACCCCCTCCCTCCTTGCAGAGAAAACATTTGGTCAGTTTGGGAGTCAAAATGGTTTCAGGGCGGTCCTCCTGTGCTGCTCCAGACATGTGGTCCACACATCTATGTATGTGCTTGGTTGGTACATTTATGAACATTATATATATATATATATATATATATATATATATATATATGACCTTAATTTTTTTTATTTCAATATAACTAGAAATTATGAATAAAACATGTTCTGTTTACAAACAAAATAGCTACCTTTCTACTGGAAAGACGGGGCGGGGGGCACAAGAAGGAAACAAGGTCAGAAGGGGGCCATGGTCGGAAAAAGGTTGAGAAAAAACGGCGTTACACAAATCCAGAATGGAGGCCCTAAGATGGTGGGGTGGCGCCTTGTTCGCCTCCTTCCTGCAACTCCTGCAGCCAAGCTGGTGCCAAACATCTTGCTCTGCTTTCCTTTGGACCACATCAGTGAGGCCGGGGTGGGGGGGGGAGGTCTTGTCGTTTGGGCAGCCCAGGACCTCCAGACACACTGCCCAGGCTTGTGTCCCAGGGAGGACACTTGAGGGCTGCTGGCGCTGCTGGGAGCTGGAATCCCAAAACATCTGGAGGATCCGCACCACTGCAATGTTTAGAACAAGAGGAAGTGGAAGGAATTTGTGGGCCGTGTAATAAACAAAAATCTGCCCTTATTCCCTTATGCGGGACGCAAAAGCCCTTAGAGAATCCGTTGTAGGTTCTCCATCGGTTGGACAATATAACAGAGGCCAACCAGAGAATATTGAGAAGCAAAGCAGCTAGTAAGCCTGATCTTTATTGAACTGTTGCAACAGGGTGCCCCCTTCACAAGCAGGAGGACCCCAAACAAAAGTATGCCCGCCCTTATATAGACATTTTAAATTGCCCGCCCTGGAGTCCAAGACCACCCCCAGAAATATCATACATCACAGAAGGAGTGTAGCTCAAGACCACCCCCCAGACACATCATACCTACATCACAGAAAGGGCGGTCTACAACAGAAATCTGAGTGCGTTGTTTATCTCCTGTCTGGCAGGTTACCTGTTAATGCTTACTTGATTGGATACCCTGGGGAGCCTGGCCAGTCTTTTGTAGTGACAAATACTTAGTTCCTGAGCCAGGTCACAGGCTCACACCCTATCCATACACAGACATACCCTTAAGACAGGATTTGTGAATGAAAAGACAATGGGGAGGCTTTTCCATTTTCCTTTGACCTTGCAGAGAAAACATTTGGTCAGTTTGGGAGCCAAAATGCTCCAGGACTGCCGTTCTGTGCTGCCTCAAACATGTGGCCCATACATTTATGTACGTGTTTGCCTGGCAAATCCATGAACATTTATTATATATATAAGATCTTAATTTTTTTATTTCAACCAAGTTGCCACCCCATATCCCATTGTCTGAAATATTGGTGTTTGTGGGAGAGTGGCAACCATGGGCTCTCTCTCTCTCACACACACACACACACACTGTGTAGTCAGAGGCTAACCATGCTAAGATAAACAATTAAACAGCCACCACATGGCATACGATTGCGTGAGTTCGAAGGTGCTGTGGCGTTGGACATTGTATCAGTTGATTATTCTACAGATCTGCTGATCCGCTGTGATAAATAAGTATTGTAAACAGGCTGTCTGGCAAGGAGATGGATATTCACCCATTCCCGTAATGCCTCCCATCTCTGGAATGAGGAACCTGGCACAGGGGCACGATTTACAGTAAAGGTTGGCCTTTTGTGCATGAACTGGAACGGAGTGGGGGGGGGGAGGAAGTGAGGTCTCTAAAAACAAACTCCAAAGAGGGGAAATCCCAGCCGTGCAGGTTTTGCTCATTAGTCTAACAGCCGAAAACACAGTGTAACCAGGTAACTCGGTTAACTTGCTGAAAACACAGTGTAACCAGGAAGGCCATTTTGAAATTGGGAACTGTGCACAGACACACACACAGACAACAGGAGCCAACTCCTGGGGCTGAGGTCCCTTTGGGGCCCCCCATAAAATATTTGAAGGGGTCGGTCCCCCCAAGTTGATGGGTGTTGCCATTCAAAGGGTGTGCTTGCACCACATCTTGTGACAGATCATGGAGGTTCCCCCTGCCCCCCATATTTTATTCAAGGTGGCACCCTTGCATAGAAAGGGCCTTCCTGTTTGGGTCTGCTTGGGAAAGTTTTTTTGGGGGAAGCCATTTTCCCAAAGATGAGCAAATCCACTTGGGACGTTGTGGCTTGTAATATCTGCTTGTTTTACTTTGGTGTTTCGGTCAGTTTTGTTCTGCATGTAAACCATAAATAATAAACCGAATAAGGACCTGCAGAAATTCACAGGATAGTATGTAACTGGGTTTTACTCAGAGTAAAGGTAGAGGTAAAGGGACCCCTGACCATTAGGTCCAGTCGTGGCCGACTCTGGGGTTGCGGCACTTATCTCGCTTTACTGACTGAGGGAGCCGGTGTACAGCTTTTGGGTCATGTGGCCAGCATGACTAAGCCGCTTCTGGCGAACCAAAGCAGCGCACAGAAATGCCATTTACCTTCCCGCCTGAGCGGTACCTATTTATCTACTTGCACTTTGATGTGCTTTCGAACTGGGACCGAGCAATGGGAGCTCACCCCGTTGTGGGGATTCAAACTGCCAACCTTCTGATCGGCAAGTCCTAGGCTCTGAGGTTGAACCCACAGCGCCACCCGCGTCCCTTTACTCAGAGTAGTCCCATGTAAATTAATAAATATGACTAAGTTGGGCCCATTCATTTCAATGGCTCAGCTCTGAGTAGTGCATAGTTATATCTATTGGCTATTCAGCATCTTACTTAAACATCATCTAGACCTAGTATTGTAACATACACCATTTCATATCGCTAATACCTGACTACTGATCCTCTGCTAAGCGTAGCCGACACTCATGATGCACAGAGTTTCTTTAAAGCCACAAAGCCCATCCAATTGGAGAACAGCCTTTACCAAAGGTGTCATGGACTTTGAAGACACTCGAACTCAGAACACAAGGGAGAAATGTCCTAAGAGGAAGGCATGCTTGGCAAATCCACACCTTGATCAACTCCTGCCTGGAAACCTATGTCCCCACTGTGGAAAGACGTGTGGATCCAGAACTGGCCTCCACAGTCACTTACGGACTCATTGTTAAAACTGTGTTTATGGAAGACAAGGCTGATCGCCGAAGAATTGATGCTTTTGAATTATGGTGCTGGAGGAGACTCTTGAGAATCCCACGGACTGCAAGAAGATCAAACCTCTCCATTCTGAAGGAAATCAGCCCTGAGTGCTCACTGGAAGGACAGATCCTGAAGCTGAGGCTCCAAGACTTTGGCCACCTCAGGAGAAGAGAAGACTCCCTGGAAAAGACCCTGATGTTGGGAAAGATGGAGGGCACAAGGAGATGGGGACGGCAGAGGATGAGATGGTGGGACAGTGTTCTCGAAGCTACCAGCATGAGTTTGACCAAACTGCGGGAGGCAGTGGAAGACAGGAGTGCCTGGCGTGCTCTGGTCCAGGGGGTCACGAAGAGGCGGACACGACTAAACGACTAAACAACAACAAAAAACAAGGGATCGCAGAAGAAGACGACTACTGATCCTGTTACCTCCTCTCCTCTCCTTCCTGGCACCAGCCCCATCTGTCCCATCTGTATTGACAATTTCTCCCCTTAAACTTCTGAGAATTTAGAATGTCCATGAACATATCTCCCCACCATCTGAGTCAATGGCAGCAACCAACTAAACCTGGCACTCTCTCAGCCAATAGCTAGAAAGACTTCTGACAAAACAACCTCTGTTTTCCACAGGCTTTTGGCCTGCTTTTACCTTCCAATTTGACAAAAGAGGGTGGGGCTGAGGATTTGCATGGCCTGGGTCTGATCCAGTACTAGGGCTTTTCCTTCTATGCACACCACAATCCACCCCACCCCCTTCTGAACCAAAACTCCAGTTCCGCCTATCGACAACTTAGTGAGGAATTTTGACCCTGGAGACCTGGTTAGATTTCAAGAGATTTGTCTCCTGTCAGGCCAGCTCAGGAGATTCATCACTGCTAATCTCTCTGCTCTAATCAAATAGGACTTGGGTTCCGTTTTTGAGTGACAGAATTAATGTGAAGAATTAATCTCCTGAAACTCTGAGCTTAAGATCAGCTGAGCCTGCTAAATGGCAAAGAGGTCCCAGCAGAGACAGGGCTGACGTATCTGTCGGCTGAAGACACAAGTCTGGGCTCTGGATTTGGAATTCAGCAATATGGGAAGATGTTGACAATACGCCTTATAGCATTTATGTTTTCTCATTTTTCCAATCTTCAGTTCTCCACATTTCGACATCAGTTTGCATTAAAAGAAAAAATCCTCATGCAAATTAATCAGCATTTGAGTGCTATTTTCTCATATACACATTTTTGAATGCACTTTTGCCTAATACATATTTTTTTTGCAGTATGATTTACCCTAATACAGTGGTTCTGAAACGGAGTGTGCATTCAATGAAGAAAAAAAATCTTAATAAAACAATAAACACCACCGCTGCTTGTGTGAGCAGTTCTATAAGATTTTGCCCTTAAACGGGAAAAACAATGCAAAGTGGCTTCTAAGCGTGTTTTTCAATGATTTCCTCTCAGCACCGAGCAACCACTGCTGCTAATGCCTGTTAAGTTGTGGGTGAACGTATCAGATGACACATCGATTCTTCAAACAGCTCTTGTTTATTCACAGGCCAGAACAGAACTGAACTGCAGGGTTCAGCCAGCCTGCTTATATAGAGCTCCACTACAACGCAACTGTAACCACTTTCCGTAACTATCCAATCACTGAATATCACTTTCAATCCCTTATTTGCATATGCGGACCTGAGTGAAAACTATCTACAATATCCCCCTGCTGGCCCAGGGTGAGAACTTCAGTACATAACAATGCCCCTCCATACAGATCTGGATTTAGGGGACTGGCTTCCAGTGAGATGATATGGCATTTAGGCAGACACAAACACTGGTGTCTCTAATTTTCAGTGACCAGCTGCTCCACCAGGACAACCTCTGAGGCTTCCTGGCCATGCGTAAGCTAGGCATTTGCTGTGCTTGATCTTCAAATTGGATTCCATCTCCGCCGTATTAAGCAGTTGGTCCCTTACCTTTCTCGCCCTGATCTGGCCACTGTGATCCATGCGACCATCACCTCCAGGCTTGACTATTGTAAATCGCTCTACGTGGGGCTGCTCTTGAGACTGACCCAGAAACTACAGCGGGTGCAGAATTCCGCGACGAGGCTCCTTACGGGGTCCTTGCCATGGGATCACATTCATCCAGTGCTTTACCAACTGCACTGGCTCCCGGTGGAGTACAGGGTCAGGTTTAAGGTGTTGGTTTTGACCTTTAAAGCCCTATGTGGCCTAGGACCCTCGTACCTACGGGACTGCCTCTCCTGGTATGCCCCGCAGAGGACCTTAAAGTCCACAAATAACAATACTTTGGAGGTCCCAAGCCTCAAGGAGGTTAGATTGATCTCAACTAGGGCCAGGGCCTTTTCAGTACTGGCCCTGACTTGGTGGAACGCTCTGTCACAAGAGACTAGGGCCCTGCGGCTGCAAGATGGAGCTGTTCCGCCTGCCCTTTGGTTTGGACTCAGTCTGACCCTTATGTTTCCTTCCCCTTATGCTTTTGATCCATGGGCTACTTTCAAAACGAGGCTGCATTTTAAATTGCATTTTAACCTGTATTTTAAATTGGGGCTTTCTTTCCTATTATGTTTTTACTGTAATTTTACTGGTGTTAGCTGCCCTGAGCCCGGCTCTGGCCGGGGAGGGCGGGGTATAAATAAAATTTACTATTATTATTATTATTATTATTATTATTATTAAAAATGACAATTCCCTACGATATAATCGTAGAATTGTAGAGTTGGACAGGGACCCCTAAGGATCATCCAGTCCAGCCCCCTGCTTAAAAACCTCCAATGAAGGAGAGTCCCCCACTTTCCATGGGAGTCCGTTCCGCTGTCAAACAGCTCTTACAGTGAGAGAGCTATTCAAAGGCTTTGGAGCAAAAAAAAGGGAGCAGGTTTTGGGCACTCCACCCTCCAACTGTCTTTCAAACCAGGAAACTATGCCAAGGAAGTAAACCAACAGCAAGGATTTCTTGAAGCACCACTTGTGGACTTACAACAAACAGAGCGGACCGGGCTGCTGGTCCCAGATTGGAAGGGCAAGCAAGAAGCACTGCCGGAATGGGCTGCTATCATTTCCCTGTGGTGCCCCTTTTATTACTGTGTCTTCCCTGCTGCACCTGGACCCATGGTGAGTGACTGCAGCCAAGTCTCACTGACTAATGCATAGCAACGTGTTGGGGGGGGGGGAGAAAGGTGGCTTTGGAGGGAAGCTGGAGTTCCAGAACCAGCCAAATCCTTGCGTTGGTTCATACACGAACCAGCTGTTAATAACCCTTGGCTAAAGAAAGCAAAAACCGTAGGAATGGAAACGTGTGTTTTTGTGGCTCGTGTAAAAACATGGGCGCAGAATTACTCAAGATCAGCGAAAAACTAGGGAGCTTGTCCCTTGTACCACGAGGAGTAGCTCATAACTTTCAGCTAGAAGGGGCATGAAATGCTTCTGCAGGGACAGCAGTACAACATGGAGTAAAATAGGCAGAGAAGAAACCAGTTCACAACAGAACCATCTTCCTGGCTCAGTTCTGTCTGTGGCATATTTTACTTCCACTGCGCCATGCTCCCTAGGGATTTTAGCCACTTTGGGAACTGAATAGCACCACGGTTGTATTTTCCTTTCCTTTCCTGGGAGCTGTTGAAATACGCTGGAGTGTTGTAACAGGCAAAGCCCCAGGGTACTTTGGACGAAACTGCTGCTGCTGCTTTCTCTTTTTGGCATGGATTCTAAGGCTTGCCTCTAAGGCTTGCTTCAGGAATCTCTTTTGAACAGTTGGGTGGATGTCCATTTCATATCGGTTTCTTCTCTAGTTGTTCTCTGGCGAGGAGGGAAGGCATGCAAATTGAGGGTAAGCCACTGGAAGCCCGGGGCCAAATCTGCCCCCACCTGAGGTGTCCACTTGTCCACCTGTTGCACAGTTGCCAGTGTAGAGACAAGTGTGGTGTGCGGATGGAGCAGTAGCTGAAATCCAAGCAGGATAACCCAGGTGTAGCCCGGGGGCTCTCTATCATCCCTTCCTAATAGCGTCCCTTGCATTCAGCTGGTTGCTGACCTTAAAGGTAAAGGGACCCCTGACCAATTAGGTCCAGTCGTGGACGACTCTGGGGTTGCAGCGCTCATCTCGCTTTATTGGCCGAGGGAGCTGGCGTACAGCTTCTGGGTCATGTGGCCAGCAGGACTAAGCCACTTCTGATGAACCAGAGCAGCGCACGGAAACGCCGTTTATCTTCCCACCAGAGCGGTACCTATTTATCTACTTGCACTTGACGAGCTTTCAAACTGCTAGGTTGGCAGGAACAGGGACCGAGCAACGGGAGCTCACCCTGTCGCGGGGATTCAAACTACCAACCTTCTGATCGGCAAGTCCTAGGCTCTGTGGTTTAACCCACAGCAGCACCCGCGTCCCTGGTTTCTGACCTTGGGATCCAGCAAATGGCCTAAGAACAATAGTAGCTGTAGCACAACTGAACTAAGAACATAGGGGGCTTCTTTATATTAAGAGACTCAATACTGCCTACACTGGCTGGCAGTGGCTCTCCAGGTTGCAGATTGGGATCCTTTGGAGATCTTCCTGGGGACACCAGGGATTGAACCTGGGATCTCCTGAATGCAAAGTGGATGCTCTAACCCTGAGCTGCACTCGTTCCCAAGCTATGCTAGCAGAAATGTTTATTAGCATTAAACAAGTCAGTATACAACCATGAGCGTTTCATAGGAAGTACACAAACAGCTGTCTACTCAGAAGCAGCTCACAGTTTAAGGCAGACAAACGGGGAGAAACTGAGGGATTGATGATTCTGAGGATAAGCCAAAGGCCATGCAGGGAAATGTGGGTTTTAAGGGGAGTTTTGAAGGGAGGGAGAGAGGTGCTACACTACAGGGGAGCCCAGTGAGAGACACAAAGGGATGCTTATAATCCATGAATATTTTCAGAAGAAAACAATCTTTTTAAAAAAGGTTGCTGAGCTGGGGTGCAAACTGTGTGAAGGATGTTGCCATATCCCATGTCAGAATTTTTGTCTGTCTGGCCAAGTATGGAATTCTAAAAGAAATTTTCAGTTTCTGGAGAAGGTGAGCTCTTTCTGTGCCACAGTGCAGAACTCGATCTCACTTCTCTTCCTCCCCAGGTGCAGCCACAGTTCACTCTGCCTTCACAACGAGCTCCAGTCTCACCTCCACACCACAGACAAATGCATCAGAGAAATCCACCGTTCCATTGCTAAGCAGTTCCAGCACACACCCCTCAACAACAGGGACTGCCCCAGGTCCTGACCCATCATCCTCTTCGGGTAAAAGCGCTGTTCGGATCACAGCTGAGGAGACCACCACTGCTATTTCAGAAGGGACTGTCAGCCCTGCAGAAGAAACCACCCATTCCCAAGCAAAAATGTCCACAGAAGAATTACCAGTCCCCTCATCAGCTGTACCCACACCTGGAAGCTATTCTACCACTACTAGGCCATCTAGGTTCACCCTGGTAACTTCTCATTCCACCTTCGCAGGTGAAGGCTCTCCTACCATCAACACTACGGCCAAAGTCACTTCCAGTTCTGTTGCTCCCACCATTTCACAAACCACAACCAGCCCCAGTCTCACTAGTACAGAACCAAAGGCAAGCTCAGCAACTCAATCCACCACTGTCCCATTGCTAAGCACACTGCCAACCACGGATGCCACCATAGTAGCTGACTCCTCCACCTCCATCAGCACTGCAGTAGAAGACAGTAGCTCAACAATGGCAGTATCCTACAGTTCAGAAGAAGCCACATCTGCAGAAGAAACCGCCACCCCAGCAACAGTTCATCCTTCATCCTATCCTGGTGAAATGAACACTGAGCCCACACCTTTTATCCAAAGAAGTGCAGGCACTTCAACAGAGTTCATTTCCCCATCACTAGCTAAGACCACGGATGAAAGTACCACCACTACTGGCACACCGCCAGAAAAGACCACGTCAACAGGCCTCTCTTCCACCACCCCAGCGAGGTCCAGTAGCACTGAGCCAACACTCAGCCAACAACCAACGTTCCTCTTCTCTTCACTGCATGATTCGACAGCTATCACTGGCACTTCAGAAGCTGGAATCATGGATTCTACTACTTTGGAAGAAGAAACAAGCCCTACAGTCCTATCTTCAGCCTCTCAAGACAAAGCCACGCCCATCACAGACTCTGCTGCTACTTTGCATACCATAACCACAGCCAAAAGTATTGCCACCCCCAGCACTGGAGCAGAAAGATCCATGCAGGCATCTGTCTCTTCCACAGAACATCCACAAATCTTCAGCACCACTGTAGAAGTCACCTCCACAGCCCTTGCATCCACACTCTCAACTGTTTCCCCTCCATCCACATTCACTTCTGCAGCCCTGCAGCCCCGCACCAACTCACCTCGGACAGTTGCCGCTGGCAGTTCAACATCTGGAATGACCACCAGCCCTGGCGCTTTAGGTGATGTGGCTAGCAGCCCTACACCTGAAATCCCAGAAGCCACCAGCACTATGATTGTAGAAACTAGCTCAAGATCCCCATCGCTAGCTCCTCAAGACATAACCACATTCGAAACCACAAAGCGTAGAGAACTGACTTCAGCGGAGGAGACCACCACTGCTTTTTCAGAAGTGACCATCAGCCCTGCAGAAAAAACGTCAGCTGAGCCCTCCACATCCGAAACTGCTGTGACTGCCACAAGGCTCAACACTTTGTCAGTCTCCAGTCCGTCTTCCTCTCCAGGTAAATCCACAGCTCAGCTCACAACTGTTGCAGCACACAGTTCTCTCTCACCAACTGAAACGACATCTGAAACCGGCACTCCAGCAGTTGTGACTTTCAGCACAACAGAAAAGATCACCACCTCCATTAGCAGTGCAGTAGAAGACAATAGCTCAACGCTGCCAGTATCCTACGGCACAGAAGAAGCCACATTTGCAGAAGGAACCACCATCCCAAAAACAGTTCATCCTTCTTATCCTGGTGAAACGAGCGTTGATCCTACATCTTTTATCCAAAGAAGTGCAGTCACTCCAACAGAATCACTAGCTAAGACCACGGATGAAAGTACCACCACTGCTGGCACACTGCCAGAAGAGACCACGTCAACAGGACTCTCTTCCACCACCCCATCAACTGAAATCACAGGTCAAACAGCGAGGTCCAGTAGTACTGCTCCAGAAGTAACACTCAGCCAAAAACCAGCCAAAAACCAACCAATGTTCATCAGCATTGCAGTAGAAGACAATAGGCCAACACTGCTGGCATCCCACAGTCCAGAAAAAGCCACATCTGCAGAAGGAACCTCCACCCCACCAACAGCTCCTTCTTCCCATCCTGGTGAAACCACCTCTGAGCTCACAACTTTTATCCAAAGTTATCAAGCCACTTCGACAGCACTCCTGTCCCCATCACTAGCTGCAACCAAAGGTGAAGGTAGTATCCCTGTTGTCACATCGCCAAAACAGACCACATCAACCACAACTGAGCTCACAGCCACAACTGGAAGCTCCCCTGCCCTCACCTCAGGACCGCAGATGACTTTCACAACTACCTCCAGAGGTGAAGCTTTATCTACCACCAGTAAAACTGCCAAGGTCACTTCAACAGTTGCTTCTTCCACCATTTCACTGCTCCAAACCACAACAAGCAGCCCCAGTCTCACTACTACAGCACCAAAGGCAAGCTCAGCAGCCCAACCCACCACCTCATTGCTAAGCACATTGCCAGCCACGTCAGCTGAGCCGTCCACATCCGAAACTGCTGTGACTGCCACAAGGCTCAACACTTTGTCAGTCTCCAGTCCGTCTTCCTCTCCAGGTAAATCCACAGCTCAGCTCACAACTGTTGCAGCACACAGTTCTCTCTCACCAACTGAAACAACATCTGAAACCAGCACTCCAGCAGTTGTGACTTTCAGCACAACAGAAGAGATCACCACCTCCATTAGCAGTGCAGTAGAAGACAATAGCTCAACGCTGCCAGTATCCTACGGCACAGAAGAAGCCACATTTGCAGAAGGAACCACCATCCCCAAAACAGTTCATCCTTCTTATCCTGGTGAAACGAGCGTTGATCCTACATCTTTTATCCAAAGAAGTGCAGTCACTCCAACAGAATCACTAGCTAAGATCACGAATGAAAGTACCACCACTGCTGGTACACCGCCAGAAGAGACCACGTCAACAGGCCTCTCTTCCACCACCCCATCAACTGAAATTACAGGTCAAACAGCGAGGTCCAGGAGCACTGTTCCAGACGTAACACTCAGCCAACAACCAACTATGTTCATCAGCACTGCAGTAGAAGACAATAGGTCAACACTGCTGGCATCCCACAGTCCAGAAAAAGCCACATCTGCAGAAGGAACCTCCACCCCAACAACAGCTCCTTCTTCCCATCCTGGTGAAACCACCTCTGAGCTCACAACTTTTATCCAAAGTTATCAAGCCACTTCGACAGCACTCCTCTCCCCATCACTAGCTGCAACCAAGGGTGAAGGTGGTCTCCCTGTTGTCACAATGCCAAAACAGACCACATCAACCACAACTAAGCTCACAACCGCAACTGGAAGCTCCCCTGCCCTCACCTCAGGACCACAGATGACCTTCGCAACCACCTCCAGAGGTGAAGCTTTATCTACCACCAGTAAAACTGCCAAGGTCACTTCAACAGTTGCTTCTTCCACCATTTCACTGCTCAAAACCACTACAGCACCAAAGACAATAGGGAAACCCACCGCCTCACGGCAAGCTACCACACTAACTACAAATGTCACAAGGGCAACTGGCACCACCACATCGACAACAAAGGTGACCAAAATTATTAAGCTTCCAATTTCAGCGCCAGGTAAGCATACTGACTTTGACATTCATCTGAACAGGGAAGACTCCCACAAGCAGGGGGCCCGACTTGAATACAATATTGGGGGGCAGTTAAGTTCTGCCCAACAGAATTGATCACATGATGTGGCTCACACACACCATTTGAATGGCAGTGGCTGTCAACCCTTGGGAGGGGAAGCCCCCTCAAACATTTGGGGGTGTGTGAAGGGACTTCGGCCCCTGGGAGTTGGCTCCTAGGCACACAAGTACATGCATTTTGAGCTAGGCAGCAGAGCTGGAAGGAATGCAAGTATCTGTAGGCTGAGATAACTGCCCTGAGATCGTATATACGCTGCGGTATATAAATTTAACAAACAAACAAACAAATAAGGCTGGCGTTATCCTAACCCTAAGAAGTGGGATAATTGAACATTCACCTTGCACAGCACATAAACAGGGGTCAGACTACATCTGGTTTTTATCAAAATTGATATTATTATTATTGTTATTATTATTATTTCTCTTTTTTACCAAGCTACTTATAATATATTAACAAACACATACATTATTATTATTATTATTATTTCTCTTTTTTACCAAGGTGAGTAACTCAAAAGAGGGATGCGTGTGGCGCTGTGGGTTAAACCACAGAGCCTAGGACTTGCAGATCAGAAGGTCGGCGGTTCGAATCCCCGCGACGGGGTGAGCTCCCGTTGCTCAGTCCCTGCTCCTGCCCACCTAGCAGTTCGAAAGCACGTCAAAGTGCAAGTAGATTAATAGGTACCGCTCTGGCGGGAAGGTAAACGGCATTTCCGTGCGCTGCTCTGGTTCGCCAGAAGCGGCTTAGTCCTGCTGGCCACATGACCTGGAAGCTGTACGCCGGCTCCTTCGGCCAATAAAGCGAGATGAGCGCCACAACCCCAGAGTCGGCCATGACTGGACCTAACGGTCAGGGGTCCCTTTACCTTTTTAAGTAACTCAAAGTAACTTATAATATATTAACAAACACATACATTATTATTATTATTATTATTATTGTTGTTGTTGTTATTAGTTCTGCATGGGAGGGAGTCTCACAACTGGGGCAGTACCGCAGAGAAGGGTCTACTCATGTTCCCCACAAGCAGCCCCTCTCCCTAGTCTCAGCAGGGCCTGGCGGGCTGGTTGATGGGGCAACTTATGTGGGAGGGGCTGGATCTTTTGCAAAGAAAGAGCTGGCTTGTCTTCTTGTGGCTCTTTCTGCAGCTCCAGGTGGAACCAAGAGGCCCCCGCCAAGACCTTCCTGCCCTTCTCTACCTCCAGATACAGGTAAGCTCTTGTCATCCAGGGACTGAAGCATCCGGTGTTGCTGTTCCTAAATCTCACCTGACTCTGCAATTTCTCTTCCTGCTTCCTTGCCCTGACGGGACGTGGGACAGTTGAATGCCTCCCGTCGTGAAAAGCAGGATATAAATGTCTTAAATAAGTAAAGCAATTAAATGGCAGGCGTTTATACAAGGACACATGATGTGGAGAAAAGATTTTTCTCCCTGTCTGCTAATACCGGGACTTGTGGCTGAACTGATGCAGAAAAGGAACAAATGTGGTGGTTTGTGTGTGATTTTTTTCCTCTGCTGGCAGGTGGGACCCAGGTCATCTTGTCAATGGGCTTGACCACTTCCCTGAATATCTCAGACCCCACGACCCAAGAGATGGTTTTGAACAAGGTGAGGGTTCATTATTATCATACGGAGTCCTCCAACCAACTTCTGATTTAACATGGAGCGATTTTAAGGGCTTGGTAACCAAATATCAGTTCTGTTTGGATCAGTCATCATTCCTTCTCTTAGTAATAATGTGATAATGTTTTCTGAAAGATTTAGTCTGAATCTGAGTGGCCAGTGGCCACCCACTTGGTAGGGCTTTTTATTGCCATTATTATTATTAAACCGTCTCAAAATATCTGTGGGATGTAAGCAATTTTGAGGTAAAGCCAAAAGATTACAGGATATATTCTTCTTTCTTTGCCAATCACTCGTAGCCGAGTAAGATTGTCTTCCATGAACACGGTCTTAATAGTGAGTCCATAAGTGACTATGGAGGCCAGTTCTGGATCCACACGTCCTTCCATAATGGGGACATAGGTTTCCAGGTGGGAAGTGATCATGGTGTGGATTTGCCAAGCGTGCCTTCCTCTTAGCACGTTTCTCCCTTTCGTCCTGAGTTTGAGCGTCTTCAAAACCCACAACACCTTTGGTAAAGGCTGTTCTCCAACTGGAGCGCTCGCAGGCCAGTGTTTCCCAGTTATTGGTGTTTATACTACAGTTTTTTAGATTTGTCCTGCGATAGTCTTTAAACCTCTTTTGTTGACCACTAGCATTCCACTTTCCGTTTTTAAGTTTGGAATAGAGTAGTTGCTTTGGAAGACGATAATCAGGTAACCGAACAACGTGACTGGTCCAACAAAGTTGATGTTGAAGAACCATTGCTTCGACACTGGTGATCAGAGAGAGGGGCTCACAGTATTAACACCCCAACAGAGCTTGCTTTGCCATTAGTGACAGCTTTGGATCCATCACAGAGCAAGCAGGTTGCTGCTTCTCCACCTTCCAGGCTGCTTCCAGCTCCGTTTGCATACCACTCTGGCTATTGCCCTCTTACCTAGCAGTTGGCTGAGCGGGGTGGAGAAAAGGACCACTCAATAGCCTGGCAGAAGCCATCACTTAGGACTCAGCTACATTGGTCAAAAAAAGTTTTGGATGCGTTATAAACATGCAAAACCAGATAGCACCAGAGAGCAAAAAAATTTTAATGTGTTTTTTACATAGCGTTTTTTTCCCTTTTGTTGCAATGATTTAATTTCTGACTTATTTATAGCATTTTTTTCCCCTGCATGAAGATCAGCCCTTAGTTGAAGCTCTCTCAATTTAGCTAATTCTTTTGGGACGCTGATGAGGACTCGTAAGTGGCCAGCTAAGTTCGTTGTCTTACAAAGAAATTTGTCTGACCCATTCAGTAAACTCCTCTGTTAGATTGTAACCTGCCTGGTTATAGGATCCCAGTAACTGGAAAGAATTCAGGGCCTCATCCAGACTGAACCCCACCCCACCCTGAACTCACCACGTCATCTTTAAATGCTGATACAGTGGTACCTCGGGTTAAGTACTTAATACGTTTCGGAGGTCCGTTCTTAACCTGAAACTGTTCTTAACCTGAAGCACCACTTTAGCTAATGGGGCCTCCTGCCGCCGCGCCGCCGGAGCACGATTTCTGTTCTCATCCTGAAGCAAAGTTCTTAACCTGAAGCACTATTTCTGGGTTAGTGGAGTCTGTAACCTGAAGCATATGTAACCCGAAGCGTATGTAACCTGAGGTACCACTGTACAGTAGTACCTCTGGTTGCGAATGGGATCCGTTCAAGAGGCCAGTTCACAACATGAAAAGAGCGCAACCCGCAGCAGCACGTCTGTGCACGTGCGGGTCACGATTCAGTGCTTCTGCGCATGACGTTATTTTGTGCATCTGCGCATGCGTGAGCGACGAAACCCGGAAGTAACCCTTTCCGGTACCTCCGGTTCACCGCGGGACGTAACCTGAAAGAACGTAACATGAAGCAAACGTAACATGAGGTATGACTGTATCCTTAACATGAATTCATATATCTTATTCATTTCCCCACCCCCACCCCTGTGTTTGTCTTTTCCTCTCCAGCTGAGTCACGACCTGAATGCCAACTTCCCCTGCGCTGCCTTCAGTGTGAAATGGATAGAGCAGATCAAGTAAAGCTCTAAAAGACTCACGGCAGCCGTTGGCTGATCAGAAATGAAGGCAGAATGAGCCCCACTAAAGGAAACGGAGAGATTCTGTAGCAGCTGAGCTCCAGTTCTGATACAAGAGTGTGAACTGATTCTGTTTTTCCATCACATGCAAATGGATATCTCTAAGTGCAGACCCCTTGCTTGCAAAGTTTGCTCCTTATGCTTATCTGCAAATGGACCAGAGGGTTGGCATAGCACTGCGGTGAAGAGACTGAGCTACGTACCCGGAAGGTCGTTGGCTCAAATTTCACTCCTGCCATGAATTCACCAGGGGTCCTGGGGCAAGCCCCTTATCTTTAATGTGCTGTACTGGTTGTTTTGAGTGCTATGTTGTCCTGGTCCTTCAGAAACAACCACACCCTTGCCTCGAATTGGCTAGATCCTTTTTCCTAAATAGCAAGATCTCGAATTGACTAGAACCCTTCTCTTAAATGTCAGTCACTGCTGTGACTCTTTCCATTGGCCAAAATGCTGAAATGTGAGGGAAAGCTACCATATTTTCCGCTCTATAAGACGCACCAGACCACAAGACGCACCTAGTTTTTGGAGGAGGAAAACAAGAAAAAAAATATTCTGAATCTCAGAAGCCAGAACAGCAAAAGGGATCGCTGCGCAGTGAAAGCTTCAATCCCTCTTGCTGTTCTGGCTTCTGGGATAGCTGCGCAGCCTGCATTCGCTCCATAAGACACACACACATTTCCCCTTTTTAGGAGGAAAAAAGTGAGTCTTATAGAGCAAAAAATACGGTAGTTTCTGGTGAAACTAATGAGGAAAATAGCACCTGCACATGTTGCCTCACATATCAGACGCTGGAATCTTACTTTGAACAAAAAAAATAAAAATAAAAAGTGCACATTTTTTTGTTTGAGAATTTAGGAGCGGTGCAGATTTTGAAAGGCAGCTGCATTTCAGGGACTGCAAATTAGGTAGTTTTGCATGGAAATTCAAACTGAATCGAACTCGTCCCTCAACCCTAGAAGCCATCAAGGGGAGACGCTTTTGTGACAATTGCAGGTGTGGAGCAGCTGACCCATTAAGAGTCGCCTCAGGAGGACTGCAAAGAGCTCAGTGTCCCATCTTGTAATTTCTTCCTTATTAGAAATCCTTCTGACACCTCAGGCCATTAGTGTCCTGCTCAACGCTTCAGGAGTTTGCTAGCTCTGTGACGCCACCGCAAGTATCCAGTTCATTAATTTGGAAAGCTGTCTGGAGGGCTTGAAGGCAATCCTCCGCTCCTGTGCCCCCCCTCGCCAAATGCCAGGTTGCGTAACAGCTTAGTCACCTATTAACTCTTTAATCAGCTTGGTAAAATCAGCCTAATACACCTTTGTGCAGCTGAATTTGGTTAAATGTCACCTTGGAGGAAAGTCAAATGCTTTGTGGTGGTAGCTCCTGATTTCGAAAAGAAGTTCGGGGAAGATATCTGAGAGAGGCTTCCCAAACTGAATCAATGAGGATCATCACAGAAGGTCCTCAACTCATGGGATGCCTACGGTTTTCCATGGGGAAGAGGCAGGGGAATATCTGCATGGGATATATTTTCCCTAGGGAAACTCACATGCTTGCGGGCTGTGGACCTAGATTCATTGTCTCAATCAACAGCTATGGGGTCATTTCCTCCCCATACATTTCCGAGCACAATTCAAAGTGTTGGTGCTGACCTTTAAAGCCCTAAACAGCCTGGGCCCAGTAGACCTGAAGGAGCATCTCCACCCCCATCGTCCAGCCCAGACACTGAGGTCCAGCTCCAAGGGTCTTCTGGTGTTAACCTCACTGCAAGATGTGAAGCTACAGTGAACCAGGCAGAGGGCCTTCTTGGTAGTGGCACCCGCCCTGTGGAACGCCCTCCCATCAGATGGCAAGAAGATGAGAAATTATATAACATTTAGGAAACATCTGAAGGCAGCATTTTTAAGATTTGCTGTTTTATTATGTTTTTATATATGCTGGAAGCTGCCCAGAGTGGCTAGGGAAACCTAGTCAGATGGGCAGGGTACAAATAATAAAATTATTATTATTATTGTTGTTATTATTATTATTATTATTATTATTATTTATTCAGTTCTTTCATGAACCAGTTTTGAAAAGCCAAATTCTATCAAAGAGAGCAAAAGAGGCACATTTTATTGCTGTTTTTAAATGGCATCTTGATTATGAATTGCATTCAGGTGCATTTCCTGTTGTAAGTTGTTATGAATCGCTCCCCATAGAATATGACAACAAATAAACCAATCTGGCGCTAGGTGAAAATAAATTGGAGACTTGCATTTAACCAATGCCCCCTAGTAAGAATCTTCTCTGCCATCCTTCAGGAGAATTCTCCCAGCTTTCTGGTCTGGCTCTAAAACATGCACACTGAGGTCAAGCTCCAAGGGCCTTCTGGCGGTTCCCTCCCTGCAAGAAGTGAAGTTACAGGGAACCAGGCAGAGGGCCTTTTCGGTGGTGGCGCCCGCCCTGTGGAACGCCCTCCCATCAGATGTCAAGGAAATAAATAACTATCTGACTCTTAGAAGACATCTGAAGGCAGCCCTGTACAGGGAAGCTTTTAATGTTTGATGTTTTATCGCATGATGATGATGATGATGATGATGATGTTGTTCAGAGTATACCCGAAGGAGCATCTCCACCCCCCTTGCTCAGCCTGGACACTCAGGTCTATCTCCGAGGGTCTTCTGGCGTTAACCTCACCGCGAGAAGTGAGGTTACAGGGAACCAGGCAGAGGGCCTTCTTGGTGGTGGCGCCCGCCCTGTAGAACGCCCTCCCATTAAATGTCAAGGAAATAAACAACTATCTGACTCTTAGAAGACATCTGAAGGCAGCCCTGTTTAGCGAAGTCTTTTAAGTTTGATGTTTTATCATGTTATTAATATTCTGTTGGGGGCCACACAGAGTGACTGGGCAAACCCGGCCAGATGGGCGGGGTACAAATAATATTTATTTATTTATTTATTCACACATACATACATACATACATACATACATACCCCGCCCATCTGGCTGGGTTTCCCCAGCCACTCTGGGCGGCTTCCAACATAATATTAAAATACAATAGTCTATTAAACATTAAACATTAAACATTAAACATTAAACATTAAACATTAAAAGCTTCCCTAAACAGGGCTGCCTTCAGATGTCTTCTAAAAGTCTGGTAGTTGTTTTTCTCTTTGACATCTGGTGGGAGGGCGTTCCACAGGGTGGGTGCCACTACAGTGGAGGCCCTCTGCCTGGTTCCCTGTAACTTGGCTTCTCGCAGGGATTCGCCTCCTCCAGAAGCCTGTTTGGCTGCTCCTGCAGGCCAATCAGGTCGCTGATTCACTTCATCCAGGAGCCTGATTGGTTGCTCCTGCAGGCCAATCAGGTCGCTGATTCACTCCCAACTGGAGCTGGATTGGGTGGCTCCTGCGGACCAATCAGACTGCTGCATTCTGGATCCTATTGATCTAGGATTCAGCTCAGTACATAACAATTTCCATCGATCTAAACCTTGCAAGATTCTTTTGATAGCAGCGAGGCGCTGCTGTGACGTTTGCCCCGCTCACAAGGTGTGCCTGTTATCAGTGATGCTGCCTTTTACTGCCTGGTGACATAATGCCCTCTCTTTCCCTTCGCAAGACGCGGCCAAGGCGTTTGTTCCAGCTGAGCGGAGAGCCCTTAATGACCCACGGTCTGTGACCTCATCAGCAGAGTTAATGGGCCGTGTGGGCACTGGCGGAATTAGCATGTTTATATCTCTGAGGCTCCTCAAGTGTGACCAGAGGCCCATTGAACATTCCTGGCCCTCTTGGAGTGGGCGATGCTTGCAAGCAGGAGCGGCTGGCATGCATGCCAAGCTGGTCTTCCCAGACCCCTTTCTGCGTTTTGGGGATTCTCGAGGGTCCCGCAGCAAAATGCAACGCCTGTTCTAGTTGTTTGGAAACCACATCCCGGGGAGTTATCGGCAGAGGTGCGCCAAGGGTCTCTTGGCAAGGAGATGTATCGACACACACACAGAGACACACAAGAAAATCACTTTACCCCACTAGCCAAATTAGAAATTACTGCATTTTACAAGACCCAAGTACTTGAAGCATCCAGAGTTAGGGTAAGGTGAGGAGGAAGGGAGGAAAAATTGCACGCCTTTGTGATGTGGTGTAAGAAGGATGAGAAGCTTCTGCATTTGACCTTTCCATAATAGTGGGGTACACATATGTGTCATACAACCCAGAGTCTGATAGGTGATTTTAGTGCCCCTGACTGGGGCACTGGTTTTGCCAACCCCTAGCTTGCCGATCAGAAGGTCGGCGGTTTGAATCCCCGCGACAGGGTGAGCTCCCGTTGCTCGGTCCCTGCTCCTGCCAACCTAGCAGTTCGAAAGCACGTCAAAGTGCAAGTAGATAAATAGGCACCGCTCCAGCGGGAAGGTAAATGGTGTTTCCATATACTGCTCTGGTTCGCCAGAAGCGGCTTAGTCATGCTGGTCACATGACCCGGAAGCTGTACGCCGGCTCCCTTGGCCAGTAAAGCGAGATGAGTGTCGCAACCCCAGAGTCGGCCACGACTGGACCTAACGGTCAGGGGTCCCTTTACCTTTACCTTACGATACCTTTGGCTACTGGATTGCTTGGAAGCATCTCGTGGCGGCGACGGATTTAGGGCAGGGCTCAGGGGGCGCAAAATATTAAAGAAATAAAAAAACCCGAGTTATTGTGGGAATAAGCAATCAATCAAATCTTTTTTATGGTCATAGACCAGCATAATTAGGTTGGGGTACAATCATTTAAAATCTGTAAACTGTTTTGGAAAGCTAAGATTATTAAAACAGAAGGTATATATAAAAGACTGTTAGAAGCGAAAAGAAGGGTTAGGAGCATTAAACGGATGTGGAAGAGCATTAAAGGTTAGTATATAAAAGTCTATAGCTATCAATTTACAAAGCACTCCAATATGACTGTTCATTAAATCTAGTTTGTGGTGCAGGTCATCAGCCAACGAGTTTTGAACATTGCTGTGCAGTACTTGGCAACACTGTACATTGTAGCAGGGTTGGTACCTCAAAGCAGCAAGGAGGTATAGAATTGTCCCGTGCGCCCTGGGTACTGATGGAGTAGTGGGGAGATGAGGCGAATACGGATGTCTCTATAACACAGGCACTGGAGGAAGCACATGCTCTATTGTTTCTGTTGGTCCGGAATCACAGGCGCCTTGTCTCTCCGAGTAAACTGGGGAATAAGAAATATTTAGGGGGAGCACCCGATTTGGTCTTCACTCGGGGTGCCATGTTACCAAAGTCTGCCCCTGCTCATGGGTTCCCTAAGAAGGCAGGAAGAGCGCCTGCTGGATCAGGGCCAAAGGGTGTTCCGGAATGATCCAACATCCCATTTCGCACCAGGGCCAACCCCACGTCTCTGGGAAGGCCCCCACAAGTGGGGCAAAAGAAGCTAAGAAGAGCCCGGCTGCTGGATCAAACCAAAAGCCCATCTCAGCTGTCCCGTTTCAACTGGGACATCCCGGAATTACAAAAGCTGTCCATTATAATAATATAATAATTTATTATTTCTATGCCACCCATCTGGCTGGGTTGCAACTATTGCAAGCTTTTTTCTTCTCCACCTTTACATCAGGTGAGATTATTGCTGCATCGGGACTATATCCTTCCTGGATAGCTCAGTTGGTTAGAGTGTGGTGCTGATAACGCCAAGGTTGCAGGTTCGATCCCCGTACCGGGCAACTGCATATTATTGCATTGGAGGGGGTTGCGCTAGATGATCCTCAGGGTCCCTTCCAGGTCTACCATTCTGTGATTCTATGGCTTGCATATAAGGCAGCTTCCTTTGTTCTTCTGATGCCTGACACACAAGTCAGCACAAAGAGTCCCTAAGTGACACCTGTCTGTGATGGAAAGCTCCAGAACCAACGAGGGATGTGTTTGCCACTTCTAGGTGCTTATGGACCATGAGCAGACTGACTTCTCTGTCACAATCCTGCAGGATCAGGCCAGTGGCCCACCTAGTCCAGCACCCTGTTCTCACAGTGGCCAATCCGAGCACAAGAACTCTTTCCTTCTCGTGGTCTGCAGCAACGGGCATTTCGAAGCACTGCTGCCTCTGAACATGCATTCCTGAAAGGATTATATTTGCACCAACTTCATGATAGTTTTCTCTCTCCACGAGATTATGAGGCTTCCAAGTCCTTCTCGAGAGGCAAATTGATGTTATATCAGCAGGCATTAACCCACACATGTTGAGGCACTTGGAAATCCATGAGGAGAGAAGGAAATGTGCCGTGCCAATTCCCAAGATGCCAGCTCTGCCACAGGCTCGTCAATAGACTCATGTGTGCTCAGATGTGGCCCATTGCTCTGGCCGAGAAACTGACCTGCCAGGTCAGGACGAGGCCTCGATCCTTCTACAACACCTGCCATCCACTCATCTCCTGTATGAGACACGACAATCAACCGAGGCAGACTCCCCAGAGCCACAGAAACTTCTGCAGAAACTTACACGATTAGAGTCTTTGATGTGGGTCTAACTTTAAGCTGCTGTTATGCGTTTCCCCAAGAAATGGACTAGGTGTGCTACTGTTGTTGTTTATTGTAGTTTAAATCATGTTCATTACGTGTGAGAAAGAGCTGGGCCATAAAGAAGGCTGATCGCCGAAGAATTGATGCTTTTGAATTCTGGTGCTGGAGGAGACTCTTGAGAGTCCCATGGACTGCAAGAAGATCAAACACATCCATTCTGAAGGAAATCAGCCCTGAGTGCTCACTGGAAGGACAGATCCTGAAGCTGAGGCTCCAAGACTTTGGCCACCTCAGGAGAAGAGAAGACTCCCTGGAAAAGACCCTGATGTTGGGAAAGATGGAGGGCACAAGGAGAAGGGGACGACAGAGGACGAGATGGTTGGACAGTGTTCTCAAAGCTACCAGCATGAGGGAGGCAGTGGAAGACAGGAGTGCTCGGCGTGCTCTGGTCCAGGGGGTCACGAAGAGTCGGACACGACCAGACGACTAAACAACGTGTGAGAAAATAATAAAATAATGTTGTGCTTTTCTTAAAAAAACAAGATGCTAGCTGAAGACACTATTTGGGCATTACTCAGACATCTTGCCAAAGTCAAGAGGTGCTCCTGCTCCCCCATTTCCCAGGGGCTTGTTGTTAAGAGCAATTGCGTCTCAGCCCTCTGACTTCATTTTACATATTCCGTCTCTTGCAGGCACCTTTAGCAAGGCGCACCTGGTTTGTTCCAGCTCTTTGTTTGTGGCACAGTGTCACTTGGTTGATATGCATTGCATATGACTGGGAAGTGAAGGTCTTGCAGGTGGTGGTGGGGGTTTGAGGGGGAGGAGGTTGGCTTATTAAATTCAGCCCCTTCCAGCCTTCCTGCAAAAGGGGCGGGGAATGGGAGTGGTCAAGGGCTTCCAGCCCACGCACGCATATCCTATAAATGACTGGAATCTCCTGAGAGGCAGTCCACGCAAGTCCTGCCAAAGGACTGAGTCCCCCTTAACAAATTCGATTTGCTGGGCAAATGGGGAGACAGAGAGGGGTGCTTTGGGCCCTGGCAGGTTTCTGGGCATGGCTTCTGTGCGGTAAGTTTATTCTTTTTTTGGCTGCTCTCTGTGAATCTGCTCCAATTAGGATCAAGAGGTGGAGGCAAGCTCAGCCAGCCTAAGATATTAAGCTGGTGATGCAGAGTGAAACATTTTCCTCTGGATGAAGAGGAGAGCTTTCTGCTTGCATCCACACACCAGCAATAACAGGCCACAGGTTCTGCTGTACTGGTGCTGCCTTTCCCTGCTTTCGCTCCCAAATTTCTTTGGACTCCTGTTTAGTCAGCATCCACTGGATTCGCTTGCACAAAGCCTATGCAGAGGATAGTGTCTAGACTATGTCCGATCTTTACTGCACATTCATTCTGGTTTGTTTATGGGGTGATTATACAGGAATGCAAGGGACACGGGTGGTGCTGTGGGTTAAACCACAGAGCCTAGGACTTGCAGATCAGAAGGTCGGCGGTTCGAATCCCCGCAATGACGGGGTGAGCTCCCGTTGCTCGGTCCCTGCTCCTGCCCACCTAGCAGTTCGAAAGCACGTCAAAGTGCAAGTAGATAAATAGGTACCGCTCCGGCGGGAAGGTAAACGGCATTTCCGTGCGCTGCTCTGGTTCGCCAGAAGCGGCTTAGTCATGCCGGCCACATGACCCGGAAGCTGTACGCCGGCTCCCTCGGCCAGTAAAGCGAGATGAGTGCCGCAACCCCAGAGTCGGTCACGACTGGACCTAATGGTCAGGGATCTCTTTACCTTTTTATACAGGAATGCATTGAGCATTCATCCTGCTTTGCTTGCGTTTCTCCATCCCACACTTTCTGGTGCATTCAATGTCACTTTCCTACCAGCAAACAGTCTGTTGCCTTTTTTTAAAAAAAGTCATATTTGCTTTGCGCTTGAATCCCTGCTACAAAGCAGTGGCAGTCTGAATCCACCTTTCATTAAAAATACATAGCTGTGGTTTGGGGGTGTACTACGACCTCAGAATTATTTTCATTAATTCCTGCTAAATTTGTATTCTTTTGGCAATGTGTGTGCCAAATCCAAGTTCCTCTTGACAGCTTCAGTGTTCTGCATCACTGTGGAAAAGCACTGGTTTGGGTGGAAGTTGTCTGTCCTGGAGTGTCAACACAAGGGGGCTTGTGAAGAAGGCGCAGCAGAGACTGTACTTTTTGAGAATATTAAGGAAAAGCCATCTTCCGCAGAAACTGCTGCTTGCCTTCTATCACTGTGCCATTGAGAGCGTGCTCACTTGTGGCTTATGTGTGTGGTACGGAAGCTGTACTACCCAGGACAGGATGGGGTTGTGCAGGGTTGTTAAGGCAGCAGAGAGCATTGTTGGCTGCCCACTCTCCACCTTAGAGCAGATTTATGCCACAAGGTGCCATAGGAAGGCACTGGACATAGTAAAAGATCCATCGCATCCTGGTCACTGTCTCTTCGAGCTCTTGCCGTCGGGACAGAGATACAGGACGATGAAGACAAGAACGAGCCGTCTTAAGAACAGCTTCTTCTCCAGAGCGATCTCGGCCCTGAATGGGAAGCCCGGACTTTGAAAGTCATCTAATCTCCCTTGCTGTATTATACTGTATTGATTAATTAGTGTTTTTATGGAGCAGTCAAGTAATTTCGTTGTCCCCGAAGGGGGCAATGACAATAAAGATATTATTATTATTATTATTATTATTATTATTATTATTATTATTATTAAGTTGTTCAACCCAGTGGCTGTGTAGTAAACGGAAGATACCTAAGAGCAACAGCCCGACACTCTCTTCTCCTCCTTCCCCCAAGTAACTCCTTATGAGTTACTTAGCGAACTTGATATAGAAATAGGTGGAGAAAATGGACTTGGACTGGAGAGAAAGTCAGGCAAGGGACTGCTGCCCAAGGGAGGGTTGGAGGAAGAAACTTGATTCTGTTTGCATTTTAACAAGAAAGCACCTAAACTTCACTTCTCGAACCAATACGCGAAGTGAAACACAATTATCTTGTGGAATGCACACTTCTCCGATTTCCACAATGCCGTCCTCCAACCACGTGATGTGCACAAAAGTACATATATCAGAGGAAAGCATGCATAGAAATGCATATAACATATATGTCAGGGCAAGCTGCACTGATGAGTTTTCATGAGGTTTAAAAGAATAAGTAAATCACAAACTGCTGTGGAAATCTGGAGAACGGAATTCAGGATTGGAAAAATGAGAAGCTGAGATTGGCAGGTCTCATCCATCCGTATTCCAGGGTTCGGAAGAGTCTAATTGACGATTAATGTTTTAACTGAAAATGAATGTGTATCGCCAACTTTGTTCAGGGAAGCAGCTCTTGCGATGATACGCTGTCAGAAGGGAAGCTAAGATTATGGCAAAGATAAAATGAAGTCAGGTTATACCACGTCCCACCATGTTGAGGTAATAAGAATAGGAGGCAATCTTCCTCTGTATCTGTGTTTTGCCGGCAATTGGAAACTTTCCTTTCTGAACAAGATTGTGAGTTTAGTGCTGGTGTTGCTTCAGGTACTCACTGTGGGTGTTTGTGTGTTTGTATGTTGTTGTTTTTTCTCCTGCTGTTTTAGTTTTCATAATTTGTGATTTCATAGAATTGCAGAGTTGGAAGGGACCCCAAGGGTCATTTAGTCCAACCCCCTGCAAAATACAAATCATACACTCGGTATACACTACTGAGCTGGTTGGTCCATAATAAATAATAATAATATATTTTTATTTATACCCCGCCCTTCCTGGTTCAGAAAACCGGGCTCAGGGCAGCTAACAGCAAATTTAAAACACTTAATTGATGCAACAAAAAACAGCATAAAATACAGTATAAAACGTGATTAACAATAAATTCAGAATTAAAAAATCAATTTAGGGGGGAAATCCATCCAATAAACATTGGCTGATCACCAGGGGTAGCTGGCTAAATTAGTCCTATTTGGGCCAGCAAGGAGACCAGGGTTCTGATTCGGTATAAGCCAGCAGTCCCCAAACATTTTCAAGCCACTGCCATAAACACATCCCTTGTGCCACCTAACCTCTAGCAAAAATTATTCATAAAAGCACTTTGCACAACCCACTAAGGATCATCACCTTCTGTGTAGAAATAAATTCTCATAACAAAAGAAAAGAGTTTAAAAGCTTTGCTTGTAGATACTTGGTTTAAGCGCTGCAAAAAAAACCAACAATATATTGTCTTGGTTGTTTATTTCCATTCCTACATAGATTGATCCCTCAATAACATATCTTTGCCCAAAACCAGTATTCCAGCTAAAAATCAAAAGAAATCTGAGTCCTCTTTTTATCCTGTATTTTTATCTTGTGAACCACCACCCTGAGATCTTCAGAGAAAGAGCAGTATAATAATAATAATAATAATAATAATAATAATAATAATAATAATAATTCACAGCTTGCTTGAATTTGGGCCAGTGCCCAGGGAGATCTGATCTGTGTGTCCTTGGGAAAAAACAGTTTTGTGTCCTTGGGAATCCTATCCAAAAACCCATGACTGAGTCATAAAATCTAGCCTATCCCACCCTTGCTATGGAAAAACACAAGCCTTCATCATATGATCATGTTTTTCACAGTAACTTAAATGCAATTACAATTATACACCATTTTATGTAACATTGAATGACTTTAACAACAAGTGGTTCCCAAAGGGGGAAGTGGGATTACCTAGGGGTGCAAATGACTACCAGAATTTGAAAAGCTGGTGTCTCTGGATCAAGTTGAATTAATTGTTGAATTAATTGCACTCAGTGGTTTGGACTGTATTTTAAATAGCCATGCAATTAATTGTTTAATTTTATTGTGTTATTGTCTTCTTCAGTGGGACATGCAAACTGCTGTTTGGAATAATGCTATTTTCATAGGGTAGGGGACATTGGGGTTGAGTTTATGGAACCCAGGGGGTGTTGACCTGACAAAAATCTGGGAACCGCCAGTGACACACCTACATTTGGGGGACCCTGAAGCATGGGCTGTCATGGGGCCCCCTTCGCAACCAGCAATGGGGTCTGGGTAACCGCTGTTATCTTTCTCAATGGGGTCATTCCACGACACATCGCCACACCTTTGCATCATCTGAGCTAATGACTCTCAAATTTTGGGATTGTTGAAATATATACAACCAAAAAATTAATCAATTTGATGCAAACAGTTGCAACTCAAATTGGGTACGCTAGACCCAAAAATTCTAAGCGATGTGGACTATAGTTGCTTCTGTTTAGGGAAGCTTTTAATGTTTGATGGACTACTGTATTTTAATATTTTGTTGGAAGCCGCCCAGAGTAGCTGGGGAAACCCAGCCAGATGGGGGGGGTATAAATAAATTATTATTATTATTATTATTATTATTATTATTATTATTCTGGGGCCTCTTTGGGATTAAGGGCCATGAAGCTTAAACTTCATTAGTTTCATAGTAGATACATCCTTGGAAACCTCTGAGCTAAATGGAAGCTGCATTTAAATTGAATCTGAAAATAAAAACCACATATCCTCCAACATTTCTCTGATGAAAATAGGGACATTCTATTCTATTATTGGGACGCGGGTGGCTCTGTGGGTTAAACCACAGAGCCTAGAACTTGCCGATCAGAAGGTCGGCGGTTCAAATCCCCGCGACGGGGTGAGCTCCTGTTGCTCGGTCCCTGCTCCTGCCAACCCAGCAGTTTGAAAGCACGTCAAAGTTCAAGTAGATAAATAGGTACCGCTCCAGTGGGAAGGTAAACGGCATTTCCGTGTGCTGCTCTGGTTCACCAGAAGCGGCTTAGTCCTGCTGGCCACATGACCGGGAAGCTGTACGCAGGCTCCCTCGGCCAATAAAGCGAGATGAGCGCCGCAACCCCGAGTCGGCCACAACTGGACCTAATGGTCAGGGGTCCCTTTACCTATTCTATTATTATTATTATTATTATTATTATTATACCCCACCCATCTGAATTGGTTGCTCCAGCAACACTGCACAACTTCCAACATAGATAAAAACATAATAAATGGATATCAGCCCCGCTCAAGGCATGACGGACAACAGCAACAACCGGGAAAAGTTAGACATAACATTTTACAAGGACAGGAAGAAACATCATGGACAGAATAAATGTCATACACAGGAAGAACAATGATACAGTGTGAGATCCTCACTTGTAGTCTTGCAAATCATTTAATGTGTCAACACGAATAGAAGTTATAAATATTGCAGCTGTTGTATAAGGGCTTATTATTATGACTGGAATGTCATTGAAATCAATAAGATTTTGGAATGAAGAAATAAAGAAAATCATCAAATCATCAATTCTAGGACATGGGGGACCACCTGATCTAAATTATATAATTTGGTATTTGAATGATTGATATTAGTAATTGTATTGTAAATTGGCATTGTTATATTGAGGCTATCATTGGATTATACTTGAAAAATCAATAAATATTATCAAAACACACACATAATAAATCATTTTAAAAATTCCATATACAGGGCTGCCTTCAGGTGTCTTCTAAAGGTTGTATAGTTCCTTATCTCCTTGGCTCAGGGGTCACATAACTCCAGACCCCCTCCCATTTCTCCCATGAAAACAGGGACGTCCTAAGGAAAAGCGGGACATTCCAGGATCAAATCAGAAACCAGAACGGCTTCTGTAAATCCAGGACGGTCCCTGGAAAATAGGGACACTTGTAGGGTCTGGAACCTCTGACTCTTTTACAAAGCAATCTTGAATGACAGACAAGTCCTTTGTTGATGCAAATGTGTAACTTTCCATCTTACTTTTGTCAACTCCTTGCAGCGCCTGGGAAAACAGTTGCCGTCCCAGTTCCCACAGAATGGGAAGAAGGAGAGCTGGGCGACTTCACCACCACCAGTGATGGCCTTTCCTGGGGCACAGACAGTGACTATTTCGAGCCCACCATGCTTCCGACCACAGAGGCGCCTGTCTTCACGGAGGAAATCCAAGCCACAGAATTCTATACTTCTAGCCCTCTCCTTGGGAACCCAGAAGGAAACCTGAGTTCTATTAGCTCTGTGAACTCTTCCAGTCCCGTGGAGGAAGAAAGGTCAGGTTCTCCGTCGGCCTCCACTCTTGCAGGAAACGTGGCCTCTTCCACTGATGGTCCCAAGAACCCAGGAATCACACCTGCAGGAGGGAACGCCAAGGAAACGACAGATGTCCATGCTGAAGAAAAGGCCGTCTTCCCGGCCAAGATGAACTCTTCTTTGGAAGAAGGGACAGCTAAAACAGCTGCAGTGGTGTCTAAGGAAGCAGCCACACCAGTCACCTTGCTCTCTAAGGAAGAAGAGGCAGCTGAATCCCCCGCGGAGAGGACTGAAGAAACATCCACGGCGCCCATCTTGCTTTCTGCTTCTGCCTCTGAGCAGCCTGGAGTAACAGAGCTTCTCATGGAGTTGGAGCCCAGCACAACGAGCACATCTCTTCTCAGCGCGACCAGCGGTGAAGGGATATGGGCATCTCCCTCCGAGGAAGGGGCAAACAGCGTTGCTTCTGACGAAATGAGTTTTCCGCCACCAGCTGCTGGAGACGAGGAGGCAATGGATGTGGACACCGGGGGAAGCGACGTGGGTTTCCAGCTCAACCCCACCGTAGCTTCGTGGGAGGAAGCACCAAACGTCATCCCAGAAGCAGATGAGGAGACTCCAGAGCTTTCTCCAGATGCTGGCAGTGAGGCTGCAGCCCCGTCCTGGAGCCCGGGAGCAGACCCTTCCAGCCACACAGAAGAGCTGCCTGTAGAAGAAGAAGAAGCTGCTCCTGCTGATGGAAGCTCTCCTCCACCACCTCCAGAGGGAGATGCTGTGACGCCACCGCCAGAATTGCCCCCATCTGGTTCGTTGCCGTCTGATGACACAACTGCGGAGTCATCAGAACCCGGTGAGCTTGCTGCAGTTTCCACTCAACTGCCTTCTGCTGATGAAGCTGCTCTGGATGTAGAATCTGCTCCTGGAGAAGGAAGGGGCGATGCAGATAGCTCTCTGTCTGCAGGAGAGCCCGAAAGCGATACGGAGGCAACTGCAGTTCCTTCCTCTGCAGGCCCAGAAGTTGGCCCTGAAAACACGGCCGATGTGCCCGCTGGAGAATCAGAAGACCTGCTGAGTGCAGAATCGTCCAGTTCCCTTCCAGTAGATGAGTCCACGCTAGACAGTCCACCCGGCATTTTATCTCCCAGTGATGCTCCCTCTGAACCTTCACTGAGGATGGAAGTGTCTTCTCCTGCTGGACTCCCATTGGGGTCGGGTTCTGCTTCACAGTTCCCTGAGGATGGTGAGAACCAGGCATCTTCCACAACTAACGAAGAGGCAGAGGAAGGTTCTGGAAGCCCAGACAGCAACAAGGAAGCATCTTTTGCTTCAGTGTCTCCAGAGCAAGGACCAGCTTCTTCAGGAACAGATGTCCCTGCTGGAGAAGAAGTTTCTACAGACCTTGCCAGTGGGGCAGCCTCCCCCTTGAATCCTGGTGTGGAAACAGATAGTTCAGAGGTGGCAGAGAATGAGCAGCCCACAGTATCAACCCAGAGCGAGCCCTCTTCAGATATGACCACCATAAATTCAGCTGGGGTAGCAGAGAAGGTACCAGGGACTTTGCCCGACACCAAAACATCCCCTCCTTCTCTCCTGGAGGATGAAACAGCATCCGAAGCTCAGGGGTCATCTGAAGAAACACCCTCTCCTATGTCTCTTAGTGTTACACCTTCTCAGAAGGAGGAGGGAGAGATCTCCCCCAGCGAAACACCTGGAAAGGTTGGTTCTTCTCCTGAAGGCAGTGAGGCAGCCACAGGACCAGATGTTGTATCAGGATCAGCCACAATTGATGCTGTCACACAGACGAGCAGCGAAGGCCAGAGCGAGACAGACTCCCCACTCTCCAGCATGGAGCTTATCCCACCTGTGGGAAGATCAGAGATTTTGGACACTGAAGAATCTTCAGATCTGTCACCTGCAGAGGACATGGTGGTAACAGATCCATCGGGAGGACAAGCCACCTTCCCCTCCACATCTCCTGATGAGTCACCTTCTGGTCCCTCTGTTACAGATGCAATGGAAGCTCTATCAAATGGACCACCTGGCTCTCCACCTTCCTCCCACCCAGCCCCAGAAAATGACATGGGGGCAGGCTCAGAGGTCACCACGGGGCCAGAGGAACTAGGACATTCTGCTGCTGTGAACAGGGAGGAAGCATCTCTTTCCCCAGTGTCCACCGCAGAGCCTGAACTGGCTCCTGCAGAAACAGAGGCCGCTGAGGATGGAAATGTTTCTGAAGACCTAGGCAAGGTATCAGCCTTACCCTCCAGAGAAGAGACAGTAGGAGCCACCTCAGAGGCAGCAGTTGATGAGGAATCCCCTTCAGATAGCAGCAGCTTTCTGGACGAAGCCAACACTCCGCCCCCAGAGCCACAGCTAGGTCCAGGAAGTGCAGAAGAGAACAGTCCACCAAGCTCTGCAGAGTTGACAGATGCAGAATCTGGAGATCTTACACCCCTTCCTGAGAGTGGTGGAAAATCAAAGGAAGCTCAAGAGTCATCAGAAAAAAAACCCTCTTCTGCATCTTCTTCTGGGTCCTTCAGTGTGGAAGACGAAGAAGGCGAAGCTTCCTCAAGCCCAGCTTCTGACAACCTTGGTCCTTCCCCCCAAGGCACTGATGTTTTAGAAGGTAGCAGGGATGGTGAGGGCAGCACTGGATTGGTTGAAAATGAAGTAGCTGGGACAACCAACAGCGGGGGCCAAGCTGGAACGGATCTCCCACTTTCAGATGCAGAAATTGGCCCCACTGAAAAATCAGAGCTGCCTGCAGGACCACCAGGAGCTGTGGCTGATGGAGAAACCCCAAGTCAACCGACTGTAGAGGATGGCGAGACATTAGTAGGAAACACAGCCTCAGGAGAAGAATCTCCCTTAGTCACCCCAAGTGAAAAATCCCCCCCTTCCGTTGTTTTTGAGCCTTTAGGAGCTGAGCCTAGTGGGTCCACTAGCTCTCCAGTCTCCTATCAGCTGTCTCCAGATGTTGCATTAAATCCAGGCTCTGCAACTTCTGAGGAGGCCCAGGGATTGGAAGATACTTTTAGTAAGAAAGGATTGGATTTGGTTCCAATAGACATGGGGTCACCATCGGCCTCCCTCTCCAATGATGGGATAGTGGCTACTGACTCAGCCTTGGAAGGTAGTAAGGAGTCTCAACTCTCTCCAGAAGACGCTGCAACAGCAACAGATGAGGGAGCAGAACCATCTGAAGGCTCTTCCAGTGTCGGCGGCAAGGAAACATACTTGGCTCCGTCAGCCTCAAAGCCACCAGTTTCCTCTTCTTCCGCTGAAGAGGTGAAAATTGATGGATCACCATCAATCGATAGCGAGGAGTCTACTCTGTCTCCAGATGATGCAGTGAGAGCAGGACCTGTCACTTATGAGGAGGGAGAAGAATCAGAAGACATCTCCGCTGAAAGTGGAAAGGAACCATCGTTGTCTCCATTGGCCACAGAGTTACAATCAGCAACTGCCTCCACCGAAGGCGTGGAAACTGCCATCTCTGAATCAGAAGCCAGTGCAGGATCTCAACCATCTCAAGATTCTGCAGGACCTGGAGCTTCTGAAGGTATAGAACAGTGGGAAAACTCTTCTGCTGCAAGTGAGCAGGAAATGCCTTTGGGTTCATCGGTTGGAGAATCACCGAAAACATCTGCAGGTGAAGAGGTTTCTGAAGGACTTGTTGAAGGAAGACCTTCCCTCTCCACTGAGTGGGTGGATCCTGCCAGCTTTGAGAAGGCAGCAGGGAAAGGATCTCAACCACAGCTAGTTAATGCAGGAGTGTCCAATGGGGAGGAACCATCATCGACTCCATCGGCTGCAGAGCCACAGTCAGACTCTCTGTCAACTGAAGGGGTGGAAATGCCCAGCTTGGGGCCTGCAACTGACACAGGATCTCAACCATCCGTAGATAGTGGAGCAACAGCAGGGGCTGTAGCTTCTGAGGAGGGAGAAGAATCCTCTTTGGCCCCAACATCAACAGAAATACAACCCCCTGGAACAAGTGAAGAAGTTTCTGGAGGGCTTAGCAGTGGAGAATCTTCCACCCTCCCTGAAGGTGTGGAAACAGGGGCTGTAGCTTCCGAGGAGGGGGGAGAATCCATAATAAGTGAAAAGAAATCCTCTTTGGCCCCATTGGCACCAGAGTCACAATCCTCTGGAACACCTACAAGTGAAGATGTTTCTGGAGGGCTTGGAGAATCTTCCACCCTCCCTGAAGATGTGGAAACACCTATTTTGGATTCAGCAACTAACACAGGATCTCAATCATCACCGGATGGCGCAGCAGAGGGTGTAGCTTCTGAGGAGGGAGGAGTATCAGAAGACGTTTCTCCTGTGAGTGGGAAAGAGCCATCTTTGGATGCATTGCCCACAGCCTCACAATCTTCTGGAACATCTGCAAGCAATGAGGTTTCTGAAGGACTTGGTGATGGAAATTCCTTCCTCGCCACTGAAGGGGTGGAAACAGCTGGCTCAGAGTCAGCAGCAAGCAAGGCATCCCAACCATCACTAGATGATGCAGGAACAATAGTGTCCAATGGGAAGGAAGCATCATCAGCTCCATTTGCTGCAGAGTCACCATCAGACTCTCTGTCAACTGAAGAGGTAGAAACGCCCAGCTTGGGGACAGCAACAAATGCGGGATCTCAACCATCTGCAGACAAAGCAGATACAGCAGGGGATTTAGCTTCTGAGGAAGCAGGAGAATCGGAAGACACTTCCACTGTGAACGGGAAGAAGCCATCTTTGGATGCATTGTCCACAGCATCACAATCTTCTGGGACATCTGCAAGCAATGAGGTTTCTGAAGGACTTGGCGATGAAGAATCCTCCCTCCCAACTGAAGGGTTGGAAACGCCCAGCATGGGGACAGCAACAGATGCAGGATCTCAACCATCTGTGGACAATGCAGCTACAGCAGGAGCTTCTGAGGAGGGCATGAGTGGGAAGGAAGCATCATTTAATCCATTGTCCACAGAATCACAATCCCCGGGAACATTGACAAGTGAAGATGTTTCTGGAGGACTTGGTGATGGAGAGTCTTCCCTTCCCACTGGAGGGGTGGAAACTGCCAGTTTGGGATCTACAGCCACCAAGGGATCCACCTCTTCCACAGAGACAGTCCTGAGCCCAGAAAACGTAGCAGAGCAGCAAGAAGAGAAATCTGGGTCAATAACTGGTGCAGAATCTTTCCCTCAACCCTCTTCTGTGATCGACAAAGCTTCAGGGGGAACCTTGTCTTCTCCTTCTGCATATTCTGATGAGAGCTTGGCCACCAATGTAGGGGATAACCAAGTCTCTGGCATTACAGAGTCTTCACAGCCACTTCCAGGAAGTGGAGATGTTAGTGACAACATGGCAGGTCTTGATAATACAGGAAGTTCGGAAAAGTCTGTAAGTGGACAGCCTGCTCCTTCTAACAGTGATGTCCTGGCTGGGTCAGATTCTTCCTCGTCAGGGGCAGAAGTCAGCGCAGAGATTCTAAGAGGAGATTTGGGGACTGGTCCTGGGTCCTTGAATAGAGAGGAATCTCCATCTGCCTTATCACCCCCCAGTAACACACTGCCCTCTGGACCCGCCAACTCATATGTCAAAGGCACAGGAAATGTCATTGCTGATGGCTCATCTTCTCAGAAGGTAGAGGAGGCACCAGCTGGCGTAGAAGCAGGAAAAACAGACTCTTTCCCCTCTGATTCAGAGACCCAAGAATCCAGACCCTCACCCAATGGGCTTTTGAGCTCTTCCACGGTGTCCGAAGGGAGAGGCGATGCAGACAGCTCGGTTTTGGCAGCTAACAAGGGTCCAGCCACCACATCCACTGCTGGTGGAACAAGTTCTTCCCTGTCTAGCACACAACTGAGTCCAGCGAATACCCTGAAACTGCCTTCTGGGGCAGAATCAGGACCTGAGATCAAAGGAGGGACGTCTCCTCTGTCCTCCAAGTCTGAAGACCCAGGAAGTGTTAAGCCCATACTTTTAGGAAAACCACCCATGAAGCCATCATCTCCCGCTGGTTCTAGCATCTCATCCCTGCCTCCTTCCTCCGCCCAGAGTAAGCCAGCTGTCGGTCTGGGCAAAGACACATCTGGCAACAGCAAAGCATCCTCCTCCGCAGGGAAAGCACCCAGCTCTGCCCTTGGAACGTCCAGCAGCAGCTCTTCAGTTTCTAAGCCCACCAAGTCGGGGTCTTCAACCAGTTCCGGCATCTCATCCCTGTCTCCTTCCCCCACGCAGAAAAAGCCGGCTGTCGGCGTGAGCAAAGTCGCACCTGCCAATAGCAAAGGAAAACCAGAGGTCCCCCTTGCCACCGCAGGAGATACTAAATCCTCAGAAGGCAAGACAAAGAAGCCCAATTCAAGACCCCAGAATTCCAAGGACAGGAAAGCAGGAACTGCCAATGGAAACTCAGCAAAGTCAGGCCGCATCTCTGCAGTTCCAGCTCCTGTATCATCACCAGGTGAGTGCATTTAATATCTCCTTGTGATAAACTGGAATCATAAAATCATAGATTGGAGGAGTTGGAAGGGAGCCCAATAGTCATTTAGTCCTCTTGGACTCGATAGCCCTTGTGGTCTATTCCAACTCTATGATTCTATGAAATACTTGTCTCTGCCAAACAGTGATGAGCTAAGATAGTTGTCTTCAGCCTTTACAAGACCAGGGAACCGTCTTTAGCCCAACTTGAATTTGGGGACTCACTTCTTAATGCCATGTATTTATTTATTTTTTACTGTACATGTGCACAGTGGTAGCATTAGGTCAAGGCTGCGTGATCCAGCTGTGCATCCCAACTCACCAGCTGAAGACCAGAACTCCAGGGGGCATAGGGTTGTAGTCAACCGAGTTATACCCAGAGTACATCCATTAAAATTAATGGACACAAGTCACACCTGTCATTTTCAATGGATTTACTCTGAGCAGGAGTAGTATTTGACAAACAGCCTACGGGGTGGGGGGTGGGATTCAACAGAGTACTAACCCGAGTATAAGCATTTGCTCATACTTCACCAGTATAAGCATTTGCTGATGGAACTATCTGCCCACTCCTCCCCCTGTATGCTGTTCCAGTCAATTGGGGGGGGGCATGTGTGTGGGAGAAGGAGATGGAGGAAAAGAGGGGTGAAAAGCCCCATTACTATTAACATGAGGCTGCATTTTAAATTGTATTTTAACCCGTATTTTAATAAATGGAGTTTTGTTTGTTTGTTTATTATATTTTATTGTAATTTTATTGGTGTTAGCCACCCTGAGCCCGGGTCTGGACGGCGAGGGCGGGGTATAAATAAAATTATTATTATTATTAGTATTAGTATTAGTATTAGTATTAGTATTAGTATTATTATTATTAGAGGTCCTTGTGCGACTTAGTTGAATGCATTTCACAGAATTGCGGAGATGCCCAGTGCAATGGTGTCACCAACATGCATTGTTTTATAACAGAGGTGACAGGAAAGACCCCCCCCCCCGACTGGTGGTAGTTCCATCCTTCTTACACCATGTGGCATCTTGTTACTTATAACGATAATGAATTTATTATTGCACCCCACCCATCTGACCGGGTTGTCCCTGCCACTCTGAGCGGCGTCTAACAAAATATAAAAACACCACGATATACTGCCATCCACACAAGGGAGAGACTTCCACTTGTGCAGCAGGACCCGCGTCCTCTCCCCACTTTGCAGTCCCTCCTGCAGCTCCCCCAAATCTTGGGGGCCCCTCTCATTGTGGATCTGTGGGGGGGAAGCAGGAGAAGTCTGCTCACAGAGTCTGGGTGATATTACCAATTGTCTAGTTCAGTCTCAGAGACATAGACACGGTTGTAGTCGCAGGTGAGGGCCAGAATACAGGATGCAGGTAGACTCTGGAGGGATGGGAAGGACTCGTCGGAAGATCCACCTTGTAATATTCTTGTGTTTTGATGTGCAGCGGCGTCCCTCTTCCCATACGGAGCAAGTGCAAACGACAAAGAATACGTTCAAAGGAAAGTGGATTTCAATTCACCTCTGTTCAAGCCCGAGATTGGAATCCCACTGGGAAAAACACTGCGCAGCTCCCTCTATGTGAGTCTTTATGAAATATACTCAGAGTCGAGAGTGGATTTCATGCTCTTTATTCAGCTCATAGTGGTGAGGAGGAATGGAAGTTCCCCCAGAATGTCTGCTTTAAATACATTATTTACACAATGGGCCTCACGTGATTGGCTAATTCCGGGATTCACCTGTAGGCCAATCAGGTTGCGGATTCACTTCCACCTGGAGCTGGACTGGGTGGCTCCTGTGGACCAATCAGACTGCTGCATTCTGGATCCTATTGTTCTAGGACCAATCAGACTGCTGCATTCTGAATCCTATTGTTCTAGGACCAATCAGACTGCTGCATTTTGGATCCTATTCAACTCAGTACATAACACCTACCCTCCCCATTTATTTCTGCCATGTCTTTCAAAGAGGCAGAGGGTCTGGATGGGCAGACGGGAAGCAGGATGACCCCACACTCCTTGGCACTCTGGCAAATTTGCTTGGCTGCCACTTGGAACCTGGAGGGACTGCCAGAATATTTTAAGGGGTGTGGTAGATTGCTTACCTTGTCAGATATATATTGCCCGTTTAACCTTTGTAGCACCAGGGGGGTTTGTGGACCCAAGTTTGGATAAACTTGGCAATCACTAGTACATACTAAACACACACAAAAATCGAGGCATTCTAGGCTGAGATGCTTCTCAGCATTGCAACTGCCTGTGTGCATCCCTGGTCTCAGTAGCACAAATTTATATAAGCAACATTTCCTGTGGTCCAAGTTCTGGTTGATGGAATACTTTTGATACATCTACACAATTTGGATCAACTGGGCCACAAGCAGGCAGCTTTCATGAATGCCCACGGTGCTTCACAGGGAAAATGTAAGCAACAATCAGAATGAAAGTTTACATTTGACACACATTTACAATTAGAATTTGCCAGAAAAACCCAATTCTGAAAGCAGAACTTCATCTACTTTGCTGCATCTTGCCGGTCTTCATTTGCACCTTTCCTTCATTTAGTTCACAGACAACGGACAAATTATTTTCCCAGCTTCTGATAAAGATATTTCCAGCTATCCTAACCCACCTCCGAAAGGATTTAATGGCCGTGAGAAAGTACCAATGATAGCGGTGTTTTGGGACAATGCTGATTTCTCCAGAGGCAAAGGAACCATCTTTTACCAGGTGAGTATTTGGGGTGGTTTATTATATCTATACAGTGGTACCTTGGTTTACGAACTTAATCCGTTCTGGAAGTCTGTTCTTAAACCAAAGCATTCTTAAACCAAGGCGTGCTTTCCCATAGCAGCGGGGGACTCGGTTTACAAAAGGAACACACTCAACAGGAAGTGGAACATGTTCTTAATCCAAGGCAAAGTTCACAAACCAAAACACCTACTTCCAGATTTGCAGCGTTCTTAATCCAAGTTGTTCATAATCGAAGCTGTTCTTAAACCAAGGTACCACTGTACTAAGATGCTCATAAGTGTTCATAGGTGGAAACTTTGTAACTTCAGATGTGGTTCTGGAGCTACATGCGTCCTTGTGTGTTATTTCCATGGCATAAGTTTAAATGTGTGTGTGAGATTCCCATCTGTAATACACTCATCTGTTGCATGCAGGAATATGTTACGCAGACCTCTGCAAAACACCCCGTTGTCCGTGATGTGGAATCAAAGATTCAGCAATATTTGAAGTGTTCCTATTCAGCCACCTGGACACTCAAGATCACCTGGGTGAAAGCGCAACCTTACCCAGCGCAGGGACAGAACGGCAGAGTGAGTTGTCTCCAGCAACAGAACACTGCTATCACTGTACTTTGGTATTCTAAGAAAGATCCAAGTAACACTTTTTTAATGAAGTGCCTTATTTTAAGGAGCCTTGCAAATATATTCCGTGGCATCTTGTTTCATTATTTTGTAGAATCCTAGCATTGCGGAGTTGGAAGGGACCCCAAGGGTCATCCAGTCCAGCCCGCTGCAATGCAGGAATCTCATCTAAAGCATCCCTCCAGCTTCTGCTTTAAAATCTCCAAGGAAGGAGCAAGGGTGCCAATTTGAATAAAATATTGGGGGGTGGGTGTGTATGCCATTTGAATAATAATAATAATAATAATAATAATAAATAATAATAATAATTTTTAATTTATAACCCGCCCATCTGGCTGGGTTTCCCCAAGACACTCTGGGCGGCTTACAACATATAAAACACAACAAAACACCAAACATTAAAAAACAAGGTATCCTATACAAGCAACAAACAAACCAATAAATCAATAAAAACCAATAATAACAACAACAGCCATAATCATACTACTCCTTGCTGATGCCCATCAACTTGGGGGAGCAGCCCCCTCAAATATTTTATTGGGGGGTGCAAAGGGACCTTGGCCCCTAGGAGTTGGCTCCTATATGAAGGAGACTCCATTCCACTGACTGTTCCAATGTCCAACAGCTCTTACAGTCAGAACATTCTGCCTGATGTTGAGTCTGAATCTCCCTTCCTGTAACTTGAATCCTTTGGTTCAGATCGTGCCCTCTGGAGCAGCAGAAAACAAGCTTGCTCCCTCTTCCATGGGGGACATATCACCTCTTATATTTCATGGGTCTGCCATACGTCTGGGATTTTCTGGACATAGCGGGCAGAAATTTCAAAAATTGGTCAAAATGTCTGGGAAAACCTGGTCGTATGGCAGCCAATGCTGATTCTTTGGCGAATTCCCTAAAAAAATAGCTCAAAACCTCATTCTTCTTTTTTTGGGAGATTTTGCAAAAAAAGAAAAGAAAGAGTCATTCTTGAGCAGGATTAGCCAACATGGTGCCCTCCAGATGTCAAAAGGAGATGGAGACAACTTATTTTAAAACAGCAATTTCAATTTGACTTGTGGGTGGCTGCTTAATATGCATAGACTTCCCTATTCCTTTTTTATTTGTGAAGGTAGAATAAGAAACGCCACTTTATGAAAAGTGCTTCCAGAGCCTTGAATGTGCACCTGGATAGTATGGTGGGAAAACTGTCTCACCTCTTATTTATGTATCTTCCAGACCAACACTTACCAAGCCATCCTAACCACTGATGGATACAGAACATACACGCTGTTCCTGTATCAAAACGGTGGAATGCAATGGGATTACAGAAGAATCGCTCCTGCAAATGTGCTGATCGGGTGGACCAGGTATGTGCAGTTCCTTAACCAAAGGGACATGGGTGGGCGAGCCAGGAATAGGAGGATTTGTCACTGATGGTCAAACCCCCCCATTGCCATGATTCAGAGATCTGTGCATGTTGAAATATGCGTATGTTTTGGATAGTGGCAGCCACTTGAGAGAGGAAAGGAATGTACACCTGGAACTGCTTCCTCCATTGGACTGAATGGGAAATTTTCAGATTTGCCAATTAAGATATGGGACATAGGTGGCGCTGTGGGTTAAACCACAGAGCCTAGGACTTGCCGATCAGAAGGTCGGCAGTTCGAATCCCCGCGACGGGGTGAGCTACCATTGTTTGGTTCCAGCTCCTGCCAACCTAGCAGTTTGAAAACATGAAGTGCAAGTAGATAAACAGGTACCGCTCTGGCGGGAAGGTAAACGGCGTTTTCATGCGCTGCTCTGGTTCGCCAGAAGCGGCTTAGTCCTGCTGGGCACATGACCCGGAAGCTGTATGCCAGCTCCCTCGGCCAATAAAGCGAGATGAGCGCCGCAACCCCAGAGTCGTCTGCAACTGGACCTAATAGTCAGGGATCCCTTTACACACACACACACACACACACACACACACACACGGATGAAGAGGGAGACTTTGGCTCCTGCACATGGACTTGAAATCATGGGACCAAACTACATACTCAAAAATTTCTTGTCAAAAGTCCCAACCAGCGCCGGATTTACATATAAGGTAAACAAGCTATAGCTTAGGGCCCCACTCTCTTGGGGGCCCCCCAAAAATTTAAAGGGAACAAAAGCTGGATGTACATTTCCAAAATATAAGATAAATTCAACAATTACTTTGATAAAATACATATTTTGTTATGTGCAAATGGCTTTAGATACGTATTAGGTCCATAAATTACCATATAGGATATATTCAACACAAAAAACAGCGACAATTTGTTATTGACAAAGGACAGCTGGATATATAAAGGGCCCCATTACCTTCAGTAGTTTAGGGCTTCATCAAATCTAAATCCGGCCCTGATCCTAACTGCTGCTTTTTACACCTTTACAAACAGCAAGGGGGGTGGATGAGTTGGTTATGACTACTGTGAGATGTCAAGCGTGTGGAAGGCTAGCTCTCCCAAAATGTAATGCGGTGATGGTCTCTTCTCTGAAAGGTTTGCATTCAGCTACTTGAGATCTGAACGATCTCCTGGTTTGAGAAGGGAAAATACTGTGTATCCTTGGAAAGATTAAAAATCCACTTTATTCTTCTTCTTTTATCTTACAGTGGTGACGGATATTTTAAAAACGATGACCTGATGACTAAAACGCCAGCTGAGAAATACCGGCCAGATCAAACTGAAGGCTACAACACAGGTATGGTTGACGCATCGAAAGAAACCCACTAGCACAAAAAAACCAGATTCTTGTCCGTCTGCGAGGCTGCAAAGGGGTTCAAGAGAAGCAAGATACTTGCATTGCTCCACACACCTATGCCTCCGGCCCCACTAATAATAATAATAATAATAATAATAATAATAATAAATTTTATTTATACCCCTCCCCGGCCAGAGCTGGGCTCAGGGCGGCTAACACCAATAAAATCACAGTAAAAACATAATGGGGGAAAAGAGAAGGGAGGGGGAAAAAACAATTTAAAATACAGGTTAAAATGCAATTTAAAATGCAGCCTCATTTTAAAGTAGCCGATAAATCACAACTGACCACAACTGACATGTGGCCCCCTGAAGGTTGCTCAGAAGGCCCCCCCCCCGATATCCTGTCAGGGGTCTGAAAGCCCCTTTGCGCTTGCAGAAAGCAAAACTCATACCCTCCAACATTTCTCTGATGAAAATAGGGATGTTCTATTCCATCAACATCATCATAGCCAATTTATTATTTATACCCTGCCCAACTGACTGGGTTGTCCCAGCCACCTCTGGGTGGCTTCCAACACATATAAAAACATAATAAAACATTAAACATTTTAAAAAACACCTTTTCTATACAGGGCTGGCTTCCGATGTCTTCTAAAGGTTGCATAGTTATTTATCTGCTTGGTTCAGGGGTCGTGTAACTCCGTGCCCTCCGACTTTTCTCAGATGAAAATAGGGATGTCCTAAGGAAAAGCGGGACATTCTGGGACAAAATCAGAAACTGGAACGGCTTCTGTAAATCCGGGACTGTCCCTGGAAAATAGGGACACTTAGAGGGTCTGAAAACTAGAAGCTTCTAAACCAGGGGTAGCCAACCTAAGGCCCGGGGGCCGGATGTGGCCCAATCGCCTTCTAAATTTGGCCTGCGGATGGTCCAGGAATCAGCGTGTTTTACATGAGTAGAAAATGCATCTCTGGGTTATTTGTGGGGCTGCCTGGTGTTTTTACATGAGTAGAATGTGTGCTTTTATTTAAAATGCATCCCTGGGTTATTTGTGGGGCATAGGAATTCCTTCATTCCCCCCCCTGCCCCCCCCAAAATATAGTCCAGCCCACCACATGCTCTGAGGGACGGTGGACCGGCCCACGGCTGAAAAAGGTTGCTGACCCCTGTTCTAAACAGCCTCTTTCAAATGTGCTTTTGTTTTCTGGTTCTAGCATTGGGGTGCAGAGTTGCAACCTTTGGCCTTTAAGAACACAAGGAGAGCCTGCTGGATCAGGCCAGTGGCCCACCTAGTCCAGCATCCTGTCCCCACAGTGACCCAAAAGATGCCCCTAAGGGAAACGCTCAAGCTGTGTGAAGGAGGACTTCCTTTTCTCTGTCTTTCCAACATTCAGCTTCCTTGGGTGCCCACGAATTTTAGCATCGTGAGAGAGAGAGATAGAAAAAGCTTTGCATCATTTCGTGAACTTCTATTATGTCTTCTCTCACTCACTTTTTCTTTAAACCACAAAGCCCCAAATGCTGCAACCGTTCCTCGAAGGGGAATTCCTTCACCCCCTTGATCATTTTGGCTGGCCTTTTCTGAAACTTTTCGTAGCAGTTTAAGAGTTTGGATTTGATATCCCGCTTTATCACTACCCGAAGGAGTCTCAAAGCAGCTAATATTCTCCTTTCCCTTCCTCCCCCACAACAAACACTCTGTGAGGTGAGTGGGGCTGAGAGACTTCAGAGAAGTGTGACTAGCCCAAGGTCACCCAGCAGCTGCATGTGGAGGAGCAGGGAAGCAAACCCGGTTCACCAGATTACAAGGCCACCGCTCTTAACCACTACACCACACTGTTAAAAGCTTCTCACTAAAATTGTGGCCCAGGTCAGGACGGGAGTCCCAACACACACTTGGATTATTCCGTTACATTATACCAGGATGATGGCAGAGATCTGGAAGGAGTTCGATAGACTTAGGGCAGCTAAGTGGGGATGTACCATAAGTAAATTAAGCTTCACGCCCTTGATTTCCCTCCTGTTTTCTTGCACCCTCCTTCCAGGTGTGCGTGGTCTCTGGATATACAAGCTGGACAGTCGCATCCGGGTGAACTACAGGCAGCGGTGCCTCGACTGGCTTAGCCATGAGGGGCAGCCATCTGCCTGGAACAAGGACCTGCCTCCCTGCCCTTGCTCTCTGCAACAGGGGCTGTCGGACGATCGCTTCTCCCACAGCAAAAAAGGTGCGTGGCCAGCCCTGTGACTCGGACACACTGCTTGGACTTAAGCCAATCTCGGACCACTGAATGCATTGAAGGCAGCTCTCCAGTTCGGTTGCTGTGTGGCTCAAATGACGTTGACCCCATAGCTCCATGGCGAAGCACGTTTTCGTGCAGCGTCCACCCCTGCGAAATGCAAGAAACCTTGGAGAACCACTGTAGACAATGCTGAGTGAGATGGACCAGTGTTTTGGCTTGGTGTAAGGCAGCTTTAGGGACGCGGGTGGCGCTGTGGGTTAAACCACAGAGCCTAGGACTTGCCGATCAGAAGGTCGGCGTTTCAAATCCCCGTGACGGGGTGAGCTCCCGTTGCTCAGTCCCTGCTCCTGCCAACCTAGCAGTTCGAAAGCAAGTCAAAGTGCAAGTAGATAAATAGGTACCACTCTGGCGGGAAGGTAAACGGTGTTTCCGTGCGCTGCTCTGGTTCACCAGAAGCGGCTTAGTCATGTTGGCCACATGACCTGGAAGCTGTATGCCAGCTCCCTTGGCCAGTAAAGCGAGATGAGCGTCGCAACCCCAGAGTCGGCCACGACTGGACCTAACGGTCAGGGGTCCCTTTACCTTTAAGGTAGCTTTGCATGCCCATCCATTTCTCTCTGCATTGTCATAATTTCTGATGCCCCTGCATGGGTCCTCCTGCCTTGTAGATAATTATTATTATTATTTATTATTTAAACCTGGTCCATCTGGCTGGGTTTCCCTAGCCACTCTGGGCGGTTCCCAGCAGAAGATTCAAAATAGAATCAAACATAAAAATCTTCCCTAAACAATGCTGCCTTAAGATGTCTTCTAAAGGTCAGATAGTTGTTTATTTCCTTGACATCTGATGGGAGGGCGTTCCACAGGGCGGGCGCCACTACCAAGAAGGCCCTCTGCCTGGTTCCCTGTAGCTTTGCTTCTCATAGTGAGGGAACCACCAGAAGGCCCTCGGAGCTGGACCTCAGCGTCCGGGCAGAACGATGGGGGTGGAGACGCTCCTTCAGGTATACTGGGCAGAGGCCCAATATACCTGAAGGTATGGCCTATCAGTGTTGTGTAACAATGGAGTTGGGGGATGTTTATGTTTGAAGCAGTTATCCATGGTGTAAGGATAGAGGTGTACAAGAGGGGTCTTTTCAGCTGGGGAAATTTGAAGGGTTTAAGAATGGTGCCTTTTTTTTCGTGCACACCCGCCCCCTCCTGAAGATCTGCAACACAGAACTAACATCTTTAACCTTTGCAGGTTTGCCGGACTCTCGCTTAACCATGCTGTATTCCTCTGCCCCAAACAAGTACGGTGCTGGGGTCCGGTGTCTTTATAACAGCAAAAACCAGCTTGTGGAAGGTCACCAGGAAAGAGTCTGGAAGGGTTCGAGAAGCTCCCCCAACAGCGGTAAGCTGTACTTTGGAGGCTGTGCAACGGTTATCTGCCTGAAGATACCCACAAGTTATCAAGTTAACAAGAGGTTGTAGGTGTTGGTGCAGGAGGAGGGGGAAATGTTATATATATATATATAAAATGGAGGATTCCCTGGGTGACAAGTTCCAGGTTTAGGGCAAGTACTCTATGGTGAGAGAACCCCAGCAGAGATTTAAAATCACAAAGTGTGGAACTATAGGTTGTTAGACCTTTAAACTATGCCTTTGTGAGCTCCAAAACTTCCCTCTTCCCCCAGCATAGGAAAAGACCACACGTTTTGCAAGTTTAAAAACTGTTTTACTTACAAACTCTTCAAAGGTCAGGTTCATGTGCTTTTCCATACACCAGTCAGAAAAGTTGCACAGGCAGTAAAACCTGACCTAGTCAGAAAGTGGTAAAAGTTCCTAAATTACGGGCATAGGAACACAAGAATGGCTTGAGAGAGCTGAGTTCATCAGGGAGACTGGAAGGGAAACAAAGCCTTGATTATCTAGTTCCTTCCAAGGTGAGAGGGAGTGGACTTAGCTAAGCCTGGCAGTAGAGCTTACTCTATAGTATTAACCCCTTCATGCGCTAGCAAGTTGGTTACATGAAGCTGATTATCCCACAGTAGAACGCAAGTGTTTGTATCCTTAACTCTAGTAGACGATGAAAGAACACAAGAGAAGCCCTACTGGATCTGGCCAATGGTTCATGTAGTCTAGCATCCTGTTCTCATACTGGCCAGCCAGATCTTTGTGGGAGACCAGCAAGCAGGAATTGAGCGCAAGGGCACTCTGCCCTCTTGCCATTTCCAGCAAAAGATATTGTGCGGCATAGAGCCTCTGATTGTGAGGTATAAAACGGCCATCGTGACTAGTGGTCATTGATAACCTTATGAATCTCCCAGCAGAATCTCCCACCTTCTGTCCAAGTCAGGCTCTTGGTCTGAAATATTTCCAAATCAGGCTCTGATAATTTCCTTTCCTTTCCTTTCTTTCTCGCAATTCCTGTCTGCAGACGAAGAGTTGAAATTATATGACTGGTGCTGTAACCAGGCGGGAAGCCTCCAGTTCTGTGATAAGTACAGCCAGAAAAGGCCAAAGATCGGCTGTGACGGATACAGGCCTCCAATCCGGGGTGAGCACTCAATCTTTGCAAGGCAGGGACTGAGTCCTTGGGATCAATAGCAGACGGCGTTCATTCATTCAGTCATATCCACAGGATGCAAAATGGATTGCACACATGTTTAGATGTGTGCAATTTTTTTTTTAGGGGGGTTCTCTCTCTCTCATGCATAGTTTTTAAGTTTTCCTGCACCAGTACAAAGAACAAGCATAAACAATGACATAAAAATAAAGGATACCAACAAAGCATGTCAGTGCACAACATCGTTTTGTCCTCACGACAGCCCAAGGAGGCTGAGCGACTCTGAGCTGCCCAAGGTCAGCCCGTGTCAAGCGTGAAAGTTCCCCTCTCCCTTCAGTAGCTCACAGATAAGAATTAATGAGCAGTTGATAGATTTTGTTGTTGTTTAGTCGTTTAGTTGTGTCCCACTCTTCGTGACCCCATGGACCAGAGTACGCCAGGCACTCCTGTCTTCCACTACCTCCCGCAGTTTGGTCAGACTCATGTTTGTAGCTCCGAGAACACTGTCCAACCATCTTGTCCTCTGTCATCCCCTTCTTCTTGTGCCCTCAATCTTTCCCAACATCAGGGTCTTTTCCAGGGAGTCTTCTCTTCTCATGAGGTGGCCAAAGTATTGGAGCCTCAGCTTCACGATCCCTCCTTCCAGTGAGCACTCAGGGCTGATTTCCTTAAGAATGGATACATTTGATCTTCTTGCAGTCCATGGGACTCTCAAGAGTCTCCTCCAGCACCAGAATTCAAAAGCATCGATTGATAGATTTACAGTCCTTTTATTACAGCATCATGCTGCAAGCACAGACAACCCTTCTCAAGGAGATCAGTTGCCTACTCTGAACCCTCATTCCGATGCAAGGAGCACTCCAATGGGAAGTTCCTCCCCCTCTCTGCCTCTTTTGATCTCTGATACATTTGGACCTCCGAGTCCGTGGCGAGGGGGGTGGTTCCCCCATACTATCAACTGATGTGTCTCCCAGCTGCCCCCTCCCTTCTGGCTCCCTTGTCATTATCTCGTAGCTGGGTAACTCCTCCCTAATCTGTTCAGCTTCTAAGTCTGTGTCTGCCTCTCTCTCTGCTTCTGACAACGCTGGAGGCGGGGGGCACACAAATATTCCCCCTCCTCTTCCGAGTGGAGTTGATCCACCTGTGACTGCATTCCCCAATCTTCAGATCCAGACCATTCCCTGACAGCCGGAGATTTTTTATGGCTGAAGGACAAGTTGATCCTTCATTTCCAACCTCTAAACCAGACATGAGTTGAAGGCCCCAATGCAGGGGTAGTCAACATGGCGCCCTCCAGATGGACAGGAGGGCACCATTATGCTGGCTAGCCCTGCCCTACTGAATGCACTGGGCACATGTGTGGCTCTGCAGAGAAGACCAGTGTTCTCCAATATGTGGGGCCTGGGCTCCAACTGAGCTTCTGATTCTTATTTCTGTTGGTGAACCCTCTGCTGTCACCAACATACAAATCAGGTGGATATATTGCATGGCGTTGGCATAAACCAGTGTTTGATCTTTTTTTTTAACAGCAGCGACTTCATCGGAAGAGAAGGTGGATAGCAAATCAGAAGAAGAAAGAGGTAAGAATGGGTGGGGTGTGCAGGAATACAGGGGATTTGGTGTGCGTGCACATTTTTGCACATAACCTGTGCTTCATGTGTGGCATTTTTCTTGCTTCCAAGTACACAGAATGTTTGCACTCAGTGAGAAAAAGCTTTTATGGAGAAGCAATGCAGTCCAACTTATTTAAGGGCAAAGCACCTTTTTACCTAGGCTTGTTAAGAACCTTGTATTTTAAATATTTTTTTTTGGTTTTTGCAAGAACCAAATTTAAAATAATGAAAAGAAAAAACTTTTAACATACTGTATCCATATATGAGGTGCTCTGAATCTCGTGATTTCCCTCCCGTCCCCTGCAAGGGTCCTTAAAATAATTTTTTTCTAAACCTACATATCATTCAGTTTTCATCTCTCTAAGTTATCCATGTCTTTCGTTTCTTTACAAGTTATTTTTAAAGTCCAGCTAACGTTTTTATTTGTTTACAATGGTCTCCTAAATAAGTTGTGAATTTCCCCCATTCTTTTTAAAAGTTATTATCTTCTTCATTCCTGAGTCTCCCAGTCAATTTTGCCATTTCTGCGTAGTCCAGCAGTTTGGCTTGCCATTCTTCCTTGGTCGGGACTGTTGGTTCCTTCCATCTTCAGGCTAGTAGCATCCTTGCAGCTGTTGTCGCATACATAAACAGTCTTTTCTGGTCTTTTGGGATGTTGGCACCTGTAATTCTTACTACAAAGGCTTCTGGTTTTTTGACAAATGTTATTTTAAACATTTCCCCCCCAATTCATTGTATATCAATTCCCAAAGAACCTAAGATTTGCTCTGCTAGTCGAGACCAAGCTCTGTCTAGTCAGACAAGCGCCCTGGGGCTGCTCGCAAGCTGGGCATAAGGATAACAAACCCCGCTGAAATGAACACGAAGGAGCTGTGAAAGGGCACGGGATCCCCTAAGCAAGGAGACTTCGTTAGCATAATACAGGACTCAGCAGTTGCCATCTCAGGGTTGTTATTCTCAGATAATCACCTCGGTCTATATTCCATTCCTTAGAAACTTTATCTGGGGTTCTTTGGTAAAAAGAGGGGTGAGGGGGGAAACTTCCCTTAAATCTCCACCCCCATCGTTCTGCCCGGACGCTGAGGTCCAGCGCCGAGGGCCTTCTGGCGGTTCCCTCATTGCGAGAAGCAAAGCTACAGGGAACCGGGCAGAGGGCCTTCTCGGTGGTGGCGCCCGCCCTGTGGAACGCCCTCCCATCAGATGTCAAAGCGATAAATAACTACCTGACATTTAGAAGACATCTTAAGGCAGCCCTGTTCAGGGAAGTTTTTAATCTGTGATATTTTACTGTATTTTTGGTTTCTATGGAAGCCGCCCAGAGTGGCTGGGGAAACCCAGCCAGATGAGCGGGGTACAAATAATAAATTATTATTATTATTAAATGCAGCTTCCTGGTCTTCTTTTGCAAAGGGAAGAGCATTCCAGGGTTCATGGGGGCACCGTAAACCTTGCCAAAACTGTGCAAATTGGCACGTACCAGGGTCATCAGCAACACACAGGGGAATAGGCAAAGATTTCCCAAAAAAATCTGAGAATCAGAAATAGAATTAATTGCCTTTCTCCAGTTAGTCAACATCACCATGTTACCTGTCACAAGGCAGAGATTATGACGTTTCTTTAGAAGCAGATAATGATGCTCCCACTTTCTTTACCTTCCAGATTGAGATCTCCTCCTCCTCCTCCTCCTCCTCCTTCTCCAGACCTTGTTTTACTGCAGATCAACGTCAATGATTCGCCCACCGGACACCTTTTTGCTCCTCTGTTTTATGCAGGAGCTGAATGGGGAAACGGCTTCCAAATCCGTTCAGGCTGAAATGATCAACTTTGCTGAATAAAATGCCTTCAACACCTCGTTACTTCTGTCTGCAGTTATTATCCCAGTCGTAATGCTGGGAAGGATCAAGGCCCTTAGCATGAGGAGAACCTGGGGGCAAGAATAGGGATGGGCAGAGCGGCCAATTTTGGTTTCTTGTTCTTTCCAGCCTTAGATTCTTAACTCCACCTTTCCAGGCCAGTATGTGATTTTATTTGAAAACGGAAAAAAGTCCTCATGAAAATTCACCAGCATCTTCGTAGAATCATAGAATCGTAGAGTGGGAAGGGACCCCAATGGTCATCTAGTCCAACCCGCTGCAATGCAGGAATCTTAACTAATGCATCCATGACTCTGCTTAAAAACCTCCATTCCACATCTTAGTGTGAATTTTCCCTAATATTTCTAATGCAATATTGCCTAATATACACAATTTTGCAAGCATTTTCTCCCTGGGTGACACATTTTTAATGTGATGTTCACTAATAGATGCATTTTGGGGGACACTTTCCCGTAATATACGTTCCTCCCTCCAAAATATTTGGTTAGAGAACTGCATCACACAATTCTATGGAGGGTGAATATGTGGTTCATGTTAAAATCCAAAGCGAATTCCTCCACCATCCCTAGTAAATGGGAAGAAGACATAGCCATTTCAGCTACACATCCTTAAGCGTTACTGCAGGGGTTGTGCCAAAGGCAGAGAAGGAGGGCAGAGTCTTCTGAGGTTGCAGGAGACCACTGGGTGGTGAAGATGGAGCAACAAAGGTCACATGCTGGGATGTGCCAGCACATAAAACCAGAGACTACACTTCAGCTTAATTTCACATCATTTATTTTGTAGGCCACCTTGAACATGCCTTGGTACTGAAAGGCAGGACATCAATACTACAGTACACACATAAATACATAAAATAATGGAGGGATTTGAGGATGAAAAGCTTTGTCTTCACAATAAGCATATCCCAGAAATTTCATTGGAACTGAGACGCCGAGGACCAAAAGCACAAATGGATTATTAGGGGAACTGAGCAAAGTTCTTAGAGAGAACAATGGCCGATTTCTCACCTGGGATAGCTGAAGAGACACCTGTTCTGTAAGTAGAGCAAAGTCAGGGAGTTTTATGAGGTGTTGTTGGGGAGAGGAACCCGAGGAAGGCAGAGGAGATTAAAACACCCAGTAGCAATTTGGGGTGGGAGTGGATCCGGACACCGTAGGCAGGATCAGATGCATGATTCAAACCCAAGCGCCAAGGCAGGCAACGAGGAACAACTGGCCTGGTCAAAGCCCAGGGAGTGGAAACAGGGAGTCGGTCCTGGCAAACCAACAGCAACAAACCTGTGGTGGTGGCTACTGGATTGAGATGGAGCTGGTTTCTGGCGGAGCAGGCCTGGGATGGAAGATAGCTTGGGTGAGTCAAGGCTGAGATGGAGACAAGTCATGGCTGAACAAGGTCTGGTGGGGCAGGCGAACAGGAGTAGAAGACACAGGTACCTGAGTTTACAGGAGAAAAGGGCATTGTCTGTGGACCACTCCATGGGAGGTTTGGTCCCTTCCCCTCCAGACCTTGAGCTCCCCTGCGATTTGAGTCGATTGCTGGGAAGGGATTGCAGGGAGGGGGTGCTTGGGTTGAATGGTGGAGGTCAAAACTGTACGGTGACGGGTCCTGATGGGGTTCAGCCCTCGAGAGGGACTGTCTGCAAAACCAGCCTAACCCACACTGAAGGCATGGTTGAAGGGGAGAACCACTACACTGGAGTCTACAAAGCTCCTTTCCCCCCAAGGTCTGCGGAAGGAGAGGCTGCAAAAACCATCATGAGCGGATGCCAGACTAGGCGCTCCTGCGTAGCTCATTCAGGAATTCATCACTTGCTGTCTGCCAGGCTGTTTTTAAAATATTCGTTTGTTAAATTGTTCTGTTTGCCCTCCTGGGCTCCTTTGGGAAGAAGGGCGGGAACAGAATCAAGGAAATAAAGGAATAACAAGACCTTACTATAACAGCTGCTCAGCCTTCTCTGTGGGGAGGTTAAGTACCGTAATAGGTTTGAACACTGAATGTGTGAGCTTGTGTCTAAAGTAAATGGCTAGAACAAACACTTGCTGGATGTTTAATGGTTATTGTTATTGCATTTGTCTAAAAACCAATAAAAAATTATTATTTTTTGGTTTTTGTTTTAAAAAAGATGGCTGCCAGCAACAGTTAATCCAAATTTACCTTTCCCCCCACCCCTTTCCAGAGGAAAAGCTTCTATCTCTTCCAGATCCTTCTGAGTCTGCTGACGCATCTTCCCAGGAAGTTTCCTGAAGGCTGCTCCTCTTGCCCCAAGGCCTCCGTTATGTCGGATACCGCCATTTTGAGGTGGGATGATTTATTTTCCACTTTCACAAGATCCAGGACTAAGCGAGGAGGGAAAGGAAAACACAGAGAACAGCCACAGAGAGACGCTTTCACTGCTTCCTTTTTTGTTTTTCTTTTTTAAATATATTTTTAGAATTATTAGCATTATTTGCTGATTTATACACATCTTGGTTGCCAAGGTGGCTTCTAAACAGTTTACAAGTGTTAAACCATGATATATCTATCTAGATACAGTCATACCTCGGGTTGAAGTCGCTTCAGGTTAAGCCTTTTCGGGTTGCGATCCGTGGCGACCCAGAAGTAACAGAACGCATTACTTCCGGGTTTCGCCACTTGCGCATGCGCAGACGCTCAAAATGATGTCACGCACATGTGCGGAAGCGGTGAATTGCGACCCACGCATGCGCAGACGTGCAGACGTGGGTTGCGTTCGCTTCAGGATGCGAACGGGGCTCCGGAACGGATCCCGTTTGCATCCAGAGGTACCACTGTATAGATATGCACATACACTCATAATCAAGATGCACAATAAAATAATTCCATCAAGACACTAAAGAAATATGCACAGTTTTATAACTGAAACACTTTCCCTTTTATTTATAACTACTTGGTTACATTGCTGTAACCCATCCTGGGACCTAGTTGTGAAAAGGTGGATAAGGAAACTTGCTGCAACGAAGACCATGCATACAAAGGATAGATACCAACTCTAAGGGGGCCAGGTTCCTTTGGGCCCCCCAATACAATTTTTTGGGGGAGTGAAATATACCAACTCAGCACATAACAGGGAGCCAGGTCCCCTCAATGTTGAGAACAATCCGTACTGTTGCGGCATTTGGCCTCACCCCCCCTGGCTCCACCCACCACCCTGTGCACATGATGTACATGCCATCGCCCCCCAGTCTTCTGCTCAAGAGACCTTGGGCCAGCCACCCACTCTCAGCCTAACCTACTGTACTTCACAGGGCCGTTGTCATGATTAATTGAGGAGGGGGACCACCACAAACGCCCCCTTGAGCTCCTTGGAGAAAAAAAGGTGGAGTGTAAATCCAGTGCAAAAAAGAAGAAAGTAGAGTCAGAAAAGGAGGTGGCAGAGCCAGAATTGGGCAGGGCAGGGGCACCCAAACATCATTCCTACTCACCGGTTGCAATGGCATTTACTGTTCCTTGGTGCTTTGACTCTTGAGCGATGATTTCTAGGGATAGAAATGCCCGCCGTGGGCTTGGTCAGAAAGGGCTGCCACTCCCCGAATGACAAACAAATGTTGAAGCACGGAGAGATGCCAGCAACAGGTTTTGCCAGGGGCTACAGGGTGAACGCAGGGGCACGGGTGGCGCTGTGGGTTAAACCACAGAGCCTAGGGCTTGCTGATCAGGAGGTCAGCGGTTCGAATCCCCATGACGGGGTGAGCTCCCGTTGCTCGGTCCCTGCTCCTGCCAACCTAGCAGTTCAAAGCACGTCAAAGTGCAAGTAGATAAATAGGTACCACTCTGGCGGGAAGGTAAATGGCATTTCCGTGCGCTGCTCTGGTTTACCAGAAGTGGCTTAGTCATGCTGGCCACACGACCCAGAAGCTGTACGCCAGCTCAATCGGCCAATAAAGCGAGATGAGCGCCGCAACCCCATAGTCGGTCACGACTGGACGTAATGGTCAGGGGTCCTTTTACCTTTACCTTTTTACAGGGTGAATGCAGTTTAGGGGAGCCGACTCCTGGCTCCCTATTCCAGCACCACCAAGGGAATTGCAGTAGCCCAATGGCAGAGCACATGTCTCCACAGGCTAAAGGTAGCGGGTTCAGTTAGGTGAAGTCACAAGGCTTAGCCATGCCATTTCGGAAATGGCAGCATGCGTAGAGCTTTTCCCCCGTCCCTGGCACATTCTGCCCCTAATTCGCTCTAGAGGCAAGTGAAAAATTAACGGCTCAGCTCAGCATGGACTCATTTAGGATAGCCACGGACAGGGCAAATGAAAGCTGTACATGACTATGGAAAACTTGTTCTTTCATCTTCATCCTGCCCTTGCGATTCCTGCATTGCAGGTGGTTGAACCAAATGACCCCTTGCCTTCTCCCAACACTACGACTCCATCATTCATCTCCAGCTAAAACCTAAGGCTAAGAATGTGAGACTGCATTTTCTGTCCCTTCACCCTCTGGTGCTTGGTAAATTCAGGTTGTGCAGCTACAGTATTTGTGCAACAAACCCTCCTCCCCAAAATATTGGACTTTCTGCAGTAAGGAAAAGTGAACTGGAAAGTGTGGGAGATCAGCTGCGTTGACCCAATGTCATCTAACCACCTCACAAACAAATCAGAACAAGCACTTGTTAAATAGCCAACCGTCCTGCAAATATATCAGGATGAATCTGCTATATGTTTTGGAAAATGGTTTGTACGTTGCCTGTTTTCTAGGCATTCTGACGCCTCTTGGGATACCAAACCTGACAAGAGCGTTCCTGAGGTGAGGGGTTTAGGTTCTAGGCACCATTTTGAATCAAAGATGGCAGACCAACTTTGGTGTGACTTCACCTGCTTTATGATGCGATGGGTCCAATCTCACAAATCACACTATCCATTTTTTAAAAGCACAGTATTTTGGGGTTTCTAAAAAATCCCTGGGTAACTCCACACACTCCCATGCGTGCTTAAGAAGCAGGAGATCTGGAAGTTTTAAAGGGCAGGGAACTGCCCTCTGCTGCTGTTGTTTCCCAGAGACATTGTCTGAAGCACCATGTGCATAACTAATGTAAATGATTGCCCAATAATTTCATAATAAACATAACTTGCCTAACAGCCTGATGGCTCCATCTCTCAAAGCGGTTCTGGGGTTTTCCAGGTAAGCAAAGGCCTGATCCAGAAGGATGGCTTCCCCTTGTTCTCTGTAGCGCTTCACCTGGAAGGCAGGTCCAAAAGAGAAGGGAGCTGTGTGAGGAAATTCTGCCTTCCTTCCAATGCATGCCATTTGATATGTACTGAGTTGAATAGGATCCAAAATGCAGCAGTCTGATTGGTCCTAGAACAATAGGATCCAGAATGCAGCAGTCTGATTGGTCCTAGAACAATAGGATCCAGAATGCAGCAGTCTGATTGGTCCTAGAACAATGCAGCAGTATGATTGGTCTGCAGGAGCCACCCAATCCAGCTCCAGATGGAAGTGAATCCACAACCTGATTGGCCTACAGGAGAATTCCAGAATTAGCCAACCATGTGGGGCCCATTGTGTAAATAATGTATATAAAGCAGATACTTTGGGGAAACTTTCATTCCTCCTCACCACCATGAGCTGAATAAAGAGCATGAAATACACTCTCGACTCCGAGTATATTTCACAATTCCTCATGAGCAAGGATGGAGCCTGGGCAGGGTCGACCCAAGCCTACCAGTCTTGCACAAGAACATCAGTAGAACGTACTGGACCAGGCCAGCGGTCCATCTAGTCCAGCATCGTGTTCTCACAGAGGCCGACCAGATGCCTCTTCTGGGAAACCCACAAGCAGGATTTGAACACAAGACCAACTCTCCCCTCCTGTGGTTTCCAGCAACTGGGTTTCAGAAGCGTGGCTGTCTCTGACCGTAGAGGCAGAGCACAGCCATCAAGGTTAGTTGCCATCAACAGCCATCTCCTCCATGAATTCTTCTAATCCTCTTTGAAGACACTCAGGTCAGTGACCGTTACTAACTCCTGTGGGAGGGAGTTCCATAGTTTAACCATGCACTGCGTGAATAGTCTTCTGCAGAGAGAAGGGAATACAGGAGGAGGCAAAGGTGGACTTGCCTGTTCTGGTTCCTCTCAATCTCTCAATCTTCCACCCTTAAGTTCAGTTTTCTACACTGCCACATCAGTTTGCAATTACTATTATTAGCTGTTTTTTATTTTTTGTTTGCTTGTTATTATTACTATTTCATTTATTATTTTATTATTGTTGTTAGCTGCCCTGAGCCCGGCTTTGGCTGGGGAGGGCGGGATATAAATAAAATTTATTATTATTATTATTATTATTATATTATTTTAATAAGTTTTCATGAAAATTCAGCAGTATTGCTGTGCGAATTTCTCCTAACAACAACAACAACTTATTATTTCTACCCTGCCCATCTGGCTGGGTTTCCCCTGTTACTCTGGGCGGCTCCCAACAGAATATTAAAAACATGATAAAACATCAAACATTAAAAACTTCCCTGAACAGGGCTGCCTTCAGATGTCTTCTGAAAGTCAGATAGTTGTTTCTTTCCTCGATGGGAGGGCGTTCCACAGGGCAGGTGCCACCACCGAGAAGACCCTCTGCCTGGTTCCCTGTAACCTCACTTCTTGCAGTGAGGGTACTGCCAGGAAACCCTTGGATCTGGACCTGAGTGTCCGGGCTGAGCAATGGGGTGGGGACGCTCCTTCAGGTATACTGGGCCGAGGCCGTTTAGGGCTTTAAAGGTCAGCACCAACATTTTGAATTTTAGGGCCAGTGTTATATGGTCTCGGTGGCCACTCCCAGTCACCAGTCTAGCTGCTGCATTCTGAATTAGTTGCAGTTTCCGGGTCACCTTCAAAGGTAGTCCCACGTAGAGAGCGTTGCAGTAGTCCAAGCGGGAGATAACCAGAGCTTGTACCACTCTGGCAAGACAGTCCGCTGGCAGGAAGGGTCTCATCCTGTGTACCAGATGGAGCTGGTAGACAGCTGCCCTGGACACAGAATTGACCTGCGCCTCCATGGACAGCTGTGAGTCCAAAATGACTCCCAGGCTGCGCACCTGGTCCTTCAGGGGCACAGTTACCCCATTCAGGACCAGGGAGTCCCCCACCTCCACCCACCCCCTGACCCCCCCAAAACAGTACTTCTGTCTTGTCAGGATTCCACCTCAATCTGTTTGCTGCCATCCAACCTCCAACCGCCTCCAGGCACTGACACAGGACCTTCACCGCCTTCATTGGTTCCGATTTAAAAGAGAGGTAGATCTGGGTATCATCTGCATACTGATGAACACCCAGCCTAAGCCCAAATAGGCACATATTTGTATGCAAACATTTTCCCCCAAAGCACTTTTCTGCTGTACAATGCAGGTTATTTCCACCAATATGTGCATTTTTATTTTTAATTATTCATTCAATTTATATGCCAACCAAGGATCACAGGGTGGTTTTTAGTATAAAAACACAAAATACACAATGTAACAACAACAGTAACATCAAAACCCAATTTTTTCCCCATCGCTCTCTGGCTGCCCACTCCCTGAAAAACAACATAAACAAGAGGCGCTCACAAGACTTTTGCAGAAGTTCCAGGTTTCGTTTTCCCGGATGGACAACTGGATGAAGGATTTCAGAAACTTGTCAGCTCTTCTCAGAGTGATCCAACACATCTGTAAAAGAAGTGAGGGTGGGAGTAACAGCTTCTGCCACTGCAGCTGCTGAAAACTCAGGCAGAATATTGAAGAATAAATTAATAATAATAATAATAATAATAATAACTAATATACAGCCCTACTTCCATAAATCTTGGGGCAGTTCACCACAAAAAAATATTAAAAAAACACCCTGCCGGGAGGATTGCACAACCACACCGTGATCAGCCCCCCGCCGGGAGGATCGGGCTGCGATAGGCCCCCCACCGGATCATGCCACCTCGCGGATTGCCCCCATGGGCGGATCTCCGCTCCGAGAGGCTAGCTCCACCATTGACAAGCCTAAATCGTTGCGCTAATGGAATGAGGGCTTGGACACCAGTTGCTGACATCCTAGCCGAGAGGCCTTGCTGCTTTCTTTTCCCCCTTTTTAAAAATATGTTTTTATTAAAGATTTCTTGGTTTACAAAAGTATGTGCAATGTCTCTTTTTTCATCTTCCGTTTTCTACAGATCAGTTTCATTTGTTGTGAGACATTAGTGTTATATTAGGAAGAAAGGGGGGAAAGAGGTGGAGGGGGGGATGGTGGGTGGGGTGGGGTCGGGGGGCAATGCTTCTATTCTACTTAGTGTATGTGTGGGGTTTTGTGTCAGTGTCACTTGTGTGGGTTCTCTTTACTATTCGCTTGTACAGTGGTGCCTCGCAAGACGAAATTAATTCGTTCCGCGAGTTTTGTCGTCTTGCGATTTTTTTCGTCTTGCGAAGCACGGTGTCGGGAAAGCTTTGGAAAAGCTTCAAAAATCACCAAAGTCTTTAAAAACCTCAAAAAAGGCTACCACACCGCGTTCTATGAGTTGCTCCTCGAAGTCAAGTCGCAACTGTATTAACGGTGTTAAGACAAACTTGCAAGACATTTCCGTCTTGCGAAGCAAGCCCATAGGGAAAATCGTCTTGCGAAGCAGCTCAAAAAACAAAAAACCCTTTCGTCTAGCGGGTTTTTTGTCTTGCGAGGCATTCGTCTTGCGAGGTACCACTGTATTGCTTTAGTGGGGTGTGAGTGGGGTGTGTGTGTGTGTGTGTGTGTGTGTGAGTGAGTGTGTGTGTGTGTGTGTTTGTTTGTTTGAATCAGGTTAGCCAGATTGATTTGTGTGCTGTTGGCGGATTTGTGTCGTTGTCTTGTTGGGCTGTGTATGTGATAAAGGGGAGCTATACCGGGGTGAAGGCGTCTTCTTCTATTTGTCCCCATGTCAGTTTCAGTTTGTTGGCTAGTTTTTCTAGTAAGGCTGTTTCCCATACTATTGGGTACCATTGTTCTATGCTTACTCCTGACGGGTCTCTCCAGTGTCTGGCTATGATGCTTCTGGCTGCTGAGAGTAGGCAGGTTATGAGCGCTTTGTGCTGTGAGTGGGCATTATTGTCTTGGAAGATGTTTAGTAGGGCCAGTTCTGGGGTGACTTCTAATACTTGCTTAGTTATTTTGCATATCTTTTGTATGATTGCTGTCCAGAAGAGTTGGATTTTGGGACATTCCCACCACGTGTGGAGGTATGTGCCTGTGGAGGTGCATCCTCTCCAGCATTTTGGTGAGGCTCCTGGGTGTATTAGCGTTAGTTTCCGTGGTGTTAGGTACCACCTGTGAGTTTCAGAGCGAGTTCTTTCCTTTTCACCGATATGGATTTGAAGGGAGGTTTAGACCACATTCTAGTCCATTGGGTCGGGTTAATCTCATAGCCTATGCCATCCTCCCATTATTATTTTTTATTACGTCTAGGGGGTTTGTGGGATTTTGTAGTAGTATTTTGTATATTGCAGATACCATCCCTTTGCCGTGTCCCTTTGTTGTTAGGAGATGGGACGCGGGTGACGCTGTGGGTTAAACCACAGAGCCTAGGACTTGCCAATCAGAAGGTTGGCGGTTCAAATCCCTGCAACAGGATGAGCTCCTGTTGCTCGGTCCCAGCTCCTGCCAACCTAGCTATTTGAAAGCACGTCAAAGTGCAAGTAGATAAATAGATACCACTCCGGCGGGAAGGTAAACGGCATTTCCGTGCGCTGCTCTGGTTCGCCAGAAGTGGCTTAGTCCTGCTGGCCACATGACCCGGAAGATGAACTCCGGCTCCCTCGGCCAATAAAGCGAGATGAGTGCCGCAACCCCAGAGTCGGCCACGACTGGACCTAATGGTCAGGGGTCCCTTTACCTTATTTTGTCGTTAGGAGGAGGTTTCTGAAGGTTGTCAAGGGCCAAGTTGCTGCTGATTGTACTACTAGATTGTTTAAGAGGGCATGTAATTGGTGGTGTGTTAGCTAAGATTTGCTGCTTTCTGATCAACTGCATCAGCCTACCTTCTTCACTGGGACACTGTCCTGGAGATGGACCATCAGGGGGACCAGGCTCTGGAGAGCGAGCGCCTTCATCTGCTCTTTGCCTCCCCACTGGACGATCTCAAACAGGTGGCTGAAGGTGGAGATGGCAGCCAGTCTCACTTTGTTGGACGCCTGTGCTGAGAAGGGCGGAGAAATGCCGTCAGGGAAAGCGGAGGGCTGCTGTCCCCCTCAAGGGCCAGCCCAAGCTGGGATGCAGCAGCAGAGTCAATAAGCTCTCCAGAATCATGAAATGATCAGGGTCAGGACCGTGAGCGCCCTCAGGAGGGAAACACAATTCCTCCCAGATCTCCAGGGAAGGGCTAAGGAACCGCAGGCCCTGAACTCTGGCCCTCCAGGCTGCTCTGTCCGGCCCTTGGAACTCTCTGCAGGCCACACCCTCCTTCCACAGGCCACACACCCCTCCCCCTGCTGGCCCTGTTTCACACTGCTTTTGCCTGGCTAGAATATGTGTGGACCACAGAAAAAGGCTTGTGGTGCGGGAGGGAAATCTATGAGGAAGAACAGTTGATCCTGCCTTGCATACAACAGCGGGAGGAGGAGGAAAATGTAGGGAGAGAATCGTAGAATTGTAGAGTTTGAAGGGACCCCGAGGGTCATCTAGTTCAAACTCCTGCAATGCAATAATATTTTGCCCAACATGGGGCTCAAATCCATGGACCTGAGATTAAGAGTCTTACGCTCTACTGCAGGCGTAGGCAAACTCGGCCCTCCAGATATTTTGGGACTACAACTGCCATCATCCCTGACCACTGGTCCTGTTTAGCTAGGGATGATGGGAGTTGTAGTCCCAAAATATCTGGAGGGCCGAGTTTGCCTATGCCTGCTATATCGACTGAGCTATCCAGCTCAGTCGGGTGTCATAAATTTTCAACCCAGGCAGCAAAACAGATGGAACAGACCCTGGCCATTCTCAATGCCATTGTCAGGCCCAGGACTGCACCAGGAAATAACTCCCATCCCTTCTGAAGATACACTTGGCTATACTTTCCCAACCAGTTCCATCTCTGTCATGTACTGAGTTCAGAATGCAACAGTCTGACTGGTCCTAGAACAATAGGATTCAGAATGCAGCAGTCTGATTGGTCCTAGAGCAATAGGGTCCAGAATGCAGCAGTCTGATTGGTCCTAGAGCAATAGGATTCAGAATGCAGCAGTCTGATTGGTCCTAGAACAATAGGATTCAGAATGCAGCAGTGTGATTGGTCCTAGAACAATAGGACCCAGAATGCAGCAGTCTGATTGGTCCATAGGAGCCACCCAATCCAGCTCCAGGTGGAAGGGAATCCGCAACCTGATTGGCCTACAGGAGAATCCTGGAATTAGCCAATCACGTGGGGCCCATTGTGTAAATAATGTATATAAAGCAGATTCTTTGGGGGAACTTCAATTCCTCCTCACCACTATGAGCTGAATAAAGAGCATGAAATCCACTCTCGACTCCGATTATATTTCAGAAATAAACAACTATATTCCAATCTCCTTTAACTCCCAGCCCCCCAAAGTATCAATAATAGAGATACGTATGCATTTCAGGGGTAAAAAAACCCCAAGTTGATGGTGCTCATATCTTGATATGTGCTGGGAGGAAAGTGCAGCACAAAATGGCAGGGAAAAGCTGTAGACACACACAAACATTGGGTGGCTCCCCAAGAGATCATTCCCACCAACTCTACACCCAACCACTGGGGCCTGCCCTGCGCCCACGGGTGCTGCCCCACTTGCACCTGGCCTGACTCACGTCGTCAAAAAGTGGCATCACGCTGGTGGCCACCTCAACGGTGAGGGAGTTCACTTCCCTGCTCTGGCACTTCAGGAGGTCTGGCAGGAGCCTGAGAGCCTTCACGTTGATGTCTCTGTCAGCCTCGCGCACCCTGGCTATGATATCTGGAAAGGCAGGCTTCAGTTTTTTCATCTGTGCGACACAAAAGGCTGAGTCACAGATCTCCAGAGAAGCAACAAAGTTAGTTTCCGTGTCTTTCTTCCGGGGAATCTTTAGCTTTGAACAGAACACAAGATGCCACAGAGGAAAAAGGCTTGCAGAGAACCAAAACCTCATGGCTGGTTCCCCGCCCTCCTTGTCGAAAAGATTAAAACGGTGGCGTAGAGGACATGGGCCAGAAAGTATTTCGGATTCCAAGCCATTAAAAAAATCAGCATCTGCACATGCAGATGTTCCTTATGAATTCCACATCTGTTCACCAAACTGTTGGAGAGTTTGCAGGAATAAAGGGATTTTCCTTCCCCAACTCTGGTGGGAATGCCCTCCTCCGTTTTCCCTACTAAATATGTGGACATGTACCATGAAGACATTTTGCCGGAAGGAACATCCGACACAGATGTTGCTGGGATCCCTATGGCACAACAATGGAAATCGTAAAAAAAACAACCCCAAAGACTAATATCACTATGGTATAAAAATATTTGGAATTTAGTTACTGCAGAAAAAAGTAACACATAAGCTATGGGTCTCTACTGGACAGGAATATTCTGGTCATTTCTACTCAGTGTGGAGGGATTTTATTTCATATAGCTTAGTTTCAGACTCACAGGTATCTATCCCCATGCCCTCTAGAGAAATGTGGCTGTCATGATCTTAGATTGTGTGTTATTATTCAATTCGTTTAGGTTTTGCATGCCCTGCCTTAAGCTGGATATCTTATTGAATTTTTGTTATTGTTTATTTATCTTTATGGTTCTATAATAAATTGAAAACTGGTGATAATGATGATGATTATAATAATATTGAGAATACAGAACCTCTGTCCAGCAGGTGTAATTAGGCAACCAGCAATATCTAGAGCAGGGTTTCCCAAACGGGGGCCTCCAGCTATTTTGGGACTACAGTTCCCATCATCCCTGACTACTGGTCCTGCTAGCTAGGGATGATGGGAGTTGTAGTCCCAAAACAGCTGGAGACCTAAGTTTTGGAAACCCTGATCTAGAGGATGGTAGGCTCCCCACCCACTGGGAAGACCTATTGGTCTACTGGTAGATCACTGTGTCTCTCTCACCTTCTCTTGATGATCCAAAAAGCAAATCATGCCGTCGAGAGCTAGGGATCTGAGCTCCAACCGGCTGGCCTTCACCTGCCGGCACAGCTGCTCAATGATGCTATCTTCCATAGCTGGCGCTAAGGCTCCCTTATGAAGGAACTAGAACAGAAGAAGAATGTGCAGAACATGGAAACATGAAAAGAGCCTGCTGGATCAGGCCAAAGAGGAGCAGAAGGAGGAGGCCAGGAGGTGGCAAGATGACATTGCAAGGGATTGTTGCCTTAGGAGAGCGAGAAAAATTATCAGGGATGACTCACACCCCAGCCATCACCTCTTTAATCTTCTACCCTCGGGCAGGAGATATAGAAGCATAATCAGCCGTACCAACAGGGTAAAAAATAGCTTCTATCCGTGCACAGCTTGATTTGTCAAAAATGTGGGTTGGGGGAATGGCTTTGGCTATGATGCTCTTGGGGGAAGCAGATGGGAGTCTAAGAGGGGCTGGGGCGGATCAGCTGTACAATTAATCAGACCCACCTACCTCCATAAAACAAGGCTCACCTCAATTAAGAAAGGCATCACAGTGATGTGTTTTGGATACCCCTCGCTTTCCAGAATCTCCAGCAAGTAAGGCAACATCCTCTCGCTTCCCTCGCCCCTGACTATCTCTCTTGTCATTGAAAAACAGAAACACTGGGTGTCCAAAGCATTGCAATGTGGAGTGTTCTTCTCCCATGATCCAGCCAGCCACGTCTTCTTTCCCTCTTGCTTCTCAGCCCTCCTGCTTTGACTACAGAGCTGTCATAACACACCACCTTCCTTGGAATACACAAGGAAGGCCCTGCAACAAAATGTTGCAGAGCAGATTCCATTCTCGCTGAATGGGGGAGGGGGAGGACTGGACATGCTAGTGGCCCAATCCCAGTCATGATTAAATATTTGTTTTCTCCATCAGCGTCTATGGGCAGCTCCTATTTTGGAGACACTTGAAAATGGCTTCTTGGTGCTAACTGAGAAATTACCTATCTGGACAATGAAATGGTTTTAGACCTCAGAGTCTCTATCTCCCTCCTCCCTTTCAAGGTGCTTGGTTCCATTCACTCTCCCACCTGGCTGCCAGGTCCACATTCAATGCCATCCAGCCTGTTATGGGGCTGATATGAAGTTCCACACCTTAGGGATCTTCCCCAAAGATCTTTGGAACACCTTCAGATCTCACTGCTCCTTTTAACAGCGATGTGCTTACCTGGCAAAGAGAGAGAGACCTTTCAGGTGGGTCCTGCGATGCAACAGGAGTTCTGAACCTCTCCTCTTGTTCATGATGAGGATGAGGTCCTCATCTCCTGCTCGCCTGATGAGGCCTTTGAAAGTTTTCAAGGCAGACCTGCACAGAGAGCCAAATCCGTATTAGAATGTATTTCTTGTGCTGGGTTTAGAGCAGTTCCTGCATGGGGTGGGGTGCATTACCTCAGTGATTTGGGTAGGCCATTGTGCCTCATAGTTTATGCTGGTAAAAGATAGCTGGCTCTCACAGAGTCCTGGGCACCACAGGCGTTGGGGTGCGGAGACCAACTTGTGCTGAAGTTGTTCCCTTGATCACAGCAATCCTGGCTCCCGTCACTCGCATGTGAACCCCACGCCGTTAAGCGTTTTGAAGAAAACACCCATGCATTTTCAGGCTTTTTTTCTGCATGCAGCCTTGAGGACCAGAAACTTGCAAAAGCAAAGCCTGGCGTGACAATACAGAAGCTGCCATTCTTCAATTGGAGGCTGTCGCTGTGTGTCATGTCACAAATTAAAAAGACAATTTCCCCAAAAACAACCTTGGGCTGGACGAGGAGCGAAGTCCGGCTCAGCAGGGAGCTGCGTGCGTGCGTCCGGACGCCCTGGCTACAGGGCTACCGCAGTATCAGTCGACCCTGCCTGTGACAAACAGGGAAAATCTGGGATGAACCGAAGGAAGCGCACCTGAAAGGAGCAGGAGGGGTGGTGATCTCCTGGCGGATGCAGGCCGTCGTGTAGACATCCGTCTCCTCTGGTGTAAAGTACACGGCGAAGGAGATCTGGCAGAGGACTGCTATGGACAGCGTGGTGAACATCTCTTTCAGCACCTCCCGGCAGGCTGGGGACGGGCGCCTCAAGATCTCGTAAAACGCTGCGTTGGCCTGGGAGGTCGGTCAAGGCACCTGATCGTACCTGAGCAAGGAGAGGAATTTCCCGCCCACTTCCCTTCCCGGCCAGGTCCTTAGGTGCCTCAAATGGTCACCCGGACGCCGGCTCTGTTTCATTTTGCCGCCTGAGGCAAGGGTGCCACCCGCCCCCCCCACCTTGCCTCCCTTACCGGGTTGCGTGGCGGCTTCGGGAAAGGAAGCCGGAAGCTGCTGCCACTGCGTGACCCAGCAGTGGCAGGGGTGGGTGCTGTGCCTGCAGTGGCACTGCCCCATGGAAGTCCGCCGCCCGAGGCGGGTCGCTTCCCTCTGCCTCGTGGGCAGGCCAGCCCCGGGGATGCGCCTTGGTTATGTCACGCACAGGGCCGCTTTGCTCTTTGGGTGCTTTCTTGGGGGCCAGAGTCCTGCTAGCACTTACAGCCAAGGGTCGCAAGGAGGCCTTAACCCTGTGGCCATCCCAGTAGATCGGCTGCTCTTGCAGGATGGACTGCACCACGGCCAGGACCTTCTGCGAAGTGTCGGAGAAGCAGGTTAAGGTGTTCCACATGGCGGAGGCGGTGCTGCGAGGGGGGGGGGAAGCAGGGGCTTTGGTTGGCGCACGAAATGCGTTCAGATTACGGCGAAACGAGAGAAAGGCGATTTAGACCAGTATGTGTGTGGGGCCCCTCTCTTCAAGAGCACTGGCTAGGCAGTGATGTGGGACTTAGGACTGAGGGATCATTCTGTGGGATTGGAGAAAGATGGAGTGTAACTTGTGAATAAATGCGCTTTTAATTTTAAAAAAAGGAAAAGAGCATTGGCTGTTCTTCTGCAGTTCTACTGTTGTGAGCAGGGATGTTCAGCTCTGACAAATATGAGAGAGGGGAAAAAAGAAAGGCATCTCTGCGTTGATGAGATGAGAGTTTGCTTGTCTCAAATTAGACCTGGGACTCAGCTATACAGCTGCCAATATAATGTTTTAAGTGTGTTTTAAGTGCATCATACAAACATAGAAATATATATATAAAATAAAATAAATTGTCCAGTAGCACCTTAGAGACCAACTATCGGTATGAGTTTTCATCTGCATGCACACTTCTTCAGATACGATGCATGCACACGAAAGCTCATACCAAGAACAAACTTAGTTGGTCTCTAAGGTGCCACTGGACATTTTTTTTCAATTTTTAAAATATATTTCTACTGCATCAGACCAACATGGCTACCTACCTGAATCATACAAACATGACACTAGATGGCAGTGATGAGCTTATGACAAATTCAATATATTTTTCAAAACGCTTTTTAAAAAAAGCATTTTCACAGTGTTTTTTAATGTGTGTCTACATTCCACCCTGATATAAATGAGATTACCTGGCAAAAGTAAGCTCACACCTCTCACTGAGTTTGTACACATACTTAAGTTTCATGCTTGTTTATAATTACATTTTGGAAATGATTCACCTTCTTACATAGCTGTATTGTTTGATACTTTCTGGACGTCCCATGATCATATTACAAAGTAGTTGTGTTCTGTGTTATAAATCAAGCACTGCTAGGAGTTATTTCTTTCCCAATATATTTTTATCGACAAAAAATCGGTGTGTCACAGGCAAATTTTTATTCTGAAAGTGTGGCCCAGAGAAAAAAGTTCGAGAACCACTGATTTAGCCAGTACGAAAAGGATTTTAAATCAAATTTTTTTTTATCCCCCTGTCCATCCCGCTCACCTGTCACACTGGACAGAGCAGGCTAGGAGGGTCTTCACCACATCCTGAGGGCGGCTCTTCCCCAGAAGCAAGAGGAACCTGAAGACCTCCAGGCGGGCCTGCGGGTCTCCGATGTGCTCCAGACTGAAATACATGAACCTGGTGGTTTTGGGCACCTGCGGGGGAAAAGAGGTGGGAAGAGGTGACTGGGGAGAGAGGAGAAGGGGGAACGGGAATTTCCAAGGCAGCGTACCTTGATGAAAACGGGCTGGGGATCCCTCAGCATGGCTTTCAGCATCAGGATGGCAGCCTTCGTGTGGTAAAGGTTGTCGTCCCTCATGCCCTTGATGGCTGCTAGGAGGAAGTCCATCTGCTCCTCTGAATGGAGGCATTTTTTGAATTTCTGAAAACGGAAGGGGTGCATTGAAAGCCTGGTGGCGGTTACACCAAAGAGCTGGGATCCACCATGGATGGGATCCTATCTCAGGATCAGCCGACTCGCTTTGGGACCCTGCTTAAGATCAGTCGGTAGAGCATGAGACTCTTAATCCCAGGGTTGTGGGGGGTCGAGCCTCACTTTGGGCCAAAGCTTCTTGCATTGCAGGGGGTTGGATTAGATTGGGGTTTCCCAAACTTGGGTCTCCAGCTCTTGTTGGACTACAGCTTCCATCTTCCTTATCTTGCAGGACCAGTGCTCAGGGATCATGGGAGTTGTAGTCCAAAAAGAGCTGGAGACCCACGTTTGGGAAACCCTGGACAAGATGATCCTCACGGTCCCTTCCAATTCTATGATTCTGATGCTACAGGAAAGGTCGCAGTGCTCTCCTTGTGCATAGGAAAGACCACAGTGCAGTGTTAGGGCTCATCCACACTTCTAACCAGTGCTAAAAATAGAGGCCAACCAATTGACATTTGCTCCGATTCAGCAGTAAAAATTGATTTTACTTGGGGGAAAGTTGTGGGGCAAATGGATGTGTGGATGAGCCCTCTGAGTGGGGACTGGGACAAGGAATTAAAAATCTGCAGCATTAAATGGTCCTATTCAGGATTCCTACCTGACAGCCAGACAGCCAAGCCATTTCTTGGATACTCCATTGCATCCCCTCTATTTTTTTTTTTTTATTATCCCTGCTGCCCCCACCATCACTCAGTTTTCTGAGTGCTGGGCATTTTTCATATTCATTCTTTCTTTTTTTAAACTCTCTCACTGAAACGATCTCAGATACAGCAGCGGAGCAGAGGAGGACCTTTGAAGAGCCACTGACAGTCAAAGCACAGTCCTGGGCTCAGTTATACGATCACTAGCTCAAAACCCAGGTGTGCCCTTGACTGCACGGTAAACACCAAGACACAGCCCGTCCCGCCTCTCTGCATGTGCCTGTGCGCAACTGGATGTGCTTCCTTTTTATAAACAAAACAAAACATAATTTTATTAATCTAGATTAACTGGATGGGTTTCCAAACTCCCGTGTTGGTTACATTCGTTTCAGTTGCACCTGTAAAACAGGTCCACGCCCAAAATTGCCAGGCGTGAAGAAGACACACGTTGGAGCTGGTGAAAAAGGTTTACCATAGTGGTGGTGCTGATGTCAGAGAACCAGGCCAGCCAGAAGATCTTTTCCTCTTTCCAGTCCTGCATAAGCTCCATAAATTCTGTGTCGTTCTCAGGCTTCATCAGGCCTCAAGAAACATACAAAGAAACTCAGAGATTAGATAGATAGATAGATAGATAGATAGATAGATAGATAGATAGATATAGATACAGTAATACCTCGGGTTAGATATGCTTCAGGTTGAGCGTTTTCAAGTTACGCTCTGCGGCGACCTAGAAGTAGCAGAACGCGTTACTTCCGGGTTTTGCCGCTCGCGCATATGCAGACGCTCAAAATGACGTCACGCGCATGCGCGGTATTGACGAAACGGACCCGCGCACGTGCAGTCGCATGTTACGTTCTACTCAGGATGCGAAGAGGGCTCCGGAACGGATCCCGTTCGCATCCTGAGGTACCACTGTATAGATATAGATACAGTGGTGCCTCGCAAGACGAAATTAATCCGTTCCGCGAGTCTCTTCATCTTGCAGTTTTTTTCGTCTTGCGAAGCACGGCTATTAGCGGCTTAGCGGCTATTAACGGCTTAGCGGCTTTAAGAAAAAGGAAACAAACTCGCAAGAACTCGCAAGACGTTTCGTCTTGCGAAGCAAGTCCATAGGGAAATTCGTCTTGCGGAACGACTCAAAAAACGGAAAACTCTTTCGTCTAGCGAGTTTTTCGTCTTGCGAGGCATTCGTCTTGCGGGGCACCACTGTATTGATATAGCTACAGCTATAGCTATAGATAGATGCAAAGAAACTCAGATATATACGGTATATCTATATAGAGAGGGATATATAGATACATATAGATATACAGTACTGCACCCCCCACTCCCCAAAATAGGTGCCAATACTCACCATGTATTAGCGTTGGGACAGTGACCTTTGGAGGTTTTGAAGGGCCACGCGACACGGATTTCCCCACTGGGTCACCTCAATGGAAAGTGGAGCTGGAGGAGTTGGGGGTCAGCTCATGGGCAGGGTGCGGAGAGGGAATGGCGCAGCGAAAGAAGGCCGCCCAAGACTCCTTCAGGCCGGCCAGCAGGGAAGCTCAGACCCAGACCCTGAAGGTGGCCCTCCAGGGCTCTCCACCTGGCCCTCAGAAAGGCAGGGTTGGGCTGACAGACAGCCTGGGAGAATAGCAGGAGCAGCCATGAAACAAGCCTCCACCAGACAGGCTCAGAAGGCGAAGCCACCCTTGCCAATCTGAAGACGCTCTAAGCCAGCGGTTCTCAACCTGTGGGTCCCCAGATGTTGTTGGACTACAAATCCCATCATCCCTGAGCTCTGGCCTTTCTAGCTAGGGGTGATGGGAGTTGTAGTTCAACAACATCTGGGGACCCACAAGTTGAGAAAGGCTGCTCTAAGCGAAGAACCTTTTTTGCTTTATCTCCTCTGGCGGGACATCCAGCTTCCCAGCTAATGCCAACATGCCAACCCATTTATTTCCCTTTCCCCGCCATGAACCATCTTGGGGAAGGCCGGCGGGTCCTTGCTCTTACTCTTCTGGTGAAGGATCAGGGTGTACAGGCAGTGGAGTGCGTCGGCCGCCCAGTGGCACACGCTCTCGCTGGAGTCCTTGCTGCAAAGCGCCAGGTGCCCCGCCAGCTTCCCCATCTTGAAGTCCTTCATTCCCTGCAGGAGAGAATCATTCTACAGTACCTCATTTTCTACTCCTCCTCAAGGGTGGCAGCCATTTTGTGTCATACCACATACTCCACAGCAGCCATTTTGTGTCATGCCACGCACAGCACAGCAGTCATTTTGTGCCATTCCTTGCACACCACAGCAACCATTGCAGCCATTTTGTGTCACACCTCACACCTCACAGCAGCCATTTTGTGGCGTGCCACGCACTCCACGGCAGCCATTTTGTGCCATCCCTTGCACACCACAGCAACCATTGCAGCCATTTTGTGTCACACCTCACACCTCACAGCAGCCATTTTGTGTCGTGCCACATACTCCATGGCAGCCATTTTGTGCCATGCCACACACCCCACAGCAGCCATTTTGTGTCGTGCCACATACTCCATGGCAGCCATTTTGTGCCATGCCACACACCCCACAACAGCCATTTTGTGTCGTGCCACGCACCCCACGGCAGCCATTTTGTGTCATGCCACCCACCATGGCTGCAGTGGGGTGCAAAGAGAAGCAGGCCTTATTCAACCTCCCTATGGATTTGGACCCTGCTGCCAAGATATCTTCAAATGCACCCCTTTACTCTTTCCTGTGAAGGTGGCACACTGACATGGGCTACTACAGAGTGTTATTTTAAAGGGGTGAAACTTAATTTTTTCAGATTCCTTCGGTGAGGGATCTTTTAAAAAATGCTTTTGGGTGTGAGGAATTCAAATCTGCTATTATTTTTGTGACTGGACAACATTTAGCTTGGCAAGTACATTTGAGGAAGAAGCACATAAACGGCTTTTGGAAAACCAAATAATTTTAATTTTACCTTCTGAAAATGCCAGGTATTGCTTAATAAAAATAAAAATGCAATTTTTATGCAATTTTACTCACCAAGCAAAACTAAATTATATTAATTTAACCAAAATATCTTTTGAATTCCCAAGTTGTGTTACAATTTTTTAGCATCCCTCATTTGGGGAATTTGAAAGTTGAAAAATCCAGCACGTCCTAATGGGGATACAGTTCAGTGCCGCAGGCAATCTTTGCACTAAACAAGTCCTCATTCTTTACACATATATAAATTCCTCCCCCACCAACACCCCCCCCCGACTGTCAGTCATCGTGATGGGCATTTTACCCCTGATGACTGGTGTCAGCTGAGCTCAGAAAGCTCATTCTGAAAGGGAACTAGTTCTAGTCCAAGTTTGGCACGCCCGTCCCTTAACAAAGTGAGCAAATTCAGTTCATGTCGAACTCTCCGATTCTGCGATTCTATGATTCGACAAACAGTTCAAGTTCAAATAATCCCCACCACGCAGGTTAAAAGTTGCTGGGCTGGAGTGTAAAATCACAGAAGCATAGAATTGTACCTAAGAACAGCAAGAAAGTATCTTAAAGCACGTGCAGAGAGTGAATTGCTCCATTTACAGTATTTTTCATGATTCGCCATAGCGATCCATAGCTAAAATCTGTAAATGTGTCCTCTCTTTTTGCTCTTCAGAATATGGCGACACTAAAAACTGCAGGTGAATTGTTCTTCAGTTATGGGAACTACTTTCAGGTGTAGTTTGGAGGTTTTCTGAACTACTTCCACGAAGTTTGCTAAACCAAACCAGCCCTGCGAATGGGCGACTGAGCCTCACTTTGGGTGTGCAATGGGACGTGATGCAGCAGACCAGCTTGGTGATTCTGGACAAGGCCATGATCCGCTCCTCGACGGACGGGGATCCCGTTTCAGGAAGAAGGAACTGGAATGGCAAAATAAGGACGTCGTACTGCAGCAGAATCCATGGAGGTTTCATGAGACGCATTCTTGTAGAGCACAAGTGGGAGCTGCAACCCAGAGTTGCAGCGTGAAGTGCTCTAGGGCATTTTGTTCTATTCCCCCTCCAACCTGCTTCCAAATTTCTCTCCACAAGGTCTGCAAGCATTACAAAGCCCCCGAGCATGCCCAGTCCTTTCTGGGCTGTTTTCGGGAAGTTCTCCCCCTCAGGGAGTTTTTTGGTTTCTGCATTTCCATCTCTCTGTGTAGCTGTTTTGGCTACACATCTCTCTTTATGAATGGGTGGTGCTGTTTTGGCTGCACATGTTCCCCCTATACTTATACTGTCAAAGAACTGTAGAGTCGGAAGGGACCACAAGGTCATCCAGTCCCACCCCCTGCAATGCAGGAATCTTTTGCCCAACGTGGGGCTCGAACCTGCAACCTTGAGATTAAGCGTCTCATGTACTACCGACTAAGCTAGCATCTTATGTTTAAGGAGCCCCCAATGATGTAACCTTTCCTCCTAAGGGAGCGGCTCCATCCAGTCTAGGCCATTTCTGCCCTATCTCAATGATATCCTTTTTGAGGTTTTCCTACGATGGTTTTCCCACAGCCAAACAGAGACACAATTACCAAGGCAAAGTCATTCTTAAAGAGCCCAAGGCAGGGTCAAAACGGGCAAACCATAAAGCTGTGGGCTTCTTGTTATGTATTCAGACTGGCTGCAGTTCTCACTCTGGGCCACCAGTATGCAAATGAAGGATTGAGAGTTGCTTCCACCGATTGGGTAGCTAGTTGGAATTTGTTACTGTTACAGGTTATTGAGCATTATATAAGGCAGACAGCTTCACCGTTCAGAGAGACTTAGAGTAGTGCTAAGTGCTGTAATAAAGAGCTGTTGCTTAAAAGAGCTGTGTCTGTTGCCCATCTTTCCCACTATACAACACTTCTAGTGCTAATCTTTCCTTGGGCTCCATTAGAAGGAGTTTTTTAGGGCTATTTTCATCGTTCGCACTCACATGTACATGGGTCGACTTACTCACCATGAGAGTTTCTCTTATCAGGGTCGGGTTGTAGTGACGTTGACCAATGTAGCCCGCCTTACTGCTGTCGAGGTTTGCGCTGATGAGGTCTATGCAGTCCAGGAACTTGACCTTCTCAGGTAATTCCTAGCCTCCCCAACCAAGGACAGGAAGATGAGTTCAAGAAGGATTAGCAAAAGCGGCAAGCCATCTTGACTACCGCAACATGCTCTCTGCGGGGCTGCCCCCGGAAAGATTTGGAAACTATTACTCTTCTGGGGGCGTTCTGCAGGGAATGTTTTACTCCAGTGCCGTGCCTACTTAGAATCATAGAATCATAGAATCATAGAGTTGGAAGAGACCACAAGGGCCATCGAGTCCAACCCCCTGCCAAGCAGGAAACACCATCAGAGCACTCCTGACATGTGGTTGTCAAGCCTCTGCTTAAAGACCTCCAAAGAAGGAGACTTCACCACACTCCTTGGCAGCAAATTCCACTGTCGAACAGCTCTTACTGTCAGGAAGTTCTTCCTAATGTTGAGGTGGAATCTTCTTTCTTGTAGTTTGGATCCATTGCTCCGTGTCCGCTTCTCTGGAGCAGCAGAAAACAACCTTTCTCCCTCCTCTATGTGACATCCTTTTATATATTTGAACATGGCTATCATATCACCCCTTAACCTCCTCTTCTCCAGGCTAAACATGCCCAGCTCCCTTAGCTGTTCCTCATAAGGCATCATTTCCAGGCCTTTGACCATTTTGGTTGCCCTCCTCTGGACACGTTCCAGTTTGTCAGTGTCCTTCTTGAACTGTGGTGCCCAGAACTGGACACAGTACTCCAGGTGAGGTCTGACCAGAGCAGAATACAGTGGCACTATTACTTCCCTTGATCTAGATGCTATACTCCTATTGATGCAGCCCAGAATTGGGTTCGAGCCCTTTGCTGGGTTCGAGCCCAGTTCAAAGTATTCCTGAATTATGTGACTGGACGAAGAAGCCCCCACCGCCTCCATTTTTAAGGAACTCATGTTGTAGCAGGGAAAGCGAGGGCAGGGTTGGGGTGCAGATACCTGGTGGCTTTTGTGGAGAAAGTGGTTCATGAAGCGCATGACAGCCCTCATGTCTCCCTCAGAAGCTGCCAAACTAAATGTTGTCTGGGAGGAGTCTGAGCTTGGTGAATCTGAAACAGATTTATTAATTTAATAAGTAAATACTGCGCCTTTCCTCCCAGAGGAGCCCAAAGGAGCAAAAACAAAAAAAGACTTCATTATTAAATATATATATATATAAACAAAACAAAACAAATTTAAAATATTTAAAAACTGCTAAACTCATCTAAAAGCAATGAAACACAATTAAACAACAGACAAGTTTTCAGCAAACGTCTAAAGCAGGGGTCAGCAACCTTTTTCAGCCGTGGGTTGGTCCACCCTCAAACAATGTGGGGGGCTGCACTATATTTTGGAAAAAAAATATGAATGAATTCCTATGCCCCACAAATAACCCAGAGATGCATTTTAAATAAAAGCACGCATTCTACTCATATAAAAACACGCTGATTCCTGGACCGTCCGTGGGCCGGATTGAGAAGGCGATTGGGCCGCATCCGGCTCACAGGCCTTAGGTTGCCTACCCCTGGTCTAAAGGAATATGCAGCTGCCTCATATGGGGATTGAACCTGAGACCTTGGTATCATCAGGACCACGCTCTAAGCAGGTGAGCTGTCCAGAGACAGAACTAAACCTTATCCTCCCACCTGTGCTGCCACCAGTCTTGTCAGCTGAAGGGCAGGTGTACTGGTCTGGGGAAAATGGCCCGATGAGACAAAATGGACCCCTGGCAGGCTGGAGGTTCTGCACCCTGACGTAGTGGAAGCCTCCATGTGCAAAGCTGTGATTTGTGCTGGCAATTAAGACAAACCTATTCTCCAGGTTAAACCATGTTAAACACGGCTTGCCGATCAGAAGGTTGGCGGTTCGAATCCCCACGACGGGGTGAGCTCCCGTTGCTCGGTCCCTGCTCCTGCCCACCTAGCAGTTCGAAAGCACGTCAAAGTGCAAGTAGATAAATAGGTACCACTCCAGCGGGAAGGTAAATGGCGTTTCCGTGCGCTGCTCTGGTTTGCCAGAAGCGGCTTAGTCATGCTGGCCACATGACCCGGAAACTGTACGCCGGCTCCCTCGGCCAATAAAGCGAGATGAGCGCCGCAACCCCAGAGTCAGCCACGACTGGACCTAATGGTCAGGGGTCCCTTTACCTTTACCTTTATTCTCCAGGCAGCAGACTCAAGAGCATTTTCATAAACATGCTTCCTTTTCTGAAGAATGAGGACATGATGCAACAACAGGAAACCCTCAAGCAGGAATTGAACGCAAGCGCCCTCTCCTCTCTTGCGGCTTCCAGCAACTGGTATTCAGAAACATTGCTGCCTCCAGCTGTGAAGGAAGATCACCACCTCTGGAAGCACCCTATGACTGTGTCATCAGCGAGAGGAGCTTACCTGCATTTTTGGGCGACGACACTGAGCCTTCCCAGCTGCTAAGCTCTTGCAACGACTGTGTCCAAAACATTCTCCGATTCGTTTAGCAGGAAGCGCTGCTGGGGGAATGTTGATATTGGCTCACGTATGCTAGCAAGCCCAGTGCCACAACGGTATCTGTGATTAATGCGTGTCGGCTCAGTTATCTATCTGTTAGCTTGCAGTTAGTATGTGAGACATCAGTCTGTTGGTGTTACTTGTCCAGCGTTACATCTTGAATTGGTGGAGTTTATTTGGAGCAACAGAGATACTTTGCACTTGTACATATCTGTACATAGCTGTATCTGCAATAGCCTACAAGCTGCGTCTATCTATGTCCAGAACTGTTTTAGTGAGCCTTATCTTCTGCAACAGTAAATTATTCGGACCTTAAGCCGTTTCTGTGTGGTGACTGGTACTGGGAGCAACTTCCATTGTGTGTGGATCTCACCTGAGATTCCCAATAGAGCATCCTGCAACAAATATAGCTCATAAGTGGCCCCTAGAAAGTTGTCTAGAAGGGAATGTGGCCCTAAGTGGGGAAAGAAACTGCAGTAGCAACTTTCGTAGTTTAACTGTGTGCCGTGTAAAGATAGTACCTCCTTTAATCTGTCCCAACTCTTCCAAAATTCAATTTCATTGAATGAAGGTGGTCGTGTAGGTGATTTGTTGCCATAGGAGCCGATGATTGAAGATGCTTTCCTACCTTTTTTTATCATTATAATGTCCATGTGAGAGAGGATGAAAGAGTGACAGATTTTGGACACACAAAATCAGCGATCAAGAGAGACTGAGTTTTGGATCTGTATCTGTATGTGTTTTTTATTTGGAATGTTTCTCCCCAAGTTGTTGTTTAGTCGTTTATTCGTGTCCGACTCTTCGTGACCCCCTGGACCAGAGCACGCCAGGCACTCCTGTCTTCCACTGCCTCCCGCAGTTTGGTCAGACTCATGTTGGTAGCTTCGAGAACACTGTCCAACCATCTCGTCTCCCCAAGTTATGTTTATACAAATATATTGTCTTCCTGTTCATTATACTTATTTAGACTAGGATATTTATTGTATTCTATATTTGATCTTCTTTTGTAATGTTGTATTTCGTAATGTTCTGTTTAATCTGTAAACTGCTTAGAGGGAATTATGAAATGATATAGAAATTATTGAAATATGTAAACTTTGGGACATCTCTTGGAGTTAAGTTATGCTCAGCCTGTAGATCTGGGCAAATAATACCATATATCAAAAAAGACACAAACCTCCAATGATGTCATTTGAAGGAAACTGACCTTAAATGCACATTGGAAACCCTGAAATATCTCTCAGAAATTGGGGTGCAGTATAACAATATGATACAATGCAACACACAGCGAACACTAATGGAGCTGTGTAAATAATGAATTATTTTGCAAGAGACCACCCCAACCCAGTAAGAGTTTTACCCACAATCTTCCATCTTTTGAAAAGAATGGAAAACAAAAGGAGGGGAAAAAATGATTGCATCCTACCTGCTGAGCAAATATGAGGGAATGATTTCGCTGCCAACCTGGGACAGTGGCTAGAGAGGTGTTTTTCACCCTTAAAAGCCTCACTGTTTCAAATCCATAGTACGCCAACAGATGAAAGGAAAAAGAGTGTAGAAAGGGTTGGTGGTCAACGCAACTGAAGATGTGCTCTGGACACTACTGGCTTGAGCCAAGGACTGCCAGCAACTGAACCAGGCAAGGTGGCAGTTGAGATCAAGTGCCCATGGCAGTTATTGATGTCATAATGGCCAGGGAAATGGCCGGGCAACCGGGCAACCAATGACACATGACAATCAAACGCTCTGCTCCAACGGACGTTCCCCTCCTAAGCTGATCTTGCCGCTGGAGAGCTTCATGGAGGTTCAAATTATGAAAAGTTACTGGTGCAGATATAAAACGGTTATATAAAACAACACCCCAATTTTAATGGAACCCTATTTGTACGAGTGCTGTCAATTTCCTTACCGCAAAAAGTCATTAAAAAAAGAGAGAGCCAGAGCGTGTGGGTCTGCACCGCGAGGGAGCCAAAGTGCTTTAATCCACCTTCAATTGGGCAAACCTAAATTTGCCGGCATGTCATTGAATTCCTCTTGCTAAATGGTGACAGCCTGCAGGAGGGCCCTAGTTATGTTAGGCTGGGATACAGGAACTCCTGCGTGTTCTGTATAAAATGTTCTGGGTGTCCGTTCCCCTGATTTTTGGACAAATCTTTACCCTGACCTTTGACACCAGAGATTTGTGTGGGTTTTCAGGGCATACCCTATTCCTGTGATTGTAATCTGCTTTAACTGTTTTGGATTGTGAATCTTAAATTGTTGTAACCTGTTCTGGGACCTGCAGGTTAAGGATGTGTAATAAATTTTAAATAATAATAATAATAATAATAATAATGTAAAAGTTTAATTAGTATTTCTGTTAAAAAAACCTGATGGTTTAAGAGCAGAGTTTATGTCACTTCAGAAAATTGCTGAGTGCCCCGGGGGCACCAGGTACAAGGAACTGCAAAGGCAAGTCCTTCTGTGTTGATCTTGTTTTCCTGCTGCCTTCACCACCTCATCAGGTTAGAAGGGGATCCAAGGGACCTTTCCAAACTTGTTTCTCGTGTAGTGGGTCACCTTGTCTTGACTGTTAGCACTGTGGAGTGCCTCCAACGATCCAGATGTGTGGAATATTTGCACATCTGTGTCATGTTCACCTCTTGACTTCGCAGCTGCTGCTGACATGCAAACGCTCCAACACATACAGAGCAGGCTTGGCCAACCTGGTGCCCTCCAGATTGTTTGGACTGCAACTCCTGCCACCTGTGATAACTGGCCCTGCTGGCTGGGGTTGAAGGTTCTGGAGTGCGCCAGGTTGGGAGAGGGACAGTTGAAGAGCACGGCATTTGAGTAGCGTTACCCATAATGCAAAGTGCAAGCAGACACCCAGAGCACTCTGCGAGCTGTAGTTCTCTGGAGAACAGAAGAGCCTTCTTTCACGCTATTGAGGGCTTCTATCTCCTAATTCTCTCCTTTATGACCTCTTAAGTGATAATGTAATTTACAATTTATCATTGATTTGTAGGAGAAAATTGAACTTGGTAGGGCTTAATCTAACTGACTTTGGAAATTCTGACCCCAAAGATACTTGGGAAATTATCAGGAAGAATCTTACAGAAAAAAGTGTTCTCTCTACTCTCGAGGTTGCAAAGCACAGCGCTTGCTCTCCTCTCTATTTAAATCTCCCTTTGTGTAGAGATTTTCAAAAGGAGTATATGACAAATCTGAAGAATCATGAATTGTGCAGGCTGTTTATGTTAGCCAGATTTATATGTTTCCCTCGATGATAGTGAGAGGAAGATATTTAGCTTTCCCAGAATCAGAGCGTCTCTGCAAATGTAGTATACAGGAACCTGATAGTATACAGGAACATATTTTCTTTTCTAGTGATTTTGGCATTTATGCCAGAAGACAATTATTAGAGGCCTTACAACTCAATAGGCTGATTTCTATGCTACCAGCTGTTCAGGACCTGCTTTCGGACAGGAATGATCAAATTACTTTAATAGTGGCTGAAGTTTTGAGTGCTGTCCATGTAGAAAGACTGGGTCATTATAAAGAGAATTAGTGGTTCTTAATTGATTGGGGATTCGGTAGTGCTGTATTGTATTATTTATGCAAACTGATTTTCTCTGGAGTTAAAGATCTGACCGGGACAAACCTTGTTATGTTGAGCTCGTATTTTGCACAATGTGTATAAGCTGTCTGTTTGATAATGTGTGGTTTGCTATGCCTAATAAAGTATAACTATACTAGCTATTGGACGTGGGTGGCACTGTGGGTTAAACCACAGAGCCTAGGACTTGCCGATCAGAAGGTCGGCGGTTTGAATCCACGCAACAGGGTGAGCTCCCGTTGCTCGGTCCCAGCTTCTGCCAACCTAGCAGTTCAAAAGCACATCAAAGTGCAAGTAGATAAATAGGTACCACTCCGGTGGGAAGGTAAACGGTGTTTCCGTGCGCTGCTCTGGTTTGCCAGAAGCGGCTTAGTCATGCTGGCCACGTGACCCGGAAGCTGTCTGCGGACAAACGCCGGCTCCCTCAGCCTATAGAGTGAGATGAGCGCGCAACCCCGGAGTCGGTCACAACTGGACCTAATGGTCAGGGGTCCATTATACTAGCTATTGAGGGCTGGCAGCTGCGTGAAAAAAGGGACGCTTCCATTTCCAGGAAGAGAAATCTTCAGAATTCTTAGGCTTGCACCTTCTCCTACTGGACTCCAATGTGACCAGTTTCCACAAAGTCCTCACCCAAACACTCTCCACCCCCCTGCCCGCCCTATTCGCCCACGGACACGAATTGCCATTTGACCGCCACTCCTTTCTCTCCAAAATAGAATAGTATATTTATATATTAATGTAACACTTCTCTTTACAAAATAAATCCGACACGAAGCAATGGGAATAATGGTCGGAAGCGGGGGGACGGGGACGACGACGACAAGCAAACACGAAGCCGCCTGGGGTCGGCGGAGGGGGAAGGGTCAGTGGCCCGGTCTCTGGTGCGGGGGGAACGCGTGTGGGTTTGGCCCAGCGGGACCAAGCTACAGTCTTGTGTGCCTCTGCTCTGCTGTCCTCTGCCTCGGGGCAACTTAGGCTCGGTCCGTACACCTCCTCAGAATGGGCTCCTCAGAGCAGCACCAACCACGGGAAGCCACGTCGGGTCAACCACTCCTGTTTTGGGGTACTCCTGCAGCTCACCGCCTGCAAGGGGAAAGATTCAGTAAGTGGACGACGACAGCAAGAATTCAGTAAATGTGGAGTGGGCCTCTGAGGAAGCAGAGAGTCCCCCAACCCTTCCCAAAAAAGAAAGAGAGAGAGAGAGATACCGTATTTTTCACTCTATAAGACACACTTTTCCCCTCCAAAAAAGTAAGGGGAAATGTGTGTGCGTCTTATGGAGCGAATGCAGGCGGGAGGCTCTGCTCAGCGCTCCCTTTAAAGAGCCGCGTGGAGCGTGTGTGCGGTTCTTCGGGGCTTTTCCCCAAGGAGGGAGAAGGGCTGCCCTCCTCCCTCCTTGGGGAAAAGCCCCCAAGAGCTGCACACACACACTCTGTGCGCTCTTTAAAGGGAAGCACGGCTCTTGGGGGAGCCTTACCAACCACGCAGCCTCTCCTGGGCAGGGGATGAAGGCTCCCCTTGCCCGGAAGAGGCTGCGTGCGGCTATCCCATAAGCCGGGACAGCTAGCAGGATTGCTGCGCAACATTCCCGCTGGCTGTCCTGGCTTCTGGGATTCAGAATCCCCCCCCCTTTGTTTTCCCCTTCCAAAAACTAGGTGTGTCTTATGGTCTGGTGCGTCTTATGGAGCGAAAAATACGGTAGCTGTCCATATTGAATCCTCTCTCTCCATGTGATACTGCATCTGAGCATCAGCCAAGGACTTTTCCCACCATAAGCAACAGCCTTTTTCACCTGCCTTGGCTTCAGGATGGAGTTTCTGGTACGGGTATTATGTGCCTCTGTCTTTTGCTGAACGGAGTGGAAGATTAGGCTGTCTGCCAGTATGCTTTTTACTATGCCTCTATTACGTTTTTGTCATTGGTGTTTTGTAATCATAGAATCACAGAATTGTAGGGTTGGCGGGGACCCCCAAGCATCATCTAGTCCAACCCCCTAATGGGTTTCTAATGTTGTACACCACCCTGATATCTTTTGATAAAAGGTGGTAGTATATAAATTGAAATAATAATAATAATAATAATGTCAGGGGTTCAGGGAGAGAGGCACAGGGTAGGCAGGAGATGGAGAGCGAATGGGATGAATTCCAAGCCAGCGAGGAAGAGGATGACAATGACTCAAGAGATTCCATGAGTCTTTCCAGCGAATCAGAGGATTCCCAGAAGGGGGCGCCGGTGGTCAAGGCCAGGGGAGCCCCAGGGGGGACGTGTCAGGAGCAGGGGGCCAGCGGAGGATCCCAAAGTGGCAGCTGGGCGTCAGGACCAGCCTCCCCACCAGAGTGCAGCGAAGGGGGTGGGGTTTCCAGTGTGTCAGGGAAGCAGCTCCGGCAGCAGAGAAAGGAGGGAGGTCAGAGCAAGCCGCCCTCCCGGAAGGGGAGCAGTGAAGGGAGTAGTGTAACTGTCAAAAGGAAAGTTAGAGGTTTGGCCCGCGCGCCAAGTTCAAATGTAGAGGCGCGCGGAAGTACAGGGAGCCCGGAGGAGGGGCCAGGTCCCAAAGACCGCAGGAGGGGGGAAGAGCAGTCTGATTCCGCGTCAGAGGAATCCAGAAGGGGCGAAACCCCAGCGGGCAGAAGGACCCTGCGGAAAAGGAAGGAGAGAAAGAGGTGGAGCAGCGCAAGCCTCTTAGAATTGGTGTAGGGGAGGGACCGGATTCAGAGGGGACTTCAGCGGTCTAAGCGTAGCAGACGTAAGGCTGCGCGCCTAGGATGTCAAGCAAACAATGAACTGCAATAAACACTTTTGTATATAAGAAGACATAGGCGTTGGTCTTTTGTGAGCTGAGACTTGAGGCAGCCTTGACAAATAATAATAATAATAATAATAATAATAATAATGTAGTCATGGGGTTGGAGAGAGTGTATGTGTGTGGCTTCAACAGTGCTTAGCTTGTTTTTGGTAGTTAGGCTTTGCAATTCCTTAATCTGACTTTTGTTGTGCTGTTTAGCTCAATTTTTTTAGTTGCTTTAGTTGTTTTGTTAATAGCGTTTTATAGAAGGT